GCGGTTATATAACCCGCGGAGCTATCTCTAAGGTAGTAGCTATAAAGTAAGAGATAAGCGCGTATATAAATAAAAGTAAACTAGAGCTTAAGTTTACTAATATAAAGACTATTAATAATATTATATGGATTTAATTAGATACGCGTATAAACATAACACTTATAGAATTACAGATTTATATATAGCTAAGTACTTTAGGGCGAAGCATAAAAAGAAGAAGGATATTATTAGGGCTAATACTAGGATAGACTTAACTAGACTACTATGGTCTAGTACGGTCTATGATAGGTGGACCTAGGTTAAGCTAGCTAGAATAAGCGAGACCACTATATAAGTAGGCCGTATATACTTGATTCCTACTCTTTAGAAATTAACCTTATTAGAAGAGTAGACTACCCTTTTAAATATATTCCCGAATCCTCCTATAACCTGTTAGACTACTATTCTACGTCTATAATCCTTATACTTTACTATAGAGTATATAACGAATATTAGGAAACCGAACGGTATTACCTATATTAGGTATTCTATGTGACCTTATATATAAAGCTTATTATATATCTTATTAATAATGGTCTTACCGCTTGCTCCTAACGGGTAGATACGGTAGCTTAGCTTTATACTAGCCGTTTTCTAGTTACTTACTAGGGGGATATATATCTAGTCTTTCTCTAGGATGTTTATAAGTCTAGTATTATAAAATAAGGTAGCGTAACTTTAGATAATCTTATTAAACATCTAGGTAGTCGCTTCGTCTTTAGCGTAAATTTTTATACTAAACGCGTCTATCTATTTAACTTTATTAAGCCGAGTAAGCTTTATAGATAATCCCTCCGTACTATCTAAAGGGACTACTTTAGTCTAAAATATATAGAGGGCGTCTATTTCGTCTATTAATATACTAAGTCTTATATTTTTATTTATATATACTAATCTAAATCCACGGTTTACGATAAATATATATACTATATTTTAGTTAGTAAGATATATATAGACGCCTCTACTCTAACCAAGCCTTATACTTACGTATATTAGGGTAAACACGTAATCTTCTATAACTAATTCATGCTAGCAACGGATTATAATTAGAACTAGTATAAGTGTTCGTAGCTAGAGGACGGTATACTATGAAACGGTTACTCCCCGGTATACTACTAGTCGAATAGTAGTAGTAAAGGTTAGTATAGTAATCCCGCTATATATACTAATAGTTATTATATACGTGCTTATATAGATATCTATCTTCTAAGATACTATAATATCGGTTCTAAGAAGGAGACCTACCTATAGACGGTTAAGAATATATACTTCATATATTACTTTTATAATTATAGTAGTTAAACCGTTAGACGTTTAGCCCGGGAGGAATAGCGTAATAACTATAAACTTAGTTAACTTTATAGGCTTAACTCCCTCTACTCCTTAAATAGAAATAGCTAGTTAGATAAGTATTTAGGTATTAAGGTTCTACCGTTTAAGAAAGGCTTAGTTAATTAGCGTTACTACGCTTTCTATATCTAGATAGATACGTTTAACGGGGCCGTTAAGACTAAGCGAGGCCTCGACTTAGATATAGTATAATCCTTTATACGCTCGGCCGGTGCCTAGTAGATTACTAACTAATAATAGTACCACGTTACCCTAGATATTATAATATACGACGTCTAATCTTAGGACTATATAATTACATAGGGGAACCTTAGCCTTTACTATCGTCTTAAGGTACTTTCTATCCTTAAGGTACTTAAATAGCTTATTTCGCGATAGAAATACCTTATTATAAACATTATATTAGATCTAGCGTACTAGACGTGTATTAGTTACTTAGTACGCTACGAACTACAAAGGTAGACTCTTATTAATATTACTAGGCGGCGGGTTAAGGCTAGCGAGGCCGGTTTCGTTACTAAACTACACGAGTTTAATAGTGTCCGTATTAGTTAGCCTAAGGTAGAAGAAAGCTTCTTTAACCCCCGTATAGTAAGTATCTTTAATATCTAGGTTATATAATCCTTCCTAAATATTATACGCCTAGTAGAATAGTTATAGTAGTTAGGTAAATCGTCTATTATTACCGAGAGACCGAGGCTAGCCGGTATAGGGCTTATTAGTCGTTCTAGAACCGGTAGAATAATCTATAGAAGTACTAGTTATGGCTAGTAGCTAATGTACGTTAGCTAATACCTTTCGACCGCCTTTATCTAAATCTTCTAACCCTTATTAGAACTATTATAGAGGGCGGGGCTAGTACGAGTTATAGCGTCGATTAGATTAATTAGTTATAAGATAACGGCTATTAGGCTAGCTCTAGTCTTAAGAGTTACTAAACGGTTAAGGTAAGTTATAGCGATAAGAGCTATTATATTAACTATCTCCTCTTCCTTATTAAGTAAATTAACTTAAAGTACCGCGCTATATACCCCTAAGGTAATAGTAGGCGAGTTAGTACTATTCTTTGCATTTTATCTATAGAGTTTATATAAATTAGGCTAGAGACATAGATTCTATTAGTAGAGGTAGACCCTAGTAAAGGAGAATATTAATGCCGTTCCATGTAAACGTCTAAGCGTTTTAGCTAGAAGGGCCTAATAATTATATAGTACTATAGTTATAAGCTATAGTATATACGTATAAAGTAACGTTAGTTTAGAAGCGGGCCTATTAGAGAGTATATCTTCACGTTATAAGGGATGATAGAGCGTTAGATAACGGCTACTTAAACTACTTAATTAAGGCCGTAGTCTAGGCGTCTAAACTAGGTAAGTAATAGAGCGCCTCCTTCTTAAGATTGGATAAACCTAATATAAATTACTCGAGGGCATATCCTCGTAGATACTAAGAGATTTTTAACTTAATAGTTTCGGTTTCTCTAGCCGTAGTAGCGTCTTTAATCTAGTTAAGGAAAATATACACGCTATATATATATATGTCCTAACTAGTAAAAACGATATCTCTATCTCCGAAGCTACGATCTAAGTTAGGTTAGAAGAATCTAATTTCTTATATTCTAAACCCTCGACCGTCTTCGTTATCGTTAAACGGTAGGTTTTTACTACTATCTATTAGGTTTTAGTTATTATCTCGTGAACTACCCGCCCGCTAAGTAAGAGCCTACTAGATTATAGCTATAATTATAGCTTACTACCTTACCGTAAAGTCCCTATTACTAGTTATTAGAGCCCTAGCTAGCGTGCTACTATTACCGGCGTCTATATCTATCTAACGTGGTATAGTATATTCTACTAAAGTGCTAGCACGTTTAGGGTGGTCGGATGTAGTAGCGTCCGTGCTAGAGCTTACTATATAATTAACCGAGTCCGATAAGCTTAAGAAAGCCCTAGGGAGCCTAGTAGTTAAAGGGTACTAAGCTCGAATTAACGGGTTATTTAGGAATAAGTTATACGCCTCTTATAATACTAGGCGATTTATTAACTACTATAGTAGAAAAGACTTAGTAGCTAGCCTTCTACTTTGTAAGGAACGTTCTAGAGTAGAGGGCGGTAGATAGTTAGTAATAAGATAATTAAGTACTATCTTAAGTAGCGGTAGATTTCTAAACGTCTATTAATTAACTTATCTATAACTAAATAGTTAATGCCCTAGAAGAACTAAGTCCTCTAGTAGTAATATAAGCTATTATTATGAGCGGCTAGTAAGAGTATAGGAAATATAAAATCGCTAGTATCTGGTATATAACGGAAAACTTTTAAGCTAAATAGTAAGATACGGAAGTAACGGAGTCGTAGATACCTAGTTTAATCTATATATAGTTTTATAACTAGTAAATAGAGCGTTCTCGAGCTCTAGAGAGTTAAGTTTATAGTAATATAACGAGTCTATTCTACTTATACCGTATACTAGAAGGAGGACATTTTACTAGCCTATAATAAAGTAGTTAGTATAGGTAGTATAGTAAGGAGGAGGTCGCTTAAACTAGCGATTATTCTATTATTACTATATTAACTAAGATAGCCTAGTAAAGAGGACTTAGTGTTCGAAGTATACGAACTAGTAGGTACTAGCTTTTAGCTACTACTTTATTAAGATTATTAATAAGTTAAGTTATATTAGTTATAAAGTATACTATTTTCTATATATATATCCGGTCGGTTGTATTTATATAAACGACCGGTTCGCAACTACCTATATTAATTATACATGGTGTGTGCTACTACTGTAGCTATAACACCAGCTAACTTGGCCAGGCGTGATAGGCAGTGAACGGTCACGTGCTAAACAGATTGGCGCCCCTTTATATATATACTCTCTAATTACCACCGAAAGGGTTTGGTAGTAATTCGTTCTATGATAGAATACACCCTATTATTCTATCTAGCTACACTACTATCTAATTACTCTATTCTTACACTAGATCTATATATATCTTAGCTAACTTAGTTAGAGATAGTATAATAGATAGTAAATGGTTATATACTAGGTAGATTAGTACCTCTTTATATATATACTCTTTAATTACTACTAAGAGAGTTTAGTACTAATTTATTCTAGAATAGAATATACTCTATTATTCTATCTAGCTATACTACTATCTATTTACTTTATTCTTATATAGATAGTAGATTCTTAGATTAAGAGAGAGATATTACTAGAGAAATTTAGGGTATTATAATATAGAGTTAGTTATAATATAAGACTAGAAGAAAGTAGCTATAACTTAGATCTACTATAATATAAAAGTGTCTTACTATATATATTACGAAAATAAGCGCTGTATCCTTATAACTTCATTCGACTAGGCGATACCAAATCAAGGGCCGACAACTCATTAATCTCATATAGTACTTCGAGATATCTCAAACCCGAACGTTACAATCTCGTACCTGCGAAAGCCTTGATTATATAGACTCTTGTAGAACAATGTTCAGTTAATAGAAGCTCTCGCATTTACTCGAGAAACCATCCATTCATACGTAAGCTTAGTGGCTCTTCTTAAAGACCTTTGTTCAATCTAATGCTTTAGCACTCCTGATGAAAGATATCTATTCCTTGCATGCTCGTTGCTGTTCTCTCTTGCTCTTGCGAATTGTGCTAATTCAGAGTTTGTTCCCACTCCTTTGGCTTCTTCTGTGTCGTTTGACTCCTCCTTTGTCCTTTGGCGTGTCCTTTGGCTTGTCTTTCGATCATTTTTCGTCTTTCGAGCTCTTCCCCAGGTCATTATCTTCTTCCGAACTTGACCTCGGATCCTTCTTTAGTCTTACCAAATGTTCTCTACAATTATCCGCGAGGCGAGTATTCGGAATAGACTCCAGATCACGCGTAGATATACAGGCTTCCAGCAAGGAAATTGCTTCAGAGAGGCGGCCGAGGTATTCGTATACATGAGCCAGGAGGTACATGACATTCCCACTTTCGAGCTCATCACTCCTTGATACATGTCTATAACCCTCAATCACGGCGATTCCGAGCCTCTCAGCCTGGACAAGGTCCCCACGAAGCACGCTATGTTCCATGCAAACTTTCAGGGTATCAAGTGTGTCCGGATGGTCGTCACCCAATATCCTTCTTTGAGATTCCAAGACCCTTGTGAGTATCTGCCCACTCTCAACAAGTCGGCCCATTATTAGATAGCAGTGAGCAAGGGCAGACAATATTTGTAAACAGCTGGGATGTTCTGCACCAAGTTCAGATTGCAAAAACGGCGTAACTCCTTCGAATATCTGGGATGCGGTCTCAAACTCGCCGAGGGTCTTCTGTAGCAAACCAAGATTCAACTGGTGAGTTAAAAATGTACGATATGCCACGCCTAACGACGTAGACAAGATTTCCGAATTTTGCACACACATCGCCTTCGCTTCTCTATGTCTAGAAGAAGATTCACTACGACGATCCAACCATTCCACGGTGTTGAAGGTGCATATGGGCGATAAACGATAGAGCTTTTTCGACTCCCTAAGCACAAACTGCCCAATCTCACGACCTTTATCCTTTTTGCCTAGGTGGTAGCATACCTCGGCGTGATCTGCCATATAAGACAATGTAGTTTCGTCTATTCCAAACTTCCTCTTTGAGACTTCGACGATTTCAGAGATAAGATGCTCGGCTTCCCTAAAACGACCGTTGCGGGCATGAATCTCTACCATCATAGATTTTGCTTCGAGGGTATAAATATGGTCATAGCCTTCTTTCCGTTGTCTCCGGTCGATGATCTGTGAAACTAGATCCTCTATTTCTCCAGATCTGCCTTGGCGAATCAGACACAATGCCAAAGTAGTCATGCCATTAGTTGTACTTGATGCATCGTATCTATCACTATCAGGCTCCAACTCCAGGGCTCTCCATGCTTTAAGGGACCTAAGCTCGGCTTCGCGATATCTGCCATCACTTTTCAGATAATGACCAAGCCTCCAGGTAAGGTTTAGATGTAACTCGTCAGACACAGAAATCTTATCCAAGTCAAGTACGTGTCCCATGTGACCGAGAAACTGCCTCCAAACATGTCTGTTCTCGTATCCCATTGGAACGACCTCGTCTAGACGTTCAAGTGCCTTGCGGGTAAAGCCACGACTCAGGTCTCTGTCTTTCAACCATTTCCAAGTAGCATGATGGACTAGCCTATGTAGATTGTATGTATTTGATGTGGTCTTCATGAGGAATGAGTAGGCAGTGAGTGTTCCGATAGCATCAAGCTGTTTCTTTTTCGAGGGACCGGCTGGAAGAAACGAATGAGGTATGTCCTTGTGTTCAAGGCAAGCCATCAGCGAGAGGTATTCGGCAGCCAGATTGTCAGTTGCTCTAATGCGCTCAAACGATATGAGCCATGTCGCTGCTATTGGGTTCCTGGCGGTCTCATATCGTCCTTGGTCCTCAAACTCCTCACTTAGAAGTTCTATAGCGGTGTCGTCTTGCTCTTGGAATAGAGTCAGGTATGTTGCGATTGAGACGTCGTTGGAATTCAGATATGCCGCTGCTTGCGAAAGTGCCAGCGGCAAATGTGTCAGCAGCTCACCGAGAGCTTCCAATTCACTCTCACAGGGCCGATCTACATCCTCTGTGTGTATAAGGCTTTTACGTAATAGCTCCACAGAAAAGCTGGGCTCTAAGCCTTTTAAAACTATCACTTCGCTCTCAGCCAACTTCACTGCAACCTTCTTGTCTCGTGATGTGAAAAGAATGCTACCAAGGGCACTCTTGGGCAAACAGTGAATGAGTCGTTTTCCAGCGTGACGATCGCTTTGTTTGTCAGTCCATGTCTCCATCGAGTCCGCGTTGTCGAATATCATCAACCATCGTCCAGTTTCAACCCTGCTCATGTGCATTTGTACAAGTAATTTCAAGTCAGTGGAACTATTACGGCGTCCAGGTACGTCAAGCTCGTCCGCTAAAGAGCTGTAAGCTCGGTCGAGACTCTCCGTATTGGTCATAGGAATCCAAAATATTGCGCAGTCAGGGTAGAGCTCAGCTGCTCGATAGGCAAGCTCGATCGCAACTTGCGTTTTACCAATGCCCCCTAATCCGACGATCGCTGCTCTGCTAGTCTCTGTACCACGGAATAGCATTCCACTCACTTGCGATAGGTCATGTTCGCGCCCAGTAAATCGTGAATTTCGTTCGAATGGCACCATGAAGGGGCGCCTCCGGGCTATTAGATTGTCATCAGAATTCACTCAATCTATAGGTGATACAACATACCGGGTGCGGTAATAAGATGGTCTGCCTCAGATATCTCTTTCCTCAACCGCCTCATTGCATGCTCTTCCCCCTCACCGTAGATGAGCGGAAGATAAATATTGCACAGTCCAAGTAAAGAGTAAACCTTGTCTTCCGATTTTGTCGCCTGGCGCGTCTCGCACCAGCGGATTCGGTCATCAATACTATATTGAAGAAAGTTGCCATTCGATAAGACTGCGTTGTCAATTGAAGTGATTCGTCTTAGGTTCTCGGCGAGAAAGACTTTGTCCCCCAGATACACGTGCTCACGAGAGTAGAACTCGACACTTCGTGGCGCAATCAGTTCTTGAAGTGTCCAAGCCCTTGTATGCCAGCGACTGCTTTCAAAAGAAGGTAACCATTCTTCTCGCGATAGCTGTCGTTCTCCGGCACGGATGGAGACATCCGTGAGGTAGACGTAGCATCTTTCAGCCCGTTGGTACCAACGAAACATAGAGTTGATAGCCTCCTGTAACTCTGTGCTGTTGGACTTATCAATACAGCATGCGTCGACCCAGAAGTACGTCAAATCGTGTCTCATAGCCTGATTGTGACAGAACAGCAACTTTTCATACCCAGGTTTGTTCAATCCAGTACCATCCAGTACGTCTCTGTAAGTCACCTCGTAGTCCTCGAGTCGTCCCCAGGTATGGGAAAGGATGGCATAAGGAGGAACCTGATCTTCGCTGTACGTTTTCAGCTGCAGACCACCATCCGGAGCTACACTTAGGAGTCGCATTGTTGTGTTGTCGCCCGTGACAACGACAGGTGTTGGATGAAGGAGTAGTCGCAATTGACCCAGGCAGAAAGCTTAGATGGATCAATGTTAATGGTCATAGTCTTTGGGGACGAGTATTCAGCTGATCGATGAAAATGAGGGGTAGTCATGCAACGAAGCGGCGCAGTGTCATGGATCCATGCCTGGCACTCAACCACTTAGATACGACCACGTCTGTTCATACAACAATAGATGCCTGGAAAGACGCCTGCATTACATGCAGTTCGATCGTCGAGCACAACAGACGAGCTTCGAGCAACTACAAAACACAATCGACCCCTTTATACTGGCAATAATGATAATCAGATATTACAAAGCTTGAGATGGGATCACAGCCTCGTTCGTCTACTTTATACTTATATCCGTCGGAGCCGCAACCGCCGTGTACAGTGTTGAGGGCACAGACGTAGCCTCAGCCCTCGCTTGAATCTTGGTAGCCCAATAACCTGCTACGGCTGCCTCGGCCTCGGGGATCCTATCATAAGGATGTAATATCGCCATCGACTTGACGGAGTCATCAACCCTGTCATTTGTCCAATACGCAGCATCATAAGGCTTAGCTCGCCATCTTTCCTCCATTGGGTCGATGAAGTGCGTTTCATTGTACCCAAGATCGGTCAACATAGTGACGTTGAAAGCCGCCATCATTTCATGGTCTTCGTGGATCAAATTGTGGCAGTGAAACATATACAGACCGTCGTGTGGACCGTAGACGGCTGTGATGATTAGTTAGTATCGTCATTGTGTATCCTTGTAAGACGGACGTACCTTCGACGGTCACTGTCTCGCCTTCTGCGAGCCAGACAACATCCTTAAGTCCTGCAGCTTCAAATGGTAGAACCCCTCGGCCCTTACCGCCAGTTCGCTTCATGATCTTCATATCGATCAAGTGGATGTGGATCGGGTGCGTCCACCCACCAGATGAGTTCTCCAGTTCCCAAATCTCCGTAGTACCTCGTTGCGGCTTTGCTAGTACGCGATTATTCGGGTCTGCGAATGTGACGCCATTAATCTGCCATTGACCATTGCTACGATGGAACTTGAAGTGATGGTCGACGCCTGTTTTATCCTTCGGATATGGCACATCTCGAAGCCTGGTGGGTAGAGCACCATTATTCGCACTGTCAGACACTGTAGTGCCTACATTGAATTGCATCACCTTATCTGTATGGAGATAATCTGTGTCGGCCCCAACGTCACGACTGTTCCGCAAGGTGATGTTTTGACCAGAGTAAGCCGCAAAATCAATCACAATCTCCCATCTTTCCGCCATTGAGATAGGCAGATCAGTTGTTGCGACTGGATTAGTGAGGAGTCCAGCATCAGAACCGACGACACTGAAACCAAGCTTCTTGCCTGTAGCGGTTGATTTCTCAATATACATGTTGAATGTGCGAGAAATTGCAGCATTCAGGAACCGAAAACGGTATTTCCTAGGCTCTACTTTCATGTACGGCCATGGCTGTCCATTTACATGTATGACATCGCCATACAAGCTAGTCTCCTCGTTTGCTGGGGAGTAGAGTGTGCCGTCTTTGTTGTATTGTTTGGCACTCAAGGCGAGTGGAATATCATAGTTACCTGATGGGAGACCATATTTGTCATCATCAGGGTCATGCTGTTATTCAATCAGTACCGAAAGGTCCTATGAGAAGAATGATAAGACTTACCAAGATGTAAAATCCAGCTTGTCCAAAGTAAGCATTCTCGGCAGTATGGTCGATCGCGTGATCATGATACCAGAGGGTTCGTCCAGCTTGTCTATTTGGATAGTAATAGTCCTTATATGATCCGACGGGTGTGATGCTATATTCACGTCAGATCAGAGATGTCATATCATTCATTTATTTTAGTCGCTTACTCTTCAGCCCACCCATCCCAAGGCGACCTACTGTAGGATCCGTGCAAATGTACCGAGTTTGCTAATCGACCATGGTTGATGAAACGGACCACAGACTCACGACCTTTCTCCATGCGAAAAGTCGGCCCTGGAGATATGCCATCGTACCCCCAAAGCTTCGCTTTCCCCAACTTTGGGTAAACTTGCTGCTCCAACGGGAGTATATCGACCTCATAGAAATCAATAGGTGCTCCAGTATCTGGGTTTGTAATTGTCCTGTATCGAAAGTCAGTCAGGTAAGCGAGGCTGATGTAAGTCTGTACCTTTTCGGGATTTTAGTGGGTGGGACCGGTAAGGGATATTGATATAATGATGTGTAGGCAGGACTTTCCCAGTCTTTGGCAAAAGACGAAGTCATCAACAAAGAGCTGAGGAAAGCGATTCGTGGCAATGACAAGGTAGGCATGATGCTGAAGTAACACTCTGAAGTGGTTTGAAACATCAACACTGTATGGTTTGTAGATATTGCAAAGTAACTCAAACATATTTCGGTAGGCATCCTGGACCTTTATATTTACTAGCATAGACTTTACTGTGGACTCAACAATCGTCTGATCGAGAACCCTAAAAGGGATCATACATGAAACCCTTCTCCCTGTAGCGAAACGCCAGATTCAACCTCGTTTCTGCAAATGTGGGACGATGGCGGTGGCACTGAACACAAGGAGTCAGTGATTGAGGGCTGAAAAATCGTGTAAGATTTGTTTACAGTCAAGCCAGACCCATTCGTGGCGGGCGAAGTCCTTGGCATGGCGTGCATAGAGTGGAACAGAGTGGTGTCGAATATGGCTGATAAGAGCTTGGACAATATCTTAGCTTTATTGCTGTTAGATTGATCTTGGAAAAGGATGGACAGGCCCATTACGTGCTGGCAATATCGGAATACATTTGAGATGACATACCGGACACATGCATGAGGTCTTTGATCATGACTTGTGACTGCCTACGAAATGGGCTTTCTGAAATGGACTCCATTGTCTGGTCAATTGTTCGATTACCAATCTAGATTTGCAGTATAGCAAGTGTAGGATACCATGCGAGGCAGGGGCCACAGCACAATTGCCAGCCCAATGACCATGCATTGCTTTAACCGAGCTCTTGAAGGAACTTTGAAAATACTGTGACTGAGAATTGCTGAGTATGCCGCACATGGAGGTTGCACGGCAGGGTCTATGACTCTATGAGATCTAAGACATGGTCATCAAGTCGTGGGTTGTGTTCTGGAACATCAAGGATTTTGTCGTATTCTCGCATGATCCATTGCTTGACCAGACCAAGCAAACCTTGGTAAGTGCCATGCGGCGCTTATTCGTGGATCTGGTGATTCGATAATGATCGTATCGGGGAGGATGTAGCATTTTATTGTGGAGATGCGAAGTGCAAGGCTGAACAGGACCATTTTTATATGTAGGCTGACTGCTGACGTACAGGGTACAAAGCCAAGTATTGTGGCCAGGGTCTGGATTCGAAATCTCCATGGAGGGCCGGGCGAGAGAACTGAACCAGCTCGTCTCGCAATGAACTACCATAGTACTGATGGCAGAGTCATGTAGACCTTCATAGGTGGCTATTATCCCCAACTCGAGGGTTGCACAGTGCCTCCGGACAATTGTTGAAACATAAGACACCAGCGGAGCCGCATGCTATGAACAACGGTGAACTGTTTGGGCTTCGGTTCAGTGGCCCACCTGAGATAGCGAGATCTGCACTGTCTTCCAGCCAAGTCGCAGCAGACACGTCGTATGCGCATAGTGAAGGTAGGTCGCGAGCTCGCAACCAGATGTATAGTCATGTATCACAGCCCGAGTTTCACGTCTAGCAGCTCTGGCACCCGAAATACCATGACCTGTCCAAGCATAGGCTGGTAGCCGCTCTCGTATGAATTATTCGTGGACACGAGCCGTCGATCTCACCCTTTGCGCATTACAGGGGTATCTGGAGAGTTGCTTGCTCGGGTCAGCCGCAATGCACCCCAAAGGAGACAAGGGAGGATGCGGACGTGTCTGACGGAAACGTAGCATGGGTTTGCCACCTCTAGGATGCTGTCGCTCTCTTCAGATTATGATATCCGTGAACAAAGTAAGTGTGTTTACTGACCTAAAGTTGGCGAGGTCACCTGGTCTGTGGGACAGTGAAGCGAAGACGAGGGTATGACGATAGCCTGTATCCCTGTCTTCCAAAAGTGAGCTTTAGCGATGGTGGCTTAATGAGGATCCAGGTGGAGCTACATATACAATACTGCCGCGGCTGATGAGATCATGAACGTGAGACAATCTAGAATATCGACTTTCTGCAAGCGCGAGGACGAAAAGATGCCGGTCTAGACTAATTGCTCTTTTGGTATGCTAGCCAGTTCTTGTGTCTTTAGACTCGTAGCAAATCCTTGAGAGGCTGACACGCATAGATCTGTTGGACATTTCCGATGAAGTGGTTGTGGTTGGAGAGCATGATCTAATCATCTCTACTGATCTAGATGCTGTGCTGCGCAAGATGTGAGATCGGGCGATCTACTTCCACCATATATAGTCCTTGAATACTTGCATATGTGGAGACGTAGCTCTCAACCCATGCCAGTGGTCGAAAGCTTTGACAAGGCCGACAAAGTGTATAGCTGCTGCGGCTACCACGAAGCAATGAAAAATCTGATGACTGGAGCCCCAGATATCAAACTTTCCTGGGAAAAATCGCTCAGGCACGCGGGCTGCATATATGCCGGCCCCGATAATGTACATAGTTCCCTGACTGATGACCCAACTCAGAGCCATCTGAGTTTCCATCGTTGGCCAACCGTGCAGAAACACTCCGTGGACGACGGGAATGACACCAGTCAAACCTGTCAGGACAAACATACCCGCGCGGAGTGGTCTGAAGGCGGCAGTGCGGAATCTTGGCATGATACAGAGCATGGCTGTACCAAAACAATTCGCCGTGATGGTTCCTGTATAGATCTTGACCAGTCGCTCATCTCTCTGGAATCCATAATAGAGAGTCGGAACATAAGAGCCCCAAATCAAACAGAGGATACCTAAGTAATCAAGCTTGTTTCCGAATGCGGCGACAGAGTGAGAATGATTCGAAATTGTGTGGAACGTTGCAGACATGCCGAGACACGCAGTGGCACCTACAAAGAAGCAGGAAAAGGCAATGACGTCCTCAGATGTTGCGAGGTCGTACCGGGGCTTGAAGATGTTGTACATGGCGATGGCGCCTATGACGGCTACTACAGCTCCAAGAAGATGGGTGTAGATATTGACAGTCTCATTGTGTATATATCCCAGGCTACCAAACGACCGAGAAAAGGAATTGCTTGCCGGACGATATCCAGACCAGATGTAATGGTTATCCTGCTGCCATTCTTCTATCTCGGGCCACAAAACTGTTAAGCGATCTTCGATCTTTGCTGTTGTCTTTTGTGCTATATTAGAGAGTGACTCAACGGCCTCTTTGCTGGCCGCAGTCATAGCGTCCATGCTCTAGTCTAGTTGGAACGATCTGTAACGTGATTGAGTGGGTCCAAGTGGTTGGACAAGGAGTTTTGATATTGATGCTTTTAGTATCATCTAGAATAAGAGGTCCTGGAGTAGGTGATTTTGATTAGGTACTCTTCAGACATCCATGTATCTGAGACCTGTTGGGAATAGGAGTTGTTGGGACAGAGCGGAGGCATACGCGTTCCGCCAATCCAGACGTCGAAAAAAAGAGATCGGCTTGTACCAGATGCAGTGAAAGATCGCAAAGCTGCCTGTAGAAGAGCTGTCTAGAGAGCATCATATATGGACCGCGGAGGAGTATTAGGGCTAATCATTGCGGCACGTGCGAAATGTGAAAGTGCTCTAGCGTGCACGCCTTAACTCCGATAACGGCATGTTCTGCCTCAGGCACTACAATGAACAATGTCGAAAAATATATACAAAAGGAGAAACAACATATCGAGGGGCAGATCTGAACACGGATGTTCATCACTCTCGATCCCCTACGACCGCCTAGCCGAATAAAAGTATCTATTGAATCCCGGTGACCGATGATTACCCAGCTTTTTACATGAAATATAAAAGGTAGTTTCTAAACGTGCGCCTAAGGCACGAAGATTAGTCTGACCTTCCTCCGCAACCTACAACACCCGTGGACACTACCTATTTCGGAGTCACGCAGAAGACATAGCGTTTGTCGCAGTCGTGAAAGACATTCTATATGCGTCCCAATGAGCCATAAACTTGAACCGCGCGTCAGTGTTATCTCCAGACTATGGCTGCACAGCAAAGACCCAGTGGACGACGAGGTCCACCGTCCGGGGGTGGCAGTCGATGGCGCGAGTTTTCTCAGCTTAATCGTCTCAAACCAGTGGTCACTGATCCATTGGAAGAGTATGGGTTACCTTCGAAAGGAGAGACAAGGTGGCTCAATTCTGCTGCGTCCAAGCTAGTCTCGGTCAAGATCTAACTTGCAGACAGACTTCATACGTTCAACAAGCAAGAGGAGTTCTATAAGACAATTGTGACGCGTTACATGCAACTATGTGCTGAATCTGGCGGTGGTGATGAGTTGACAAACCTATTTGCAGCGATATCGCTGGTCCCCGTCGAAGACACAGGTGAAAGCGAAAGCAGTGGTATCTCTGCCTGCTCATCGTCCAGCTCTGTTACATCCTCTCGTCCTGTATCGGCCCACTCGAACACAACGACGTTCTCGATGTCATCTCGACAGGAACCACAAGGCAAACGAACACTGACTGTGGAGCTCAACATGATCCTCTCAGCGATGCGTAAACTCCGTGAAGCTATAGTAGCATCGCACCGTGTCGACAACTTCGCTCAACGAGCATACATCTTCATAATACACGCCTCTATACTTGTACAGTCCTTCGAGTCATATCATCCGGCCCTTCTATATCTCTTGAAACACATCCATCCTCGCTCTCCGCTCTCAGAGCCTGAGCTCCACGAGTTCGCGGGCTACTACATCCTTGACCAAGCCTGTCGGCTCAGTGACATCACAGCTGCACACGCAACAAGGATTGAATACCAGTACCGCGATAGAAGAGTAGAGGGGGTCCTGAGAGCGCTCACAACCGATAATTGGGTCAGATTCTGGAAGCTAAGAAGAGCTATCGATGGCTATCAGGCCAAGTTGCTTGCTCCCGCCGAGGACAGAATGAGACTCCACGTCCTGAAATGCTTTGGACGAAGCTATATCAGCGTGGAAAAGCCTTTTGTGGAACGGAGTGTGGAAGCGACCTGGGACGAGTTGGTAGGGCAAGGTGTAGGCTGGCAGTTGGACGAGTCGACGAACAAGGTTGTGATCAGGCGTCCTAAGGCGAAGTGAGCAGATGACCCGGTATCGCCTAGCACTGCTACATGGACCATGTTCTGCAATGTCCATCGAATAATACTCTCTCGGTTGACAAAATACCGTAAGTCTAGGCCACGGTCAAAGCCGACGCACCTCTATGAGAAATCGGCTGATAGAGAACACCAGGCCTTTGCCACAATCCATCGAGGATGCTTGAATCATGACAGAACGGTGTTTGCATTTATACAACTCCAACGATGGTCATTAAGCCTCGTCTTCATTCTCGTCTACGTCTGTAACGTCATCCTCCTCCTCCTCCTCCTCCTCCTCCTCCTCCTCCTCCAATTCCACGCCCCCCGCATCCTCATCCCACTCGTCGTCATCCAGATCTGGATCATAATCCTGCATGTCCTCGTCTTGATCCTCCGTGTTATCCTTCCCCTTTGCACCTCTCTCCTTCTTTTTCCGTTCGATGTTTTCTTTTTGTATCCTCTTCCGCTCTGCCTTCTCTTCGTGGCGCTTCTCCCATAGTTTGTCCATCTTTTGAATCTCCTCCCTCGACTTCTCAATGTACTCATGCCAGAGCACCTTTCCGGTACACATATCGTCCTCGACCTTTGTCAGTCGAAGCCTCATTCGCGGACCTAGTTCAATAAGTTTTACAGCCCGTCGTTCGACCTGGCTTTGCACGCGACGCAATTGTGGATTCTCCTCTGCCGCCAGTTGCTCCCGTTGCTTTTGTAGGTCTCGCCTGTTCAGCACCTTCTTTGTCACATTCGACAAGACTTCGACCTCTGCGTCCGTCTCGATTTCGGTGTCCGAAGCTGACGTATACCCTGCTCCCGACGGATCCAGCATGAAATCTGCTACATCCTCCAGATTCCCTAGATTTGGTAGACCCTTCTTTTTTTTCTCTTGCGACCTCTTCAAATTTTTGGCTGCATTTAAGCGCTTTATAGCTTTGGAAAGGCCGGTCTGCTTTGTAGTTATGGCATAGTGTCGCAGACTGATTATGTATGTACCATCATCTTCAGGTGAAGGCTCGCGATTCAACAAGAGGACTCGGCGGATCGAAGATAGGGGTGTATTTTGCGGCGCGATTGGGGGAAAGAGAGACTGAAACATTTCGGTGACGAGGCGCTCGAGGTGACGCGGTACGGAGGGATTGGTAGTCGTTTCAGGAGAGAGAAAGTTATTCATAACAAGCTGCAAGCCAGTATCAGTACTTTGTATGGAGCTTCAGTGACGTGCAGAGCGCAGATAAAAGGACATACTAGTGGCGCTGTAAGGAAGTCATTTGGCCCTGCTGTTCGCGGGTGCTTTTGTGCCTTTATGATATCCTTACATAGCGAGTACTTTTCTACCCTGAAGTGCAGTGTTGGTCCTCGCGGTGTGCGCGCTAGTCGCATGTTTGTATTGTTATTAGACGATCGCGAGAAGAGGAGTAGATGTGAGACGCCTAAAGGTCCGCACATCGTTGTGTAGTCGCGCAATTTGTTTGCGCGGCGTTCCTGTAAACCATATGTTATCTCTGCTCAGGCTTATATGTTCAAATATGTGCAATTCGTGACAGATGCAGTAAACAGCCAAGGGACATATTGAATACCTTCAAACGACTTGCCGTTCCAGGCTCCATGACATGCCTCACATCCTTGACCAACTGGCTCACGCTACTCCCGACCTCGCCAGCGCCAATGCGAATCACCATGCTCTTTGGTGCGCCGTCGCCTGCCTTCTTCAAGCCCCCGTTAGCCGGGGTCATGGTGCGCTTTTTCCTGCGTTCCGGCATTTTGGATATAATGCAATTTAGCTGTGTCGGTGGAAGACTCGGGTACAGTCTTGTGGTTGCGCAAGTTTGAAACTTTTAGGATATTTTTGCGCACGGACTTTTGATGTCGGAGCGCTAGTGGAGAGGGAACCGACGTCGATTAGAGACCTTTGCCAGTCATCTTCGCATCACATACTTTATCCTGCAAGGATTTTTTCGTTGGATTAGTCTGAATGTCTAAGAATACTTGACTATCATGGACAGCTCTGCGAGTCTTTCTATAATTTAATTTGTCCTTTAAGTATTTTTAAGAGCCCCTTTAGCATTTATACATTTCTAAAAAACCCCATTCAATTGTATTCTTAGTTGTTTTAGGAGTCTCCACTAGCTAAATTCTATGCTCCTACAGTCCTCTCAGTATTCTTTATTTCCATGCATGAGCTGATCGCTCAATTGATTCTCATTTGAGTCACGACAGCCCAGCAAATAAGCAGGTAAATGAAATCTCAACCGCATGGGCTCCTATCCTCCCTTGCAAAACTTCCTGATGAATGATCAACTCTGGATGGTAGCCAGACACCCGAAGAGTCAGCTGTGCTTCTCAGGTGGACTCAGAGATAATGCGGTACGTTTCAAGTCTCATCAGAGCATCCATAACGACTTTCACGCATCATGATAAGTAAGTATAGAAGCCGTCATTGAGGCTGTATGCCAAAAGCACCAATTCATAAAAGCGAGTGCGCGTGGACCGAAATCTTGAAACTTGGCGGACGATGATGAGTAACGCTTCATCTACACATTCCCTCAAACCGGGTCATCACACGAAGGAATTCATGAGTGTTCTTGAATCGAGTGGGATACCCGTTGAGTACACAGACCACTGACGGGATTGGACCAGCTTTGGAAAGTATAGAGAATGAGACTGATCGCTTCTTGTGTTCCGCAAGGAGGACATCATCTTTGGATTAGGTATCCTTAATTCACTTTGACGTCGTGGCCATGGGTCCGCGTGGTACGACCAGTCCATCTGACGTGCCTCGCGTAAACAAGGCTCAGGTAGGTGAAGTGAACTGTGACAACACTTCATACTACACAATAAGGAGCAGATGTTGCATAATACAAGTCAAAACCATCACAATCCTGCCTCTCTGTTCGTCTCTCTTCTACTTCGTCATCTTCCCACATCGTCCTGTAACCAACTCTAACTCGTGCTCGTTTCACGGTACCGCGTCATCAAACAACGTACAGTTCCAGTCTATCTCCTGTACTAGACATTATCTTTCTTACTTAGGGTAAAATAATGGTGTAGTATATCACTCCAGATGTGAAGATCTGGCCGCTGACACATTATGTAGTCGAACCTTCACAACTTCAACACCTGGAACTGGCCTCCAGATGACTTGCCTGATACCCAGAACCCATCTCCCAACTCTGACGCTTTTAACACCTGGTCTGCTCTTCGCCAGTTGCTCAACGACGATATGGGCGTCCCAGCTTCAACTCCCGTGAACCCCGACGCAGCCTCCACTGGTGAGAGCAGCAACACCAACCTCAATCAGAGCACCGAAGATACCATTGACGACGAGGATAATCCCACCGCAACCGCTCTAGCAACCAAGTCTGATGACGCTGCCATGTCCGACGTCCAAGACGACCCCTACGCTCTCAAAGACAACTCCAGAGACAACAAGTACAAATTCCCAATTCCGTCCAACCCGCTCTGGATTGCCCGCACTGACTCCCCTGAGCCGCGTCTCAGCACGCTCAAGGCATGGCTCATCACCACCGACATGGGCACCTTCAACATGACGCAGTACTCTCTCTTCATCCAGCTGTCCTTCTACGGCGCCGGCTGGATGTATCGTGTCGTCGGCGATCTCAAAGCCGACATGAAGTACGAGAACCTGCAGTGGGGCGTGCCGGGCAACGACATCGAAGTCAAGTGGCAGGAGTACCTGGGCACCGTGCAGGAGAAAGACTGGGAGGCGGGTAAAATCGACGAGGCATGTCGCAGTGTGCAGGTGCCGAAGAAGGCGTTCGATGCGCGTGGACGGCTTATTGATCCGGCAGTGCCGGTGAGGGGAAGCAGGGCGTGGACGAGGGAGGTGGTGGCCAAGTTGCGCGAAGACTATATCATCATGTAGTTTCCTGGTCGCTGTCAGTGCGGAGAACTTGCTCGTATGAGCGGATATGAACGGCCTGGACTGCTGGATATCTGTAGAATCAACTCCTCTCTATCGTTTGATGTGATTCTACCATATTGTCGTGCTTTAGTATAAAAACCACAGTGTAACATGCCTTCGACCTTGGGCTCTACGGAGACCCATAAGTGCCGTACCGTGTACAAGTCTCCTTGAATTTGGACTGCTGCCTATCTGTCAGAACGATACCTCTCTGCCGCATGAAGTTGTTCCAGCTTGCACCTACGCTTCAATATGATGACCAGAATGCATCACAACCGCACCCCTTTCTCCACAACCGATCACAAACACCACACAATTCAGAAAACATCATGGATCTAATACGTTGGCTACCAGTAGAAAGAGCTCTTCTCAAAGCCACATTGAAGTATAGTATCACGAGTTTACATCATCCCAAATCTCATTTTTCGCAACACTCCTCACCTCGGGAGCTCATACAGATAATCAGCACGTCGTGCAATCGCCACCGTACGCTCTGCTAGTCACAAATCCAGGAATAACCCTCCAGCACTCTAGAATGACCATCTAAATAGCAGTATCGGTCCACCATGAGTCCTTGTACGATCCCATCGATTCCAACGCCTAATCCTTCCCGAACGCGACCACATTCCGTACATACATACATGGCAGACCATATACCTACTCTCCCACACCTGATCTCTGGACTACGGGCGTGCGAAACTAAGTCTGAAAGAAGAGACCCAGTGAAGAGTGGGGGGTAGACTTGGGGTGGGAAACAGAGGAATATGGAATTAGACAGACGCGAAATTCCAGCTAAGTAGTGTCTCTAGGGGAGGGTAAGAGACGTACACACGCAGATGAGTCGCAATAAATGACATGTGTGCCCGATTTATTACGATTGACGCTGTGGCCTGTATGGAATTTTTTTAGATGTCAATAGGAACTAGCGAAAGATTAGCACGAAGTCCATGTGGGACCAAATCTGGATATACGGTGGTAACGGGACTTATGGAGTCGATGAGAGACATATGTGGGAGTAGATAGTGGTAGAGATGAAATGACTGGGTCGTCGTTGTATGGGCGTAAGCTCGAGATGCGTCGGGTGGAGAATGCTTCTGCTGCTAGAGAGAGGTTTTCGAGCTCGAGGCACGCTGCCAAAGTGATGATGAGAGTACCAAATGCCATGTTCATACAGAGACATCATTCCCAGAAAGTGACCATCACACTCCTTTCAATTTGAAACTACGACAATTCTACCCCTCGTCCCTGTCCATAGCATCTCTCCCGCCACCTTTCCTTCTACCCCTCATAGCGGCGCCTTTTTTCCCTCTATCCTCATGTAGGGTCTTCATCTGGCGTACAGCCTCCCTCTGCGCCTCGCCGACTCGCTCACTCAACACCATGACCTCATCCTTTTCCACCGTCGCCTGGGGCAATTTCTTGCCGAGTGCCATCTCAATGCGTTGGAACGGCTCGATGTCGTACTGAGTGACCAGCGTCACCGCCTTACCGCTCTTCCCTGCTCTGGCTGTGCGACCAACACGGTGCACGTAAGTCTCCGAGTCTTGCGGGAGGTCAAAGTTGACAACGAGGTCGACATTCTCAATGTCGAGACCACGTGCGGCGACGTCGGTAGCGACAAGGATATCACGCCCTCGTGAGCGAAATTTGTTGAGTGATGCGAGACGGGCGGATTGGGACATTTGACCGTGAAGCGGGATTGCTGAGATGCCAAGTGAGCGCAGTAGGATGGAAATACGATGGGCTTCGTTGACGGTCCGAGTAAACACGATTGCGGTATGTCCGATAGCCTCTGAGAGCATATGAACGAGGTAGAGATCTTTATACTTGTGTGGAATGAGGTTCCAGTACTGGAGTAGTGTTTCGACGGTCTGATGTGAAGATTTTGAGATCGATACTTTGATGGGATTATGTAGGGATGCGCGCTGGAGTTGCTCGACTTTGGACGACATGGTTGCACTGAAGAGATATGTATGGCGACCTTCTCTTGGAAGAACCTTCAATATCTTGTCTAGGATAGGGCCGAAGTCGAGGTCGAGGAGGCGGTCTGCTTCGTCCATGACAAGGTACTTAAGATTCTTAAGGGAAAAGCCGCGGGTATTCTCTAAATGATCTAGAAGTCTACCAGGCGTCGCGACGATGATGTGTGGTTTCTTGCCTAGTGCAATAGACTGTGCCATCATATCCATGCCTCCGACCAAGACAGCGCATTTTACATTTATGAGAGATCCCAGCGCGGTGAAAGCCTTCTCTATTTGGTATGCGAGTTCGCGAGTCGGCGCAAGAACAAGCCCGAAAAAGGACTGTTGCTTGTCGAGGAGATCTTGTAGTATCGGAAGAGCAAATGCAGCGGTCTTCCCACTGCCCGTCTCTGCCAGTCCCACGATATCGCGACCTTGAAGCGCTACTGGAATTGACTCAGATTGAATTCTGTGATATGGTTAGTCCTGCGGAGCGCACATCTGGAAGGTATGTGACTTACGGCGTAGGGTGTTTGTACCCCAGTGCTACGCAAGCTTCGCATAGTGAATCAATCACTCCCAGGTCTTCGAACGTTTTCTTCGCCACAGGCGCAGGCTCGTCTGGTACTGGTGTTGGAGACTTCGCAGGTTTTGAGGCGTGGGTCGATTCTTCAATCTTTGCAACCTTAGTCTTAGGCGCAGAGCCATCGCGCTCGCGCTTTCGCTTCTTCTCCGTGGACATGTTCAATTGGTGAGGGTGATGGTAGAGCAGAGGAAAAGTGATATCCACCCATGATTGTGGAGGTTACACTAACTACATTTAGAAGGCGGTGAATATGTCCGACCGCATGGTTTTCGCTTGTGGCAGAACTTGCTGCATGTGGGGCTGCATAATGGAGCTAAGAGATATGGTCGTCACCAATCAGCGTGCGAACCTCATCGTTGCATCAACAAAGCTCTGCAACAACGTGATTTGTATCCGGTCGTCATTCCCATCACAGGCGTATAGTCGTAGCAGATTTTAGTGCTGAACTTGTGTATGTGCCCTCAACCGCCATATCTATGGAATTTCTACTAAACTTCTACAAACTCTACGACAAGGCGAAGGTAATCAAAACGCTACAGGAATTGTATCACGAGGGGTCTAGGAGATGGCTCCTCTCTTACGCCCACTGAGTGTATCAACAATCTCGTTGTAGTCTTTCCAGAATTCTTCTTTCGGCCTTCTAGCCTTCCAATCAGTTTCAAAACGCTCGACGCTTTCCATTGGAGAAAGCTTGACTTGTGCACCTCTAATACCGATTACGACAGTGCTCGCGGGATCGTTGTCAATTTCATCTTTGGTCTTTCCAAACCAACCTTCCAGATGCTGGATCGAGCGAACTCCGAATCGAGCGGCGCGGCAGCGATCCATTGGTGAAGGTGTTGTACCTTGCTGGAAGTGGCCCGGGACAGCGTAACGGGCTTCGAAGCGGCCATTTGCTTCGTTCCGGATCATATTGGCAATGATTTCGGTCGTGTACTGATGTGTCGTAAGCAATTATATGCAAGCAAGCGCAAGCGACCAGAGATACTTACACAATCTGATGCCTTTTCATTACGGAGAATGATCTTTCCAGCCCTGCTTTGACCTCTATCCTTCGCAAATGTCTCCCGGAGTAAATCAATATCTTTGTCCAACATTTTTATGTTGATTCCCTCTTCTACAAGAAGCATTAGTCCTGGGGTCAGCAGGGCAGTCAATGCACTTACCTGGGGTATACACGGCAACAGCACCAATCGATAGACCTGCTACTGTCGCAATGTAACCACTGTAGCCACCTTGAGTCTCAACAACAAAAACTCGTCGCCTGGATGAAGAAGCTGACTGTCGACATGCATCACAGTATTGAATTAACGCGTTCAAGCAAGTATCACTACCAATCGAATACTCTGTGCCAGGTACGTTGTTACTGACGGTCGCCGGAAGAACGATCATGGGAATCTTAAAGGAGCTGTAGTGTGGGCGACCCTGGCGAAGCTCACTAACTGCGGTGAAAGCCTCAAATCCACCGACGACGAATAGACCCTGAATGTTGTACTTTTTGAAGCAAAAAGCAACCGTCTCCAGATCTTCCGAGGGTAAGCTACGGTTGGTACCAATTTCAGAGCCTCCTTTACTAGCCCACGACTCGGCGTCCAGCCAGCTGATTTCTCGCACGGAACCAAGAGGCTTGTCATCGTGATGACGGATGAGACCAGGGAATCCATTGTGAAGAGCAATGGGCGTGTGGCCTCGAGCCAAGCAATACGCTACTGCCGCTCGAGTTGCTGCATTCATACCACCAGCCGGCGCACCGACATGGATGATGCCGACTCGCATGCGCTTCTCTTCGGGTAGTAACATCTCTGGCTTTTCGGTGGAAGTGGTAATCTTATAGGCGTTGTAGTATTCTGTGAACTCGGCGTCTCGTAATTGCATTGCTTTGTCAAATTCCTTTCTCTCTATGCATTTTGCAACTTCCTTGGTTTGAGCAACGGCCTCAAGGAGTGATCGACGCACAATTTTGTTCCTTGGGTTGCGTTAGCATGACAATTTCATCGAATAAAAGTTGTATGACTTACTCAACAATACAGATGACTGGACTGGGAATCCCCGGTTCGGCATCCAAAACAGCATTGACAGCCTCAGCTCCTTGTAATGTTGAAAGCATTCGGTCGTAAGCGCAAGCTTGTCCTCCACGCTGGACGTGTCCAAGAGTAGTGATCCTGGTATCAAGTTTCAACTTATCACCAGCAAGGAGATCCTTGACTTTGCTGACTTTAATAGGCTGAAGGTTGCAGTCGTGGGCTCCTTCAGCAACAATGACGATAGTCTTTCTCTTCCCAAGACTTCTATGCTTCTTGACTATACTGGCAAGATCTTCTTCCCAATTCTCTGGTGGTGGCTTCTCAGGCATAAAAACATAATCTGCACCAGTACTGACTCCAGCCATCAATGCGAGCCAGCCACAATGTCTACCCATGACTTCGATAACGAATGCACGTTGGTGTGACTGCGCAGTCGCATCTATGTGATTCAGCAGAATGCATGATCAAGGCCCGATTCCGCTTACCGATATAGTCCACGGATTCACAAATGCGCTGCAAAGAAGAATAGCACCCAATGGTAGCATCGGTCATGGATAAGTCATTGTCGATACTGCCGACAAGTCCGACGATGTTCAGCTGCCTGAAAGGAGCCACTTGCTCAACAGTCAATTGCTTCTTTTGTACAAGTTCCTCCATGAGTCCTGGCCACTCGGCGCGAAACTTATCCGCACCAGTAAGACTGCCGTCGCCTCCGCAGATGATGAGCGCGTCAATCCCGTTCATAATCATGTTCTTCGCCGCGGTCAGTCGTCCTGGTCGTTCCATGAAGGCCATACACCGTGCGGTACCGATCAGAGTGCCGCCCTCTGACAGAAAACCTCGAACGTCCTCCCATTTCATGGGCTTGATCATGTCACCGCCCTGCACTAAGCCTTCATAGCCCTCGTAAACACAGTATGCTTCGCACCCCTTGGCTATGGCCATTCTCACACAAGCTCTTACTGCGCCATTCATGCCAGGGGAGTCACCGCCACTGGTCATGATGGCAATCCTCCTCTTCTTGCCCTCGAGAGGGGCTGGTAGTGTTGGTGCCATGATTAGGGCTTGATTGTCGGATTGCGTGACTGAGCGAGGTATTTATATATAAGAAGCTGCGCACTGACTGGACTTTGCTTGGCCTATAGCCAGCAACAGCAACAGTCGGTCTTGGAACTCTTGCGCGACAAGTTGGCGTCGGGGAGCGGAGAGAACTATTTGGGAGTAGCGTGGAGAGGAAACCTGAGTGATTAAAGCTTCGAAGACAGACGAAGGAGAGTAGGGACAGAACCTCAAGGGCGTGGCTAGGAGGGAGCAGTAGACTGAAGGTAGAGAAGAAGTCGAGAAAGGTCAATGGGATGGGAATAGTTGTACGATAAGGAAAAAGTAACACTTGGGACTTGGTGGGATGTTTGGAGCTGTTACGTCGGTCTTACTAGTCGGTAGCGGGGTCCACAGCGGCAGGGTTAGTCCTGTTCCTGCGTAGTCTGCGTCCTAGTCGGCGTAGCGTTTCGAGACATTCCCCTTCCTTTGTTCTCAGCCTCATTTCTGCCTGATATACTACACTTTATGCCTTAGTCGCCATGACGTGTTTTTCGTCTTCTATCCCACTCCCACTCTCCTGCTGGTGTGAATATCATGATTACCGTCGGCACTCTCTTGGGTTGAATGTCTTTCAACACCCTCTCGTATTGTGGTCTTCTTTCTAGCACCGTTTCTCGTTCCTTGGCTTACGAATTTATATGAACTATACCATCGGCCACACCTGAACCGTCTCAAGAGCATCTACCATACCAGTCAGATACCAGCATATTCAGCAGCCTTACGCCCACGAGGACTCGGGATTGGACACAATCATGCAACATACGATGATTGCTATGATTGGCGGGCGTTCCCTTTGCACCGCCACTCACCAGCCATGTTTCGGACTTCCGTTTCGTAAGGCTGCTACATTTGCCATGTCGAGGGCTACAATGCAATAACGCGTTGAGGGTACTCGTATAATATATTTGAGTCCGGACTCGCACTGATCTGATCTGAAGAAACGATGTCTATCATTGTCGCTACAGCGACGTCAAATACACAACCCTGCAGAATACACCTAAGCGCCAGCCTCGCTAATGTTAAGAAAATCAGCAAATGGCCTCATGAAATAATGGCGATATCTGGAACATCTTTGTCATGTGCACCAAGTCTCAAGTCCTTCACAAACTCTTTCCAGCTCTCTCCACCTCGCTTCGCCAATTCCTCTGGCGCCTCCGTGTCGGCATCACTCATTCTTCTGTTGAAGAGTTCTGCGCTGACCCAACCGTCGTATCCCAAGCCATGAATTATGGCATCCGATATCTCCTTGACAGGTAGATATGCACCTCGATCTTGTTCGCCATAGAAGAGGCGACAGTTTCTCGACCAGCTCATACGTGCTGGCTGTTCCGGATTGTAAAATTGGTGGCCCTCAATCAGGGGTTCGGGCAGCCTTTCGGCGTTGGCGACCTGCACCAGGAATACCTTCTCTGTTGTCACAGTCGCGATAAGTTCTGAGATGGTCTTTTTAATGGCCTCTTCCGCATCAGTCGTGCAGCCTGTCACCGCCGCGGGATCAGCAAAGACACGTCCAGCAATGTTGAATGTGTCCAAGCAGATACCAAAGTTGGCTCTGTCGACCCTTTTGACAATGTCCCAGCATTTGTCCCACGTGTCAATATACGTTCCCCAGGCCAAGCTTTCATATGAAAACCGGATCGGTGGTGATACGTCTGCGCCCAAGTCTGCGACTTCAACCAGGTCTGCAACAATTACATCTAGATCAGATGTGATCTCTTCTGTAGGCAAGAAATTCGAAGGTATGAGAATCTGATCTGTCCCCAGGGTTTTCGCAAGCTTTAACCACAGCTTCATCTCCTCGATCCTCTCCTTGTGCTTTTCTCGGTCCTTCAACCCCTCGTAATGCATGAACGGTTGCAGGCATATCACCTTCAGATCTCTTTCATCGCATAGTTTCCGTATCTCGCGCGCCGCTACGAGTCTGTTCTCCGGCACGTTGCCTCCTGGCAAGGACTTCGCGCAGAACTCCAAGTCCTCGTAGAAGATTTCGATACCCTTGAAGCCGTATTTGGCAGCCATGTCTAGCTTGTGAGGCAGTTCGTGCACCCATGCCCGGCCAAGGGACATGGAGGAAATTGCTGGCCCGAAACACATGGTTGCTGGAAATCTGGATGAGAATCGGATGTCCACCACGAATAGTCGTGATTTATGCTCTGGAGGGTCTGTGCGATGTGATCAGCCCGCAGCTCAACAATCAGCCAGCCACAAGGCTCAACACATCAAAAAAATCGAGATCATGATCCAATTGCGGATCACCGCATCTCTGAGCCAACGTGCAAAAAGCGCACAATAACAACCTGATGCACACGTACCTGTTGTTCCTGCGTAACTGTCTGTCCTGGGCCCTATTCTATGACCACTCGAAACGTTTTGATCAAACGTTATGACCCGAAACTCAGATCTTTCTTCACAATGACCAGTATATCGTCCAGCAGCACTAACAAATCCCCCGTGCCTCTTGTATCTGTCGTCGAACCCTATCCCTCTAAAGTGCTATCACCAGTTGCCTCTTTTGATAGGCTAGAAGCCCAGAGCTCTGTTATGTGCACAGCACAAAACGTTCGGAAAAATAAATCGCGCGCAATTAAGTCGTCGTCCGCTGATCCTGTCATAAAATCACGCAACACCTTTCGACTTCAGAAATATATATGAATATATCTCCCCTGAAGAAAAAGAGATCTGCAAAATGTATAGTCCCATCGCCTGCCAGCAAGCACCCACACCAATATATATTAAGCCACCTCTCCATCATAGCATATCCCAAATGCCGGCATACAAGCCACGCTAAAGCCCAATTGAGCCTAGTCCCGCTGGTAAACTACCGCTTTGGATCTGAGAGGATGCCCGCCGATTGGTGCGTTGGGCGCGGGCAGAAGACCGCGTTCTAGTCGAGACCCTTGGGGGGGAACTCGTAGGCATCGCGGATACGTCAGGAAAGCCGCGGTCTGTGTTGTAGATTCTACATTGCTGTTGTGTATTATCGCGTGGTTTGGAGTGTCGGGTTAACGGTTCGGCAGTTGGGAGTTTGGGGCACCGAGGGAGGGTTTATTGTGATAAGTGGTGGTGGAGAACGTCATGGAGAATTTGATTTTGTTTTGATTTGTTATATATATAGCTTTGGTACTTTAGTACTGTAAGCTGCGTCACGATAGCGCTTGATGTTCTGTGAAGCGTCGTATTACTGCGTTGTAAAGACTGTGAGGCGTACTTATTGCTCGTATCGTCGCCTGGTTACGACTATGACAGACTAGTATCATAATTCATGAATGCCACCATTCCCCCCGGATGTGGTCTTATACTCTCTCCGCCGCCTGGACAAGGCTGTCCTCGGGACTTGGTCTCCGATCCACTCTCCCAATCTGTCCGGCATGCCTGCACGACTCTCCCCATTCTCCGCTTGACGGCTCAAGCCCTGGCCTCGCTAATCGTATTCCCGGATCCCGCATTATCACCTGCCCTCTCCCGGCGTCCTCTGGGCTGCGTATCCGTGCTGCTATCCCTCCTTCCCCTCAGCGTCCTCTCCAAATCCCTGATCTTCCTCCTCAGCAGATCATTCTCCCTCTTCGCCTCCTCCAGCTCCATCCTGTAATGTGCAACCTCCTCGTACCTCGGTGTGCTCAGGCCTATACTTGCCGATCGTGGTGGCGCTACATCGTTCGCGCTGCCGGGCTGTGACGACATCGAGTATCGGTGCGGGCCGGCGGCGGAGCTGGATGCTGAGTGCGGCACGTAGCCCGTGCTTTGGCTTGTTCGCGATATGCTAGAAGAGCTGCGGTGGCGGCGGGATGCAGTCGGGTGCGTTGGACCAGTCAAGGCGCCGGTATGTTGAGCCGAAGGGTCGGTTGCGTCGAAGAGGAGGGCACCACCCGAGGCTGTTGACGATGCGGTGGATGCAACGGAAGCGGAATGTGCCCGGAGAGCAGAGAGTTCACGGGTTAGACGATTGACCTGTCATTCGTATGGGTGTTAGTGGATTGTAGGAACTATGACGTACACGCGACAAGAGGTATCTCTTGATGCTCGAGGCGACACATGTGTGCTGGGACTTGGGAGTACTCACCACGGCCTCTTGTTCTTTTTCGAGCTCTAGATGAAGCTCAGCGGCCGTCAAAGGGCGTGGGTGCCGCATGGGCACGCCTGCAATGTCTCTATCTGAAGGTGGGTGTACTGAAGCCATGCCAGGACTCAGCGGTGGGAACGGCTGGGCCGTAGTATTTGAAGCGGTAGGAAGGGCTCCGCTTGGCGAAGCCAGAGGTAAAGGAGGTGGGCTCATCGGGAAAATTTGCGATGCGCGTCGTGAAGTCGGAGTTGAGGAGTGATGGGATGTTGATGCAGCTGCAGCACCACTGGCCACAGCGCGGGGCGTCTGCGGAATTGTGTTGAGATCAGGCGACATCTTGACTGGCTGCTGTTATCTGTAAAGTCCTTTGAAGTGATACACTCCGGTTGCACGAGCGGAGACTGCGATTGCTTGCGAGAGTTTTGACAGTAATAAATGTTACGGCACGGTGTGACGCGTAGTTCTTAGGGTAGTGTCTGTGCCGGTGTCGTCATCGTCAGACTCTGTGCGAGCCTCCTGGAAGAAGCAGATCACATCAAGAAGCGTGTCGAGGGGCGTCGGAACAAAATAGAGTGCAGTGTGATGTTGCAAGTGAGGGAATGAAGGTGTGGCAAGGAAGTCGTAGTCCGCTCAAGCTTGTCGGCTATTTCACAACATCAAATTAAAGTACTCAATTTCCGCGACTGCGTTGACCGTCATTGCGCAGTATGCCTGCGTTGGAGGGTATTATTTTGTTTAGATATATACCTTTCTAGTACATCTAGCCATTCTAGCTTCACTAGACACTCTGACGGATTCTTTCTACCGCGCCTTGGAAGTGGCAATGTGCGCATTGATTCGTCAAAGATGCTAACTCCATGCTCCGATGTTCCATGCTACGGGACGATAGGAAATGATATGGGTCTTCCAGATCGAATCCTCATATTCAGTATGTCCTTGACAAGTTCCTCAGGTACCAATCTACCAGTCTACGACCAACCTTTGCTTCGGAGACATGAATTAAATCCTAGACCGTCGGTTAGCTTTGCTCATACTCAGAATTTTGCCCAACTTACTCCTTCCATGGCATAGTCCAAATCACTGCTATTGATAATATCGCCATCCAAAAGTCCACCTTCGCTCCACCTGACCTGCCGGCTTCTTTGTTTGTTTACGAGTAGCCAATGTCTCAGCTTCTCTGGTTCTACGTCGAGGAAGCCAGCAAGCTTCTTGAGGTCCATAGTTGTGTAAAGCTTAAGGTAGCTCTTCACAGTTGGTGACCACATGTTAACCTTGACCTCCTCCATGAAGATAGCAAGGTGGTGCTCCACAGGGTCAATGTTGATCTCAGCGTTATCGAAGTCAGGAGGTGTTGGCGAGATGAATCTAGGACACGCAGTCCTGAAGTATTCCTCGAATATAGGCAATGCCTCTGGTCCTCCGCGTTGAAGGCGGGTAAACTGCTCGCCGAACTTTTCTCTCAGTGCAGTATGAATAGTGTCATCTAATCTTGTGGGTTGGAAAGCTACACAGATCGCGATGAGGGCGTACATCTGATCATTCTTCTTGGAGATTGAGTCGTATTGGGCGTTCTTCTGGAAATTCTTCGTCCGCGAAACGTACACCAGGATGTGGCTGAACATGCGGATAGCATCCGAATACCTGCGCATCATCATGTACGAGAATCCAACATAGTAGTATGTGGTAAAGTGCGCAGCCATAACGCGGGCAAACATGGCCTTCTTGTTCAGCTCGATGTTGTCGAGGGTCTTGATGGCCAGACTGAAATCTCCAAGCAGACAGTGTACCCGCAAAAGTCCAATGATAGAGAAGTATCCCAGCATCTTGTAAAGCGGCCTGTTACCGTACTCTCCAGCGTAATTTGACGCCTCTTCTCCCCTCTTCATAGCGTCTAGTTGCTCTGTAATTTGTGACTTTTGGATAAGGGAATAAAGGACGTTGAGGACACTGTAGCATCCCCAGGTGTTCGGGTTCTCGCGGAGTATGGCAATTTCATCCTCATTGTCGGCCTTCAGAGCGACTTTCTGTCGATATGCGCAGAAGCTATTGAATTGGTAGATGAATTCGTCGATCACGTCCCATGCCCAGTAGTACTAATTCCAGTAAGTAATGAACCTTTAGGTACCATCACACACTCACAGATGGGACCTCAATGTCCACAGGCCCTTCCGAGTTTAGTATGTAGTGGAAGAGACTGCAGTAGTTGTCGTAGCTCAAAATCTTTGTTTCGAGGGTTGCTTGGAATTCAAGAGGCGTAGCAGCTGCCGCTAATTGTGCCTGGAGATCTGCTCCACCTGACTGACCAAAAGAACTGGAGTGGTCGATGTCGTCCATACCATCTTCATATTGCACTTGCTCACGGTAGTCGTTAGCGAGCGCCTCTTCTTCGACGTCTGAGTCGTCAGCCGGCGCGCGCAATGGCGCCTCTTGTTGTCTTAAAGACATGATGACGCCGTGACAATATACAGCGCGATCGAGGTAAAGTAGGGTGATGCGAGAGCGTTGGCGTGGTCGTTGGCTGTTCTCTTTGTCGAGCGGGACGAATTTCGTGTAGTTTTCGCTTGCGAAAGTGGGATGTCGACGCCTTGTTGCCTTATTTTCAATCGATAAATGCTACCACCTTCAGGGCATCTCCTCCAAACGGATTACCAATAATTCGGAGTTGATAGTTCACATTGCACTCAGTAGGAGGGAAAATTTTTAGATGCCATTAGTTATGTCTCGATATTGGCATGATTGTGATCCCTATCCTCCAAGTTATCCATACTCGCTCACAAATCGTGAAGGACCACAGGGGATCAACTCGATTGCAAGTATCATCGCATTTTGATTCGATGTCCATAAGTAAGCTATTGCGGTACTGCTAAGCACAGGACTATCATATGCGTATGTCAGAGACATACCGCCTCAAACCACCACCCTGTTTGAATCTCCACCCAAAAGCAGTAAAACGTCACCCGCTTTCTAAGCACCCCGCAATCCATAAACCCATTCATTACAACTCCAACATCCATCTGATCCGTCCCCAGAAACACCGCCGAAAACACTTATATCCACAAATTTCTGGGCCCACCACCTCATCCAGTGCCCCATCCACATCATTCTTTCTCGTCCCCCTTCAACCGGAGAATGTCTCCAACCCACAGAGTTGCCACTATCCAACTCCACCCAATCCCCCTCTCGCCAGCCAAAAACTTCGCTAAAGCAAGCGCTTTTATTCGCAGCGCCGTCGCCCAAGGCGCCGAGCTCTGCGTGCTACCCGAGTACCACCTCACCAACTGGCTGCCTGCAGACCCGGCATTCAGAGACGCATGCAGCGACTGGGCCGTCTGGCTGGCAAAGTATCAGGCGCTGGCCAAGGAGTTGGCCGTGTGCATTGTGCCAGGGACGATTGTGGAGCGGCATGTAAGTGGGGAAGGCACAGGCGAGGGTATGGGGGCAGATGTCATGTATAATGTTTGCTATTTCATCGGTAGGCAGGGCGAGATAGTGGGTAAGTATGTGAAGAAGAATCTGTGGTGAGTTCTACTCGTGCACGGGACATACAATATTGGGCGTTGCTGGTTTTCTTCATTTAGAACTAATGGATGACTTTCAGGGGCGCGATTGAGCGCGACCATCTCGAATCTTCGACACATGCCCCGCACGAAGTGTTTGATACGCCGATTGGTAAGGTCGGTCTGTTGATATGTTGGGATCTTGCGTTTCCTGAAGCATTCCGCGAGCTCATTGCTGCGGGCGCGAAGACGATCATCATCCCGACGTTTTGGACGCTGTTCGACTGCTCGCTGGAAGGCTTGAAGCTGAACCCGAAGGCTGAGGCGCTGTTCTTGGACAGCATGCTAACAGCGAGGACTTTTGAGAATACTTGTGGTGAGTTGCCTTAAGTTTGGATAGTGATGCGAAAGGCTTACCGTCGTCGGTGGCAGCAATCATCTTTGCAAACGCGGGTGGGCCTCCTCAAAAGGGCTACGCTGGTCTGTCTCAAGTTGTTATACCCTATGTTGGACCTATTGCGCGCCTTGGTAGCAGCGCTGAAGGCATGGCTGTCATTGATCTTGATCTCGGAATCCTGGAGGATGCTGAGGAGAATTACAAAGTCCGTGCTGATCTTGCTAGACAGGATTGGCATTACGACTACAGACATACCAAGCGGGAGAAGGGTAGACTATGATGTACCAAATCTCTGGTGTGGCTTGTTACCATGACTGTTTGGCATTGTGACAACATGACATACTCTCGGCCCCTATTTGAATGATACACCAAAAGCCATATTTCGGGCAGGGTATCGATGAAGAGAAGAAAAATCAAACAACCTCCGACTCAGACAAGCTCTGCACTAATACCAATTATTATTGGGGGCACACGCGTGTGGGGGCCTGTGGTCCCGACTATGGTCTCGCGATCTGTGAAGGAAAATCAGAACAGGAAACAAAGGGAGATTCGACAGATTGTGGTATCGACCCGTAGGACTCGAAGATCAACTCTGATCTTTTAGGAAAGGAAGGCTTTAATTCACGCCGTTACGCTTTCCGCCCAATTGCTGGACAGGCCAACTCCATACGCCGGGAAGTTTTGATCCGCCTGCTTCTCTTTTCCAGAGTCGCTGCTGCTAGCATCGAGACTAAGCAAGGTATATCGGTTGACCACTGACGATACCGGGTCCACAACAGCAGTCTGAAATCTGTGGTTACGATGGCGGGGCACTTTTGACTTGGGAAGCGTCGCACCACATGGATCAGGACACCACTCGATACGTAGACCTTTATACGCAGCCCTGGACATCATACATGTGCGAGCGTACATGGCTTGATGTACGGAATTGGTTGACAAGAAGATGTCCTCGCCTCTGACGTCGATGTCGAGGATAATAAGATTTTCGATATGCTCCATGTCCTCACGGATTCCTTCTTCTGTGTGCTTTTTCGTGCCACGACGAATGACGAGATTGCGGGTAGCACCATTGGCGAGCTTGTTGGCGACATGCGGTGCGAGTCGGAACTGGCGTTCAGCCCACTTAACGTGAATCTATGCATTGTCAGTACGTCAAACTGAAGTCGCACATCATGCAAATAACATGGCAATAGTACCGGTCGACCATTCACGCAGATATTCTCCTTCCGAGCATAGCGGACGAACTCCTCGGCGCCCTCAACAAAAGATACAATGACCGAATGGTCTTTCCGGAAATAGGCTTCCAGGATTCGACCGCCACGAATAACGTTGATGAGGTCTCTCATTGGCATCTGGCTCGCAAGGTTTGTGATATGGATGGTACGTTTAGTATCTCGAGGAAGAGATCGATCGGTACGAGTCTCTTCTCGATCAGTCTTGACCCTCGGATACTGGTCTTCGTCGTGATCTTCTTCAGGAGAATAGCTGTCGCGGGTCTGCGAAACTTCCTGTCCCCTTAACGGATGACTATCAAAACATGATGGCACGGGCGAATGGTCGAACCCTGGTGTATTGTCGGGAGCAGACAATTGCACCGGTATATGCTGCGGTTTGTCGAAAGTGCAGTCCCTTCCAGACTCCTCTTCTGTCTGTTGATCATCATTATCGCCACCCTTGGTGAGTATCTGCAGCACCTCTTGTGTGACGCCACCTCGAATCAGGGCGTTACAAAGCGAGCCTACAACATGTCGCGTTAGTTGAACGTACAGGATAAGAAGCTCAGTAATGTACGCTGGGTCAACATCAGGAGTCAAGATTCACACGTACGGTACTCAGAGATAGATCGGACCTGTTCAAGTGAGCACAATGTGATTGACTCGGGGCGCTCCGCATACATACCAAGAATTCATATTCAGCTCGCGATATAGTGACGGTATCGTGGTCACCAGCTGTATACTGTTGGCGTGTGAGTCTGACTATCGTATAGTAAAAATCGCACAGGCTTTAATAGGATAAATACTCACAAATTCTGCTCTATGAGAACTGTCAGCAACGGATTGGATTGGGAATTATCACAACTGTTAACTCACCGCCGCAACAGAGCTTCGAAATATGCTTTATCGATAGTCACACTATTACCCGCTGGTGACGCCATCGTAGGAGAACGCGATCTCTGGATTACAACGAAAGACACCAATAGTGAGACTCACTGAAAAAACATGTATCGAAGAGAAAATTCGACACTGTGCGCGTAAAGAATCTGCAAAAACATTGGGTTGGACTGTCAAATTGGGAAATCACAACGCCTGGTCTTGGCATTGCGGCCATAGCTCCCAGCCCTATGAGATCTGCACTAGTAATTAGTGCAGACACTCCATCTGGAGGAAAAATTCCACCGTCTCATTATAATCAACTACGATATCATGCCATGACGTGAGTGTAAACACTTCCGTGTGGTCTTTCAATCATCAAACATCTCCCACGTAGATGGACAAGAATGCGCCCGTACTGTCGCAGAATGCTCAGCAGCAGCATAATGCGCTGACCTCGCATCTTCTTCCCGCTGGGAATGATGGCGGTGGCTCAATCTTCGCCCAACTGACGGGGAATCCGTTCTTCACCGCAGTAAGCGTGGCAAGCATGTCAGGCATGTTGCGACACTAATGTGTATTTCGAAGGGTTTCGGCTTAGCTGCCCTTGCCGCTGCCGCTCGATTCGGACAAAAAGGCATCCGACAGAGTGCAGAGCTTTTGAGACGTCGCATGCTTGTCGATATAGAGATTACCCGTCACGACGCTTCATACGATTGGCTCTTGCAATGGATGACCGCATACCAAAGATCACAACTCGCCGGCAAGTCTGTTACAGACACAACGAAATCTCCTCCCCGAATTGGTATCTTCTCCTCGATCCTTGAACGGATAAATCCTCGATTGCACCATTTGCAAGTGAAGACAGCGAAAGTCAGCAGGTCGGATGGTTCGCAAAGTACACACTTCAGTCTTGTACCTGGGCATGGCCGGCATCTGCTGAGGTACAAGAATGCATTCATACTCGTGAACAGACAAAGAGAGAAGTCATTTGATCTAAACAGCGGCACGCCGTTCGAGACGATAACAATGACGACACTATATACTCACAGACACATCTTCGAGAAGCTGTTCACAGAGGCACATGAGTTGGCACAACACAGACAAGAGGGCAAGACAAGCATCTATACCTGTATGGGCTTCGAGTGGAAACAGTTCGGAGAACCGAAACGAAAGAGACCGCTCGACTCAGTCGTACTCGAGGCAGGCGTAAAGGAGAGGATTGTGGAGGATCTTGAATCATTCATACAGGCAAGGACGTGGTACCTCGATCGTGGAATCCCATACCGTCGTGGCTACCTGCTATATGGCCCTCCTGGGACGGGGAAGAGCTCTTTCATCCAAGCCCTCGCAGGACACTTTGACTTCAATATTGCCATGTTGAACGTCAGTCAGCGCGGGCTCACAGACGACAAGCTAAACCATCTATTAACAAAGGTGCCTTCCAGGACGATTGTCCTACTGGAAGATGCCGATGCCGCCTTCATCAACCGAAAGGTTGCAGGGGAAGACGGCTACTCGGGGGCAACAGTCACCTTCTCCGGACTACTGAATGCACTGGACGGGGTAGCCAGTGCCGAGGAACGGATCATATTCTTGACGACGAACCACATTGAGCGACTTGATGAGGCCTTGGTACGCCCCGGGCGGGTCGACATGACGGTACGGCTAGGTGAAGCCACGGAAGGACAGATAGAGCAGCTCTGGGATAGATTCTATGCTGATTTTGATGGAGAGGGGCATGGAAAGCGACGGTTCATGCAGCGAGTTAAAGAGCTCCAACTTGCAAACGTTGTTAGCACGGCTGCTTTGCAGGGACTGTTCCTGTATAACAAAGAGGATATGGACGGCGCCATTACGATGCTGGCCGACCTGGGGCCGCGATCAGGCCACGCGCAGGGCTGAGAAATGACTCCGTCCCCACTATATGTGTACATATGATATACTGTGTAAATATACAACCGAGACTGGCAATTGTATCGTGGTAAGGCCATCAGGCATCAATGTAGGCCGGGGGTTAGATTGACAGTCACTGACAACCGTGATGGCCTTGGAACGACTTAGCGTGACTCAGGTGACCGCGGGACCTTGATCGGATCGCACGTACGCCACGAGTCATGAGTCGCCAGTCACGAGTCACGAGCCACGAGCCACGCAGCCGTCGCATCATCGTCGTCATTCCCTTGTTCCTTCCCTGAAACTTTGGGACCTTTCGACCTTGGAAATAAGCTTGGAAGGTGATCCCTCCTTCCCTCCCCATCTAATCTCTAATCAGATCAGATTGATAAGCTTACCGTTGTTACTATCAAACATCGCGAGTACTTCTGCATTGCTTCAGGGATATCGCACGTTTGGCGTCCACCGATCTGCATTATAAGGCCGCGCCCGCTCTTGGGTTCTGCAATCCTACGGGCGCCAGCTGATGCGTGCAGGGCCGTCCGCGTCGCCCTCTTCCACGTCACGCTCATCCTCTTGCTTGGCCTGTGCCTGACTTTCTTCTCTCTCCTCAAGTCAGAGAAAGCTTCACCTAGTAACACGCCGATGACATCCTCATGAGACACAGGACCACTGAGATCAACTATAGGGGAGTAGACTGGTCATTGCTAATGTCGACGGCCCTGGAAGGACACTCTTTGTTCTTTGTTGCTGCAGCCGTTCGAAGGCTGTCGTGACGCCTTCTAGTATGTCACGCATACCTATCCTCTTGCGCTCATCACCAGCACAAGGAACGGGTTCGTATGGTGCACTTGCCATCTCTTCGTTAGGCTCGAGTACCGAGGACAGCGAGGAAGACGTGACCGCCCGCCAAATTGCACATCGATCCCGAAGAGCTAAAAGCGCGCTCCAGTATAGCATCTCGGCCAGCAAGGACTCATTCTCTGATCCTCACCCAGCTGACGACGAGGACGACTCCATCGCCAGTGGCAGTGCCCACAGAGGCTCTCGGCGAAGCAGACGCACAGGCCCGAAAAGCAATGGAAGCGAGACCGAGAGACACGACCTCGACCTGGAGACTACCCCAGCAGACCCTGGAGTGGAGTCGAGATTCAATGCTGGGAGCACTGTGCCCAATATCGAGGCCGTTCCAGATACTAGGAGTAAGCATGCAGTTGTCTCTGAAGACGATGAAGTTTCCAGCCAGAGTGGACACTCTGCATCAGGGTCGGACTCTGGCAGCGACACCGACGAAGCCGATCCTCCTGACAACTCTCCCTACCACCAAGTTCGAGCCTCAGTAAAGCCTACAGATGACACTACACTATCCATCAATACTCCGCGCATGTGGTTTCTCTCCATTCTTTTCGCTATTCTTGGTTCCTCCACCAATCTGTTCTTCTCCCTAAGATACCCTAGCGTTAGCATTACTCCTGTCATTGCACTCTTACTCGTCCATCCTTTAGGTCTGCTTTGGGATCAGTTCTTCAAGCGGGTAGGCGATCCTGATGAGCGTTTTAGCGACGGCACTCTGACTGGACGCCTGGATCCGGCATCTCGACAAGTGCACCTCAATGGCCATATTCAACCGTCACTGGCGGATCAAGATTCGACATGGCGAAGGAGTTTAAGACTTTGGCTTGGTCAGGGGCGGTGGAACGAAAAGGAGCACGCATGTGTGTATATCAGCAGCAATGTCTCCTTTGGTTTCGCTTTCGCCACCGATGTCATTGTGGAACAGACCATGTTCTACGGTCAGAAGCTTGGTATCACCTATCAAATTCTTCTAACAATTTCGACACAAGTGCTTGGGTACGCGATGGCTGGGCTAACTAGAAACTACCTTGTTCGACCGAGCGGCATGATCTGGCCTGGAACCCTCATATCTGCTTCGTTATTCTCTACCCTGCATAAAGAAGAGAATAAGCCTGCCAACGGGTGGACAGTATCTAGATCAAAATTCTTTCTCTATGTCTTTATTGGATCGGTGCTATTCTACTTCCTCCCTGGACTTCTCTTTCCGGCACTGAGCTATTTCAGCGTCGTCACATGGTTTGCCCCGAAGAACGTTGTCGTCGCCAACTTTTTTGGCATTGCATCTGGCCTTGGTATTTTCCCTCTAACATTCGACTGGTCACAAATCGCATACATTGGATCTCCTCTGGCTGTTCCATTCTGGGCGGCACTAAACATTGTTGCTGGACTCATCGTTGTCATGTGGATAGTCGCCCCTATTCTCTACTACTCCAATGTCATGTACTCCTCGTACATGCCAATTTTATCGACTGCGGTCTTTGACAACACCGGAAAGCCGTATGATGTCAGCAGGATTTTAACTCCTGACTACCTGTTCGATCATGAGGGATATAACAACTACAGCCGTGTGTTTCTACCGATAACATATGTGCTCAGCTATGCTCTGCAATTTGCTGCCCTCTCAGCCCTGGTCACTCACACAGGCCTCTGGCACGGTAAAGACATTATCCGCCAATGGCGACGATCCATGAGGGAGATCCGCAGTCAGGGCAAAAGTGGCTACGATCCACTTCCGACCACTACGAACGATTCAACCTCTACACTTCGCAAGCCAACCAGCAGACGTAGCATGAACGCTTCTGAGCCAGGTCTTGATAATCTCTTGGGTGCGGAAGATGTCCATAACCGTCTTATGAGAAGATACCGCGATGTTCCGCTTAGGTGGTATGTGCTGACTGGACTGAGCATGACAGCCATTGGAATGTTTGTTGTCGAGTACTTTCCCATCCACCTACCCTGGTATGGCCTCCTTCTCGCCCTCGGCATATGCTCCGTTCTTTTCATCCCTATCGGCATTGTCATGGCAATCACGAATCAGCAAAGTAGTCTCTACCTAATCTGCCAGCTCATCTGTGGTGTCGTTTTCCCCGGTCGTCCGGTCGCAAACATGGTCTTCGTAACCTACGGCTACATCACCTCGACGCAAGGTCTAAAATTTTCCGCTGACCTGAAACTTGGTCATTACATGAAGATCCCCCCGCGAATCCTTTTCTCGCTGCAACTAACCGCTACCGTCATATCATCACTTACCCAGATTGGCGTTCTCAATTGGATGCTTGCAAACATCCCTGGCATATGCACTGCCTTTGCTATCAATGGCTTTACGTGCCCTCTTGCACGGGTTCATTTCAACGGTAGTATACTATGGGGTGTTGTTGGTCCGCAACGTTTCTTCGGCCCTGGGGCTCTCTACCGTCCACTGGTATGGGCATTCCTCTTTGGCTTCCTCTCGTCGATTCTCGTCTGGTACCTTGGTACTCGCAGTAAGAAGAACATCTGGCGCAAGATCAACCTGCCTGTGCTGTTCGGTAGTCTCAGTTGGATACCCCCTGCTACAGGACTGAACTTCAGTGTCTGGGCAGTGGTGTGCTGGATCTTCAATGATCGACTAATGAAGAAGAAGAACGAATGGTGGCGGAAGTACAACATGACACTCAGCGCTGCGCTTGACTCCGGGCTCGCGGTCGGCGTCGTGGTCGTGTTCTTCGGGTTCCTGTATCCAGGGTGGATGGATGGCTTCAAGTGGTGGGGCACGGAAGTTTATAAGCAGGCAAGTGCCATCATGCTCTTTTCATATCCCACGACTAACACCCACACAGGGCTGCGATTGGCAGGCTTGCGCATACAAGAAAGTTCCCGACGGCGGCACCTTCGGCCCGGGCCTATGGTAGAACATTCAACCTTTCTGCCGCACTCTACAGAAAGATCTCAGCATACAATCCTAGCATATAAACATCGCATGTCGCACTCAAGCATTGTTGTCTAGCGCTTTTCGCCATCAACATCAGTATTCGGCGTTCTCACAGGGTTCAGCATCGCACTTTGCATCACGGTAGATATACACGCACATAGAAGCATCGCATATCTTGAAAAGCAGATCCTAGCAAATGATATCAAGGAATCTCATTAAATCTCTCGCGTATACAGAGGTTTCAGATCATCTGTATTTGTCTCACAACTAACATCTCCGCATTGCATATGTGTATTCTGGCCACGTCCACAAGATCTGTCAGCTGATACTAAGTTACAAACCTCCTATGTCTACGAACCTCCCAACTCCAATCAAGGGGCTTCTGACATCACAATATATCACCATTGAGCTAAACAGACACTCGTTGAACTCCCCGCATGCACACCCGACCCATCACAAGCACACGCGGTCTTTACCAGATCTCTCGTCTCCATCAAAGAGTCCTCGATAATTGACATCAATCCAGACCCCCAAGAAAACACAGATACTTGCTGTTTTGTCGTTATAGTGACGGGAAGAATACACATGTATATGTTGTCGTCATAATACACTTGACCTCTGCAATAGATCTATGTTTTCTCTCCTTCTTATTCCTGTTCTGACCCTTTGGTAATAGACACAGTCGTTCCGGTATTGCTTGGGTCTGTATACCTGCTCTTGACAGCGGCTGTGTTGTTAAGGAGGAGTGTGATTGATGGGATCAAACTCTGGTATTTCGGTACAATATGATACAAGCCATTTCTGAACCCCAACACTCCTCTCCCGGTCCCCCATCGCCTGATTTTCCCCAACGCTGACACTGACACCAAAGCTCATACTCATGCAACCCCCAAGACCCCGACCACCAGCATCACACCCAACAGCAGCAGCAATCTCCCCACCTCCAACACCGACGACGCAGCACTCTCGGGGGAAGGCATAGCAGACGGCGACGGTACGGCTACACTGTCCATCGGCGTCCCGCTGCCATTAACAACACGGATACGGCCCTCAATCTCGATGTTGATGGGCGAGTGAGCTTGGACGTAGTTCGTGAGGACGACGTCTTGCGTGTCGAGCACGACGAGGTTGGTAGTAGGTGTGAAGATGTTATCGCCGCCTGGGAAATAAAGACGTATGGTTAGTATATTAAGGGGTGCGATGATTTGTACGCTTCGAAGAGGAGAAGAAAGGGAGAAAGAAAGAACGACTCACCACCAGCCAAGAAATCCAGCGTGACAAGCGTATACTCAGCGCTCTTATCCAACGGCTTCCCACCAATCGTAACACGCACCAGTCGCTTCCCAGGCTCGTTGCCCGGGTTATACTCAACCACGATCCCGGCGCTGACCTGGAAGAAGCTTGTCACAGGCGCGCCATTGGCGGTGTTTGTGCCGGACACGATGCCCTCAAGGGTATCCCAGAGGGCGTTGCCGCGCAGCTTCAGGTCGACGATGGCGTTGCCAAAGGGAAACGCAGTGAGGATTTCGCCGCGCGTGATGGGCCCCTGGTCGATGGGCGCGCGGACACCGCCGGCGTTGATGAGTGCGAAATTCACGCTGGAATCGGACGATTCGTTGCGGCGGTATGCGAGCATGGCGTCGCACATGACATCGCCGAGGGTGCATTCTGCGGTCTTGCAGTTTGCCTGCTCGAGCGTGACGGAGGACTGGCCGACGACCTCGGCGGCGAACTTCTCGAAGGGGCCGCGCCATTGCTTGACTTGTGCCTTGAGGGAGTCGTCTTGCTGGGTTTGGTTGGTGAGGTGGATGGGCGCGCCGTGGTAGGCGAGGATCTTGCCGTCTGGGGCGTATGTCACGTCGATGTAGCCCAGATACTCGCCCCAGCGGTACGCCGTGACGATAAAGACCTCGTCGCCGTCTTTGTTGTGCGCGATGGTCGGGTACGGGCCCTTTGCGCCTTCGAAGTCGCCCAGGGGTGTATGGCTGTGGCCGCCCATGATCAGGAATAGCCCTGTCGTCGCCTCGGCCAGCCGCTTGTCCTCTTCATATCCAATATGCGTCAGGGCCGCGATGCGCACCACACCCGTCGTGGCACGGATATGATCGACCGTATCCTGCACCGTCTTCACGACGTCCAGAAACACAGTGCCATTTCCAGGCTTCGAGATGCTAGGCGTCGTCGCAGTCGTCACGCCAATCACCGCCAGCTTCTTCTCCTCAAACACCACGTACGGCCGGATCGTCGCGTTCAGCACCGGGTGCGTGGACCGCACATTCGCCGACACAATCGGGAACGTCAGATTCGCCAGAAACGCTCCCAGCGCACTGTCGCCGCCGTCAAACTCATGGTTACCCAACGTCATCGCGTCGACGCCGAGCTGGTTCAGCGTCGCCGCAATCTTCTCGCCGCCGTAGTACGTGTAGAAGAGCGTGCCCTGGAACTCGTCGCCGGCGTTGAGGAAGAGGCTGTCAGCGTGCTGCGGGCGCAACGTGTCGAGCGTGTGCTTGATGCGTGCCGCACCCCCGTAGCAGCCACGCTCTGGATGAGTGCAGTCGGTGCCCGAGGTGCTGAACTCGTCGAGATGCGCGTGTACATCGTTGATATGGAAGAATGCTGCGAGTAGGCATGTTAGCTATGCTGTGACTGCTGCGGTCATGTGGCGGGAATGACAACGTACAGATATTGTAGTTCCCATCTTGATCCAGGCCTCGTTTCCCGAGCGTTGATGCTCCGACCCGTTTGCTCAACAGCACATCCTCCGCGCCCACACCATCTCCAGCCAGAAGCGCAACGATAATAAAAGACGCAAAGAGCGCCTTGATGATGACCAAGAGGACAGGAAACACCATATTGCCTCCCTCAGACCGCATATGTCAACGATCACCTCGAGGGGGGTCAAATCTCAACATTCACGTTCCTCAAGCGGCTTTTTATATTCCATCGCCATGCTCACGCGCTTATCGCCCCCTCAACACGGCAACAGGCACAGACAGTGACAAGAACGCTGGCCCCACTGCGAGGTATTACGTACCCAATCGTCACGACCGAGAGACGAATCAAGGTGGTGCCATTGCGTCCAAGAGTCTTGTGGACGGGCCAAGATACTTGGCAGATAACCATCACGTGATGAGTGAATTGATAGGGATCATGGAACGTAGGCCATTTATAGATATTGTAGTCGATTATGTACCACCGACAAGTGTTCTGCTTCAGCTACGCAGACCCGAATTAGGGGAGAGGAAAAGCGGAGAAGTTGAAAAAAAAGTAGAACGGACTTGCACTGCTGCAATAAATCTAATCTCCTACTTTAACTACTTTCCCCCTCTATCTACCGCCCGATCCTTCGCACAGAGTTATACATCAGCGCCGGCTCCTACCCCGGCGCAGGATATCAAAAGAGTTGCTTTCGCTCACACACAACGGATAGATTACATGAAGAGTTGTAGACGGGGCTTAGAAAGACGCGACGGCAATAGCAATGGCCTGTTGGTCGCTATGGCTGATGCTGACGCTCACGCTCTTCACGCCGGCTTTCTTTGCAGCTGCGCTGGCAGCACCATGTAACTGTTTTATGCATTAGTATGTTCTAAAGTTAGGACACTGAGATAGTACTTACGGTAACAACTGGGGCGCCTTTGTCATCGTTGGTGATTTCAATCTCAGCAAGCGGTGCGCCCGCACCCTTGCCTTCAACACCAAGAGACTTGAATACAGCTTCCTTTGCACTCCACCGACCTGCGAAAGAGGCACGCGTCGATGGTGCTTTGCGGCAGTATGCCTGTTCTGATGGTGTGAAATTCCGCGTGACGAATGTCTCGTTTTCGATTGGTATGGCGTCGATACTTTCCACGTCAACGCCAATCCTGGTGTTTTCTGTTGCCGTGGCCTTGGCGAGAGACTCGACCATCTTTCGCGTTTCTTCGGTCCTCTCGTCCTTGGTTGGCTTTGGCGCCTTTGAGGGGTATAAGAAGTCGCCGGACTTCTTGTCCGTCGCGACACGTGCTGATGGGTTAAGGAATACCTCGCTTTGCTGGGCATCTTCGTAAGGCGACTTGTTCTTCGCACGGAACATTGTGTTATTAATGAGACCGTCATGATAGTAGCGATAAGCTTTCTTCTGCCTGGACTCCACCTTTTGCTTGTATGTCTGGTACTGGGTGTGATCAAGAGTAGCGAAGAGGTACTTGGGGTGAATACCAATAGCTTGGGCTCCCTTTTGACCAAAGCCGAACGAGGTAACTGAAAACGCCTTGACGCCGTCCGTTTGAATCGACCGGCTCGGATACACAATGTAATCAAATTTCTCCATGACTTTGTCGACGTTGTCGGCATTGCGGTTACCAGGAACCAGACCGCTATTGAGAACTTGTAGGCAACCGTTAAACATCCATGCACCCGCTGCACCCTTGGGGTGACCTGTGAGATATTTCTGGAAGATACCGAGCATGGCATTGCCCTTCTTGCGTCCGAGATGCTTCATCTGTTGGCACAGGACATCCGACTCATTCTTGTCATTGGCGACAGTGGATGTACCATGGAACGAAGCAACTCCGAGATCATCGATGGTCAAACCCCAAGTGGCAAGTGCGCCACGAAGAGGTGCAATGCGTTCGTCTTGTTTCCAGAAATTGTTGCCCAAGCTGTACAGCGCATCTTTCTCTTGTCGCTTGGCTTCTCGCTCGATATGGCCGGCACGTTCTTGCATATACTCCGACTCGTCAAACTTCTCGCCTTGTGTCTTCATCGCCGCAACTTCCTCTTGCAGGTACATGAATTCAGACTCCTGCCACTGTTTGATCTGCTTGCGACGGAGCTCCATCTGCCTCTTACGATATTTGATATCGAGCAGAGGTGATGGGAACTTCGACTTGACCTCCCGAGCTGTCGTGAGGACACCCTGACCTGGCGCAGGGACAGAGCGTCCAATTTTATCAGTCGCAGTCGCAGTGAAACCCAGAATACCATAGATTGGAACACCCATATCCAAGGCTAGCTGAGCATCCATTATGACTTGCATACCACAACCTTGAGATTCCATGAAGCCGTTACGAGTAGTGGTAGTAGGTCTCGACATTTCTTTGGGAGTTCTGCCGTGAGCGAATTCATCCTCGGCGTTGCTAGTAGCCTTCATGTTGGCGAATTCGTAAGAACCTTCCTCTTGGAAATCATCGAATCCGCCGACAAAGCAGATACGAGCCTTGCCTTCGACGATAGTATCATAGCCGATGTCAATAGACTCGACAGCTGTGGCACAAGCACCGACTGGCGTCTTAATGGGACCCGTCGATGAGAGGAGCAACATGTTGACCCAGGCGCTCATGGTGTTGATGAAAGACTCCTGAAGGATGTCCTTCTGCAGCGGCTTATCTAAGAAACGGTCCTTGTACATGCCACGCAGAGCAGTAGTGCCACCAATACCGGAGCCTATGCAGTTTCCAACTTGGGAGATGTGGACATATTGATAGAATTCATACGGGTCAGTAACACCAGACGATAGTAGGGCTTCCGCAGTGGATACGAGCACGAATAGTGTGACTGGATCGACCTGCGAAATGATGTCGTCTTCGATACCATATTTCTTTGCGTCCCAACCAGTCGGTATTTGCCCAGCAACAAGACGATCGAATCGTAGGGCCTTTGGAATGAGGAGCGTAGCACCCTTCTTGAGACGAACAGTGTATTCTCCTGAATCGGCGATCTCGAAGATCTCAACTTTGTCGCCGTGCTCCCGCTTGAATTCCTCGGCAGTTTCCTTTGATGATTCAAATGGGTCTAGATCTTCTTCAATTTGGATCTCTTGCATAAGCTGCTTCTTTGTGGGATCGTAGCCCCTGAAAAGCTCAGGCTCAATCAAGCGAATGCCGGAATGTTCGAGAATGTACTTCTCATACTTCTGCTTTACGTCTTTGTCGTCAACTGGTTCGCCAGTTTTGCCGTCTACCCATCCAGAATAACTCTTGCCTTTAAGCGGGCCGTTATGATTCTTGATAAGACCCATGATCCACGCCATCTCGACGCACCCTTCAAGAGAGAATTGGCCATAAGCTTCCATTTCCCAGCGAGTCCTGGAGTTACCCCAAGGCCCAACTTCAGCAAAACCTGTGACAACAACAATTTTCTCTAGATCGACCATGCCCTTCAGGTTTTCGTTCAAAGGCTTTACTTCAGTCTCCCAATCTGGGACTTGGGGAAAGTCGAACTTGAGATTGGCTCTGGGTTGGATTGTGACTTTCTTGTATAACGCCTCGCTATCCTCTCCATTAACGATCTTGTTCTCGATAGCGTTCTCCTTAGTAACGGCGTTGCGGATCTCGGCAGTTTCTGTAAAGTCCTTCCTAAGGTCGGTCATTAGGTCTTTGAGGTTGGGAATATACTGGAAACCGCCGTTAAGATCTGCCCATACTGGTTCGACTTGGCATAAGTTGACAATTGGAGGAGCCATTAGACCAAGCAAATTGAAAGCCATCTCTTGCTGCGAGAACGTCCTGACACCGTACTTCTCAATGCCTTCGGCAACGACGTTATTTCCGGCCATGAGACCAGTACCGCGAGTCCATCCAATGATGGCACCGCAAATGGTCAAATAGCTGCCCCAGCTCTCCGAATGCCACCTGCTGAATAAAGTCTCAAGCGCGATCTTAGACTCGGCATATAGACCATCATTACCGAAAGTTCCGTGGTTAGGAGACAACGGCAGAATGACCTGGGCGGGCCGAGTCTGATAGGAGTTGTCAAACTTCTTTGTCTTGACGGCACCAAGTAAGCGCAGCAGATTGGTAAGCATGATACGATGTGCAAGCTCAGACTTGGAATCGATACCATCGATCTCACGACCGTTTTCGGAGATCGCGGCGAAAGGAACAACAAAATCTAGGTCCCAACCAAGACCCTTCTTGGTGTCGTAAATGTAGTCGACCAGAGCGTCCACATCTTGCTTGCTGCCTTGGTTGAAGGGAACAACAATCAACTGCGATCCACGAGCACCATATCTGGTATACATTGATTGGTAGTACTCGTTGACTTCACGCGAGAATCGACTTGTGGTGACAACGACCTTGGCGCCACCACTGATCAGGCCCTGCAAGACCTCTGCGCCAATGGATCCAGCGCCAGCTCCAGTCATCAGGACATTTTTGCCAGCAAAGCTGACACCGTCCTTTGCTGCATGCTCAAGCGCATCGAGGTAGATGCCTGTCAGCTTCTTGCTGTATTCCCATCCGTGGTCATCTTTTCTCTTCAGATGCAAGAACGGAATCGTCTCAACCTTGCCTTGCTTAAGCTGAGGAATACGGCCATTTCGGCCTTTCTTTGCGTGACCATTCATCATCTTGCCATTGCCGTTTTCTTGGGGCATTATTTGACCCTCATTCATTGACAATGAACGGATGACATTGCTGTAGAGAGACTTGATCTGTAGTTGAGAGGACTTGGACAGCTTATGTTGCTGGCGAATGAGCTTGTATATGCGCTGGAGATCGTTTTGGACTTTAGTGCGGTTGCCGTACTCAGAAAGCTTTCCACCTTCAGCCATTTCCCTCACGTAATGCTCAAGCTTCCTGACACTAGCTCTAGGAACCTCGCTGTAATTCATATTTCCACGAGCATCAATCTCGAGATGCGGTGCTGTTGGAACTGCTACATCCTTGTAAACAGGGTTTGCGTCCAACACATCCTTGCAGTTCTCGATCAACTGCTCTCCTAGCTCTTTAGCGAGTTCATAAGTCTCGCCACGGTCAGTCGGGCAGTGATCGATGTGGTACTGCATAAATTCTAGTAGGACAGGGTTCGATCGATTCATGATCTGTATACATCGACTGACAATTTCGCGGTCAACTGCCTTCAGTCGACCGAAAATGATGTCATAGTACATGCTCAAGGCATCTTGACGTGCCCAATTCCACGAAGAATCGTATACGCGAGCTTTGAGAGGGGTGAAGGATGGCTCGATGCCACTAGCGTAGAATTCACCGTGTTCCGCATTCCAGAGATCGAGTTGTGCCTGCAATGCATTGGCAGTTTTCTGAGCACCAACGAAAGCCTTGTCACCCGCACGCAAATCCATTTTCAAGTAACGTGCCTGGAGTTCTAATTGTTGCTTTACGAATGCCTTCTGGTCTTTAGTCAGAGCATCCAGTGCAGCAGGATCCATCATCATGCCGCCGCCAGAGCCACCGGCGTCACCGCCAGCGGCCGGTGATGACAGGTTGACACCAGCATGAGCAGCGTATTTGTTGGCCATGTCGTCGAGCCACGATTTGGCATCATTTTCTGATCCTAGACGTGAAGCAGGCTCGGCTGTCAGGGCCAACAAGAGGACGCCATCCTGTCGACCCGATTGGAGTCCCCATCTTGTTTCCAAGTATTTTCGGACAGCTGTAATGTTGAAACCACCAGGCATTTTGGAAGACACCATTCTTGCAATAAGCGAAGAAGATTGTTTGCCGAGTTGGCCATTGAATGTTGCTTGCATAGATCCACCGAGTTCGTCGAGAGGGGTGTCTTCTGGCTTCTCGGGTGTTGATCCGAACTCTTTCCCCAAGTCACCTAGAATCTCGTTTTGCAAGGTGGACTTGCCTGAGCGGGGTTGTCAGTCTCACTCGATGTTTCCATACCATCAAGGATTACTCACCTCCTACCAAGTCTTTAATGGCTTTGCTCAGGGGAATATCAGTCAAGGCTTTCTTTAGCTTCTGCGCAACGAGAGATCGCAATATGTCGGTAGCAGAGACCGGAGCATCCTCCACAGATGCAGCAGGGCCAGAATTCGACGGCGGGGGAGCTGCCGCTGGCACTGCGGCCTGTGCTGGTTGTGAGGAGGATGGTGTAGATGATGTAGGTGCTGACTCGCCCGAGCTCGCTGGCTCGGGTTCCTCTGCTATTGGATCTGCTGTGTAGTATATGTCTCTGGCATCCTTGTTGTAACAGAGAATGTCTCGAGAGACAGACTTGGCCGCGTCGTGGGCTTCGTATTTGGTGGCTAAAGTCCTCTTTGCCATCACACCAAGTGTGTCTGCCGGTCCAATCTCGACAATACGCTCTGTCGTTTTTTCGCCGAGGATGACATCTTGCGTTTCAATCCACCTCACAGGCGATGCAAATTGATATGCAAGGAGCTCCACCAGGAGTGTATGGGAAAGCTCCTGCTCGACTTCGGGACGCATGGTAAGGACGGTAGGACTACTTCTTGGTGGGTTTCGTGATTGGGGAGTATATAAGGGATTGAAACTATGGCCTTGATCTCATGAGAGGGTGAGAGGGGAGAAAAGGGCGTGAGCTGAGCGGTAGGAGTCGTCCGGCTGCACGGGGGAAGAAAAGTAAGAGAATAATTGATGGGAGCAAATGATGGAGGTTGTGTATGAATCAATTACCTGATGCGCGGCAGGATGAAGGTGATACCAGGCAACAGGAATAATGACAGGCCTGTAACAGATTGTAGAGGAGGATGAGTGCTCGCTGAAATGGCGATAGTTGCGAGCGTTGAGAAGTTGTAGCCCAGCCAGGGTGTGCACTTTTTCCCACGACTCGGCCACCCAACAACCGGGCCACAACGCACTAGCCACCAGTGCAGCTAGATTCCGCCTGCCCATCCCTGCAACATGGCGTCAAGCCTACTGTGCGGAATGCGGGATGGTTTGGGCGTCTACGTAGTGCTTTCGTGTGATGAGCATTGAGAATTATTTGGTTGAGTACCTCTCGAAATCCTCCTATCTCTAAGTTGCACGCGTGTTTTGCTGCTGCTGCTGATGTAGTGAATAACAATGGGCAGAACCAAGGAGGCTAGAAAACATGCCATTGCCAGCCCTATCAGGACCACAATATTCTCGCGTAGCAATCGTTTCCACTTGTGTTAATCCCGTTTTCCCGCAGGTCCGCAGCAGGTGGCGCCACTGTAGAAATATTAAATTTCGTGTAATGAATCGATACGAACACGGTGCCCCATATTTACTCTTGGATACCAATTCTTACTAAGAGCTGCTGGGAGGTAGAAATGCATCCCTAAATGGAAGTAGTGAAGCAAAATCAACGATACAGATGTAATATTATGCAGATACTTAGACTAGTGGGCTTTGTTCTTATCTGAAGCTTGGTCTGGATACGGAAAAGAAGATGACCTGAGCATGAAATCCGAATATTACGATACGGGATATGCTAACCCCAGCTGACTGGGAAGTCCGCACTAGCGTGGAATCTACCCCAACAACACGCTCCCTGGCGCCTCAACCTGCAGCAACAATGCAGGTGAGGTTTGAGCACGGGCCCCCAAAATTTCAAGCTTCACCATCCACAACTGTGCCGACACATCGCCGCCTGTCCGCTTGCTGAGAAGATTACGCCTCCTCCAATCCTCCTCAGCAGAAACTCTCACGCTGCCATCGACTTTCTAATCTCACCTTTCCTATCGCAATTGAGAAGCTTGCCCTCCTTCTCTCCAATTCATTACCTCTTCCTGCACACCACAGCTCCTCGTCCGACCAAAAAAATAGAGAAAGCTGCGAGAGCAGTCTACACGAAATTTCTCATCACACTTCATAGACCGTACGATTGAAGGTACTTAAAATTTCGCCTTCAGTCTGACATACACGCTTACACTTACATAGATCGCATACACCTGTGTTCCAAGCCTCGCACACCATGTTCGGCTCAGGCCCTCAGACCGGCATTTCCACACCACGCTCTCAAGCGTCTCTTCGACCCCTCGTTCTATCACATGGCACCCTCGAATATACACTACTGATACCCACCGCTCTTCATTTCAATGCCTCCCAGCTGAAAGAAGGCTTCGATGCCACTCTTCCAGAACCAACCGACGAACTAGCGCAGGATGACGAGCCCTCATCCGTCACTGAGTTAGTAGCGCGATACCTGGGCCATTGTGCAAAGGAGGTGGACGAGGGTGATGATCCTGGCTCTTTCGAGGAGGTTCTCAAACTTGTCTTTAACGAGTTTGAAAGAGCTTTCCTACGTGGTAATGAAGTCCACGCGGTAGCCGCAACACTACCGGGAATTGAGCAGAAAAAGATTGTCACTGTCAAATCATACTACGCTGCACGGTCCGCTATAGACCGTCCGATAAAATTTCATGAGTCTGCGCTCTTCAGAGAAGTCTCGGATGAGAATGCCTTTGTCTACGCTGTGTTTGGCGGTCAAGGAAACATCGAGGAATACTTCGACGAACTTCGCGAAATTCATACCACCTACCCGTCATTCACTGAAGACTTCATCGAGTCCGCCGCTCGCCACCTGCAACAGCTTTCGCGCGACCCTCGAGCAGAGAAGCTGTATGCGAAAGGGCTAGATGTTATGAGATGGCTTAACAATAAGGAAGCGCAACCAGATATCGATTACCTGGTTTCTGCTCCTGTTAGTTTTCCTCTCATCGGGCTGACGCAGCTCGCGCACTACGTCGTGACGTGTAGAGTCATCGGTACTCATCCGGGCTACTTGAGAGAGCGATTGAGTGGGACTACGGGTCATTCCCAAGGTGTTGTGACTGCTGCCGCGATATCGTCTGCTAAGAACTGGGAAACATTTGATGTTGCTGCACGTACGGCGCTCACTACTTTGTTCTGGATTGGATGCCGCAGTCAGCAGGCATACCCACGCACGTCACTTGCACCATCAGTGCTGCAAGATTCGGAAGACAATGGCGAAGGAACCCCAACCCCAATGCTCTCGATTCGAGACCTCCCACGGTCAGCAGTACAGGCCCATATCGACGCGACCAACGAGCATTTACCTACAGACCGACACATCGCCATCTCTCTTGTCAACAGTGCACGCAACTTCGTTGTCACTGGGCCACCAATCTCCCTGTATGGTCTGAATCTTCGTCTCCGCAAGACAAAGGCTCCCACAGGCTTGGACCAAACGCGTATTCCTTTTACGGATCGCAAAGTCCGCTTCGTCAATCGGTTCCTTCCCATTACCGCGCCATTCCATTCTCCATACCTCTCTGGTGCATACAAGCTAATCGAGGAGGATCTCAAAGATACTCATATCAGCAGAGAAAGCTTGGGTATTCCTTTGTTCGACACGAATACTGGGGCCAACCTACAGAAGGCTAAATCATCAAACATCATTCCTGATCTTGTACGAATGATCACACAAGATCCTGTGAACTGGGAAACAGCGACAAAATTCCTGAAGGCAACACATATTCTCGATTTCGGTCCCGGTGGCATATCTGGCCTCGGAGTTCTAACAAATCGCAACAAGGATGGTACTGGAGTTCGGGTCATCTTGGCTGGTACTATCGATGGTACTAACGCCGAGGTTGGCTATAAGCCGGAGCTTTTCGACCGTGACGCTGAGCATGCCGTCAAATATGCCGTTGATTGGGTCAGAGAGCATGGGCCGAAGCTCGTTAAAACTTCTGCCGGACAGACTTTCGTAGACACCAAGATGAGCAGAATGCTTGGTCTACCGCCTATCATGGTTGCTGGTATGACTCCTACGACTGTGTGGCCAGAGTTCGTAGCTGCAACAATGAATGCAGGCTACGAGATCGAACTGGCTGGGGGTGGGTACTACAACGAAAAGAGCATGACTGAGGCGATCTCGAAGGTGGAAAAGTCCATTCCTCCAGGACGTGGTATCACTGTGAACCTTATCTATGTCAACCCCAGAGCCATGGGCTGGCAGATTCCAATGATCGCCAAGCTACGTGCCAGTGGCGTCCCTATTGAGGGACTCACGATTGGTGCTGGTGTCCCGTCTATTGAAGTAGCAAACGAGTATATCGAGACTTTGGGCATTAAGCACATTGCCTTTAAACCAGGATCCTCGGAGGCGATCCAACAAGTCATCAATATCGCTAGAGCAAACCCTGCCTTCCCAGTCATCATGCAATGGACTGGTGGCCGTGGCGGTGGCCATCACTCATTTGAAGACTTCCACCAACCGATCCTGCAAATGTACAGCCGGCTTCGAAAGTGTAGCAATTTGATTCTTGTAGCTGGTAGTGGATTTGGTGGGGCTGAAGACACTTACCCCTATCTCACGGGTGCTTGGTCAAAGAAATATGGTTATCCGCCTATGCCTTTCGATGGATGCATGTTCGGTAGTCGCATGATGACCGCGAAAGAGGCATTCACCTCCAAGAACGCGAAGCAGGCTATCGTAGACGCTCCAGGCTTGGACGATTCTGAATGGGAGAAGACATACAAAGGCCCCGCCGGAGGCGTTATCACCGTTCGTTCCGAAATGGGCGAACCGATTCATAAACTTGCTACTAGGGGTGTTCAATTCTGGGCTGAGATGGATCAAAAGATTTTCAGTCTAGATAAAGCCAAACGCATCCCTGAACTCAAGAAAAACCGTGACTACATCATCAAGAAACTGAACGAAGACTTTCAGAAGGTCTGGTTTGGTCGCAACGCCGCAGGACAGTCTGTAGATCTTGAAGACATGACCTACGCAGAGGTCGTTCGGCGAATGGTTCATCTGATGTACGTCAAGCATGAGAAGCGCTGGATCGATAAGAGTTTAGCGAGACTGACTGGCGACTTCATTCGACGTGTTGAGGAACGGTTTTCGAGCGTGGGGAAGGAATCGCTTCTGCAAAGCTATTCTGAACTAGATGCTCCTTTTGAGACGGTGGAAAACATTTTAAAGGCATATCCTGAGGCTGAAGCTCAGCTTATCAATGCGCAAGATGTCCAACACTTCCTTCTGCTATGCCAGCGCCGCGGCCAGAAGCCTGTCCCGTTCGTTCCTGTCCTTGACAGCACTTTCGAGTTTTTCTTCAAGAAAGACTCTCTATGGCAATCCGAAGACTTGGAAGCGGTTGTTGACCAAGACGTTGGGAGGACCTGTATCCTCCAAGGTCCAATGGCCGTTAAATACTCAACAAAGGTCGACGAGCCTATCAAGGAAATTTTGGATAACATCCATAACAGTCATATCAAGAGCCTTACCCAGGATGTTTATGGCGGAGACGAGTCCAAGATCCCAGTCACTGAATATTTTGGAGCCCACGTCGTCGAGTATAGCGAGGTTGTGGAGAATGAGGGTCTGACAATCTCTGAACTTGAGGGCAAGGCGATCTATCGCCTGGCATCAACACCAAATACCGCTTTGCCTGATCTCGCATCATGGCTTCAAATCCTTGCCGGGCAGGGATACTCTTGGCGTCACGCTTTCTTCACAGCCGATGTATTTGTACAGGGCCAACGTTTCCAGACTAACCCTATGCACCGCATATTCGCGCCTACTCCAGGCATGACTGTAGAGATTGCTCACCCCAATGATCCAGAACAGACTGTGATCACTGTCAGGGAACTATACAACGGTGGCAAATATGTCAAGACGGTCGAAATCAGTAAACCTAAGGGCAATGAAATCACGGTGAACCTGATTGAGGGCCGAACTGCTGAAGGCAAGCCTGTAGCACTTCCACTCAAGTTCACCTACCACCCGGAGACTGGGTACGCCCCGATCCGCGAGGTCATGAGCGAAAGGAATGACCGCATCAAAGAGTTCTATTACCGAGTCTGGTTCGGTGATGAAGTTTGTCCTTTCGATGCGTCTGTCGATTCCAAATTCGAAGGTGGGCAGGCCAAGGTCACTGGTGAGGCCATCAATGACTTCATCCACGCGGTCGGCAACACAGGTGAAGCTTTCGTTGAACGCCCAGGCCACGAAGTATTTGCGCCCATGGATTTTGCCATCGTCATTGGCTGGAAGGCCATTACCAAGCCAATTTTCCCAAGGGTCATTGATGGCGATCTGTTGAAGCTGGTACACCTTTCGAACGGCTTCAGGATGATACCCGGGGCGGAGCCACTCAAAAAGGGTGATGTCCTCAGTACCACAGCTGAAGTCAACGCTGTCATCAATCAAGATTCTGGCAAGATGGTCGAGATTTGTGGAACTATCACCCGGGACGGTCTGCCTGTGATGGAAGTCACTAGTCAGTTCCTTTACCGTGGGGTTTACAACGATTTCGAGAATACCTTTCAAAGGAAAATCGAAACTCCAATGGAGCTCCATCTCACGACATCAAAGGACATTGCTATCTTACGCTCTAAGGAATGGTTCCGCACGGATGAACCAGACCTGGACCTCCTCGATAAGACCTTGACCTTCAAGCTGCAAAGTCTCGTTCGCTACAAGAGCAAGACTATTTACAGCTCAGTCCAGACCATTGGTGAGGTCCTTCTGGAGTTGCCCACCAAAGAAGTTATCCAGATCGCATCAGTTGAATACGAAGCTGGTGTCTCTCAAGGCAACCCGGTCTTGGACTACCTCCAGAGGAACGGCTCGGCCATGGACCAGCCTGTCAACTTCGAGAACCCAATCCCGCTAAGTGGCAAGACGCCTTTGACTCTTAAGGCTCCGGCTTCGAACGAGACATACGCTAAGGTCTCGGGTGACTATAACCCAATTCACGTTTCTCGAGTGTTCTCGAGCTACGCAGGACTGCCTGGTACTATCACTCATGGCATGTATTCAAGTGCCGCTGTTAGGAGTCTAGTAGAGACATGGGCTGCAGAAAACCACGTTGGTCGTGTCCGTAGTTTCCACGCCTCCCTCGTCGGAATGGTACTACCTGACGACATAATTGAAGTAAAATTACAGCACGTAGGCATGGTCGCCGGTCGCAAAATCATCAAAATAGAGGCTAGCAATAAGGAGACTGAAGATAAGGTTCTCATCGCCGAGGCCGAGGTCGAACAACCAGCGACGGCTTACGTCTTCACTGGACAAGGCTCTCAAGAGCAAGGTATGGGTATGGACCTATATGAAAGCAGCCCGGTCGCCAAAGAGGTATGGGATCGTGCTGACAAGCATTTCTTGGACAACTATGGTAAGTACCTTTGTGTTCGGCTTATCGATTCTGTTAACATGTACAGGTTTTGCCATTACGAACATTGTCAAGAACAACCCGAAAGAGTTCACAGTCCATTTCGGTGGTCCTCGTGGCAAAGCAATCCGCCAGAACTACATGTCCATGACTTTTGAGACTGTAGGTGCGGACGGCACGGTCAAGTCGGAAAAGATCTTTAAGGACATTGATGAGAACACCACATCCTACACCTATCGTTCGCCCACCGGATTGCTATCCGCCACCCAATTCACGCAGCCTGCATTGACGTTGATGGAGAAGGCGTCCTTTGAAGACATGAGAAGCAAAGGTCTCGTTCAGCGTGACAGCAGTTTTGCTGGTCACTCTTTGGGCGAGTACTCGGCTCTTGCTGCTCTTGCCGAGGTCATGCCAATCGAAAGCTTGGTGTCTGTTGTGTTCTATCGGGGTCTGACCATGCAAGTCGCCGTCGAGCGTGACGAGGCTGGTCGTTCCAACTACTCCATGTGCGCCGTCAACCCGAGCAGGATCTCGAAAACCTTCAACGAGCAAGCCTTGCAATACGTCGTGGAGAACATTGCAGAGGAAACTGGCTGGCTTCTCGAGATCGTCAACTACAATATTGGCAATCTGCAATACGTCTGCGCCGGAGATCTCCGCGCTCTCGACTGCCTTACAAATGTCACAAACTATCTGAAGGCCCAAAAGGTGGATATCCAGGGTTTGATGGAGACCATGTCTCTGGAAGACGTCAAGGAGCAACTTCTCGATATCGTTCGCGAGAGTGCGAAGCAAACTGAAGCTAAGCCACAGCCTCTCGAGCTACAGCGCGGCTTCGCAACCATCCCGCTCCGTGGAATCGATGTACCTTTCCACAGCACTTTCTTGCGCTCCGGTGTCAAGCCTTTCCGAAGCTTCCTGCTCAAGAAGATCAACAAGACGTCTATCGACCCCAGCAAGCTGATTGGCAAATACATTCCCAACGTGACCGCGCGGCCCTTTGAGATTACAAAGGAGTACTTTGAGGATGTGTATCGTTTGACCAATTCGCCTAAGATCGGCAACATTCTTGCAAACTGGGATAAGTATGAGGACAAGGACGACGTCAAGGTCGCTACTGCGGCTTAGTCTGGATGGTCAGTTTTCGGGGCGGGGAAAGACATTGACGTTCCGATCGGGATACATGTAATGAATGACACTCTGGCTGTACATCTCAGGAGTTTGGGACTTGTATGTACCTATATAGATGTTTGTGTACGCGCAAGCAAAAGCTAGATCGCGATCTCTTTTTCGTTACATGCTTTGGTCGTCTTGATGAGGGCTTGACGGACAAAGGTATGTAGCAATATAGGATCCGAGCAAATGAAATAATTCAATGTTCGATGCAAATTCTTATATGCCGCAAGTGGCATTTCATTCACGTTCTCGTATCGTGTGTGCATGTGTTATGTACTGATAATCTCCGCGGCCCCCCCGCTCAAAAAAAAAAAGACCCCGGGCGTACATTGAAATGCTCCCAACATGACAAGACACCCGAATAAGAAGAATGAAAAACTAAAAACCTGTAACGCCATCCTTGCTTTTTTTCCTCTCACCACCCAATTTGCCGTTGTTCCTCGCTTGCTCCAGCTCCCGGCGGCAAGCTGGGCATGGGCTCGTGGCCCATCCGTATGGACCCCTGCTGGTACGGAGTGTAGAACTGGCCGCTGTACTGGCGCTGCGGTGTCGCGGGTGGCGGTTGCATGTAGTGCTGCTGCTGCTGGTGAAGGTGCTGGAACTGCTCTGCGGTCTTGTTGCGGAAGAAGCCAAAGGCCGTATTTGACATGTAGAAGAAGGAGGAGAGGATGGCGAGGGAGAAGAACTGGGGTGGTGCATTTGTCAGTTTTGGAGGTCGGGTGGGCGGTTGGTCGGTAGGGGGCAAGGAGAGGAGGAGGAGGATGAGGATGAGAAGAGGGACGTACCATGGCCTTGTAGCTGATGGGCTCAATCAGGCTATTGAAGATCATTGCGAATGTATGGGCCGACACGCTTGCTTTGCCTACAGCGGTGGGATCCTGATTCATGCACTTGTCCCAGTTATTGCATACGTTCTCGAGTGCGGGCGCGCGCGTGGCCGGGTCGCAGCGGTTCTCCTGGTATTGTTTCGCGCACACGGCCATTTCGCGCATTGTCTCAGCGGTGACTTTCTTGGCTGCCATGTCGACGTCGCCCATGATGGCGGCGACGAAGGACCAGACGATGTACGCGGCGATGAAGCCGAGGAACCCGTTGAAGAGGAATTGGAGGTACCAGGAGAGGATATGGGGCAGGTTGGGGTGTTCGTGGACGAAGGAGAGGACTGCGGCGATGACGCTGCCTTTTGGGGATGTGGTGTTGTTCTTCTTGCTCTTGTTGTTGGAGGAGTCGTCTTCGTCGTCCTCTTCGGTGGAGTTGCGGCGTGCGATTTCCTTGAGCTCTTTTGCGCGCCGGCGTTGGACGCGCCGCTCGCTTTTCGCGGAGTAGTATTCGCGCTTCGCAATTTCGCCGCGACCAGGGCTATTGAACATGCGACCCATTTTGCCGAAGAAGCTGTTTCGCCGGTCTTTGCTTGGACTGCTCTTCGACGGCGAGGAGGGTGCCTTGGTAGGTGAGGCAGTGCTCTTCTTCCTAATCACATCCGGAGTGTTGGCTTCACTGTTTATCTCTGTGTCCGGTGTCTCCCCACCACTGGAGAAGTCGACCTCCATCTTTCTGGGCGTATTGAACTTTGGGTCAAATGATCGCGGAGGGTTGGCTGGCAAAGGCTTATCTCTGCCCGAGGTACTGCTGAACAGAAAACTACTACCATTGGGCTCGCGAAGCCCAAAAGGCTGTGCTTTTGAAGGAGAATTGAAGGCGCTGTGTGTTCCTGTCGAGGTGTGGTCAATCAGCTTTTGCGCTCGTGCCAGTCATAGATAATTTCCTGCTCACGCTTCATGCCAGATCTTCCCAGTGTCATGAATGGAGAAGTGGCATCTGTAGGCCCCGTCATATTCTCGTACTGGAAGTCCATCGGCGTCGCTTTGCTGCGGCGGTCTTCCATGGCGATGTGTAACGAGAGGCTACCAGCGATCCAAACTCTTGTTATTGCTCGCCTGCGAGACTCGATAGGTTGGAATATTTGACAGACTTCAATAGGAAAGTAATCCGTCAGGTGTGCGCAGTTCGAAGTTGAAAGGAATACGGCAAGTCTATGATTTCATGAAATATTGGAGTGGTAAGCAAACTAGACGTCTGTCCGACATGGTGATTGTTTTCGTAAACACGCTCGGAGGTCGGGATGTCGGGGAAATCTGCGCTAGTCTGCATGAGGTAGCACTACTATATCTATTGATTCATGCATGCATCTACCTATTGATATGCATGGTAGTTCAGGCTTAATCGCCTTGCCGGATGAATTTTTATCCTTAATGTTTATACTATGGTTGCCCATGTATCTATGTAAACAACGGGTGTATGGTATCTCCTTCTCTAGGCTCTTCCTGAGAACCTCTTTTGCAAGTAGCCCACTCCCATCTCCTCATATTCCTTCCTAGTAACAACTTTATCCCTCAATGCCTCTCGATCCGCACCCAATCTCGCCCCTCCCAGCCAAGTCGACACAATTGGATCAGGTGCGCGGCTTACTCTCACCGGGTACTCCCTTGGCAGCAGCGTGCGTACCTCCTCGCTCAATCGCTGAACAAGCCCCGATATGAGCGTGTTTCCCCCTACGACAATGATATTGCTACACATCGCTGGCCGTAGGCCTTCTGGTAGAGCAGATAGAGATTGTACTATAGCTTCCGGGAGCCCTGCTTCCGGTATTCCAGTGTCAGTCGGATTGAATATGAGCTCTGGTGTGCGGAATCGCTCATTGGAGAGTGGGAGGATATCTTCGCGCAGCGCAATTTTACTTCGCGCAACTGCCGGTGCATGCGGTCTCACATATCCCTTCTTCACAGTCTCGTAGTCTGGCAGCACGAAGTCCAGCGTTGTTGTCTCGTCATACCTCCGCGTCGCAGCATCGTCTCTCGCACCGCCTGCCCATGTAAGATCCATATCTTTTCTGAAATCGTGAGATATGTATACAGATGCCTCTTTTGCATCGTTAAGCAGGTGTGTTTCTTCGATGACATTGAAGTGGCGGATAGAGGCTTGCTCCTTTAGGAAATTTGTAAGAAGTTTACCGCCCGGACTAAGGCGTCGAATCGCGGACTGAAGTGGAGCGGAGGAGAGTAGAGGGATGACGGTGGTATGTGAGTATGAGGTGTCGACCACCAGAAGCGACTGAATGGGCGCAACAGGAGGGGCAGGGGGAGTGGGAGACTGATTTGTGTAGATCGAGGAGATGTCATTGTAGGCATTCAGAGATGCCGCTAAGAAGCAGTCAGCTACGATTTGTGCAAGGTGTAAGAGAGAAATGAGTCAATTTGTACCCAGGCATCGGTGATAAGTGGCGAACTGGAAGTACTCAAATACCATCTCATCGGTATTGTTTTGCAGTGCCTCCATACAGTTGGGCGCTTCCGTCAGGATCAAGTTTGTATCCTTTGGGTCGACCTGAGCACCGTTCAGCCATCCTCCTCTTGACGCTGCTTTCGTGGCCGTACCTTGAGCTTCGCGCTATGGTCGAAGAACGAATGCTCCCAGATGGCCTTTTGGGCTTCCCAGTTGACGACAAAGCCTTTCTGTACTGGCCTCCGATATGCGAGCTCGCCGAAATCATTGCAGTTTTCTAGCTGTGAGCCGATGTATGTCGCTCGGTCGCGTGCGCTGTGTGCGATAGTATTTTGTATTATGGAACAGTCTGTTGGCTTTGGGTCTGGGCTTGAATAACCAGCTTTGATGGTGTAGGCGCCATTGTCGAGAACGAACGTCTTTGCCGCGAGGTCTGCTTGTGTATTTACTATAGACAGGCGAGGCGCCATAATTTGAGAGTGATGCAGTTGTAGCAGAGGCGTCAACGGGCTCAATGAAATGTGAAATGCGGGCACAACCTATCTGCCGCCACAGCAAATGTGGCGCAAAACCACTTAGAAGACTCTAAATCACGGGACAGCGCGTTTCTCTCGCGCGTGATAGCTTACGCAACCGGGAGTCCTATCATCTATTGCGTAGGTTCACTGCGTTCGAACAACAGCTTCCAAGATGCCACGGGAGCGCTCAGAAACCGTCCATCTGTGGTATACGGCAGTCTATGAGGCTATCCAAGAGATACCGGAGGGTAGAGTGACATCGTATAGCCACATAGCAAAGCTGTTGGGAAAGCGTACGTCTCCTTTGTATGTATCGCTTCAACATTTTCGCTAACCCAAAAGTAGCTGAGCGTAGAAGGTTCATATCATCTTTCAGTTGACACAATATTACTGCTGACATGCTACCAATAAAGACAAGTCGGCATTTGTCTAAAACATCTGCCATCGCAAGAAGGCAGCTCGGAGTACCACGATGGCAATGTGCCCTGGCAGCGGGTGATTAACGCCAAGGGCGAGATAAGCCCAAGGTAAGCAATGTCGGACCAAGCCGGAAGCATGGAGCTGATACGATACTCAACAGAGGGCCTCACGGTGCTACCCGACAAGCTGCGGCGTTAAGACGGGAGCACGTGGATGTGGATCAAGACAGCATGGGCGTGTTCTCTGTTGACTTTAGTAAATACGGATGGTGAGATGTCTCTTGAGCACCACGACGTCCTGTCCGGGAAAGTCTTGCATTGACCAGATCAGGTTCCCAGACATCTTGCCAAGCGAAGAATTCGACGATAGTGACGATACTGAGAACGAGTTGGAAGATGCTGGCGTAGCAGCGTGACATGACCATAGCAAGTTAATGGCAATGACGTCTAGATATGATGGCTCCTCTTTGATGGATGTCCCTGTAATCGTGTTATCTTGTAACAAAGGGATGGCGCAAGTGGCGTTTGAAGACCGTTTGCATACGGAAGCAACACTTGTATTAGCGCAGAGGACAAAGCTAGAGGTTGAAGGTAATAATGCTGCGGCCAATAGCACATGCATCGAGGGAAACGCATGTTGGCAGAAGTGAATGATACGCGAAACAAAGAGAGGGGTTAGGGGTTAGGGGCCATTTCGGCAAAACCCTCCCCCTTTGCTCCGATCAGACAGGCCCGGTGACTTGTGACTCCGCCAAGACCCTTCACAGCCATGGAGAGCTCCTCATCATCCCCCGACTAAGAGACCGACTTGTCCAAGACAACCTCCGTCATCCCTCCAATGCCACCACCGCCAGCTGCATCGTGATCGCGACTACATGTACGCACTTCCGACCGAGGCGTTCGAACAACAGCCGTCATGCTGCATGCACGCGCCGTCACAGCCTAGACAGCTTGCCAATGAATGAGCAACTTGCGGCGCGGGATGGCGCCACGGGCTGGATGTTTGGCTTCTGGCTGTAGGCTTATCAGTGATCAGTGCACCGCTGAGATCCGGGGTAGCAAGATAGAGCAGCTCTTCACTCATTCTTAGTCGTGGTTGCTAACAATAACAACAACAGCTCTAGGTACTTGTACTCATACATAGCTTGGTTACCTGCTCCAGCTCCTCTCCTCAACACTTCTACCTATCAACATCCTTCTTTCAGGCGTATCCGTTCCAGAACAGCTTACTATCCGCCACAGCCACCTTCCATAAACCCCCGGACCCATCTTTGACTCAGCTTTGTTCGACTCATCTAAGACGAGTAGCAGCTGCCTCCCTGTGACACACTCTCACTCTGTGCCAACTACTTCACTCTCACCTCTCCGTCTTCCGTCATCTACTTCTTCATCGCTTTCTCCTACACTTCTTCTCCTGTCTATTCCCGTCGACCATTAATACTATACCATACTTTTGTCCGACGTCTAATCTCCTACCATACCCGTCCGTACAGAGATCGGAATAATGGCCAGCAAGCAAACCTTCTCTACTCACGACCTTCGAAGTGCTGCCACCGAAAACCAACGCAGCACTCTTGATCAGAAGCGCAAGTGGGCTCACGGTTCAGCATTCGGACCTGGTCGTCTTACTACTGACGTTGCCCACGCTCGACCGGCACGTCCCGATAACAGGTACGCACTCTATTGTCGCATACATCCTGTAACCAAACCTAATGTCGCATACAGAGAACCGAGCGGCGTGCGTCGCGATGGCATAGCTGTTGCCACCTTCAAGGCTCGCTCGCGAGAGGGCCGCAAAGCCGACATCAATGAATACTATGATAGTGGAGACTCGTCTGCACCTGAGGAGGTCGATGAGGCGTCTGCAGCTCCAGAGCCAGACGCCGAGGTCGCCTACTCGTTTGACGCCGCCAGCGGACCCAGCCACGGAAGTCAGATCCTGAGCGCCGCTTTGGCAAAAGCGGTTGAACGATACGAGGTTGTGGCGACCGATAAGCTCGTCAGAGAAGAGTATGAGGTGCTCGGTAGTGACGGCGAGCCCGTAGTGAAGGCGAAGGGCAAGGGCAAAGCAATGAAGCCGCCACAATCTGCTCCCGAGGCTGCTGCTGATGAAGACGACTTCGAGCTGATCTAAGCTTAGAGCAAACTTCGACAGCATTCCTAGGTGAGAACATGGTTTTGGGTTTTCGGGTCCGCAAGGTCACTGGCGTTTGCTCTAGCGACTTCATCATCTCTTCGACGGGCGCGATTTGATTGTGCTTTTGGGGTTGGGCTGCATCACGAGAGGAGCATTGGGACACGGCGCTCTTTGAGGACTTGAACAGCTTCGTGGCTGGGGAGTTTTTACATCCGAACGTCTCTGCTGCATGCATGTTACTCTAGTCCTTTCACAAATCTTATAATCCTGCTGCGGACCTTTCGATCTTGACATGACGCTACATATATCGAAGCATTCATTGCTTGAGCATTCTAGCCAATGGCGAAGGCCGAGGTCTGTACCTAATTCGGGATGGCGCAAGGCTGGTGCCCAAGCTACAGGTAGTTAGAACGCCCCAAGCAACGCGCGTACGTCATTATACCACGATCCGGGCAACCTTCTGCATTATTCCAGTCCGATCAGCACTGTAGGAACTCCATCATAATCCTCTACATATGGGACCTGCAAGCATCTGCATTTACTCCAACTCGCATATGAACGCGTCCTACCCTGCGACATACACCAGTCCCTAATTCCCTATTCACCAGGTTCCTGCCAAGTGGTGTTGGTAAACTCCGCTCCTTCTCGTCATCAACGCGCCGGACAGCATTCACACTCTTTGACACACATATCTGGCCTGACGCCGTTTCACTCGCTCTGAGACCTTGTCCAGCTCACTGTTTATCGCATTTTCTCCCCGAGTATATCAAACACTAATCAATACTCTTATCTCCTCACCTTTACTATGGCAGAGGTCTTGCACCCACCAGAGGAGAAGCCTGTCCCACCACAGCGTCCAAGCCTCCTTACGCGAAAGACGAACGCTGAGCATCCACATATTCAGCGACCGCCCGCACCCAATGCACGCCCTCAATGGGTTCTCCACGTACAGGCTCATTTCTGGCGCTCTCTAATGTCAATTGGGATGCTACTTCATCGTCTAGCTCCACCTCGGCCGCCAAAGCCTAGTTTCTCGAGAACCATTCAAGCGACCATATCTCCGAACACAGGGCATTTTCAACTACACTTCTACGTTCCGAACGACTATGTACTGCAACAGCGTTTGCGCCGAAAGAGATTCCCCGTGGTTGTCAACTTCCACGGGGGAGGGTTCACACTTGGGACCGCATCAGATGATGCTAGATGGGCACAATGCGTTGTCAGTCAGGTTAATGCCGTGGTCGTAGCGGTGGACTATCGTCTTGCACCTGAGCATGCTTTCCCAACACCAGTTGAGGACGGGGTTGATGCTGTGAAGTACATCACTGAGCATTGTGAGGATCTCCTCATCGACCCTGATCGCATGGCCATTAGTGGTTTCTCTTCAGGCGGCAACATGACGTTCACTGTACCTTTACGCATGCAAGAAGAGACAATCATGGTTCCAGAGCGTTCTGTCGAGCCTGATAGTAAAACGGACCTCACGCTACCCGCCAGCGCTGGTAGCGACGATTCACCGCAAGATTCGTACTCGTCGAGGACATCTAAAAAGAAGCCCCTCAGCATTCGGAAGTCCATGGAGACCCGGCGCAAATCCAAGGACCTTTTCATAATTTCCGAATCGCACCAGCTCAAGATCAAAGCTCTCTGCGCATGGTACCCACCGACAGACTACACAGTCACGCGAGAAGAGCGACGTGCCACTTGTCTTCGCAAGGACCAGGAGCTACCTGCTATGTTCACCAACTTATTTGATGAGTCATATCTGCAGCCTCCTACGCTTGATATGGCGCACCCGTATCTTTCACCGGGCAAAGCCCCGACGGACATGCTCGCCAAATTACCCGAGGACATTATAATGTATACTTGCGAGTGGGATATGCTTCTTGCTGAAGGCGAGAAAATGCGCGATCGGTTGCGCAACGACTTCGGCAAGAACGTGAGGTATCGCATGGTACCAGGCGTGCCTCATGGATGGGACAAAGCACCAAACCCATTGAAGGTCACGCCTGGTGTCTGGGACCATTATCTCAATGCTTGCAAAGACCTGAAAGAGGTGCTGCGGACGCCAAAGGGCGCGAAGCCGAGGAGGTTCTCAACTTTCATGAGTGTATAGATAGACGCATATATAGAGCAGGGCATGGCGGTTCGGTTTGTTTGCATAAGCATTTGCGCGGCGTTTCGGGTACAACATCCAGAGAGATGTTGCTTCTTTGATCTTTCTGTCAACACGGAGACATATTACTACCTATCCTTGTCAATATCACTGTTATTTCTCTGACCGCGGTAGAGTTTCGTGGAACGTCAAAAGTCTGCATTCCTGGAATTTCGAATTTGAACGGATATGCCGCTGTACATCTCGATCTATATTTGACAGCCGAAAAGCAAGCACTCGTCTAGTCTTCCTGTCCATTTATCGTTTTAACATACAACGCGCATTGTGACGCATTTGCAAAGGCTTCGACCAGATGCTGCTGTTGTGCATACCACCCACCTCACCTCAGCATTCAGCCCAATCTTCCTGCCTTGGCTAGCATAGATCACCAGCATAGCATAGCATAGCATAGCATAGCATAGCATGTTCCGCGGTGAGGATAGCTGTGAAAAGTCGTATTCATGTACTCATCAAGCTCTCATCTACCCAACGCCAGAGTCCTTTTCCTAAAAGCCCCTACGTGGATCTCGGGACACAAACACTAACCACTAATTGTTACACCCGTGCTGCGCATATATGCACGCACACGACGTATTGTGGAGTCTGGCTGCATTGTTGTCGTATCCTTGGGCTTTTCATAATTCGTTGAAGAGAGAGAGAGAGTGTGTGTGAGAGAGAGCAAACAGTGAGGAAAATAATTCCATTTGACAATCAAGAAAATAACATTCCGAAAGTGTTAAAAAGTTGGGCCGACTGACTACGTAGGTAGACCTCCTACTTGAGCTGTGAACGCCGAAATATGGATTGCAAGTCGCTGGCTGGTTTTTTCTTCGGGTTTCTCCCCCTGCCCTCCTTCCTTTTCGTAAACTAGAGTTCATCATGTCCAGCCATGTCCACGGCGTTTTCATTACCACCTTTCAACGGTGACTAACCACCCATCTCCGAGAACCTTTCCATCCCCTGCAACGCCACCCCATACCACGACACTCGAGCTATCACTTTCCTGGCTCGCGACCGCGAATTGACCCCGGCTCCCGATCCCTTTGCCCCTGCCATCCAGACTGCGGCCCTCGGGCCTGACATCTCCATCTTTATCAAGATACAGATAACGGACCTCCGCCCACGCGCTCCCATCCGCACTACTTCCCGGTCTCTCAGCGCTCTTGGTTGCTGCTGCGCTAGCACTGCGCATCCGACTGGCTGCCGCGTCTTTGATCCCTGCTGCGGTGTTCATGGCTGCAGGGAGTGCGTATGTCCATACATCGTCAAAGTATGCGACGGGTGAGCCGGGTGCGGCGCTCGTTTGGCCGCCGATGAGAAGGAGGTGGCGTCGGCCTTGGCCGGTGGTGATTGTGGCCAGGCCCGCATGTGTACGTTCGCGCGGGCCGAGACCGTTGATATACGGGTGCGAGTGCCAGGGGCGGGCATGTAGGGGCGTGGATGCGTCGGAGGTGCTGCTGGACGGGGCGGGGGTTAAGACGTTTGTAAGGGAGAAGGAGTCAATGCCACCGCCGAGATGCTGTGTACCGTCGTAGCCGCCAAAGCGGAAGAGAGTTTGAGACGCCACTGCGAGGGAAGACCCGGTCCGGGCCGGAGCAGGTGGTGAGGGGAGTTGCCTCCAGGCGCGGGTACGGATATCGAAGGCCCAGGCATCGGAGAGGAGGGAATTATCGGCGAGAGAGCGTCCATTGGCGATGATGAGAGTACCCCAGGAATCTTTTTCGGGGACATCGGGGACCTTGAGCGATATCATTAATTGATGTATGCTTGTGAATGTTAGAGTTGAGGAAACTCACTGTCTTCGCTGGGTCCATAGGTGTCTGCGGTAATGGATCATGTACGTTCTGCTTCAGCTGTGGACCAGGCTCGTCACTGCTTGCAGCACCATGGAGGCTCCTGGTGGGTGGAGCGGTGCCATCAGCTGGATCTAAAGCTGACCATGCTTTGATTGTGGTGTCAAACACCCAAACTCGTCCCGGGTACGCGCTATCCACAGCCTGTCCCTTCTCGTCTTCGCCTCCGTAGATATATATGTTGTCTCCGACCACGACAGCGCTGTGTCCCTTTCTGCTTGCAGGTATAGCTCCTGTCTGACTTTCCAAAGCTGCACCTTCCCGTAGTGTTTTCGCTCTAGCTTCGATATTTGTGACTACGTCTCGTCAGCCTTACTACCATTTTACCATGAAAGTGACCCACAATCAGCATCAAGAACTCCACCACTTGGCAAGATGATCATATACATGTCATTATCTGCCAAAGCTCCGCCTGCACTCTCTCCTCCAAAGATATAGGCGCGGCCCTTGACGACTGCAAGAGAATGGCCAGCGCGATTGACCGGCGCAGATGTGACATTGGCAAATGTCGCCTTGAGTGAGGCATGGCCAGACGTCACACCTTTAGCGAAATTGACAGCGCCTTGTAACATAGACGAGCCAGTGTTCATGGCGCCTTGGGCTGCAGAATTGACTTTTGGATTGGAGGAGAGCTTCGACTGGGCGTCGGAGACGACTTTTTCGAACTTCGACTTGAAAGACTTCATGATTGGCGTATGAACGATGCGATTTCTTGTGGACTGTAAAGTGGCAGCCAGGATAACTTAAGAGATTGAAGGAAACTTGCGAGCAAGGCAGAGCTGAATGAGCTGATGCGAACTGGTAGAGCAGGGCTGAAGGGTGACGTAGCGCGGGGGCCCTAAGGCGTTCCTGGCTGCGCCTCAGCTGCACAGACGTTGATGCACGCGACCGGATCGCGGCTTGAAATATCAATGAGTGAATTATATCATAGTATGGAACATCAGCAGAAGTCCTCTGAACTTCAATGCCTCTATATAATCAGCAACTACCGTCCGAATGATCATTATACCTATCCACGTGTCCCTCGTAACAACATGATCCGCTCCTAACTCCTTTGATTGACAATGCGTTCTTGTCCAATTGTCCCATATTATTATCAAATATTCGGTGAAAGCTGGTCATATTTTACACATGCTTCGATAGTCTCAACAGATGCCTGTAACAGACTTCTTGCTTCGAGACCAGCCCATACTTTGAGCATGGAGAAATCTCCACCTCGTAACATCGAAGAACCTGATTGAGCGCCCAGTTGTCGAAGGATCGGGAGAGCACTTAATGAGTTTCAGTATGCAAAATCTTCCCACAATGTTATTACGAGACTTACCCTGCAAATAAATCTAGGTTCGGATCTAGATTTCTCCCAATGCCTTCCAGAAGCAGAATACTCAGGACGACATTCACGAAATCGCCCTCAAGCCTAACATGATGCCCACGCACCATGCTCAGCACTTCATTCAAAATGTCACCAATCTTAATCTTTCCCAATGCGAAAGTTCGACTCTTGACGCCTAGCACAAGATGCTGCATCCTAAGTGCAAAGACTTCTTTGTCTAAGACCGCCTCGGGTTGCCGACAACGTTCGACCATCAAATGTCCGGCCTTGTAGCCATCGAATTCTGCGACGGCTTTGAAGAGATCCAGGAAATTTGCCCTGTTCGTTGCGTTCAGCTCGGTTACTAGACCAGTGTCAATGAAGATCAGCTGTGGTCGGTATCCTTCGTTGTCTATCTGTGCTAGCTGTTTCGTCCACTCGGCCTTGTTCTTCTTGTGTGGCCGAAGACGACTTAGCACTTCTTCTGTCACATCAGTAGACTCCTGAGGGGTAGATTTGGCCTGCTTGCTGAACTTGGGAACATCGAGCTGCTCCGGCTTGTAGAAACGGACCATGATGTTTCCAGGGTGGAGATCGGCGTGAATGAAATTGTCGATGAGGACCATAGTCAGAAATGCGTCCAAGCCCTCGTCTGCAATGTCCTTCTGAAACACTCCACCGCCGTTCTCGAGAAAGTCGCTCAACGGGATGCCGTGGGCAAACTCTTCGATCAGGACTTGTCGTGTGGTGTAGTCTGTATACGGGTAGGGGAACCAAGCCGTAGTTCGGTTCGCGAAGTTCTTACGGAATACCGTGAGATTGGCCGATTCTATGCGCAGGTCTAATTGTAGCTTCATCATATTCCCAAAGACCCTGACCTCATCCGGGAACGAAAGCCATTCCATTCCAGGCAGTACATTGATAATACTAGCGAACGCGCCCATGATCTTGATATCTCGTTGCACTATCTTATCGATGCCCGGATGCAGAACTTTGATGGCAACGTAGCTTGATGGCTTCCTCTGCGGGACATGCTTGAGCGTGACATCAACACCTTTCCTGAACCTTTGTCTAAGATTAGGCTCATCGAGATCCACGTCAGGAGGAACCGTCAGATCGTCTTTGAGTTTAGCCTTGTAGACCTGTGCGATCGCTCCCACCCCTAGAGGCTTCTCATCAAACTCCTCGAATATATCTTCAAATGATCGACCACCAAATGCTCTTTCTATAGTCTTCTTGGTACTCGCCATCGAGTGTGCTGGTGCATCTGAATGTAGACTCGACATTACCGCACAGAGTTCGTTAGGAAAGATATCTGTCCGTGATGCTGCCCATTGACCAAGCTATGGTCTCGTTAGCTTTCAATTGCACTCCATCTGGTCTTGAGACTTGACCTTTATAAATGCAGCTCCCGCTCTTTCCATGGACTTAACCAGGAACCAGTACCAGAAAAGCGTCCCGGACCGCTCATTATCTCTATCCTTCCGCCTTTTTCCAAACCATATCGCTGGAATCGTCGCGATCACTGGGACGAATATGACAACCAAATGCAAGAATCGAAACGCCGTACATATCGGCTCCCAAATATAATAGTCCACAAAGTAATATATCGTTCTCCGATACTTCTTCGAGTTCTGGAGAGGTTTCGGCACCTGCTTCTTCAATTCCTCTCTTGATGCTTTGAGCATGAGCTCCTCGCCGGTCTGCCCATCTTCCGGGTCATGATCGCTTATGTCAACGAATGCAAGAGGACTGAGAGATGCAACAAAGGCAGTCTTGCCGTATGGTGGTTTCGGCGGCCTCTTGAAATGCTTGAAGGGGCGCTGAAGCACGGAATACTCTTTGAAGAGGCGTCGCGTCGTTGTCGGAGTTGCATTGCGGGTGCAAGAGGTCAGCGCAGGGCGGAGACATGCGCTACTGAAGAGGAGCACTGTCCTCATAGTAGCTTTGCATGGGGGTATATGGCTGGCGACACTGATGGAGGTCTTGATGCATTGGGTCAGAGTTAGAGCATGTTCGACCGAGTCACGACGTCATTCTTGGCAGCCAGATGAATGTACCCATCCGGATATAATGAGCTAGCCGAGCTTTGTCCGAGGAACTCCTCAACGTTCACGTTGTTGCATTGCATCGGATATCAATAAAGAGAAAACTTCTGAAGATAGACTTTATGGATATAAACGTCAAAACGTATTGGAAACAATCATCCCAATCAAGGTATGGCCACCGCTAAATACACTGTACATAATCTGAATATCTACGCCGTAATAAATCCTTCCCAGTTCTCGAGAGCCGCCCGCGTCTCTTTCTCATACAGCGGAATCCCGCCAGCGTAATTCAATTGCTCACGGGGCTTACCAGGAATGTTGGCACCCATATACCAACTATCTGCAGTCGGGAAAAGAGTCTTGTTGCTGATCTGTGTGACGTTCTTGTGCCACTTCTCCTCGGCATCCTTCGTGGGATTGATGTACGTGATATTTTCTTTGGACGCCTTCACGATAGCATCGACGATCCAGTTACCTTGTGCCTCTACACAGCTAGGTCCGTTGCTAAATGCTGTCGGGCCATGTGCTCCATACAGGAACATGAGGTTAGGGAAGCCAGCACAAGTCATACCTAGATATGTGTAGGTTCCCTTGGCCCAGCGTCGACTCAGGTCCACGCCATGAACATCCTTGAGACCCATGGTCATCATACCACCGGTGACAGAATCAAAGCCAGTCGCAAGAGCGATGATATCAAATTCGCGGTGTAGGCCATCGTAGGTCTCGATACCAGTCTTCGTGAACCTCTTAATGGGAGTCTCTCTGACGTCCACAACCTCATTGGTCGGCTTGTCCATCTGCTCGTAGAAATCCTGTTCCAACGATGGACGCTTCACGCCAAACGCATGGCGCTTCTTTAACGGTGCAAGAATGTCACGCTTCTTGGGGTCTGTGATGCGAGCGCGAGTCTTCTTAGCCCAGAAGTTGTAAGCTTCATCATTCGCCTTGGCATCGTACAGCATGTCTGCATAGGTAGCCAGCCAGAATTCGAAGCCACCGTTGTCCCACAGCTTCTGGAAAAATGCCTCACGCTCTTCGGGCGTGTCATCAAAGGTGTTCTTGTCACTAAAATCATACTGGAACCCTGCGAAGGTCTTCATGCGATCCTCGAAGAATCTAGGATATTCACCCTTGCGCTTCATCTGGTCTTCAGGAGTCAACGGCCGTTGTACCATTGGCAAGCATAGGTTGGGCGTACGTTGGAACACTGTAACGGTGGCTCCCTCGCGTGATGTCTCTTGAGAGAGCTGTATGCCGGTCGATCCAGTGCCGATGACAGCAACGCGCTTTCCCTTGACGTCTACACCTTCTTCCGGCCAAAAACTTGAGTGGTGAATGATGCCTTCGAATGTGTTGAGGCCCTTCCAGTCGGGAAAGTAGCGCTTAGCAGCGAAGCCTGTTGCAAGGAGCAAATATCTTGCTGTTGCTTGGCGACCATCCTCGGTCTTGACGTTCCATTTGTTAGACTTCTTGTCAAACTCAGCACCTGTGACACGAGTCTCAAAAGCTGTGTCCTTCCTGATCTGAAGCTGCTTATCCACGTGATCGAAGTATCTTCGGAGCTCAGCCCAGCCGGGATATCGTTCGCTCCAGGTCCAGGTCTATTTGTATTTATTAGCTCAAGCCTGCGACAGCTATTGAAACACCATAGTACCTCGTAAACCTCAGGTATCGAGTATTCGTAAACAGGGACTTGCGAGTCGACACGAGCACCAGGATAGCAGTTCCAATGCCAGATGCCTCCAAGATCCTTGCCAGCTTCGTAGATCTTGCATTTGAAGCCTTGCTGGCGAAGCTTGTGCATGAGGTAGATTCCACCGAAGCCAGCTCCTACTATGAGGACATCAGTTTCCAATTGCTTCGCGTAAGTATCATTGTCGTCGCGAACGGGGTGCCCATTTGTAGCGCCAATGTCAGTGCGGAAACAAACCATTGTGGAATACTTGAGGGTCAGGCTGCAGGTGACATACTCGACAGATGGGGTCAGAAGTCAATATATAGTTTATCGCCATAGGTCCAGGGTGGATGCCGCACAAGCCAGTGTGTTCATACTACCGGCAAATCGACCAACCCATGGCACAGCCTACTATGATGAAGCCGACACACGCATCGGTGACCAAGTATATGACGAAAGTGAGATATTACAGCTCTTCCGCCGATCGTATAGCAGATGTACGCCACTTCTTCTGATCACTGCAATCAAGTTTGCAACCGACCATCAAAGAGCAAGCATCTCGATCTAGGGTCTTGTTCCGTATCACATTAGCGAGTCGTGAATATGGATGGGATGACTACTATGGTATCCAGGGTGATAGATTTTAGCGTGTCAAAATCTTGTCTTTTTTGTCCATGCTTGTTTAAGGGTAATATTCACAGGTTAGGAGCTAGACTACTATAGGTCATGAGAAGTGGTCTGATCAGAAAAAAATCTTTAAACTCGGTCGTAACTCAGCTGAATAAGCTGATTGGGGTCCTTGTTGTCACGCGAATATCTACACGCTGATTATCATAGTATCGTCCGTTTGTCCGTAACCTTGAAACGCATGCTTTCTCCGGTTGTGTGGAAGAAGGCAAGGTATCTTGGAGTCTTGGACGATTGTAAGACGTCTTGTGTAGCATTGTCCTCTGGTACAGCTCGGTATGTCGAAGGTGATTGACATGTAAGAGATGCACACGATGTCTTGATTGGCTGCTGAAGTTGGAACTGGGCGGTATGTGAAGTCAGACTAAGGGAACAAGACAGGCGGAGTAGCTATCATTTGCATGTGGGGAAAACAGACCCGGGATGCGGGGTATTCTTCTGTTTGCGGGACAGGAATAACTGACATGATCTTACAAGGGATGTTAGCCGAGACAGCATCATGAATAAGGGGCTTTTCCGCTCACGCTTGGATGGGACGCGGGCGTGGAGACGCATCCATCCGTAGACTGTCTTCTCCACAGCCTTGTGTATTCACTTTGCCTCGAACTCATCAATCTTCCAAAGGATATGCCAATCAAGCTCTCGATTTGTTCGGCTTACTAGCTGAAGTATACCACAAATGGTTGACGCTTGAATGTAGGAAATTTCAAGCTAGCAATAAGAATAGATCGGACCAGAGTCGTATCTAATGATACTTACATCACTTGTGCTAAAGTCTGTAGATACATCCCCTTGGCCGGTGGACCTCGGTACGTTTGCATTGAAGTATACGCTGGATATGACTAGATACATATAATGCTAGAGCTGGGGTGGCATGAGTATATAGTACCATTGTGAAGTATGAACGTAAATACCCCCAAGTGCACTTCTTTATTCCTCGCGTGCGCCTTTCTATATGCCTCCTGCGGCGAACGAGAAAGCCTTGAAAGTTGACTTTGAGGAATCCGACTGCCTCATGTGAACTTAGAGATCATCTCAATATGATTCTTGGAAAATCCTCTGTATTGGCACAAGGGCTCTAGATTTCTATCGCATCATCTTGGCTGCAGAATCCAACCCAATGTCTTACCGTCAAGTAGCGAGGAGCAAATACGTGGAGCCTTCGGCGTTGTGGACCCGTCGAGGGTCTATTTGTTAGCAATGGATCTAGTTCCATGAGTCACACAGAAACATACGTATGCTGTAATGGATAAGAATTAAAAGATACGCATACGACGCCTCCAAAATGAGTAGCTACAAAGAATATCAACGAGACGATAGGCTACCAACGAAGGAAGTGCCTAGTTCCACAATGAGGGCGTCCGTAACGGGGAATGTGTAATGTGAAATGTGAAATGGGAAAAGTAAACATGAGAAAAATCCAACTACGCTTTTGTTTTCCATCTTCTTTCGCTTGCCAAGAACTCCATCAGCGCCAGCCCTAGTAAATAATGTCAGGCACCTTCCTCTTGAAATCCTAAGTTCGTGGCTTTGATAGCCAACGCTTCCAGGAGATAAAAGTGCGTTTTTGGAAAGCCAAGAGGACCCATTGTCGAGGCTTTATGTCGTGGAACGGTAATATCCAGCATTCTCAGGTGTAAGTAATAGCAATCTCACGGCAGAGTAATCCCAAGGCATCTAGGTAGCCATGTTGAATGTAGCATACCTGAAAGGCTCAATAGGCCATTCTTGAGCTGGAAAGGTGATAGAGCAGGCTGGTGAGACGCAAAAAAGGCGATGGGAGGATTTGAACACCCAGACGTTGAGGCTGGCGCGATTGATATTGTACCGGCGAAGTTTTCAGTGTGTAAGGTAGGCTTGGTGATGGATGGTATTTTCGAGTTGAAGGCAGTTATTGAACCGTCTCACAATCCAGAAATTGCGACATGTCAGATGGCATTGATCTTGTGGAACATGTCATGCAACTCTTGGTCCTCCTGAGCCTGAGCCTTTTCAGCCTTACTGAGGGCTTTCTTGCGGCGCTTTTCGATAGGCTTGGAGTATGAACGAGCCTCATGATCGGCGATACGGTACAAAAGCATGTCCTTGGTTCCGCCGGTTGGGCGGCCGATCTCGCGGCATCGTGCCTTCAGTGCTGGAATAGTCATTCTCTCATCACTAACGTAGAGACGATTGACCATCTGCAACTTCTTGCCCCTATTGTTGATCCCCTTCTTCTTGCATAGATGTCGGAGATCCTCCACTGACATGTCCTCTCGCGGGTCGATGACTCTCTCATCGTCATCTGAGCCTATCTCATCGTCGGCAGCCACCTGCTTGCCTTTGTCTCTTGCAGCACGTACCTTGATGTGGTGGGCGAACATTGCGGCCTTAGCCTCAGCTGCCTTATTCAACCGCATCTCAGTCTCTTTCTTGAGACGTTCTTCTTTACGATCCATGGCCTTTACAGTACGCATCTCCTTGAGACGCTTGGCCGTTGCCTCTTGAGCCTCTTGTTTCTTGATTGCGGCCGCCTCGAGTGCTAAGTTCTTGCGTCTTTCGTTCTCAGCTGCTGCAACTCGAGCGTCTCGCTCAGTCTTGACTCTCTCGGGCTCGTCGTGAACATCGACTGGGATGCAAGCAGTGCCATTTACAAGGCCATTGTATCGGTCGTAGCAAGCTTTCGCAGAATACTTGGAAGTAGGCACTTCTTTACGCATTGCCGTGGCAACCATTCGAAATCGTTTATCACGAATCCGTTTGAATGCAGCGTAAATCTCTTCATTTACTTTCTGGTATGCCTTCATAAGTTCTTCGTCCTAGTAACATGTGATCAGTATCAGCTTGGCTTTTTATCAGTCTGGTGACTCACATCTTCAGCAGTCCATTCGACAAGTTCTCGTTCAAGGAGCTCGTCATATTCATTTTCTTGGGCACGCAAGACCCTAGTATAGCGACCAGTAATACTGGTAGTCGAATAGACAGTTCGGCCGTCACGCGCGAAAGCGTCAACTACTTGTTTGTCCGAGTAGCCCATGTTTTTCATCCATACCAGCATGGCATCATCATCATCGGCTTGTGTATTGATAGCTTTGGGTGCCGCAGCTCGGCCTCCTTGGACACGCATAAGCTGCCGTTTGCCATTAGCACCTTCCTGGTAGACCGACATGAAGGTGAAGTCGATTGCAGAGTCAGTCTCGACACCGTTATTCCCCTGATCGACATCATGTGAGCTTTAATCATAGTCTGAACGATGTGTCGAGTGACTTACGTGAACCTCGCCGTTCTCATCATCATTACGCGTGCGGAGTATTACTAGAGACAAGTCAGGAGATGCAAAACTGGCTGGAAGGAACCTCTGACCTGGCAAATCGACGGCAGGGTTCTTGCGACGACCACGGTTCTCGACTGGTTCAGCTATCGGCCTCTCGTCGTCATACTCATCGTAAAAGTGGAGGAAATCCGACATGCTGATGAATTGTACTTATCGTACCCAAAGGACAATAGCAATGGGAAGCAATGGAAAGGCCTATTGAAGAGAGAGTTGCCGTTGCGATTTCAGGACGGAGCGTCACAAGATATGAGAAACGATGGATTTGCGGTGAAATTTTTCAGCTTATTAGCAAAGTTTCGTTGCTGGGTGACAAAGGTTTTTGGGTGACGCAAGGTGAATGACGTGTTCTGGCTAAAAGGTCAGGAGAACTGTGACCCTCTGATGTAAACTGAAACCGTGATTGGTCTTCTGGGGGCTCAAGAAGGGATTTGATACCCATGTGATAACTGCAGTGATGCGTTGCTCCAGAGAGATCTAGTGCTTGTTCAGTTCTCCGATCGTGTTCAATTGTTGAGCATGTATATGTTGTGGTGCATATTATGAGCTGTGCTGTTTAGAGCGGAAGATTGAGGACATGAAACAGTGGACTTTGCCAATTTCGTGATGTTTGCGAATTCAACTTGCAAAGATGTGGGAAGACAAGTGATAGATATATATCTGATATAAGAGAGAAGGGGATCGAGCGTTGATAGGATCAAATGAGATTTATATTGTAACGAGGAGGCATATGTAGAAGAGATATCCGAGTGAACAGGATACCGATATCGGCGGTCTTATGATCCCATTGTTGTCTGATCACCAAGAACTCTAATATTCACTGTTGGCTTTCCTTGACTTACCCTTTCGAACCGCGTTGAACTCTCTGAGTTGACGTACCGGATAATACAGGTGCATCTGCTATCTATGCTGAATTCGCAAATACTTTAATTCATGCCTTCTAGATTTCAGCCCCATGACTGCGAGGCTTATGGTCATCCTTCGATGTTGTGGGTGAGCTCGCTCCATTAATGGGAAAAGTTTTCATGGTTTGCTGGTCATGACATTGGGTTGTTGGATTACTAGTCATGTCCTGTATTTCTCTATATGATTCATGGTTTTGATCGCAATGTGATGGCAGACGAACACAAAACAGAATTGATATTGACCATAAACTTCACGATAGAAACAATTCAGAAGGCGGTCCGAGGTCAGGGAAGGGGGTATCGGATCCATTCTAAGCCCAACTGGGCTAGACTACACGGTGCAGTCTTTATCCTAATGACGTCGAGGCCGCAGCATGTGAAAGTGAAAGATGTGGCTGGAGATGCCCCGCGATTGGGCATACAGCCGCTCTTACGCACTCCAACCATAACTATGCGCCACATTGATCTCCAAACATTCTCGAAACAGGTTCTATACGAACTCGCCCCAAGGTCGACAATATAATACCTACCTGCCTTTGCCACAAGTTTTGAGTCCTCAGACATACATTCCATCACGCTCAAAGTCAACTCAAACTAGCCTGCATACGTTGAGTATATACCTGCCAGTGTACTTACATACGACGCCATCATGGTCCTCGAATATTTCTCCCTCAAGAAGGCTGACCAGAAGACAAAACCACCTGTACAAGTCAAAGAACGTGAGACTCCTAGATCTCCTGTCTTGACTGAAGAAGAAGAACGCTTCTGGCGTGAGGTCACTGAAGAAAGCACACCTCCACCTCTTCCAGATCGGCCTCAGAAATCAAAAGATGCACAAATAGCTTTGATGGACGGTGCAGAACAAGTCGCTTTGCCCACATCACCTCCAGCAGAGGAAGAGAAGAAGAAGAATAGGTTCTCGGCCTTCTACGAGACGACCTTAGCCCGCGGTAATTCCGTGCTCAGCAAGAGAAAAGAGAAGGGAGATAGCAAAGAGAAGGAGAAGGATGATAAAAAGGAAGCCAAGAGCAAAGACAAGAAAGGAAAGCAGAAGGAGACTCAAGCAGTTCCTGCGGTAGTCGAGCCTGCGGCAGACGTAGAGAAAGAGAACAGCGATCTCAACGCGGTCCTCGACCAACTCAACCTCGCAGCTGTGAACAACCGCGTTTTCAGCTTCTCCAAAGAATCACAAGAACTTCTCGACAAGTTCAAAATCATCCTGAAAGACATCGTCAACGGCGTTCCCACGGCTTATGATGACCTCGAGAAACTTCTTCGCGGCTCTGAAGAGCAACTCAACAAGCTGTACGAAGGACTTCCCCCCTGGATCCAGTCTCTTGTGCGTTCTCTCCCCGCAAAGATGACTGCTGCCTTGGGACCCGAAGTCCTCGCAGCTGCGGCAGAAAAGCCTAGCCTCTCAGCCTCTGCAACAGGCGCATCGAAGAGCAAGAAGAAACGGCAGATTCCGTCCCTCAAGAGTCTCGTGACCGCACAAGGCGCCGTAGCCACGATGCTGCGCAGCATCCTGAACTTCCTGAAGCTGCGATTCCCCATGTTCATGACCGGTACAAACATGCTGCTCAGCTTAGCCGTCTTCAGTACGCCCCTCCCCGCCCTGTTCCCAGGTCTCTACAAGTGAGTGCTAACATCTTTACAGTCCTCCTCTTCGTCTTCTGGTACTGCCACAAGCGTGGCCGCGAGACCCGCCTCGAGACCGAACAACGCGAATCCAAAGAGCGCGCCGAGTCTGCCGCCAACTCCTCCGATTCCGACGCGGACGACAGCATCGTCCTCACGCCCACGAACTACTACGAGGAGTCGCTGAAGAAGCAGGCCGAGGAGCAGCGTGCGGCTAGCAATGCAACATCGTCCGAACCACCGTTGACGATTCATGATGACAGAGTTGATCAACGGCCCGTCAGTCCGCGGGTGGAGAACCTGCCGAGTGTGCTGGATTTGCCGGAGCCGAAGGAGGTTCCCCTACCGAGTGCCACGCCTGGGGAAAAGAAGAACTAGAGGAAGGATGGGGAGTTCGCATTGGTTCCAGAATGAATTCGCAGCGCAGGATTTTTTTTTGGGAAGGGGGAAGTATTGCACACACACGATAAATGAATGATCGTAACGAAGACGACACAATGAGCTACCATAGTTTAATGAATTAATACCCCAGCACTCAAATCCATCGCATCGTTATCGTCGAGCAGAAATATTGATGGATAGCTCTGACGACAAACGTCACAGGAAACTAACTACACTCACCCACCCACAGACACTGTATATCTCCCCCTCATCCACTAATGCCTTGACCCCTATCTACGTGCAACTTCTTCTCTGTACTGCATCCGAAAGGAAGCTACGACATGCCTTCCCACTTACCAGGACAGCTGCTGTATCACACCACAGCTCTTCTATCACATTCTCATCCCATACAACCACACCGATTCAATCCCAGTACCCCCAAAAATCTGAAATCTCAGTGTGCCTGCCGGCATGCATGCATCGTCGTTTACAGACCTCCAATTCTATTCCTTACTCTACCGTTTGTTCTCCCTACTGGTTCGGTGGGTGGGTAGATGAGGATGGCAGTCTTACAGAGTTGATTCGCATGCAAGAATGATTTTACCCTTGTCCAGCTCGGTGAGGAGAACCCTCATTTTAACGACGCAGTACAATCAAATTCACTTTTCAAAAGAGGGACATATCTGAGGCGGCCTGATGTTTCTCATTGTTCTTGCTACAACACTACGATCACCTAAACACTGATCCAAGCGGTACCTGCGGTTCCCAACGAGCACGAGGGTCTCTCGATTCCCACACAAGATAAGGAGCGAAATCGCCAAACACCCACTAGTACTACACAATCGCTAAACACAACGACATGATGGATAACGACAGATTGGGTTTGTCCAAATGTTTATAGGACAACATTTCATCCAACAAAGGGAAAGCAACATGCGAAGACGTCGCAGACGTGGGCTCTGTATTTTTTTTTCCGGGTTTGGTGCAAGAGGTATAGCGCGCAAAGAACTCACTAACAAAACGCCCATGGGCAACAACAGTGGCCGGTAGCCCGCATCAAACAAATCAATTTCTCAGCCTTGTCGACTGGGCAAGGGAAGCGATGATGCGGGTTTGTACGGCCAGGAGTGGAGAGATTGGGGGGAATTATAATTGTACGTTTGTGCAACCGGATGGCCAACCTCAAGGGAGAAGTGAAGTGAGGGGAGTAATCAACCTGGACTACAGCGCTCGGAGGGGTATTCGCGGGGCGCCGATCAAGGCGATAGCAATTTGGTCGCGAAACTTGGGGGACTTCTCATTCTGGGCAACTCCGAGCGGGATGTTTGATGCTCGTCCAAGGTTCTGTGCAAGCCAGTCTAGATGGTCTTGGGAGATTTCGAGTTCCTATGGCTTGTTAATACTCATGTAGAGAGACAGCGAGAGGAGCTATCGGTGCTGGATACTAGGAGACTCGGGGGACTTGCGAGATGTCCACAATATCATCGATGTGGTTGCACATCGCCACGAAGAGATCAAAGAACAATTTACCGCCAATCTCCATCTCCATCTGCATTGTGCCACTGCGCTTGAAAGTGCGTCGGCTACGGATAATGAGAGCAAGGTAGTGAGCGCGGAGCCTCGAGTCATTGTCGGGAGTGTTGTCATACGCGTAGCGAGCACTGCGGAGAATGGTGCCAACCTCGATCCCACTTTGGAGACCCTGCTTGCGCAGAGCGAGCTTCTTGAGCTCCTCGAGACCGTACCGCTCTGCGGCGCAGTACACCGCTGTGTCACGCAAGATGACATCGCCCACACCCGAATGATAGATTGTGGGCTCGACTGGACCGCGACCGCCAGTTTTATCGGACGGATCCGGGGAGGAGACTGCACCTTCTAGTATCCATGTGTTGTGCCTCTTGTCTTGCAGGAGGCGGGGATAGTAGTCCCCCTTGTAGAGATACTCGAGGATACAGGAAAAGACTTCAGCTTCTTCGTCGGGCAGGTTGATGCGTCGAGTGTCGTCGAAGAACTGGCCTCGCAGCGCCGAAGCAAAGAACGGCGAGTAGCACAGTACGTCTTCGTGAGCAGCGAACAATCGCTGGTCTTTGCCAATCACAAGAGTGATGATGGCACTGGTAAGACCAGGAGAGGTGCTATGGATAGAGTCAGTACGGAAATCAGACGAAATATCCGGCAAGTCACCCGGGGCTTGCATACCTGCCCATGGACATGGGACTGTCCATCTTCTCGAACATCTTCTGCTTGGCTTGAATATTCTCACGGAACGATTTCTTCGGCTGTTTGGTCACCTTAGTGACGCGATCCTTCGAGGCGAAAGAGCGCTTGAACATTGTGATCCGAAGAGGGGAATCGTTGAATGAGCGACGAAGGTTGGCGAGGGAAAAGAGCGTGGTGAGCGAGCGTGGCGCTGATTATCGTGGCATGCGAAGGGGAGCTCCGGAAGTTCTCAGGACTGATCTTTGCTCGGGAAAGAGAAAGAAAAGACACTGAGGAACTTTAGCAGGCTAGAATCTTCACTGCGAAGAGTGAGAACCTAACGAGCGTATGTATTCGGCTGGCTCTGACGTTGAACTTGGCGAGGCGTGAGCAAAGGAAGCGGGTGTGGGGGAGAGCCTCGTATATATAGTGACTGGCTGGATGGTTTGCCAAGAGATTGGGCTGAGGCGGTGCCAATAACATCCCAGGTTCAGATTAGGTAGAACGCGACAACAGGCTCAGCAAGCTTTCTCTCAGCCATCCGATTCCATGCCTGCTATGTCGCCCTGTCAACATTGTTGATTTTGGCCTATTGGCTGGCCGTAATTTGACGGTGCTGCGCCCCACGATTACGGCTGGTCGCATTCACATTGGATGATGGACAATGGACGATTATTACACGAGGCCGACTCTCGTCTGGTCACTGTCACGGTATCCTTTTCAAGGCGACGATAACAACGAAGCGCCTGGTACACCTCCACCCTTGTACGGATACCACGAACCACATGACAACTGTCAGTCGACTGGCCAATGGAGTCATCCAGTCATGATCTGTGAACAGCACGTCTACTGCTCTATCACGAAACGCGTGAAAGTGTACACCCTACCCGCGTAAGCATTTTTACCGACGTCATGGATAAATCTGTTGAAGACTCTGGCTTGAGCACAGCAGTATCGATAAGGGTAGGCATCGGATGATATCAAGTGAAGGCTCCGATTGTCCCGCAAGCATCAATGTATTCTCGACGATGAAGAAGATTCATTGTGAACTAGCCGCCGTATCTAATTCTACGCGTGCACACGTGCTGCTAATTAATAGATAATTTAGCCCATTTACCGCGTTTACTACTCCAGGCACCCAAGTAAACTCCAGACCGTCGGTACCAGCGCTACGCCTCCGCCTTTGAACAGTGACACTTGCCTGACCGCGGAATGATTCACCAAGCGCGCAGTAGGTAGCTTAAACTTCAACACCTTGTTGGCCGTCGCTATATAAGTCTTTGTGCTACTTTGTCAAGACTCTAGTCACAACTAACACTTCCATACTCTAGCCACTGTCCATACTGTAACCCACAGCTATCCCACATCATGAGCGGCAAGAAACGTATTGTGAAGGTAATCAGCGACCCCTCTCGTTCTGCGACACCTCAAGCTCGTTCCAACTAACATGGCTGCTGTAGGAACTTGGGGAGATCACCAGCAGTCCTCCTGATGGCATGCGGGTACGACTGGTCGATGAGTCCGACGTACACATCTGGGAGATATTCATGGACGGGCCTGAGCAGTCTGTCTACTCGGTACGTTCATTCTCATTGTCCCGGCGCTGCTTTCTAACTTTGACCCTAGGGTGGCACTTTCAGACTTGTCCTCACGCTGCCAAAGGACTACCCTTTTAAGCCTCCGATCTTGGCCTTTCAAACGAAGATATACCATCCAAATGTCAGCAACGATGACAAAGGATCCATGTGTTTGGGCATGCTGCGCAGTGACGAATGGAAACCACCAAACAAGATTCTAGCCGTGCTGAACATGGCACGTAACCTTCTAGTGGAACCAAACCCTGATGATGCGGTCGAAACGGGTATTGCAGAGCAGTACAAGAGCAATCGGAAAGAGTTTGAGAAGACGGCGAAGGACTGGACCAAGAAGTACGCTAATGCGAAGAAATGAGGCTAGGTCTGGGGAAGACACACGATACGAGGACAGGAAGTGTCGACAATGATTTTTGACTCTTTCAGAGGACTGGGAAATGAAGAGATATTGCATCATCTGGCGTTGGGAATCTAGGTTCAGGGATTGGGTTTGATTGCTTTCACTGCGAACATGTTCTATGCAATCTACATAGCAAACACGGAACATGTTCGATCGAAGCCTATTCACCAGTGACATTTTAATCGTGGATGTTATTCCTGGAAGCCTTGAATGCTATTAATGGACGTTGGCAAGGACTGCTCGTGCATGTCAACAGTGACGCAATCTGGCATTTAAGGTTCCACAGGCGGGAAATGAAGCTCGTGCTGGGATCTACTCTAGAATGCGCAGACGAGAGCGACAGGTCGAATAGCCTGACACGGCTGCGTACGGTCCTATGGATAGACCAAGGCGTGAAGGCACTTGCAGATTAAAATTGTGTGGTGTTGAAGACTATTCTCATTGAGGGCAGGCTTCAAATGATAGCGGCCACCTATCATGGCGTCCAAGAACAAGTGCATGTCATCGCGTGTTCCATCCGTACCCGCGCCGGTGAGACGGTATTATAAGCTGCCCGTTCCAAGTGCCTGCGCGCTGTCATCTGAGCGCGCAGTCTGTTTATAATTACGGTAGTCTGTTCTAGTGTTCTAGTGCCTTTCACTCAAACAAAGAACAAAAACAAAGCTGCTGGCTGGGTGCACGCGTCTAGCACGCGTCCAGAGTCGCACACGATGGTGATTTGCTTGGTCGGCGTATATGCAGCAGTAGGTATGCAATATATGCAGTATTGTTACAGTAATGACAATACCAATGCTGCTCGAATGTCCATAAACCCCGAAGTATCGAGCTGCAGCCAAAAAAGACAAGAAAAGGTAAAAAAAAAGAAAGTCATCGGGGTGCGTTCGGAGGCATAAGACAGCTGGTGACAGACAGAGGACGGGCGTGTTCAGCAGTCTGAAACGAGTGATTCGCCCAAGGCAGGAGTTTTTTTAACCCTGAAATGCCCAGGACGGACCACCTGCTGGCCCGGGACCACCTTTCTGCACAACCACCAAGTGACCAGCAGCACAAGGAGGCCACAACCGCCAGGACCAGGCATCTTTCATCTTTCCAATCCATCACGATCTGCCTGCCCGAACTCCCCAGCTCCCAGCTCTCAGGTACCATCCTGGTACCACCCTGTCTCTACCATTACATCCGCTCCCCTGGCTGCTTAATATCCTCGACTTCTACCGACCCTCCTCCTCCTCCACACACCTTTTCCCTTTTCTGCGACTTCATTGCTGCAATTGGCCTGCGGTCCGGCATCTTTTTTGGACAACATTCCTTTTCCACGGACTCGACTTGGATGCGCCCTTTCCAGCCCTGAAACAACCCTCGCCGTCCTAGCACTATATCGCCCACGCCCCATGTCAATATTCCTGCATTGACGAGATTTGAGCTGACGGTCGCCTTCGTGCATGACATCCTCAGGGGAATGAGGTTGGCCTTTCGACCTGGGCCCTTCCATCTGCAGAGAGGTGGATAGAGAGTCCTGGCTGGATGGGCGAACTCTGGCAATGTCAATCGACAACATGAACACCAAAGAGGGGGACACGATTCAGGGAGATCCAGGTACCACGGAATGGGAGACGATGCAAGGAACAGCCTACATGGAAGACACTGCCACCACCCGCTCTTCACACTCCCCAAAACACACTCCTCCCTTCTCTCCCCAAAATGATGATGCTCTTCCCCAGCTACCGGGAAATGGCTTCGCTTCCGCTCATCGGAACTTCCAGTCGTTACGCCTGAACGAGCAACTTCCTCCAACTAAAAGTAATAGTCCTCCACCTCCTGTCGTCTACTCGCCATTATCCTCACATCCTACGAGCCCAACCCGAACATCTGCCACCTCCCAGAGCAGTGTGAAACTCTTTCATTCGCCTCGCGTTCGACATATATCTACCTCTACAAAGTCGCCTTCGCCCTTGTCATCACCCAGTCAATCCCACTTCCCTGTCGGCGAACCATCGTCGCCTACGCGATTGAAGAGCCCGCCAATACCAGAATTACCAGAGGAGTCCGATTTTGAAGACTCGGGCTACTCGTCGACGCTTCAGGTCGGTAGGTCTGGTGACATAATACGGCCGTCCACAGCTGCGGGTCGTGCCCGCGGATCGACTACTCCAGGACCGTTACCGCATCAGCGTGTACTCAGGACTGCTACGTCCATTCCTGACTACGGTCCCTATAGAGTTGGGCAGCGTTCTGTACCTTCTGCCACATACAAGCCAGACCGTGGCGCGCTCGGTCGGGAGAGCAACCAGTCTCCACTGCGACGAGAGACTCCAAAGATACCAGAGTCTGTGCGGAACAGCTTCCGTTCAGGCTTCACCGTCGCCTCTTCTAGCTTGTTGGACACGAGCGGCACCGAACGAAGTAGTATCGTCTCCAAAAGCGACACGGCCTCGGAGTTCGCGTTCAACTTCACACTTCCGCCGCTTGACAAGGAGGAGCTTCGCAAGAGTATGAGTGTAGAGGACGCTATTGGCATGTACGAGGCAGGCTTCTATGACGATCCACCAGAAGTACCTGAAATACCGGAAGAGCACCAGAACGCAATCACTCAGCGGGATGCACCCGACTTCAAGGACGAAGGATACGTATCTCAAGCAACACTCGCCCGCTCACCTAGCGGGCAAGACAGCTCTACCACGTCTGCTTCGCAACTCGAACGTGTGGCAAGCCTAGAGAGGTCGGAAAGTGGAAAGACGGAGCCACAAATGATGAGGGCTCTTTCTCTACCCAAAACCCACCATACCAGCAACTCCTCTCAGATAATGACTGGTCGAGCTTCTGCAACGCCCTCGACAATGTCAGATCTATCTCCACCCGCTGTACGAGACCGCTACGGTTTCAAAAAGGTCTCTCAACACATTACCCTGGTCGAACATGACGTATGGAACTTCCACTATATTGAATATCTTGACAGGCGGAGGAAGAAGTGGGTTACGCTCATGAAAAAATGCGGACTGCCATACGAAAACCCTAAAGAGTTTCCACCCCCGTCTGATCAAGTCAAACGATTCATCCGCAAAGGTCTACCTCCTGATTGGCGCGGTGCAGCCTGGTTCTTCTATGCCGGTGGTCCTCAAAACTTAGCACAAAATCCAACACTTTATTCCGATCTCATGGAACAAATCAATGAAGGGGCATTGAGCGATCTGGATCGAGAGCATATCGAGCGCGACCTGCATCGCACATTCCCGGACAACATTCGCTTCAAACCTGAGTTCGACTCATCTGCCCCGCCGTCCGAAACACAGTCGTTTGACCGGCCTGACTCTACGGCTATGGAGAATGAAACTTCGATCCTAAAGGCCTTGCGTCGAGTACTGCAGGCATTTGCTATTCATAACCCAAACATCGGTTATTGTCAGTCTTTAAACTTTCTTGCTGGTCTACTGTTACTCTTCCTGGAAGAAGACGAAGAGAAAGCCTTTATTCTTCTGAACATTATTACAACTGAACATCTCCCTGGTACGCACGGCAAGATACTGGGGGCCAATATCGACATTGGAGTATTGATGGGTTGTATTAAGGAATCCATGCCACTGGTCTGGGCAGCGATTGACGATACCAACGACCCATCTGGACATTCATCGCATGTAGCGACTGCCGCCGCAAGATTACCCACTGTATCCCTTGCAACAACGTCATGGTTCATGTCATTATTTGTCAGCAGTCTTCCAATTGAGACTGTGCTTAGGGTCTGGGACTGTCTGTTTTACGAAGGATCGAAGACTTTGTTCCGAATCGCGCTTGCCATTTTCAAAATTGGAGAAGACTTCATACGAGCTGTGAATGACCCTATGGAAATCTTTCAGATTGTGCAGAATCTTCCCCGGAAGCTCATCAATCCGAATGCACTGATGGAGGCGTGTTTCAAGAAACGAAATGGATTCGGCCATCTCACGCAAGAGACGATCGATCAACGCCGGTTAGAGCGCCGCAGAAGCAACGTGGATGATGTGACTAAGCTCACAAACGTACCGAAAACGCCTGTACCGGATGAAATAAGTCCCAAACTGGTCTCTACGCGGACCAATACAATGGACGATACATTTGACCGCATCGAGCGTGAGCGATGGGCGCAGGAGCCTCAGCCACTAGTCAAGAGAGCGACTACGAAGTCAAAATTCAAACGCAGCCTTTCGCGGAAGAAGCCACTGCCCGGGGTCAAGCCTCCACTTCCGAGCAACAACATGATCTGAGCAAATGGGAACGAGTTCTTGGCCAGCACATACAGCATACATGATACCCATAGAGAGAATATAAAGCAGTTTGCACAACGCGTCCTGGTGGGCTTTCGGAGTTTATGGCGAAGCGCAAGGGGGTGCTTTTCTTTTGGGATGTTTCAAGTTTTTGCATCTTGAGGAGGCGGAGGGCAGTCCACCCCGCCCGGCCCCTCTCCCAAATTATCATATCATCCGAGCATCTTCTTAGCACTTTGTAACGATATATCATGACGCACTATCGTGTTTGAATTTTTCATTAGATGGAAATGGAAGGAACGGGGTCCGCTACGACTGGATGGCGGACGGCGGGCAGGCATGAGCAAGTCTCATGGAACATGGGGTTTGTTTTTTGTTATACCTTCGAGTACATGTAACTTCTAAACGTAAAATCTAAAGCCCGTCATGGGGCTTGTGTTGTTCGCTTGCAACGATATCGCCTCCTGGAACGTCGCTAATATGGGACATTACCCCCTTCCTCTCTTCCTCTCTCCCCTTCTTTCTCTTTCCAAAAAAAACCCCCCCCCCAAAAAATCTAAACATAGAACAATCATCACATCTTCGCCCGCGGCCGCACATACAACGCCTCCGCATCCGCATACACCCTCCCACCCCCATCCACAATCTCCGCCCTGAGCCAGACCTTGCCCCGCGCCTCATCCACCCGCTCGTACCGCGCCACGGCCATGTACACGCCCGGCGTCTTGAGCTGCGCGCGGTACCGCACGTTCAGGTAGGCGGTGTAGAAGCCCCGTGCTGCTTCGTCTTCGTCTTCTTCTTCCTCTTTACCTTCTTTACCTTCTATTTCTTCTATTTCGCCTGCCTCCTGGGCGGTGCGCACACCGGCTGCTGCTCCTGCTGCTGCTGCTGCTGCTCGCGCCTCTCTCAGGTCGGCGTTCACGTTGATCAGATAGCCGGTTATCTCGTCGAGGATGGTGGCGATGAGGCCGCCGTGGGCGGTGTCCGGGTAGCCGTTTAGGTGGGATTGCAGGGCGAGGAGCCAGCGGGCTTCGGGGGATTGGGGGGATTGGGGGGTTGTTGGGGTTGTTGGGGTTGTGTTTTTGGTGTTTTTGGTGTTGCGGACAGGTGGGTTTTTATACAGACAGACGAGACTGGATATGGTGGTTGGGGTGGAGAGGGTGTGGGCGAAGAAGGTGTCTTCGGTGGGAGCGCGGGTGGGGAGGGTGTGTTGGGCGGGGCGGAGGGTGTAGGATGGGTTTCTGAGGAGGGTTGTGCACCAGGGGTGGGCTGTGAAGGGGGAGGTGGTGGTGATGGTGGTGGGTTTGGTGGGCATGGTTGTTTTGGTGGTGATGTGGGCGTGGATTGGGGAGAGGAGATGATGGTGGTGAGGGTGTGAATGTGTCAAGCTTGGGTTGTGTTTATGCTTGTGCTTGGCATTGTCTGGTGTTTAGGGCAGTAATTAATTAATTAGGTACTGGATGCGGGTGGTTTGTTTAGGATGCCGAGGGACGGATCTATCCATACATCCATCCATGTTGGGGTAAGTGCAGATGTGCATCTTATCGATAAGAATTCGAGGGGCTGCTGGCATTTGGTGAGTTTTCGAACCCCACGTTGTCAACATCAACTACCGCTGTTTGTTCGACTTGCAATTGATCGTAGTAGAGATTGATCTCTCATCAGCCTGTTTTATCTCCTGCCCAAGACAAGATGGCGGACGCAATTGATTATCAGGCGGTTCATGACCTCCTTGTGTCGGTGGCGCACAGGGCTGGAGATATGATGACGGCGGCAACGCCTGTGTCTGGGAGCACGGGCATCAAGAAGAATTGTGAGTGTGTTTATTCGTATGCTAGATGCTTATCTTCTCGATTGTGCCATGATGTTGTCTGGGTTGTTCTTGTACACTTCCCTTCCCTTCATGATATATTACGATGTATTGAATATGCCCATTCACAACTAAACAAGAGCTCCCCATTCAACACAACACAATCTAACCCCCAACCAGCGGCCGACCTCGTCACCGAAACCGACCAAGCCGTCGAGAAGATGGTCTCTACCACGCTCAAGCAGCACTACCCAGACTTCGCCTTCATGGGCGAGGAAACCTACCAGCCAGGCGACAAGCTCACGCCCGCACCCACCTTCATCTGCGACCCCATCGACGGCACCACCAACTTCGTCCACCGCTTCCACGACGTCTGCATCTCACTCGGCCTCGCCGTCGCCCGCACCCCCATCGTCGGCGTAGTCTACAACCCCTTCACCCGCACGCTCTGGTCCGCAGTCCAAGGCCAGGGCGCCTACAAGTACACCGACAGCACCGCCGCAACACACTCCACGAGCGCAGCCGCACGCGCGCAGAAACTGCCCCTGCACGACCCGGCGCCCATGCCGGACCTAAGCACGTGTCTGGTCGCGGTAGAGTGGGGCTCGGAGAGGACGGGCAACGACTTTGCGGTGCGCAGCCGCACGTTTGCGCGGCTGTGCGCGAGCAAGGAGGCGGGCGGGGCGATGGTGCATGGGCTGCGCAGCTTTGGCAGTGCGGCGCTGAATCTGTGTGAGGTGGCCAGTGGGACGCTGGATGCGTACTGGGAGGCTGGGTGTTGGGCGTGGGATGTGTGTGCGGGCGTGGCGATTCTACGGGAGGCCGGGGGCGTGTTTGTGGATGGGAATGCGGGGGGTTGGGAGGTGGGGATTGATGAGCGGAGGCATTTGGCTGTGCGGGCGGGCGAGGGGCAGAAGGGGGTTGTGGAGGAGTTTTGGTCGATGATTGAGGGGCGGTTTGAGGTTGGGGCGTGAGGGCGGAGCGGTGTGTGTGTATATTTATATATATACAAAAGGGAGTGTCGAGATGTGGTCTAGACATGGAGAACCAGAATGCATCCGTGCTCTTCGACAGTCAAGTACAATGGATGGATGCAGAACATGGCGTCCGTGGCGTCGTCTGAAGGATTGCCATGTGTGTGTGTGTGTGTTGACGCAGTGTCACATTCGTATCTTCAGGTAGGACGACCACACAGATAGATCTATATAAAAGCCATAATACTCGTTTATCGTACATGCAGTTCGTCAGACAAGTCACGGGCAAGTCACGGGCAAGTCACGGGAACGTCTTGTCCGCCAACCTTGCAGAAACGAAGCACTAAAATAGTTGAAGCTTTGGTGCAGTCAGTGTACCATGGCCAGCAACAGTCTCAGTGCGATGTTAGACGACAATGTCTGGTTGTCTGGTTGAAGCGAGGTCGCATACAATACATGTGTAGGCAAGGATACAGATTCCTGATTAGGTAACCAGAGGCTAACAAGCGGCATTCACAGACTGGCATGACGCTGTCAGCACGGCGGCGGAAAGAAGAAGAAAATACGCCATACGTCGGGTCGGGTAGCGGGGGCAGATTAGATAGATTAGATGGAAAGGATCAGATCCGAAAGCGGCATCCGACATTGAATTGATTGATAGGACTATTTTAGAAGGAGGAGCACGAGGTCTGGGCCTTGCGCCATCATCGCGTGGTAAGTGAGAGTCAGTGAGTCAGTGGCAGGAAAGCCTGGACTTGTTGCAGTGGTAGGCGGATTGTGCCCTCGTATAATTACTGGTGGTGGTGGTGATGGTGGTGGTGATTACGCCGTGTCGATTCTTGGCCCGGCTGCTGCGGAAGAGGACTAATCAGTAGGTGCTGCAGCGCAGCGTCAAGAGGATGACAGATGGTGTAGGATTGCTGTTGTGATTATGTGTTGAAAGGCAGCTGGCAATGGTATGATCGTCGTCAAATAGCGTGATGAGTTGAGGGCGCGATGGATGCAATTTCTGGTAATGGCATGGCACACGACCGAGGAACGGAGGCTGAGATGGGCGTGGAAAAAGGAAGAATTAATTAGGGAGGGAGGCAGCCGGGAAATGGTGGACGCCCGCTGAAAGTGCCGCGAGGACCCTGAAGAGAGAGACCCTGAGGCGGAGGGGACCCTGACGCTGTTTTGAGGGGGGCTATTATCTTTGAAACGGGGACGATGCAGCCAAAACAGCCCGCCTGGACAGCCGCAGCAGCATCAGCAGCAGCAGCAGCAGCAGCAGCCAGCAGCCTAAAGAGCCAACAGCAAGCAGCCAGTAGCCCCTCCTAACCCCCCGGAACAGCCAACCACAGCACAACAGCACAACAGCGCAACAGCTGCTGCAGGGTCAAACGGCCAAGAATCGTTTAGTTCCAGGGTCAAGACCTAGCTAATTAGCTACTGTAGACGCAAGACGGGACGGCCAGTCTCATCAGTCCAGGGTCAGTCAGTCAAATTCAGGGTCCTTTTCGACTTTTTGGGCGGGAGTGATGACATCTTTTGTGCCCCACCACTCCCTCCATGGATCCATTACCACCACTTTTCTTTACTGTACCACCGCTCGTTGACCGCCCACTGCCGGCTCCCTCCCAGCTCTCTCTCGCCTGTCGCCCTCGCCCTCGCCTCTCACCACTAATTACCACCACAACCACCACCACCACTCTTTTCCGTTCATATCCACCCCCCCCTCCTTTTACCTGCATCATCGCCATCTGCCCTTCGTTTCGTGATAGATTCTCGCGCGTGCTCTTCAACACTATACCATCACAATCTTTACTACAACCTCCACTCTACTCTACTCTCCATTCACTGCCTCTGTTCGTCTCGCTACGTCCGTATCGTCTTCGCGCCCTCAAGCCTCCCGCTGTCTCCATACACTACCTCACTCTTGCCACAAACGTCATCGCTCTCAGCCTGACGATTCTACTCCGTTTCGCCCTGGATCAACATTCAACAGAGCAGATCTCCACACTCCACCACCCTACACCCTACACCCTATACCGCCAGAACAGCCATGATGATCGCTCTTGAACGCCACTAGATCCAGTCTTCTATCCTTTCCGACTACCGCCTGCATCTGGCCCGTCCGCTGCATCCCCTACCTCTCCGCACCGCTCTCGTCTGTCCGACCGTTGACCCCTTCCGCTCTCCTCTTACATCTCCAAATCCTATCGTCTCTCTCGCTCATACACACACACACACATACACCCATACACACACCTACACTCGTCTGCCACCAGGCCATCTATGATCCCGATCGACGACCTGATCTCCTCATATCCACTGTCGCAGCCCCGGTGCTCGATGCCGATACATCCATACACTTCAACACTACAACATGTCTGCTTCACCAAGCGTCTCGTCGCGTGCTCGCGATAAAGCACACCCTTATGCTTCTCCCAGGATACAACGGGCTACAAGTAGTGCTTCTCGTTCGCACGCCAGATCGCCCTATGTCGCTGCCATGGCTCCTCCCGCCTTTACCACTCTGCCAATACATCAGGACCCGCGAACTCCAAGCCCAAACTACTTTGGCATGTCGTTTGACAGCCAGACCGACGTCTTCGCCTCGAATTCCGACACAAAAACTACACGATCACAACTGTCTCCTCATTCAATACAGAGTGTAGCAGCCGCCTCGCCCCTACCCGTCGAGTCAAATCCTGCCTTTGCCGCCTTCCGAAAACAGTCATCTGAACATGGCAGTGGCTTTGCCTTGGGACGCCTACATTCCTTTGACGGCGTTGCCAAATCACTCGCACCTCAGCTACCAGCCTCACCTATATCGCCTAAGCGACCTTCGCCTCCCAATCAGCGCCCTGCCGCTATCCTCACAACCCTTTCCAACCTGGACACTCCTACAAAGCCTCGCTCGCCAAAGCGCCAGCACTCTGACGATTCCGACATCTTCCCTGATCGTGTTCGTCGAAACTCACCCGCGAGCTTCACCGACAGCAGCAGCGTAGGCTCATTCCAGGATGCATCCTTCTTCTCCCCCGACAAATCAGACCGCCCATCCTTGCCACCCCAGACGCTTATATCTCCTATATCAAGCCACTCGCGGTCCGAGACCCTGCCCGAACAGATAGACATTGATCGAAAGTGCGACGGCCCCGCTATGATCACACCGCAGCGTCTAGTCAATCTGCTGGACTCGGCCGGAGAGGAGATTCTACTACTCGACCTCCGCGTATCTACGCAGTACGCAAAGGCGCGCATCATCGGTGCTCTCAGTCTCTGTATCCCTACAACGCTTATCAAGAGACCCTCGTTCAACGTTGCAAAACTCGCAGAAACATTCAAGGATGAAGAGTCCAAGAAGAAGTTTGAAGGTTGGAGGAATAGCAAGTACATTATTGTATACGACGCAGAATCGAGCACAATGAAGGACGCCACTATATGCATCAACACGCTCAAGAAGTTTGCTAGCGAAGGATGGAACGGTGCTTCGTATATTATTCGTGGTGGATTTCGGGAATTCTCGGAAAGCTTCTCCAGCCATGTATCTGGAGACGCACCATCAGGCTCGAATTCTCGGAATACTAGCGTCAGCACTGATGCTTCCGGCCCTTCAATCGCACCCGTCATCGGTGGCTGTCCCATGCCGCTGACCGAAAATGCTGCAAATCCGTTCTTTGGCAATATCAGACAGAACATGGATTTGATAGGAGGCGTTGGTCAAATGTCTCTCAAACGCCCAGCGGCCATGACCCCAAACATGGAGGGATCACTTCCATTTTGGCTCAATCAAGCTATCGACCAACGCAACGACGGAAAGTTGGTCGCCGACAAGTTCCTGCACATTGAGAAGCGTGAGCAGAGACGTATGCAGGAGGCATTGTCCGGACACGTATCGTATGGCACGCCGAGCCCAGGTGCATCGAGAAAAGTCAAGATTGCTGGGATTGAAAAGGGTTCTAAAAACCGGTACAACAACATTTGGCCGTATGAGCACTCTCGTGTAAGACTGCAAGGTGTTACTGGCGGGGCTTGTGACTACATCAATGCCAGTCACGTCAGTGCTGGTTGGTCGAACAAGAAATACATTGCCACCCAGGCCCCAATCCCGTCAACTTTTGATGTAAGTAATCATGCGTCACGAACATAATGTTGATGCATTTTACTAATCCACGTCTAGGACTTTTGGAATACTGTGTGGCAGCAAGACGCCCGCGTCATCGTCATGCTTACTGCTGAGCATGAGGGTGGCCAAGTCAAGGCCCACAACTACTGGTCTGGCAAGCAGTACGGCCAGCTACGCCTCAACTTCTTATCCGAGCATCGCGCTTCGTTGGAGCTCTCGAGAATCCATCGGAAACGGAACCAAACAGGAATGGACAGCCGACAATCTTCGGTCAGCCCAGTGACGAAAGGCTTCGCCGAGGCAGCCCCGACTTCGGACCAACCATTCGTTATCGTTCGCAAATTCACGCTGTCACACTGTGACCATCCATTCGAACGGATGCGGGAAATAACTCAGTTGCAGTACTCGAGTTGGCCCGATTTCGGTGCGCCCGCCCATCCAGCCCATCTTCTTGGGCTGGTCGAACAGACCAATGCTGTTGTGCGTTCATACAACGGCACCAAGAGGGGGGTGGAGTCTTCAAATAGCAGGCCCATTGTCGTGCATTGCAGCGCCGGGTGTGGGCGCACTGGCACATTCTGTACTGTTGACACGGTAATTGACATGATCCGACAACAACATCAGGAGAAGACGAAGCGTCAATCCTCAAACTCGATGGACATTGATTCGTCTCAGGGTCAAGACTTCTTTTTTGGGTCAAGCTCGGATGGCGGAGTGGATGTATGGAAGGAGAACGACAGTGTGGATTTGATTGAGAAGACGGCAGAGGAATTCCGGCATCAGCGCCTCAGCATGGTGCAGAGTCTGAGACAATACGTGCTGTGCTACGAGACCGTGCTGGAATGGCTGATTGACGAGCAACAGCACGCGCAGTAATTTGGTCATGGGCAGTGACTGTCCCTGCGCGACAGGTGGGAGGAGTATGGATAGGCATTGGGCTTCGTGCATCAAGGCGTTTGGGCTGTTTCGACGTTACATTTAGCATTTTTGGCGTCACGGTCTGGTCTCGGTGGGTTTGAAGGTTTGAAGTTTGAGGGCGAGAAATGCAACGCGCAGGAAATCGAGCGCCACAGACTAAGTCAATAGATCATCCTAATAGACATTGTTGGTCTTGCGCTGAGGGCTAGAGTGGTGTCACGTGGTGACGTGCCTTGCGACGCGACACGCCAACGCGTAGTCTGACCCCGCGTGAAATATTGTCTTGATGTCGCATCTCACCCATTCGTCTCTCTGCGATCTCTACCAATTCAATCATGTCGCAATATGACGACACGCATCGCGCCTTTCTCCAGGCGTTTATGAGCCGGGGCACACTCACCTACACGGAGGCGCAACCAATCCTCGCCGCCATCCTGACCGCAGGTTAGAACCCTCCTTGCAACTATCTATCCACACACCTTTTCGCTCTCCCTCCCTCTTCCCTCTCCCATAAATCTACAACAACCCACCACCAACCTAGACTAACACCCCACCCCCCCCCAAAAAACAGCCAACCCCTCCCGCCCAACCCTCCCAGCCGACATCGACCGGCCAACCTTCTACGCCCACCTCGGCACCCTCAACACCCACCTCCACCCCTTCGACCTCGAGATCCGCAACGCCCGCTCCCAGCACACCCGCTCCATGCTCTACGCCCTCGTCAACACCGCCAGCGACCCCCTCACCCAGCTCGCTACCACGCGCTCCCCCGACGAGCTTGCCTTTGTCAAGAGGTGTCTGGATGCCATGTTTGAGACGTATAATACGAGGAGTAGGGAGGTGTTGGCTGTTTCGCGGGTGCAGGGGTTGAATCTTGCGCGTGGGAGGGGTGGTGGGGGGAGGGGGAGTTTGGGGGCTACGCAGGCTACGCAGGGGAGTGCGGGGGCGGGACTGACGATGGGGCAGGCGGAGAGGGTGCTGGATGAGATGGTGAGTGAGGGGTGGTTTGAGGAGAGTGAGGCGGGGTTTGTGAGTTTGGGGACGAGGGCGTTGGTGGAGTTGAGGGGGTGGTTGGTGGATACTTATAATGAGGTGCTTGAAGGGGATGGGGATGAGGGGGGTGGTGAGGGTGTGGTGCGGGTGAGGGTTTGTGTCGCGTGTCGGGATATTATTACTGTTGTACGTCTTTCCCTTTCTTTCTTTCTTTCTTTCTTTCTTTCTTTCTTTCTTTCTTTCTTTCTTTCCCCCGGCGGTGTCTCGTTTCTTGGTTCGGGTTCCTGGTTTGTACTTGCGTTTTTCTCGCCGTTACGGACGGACGGACGGACGGACGGACAAAAAACAGACGGACAAAAAACAGACGGACAAAAAACAGACGGACAAAAAACAGACGGACAAAAAACAGACAGCCAGACAGACAGACAGACAGACAAGAAACAGACAGACAGACAAAGACGACTAACAGCAACAACGCATCAAACAGGGCCAGCGCTGCGCAAACTACGACTGCGGCGCCAGACTGCACGACGGCTGCACGCAGCGCTACTTCGAGCGCCAGAGCACGCGCAAGTGTCCGTCTTGTGGTGCGGAGTGGACGGGCGGGCATTTTGTCGGTGAGCGTGCTGCTTTGTCGGCGGCGAAGGCGAAGGCTTCGTCTGCGAGACGGGGGTGGGGGGTTGGGATGGTGGAGGAGGAGGAGGATGAGGTTGGGGAGGGGGATGGGGAGGAAGGAGAGGGGGAGGATGGGGATGGGGATGAGGGGGAGGAGGAGGATGGGGATATGTCTGAGTGAATGAATGAGGGAATATATACCCATGATTCGTTGATCAGGGAGTTTGGTCTGCGAGATGTGTTTTGGTATCTGAGGATTTGGGGTATGACTTGGGTTGAAGGGATGGGGTGGGATGGGGTAGAAACTGTCGATTGTGCGGATGGGCATGTCGTGTTCATGCCGTTCTTCTGCTCGGCGTCGTCGTCGTCGTCGTCGTCGTCGTCGTCCACCACTCTGATTCAATACACTCCGATATAAAAACCGGAACCCATATCCTGGGGAAATCTGCATTCTCTGTTTTCCGTTCTGTCGGGTCAAATCCAGTCAAGTCAAGTCAAGTCCAGTCAAGTAAAGTCAAGTCAAGCCAAGTCAAGTCCAATCCAATCCAATCCATCCTCAGCCCAGTCCAATCCAATTAAATCTAGTCGTCAACCCTACATCCCAACGCCTCAATCCGCACCACGAATCGCATGAAATCGACACGATATAGACCTCTATCCTCAAGCTACCCAATCTGCACGAATTCGCACTGCTAAAGACATAAAACGTACTAACCATCCCCCTCGGTAGCGCTGTAAACACTACAACACTACAACACTACAACACCCCTCCCCCTTCCACCCTCCCTCCTCCTTTCCCCTTTGTCTATCGCTATTACTCGGTACTCGGGCACTAGGTACTCATGGCTATGGTAGGTATTATATACCTTACTTTAAAGAGAGAGAAGAGAGAGAAGAGAGAGAAGAGAGAGAAGAGAGAGAAGAGAGAGAAGAGAGAGAAGAGAGAGAAGAGAGAGAAGAGACACTGTACATGTGTATACGTCGTGTATCTACCCTATACACGCATAGTTATAGATACGTAGATCAAGCCTCGTAGTCTCGCGTACTAGGCATCTATTCATGGATTACTTTTTTATTAAAGGACTTTCTCCCAGGAGATACTAATATATAGAAAATAAAGAAGTAAGAGAAATAGAGAGTTAGGGGATTAATAAAATAAATAGATGCACGATAAGAGTTAGTTAACTTAAGTAAAAAGAAAGAACATATAAGAGAGATACCCCCCTCGCATGTAGCACGTCTACCTTGAATTCGAACAAGGGACCAAAAATAGAAAAGTAGGAAAGGAAAAGGATAAAATGACACCAAAAAGAGTAATCAAAGATATAATACAAAAGGGCTTAACCGGGAGTCGAACCCGGGACCTCGCGCATATTAAACCTAGGGTGAACCCTAAGCGCGAATCATACCACTAGACCATCAAGCCAATTGGTTATGCTTGAAATCCTGGAATAGAACTATATTTAGTAATTTGGTGGACGATTATCTCCGGCTCCAATCAACTCGCATGCTACATAGACTGGTCACTGCATCGCTTGGTATTTGACCCGTAAGCCTAACCACTCAAAATTCGGTGTACTTTCCTCGGACCCCTGCACGTCGAGATGCATGATATTTCTACACCGTTGGTGATGTTCTATACTTAATTCATTGGTCTTCTTCCCCGTCTTATAAGTCGGGAAGGTCAAGCAGTTCCGCGATGGCTAGAGCACGCGTATCAAGAATGTCACAACTCTTCCACGAACAAACAAACACAGTTAAGAAGTTCCGAGAAGACCGACGCAAAGAACAGGTATATCTTGAAGATGGGGATTTCCTCGTCTCTACTGTAGCATTGCTGGGATACTCGGTGTTGTTGCTCCGTCACAAAAGCCGAGAACTGGCATCGTGAGAACCAAGCAACGGTATGCACAGATTGCAATCCTCTGCTGACATCGCAATGATGACGTTAACCATGTATATCACCCATCAACTCCGTGCATGAATAGATGACCTCGACCTATGCACTAGATCTATGAGAATTCCTATAAGTGGAGATTTGCGCCTTCCATTGATAGAGTCCCCATATAGAGGAGGACATAAATTCTATGTTATGTGTCATTCATAAGGCTCTTCAATACTTTAGTGGAACGTATAGGCTGAAACAGACTGTACACTTTATGCTGTTGTTGTGACGACTGCATCAATCTAGCTGGCCACCGATGCTTCTGGCCTTGCGTTTATGTTATTGTGTAATATATCTTTCTCCGACGCCTATCTTTTCTGATGGCACGGGAAATCTTTCCACGTCAGCTTTCAAAGGCAACATTCGTTTAGGTCAAACCAACCAGTGAAGCAATCAATCTCTTTCATTTGAGGCTCCTATAGGATCTTGTTCATAAAATCACACGAAGCGTCCATCAAAAACCCCAAGCCTGCCCACATCTGCACAGGTGTCCCAAGGGAATATCTCATTGACAAGATATTGTGGTCCGATAGCACGTTATGGAAGGCTTTTTGGGCCTTGGGTTGAGTCGGTGTCATGTTTACAAACATAATGAGTCCACCATCTGCAGGCTTGTCGGCGCAGATCATCCATCAACTATGACGCCTTACAATTCGCCTGCAACTTTTGAACAGAGATCCTTCGTGAAGCTTGATTCCTGTCTTAGATGTAGTAGAATGCTCAAGGCGTGTAAAAAGCTCAAGGCGTGTAAAAAGTTCAAGGCGTGTGTTGGTAGGAGCTCGCCCATGGGAATTGAACGGTGACTCTGTCTTGGCGTGTTTCCAATTTGCGTAAAGAGTCATGACATATATTTGGAGTATGTCAGATGGAGATATTGATACCCAGCCTTGTTGGACGCCTCGAAAGTCCCCCCAGATGAGAATTTCCAGATATGACCACGGCTATGCGCCCCCTTCCAGATTGGAGTTACAATCTCCTTGCCTTTTCTGTATGGCTAGATCCATATAGACTACTATGCCTCTGGGTAAGATTGAAGTAGATCAGAATCGTCCGCAGGTTTGATGGCTTCTTGTTGATGGACGGAATGCCCCAGGTGAACAGTATCACATCGTAGTTCCTTAGGGCGCGCAGTCCGACACAGAAACTCACGTATCCGATGTATGCCTTGCAGATCGCCCTCTTTTGTCTCACAAAGGCTCTGGTCAACCCAGCCACTTGACCAGCTACCGCCAAAGTCCACAATACAGGGTTTCAACTGGGTTCCATCTCCGTCAGATCTTATGATGATATTGTCTACCTTTGCATCGCCCCAAATGATACCATGTTCGTGCCACTCACGGATAGTTCGCTCAATGGTGTCGGCCCAATGATATACGTCATCATTCCAGGCAGATAGATCGGCGTGTAGATTTACGCGAGGCTCAATGTATTCCATCACGAACCCCACAACACTCTCATTGTGATCATCTCGGACGACAAGCCCATGAATAGTCGGGTAGCGCAATGGAGTAATGCCAGCTTCGCGAAGGCGATGAAGGCATGCTATCTCCCTGCTCATAGAGTGTCGATCGGATAGGCCCCGCGAGATTTTGGCGCAAAATGTGGTCCCATCTTTCGACACCTTGAAGGCTCGATCCATTTGTAGGACTTTTAAGACTTCAATCTCTGATGACACGAAGACAGGTAGTCCAGCGAATTCCTTGATATGGGGTTGCCAAGCGTCACTTGCTTCGAGGGTGGGGGACTCCGGTTTTGGGCAAAGGGTTGCCTGGCCGTCATTCGTTCGCAAACAAAATCGCATTTTAGACGGATGCAGTACATCATGAAGCGTCTGGCTTCGAACAGGTGGAGTCTCTTCCTGGACCGACGCCACTTCGATGTAAGGCAGGATCAGTAGAGAGAGCTCGTCGTAAAGGTCTTCGAAAGCTTGATCAACAAGAGTTTCATCTTGGTCTGAAATCCGCTGTAGGTATCGGTATTCTATGGAGGTCTTTGGAGATTCCGTAGATAAGAGCACCTCAAACAGCGTATTGTTCGACTTCAGCCTGACTGTGCAGTCTGAATCGCGACCATATGCGGCGCTGATGACGCGAGTGCCGTTCATATTTGCATGGCAGTCCATACTTGCGTAGCAGTCCGTGCGATAGAGATGACAAGAGCTGTTTGGTGTAGACTGTTCTTCGAGGGTGGTAATTCCCACCCATTCGTTTGGTTATTAATACCCGGCAGGCAATGCATCAAAAAGCAAGCCACTAGTCTCGTTCTCTGCTAATTGGCTTGTATTCCGTATGTATTCTACCGTGAGGACTATACCGGCCAGGCTTTACTTTCCGATGAATCTTAACCACCTATGAGCTCGGAAGCTCGCACAAGATCATACATAGAAGATGACATTGTGGCTACATAAACATGATTTCGCTCACATCTTCGTGCATTCCTCGGTCCCTTAAGCTTTCTGATTGCAATGTGCTACAGACGGTCGAAGTGGTATAGTGTGGTCGCTGCATGACTAGGACTGTACTGCCCGAATGTTGTATGGCATGTTATGCTGCCGAAATGCCGCGTTTGCGAATATTCATGTGTGGGGCTTTGAAGTGGCTTGTGTTCCGTGTGTTCTGCAGGGGCCTCCAGATGCATTGGTGGTGTTAATGACAGAGAACTATAGACCATGCGTATAGCTTGTATGAGTATCTTCTTGCAATAATTATGCGTAGGCTGTGTGCCTCAAGACCCTGTCACCTAGGCTTCAGAAACAGAACTTCACAGTGGGGTTCCGGACAAAACAGATACGCATTTTCATAGGTATCACGATCTACTGGGTTCAGTCCCTCTCAATACGCCCATGTGTTAAGCCTGTCTACAATTGCATGACATGCATATCAGACAGGGCAGCATATTGACATGTGCCAAGGGGTATTGGACTGGGAGAAGGTCAAACTTGGTGAGCGTAGACTCTCAACGACCTTTGGCGAAGAAAGTATCCCTGTAATACCTAGCCTCAGCAATGCTCTCCAAGATGTCAGCCCGGGCCTCGTGCAGGTTCTTCTTCAAAGGCATGCTCTTGAGCGCCTCATCTGGTGCCCAGCGCCTGGCTGCTTCCTTGAGTGAGCTGACATCGAGGATTCGATAGTGCAGATACCGCAGGACGCGGTCGTAGGGCGCTTTGGCAAGAAAACTTCGATCAGCGTGCACGGAATTCCCGGCCAGCAGAGCTGTGCGCTCCGTCGGCACATGGCGCCGGATATACGCGAGGAGAGCATCGGCGGCCTGCTCCGAGGTCGTCGTGGACGCAACGACTCGCTCGGTCAAACCGGAGTCGCCATGATGCTGCGTGCACCATGCGTCCATCTGGGCCATGCGCGATCTGGGGTGGTGGATGACAGTCTGGAAGCCTTGCGAGTCTAGCATGTTCAGATCGTGGTCGGTAATGAAGCAGGCGATCTCAAGGAGGGACTCTGTCTCTGCGTTGAGTCCGGTCATCTGGGCTGTGTCAAACGGTGTGGCTGGTCTTCGATGTCGCGTCGACGGACCTCGCAATCAATCCAGACCAAAGGTTCTCGAGACGCCATTGCAACTGCTGCGAAAGAGCGCGTCCAAGTCCAAGTTCGACGCTGGAGTACACGATCACGTGCTGGATAGTAGCGAACGGACTGCAGTGGGATTGCGAACAATTTGTTCATTGATGTGTATCCGCAGTCTGGATATTGCGTCTACCATCAATGGATGGCGTTGGTGTTGATGGTCTAACCACAATTGGTCGGAGGATCCACCGCGTCTCACGTCCAAGCTTTCCAATCCAATTAGCGACGCGTCGGAGCGCGTACTCTCCCGGCCCTCAACACCAACACGCTGAACATCTCCAACCTCCGCATCCTCACAATGCAAACTTAACCCCATTCCTCAACAGTCCTCCACTAATGAATCCCGTATACGAATAGTCTGTCATTTCTATTTGAAAGGTCTCTCCGTCCAACATGGCTTCTCGTGCCTCTGCCCTCCAGAAGCTTCGCGAGCTACGCAAGTCGGGCAAGACACGCTTGGAAAGTTACGAAGTCGCCGAAGAAACCGATCTGTACGATGTAGTGGATGAGGAAGGGTACAAGAAGGTCATTCGTGGCCGGCTTGACCAGGACGACTTCGTTGTAGACGACAATGGCGAGGGCTACGCGGACGATGGTCGTGAGGATTGGGATGACCCCCATCGGTATGGCGACGAATCTGAGAGCGAGCAAGAGGCTCCTACCAAGGGAAAGACAGGTCCGCTTACATAGCTCTTACACACTGCTCCATGTCCGTAGTACTAACCCGTTCATACTTATAGCGAAGCGGAAACGCGAAGAGGATGAGAAGAAGAAAGAGAAAACGAACCACGATATCGGTAAATACTTCAACAACAAACAAGCAGCAAAGGGTCCAAAGCCCAAGGTAAATCCGCTCCTCACGACGCACGTTTACCGTTGCTGACTCCCACCAGCCCGTGGCGACAGCCGAGGACGCCGCATTCATGGCAGACTTGCTTGGAGACATCGACACCAACATCCCCAGCCGACGTGCAGCGCCTCGACCAGTGAAGACAGAAACTCGCCGAAAGACTCGTGTGCTCTCACCGCCGATGTCCGAAAATCGGGTCAAACCCAGACCCACAAAGACGCACAATGACGATACCCACATGTTCGACACACCTCCCGCTGAGAATGACTTTGATATGCCACCCATCGAGAACGACGACGCCCCCATGAGTGACCAGGTTCTTCCGTCGTCTCCGGTTGTCAAGGCAGTTGAACGGAAATCACAGGCAATCAAGGTCGAGGAGGAGGATGACGACCTTATGGAAGTTGCACCAGCACTAGGCCATTCAGGCCCACAGTCTGCCAAGGTCAATATCGTTGGCAGTAGGCCCGTACCGAAACTCATCAAGAAACCGACCCTACCTACTCCGGGCAGCTCTTCTCCCGTGCATGCTCCTCCCGCGGACATGCTGGACGCCGCCGATCTGAATAATGTCACAAGCAAGCTGAATATCATGAGCAGCCCCGCGCGAGAAAGTGTGCATGTTGGGAAGTTGGATCCGCAACATGCATTGGAGGAAGACGGCAGTCTGCGTATGTTCTGGCTGGACTACACTGAAGTGAACGGGAGCTTGTGCTTGTTTGGCAAGGTCAAGGACAAGTCCACCGATACTTTCGTCAGTTGCTTCATCAAGGTCGACAACATTCTCAGAAAACTATACTTTCTTCCTCGAGAAAAGCGTCAGAAGCACGGTCGCGATACCGGCGAGGAGATCGAGATGGGTGATGTCTACCAGGAAGTCGACGGTCTGATGTCCCGTTTCCGAGTGACAGAGCACAAAATAAAGGACAGTTCCAGGAAGTACGCCTTTGAACTGCCTGATATACCAAAAGAAGCCGACTATCTCAAGCTCATGTACCCATATGATAAGGCAGCCCTGCCTACTGATCTGAAAGGAGAAACATTTTCGCACGTTTTCGGCACGAATACGGGTTTGTTCGAACAATTTGTGCTCTGGAAGAACATTATGGGTCCGTGTTGGCTCAAGATCGAGGACGCAAACTTCAACGCTGTCAACAACGCGTCATGGTGTAAGCTCGAGGCTCAAGTCTCAAAGCCAAAGCTCATTACCACGCTGGGATCCTCTGATAACTTAGAAGCCCCTCCGCTGACATTGATGAGTATCTCGCTTCGAACAAAATTCAACGAAAAGGATAACAAGCCTGAAATTCTGATGGTTAGTTCCAGAGTCTACGAGAATGTTTCACTCCTAGACACTACTCCACCGGAAAAGCTTCCTTGCAAAACGTTTACGGTCATGCGGCCTGGATCTGAAGCGTTCCCTCCTGGATTCAAGACCGACACAGAGAAGCACCAAGGCACGATCAAGCTGGAGAAGAATGAACAGAGTCTCCTCAGCATCTTCATGGCAATTCTGCAAAAAGTCGATCCTGATGTGCTTGTAGGTCATCGCCTCGACGACTTTGACTACCCAGTGCTCTTGAACCGTATGCGAGAGAAGAAGACCCCCGGCTGGCACCGGATTGGACGTCTAAAGAGAAGTGACTGGCCGAAAAACATGGGTAAAGGTGCTAGTAGTCATTTCCTCGAGAAGCAGCTAGCTGCCGGACGCCTACACTGCGACTTAGCCAACGACATGGGCAAATCACTCATGACAAAATGCCAATCTTGGAGTCTCAAGGAGATGTGTCAGCTTGTCCTTGGATCCGACAACAATCGACAAGAATTCGATTACGAGGCTGCCCTCAAGACTTGGGCGAAAGATCGCGCCGGACTTATGAACTACCTGAAGCATTGTGAGACTGATACATATTTCATTGCCGCCGTGGCTCTCAAGGTCCAGATGCTCCCTTTGAGTAAAGTCCTGACAAATCTTGCGGGCAACTCGTGGGCAAGAACGTTGAGCGGAACTCGTGCCGAGCGTAATGAATACATTTTACTGCACGAGTTCTACAAGAACAAGTACATCTGTCCCGATAAGACCTGGGGCAGGGGTAAACCCAAAGCCGAAGAGGAGCAGGCTGAAGGCGAAGAAGGCGCGGACACTAAGAAGAAAGACAAGTTCAAGGGTGGGCTCGTCTTTGAGCCGGAGAAAGGTCTATACGACAAGTTCATTCTTGTCATGGACTTCAACAGTCTGTATCCCAGTATCATTCAGGAATTCAACATCTGCTTCACGACCGTGGAACGAGCGGACATATCGGAGGAAGATGATAAGGTTCCTGAGGTACCCAACTCAGATGAAGATCTTGGTATCCTCCCGAAACTTATTGCTACTCTTGTCAAGCGACGACGAGAAGTCAAGAAATTGATGAAGGATCCCAGCGCCAATCCAGATCAACTTGCGACTTGGGACATTAAGCAGATGGCTTTGAAGCTCACTGCCAACTCTATGTACGGGTGTCTTGGTTACACCAAGTCGCGTTTCTATGCTCGACCGCTGGCTATGCTCACAACGTTCAAGGGTCGTGAGATCCTACGGCGCACCAAAGATATGGCTGAAGCTCGACAACTGCGAGTCATTTACGGAGACACTGACTCTGTCATGATCAACACTAATATGGATAACATGTCGGATGCTTTGAAAGTCGGTAACGAGTTCAAACGTGACGTTAACGACAGTTACAAGCTGCTGGAGATCGACATCGACAATGTTTTCAGGAGGTTGTTGCTTCATGCGAAGAAAAAGTATGCTGCCGTCAACATGGTGTCTATCGATGGCAAGTATGTTGAAAAATTAGAGGTCAAGGGTCTTGACATGAGACGACGAGAGTACTGTGCACTATCAAAGGATACATCTTCGTAAGTCCTATGCCTCTTGCTATGTCATTCCCTTCTAACGAGAACCTAGACAATTGCTTAACTTCCTCCTCTCTGGCGAAGATCCCGAAACTGTCGTAGAGAAGATTCACGAATACCTCCGGGAGCTTTCGCAAAAGATGCGCGAGAACACCATTCCGATTCCCAAGTATACAATCTTTACAGTGAGTTGCTCATACAGACCTCGTGCCACTACATTGCTAACATATCCTCTAGCAATTGGGAAAGGATCCTAAGGACTATCCTAATGGCAACAGCATGCCTTCAGTTCAGGTCGCGTTGCGTCAAATCGCCAAGGGCAAACACGTTCGAGCAAAGGACGTCATGTCCTTTGTGATTACTGGGGAGTCGAATGGATCTGCAGAAGGAGCTGCAAGGCACGCATTTACTCCAGAAGAGATCCGAGCTGATCCCACGCTCAAGCCCGACGTGGACTACTATTTGCACAAGCAGATACTTCCACCTGTCGAGCGTCTATGCGCACCAATTTCCGGAACCAACATTACCCGACTTGCGGAGTGCTTAGGCCTGGACACATCCAAATATCGAATCTCTCCTGTCGGTGGTAACAGCACTCAGAGTGAAGAATTCAGCATCCATCCTCTAGAATCGCAGATCCCCGACTCGGAGCGCTTTAAAGAGTGCTCCCCAATTATCCTCCGCTGTCGACATTGCACCTCTTCTGCCCCCTTCTTTGGCTTCGTCCCCTCCAAATCTTCTTCGGGCACCACTCTCGCCATGACGCACACAGGCGTTACCTGCGCCAACATTGCTTGCGGCAAGCAGATCGAGTCATACAGCATCATCGCTCAATTGGAGTCTCAAATCCGCCAGCATGTCGCCCGATACTATGCCGGCTGGCTCGTCTGCACTGATCCCGATTGCAGCAGCCGAACACGCCAGATGAGCGTTTATGGGCATCGCTGCCTAGGCCCTCGCGGCCTTGGATCTGGCTGCCTCGGCAAGATGCAGTGGGAGTACACGGAGCGTGCGTTGTACAATCAGTTGCTGTACTCACAAGCTGTTTTCGATGTCGATCGGGCGACAAAGGGCAAAACCGAAGGCGATGAGGGCGAGAAGGTGAAGATCTTGGCAGAGGTCAATCGCGGCGGGTTTGGCGCGATAAAGGAGTGTGTGGGCAAGTGGCTGGAACGGAACGGAAGGGGCTGGGTTGCTATGGATAGTTTGTTTGGGTTTGCACTGAAGTCTATGGTTTAGAGCTTGAGAAGACAGCTCAAGCAAATTTGGATTTGGCGTTTGGAGCGCGCGATATACACGAGAGATTTACGCATTTCAGCTACTGGTGTTTTGCATGGTGGAATGACTCAGACGTTATTGGATCGACTTCTTAAGTGCCTTCATGTGGCTCCTCAGGCACAATCGCAGAAGGACTCTTTACTTTCACATTTCGCTCCAGTGTTGCAATTTCTTCTTGGAACTGTTTCTGTGATCCGGCCTTCATGGCATATTCCTTCGCAGAACGCTAGAGTCCAGGTACGGATAGCCACGATGAGGACTGGATATAATCGAAGAACCCAGACTGTCAGATCAATATCAGACACGAGCGAGATCGTGTAACTAAACTTTGAGCCTGTAGATGTCTTCACATTCAAGTCACATCCCTATCTTTGTTCTAGCCGACTGACGCTGGCACCTACGTAAAATTACCTCCACAAGTGGAAAAAGTCAAAACATTCAGCAGTGGGTATTCGCTAGTGGTCACCCACCTAACTACTAATCCACCCCTAACCAGCTTAAATAGGCGGGAGCGAACGGGACCGCTTGCTTTCTGGTTGGTATGGCCGAATGTGCTTGAGCTGGGCTTTCAAGAACGTATAAAGGCTTTCTGTCAATGCTTTAGGCTAGGAATTTAGCGCTTTACACCTACTGCTTCCAATATGTTGTAATACTTTCAATCCTGCAACATCTCGCGCCTTAAACTAGCTTCGATGAGAACACACTACGTTTACGATCCTTTAGAAAGCGTTTGCGTCTTCTAAGATCGCAATGGCTGAATATCAAATCAGATCTTTCAAGAGCGCTTCCGCATTTCGCCAATGGCTCCAAGCCAACAACAGCTCCATCCCAGGCATCTGGCTTCAAATCTACAAGAAAGCCAGCAAGATGGAAACAGTCACATACGCCGACGCTCTTCAGGAAGCGCTTTGCTTTGGTTGGATCGATGGCCAGCGTAAATCCCACGACGCTACCTCGTTCATCCAGAAGTTCACGCCGCGCCGCCAGCGCAGCATGTGGTCGAAGCGCAACGTCGACTTTGTCGAGCAATTAATCGCGACGGGCCGCATGATGCCGGCTGGGCTTGTGGAGGTCGAGCGTGCAAAGGCGGATGGGCGGTGGGATGCTAGCTATGCTGGTCAGAGGGACTTGAGTGTTCCAGATGAGTTCTTGAACGCGCTGGAGGGTGATCGCGATGCAGCGGATTTCTTCAAGACGTTGAGCAGGTCGAGCCGCTATGTTATCGCGCTGCAATTGCATAGTGCGAAGACGGCGAAGACGCGTCAGAGAAGGATGGAGAAGTATATTGCTATGCTGAGGGAGGGACGTGGGCCATGACACGCATACTACGATATCGTCGTTGTCACACAGTGGCTTTCATACGCACTCACGAACATCTATTCATTCGCACATGGCTTGCTTGAGCTTTATCGTCCGAACAGCTTTTCGCTATTTCAACAATAGACGGAGCACCCTCCTTCCTTCAGCTTTTCGGATGGCCTCTTCAGGCGCAGGGAGAGGCTCTTCATACTCTAGATTCGCCGTATATCTTCTTAGGCAGATGAATCAGTTACTCATCGGGAGTAGCCTTAAGATGTATCGACCCCATAATCTGCATTGGGGACCAGATTTACTAGATCACATACTGTTACCAGTCGCCTTTCCCTCTTTCATCTTCTCCCATGCATTCAATCAGAGGCTCCTCGCGCTGATCTGTATTGCACCGAGCGCTGTGCCAAATATTCTGCGTCACGGCTTTCTCGACGACTTCCTCATCACTCTCCCCATTGATAAGGCTGTCACGATGGCCTGCAGCTTCGTGGTGGTGGAATAATTCTGGATTGACGCTCAAGCACCGCAACCTCTCTCCTTTGCACATAATGTGTAGCCAGATATCGAAACTCTCAGTGCCTTGGTCTTTCTCGGCTAGAATCTTTGTGGCTGCATCACCAGTCAACGCATATGCGAAGCTACATATCGGCCCTACGGACTTATGAATGGTGCGAATATGACCTGGATCAGGAGCGATCGACTTTTCCCAGGAGTTGATATAGGGCGGTACCAGCGGGTCTTCGAAGCGAACCATAGGCCAATGCCAATCGATGTTCTCTCCGCAATGACCCAACCAAAGCAGATCCCAACTATCGCCATATGGCAAAAAAGTCGGACTCGTTGTGTCATTCCTCCCGTACCGCGTCAAATTGCGCATACCGGACGCGATGAGTGGCATATTTGGTCTAATATTCACATCCCAATCAGCGTCGTCTTCGATGATTAACGTCGTCCCTTGTTTGCTAGCTTCGCGAATAGCATTCAGATGGCCGAGCCACGACAGGGCGAACGCTCTGCCGGACTCGCCATTCTGTTCCCTGATCAGGGCCTCGATCTGATCTTCAGTGGCCACCGATATCTCGGGTATCGTGATATCGAGCCTCGACCGGGACGCGGCTGCCAGCAGACCCTGTTGTCTCCATTTCAGTCTATCCGGAACATCCTTTGGGGCAATCGCAATGATAGATTGAAACTGCTGCAAGTCAGCTATGGCTCTAACCATGCCCAAAGTCGGGATCATAGAACGTACGCCAAGCGTAGAATTATCGGCGCCACTACTACCTCGCCAATGACCCAAAATCCCTGTCTCTCCGGACCTCCAGTAATGAAATAAGAAGAGAAGCCATATAACAACCCCTGTCCCTAGTAAGGCTTTGGATCTCAATATGCGCGAGGCTGGAAGCATCATTCAGTTGAGGTCCCACAATCCAGCACAATGTCTTCATGCAACATGACACACGTGGACTTAATATGTCTCGCAAAGAGAATCATTCATGCCACCATTAATTATAATAAAAATAGAACAGCTCCCAATAATTGCTTGCGTGAGGCGCCGCTGCGGCACAGTACTGCAGTTTTAGGCGCCAGCGTCCGGCCAATCACAGTCAACCAGCAAGTGCTCCACAACAGCCATGAAGGTTGCCAACCATATCGAACGGCGGCTAATACCTTCTGACAACCGTTGTTCATAGTTACAAGTACTTTATGCACCATAGTTTCTCTTCTCCACATCTAGAAGCTCATAACGATCCTGTCTAGACGCAAGTCAATATCAGTCTATATGTCTCAGTAACAGATATGTATGTTTCCGACGTCATATACGAGGAGAAGGCATACTAAACATGATGGAATAGCTTCAAGTTCATATGGGGCACCGGAAACTTGACACCACGGCTGAAGTGCCAACTCATGAGGCAACAAAGACGCCTAGTACTGAAACGGCTTTTTCATGCTTCGTAGACCAGACGTTCGATTGTGAACAGGATTGTACCCTGAACGTCCATAAAAGCGCCTATGATTCATTATTTTCGCCGTCTGTGATCGAATAACCTCCAAGGCCACTGAAGAATGGTCGCGTCGGGCGCTTCGGGCCTCCCCTTGCCCCATTTGAAGCTGGGTTGAGAGCGCGAGTCTGTAAATCTATGATATGTATATTTTGTCGCAAAACATATACACCTTGTGATCTGCTTCTGAGTCTAAGTCATCTTTTTGCGAGTTTCGTACGATACAATCCATACATTCTTTCGTGCTTTTCAGCACACGCCGTCGTTCAGGAATTCCAACTTCAATGACTTCGCTCTCTGTACTACTCCTTTTACTTCGTACTGTAGCTTATACATACGCTGCTGGACCAGAATGTAAATTCCGATCTATAAGCGTACCTATTACAGATGTTCCCATCTCCAGTGCTGTCAAGTTCAGAGGGGCAGCACTCTCTATAGGCACTCCACCGCAGAATCTCAGCTTTCAACCTGTGCCGTACGTCACAACAATGAAATATGGACAATGCAGATCTGACCCATCGTAGATATCTCCACAATGCATGGATATATAACGAGTCTGGATATTGCGATATCACTGTGTCAGCAAAAAAGTGTACAACTGAAAGAGGTGGGCTCCCTGTGTGGAAAGATTCTTCTACCTTTCATTCCGCGGGAAATTTATTTCCTGCCAGTGGCAGCCTGGTCGACAACTCAACGATTACCGAGGCAAGTTGGGCAAACGATACACTCTTAGTCACGTCGAATGTTAGTCTTGACGGCTTTCCATTGGGCATCATCGACCAAGACTTGACTGGATTACCGCAAAATCCTCTTGGTCTCGGTCGGAATTCGACTTTACTTACAAGACTTATACAAATGCGGACCATCAGTTCACGAGCATGGTCTTTCTGGTGGGGGCTTTCTGGTGCAGAGAAAAGTGCTCGAATGGATGGGGGCCTAGTCTTAGGAGGTTACGATGCAGCGAAGATAAAGAATGCCAAGAACCATACCGGTCAGATCACGGAGCCAGGCGATTGTCCGTCCGGCCTGGTAGTGGCAGTGACCGACATCCTGCTCAAGTTTCCAAACGGATCCATGCCTAGTCTGCTTCACTCCATGCCGGGAAGTACGAATCTAGAAGCGTGCTTATGCCCGGAATGTTCAAGCTTGATGACTTTTCCCCGTTCGTCATATTATCTCACACGTTTTCAAGAGATGAGTTACATGACCGAAATCCCTCAGACCATAGGAACAGACGGATCCAATTCCACCTTTATGGTGTACTTCTATCCGGAAGATGTTTACCAGGGCGATATCATCATTGGTCTCGAATCTGGTCTCAATGTGACGATACCAAATAGTCAGTTCGTCGTCGCAGAAAATATGGTATCGAACGATACCGGTGTCGTCGCGTACAATTCTAAGATCCAGTATGTCATGTTAGGTCAGAACGAATACGAACATGTAGAAGTTTTGATGCTGGGCAAATACTTTTTCACGGCTGCAGTCATGTTGGTCAATCACGAAATCGGTGAATTCACGCTTTGGGAGGCAAATCCAACCACGGATACCGATCTTGTTTCCATCCCAGCCTCACAGGACGATTCACTATGCCAGCCGAGTCCTACCGGCATCATCAATCCTATATTGCCGATGTCTACCCTGAATCCGTCCCAACAAGAACCCTCTTCAAAGTTTCCCATCGGAGCTATCATTGGTGTAATAATCGGTGGGGTAGCACTACTAGCCATTATTGTCATTATCAGCTTCTGTTATATACGCAGGAATAAAGCAAAGGCTCTACATACCGCGACAGTACCACCAATCCCTTCGTACGCCCAAAAACCAAAATGGAATCCAGGAGTCCAAGAGCTGGTAGGAGACCACGCCCCTGAGTTTGAGGGAAGCGAGCATTTCCAGAGCGAGATTTATACGCAATCGCCGAAGCTATCGCAAGCTCCGATGGAAGTAAGACAAGTATATGAGATAGGCTAAGCTAATATTAATACAGCCGACTTTTACATCAATACACTATGTATACATTGAAATGACAAAATTAATTCCTGCCCAAAGACACCAGGGAGAACCTGAGGACCTCAATCGATATCTCCATTGTGTTTGACATGGGTTGGGACCCGCATACATTATGAGACATGCTCATTTCTTTTGTGTCCATTGACTTCTCCTTACGGACGCCTGACACAGTTCTGTGTTCCCTCTCATAATCAACAAGCTCGAATCCCCTTTCACACACCTCGCAAATCTATCGCCTCCAATGCTACCCAGTTGTACCTCAAATACAATGTGACCCCACATAACCTTCATCATATAGTCTCCATCTTCGCCCGAAATCCCATCTCCTCCCAGCACTCGTATCGAAGATCTTCTGGTCTTGTCTCCGAACCCCTCGCCAACCTAGACTATAGTACAGTGCGCACACTGTGTCTGGTAAGAGTTCCAAGTTATGCGCTGGCTTATTCATGGTGTTTGCGAGGATCGATTTTTAAAGTGACCTAGCCAATGGGACAAATGTATGGTGGTAATTTCGACAAAACAATGAATGAATTTGTGTTCCACATGCATTGGAGACGTACAGACTGACGCGACAATGAGATGCATTCCTTCTACTAACCTACTATAGAATTTATCGATCGAGGAATCCTCGGGGTTCACTATTACTTCGGCTATCTAACAAATGGGATAGATTAGATGATAGGGAGAACTTGAGATATGAGAGTTGTATAGAGCGGAAGATTGGTAGACCAACTCTAAAGAAACTGAGGTACAGAGGGAGAAAACAAGACTCAAGAGATAATTAGACAGAAGATATGGAGCATACAGCTACAGACAGAAACTGGATCGATCAATCGACTTCAAAGCTGCATTTGTGTACTCAAACTAGTCTTCCGCCAACATGCAAAGTGGCCTTTTATGTTAAATAGCGTTTTCATGGATGCGTTAAAGACGTCAATAAAACGCATGTGTTCGTTGATCAGGGTGCTGTTCGAACTAGACATATCATACGACGATCTTCAGACATGACTGACATGGGATATGAGTAGCTGGCGGCAAGAGAGGTGTTAGTATACCCTTTGAACAGTATAGAAGCGACATGCTCTTTAGTATTTAGAACATATAATCTCGCATGATAGTATGGAAGGAGTGTTTCCAGCTCGCCAATGCACTGACAGGACGATCTCTGCATACAGACATTTGAATAGAGAAGATCATCTTGAGGCCTATGTCGGGTTTCTACTTAAAATATCGTAGCATATTCTGGGAGTTGGACTCGAGTAATGGCAGTCATGCTTTGAAATGCATACTTTATGTAAATATGGCTTGGATCTTAAACACAGTCAGTTGGTGCATTTGCTGAGAACGGCAATCACGAGATTTTTAAACTAGAGGCAGGGCTCGTATGCCTCTGGAGGAGAGCTAATACTGCTATTGTGAGTAGACATGTACGTTCTTGTAGAGATTGAGATAGACGTGGAATATCTTCCGTTTGAACGACTAAGGGAGCTCGCTTGGTCAAGAATACTTGTGTTGTTCAACGATTAAATTCACGAGATCCTCATCCTATTGGTTCTGTGGCCTCGCTGGTACTCACCATGTCCCATTCCACCGACATTTTTTACGGTAACATAGCTGAGATGGAGGGTGGCCAGCACCACCTTCCTATACCACCTATTCCGAGCTGTACTATAGGGTATCAGTTGCAGCAATGCTCTGTAGACATAATATTGATGTTATTACAGAATTCTGAGTGTCAATATTTGGTCATCCTGCCGTCGTGGTTCAAAACTAGACAGGCGCGCATCGGCGCTATGTTACCGTAAAAAATGTGTACGAGAGGCTGCCATGATTAACTCAGCGTATGATCCTTCGACGATGTTGGTCCTGTCGCATTTACACAAGCCTTTGGCTCTATCTAGATTTTCAATTTCGTTGACGTCCAATCCGGCATTCGAGCTCGTCGGCCCACAGCATCATGACCAGTCTTGCTACAGCCGGCAGCCACATATACAAGCACAGAACAGAATACACGCTGAACTTCAACACACTTAACTACATCCATCGCCAGATCAACAGCTCGCCCCACAGGAATGTACCAGACTTCGTCGCGAGGCATGCAAAGAAATGAAGGTCATCCACGCAGTCCTTAGTCATGCCAGTCATAGCACCAACTACGGCACGTCGCGACGACACCACCCTCGCGGTAGCCGACGCCATCTGCGTGATTTTGTACGTTGGTGGAAGGCCGCATGACCATGTTGAAGCGTGGGATGGGTGAAGTCCCACGCTATAACGCAATTCTTTCAGCTACGGGTGTGCGGTGTGTGCATTGGGTGCAGCGTAGGGCCACACGGGCAGGGATGTTGATATTTCATATTGCACCAGCATTGTATATGGGCTGGGGGTTTTTGCGTTGCAGCTAGAATGAAGTTTACGATGTTTACAACACTGTGCCGGGAAACACGATTATAGCCGCTGCGATATCGCTTAAGCCGAGATGATGATGTCGACTTCGAATCTGATGACGGCCGAAGCGCGGATCAGGTCGTGAAGTTGTGGCCTCAGGCATCATAGTCTGACCTGTCTCAGACTCCATGGAATTTCCATCGCGGACTCGCACTCACACTCACACGCCCCGACTAAAGTCAAGCTGTCTATCGAAATCTCTGCTATAGCTGTAGTCATATTCGTTCTGCCGCGCGTCTTCATTCGTAACATTAGACGGCGCGCGGCTCAGCCTCACTGACCGTGAGGTTTATATGCAGCGGCTTTCGTACTACCTAGTATCTCTGGTAGGAAACCACCAGACCATTTGGACAGCTCATTCCGCAGCAGATATTCACCTTTCCAAGCCATCATGACACACGACAAGGTTCTTATGTGTGCTGAAACTCCAAGCAGTGCTTTTGCTACAGCCCCGACCTCTCCTCCGCCATACGAGCTGTTGTCACCTACCCCAGCAAGCGAATTACCTGCTGCGACGCCTACTTCATCTGTGAGCGAGCTTCAAGACTCCAACATAGTCCAGCGTCCACATGAGCTCCCAGTAGCTCTAGTCAGCTCGCGCAGTGATCTCCCATCCGACCTGTCACCGCAGTACCAATCAGAGCCCTCCTCAATCAAGCACAGCAAGATCGAGCCCGACTCGACAGTAACAGGCTCCTCCCTCGCCCACACGCACGTCATGAAATCTCAAGTCAGTAATTCCACTATCAAACACGGCACCATACAGGCGTCCAGCGTCAGTGAGGCGTCGACATTGAAACATTGCAACTTGACGCAGTCCCAGGTGAGCAAGAGCTCACTGGCGCATGTCAAGGTGGAGGAGAGTGTGATACAGGGCGCGACGTTGGCCCATTGCACAGTGCATAAGAGTACGATTGTTGGTGGGACCTATAAACATATGGTGATAAGAGACCAGCACGTCGTAAATGGCAATTTTATGGGGAAGAAGTCCTGAGAAGAGACGGGTACTCCTTCAAAGCGACGACAATGTGGTAGGATATTTATAGTTGAATAAGACCTTCTTCCTCATCACGGGACGTTCTCGACTCGTGCGGTTCAGCCTGTGCATCAGTCTCCGGCAGCTGTGTTTGCTCGTCTTCAGACCCATCCTCTTCGTCTGCGGGGACCAGTCTCTGCGCTTCTTCCGAATCTCCACTCTCCGTCGTCATTCGCTGCAACTGCAACCCAACGTCATCATAAGGATACGGCCCCTCGCCTTTCCACCACTCCGGGATATCCAGACTACACCTCGCAATAAGCAGGATAAAATGCAGCACAGCTACAAGCATAGGTAGCCCGGCCCCGGTCAGATCCAGCGGTAATAAGATCTGCTCACTAAAATACTCACACTCGCCCACCCGGTCGCGCGGAACATTTGAGTTCCAGCACATATTATCGCGGTCCAGCAGCTCAACCAAGTACACAAGTATCGCAAAAGCCAGCAGCGCCGCCCAGATGAGAAAGTCGTACATCGAATTCAGCACCACCAGCCGGAAATACGTATTTTGCCGCGCCATTCGCAAATTGAAGCCTGTCCACGCTGCGTTGACGCCCCCCTTCTCAACCTGTCAGCTACTGCCCATCGTCTGTCGCGCAACATCGTAAGGAACAGCCAAGCCAGGTGATACTCACCAGTATCATCATCTCCCGCACCCCTAGCTCGCCATACCGATCCGTCTGCTGAGTCCACTCGTTCGCGAACGGTATGTGGTGTGCAATGTACATAGCCACGAGGAAACATCCCACCGATGCGACGGAGCATGCGATTGAGAGAGTGTATATGATGTATACATATTGAGGTGTTTGGTACGAGTTGTCTTGCGTGCTGTAGATGTATTCGTCGTCTGTGTCGGCGAAGCTCACGGTGCGACTAGGCGGGGGCCGCGGGGGCAGGGGCTTGTTGGTCGACGACGAGGGCGCTAGAGGGGCATCTTCGAGGGGAGCTGGAGGAACATCGAGCGGTATTGGCGTGTCGGTGAAGGAAATAGACGATTGAGGGGAATTCATTGCTTCCCGATTATGGGTGAACGAGTGGTGGTCGGACAATACCTATCCTATGCATGGATTGCATGGATGCACTGCTGCAGGTGGGGGCCGGACAGGTATGTAGGAGAGAGCGCTAAACCGGATTTGTATCCGTCTATATCTGTTTGAATACATCGAGTTTCTTTTCGCTGAAAGTTTATGGTCACCGTTGAAACTATGATGTAATTTTCTCTGACGTGTCGACGTGATTCAAGACTAAGCTAAATGTCTTCAGAATCCTCAATTGCCCTGGCGTACCGTAACAATTTACTTGTTGATTGTGTTGTAAGATTTAAATAAGGAAGTTATGGTCCCCTTACAATTGTTCTAGCTAGTGTACTGGAAGAATGCTAATATGGGCTTCATTGTAGTTTGAATATCGTGTAGCAGCTTCAGAACTCAGTCGTCACGTTATGCCTTGTAATGCCTATAATAGTAAGGTTGGCATAACTATTGAACGAAGACTGATTGTAATAGTTCGATTGAGAGAAATATTCGCTGTCGACGAGTCAAACATTCAGCCATAAACTTTGCACCTGCTCATTGCTACATAAAATTATCGATTCAAGGTCTCGGCTTTAACACAGATTCCGCCACTCATACTCCATGGCACATATTAAACCACTAGTGAAACCATTCAGTTCAAATTGGTTATACCGTTACTAGTCATGCTGCTCCTGCCATTCAAGCTGATGGATTTCTTTGAGCCTCTTTGCGTAGGATAGGGATCGGCGCCGAAGATGTTGTTTACCATCTCCCCTGCTCGCGATGCTAGGACAGATAGGAGCGAATCACTCAGCTGCAATGAATGTTAGAACGTCTGAATCGGACATGCTAGGTTGCATACTCACGCCGTGCGTGCTCTCGCAGCATCCTTGCAGCCAGACTCCCGCATCCTCTACGACGGTGCCCTCCTTGAAAAGAACGCGATAGTCGCGACCAACCTCCCACTTATGCGCACCATTGGGTCTGAGACCCTCGGCACCCTCCAGCATGTCCTCGTGCGCGTTTCGTCGGTAGCCTGTGGCAACGAACACAGCATCTACGTCAATGACTTCGTCTCCATTCTCACCCTCGACGTAGAAATCACCACTCGTATTGTGGATATGCAGACGGACACCGCCGGGGATCTCAGGGGAGTCGGTAATCTTCAGTATGTGGCGGTGAGGAAGAATGTGGTGTGGCCAGGCGGCCTCAGACTTGTACCTGATGCGTTGCGTGTAGATAGTCTCATATATGCGTTCCAAGAGATCAAGACGAACTACACCGTAGTTTGTGTTGCGGTCGGCGGCTAAAGCTGAGGCGCGAAGTGCAGGTGATTGATGATAGACATCATCAACACGTGATGGGTTGAAGATCTCGTTCACGCTGTGACGATTATTAGAACCACATGTAGAAACTACTATGATACTCACAATGGGGAGTCATCGCTTGGGCGCAGAGCGGCGCCTTTAATGATCAGATTCGTCTGGGAATTAGGGTAATGGGAGTGGAGATTTTCGAATATTTCTGCCGCACTTTGACCTCCACCAATGACAGCTGCACGGTAAGGATACTGCGGGTCCTTAAAAAGATCACGGATGACATGAGAGTACTGAGAGGAGTGAATGACCTTGGGATGACGCTGCGGAAGATGCTTTGGAATGCTGGGCCTGCCACCAGCTGCAATAACTACGTTGCGTGTACGGCGCTCAGTCATGGTATTAGTCCGTCGGTTTCTTGACTTGACGATGAAAGACTCGACTTTCTGGCTTCCGGTTGATAGGTTTTCAGGGATTATCTGGACGACTTCCTGGTCGTATTCAACAACTTCGTTGAACCAGTTGGCGCACCAGCGCATGTAATCTTCGTACTCAACGCGTTGCGGCAGGAATGTCCCAAGATTCGTAAACTCTACCAACCGGCCGTTCTTGTGCAAGTAGTTCATAAATGTGAACTCGCTGCGAGGATTACGTAGCGTCGCCATATCCTTGATGAAAGAGATCTGCATTTTCGCTCCAGGCAAAAGCATACCTGCATGCCACGCAAAGCTTGGTTGCCGCTCCAAGAATGCCACTTTTGGCTGGTGTTCTGACAAGTTTGGGAGATCACGACAGATATTTGGAGTATCCAGTGAATCATGCAGAGCAACGGCGATTGCCAAAGATGCTGGTCCGAATCCAACGCATACTAGGTCGTGAAGATCGTCGGGTTCCGTATATTGAAGATGGGAGACATTGTAGTCTTTAGAATCAGTTGTTTCTAGATATCCGTCACCGACAGGGTGGGCGTAATGATTCCTGGTGGAGCTTGTCAAATCGTGGGGTGAAGAGCCCCTGGAGTCGAAGTGAGGTGCCATGATCGATAGTACGTCAAGATATTGGTACCTGAACGAAGAGGCGAAAAGAAGTAACCCCAGGACTTGTAGTATGAGGTCTTGACGTAGATGCTCAATCAGTAGTGTGTAGCTGTAGCATGTGTGCCTGTGCCGGATAGATGGGTTGTTCGGAAGACGTCAATCGTCCGAAGCTAGCAAAAATGGTTTGGTATGATGTCTAATAGTCGGCTCATCGATGACGTACTGAGTCTGGCGAGACACAGGAGGCTTTTATGTACAGCTCGAGAGAGAAAAGCAAAGTCAAGGAATAAATAAGCCCGTACTTACACGCAAAGTCTAGAGGAAGAGTGTTGTCGATCAACAAGCCACGGCGCTACTCTAACAACTTCGTTAAAAGCCATTGACTTTGAGATATAGGGGGGTCCAGTGTATGCGACCTATTCACCGTGCAGGGTTCTGCTTGGCGTGGGTCTGTAGACACGGTGTCCAGGATCTAAATTGAGGGTGAGCATGGTCAAGGAAAACTCTTCGCATGCAGAATGTCACGCTTAATGCCATGTTATTCAATTTGAATGCGTATTGCACAATGTGGAGAGTTCCACGAGTGGCTAAGAAGACGACCTTCCAGGATCAGGATCTAATCTCCGGATCAGATAAGACACCGGAGCTTCGAGCCATGCCCGAATAAGCCTACTTCTCTGTTCCTCTCTCCACTTATGTCTTGGAAGCGCAAAATTTTCTCGCAGAAGAGCCCGGAAGAGCCTCGGTATAAAGCCCTTGAATCATGCAACATTCGAACTTAATGCTTGAGCCAGGGTTATTAAGCTCTTCGACGACAGAGAAAGTGAATGAAGCTCAGCGGAGCATATCAGATGGCGCCCACATAGGGAACGCATGGTGTGTCCTTTAGAAACCAAGCTTGGGCCACAGCTCCGGCCGAGCAGGATCAGGACATTTGTCTTATCTGATCAGATTAGACGTCATACGAGCCATCTCCGAGGCTCGGTGACATTGGTGGTGCGGCATAGCGCGCTTATTTTCCACTAACGTCTATGTGGCTTGAACGTGGGTGTCGCAGCAATGGATTGCTTTTCGACGATTACGGATCCCACTCCTTCACCTTCTTCAGTGTGGATTACTATATCATATACAAGCTATTCTGCATTGAGAGACGATAGTCAGAATACACCGTATTCGTCGTCTACCAGGAGTGCATCATGACCCAAGGTGGTATACATAAGCGAACCGCGCTCATCGTCGCTATGTCAGGGCCTGGGTGGATTGTAGTTGGTCAATATAGGTCCCGTTTTTTGTTTTTCTATGGACGCGGAGGGCAATAAACGAAAATGCTGAGCATGTAGACTCACAGGAGACTAGCTCGCTATACGACTTATTACTTGGGAAAGATTGCCATCAAGGCTCATTGGTGTTGTATTCAAAGTCATGGGTCTGAAAGGAATCGCGTCCTGCGGGATATGCTCTTCCATTCCGGATCGGGAGCCATCAACGGCCTTATGAGCTATGAGTCTGGTGTTTCTAAAGTCTTCGGACATTGTTGTGCCTCGTTGATAAGTAATTACCGGTAGATACGTCCAGAAGACATGCAACCTTCCATTCTGCGAAAAGTTCCCATGTTTCAGGGAGGTGGCCTGACACTGGCTCGGCGACTTGCACATTGCGAATGTGCCAATCATCTGGTCATGCATTGATTCATTAGATGAAGTAGGCGCTGTGATGCTGTTGAATATTATATGGATACCGAAATTGCCCTCCGGGCGCTGCGGTCCAATCAACTACAAGGTATTCATGATGACTTCCACGCAGCTTGTGCACATCAAGCTCTTTCTAGTTGTATGTTAACTCGATAAATCGTGCGTACATAGTAAAGTATAACTTGGAGTTCGTTGCCCCATACGGCCACAGGGATCGGCACAATGTGGCACTATCAGTGCCTGCTTCTAGTCTCCAGACTCTAGGGCTCTTTGATCGAATATGCAAACATCTATGCTTTTAACAGTACGGTCTTGCATGCATGACGGCCCGTTCTTCAGCCTCGTGGCAACTAGCCACTCGTCAGCGTCTGATATGTGCTGACACACGAAGTTCTGCGAACGCCTCATGTATAATTATGGTCCTTGTTACACAAAGAACAGTCGATTCGGACCGTCAACCAGTAAGTTGCTTTCTAGACCGGATGACTTTGCATGAACGTTGATGTCTGGCGAATGATTGGACGCATGAGTATGTGTCTACCTTCTCAAGTAGTATAACATGGACGATCGATACAGCAGTGCAGTGACTATTCTCTGCAGTGGTGCTTTGATGGGTGGGTAGCTTAGGCCCGAGTGGGTAGGTTGAGCGTACTTATGTAGCCATAGTAGAGGACGTGGGGTATATGTATCCGCATGGATCTACCTGATCCTAGGCGTCGGATCCACCTGTTTTATTATTATGGTGGCTCACAACCATCACCTGAACAGTGAGGATGTTGGTGGCCGAAACAATGTTCGATACATCTTCCATAATCGGTCATGTCACAATACTGGTAGTGCGGGACCCTTTTTTAGACCCATTACAGCCCTGTCCTCACAAGCTCGTCGCGACTCACTACAGGCGCCCTCCATTCTACTATCCCCACGCTTTCGTCCAGGATGTTACATCGTTATAAAGCTAATGCTGGCTCGAATCGAGTCTCACCATCGGTAGACCGGTTCAGTATCCTAACATCAGAACGTGATTATGCTTTTTCAGCCATCTGAACAATTACAGTGTTTCGGTGAACATTCTAATTAGAGCGCAAAGGGCAAATGCCGACACGTGCCTGGGTCAACAGACAGGGGAAGACAGCATCAACTAGTAGCATCTGTACGTTGATGTACCTTGAAATTCCGTGCAAATAGATCCAAACTTGTTTCTTGGTACAAATCCACACACTTCACTTTGAAAAGTGTAGGTCTTCAATCTGTGCGGTCTACATAATACGCCACCTAGTACAAAATATACACAACGCCACGATCCGAATACTGACATCAACGACATCCACAGGATTCGAATTCGAGACTTCAACTACTCCGATACACTACTATTAATAGCTTTGATAATTACACCCATGAATCGCTTCCGATGGCTTGAGCTCGCTTATCAACGTACTTCTCCGATACTCGTATAATTGTGTTTCAATACCGACGATGCCACAGTCCAAGTCGACACAAATTTCTAGGAAGTCGCGTATTCACGTGTACCCTGTTCGGGAGCATAGTTAGAATTGCGTACCGATTTTCATGTCAACAAGTTAGTTTGGATTGCGTTCGTAACAATCGTCTTTGACCTACCTCGACGAAGCTAATGAATAGCAGTCTGTTGCAAAGCGTCACTGTCTCAGTTCATGGCTAGTTTACGTCTCCGAATATCTCGTTATTCACCTATACTGGCTTTCAAAACCGCTGTATCCTTACAATTCTTCAAGTTGCGATCGAGTTGAAGTATTTCTCGGATGTAAACTGAATAGTTACTGTTCACCCGGCGTATACCTCACAAGATGGAAGATTCGACACTCAATGCGAGACCCCAGCTTTTAGTTGGCCCTGATGTCTTGCACGAACTTGTCAATAAACAATGTCCCTCAGATCACTGTGCAATCGATTTCCTGAACGACGATAGGACTAGAAGACGCTACACATATCAGACTCTACGGGACCAGAGCAAGACATGGGCACATCATCTAATACGGCATTTCGAGCGCACATCAGCCGGGTCCAGACCTACCGTGCCTGTGCTCATGCCCCAAGGGCCTGAGCTGTACATCACATTACTAGCCATACTCAGAGCTGGAGGAAGCTTTTGCACTCTGAGTATTGACGCACCTGCTGAGCGCATCAAATTCATCGTCAAAGATGTACATGCTCGTTTGCTATTGACAATAGAGTCTTATAGAACCAAGCTTACGGCACTTGACGAGGTCGATGTCATTGCTCTTGGCTTCGATGAGGAGGACTCGCATGTAGATGTCAAGTCTGTGTTACCTACTGTGAAGTCTACAGACCTGGCCTATGTCATGTACACTTCAGGATCAACGGGCACGCCGAAAGGCGTGGGGATCCCCCATGGTGCAGTATGCCAGAGTCTGCTTGCACATGAGCGACACATTCCACGGTTTTCCCGGTTTCTCCAATTCGCAGCACCGACGTTCGACGTATCGGTCTTTGAGATATTCTTCCCGTTCTTGCGGGGCTCTACCTTGGTTGCGTGTGATAGATATTCCTTGTTAGACGACTTACCAGGAATTATGCGACTGATGGATGTAGATGCGGCGGAGTTGACTCCAACGGTCGCAGGTACGCTTCTCCAAACGCGAGCAGCTGTCCCGCAGCTGAAATTGCTATTGACAATCGGTGAGATGCTCACTCCACACGTCATCAACGAATTTGGAGCTGGTGAAGCTCGAGATAGTATACTTTGGGGAATGTATGGCCCAACGGAATGCTCCATACACTGCACACTGCAGCCTGCATTTAACTCCGAGGACCAAGTCGGTAATATAGGATACCCACTCGACTCAGTCTCTGCTTTCATCATTGCTCCTGTGTCAGCAACTCATCATCCTGAGACTTTTAAGATTCTGCCCCTTGGCGAAACAGGCGAGCTTGCGATTGGAGGTCATCAGCTTGCTGTTGGATATCTTAATCGCCAGGAACAAACGAGTTCTGCATTTATCAATACTGAGAATTACGGAACAGTCTATCGAACAGGCGACAAGGCAAAAATTCGGAACGATGGACGAATTGAATGTTTTGGCAGGCTCAGCAGCGGTCAGATCAAACTCAGAGGACAAAGAGTCGAATTGGGCGAGATCGAACAAGCTGCTCTCCAGGCCAGTCACTGCCGCACCGCAGTCGCATGTGTAGTATCTGGAGTTCTCGTCCTCTTCTGTCTGGTGTACACAGAAGTCAGTCGAGAACAGATCATAGAGTGTTGTCGGCGGTGGCTTCCAGAATTCATGGTTCCGGGAGACATTGTATTTGTCAAAGACTTGCCTCAGCTTCCTTCTGGAAAGGTCGATCGGAACGCACTTGAGCACAGATATATCGAACAAAGACGGCATATGCATATCGTTGAGTCTGAAGAGGAGGAAAATATAGATAGCGTGATCCTTGAATGCGTCCTCGGACACTGCCAAAAGGTTCTAGGAGATCACGTCGGGCTGTCTACTCCTCTAGTGTCTGCGGGTGTCGATTCCCTTAATGCTATTAGACTTTCCTCATCTTTGCGGTCGGCTGGGTTCAAGATAGGGATGACCGATGTCCTAGAAGCGGAGAATGTTAAAAGTCTGGTACTGTATCTGGAGTCCTCGTCAAAACCAATTTCAGATGAGGCCGTCCAACAACAATCGAGAGCTCAGGCGACACTACACTCTTTCCTCGGACGAGGTATCCTGAGCAAGAACAAGAACAAAGTACAAGACATTCTACCATGCACGCCTTTGCAGGAGGCCATGTTGTCTGAAACTGCTGTCGATTCGGTCCGGTACTGCAATTGGGTCGAGCTTGAATTCACTCGAGAGCACAATATCTTTGCTATACGCAACGCCATCGAGAGACTTATTGATGAAAGTGAGGTACTTCGCACTGGATTCTACCATGATAACGAACTACGTTCATTCGTACAAGTGATCTGGCAGCCTTCTGTGAAACCTCGCATTACGACCGTGCCATCGTTCGACCGCGAATACTCCCTAGGTACACCTCAGAAGCTTTTGCAACCACTAGCAGTCCAGATATGTACGACCAAATCTCCACCGAGGGTGCTCCTACAGCTTCCACATCATATCTATGATGGATGGTCATTGGAGCTGATGTTGCAGGATCTCAGCAGCTACCTACGCGGGGAGGCTAAGGCTAAGAGAACGCAGTACAGCCAAGTGACAAAATATTTGACAATGGAAGACCGCACTGCCGAAATGGAGATAGCTAGTTCATTTTGGTGTATCGAACTCCATGGTTTTCGGCCCAGACCGCTTCCGACGTTGTGTATCTCAGATCCAGGAAACCGGAAAGCTTGCGTTTCATGGAGAATTCTGAGCAGCACTTATCCTAAAGCTCGAAAAGCAGCTCAAAAGATGAATATCAGTCCACAGGTCTACTTTCAAGTTGCTTTGTCCTGCCTAATCGGTGCGTACATCGGATCGCCGGAAGTGACTATCGGTCTTGTCACGTCCGGTCGAAGCCTCGCCTTGTCAGGAATCGAGTCAACAGTTGGTCCATGTATTGCAACACTTCCTTTGCGGATGCAACTGGGTCATTCACAAGAGATACAACAAGTCCTGTCTGATGTTCACACCCTGAATCGAAGAGCAGTCAAGCATTGTTTGCTCCCGCTACGAGATATCAAAAAAATCGCCAATGTTCCGCTTGGAAATACAATGTTTGATGTTGTCTTTGCATGGCAGCAGACTACTCAGACATACGAAGATCTCGAGCGGCTTACCGTCAAACAGATCAAGAGCGCTGACTACCTTGAATCTAAACTCATGATTGAGATCGAACCAAGCACTGAACAAATCACAGCCCGTGCCACTTTCGATCCGAATGCTCTGTCTAGATCCGTTGTTGAGACTCTTTTACTGCAAATTGATTCACTTTCAGAGTTCTTCATGGATTGCCCCAACCGGCAATTGAACAATATTACAGAGTCTCTAAGCCAAGATTGTTTGTCTGTCGTTGCATCACGCAAAGCTTTCATACCTTTATCACTTGTTCCACCTCTCGAACAGACTGTGAAAAATATGGCCATTCTAATAATGCGACCACAATCCGATCTTTTGATACCAAAAGGGGCACTTGGAGAAATTGTATTCTCTCCGCATCAAGATAGTGTTCTACTTGCCGCAACTAGAAAGCTTACGACTGAGTCTCAGAAACTGATACGTAGTGGTCAATATGGCAGAATACTTGGTGCCGGTCACGTACAAGTCATCGGTCCTATAGCCGAGATCGAGTCGCAATCGAAAGAGATTGAGATCAGCCACCCGCCCGAGACTGCGAATGATACCGGCAACTGGACCAGAGGAGAGAAATTAGTGGCGGCAGCGCTCGCAGAATCACTCGATATTCCTGTGTCCATCATTAAGAAGGCCCTGCCCTTTGCTCGGTACGGTCTGGACTCTCTTATCGCGATCTCGATGTCAAGAATTTTGAAACGCCTCACTGGATATCATGTGCCTGTCTCGCTGATTCTACAGAACCCGACGACTGTTGCATTAGCGTCACGAATTTCAAAAGACCCAGAGGAAATAGAACAACGTTCTAAGACCCGTGTTCACGATTTACAAAATATATTTTCCAAGGAAATAATAGACTGTATCTCCCTACAGTCAAGAAAGAAAGGCTTGGAACTTGCAAAAATTCTGCCATGTACACCTTTACAGGAGGCAATGCTTTCAGCTGAAATCAGTTCTACGTCTATCACATACGTTAACAGAATGCTGTTCCAAGTGCAAGGGGATTTGGGTCGACTCCAGCATGCGTGGGAAAGGGTCTGCGAAAGGCACGAAATTTTACGTACATGCTTCGTGCCGACCGACGACCCTCGTTTTACGTACGCCCAGGTTGTACTTAAAAACATTTCAGCAGTATGGATAACTGAAGATACGGAAGAGGATTTACTGCCGTCCAGGGTTGAAAAGCATGCTCAAAGCTTCGCTAAGTCCATCCCAGACTCTACAGGACCACCTTTGAAATTTACTTCTTTCATCACGCCTACTACCACATATATGTTATTCTGCTGCCATCATGCTATCTATGATGCAGAGGCAATGTCTATAGTACTATCCGACGTTCAAGATATATACAATGGCCTATTGTTATCGTCGCCGATATCATATGAACTATTCTTGAAGGACATGGTATCTACAGATATGGAGGGAGCAGATGAGTTCTGGTCTAGAGTTCTTGCAAACTTTGAGCCCACTGCGTTTCCTTACTTGAATGGAAAGTCGGCCAACTGGAGGAAAACTAAAAATATGAAGGCAATGGTGGTTGTAGATCTGGATGTCTCACTTGATGAAGTCACGCACGGCTGTAAAGGCTCATCAGTATCACTTTTATCCGCAACTCAAGCTGCCTGGGCAAAAATGCTTCAAAGTATACTCGGCGAGCAAGACGTTTGTTTCGGGAGTGTTTTCAGTGGTCGCACAACTAGCTCAGATGACCTTGATCGACTTGCGGCTCCTTGCTTCAACACCTTGCCCATTCGAGCGGACATGTCGTTGAACACCCAGAATATCGACTTAATGCGCAGTCTAAGTAATCACAACGTAGAAGTCCTTCCTTATCAGTTGACTCCACTACGACGTATTCAGTCGGTCATCGGAGTAACCGGACAGCAACTCTTTGACACACTTTTTATACTGCAACGACCGCCCAAAAAACTGGATGATCGAATATGGAAGCTTATCGAGGATGTAGGATCTATGGACTTCCCGCTTGTTGGTGAAGTCGTCCCAAGTCCAGCTACAGGCACTGTCACGCTCACGGTCCATTACGACACGTCATATATTTCGGATCGTGATGCTCGTGTGTTGGCTAAAGTGTACACTGCAGCTCTGCGATCGTGTATCACTAACCCTTCAGCATCGACTGTTGAATTCTTAGGACTGTGCTCAGGCTCACTGTCCATAAGTAACCCTGAACCATGTATCCTTGAACAGGAAGAACATCGAGGTTTACAATCCGCGTTTGAGGATCAAGCAAGGCTCTGTCCAACAGCTACGGCGCTTTCTTTCTCTTGGGCTGACAAGAAATTCCAGACTTGGACTTTTGATGAACTAAATGGTATCGCTAACTCAATAGCCGAAGCTTTACTTCGTCTAAACGTTCGCATTGGAGACGCTGTGCCAATTCACGCTCCGAAGTCACCCATGTTCTATGCCAGTGTCCTTGGTATTCTGAAGGCTGGAGCCGCCTTTACGCCCATCGACCCTGATCTACCCCCATCACGGAAGCAGTATATGATTGATGAACTTGGAGCAAGGATCATGATCTGCGACACTGAATCACCTCCTGGATGTCCTCCAGAAATCACATGTCTGACATTGTCGCAACCTCTCAAACCATCATCTCATAATCCAAAAGTCGATGGGTTTCATAGTGGATGCTTAGCGTATCGATTATACACCTCCGGGTCGACTGGAAAGCCCAAAGCAGTTAGTATGGAGCATAAAAGTCCCATGCATACTATTGAAAGCTCAAAAGATATCATTCCATGGGACCAGAATTCGAGGTTACTTCAATATGCTGCCACTACGTTCGACATGTGTTACTACGATTGCTTCTTGGCCTGGTCTTTCGGGTTCTGCTTGTATGCCGCAGAGCAGACTCTTTTGCTCAACAGCTTGATCGAAGTGATCGAAGATAATCAGATCACGCTTCTAGATTTGACACCTTCAGTAGCTAGAATACTGAAACCGTCGTTTGTTCCCTCGGTAAAGTATTTATACTGTATCGGCGAGCCTATGGCTCAAGAGATAGTCGATCGGTGGCCTGGAAAATGCGTCAACTCCTATGGTCCTACAGAAGCGGCATTCTGTTCCACAATACAGCTAATGGATAAGGAGACCAGCCCGGCTGTGATCGGCAAGCCTTTTCCCTCGGTGTCGTTCTACCTCTACTCTCCCTTAGGCCATTTTGATGTACCAATTCTTGGTGCTGGTGAGCTTTACTTAGGGGGCCCTCAAATTGCACGAGAGTACCATGCCAACGTCGACTTGACACAAAGGCACTTCATTCAGGTTGATGGTCAAAAGCTGTACAAGACTGGTGATTTGGTTCGTATGCTCACCGATGGAACCTTTGAATTTATTGGCCGAAACGATGATCAAATTAAGATGCGGGGGCTACGTATAGAACTGGAAGAGATCACAACTGTCATCGAACAAGCCCACCCAGACATCAAATCTGTCACAACACAAGTTCTAAGAACCTCTGAAGATAACAAAGGCCAGCTTGTCTCATTCATTCAGCCCAACATCAGCACAGTTGATCAGACTAGTGACGCCATAATTGAAGCCGCCAAGCGATCTGCTAAGAGACAGCTGCCATCCTACATGGTGCCCTCATTTTTCCTTTCCATTGAAAACTTTCCCCTATCAGCTGCTGGAAAATTAGACAAGAAGGCTTTGAGCATGATATTGCATCGGAACATCCAGCAATCTTCAGACAAAACAGAGAATGTGGAGAGAGTCTGGACGCCACTTCAGTTAGAGCTTCGAAAGACTCTAGCTGCACTTGCTAGAACCCCATTGGCTAAAGTGTCACATGATACGTCTATCTATCAGCTCGGCCTTGATAGTATCAATGCTGTGCAAATTGCATCCAAGCTTCGTAAGATAGGCTTCAATGTTCTTGCGGAGCATGTGCTTCGACATCCAACTTGTGACTCGCTGTCTATATTCTTAGAAGATCATGGTGGCAGCAAAGGGTATGCAAAGCATCATGAGGGATTTGATTTTCGAAGTTTCGATGGTGAGTGTCGCCGGTCACTGAGATCTTCCACTCGGATCAACACGAACGACTTTGTCGTAATCCGCCCCTGTACTCCGCTACAAAATGGTCTGCTTGCCAAGTTCATCCAGTCAGATGGTGAACTCTACTTGAATAGGTTTACGCTGCTCCTGGATCCCCAAATTAGCGTGAGTCAGACTAGGGAAGCCTGGTCAACAGTATGCCAGAATCACGAGATGCTACGTGTTGGCTTTATCAATCTACAAGTTGCCGGAAGTCAATTCTGTATGGTCAGCTACAAAGAGACGGCTGTGGAATCAAATCTCAGATTTTTTGAGGGGGTTTCCTGGTCGGAAACCAATTTCAGAGAATGGCAAGCAAGCTGCTCAAACGACATACTCCAAAGTCTCCACTTACCACCATGGCGCATAGTAGCGGTGGAAACCGAAGGTCGGGTCATGGTTTCCATGTCGATTCTACATGCACTATACGATGCACAAAGCTTCAATGCCATCATGGATAGTTTTGCTAAGACTCTTCAGTCCCAGAGACTAGCTCCAGAATTACCTATTGAGCCAGTTCTGAGTGATATCATACAGGCTAGCAAGATAAATGAAGCAGCAAAGTCCTTCTGGAAAAACACACGAGACAGGATTTTTATCAACCGCTTCCCGAATCTACATCCAGTTCAAGTTAGCAGTTCTGGAAAACAGGTGCTCGTAGAACTCGCTTCTACTACGCTTACTGATTTAGAACATGACTGTCGACATGCAAATATCACTCTTCAAGCGGCAGCGCAGGCAGCGTGGGCTCGTATCTTGGCAGCATACACTGGAGAGCAAGCGGTAACATTCGGCGTAGTACTTTCAGGTCGATCATCACACGAATCCGAGGAAGCTGTATTCCCGTGTTTCACAACTGTGCCGATCACTATTCGGAACCACAATAGCAATCGCGAGCTACTACAAGTAATGATGGATACAAATGTGGCAGTCCGAGAGCATCAGTTCACACCTCTGAGTGACATTCAAAGGCTGACAGGCTATCCAAACGAACCGTTGTTTGATACTATTTTCGCGTATCAAAAGCTTTCTAAAATTTCAGACGTAAGGTACTCTTGGAAATTAGAAGTAGAAGAGGCTAAAGACGATGTGAGTCCTGAACTGGGTTTAACAGTCTAGAACTAATATGAAAAAGCATGCTATCTCGATAGAATTGGAGCCGAACACGGAAAATCGGCTTCAATATCGGTTGACTTATGATGCGAGCTTGCTACCAGATGAACAAGCAGCAATTCTTATACAACAGCTTGATACCGTACTGACTGACCTAGTCAAACTACCAGACGGGAACGCTGACGATTCATATAAAAGAAACCTGCACCTGTATTCTATTACACCTGCCAAAAACATCGTGATACCGTCCAGTGTCCAACTGCTGCACCAATTCGTGGAGCGAAGTGCGCTTGAACATCCAAAACGAATCGCATTGGAATTTGCGATAGGTTTTGATGAAACAGAACCACGATCAGAACTATGGACATATGAGGATCTGGACCGCCTTGGGAATAAGATTGCAAATATGCTGGTAGACAGAGGTACCATACCGGGAAATCTCATAGCTATATGTTTCGATAAGTGTCCCGAGGCATATTTCTCGATCCTGGGCATCTTGAAGGCCGGGTGTGCCTATGTTGCCATTGATCCCACTGCACCAGCAGCACGAAAGATGTTCATCTATGAAGATTCCGGAGCACAGTTGTTTTTGTCTACCCGAACACTCTCTCAAGATTTCATTCTTGATAGACCAGGAACACTCATCAATATGGATGATACTGATCTGATGTCGTTCTCAGCCAATGCGCCTTCACTTTCCCGCTCAATCAGCCCACAAGATCGTAGCTACTGCTTGTATACTTCCGGTACGACGGGAACCCCAAAGGGCTGCGAGTTGACGCACGAGAACGCTGTTCAAGCAATGCTCGCATTTCAACAGCTTTTTTCAGGGCACTGGGATGACGCCTCTAGATGGCTCCAATTCGCCTCTTTCCACTTTGATGTTTCCGTCTTGGAGCAATATTGGAGCTGGTCTGTCGGTATCAGAGTTGTATCCGCTCCACGCGACCTGATTTTTGAAGACTTGCAAGGAAGTATCCGAAAGCTTGGTATCACACATATCGATCTGACCCCGAGCTTGGCACGTCTAATCTATCCTAAGGACGTTCCGGATCTTTGCCGTGGAGTCTTCATCACGGGTGGGGAGCAATTGCGCCAAGATATTTTGGATGTATGGGGCCCCAAAGGAGTCATATACAACGGTTACGGTCCCACAGAGGCTACAATTGGCTGCACGATGTATCCTAGGGTTCCTGCAAATGGCAAACCATCGAATATCGGACCTGCGTTCGATAACGTGGGCTCTTTTGTTCTACAACCTGAGACAGATATACCTGTGTTTCGCGGTGCCATCGGCGAGCTGTGCGTCTCTGGCAAGCTCATAGGAAAAGGGTACCTCAATCAACCGGACCTGACGTCGGAGAAGTTCCCGACACTCAACAACTTCAAAGAAAGAGTCTACCGAACAGGAGATCTTGTCCGCATTTTGCACGACGGTACTTTTGATTTCCTTGGAAGATCTGACGACCAAATCAAGCTACGAGGTCAGCGTTTGGAGATTGGTGAGATCAACTCTGTCATCAAGCAGAGTGTACGCCAGGTAGAAGACGTAACAACATTGGTGCTCAAGCACGAAAGACAACAAGGAGAGCAGCTTGTGTCTTACATTGTTATAGGAAAGTCATTACTAAGTAAAGGGGAACCAGAAGTGGTATCAGGAGCCTCCAGGATCGTGTCACTGGTCAAAGAGAAGTGCAAGAATCTATTGGCAACCTACATGGTCCCCACTCACATCATTCCGATCACTTCGATACCGCTGTCAGTAAACAATAAGGCAGACGGGAAACGGCTACGAGAAATCTACAACGGCCTATCTCGCGAAGTATTGCAGGAGCTTTCTGACACAACAGACTCGAAGCCTTTTTCAAGCACCGAGCGATTGATTTTAGACGCCGTAGACTCGATCGTCAGTGTGAACAGTGATCTTGCATCGAGAGACTCCAGCATCTTCGAGCTTGGTCTAGACTCCATTACAGTGATAAGTCTCTCTATGAAATTGAAAGAGTCCGGGTTGAGATACGTCTCGCCTGCAATCATCATGAAGAATCCAACCGTGGGAAGGCTGGCAATGGCTCTGAGAAATACACAATTTTCGAACGAGGAGAGTGCCGTTCTCGAGGTAGTGCAATTAATAGCTGCAACCCATCACAAATATAAGTCTCTTGCCACGAATCTTCTCGGCGTCAAGACAGAGACTATAGCGAGCATTGCTCCTTGCACGCCACTACAACAAGGGATGATCTCCAGAGCTTTGAGAGTCGACAACAAGGTTTATTTCAACACTTTTATTTTCGAGTTGGCTGCTACAACAGATATCAACCGATTGAAGACATCGTGGACCAGTGTCTACGGAGATGTGGAGATTCTCCGTACTAGGTTTATGCCTACGGATGATGGATACATTCAAGTCGTCATCGAGAATTGTTCCCTACCATGCATTGCGGTGGATATCGCTGATGATAGCAACCTGGTAACTGCCTTGAAATCAGAGGCTCGAGCATGGCGAGATTGTAACAACGATATCATCGCGAAGCCCTTCCAGATTACCTTTGCTACGTCATCAAAACGTACGATCATGGCGGTTCACTTCTTCCACGCAATCTATGACGGCAACAGTCTATCAATGGTCTTCGAGCGCGTTGTGCAAGAGTATCGACACTATAAGACCACTACTCGAGGATTGAGTTTTAAAGATATGCTCCCGTATGGACCTCTACGGAAAGCACCAGGTGCACAGGATTTCTTTAAAACACAGTATTCGAATGCTACACCACAACAATTTAAGCGCCAGTACAAGAGCTTGCATACATTGAATGCGACGGTCTCATCAGTATTCGCGTTAGACGACAGATATGAGGAAGTGAGGAAGGCGTTGAGAGTAACAGATCAAGCCATCGTTCAGGCATCCTGGAGTGCAGTACTCCAAAAAAAATTATCTGACTCGATTACTTTAGGCATCGTTGTCTCAGGAAGGACATTGGAATATCCCGATGCTGAATTGACGATAGGCCCGCTATTCAACACAATACCACTCCACATACAATTTGACAATACATCCACGTGGGCATATGTTGTAGAGAGATGCCACGAGTTCAATATGGGCGTCCTCCCATATCAGCATACTCCTCTTCGCGACGTTCTTAAGTGGACAGGCATGAATTCTGACATGACCCCATTTGAGAATCTTCTGGTCTTTCAAAAGGAGAGATTACAGTCTATTGAATGGAACCGTAATGACCTATGGGATCTGACTGTTGAAGACACTGAGCCTGATTATCCAATCGCGTTGGAGGTCATACAGAAGCAAGATGGGTCACTCCAGGCGACACTGGCTGTGAGGGGTGAGTTTATAGACTCAGAAGAAGCTAGAGAGCTCCTCGATCAATTTCAGGCGGCTGTCAAATCGTTGGTAAAGTCACCTCAGGATCTTGTATCAAACACCGTCGGCCCGTTCAGTTCCATCACCAAGTCAGTCGAAGTCAACGTGGCGTCGGATCATGGCGTCTCAGTATCACAAACGTTCAATTGGACTCGGGAGAGCGAAGCTCTACGTTCTGAGCTGGCAGAAATGACAGGAATGAGCGCATCAACTATCCAGCCATCCACATCCATCTTTGACGTGGGCCTGGATAGTATCGACGCCATTAGTCTATCATCCAGGCTACGAAAGCGCGGCTGGTCACTTCCAGTGTCTGCAATCATGCGGCATTTGACGATCGAGAAGATATCAAATCACTTTTTAGGGACCTCGCATAGCAAGACGGATGATTTAAATTCTCTGGAAACCATAAAAGTGAAACAGGAAAAGTTAGAAAAGTACATGAGAAGTATTCGGCAGGGTGAGCTCATCGAGCGTGTTCTTCCAGCAACGCCACTCCAAGAATCGATGGTCGCAGAGATGTTTGCTTCAGATTTCAAACGGTACTTCAACCATGACCTGCTTAAGCTATCACCGAAAGTTGATGTCGATCGCTTGAAAACAGCATGGGCAAATATCGTGCAAAGCAGTCCGATACTTCGAACAACGTTTCAGGTTGTGGAATCATCGGATTTTGACGCCTCCTATGCTCAAGTCATCTACTCTTTCGTGGATCTTAATTGGCAAGAATGCAGCACTTCCGACAAAGATGTGGACGAAATTATAGCAGATATCTGCTTCGATGCAGCCTTTAAGGGTTTCAACACGAGTTTATTACAGCTTAGGCTTATAACAGTATCTCAAGAGAGCTATCTGTTACTCAGTATAGCACATGCTCTCTATGACGGATGGTCTCTTGGGGTCTTACATGACCGGGTGAATGCTGCATATAATGGGAACGTGATTGAAGACCAACACCATGATGAAACGGTGTTTGAGATAGTCGGGTCTGGTGCTTTGAATAATGGCGATTTCTGGAAGGAGTTCCTCTCCGACACAAATGCTGCACCATTTCCAAGGCAGCGTGATCCAGACAACGGCGGTGAGGAAGACACAAATCGCCAGGAGTTCCAAAGTGCATTATCCCTTGTTATTGTGCGGGAAGCCTGCAAGAATCTCGGTGTCTCCCTGCAAACACTCAGTCAGACTTGTTGGGCACTTGTACTCGCATCCTATACTCATAGTCTGGATGTCACGTTCGGAGTCGTACTATCTGGTCGGGATAGCGAGGTTTCGAATGGCTCCTTATTTCCGACTATGAATACGGTACCAGTACGATCTATTATCCATGGCACTTGCCAAGACTTACTTCGCTATATGCAGAGTAATATGGCCAAGATTAGACCGCATCAACATTTCCCACTACGAAAGATTCAATCTGTGACTGGAAGGCGTGGTGAAGACTTCTTCAACACCCTGTTCATATATCAGCGTAGACCAGAACGCCAAGGGGCTACAGCAGAACCTCTATACCAAAGCGTTGGTGGCAAGAGTGATACAGAATATCCTATTGCTGCCGAGATGGAGGCTGCCGACGGAAAGATTTGGTGGCGCTGCGCATGCCGCAATGACTACCTGGACATGGAAGGAGCAGATACACTCCTACAGCGACTTGATCACACTCTACAAATATTGGTCAGTGAACCCACTTCTTCAGTCTTTCACTTCAGCAACAACGGGATATCCGTCTGTGGACTTCCATCATTTAATGAGCAGCAACTATCACAAGTAGAACATATTCAGAGCCTTGCAGAGAGAACAGAAGTGGGCATTCAAGAACATTGGACAGAAAAGGAGGAAGTAGTGAGAAAGACAATCGCTCGAGTTGCTAAAGTATCTGAGGACGACATCTTGCGAAGCACATCAGTCTTCCAGCTCGGTCTGGACTCGATCAGCGCCATCAAAGTTGTTTCCCTGTTACGGAGTAGCGGACTGAAAATCAGCGTCGGCGACTTGCTGAAAGCCGGCTCATGCATTCAGATAGCTCGTATGGTCTCCACCTCAACCGAAGCTAGAAAGGACATGACCGGCGAGACAATGAGGGATCTTGAAACAGAGTATCTTGCGCTTTTACGAAAGAAATACTATCACAAAAAGGACGATGTCGACACGTTCTTGCCGGCCACGGCAGGTCAGACTTACATGTTGGTGGCATGGAAGAAGTCAGAGGGATACTCATTCTACCCAACATTCCATTATAAGCTATCAGGACAGGTTTCGCTGGAACGGCTCCAGGCCGCCTGGACTGCTCTCGTCGATGAGCAGCCAATGCTGCGCACGACCTTTCTCTTGTATAAGGACCCGACACTAGATACACCACCGTTCATCCAAGCAACTTTGAAGAAACGGCCGAGTCTGATCCGCCCGGGTTACTTAGAGAAAGATTTTGGTCAGCCTTTTGCTGATCTTTATGCGGACAAGTCAGACGATGGGTGGATCTTGAGTCTCAAGCTACATCACGCTCTCTATGACGGCGTCAGCCTTCCACTCTTACTGGATCGTCTTATTGTGCTGTGTCATAGACCTTCTGTCGGACCCAACCTCAGATCTCTCATGTTGGACTTCACAGCTCTTCCTTCCATTGATGGCCTCTTGGACCAGCAAAAAGTTTTTTGGAAATCTTACTTCCAAGACCTTTCAGTGAACCGCGGGCTTTCAACCAAATCGCCACTTTTACTACTTCAGCCGCGCGAAACGCCAACGAACAGATTCGAAGTATACCGATCACAAACGATTCGTCATCTAGATCTCCGTAAAGTCGCCCAGCGGCATAGAATCACACTCCAAAGTATACTTCTGGCGGCCTATGCCCGCGTCTATGCAACATTCGATCCCACGAAACCCAGACTCGACGGGGTCACAATTGGCATATACCTGGCCAATCGCTTCCATCCCAAGATGGAGTCACTCCCGTCGGCGACAATTCCATCTGTGAATCTTGTACCCATCCGAGTCCATTCTCTGATGACCGAGTCGCTCATCGACAGTGCTATCAGAGTACATCAAGACCTCCTCGAAATCGGCTCATTCCCAAATGCCGCCACCAGCCTCGCAGATATATATAACTGGACCGCTGTTCGCGTCGATACCTTTGTGAATTTTATTCGTTTGCCGGGTGCGGAGCCGGGCGATGAATCTGGTTCCCTATCACATACGGAGGTTGGGGTCGATCCAGTCCCTCCATCTCCATCAAATGCAAATGATCGGACAGGGAATACTGCGTCTGACACTCCGATCACATTAACATCGCTAGATGCCGAGTTACGGGAACCACGTACCTGCGTTACAGAGCTGACCGCCGCCGGTCGACAGTCGTTGTCTTCATTTGATCGCATTGAATCGCGCTACAGTGATGCATATTTGGTAAGTTGCGCCGTCTGGTCGGTTTACATTTGTGCATGGAGCGACGCTAATTAAGTATATGCAGCACGCACTAGACATTGAGATTGCTGAGCGAGGGGATAAATTGGACATAGGAGCGTTCTGCCCCGAAGGCATGATGACTCTGGAAAATTTGACGCAGGTAGTGAAAGAATTGAGGGAAGTGTTAGGGAGAGCGATGGACTGAACGGTAAAACTTTCCCTTTGAATGTGACGAGTTGTTTCGCGTTCGTTTTTGTTACACATGGCGTACGTGTTGAGCGATTTGGCTTGTTTCAGAATGTATCTTACAAGCTTGTGAATTCATTCGCGTTACAGGTCACACACACGCAGTAGAGATGAAGTGCAATTACCATGGTTTAATTTGTGAAAACCGAGCTGATTGTGAAACAAACAACCTTTGAGATGTCCTGGCGCAAAGTGACTTGTTATTGCAATGGACCCAAGACAAAGAGTTCCCCAGCCGTCCAAGCATCCACGACAAAGGTTTAGTCCCACCAGCCCATATATAACGCCGATGCCCTATGTGCGCTCCCATATGCTACGTGCACCCTATATCCTGTGCACACACACGCTCTTCCGATGATGCATGAGCGCTTACTGATATCTCGTAGCCGAAACTCCTAACCAGTAGACCCGCTGTAACCGTCGTGATGTCGTTATAAGTGGTCAGACCCAGCTTTACTGGCTCTAGTTTTGCTGAGAAGCGCTCCGGGTCCGCTTTGATGCTTCGCCGTTGATCGGTTCGCCTGCACGTTTGCCCTTCCTTCCCAACAAAGGCGAGCGTGATCCGGACTTGCTGCGACGCCAGCTGTCAAAGGGGCTAGCCTTTGTCGAATTGGAAGCCGATACGCGTGCTGCTTTGTCGTTGACGTCGCTATCTTCGAAACGATCAGGGTATGCTTGAGTAGGCTCCTCAAAAGTGACAGGAGGTGCCTTCTTCTCTTTGCGACGGCTTGAGCGGGGAGTCGGGAGAGCGGTAAACTTGTTTTTGATCGGTGTCATGACTGCGGCAGGCTCGTCGTGCTCCGCTTCGTCGTCTTCGATATCGGTGACAGCTTCTTCGTCTGCGGCATTTGCGGCGGCGGCGCGAGCGCGGCGTTCTTCGTCAGTTGGGAAGAGAAGGCGTGGCCTGATGGACGACCGAGCAATACGCTTCGTAGCGCCAGCTTGACGGCACGCTTCCGTATCACTTGAGGTTATAGGCTCATCATCTGCGTTAGATTCGTCGAATGCGCGGAAGACACTCTTGCCACGACTACAGAAACGTTAGTGTTGCCATGGGCGCACAGCGAGAATCGAATACTCACAATACGTAGATAAGACCTTCACCATCTGCTACTGTCCTCTCCATCTCTTCTCTTTCCTTGGTCTTGGGCCCCTTGGCCTTCTCTGAGCGAGTCTGGATTCTCGCGGTACCGTTCGTGCGTGTACGCGTCATGAAAGGATTGTCCTCTGCCACATCTTCCTCTGGAAAACGTTCTTTAGAATCTGTGTAGATGGTAATGCTGCTAGAATCTTCATTGCCCTCGAGCTCTTCGAAGCTACCAAGAGACAGTGCGTTCTTTCCTCGGCTTTTCTTCTTTGGGGTGGGCATGGCGTCCTCGATAGTGGCAGGGCGATCGCCGAAGAGCACTCTTGCAGTACCTTTGAGAGATGCCTGCGGTTGTGGGGCGCGTTTGCGCGGTGTTTTCGCAGGTGTAGGAAGCATACCGAAAGCGTTGATTGCAACGCCCTTCGAGGGTCCCTCGTGTGCAGTCAGATCTGACTTGTCAGTCAGGCCGTCAAGTCGGGTGTGATGAGCTCCTTTCCGACCGATAAACGTGGGCTTGCGTACTGAGAGTTGGGGTATGGGGGAGGTGGGTGATGATGGAGGAGAGAGGTTCTGCGAGCTCTGCGGAAGTCCTGTCGGTGTGCTAGCGCGAATAGTTCTTTTGGCAGTACGTTTCTCAGATGGAGGAGTGGTGATAAGTTGCTGTGAATGATGATAGTCTTTGCGCTGGCTAGCTACGCGACTGGAGCGGCGCGGCGAATATGGCTCATAGCTGTCGTATTTCGGTCCGTGGAGAGGTGTAGGCGGTGTGTGAGGCCGCTGCGGCGGCGGCGGAGTGGTCTCCATAGAGACAGGTAAGAAGCGAAACGAGGTATTCACTTCACTTGAGACTTTTCAGCCTTAGGTCGCTATCGCAATTACCCGTCTGGGAAGTTTTCAGGGACTCTTTCTTCAAAATTGCTGAGTGATGTCGCGGTCGCGCGGTAGCAATGACGGGAGTGAGGAGGTAGTAGCGACAAGGTAAGTTGAATGCGATGAGAAATTTGACCTCCGTAGAGATGTTAAAAGGTTTGTGAGTTGTGCTTGAGGGGGAACGGAAATGGTGTGTTGTGGGATGCGGGAGGAATGAATCAAAATCAAAGAAGGTTGGGTTCAACTCGGAACGCGGAGGAGGCTGGGGATGGTCCTTGGCGGAGCGCACTGCCTCCAGAGATGTCCGTGCGCGGACACTAATAAACAAACACCACGACGCGTTTCTGGTTTCAGGGTCCAGAGGTGGGTGGTTCGGTCCCCTCCACGAAGTTAACACAATAGGATTTGCATTGAACAACGACACCAATCTTCATTTTACATCGTTCCAAGGACTAAACTAAGAGCTCTGTCACAGCCCCCCTATTCTAAGTCTCAGTCTCAGCTTGACATAGACATGGATTCATTAAACTTCTCCGATACCGAAGACAGCTTCCAGATAGACATAGACACTCCTGGGCGGAACGATCGCGAGATCCCGGATGCAACGTTGCAGTCTTCCTCATCAAATACCACAGCGCGGCCAGAGTCCCGGTACAGCTCAGAAGAAGCCCGGGAAGCTGCACTTCGGCGCGAGCTCGAGAACGTGCAAAATGTCAATAAGGCGATCGAAGACGTCGTCGCAAGTCTAGAGAAAGCAAAAGAGAACATGGGTGTAAGTACCCTCACTGACTATATGACCAGTCATGCAATATCTGCTAATTGTCTTGTAGACTGTAAATAAAACTGTGACATCAGCTTCTACGTTACTGCAGACTTGGACACGCATTCTTTCCCAGACAGAGCATAACCAGCGATTGATCCTAAACCCAACTTGGCATGGGGCAACCCAGGATCTTCAGGACATCGAGTCAGAGGCGGTAGAGAAGCAGCAAGCGGCCGAGCGACGCCAGGTAGAGGAGCAGATGAGGAAAGAGGCTGCCGTGCGCAAAGCTGAGGATGACGAGAGGAAGAAAGCCGCTGCTACTATGACACGTGGTACGGGGAGGGGAAGGGTAACAAGAGGACGCGCCTCCAGCACGACCGCACCAGGAAGAACATACACAGGAGTTGGTGGGCAAGGGGGGCGTGGTTTAAGTAGGACCAATTCTACGAGAGGCAGCAGCAGTAGCAGCAGCGGCATTGGCCGAGGAGTCAGAGGCACGAGGAGAACTTGAGGGACGTGGAAAACGCTGATTGGCATTGTGTGGTGGCTGCAGACCACTGGTATAATGTGCCACTATGGGGCGAATACCCCTGTACAAATGATATTTTGATACCCAAACCAAATTTACGAACTTGAACGAAGTTCAGTCTCGAACGCCTACTCCAAAAGACCCTCCAGACTCCAAGAAATGATCAAGTAGCCGCTAAATGATCTCCAACCCGTCGTCGTCATCATCATCGTCAGGGGTATTTCCACGACCTCCTAGGCTTTCTCGACCGGGCAATCTTATGCCCTTCTCCTCAAGGATGAACCTGGCCTTCTTCTTGACCGGACTTGACTGTCGCACCTCCGGCTTTCTAATTGGACTTGGAAGACCGCGTCTATAAGCTCCGCCCCACCCTACAGCTTCACTTCCAGAGTTGAGCACTCGCTTCCGCTTGTTTGCATGGGCGAGGCTGACGTCACTAGCTTTTCGATTCAGCAGTCCCAGACTTGCTGCGTCTGTCTTCTCCTTTGGTCCATCCCTCGAGCTGTCCGACCCAGTGTTGGCATTGTATCCAGAAACATCGCCAACTTTCCGGCGCATATACTCCCCCCCAAGACCTGTACCCATCTGTCCAAGCTTTCTTGCTAGTTCCCGCTCCTTTTCTTTGTCTGCGAATCGCTTCCTAGACTGTTCAGCGCGAGAAAGCGTTCTCTCGATGCCGCCCCCGAAATCCATATCTTCGTCATCGAGAATTTTAGCCGCACTGGGCGCAATGTATACCGTTTCGTGTATACTACGATCTCTAAACATGCCTTCTCTTTTAAGCTCGTCGCTTCGTTTCGTGCCGGCTGCGCCCTTTCGGAGACCGAACATGCCAGACCCACCACCAGACCGAGATCCAAATCCAGTCATCGTGTTGACCTCCATGCGCCCACTTTTCGTCTTTTCAATGGCGAGACTGACATGAAATTCGCAAACCTTCGTCTTGCGGAGATCCACCCAGGAGCCGCATTGCTTGCCGTCTTTCTTGACTGCGTTGCAAAACCCCAGATCACGCGCAGATCCAATCTCAATGACACTGTCCTCGCTACTTGATAGCTTCAAGGAAAAGTTCCCAGTATCCTTATTCTTCGGCGGCATGATTCCCGGATTCAGTATTGCAACCACTGTGCCCACTGTCAACTTCCAGAATTCCGAGAACCCAGTTGCAAATAAATACATGTCCAATTCCCAGTGGAGATCTGAAAGCCGCAGTACCATAAATTTGGCTCGCCCTGCAGCTTGATCATCTTCGGCTTCCTCGTCCGGGTCGCCATTCGAGGTCTTCTGGTATTTCTTCTTATGGTTTAGAGGTGTTGATTTAGATGCAATGATCCCGAGAACAACGTAGTCTGCTTCAACGTCCGGAGGATCATAGTGGGGCGATTTAACTTCCTTCAGTAGTTGGGGAATAGTGTATACTGTCTTTCCATCTAGATGTCGTGTCAATGTTGTATGTGGAACAATGCGCTTTGAGAGATGGATGCCAGAAAACGATTCAAAGAGTGATGGATCTATCGAAACAGCTGAATCCGGTTCTGTCTCGTATTGAGTGGTCGGGGAGGTGGCTCGAGATCTGAAGGATCTAAGATTGTTTTCGGAAGATCTAGACGCCAATGAACGCTGCGATGACATGGATGTTTCAGAACGGCCTGTAAGCGTCGTTGATATGGATGGGGAGGAAGTGTGAAAAGATGCATCTTTATTTTGACGAGACAGTGCATCAGATGACTTAGTGAAGCCTTGCCGCAGATTCGGTTGTTGTCCTTGACTGTGCATTGATTGCTGCGAAGAAGTACGCATATCGCTGACGCCGTGCTGGTCCTTTTTGTTGAACCCAAAGCCACTGCTCCTGGACTTTAAAACACGTTCCTGTTTTTCATTGCGTTCGCGTTCTGCGTCTCTGATCTGGATCAACTTCTCGCTAAAGCTTTTGCCTCTGGGCGCCGCATGACCATCCCCGCCCTGTTGTGACGTGGGCCTGGGGTTTAATTTCAGGTCGGCCCGAGTCTTCTCCAGCCTGGTAGAGAAGCTCGCGGCCCGCTTCAAGGACACATCTTGTGCTCTTAGGCCTTTGTCGATCCCTAAGAGCACGCGTGCTGGTGAAGGGGGAAGCTTTGGAGCTCTCTTATCATGTGTAGGAGATACGGGTATCTGGACAGTGAACGCCGGCGACTGGGCTCTCCTCGAGTGTGTAGACGTTCTAGTCTGTTCTGTGTCAGAGCTTCCTTGGGCGGCCTTTCGAGCCTTTGCCTGTTGCAATTTTTTTAGCTTCAACTGTGCTTGGATTTCTTGTAGCTTGAGCTGTAGCGTCTCCTCATCATCTTCGTCTTCATCCTCGGACATAGCTTTGTGTAATGCATTGAGTCGAGATGTAGGCTGCGGTCGCTTCGTTGGGGATGGTGATGCGTCGCGATTTAGTCGGCTTTCGAGTCTCTTTCGCCCGCTCGGGGACGTCAACAATGCCTCGTGTGGAGACCTTGGCGGCCAATTTCTCTGCCTTTCCGGTACTTGTTAATGCGTCAGTCTTTTGCCCTCGTTTCCATTGACCACCTTACCTCGAGACATTGAATATCTAGGGGCCAAAGAGCCGGATGACGTTATTCGAACGACGCGCCCTAGATGCTGATCGTGACAACGAGTACTGGTCCATCACGATAGTGAAGGCTAGAATGTACAAGGTTCGCCGTGCCACATCCAGGTTGTTCACATATCCGAAACGGCTTAAAGAATGCGCACTGTCCAATCGACGGTCGTTAATGCTTGGGTTCTCGTCGCGTGAGTGAGCTACGCCAAGACATAAACGACGCGTCGCCTAGCGCGAAACGACCGGGCGTTGATTGTGCTTGGATACATCCATTCGTGATCTCTCCCAAAAAGGTTCGTACAGCAATTGATACCATGAAAACACGCTCAAAGCCCCCAAAGTCCTCAACTTCTAAGGAGGTAGAGGCGACCACACAGCAAACAACCGCATCCTTACCAGCGTGCGTCGATAATCCGCCTATACCTTTCGTTCTGCCAGAAGGTCTCTCCGAGAATGCGCGCATAGTCACCCTGGCAAATCCAGCTACTACGTCTCCCAACCGCTATCTTTTCTGCCCAAGCAAAGGTTTCTATGAGTTCACAAGGATCGCTGCACCGAAGAGGTTACCGAGGAGCTGGCTCTTCAGTCCATCGCAAAATGGTCCCGTGGACGTAGCGAGTGTAGAGGGAGACTGTATAAAAACGAGTAAAGATGAGGATACAGGAAAGCCTGTGCCATTTTCGGATGGTTACGTGACTTCAGCACCCGACTTGATGATAGCAACCCATATGGATCCGTTATTCCTCTTACTTCCAGTTCTGGCGCCTTCCGCGAAAGTCAAAGCACCTCAGAAACAAATGTTCTTATCCTTAGACGACCATCTCGAGAAACTCAGCGATTCGTCTCGGCACCTCAAATTCTTGTTGAATAACGTAAAAGCAAGGGAAATTCTAGAGAAGCGGATGGCTGCTGTATGCGACGATGTTGATGCAGGTGGTGAGCAAATGTATAGATTATCAGACGAAAAGTTGGTTCAAGAGCTACTGTCCAAGGCAAAGAGGATGACGGATAATGGCCTTCCCGCGTCCTTGGAGGAGAAATACGTTCGCCTTGTATTGCAGATACCGGTCCTCAGTGTTAAGCGAGAGGACAGCTCTACGAGCGTAGAAGTATCACAAGCAGACAACCTTATTGATACGGAGGGCACGCGGACGCCTTCCGACACCAGTGCAGAATCACAACTGTCGACCGATTCTGCGCTCAGCACAGAAACCGTAGCGACCTCTGTGTCAATCAGCACTGCGACGTCCGCATCCAAGACCCCACTTATCGAAGCCCCCGAAGGTATACCCGATCTCCTGCGCCTTAAAACAGCATTCTCCTTTATCCTCTCATCCTATGTCCCATGTCATCTCCATCCTACTCTCACATCCCACCTCTCGAGCCAGAAGGCTATCGACTTCAGCCCCCTCGATGCGCATCTAGCTCACATCGCCAGCTTGCGCGAGAAGGCCCAAGCCCTGCGCTCCATCACCGATAACATCAGCCGTAAGCGCGCAGCGGACGACGATGATGAGGCCGCGGCGTTGCGCGCTGAGAAAAAATTGAAAAAGGAAGAAGAAGAACGAAAAAAGAAGTCCGAGAGCCGGGGTGTGAGAGACCTGAAGAAGGTGAATACAGCTGGGATGAAGAAACTGAGTTCGTTCTTCACGAAGGCCCCGGCAAAGAAGTGAATGGTCGAGTGATGTTTATTGCTCCGGGTACATGGGATACTTTAGTGCACTCCTCACTCGTACATTGATGGTATGAGGCCTGCCCGACGGGAACCTAAACCACCCACGAGCTGCTCTGAGAGACACTAATTGCACGGATACACCACAGACCCGACTTGCCACCATGTTAGTCCCTATCAGGTTCATGGACGCCTCCGTGGGCAAATATTACATAACGATCTGTCTCGGATCATGTGATCCAGTAGCAATCGCGTCAGAATCGCTCTGGCAGCCAGTGACCCTTTTACGAGCTCCAACTAGACTATTCTATCTCGAGAGTTCGAAGCGGACTTCAATCAACAAGACCGTCGTCTGTGGCCGATTGCGAGATGAACAACAATTCAACAACGGATTTTGGATCTTTGCACAAAATTTGAACAGCACTGAGACTTTTGCGCATATCCATGGAAGTGCTCCGGCTCCTACGTGAGAATAACATCCCATATCAACCTGTCGACGAACGGATGTGGCGAATGAACATGCCCTAGGTGCCAGGAGGGAGCGATGGTAAAGGGTCAACTCCGACCGCATCTGGTGTAATGCGCATCGAAGAACTTTCGAACCGATCAACCAACGGTCGAAGGTATGGATTCGATAACAACAGACAGGAGAAGGAAAGCCCGTATTCTTGTCTAAGCATTCAACTGGTTCTCAAAAAAGATTTCGGCGGGTCGTAAAAGGATCCGAGCGCGGAAGTGCCGTCATATTTGAAGGATCGATTATATCGCACGCTCTTGTGAAATGGTAATCGTTTGTCATCACTCGAGGTTCGCTTGCAGATTTCTGTGACGTCTCACTGCACATTGTATCCAATCGTTCACTATATTCTAGATTTCTGTCTGAGCTTTGGTACATAGGCACAGTAGCATCTCGTTTCCAATTAATGCAAGACGATTTCGGGTCTCTGCCCTCTAGCTTCTCGAAAAGTGCGCGAGGATGGGCTTACGCTCAAAAATGGAGAGACACAGTAGCACCCACTTTCCGACTGCCTTGCATGTGTGCCGTCGGTCCCTTGAAAAGATGAGCGCGTAAGTGGGCCTGTCTCTCGTGTTGGAGAGGCATAGTTGTCCCGATTACCGGAAGAAATCCAACGCATTTTGAGGCTTCTTGCAACGCGTAGACAATCCGCGCAGCTCTGATACTTGAGGCTCCAGTTTCACGATCATAGAGGCGGATAGAAACTTGCATCTCCTCTCACTTTAGACAGATTGACAAAGAGGCACTGCAATGTACTTCTGTAGAATAGAAAGGAGGCAAAGGAACACACTATGTGTGGATTCTGCGAGCCGGTTTCGAATTCAAGTGAAAAATTCGACTCGGGTTTTCCAGAGGGTTTGCAAGATCTCGAATATATGGACTCGCATAAAGTGCACAATCCAACGCTGGCCGAGCTCACAGTCAATAATCCGGTCTTGCTATCTTTATGCGCACTAAGCTGATCATGGCCGGGTGCTTCATTGCTACTAGCTCAACGGGAGGGGGGAGTCGCGCCGGCGCCAAAAGCTTTAGCAACGGAAGCATAAGGCTTTTAGAGGCCGAGATCTCTGGTATGGAGTGGAAGTACAGCTACCCTCGGACTCGCAGTCGGGGAAGTTCTATACGTTGTACAGGGCATGGGATCGGCTGTCCAGGTCTGGTGACCTCGAAATTCATACTACTTGTATTGATGTCATGGGATGAGACGACATGGTCTAGCAGGAGAGGGGTAGGCTGAAATATTGACCGTGCCCAGGATTTCCTAGGCAGATTCAACGCATTGGTCGTTTTTCTTCTGTTCTCACGGGCATTCCAGTGTTTCTGCGCTTCCGAGCTCTTATGGCTGGGGAACCCTCTCGATTTTGTGAATGGTTACTAGAAGGGGTTGAAATTTCAGTATCAGGGATGGTAGTCCCTTCGGTCAACTGAGAAATTTCGCGTTGTGTATCCTCCGGAGCTCTGCACAAGTCAGAATCACGGTACCTCTTCCGTCCTCGAGATGGCGTGCGAGACAATCCATTTGGTGACGGGCTGTGAAAATTGTCGTCGTCATCAACATCTCCCTCGGTCCGTGATCTTTTCGTTGGGCTTTTACTGGAACGCTTATTGGACGAACTTCGGGGCTTTCTAGGAGGCAGAGACACGTCCGCCTCCTCAAGCTTCATAGTTTGTAGATTCCACTTCCATGCAGTTCTTCCGAGACCATCGTGTTTGAAGAACGTTGCAAGACTGAATACTTTGATGGCGTATGCGGCGAAAAGATATTGAACACTAATTCCAGAAATCCGGTGCAATGATGTATTCTGATATAATGTCGTTAACTCGCCGGCAGTATCGGGTCGTATAACATGTAAAACGAGTGACAGGGCTGATGTCGATTGAGAAGGAGATTGATAGATGGGCACTTCCCCGTCGTTGATTGGTGCATGTATGTGTTTGGGCAAGATGGTCATTTTATCCGAGTCAAGAAGAGTATGGATGTCTGCACGAAGTACGACGACGTTGGCAGGAGAGTTGATGCACAGTTCATTAGCATCAGCTTCTGCTAGCTTGTATACTTCCATGTTGTTTCTGTCAAACCACTCCAGCAGTCTGCTGTGTATCAAGTGAGATTTCTGTGTTCCCATTTGGTGGCCCGTTACTCTACAGCTGATATCTCGATTGAAAACGGAACGCAAGTCGTCATACCGGCCATGCGCGCGATCCGGCTGAGGGGGTATGTAGAGGGACTTCCAATAATGTGGCAAACGATCATGAGGAAAGGGCCAGTCGTCAAAAGTTAGAACTATCGGATACATTTCTATATTTCTCAGTGATGGACTTGCCCTGCGAAGTAATTACATGCCTTTGTGTGTTACATGGAAGTAATATCGCTCCAAGGTCAGCAGATGCTCTGGGTCATGAGGAACGCGGGTACCATTTGGCTCATTTTCCGTGAAGAAAGTATCGATGAACTCGTTGCCGGCTAGTATACCGCAAGCCAGACGCGCAGTCTCTAAATGGATGCCAAACGCGCCGTTGTTGCTTTTATCAACTGCGGGTAGCACGATGAGCGTGTTTCTGGGATAGCAGTAGCCAGGGTGACAGAAATAAACTTTCTTTGGTGATGGAGATTCCCTAAATGAAGCACTGCTCTGTGCGACACGATATTGAATCATGATGAGGGGGGTGGGATGATCAAGACGGTCAAGACGGTCAAGTCCTTCGCAAGGCAGTTCGCGAAGGATGGTGTTGAGGCAGAAAGTTCACCGCCTGGCAGAACCGAGGCCTAATTTGTGAGGCCTCAGGCAAAGACGGTGGCCACGACGAATGCATTTCCAACAGCAACACCACAATCAGTCTTCAACTTTAGTATTCGAGTTGCGTTTCACTTAAAACTTCTTCCCTCAGCTACTTGGGCCAATTCTGGCCTAGACTTTGTGGATGTACATTATAAATAGCTAGAGCCACGTTTTTTCAACTGACTTGCCATTTGCGAGCCGAGCAGGACAAGATTGCTCTCCTCTATCGGAACACCCACATGGTCTACACGGCGGGATGGTTTTTGATGGCTCTCGTGCAAGCGCTTTTTCGCGTGCTTTCTGCCACTGTGTGGTGGGTTTGGGGCGAGAATAGTTTAGGATGTTGGTCGTTGGGATGCTGTATTTTGGGGAGGTGGGACTTTCATTGTGATTACCTAGATACTACCAAGTGCTTTGCCCCCGGATATCTCATCAATCTTCATTGCGTCTTTTAGTCCACATAGCTCAGACAATCCCCGTGGGCCTTTTTCGCCATAGTTCACTTTGCCATCCGATTTCAGCGCTTTCAGGGCCTCTGTTGACGCCTTCTGTGATGCTTCAAGTAGCATGAGTGGTACAATCGTCATCCTGAAGCCGAGGTCCTGTGCCTGTCTCATCGACCAGTTCGGCGTCAGTCCGCCCGGCACGAGGTTCAGCAGCATAGGCGTCTCGCCCATGATCTCACAGACCGCTGTCGCCTGCGCTTCATTCCTGATGCCTTCAAGAAACGCCACATCTGCACCCGCACCGATTGCAGCACGCAGCCGCTCGATCGCTTCATCAAAGCCTGGCCCGGCAAGCGCGTCGGTGCGGGCAATGATGATGATATCGCTCTGCGCTCTCGTGCGCGCTTCGACGGCGGCCTTGATCCGGCTCACGAATTCTTCCTTCGTGACGAGCTCCTTGCCTAGCAGATGGCCGCAGCGCTTCGTCTGGACTTGGTCCTCGAGATGGAATGCAGCAACGCCGGCTTGGATGTACTGGCTGACGGTCCGCGCGACGGCGATAGGGCCGCCGTAGCCGGTATCTGCGTCGGCGATGAGGGGGATCGAGGGATCGAGGTTGGCGATGAGAGAGGCATTCGCAATCATGTCAGATGCGGTTGCAAGGCCCAAGTCGGGCCAGCCGATGCGCGAGAGGGAAGTGCCACTGGGGCCAGGAGGGTTAGTTCTCATCGTTCGACAGGATGAGGTCTGTCACGTACAAACCAGTCATGTACAAAGCGTCGAAACCGACGTTGAGAGCTAGACGAGCTGTGAAACCATCGTATACCCCTGGTGCTACGACCATCCTGCTCTTATCGTTTAATAGTTCCCGGAGGCGCGTGGAGGCACGCACTGTTGGAGCTTGCGATGCCATGCTTCTAAATGAGTTTGACAGTCTTGATATGAAGATATACTGTTCTCACGAGTCTTGATATATTTACCAAGGTCATTTCTACTATAATGCTTTGTGCGGGCTTGTCAGAAGTGACGTGCTGTGGCAAGTCAGCTCTACCGAGCTTGGTCTCAAACCTTGGAGCTTTTGATGGAGCTCCAGCTGCTGCATGTCCCGATATCGGATCATGACGAGGTTCATATGGCGTTGTCAATATGGAACCTGTACATCATGTTGTCCTGCACGATCTCTAGCTTTAGTGATCGGACGCGTGATGGAACGTTCATTAGGATTGTTTGGGACAAGACTCAAGAGTGAACAGCACGGTTCATTGGCGGTGTTAGCTGCCTCAGGCACGAATTCCAACCCGATTAGACAAGGTGCAGATGGGTTTACGCTGGCTCCTGTTCATTGCACCTTGTAAACCAAGACAAAAGCAAAGATGCGTGAGTAGATAGTATCAACAAATACGTCAGCTGCGCACCTCGTATTTCAACCTCGCCAAACGACTGATGGCTGTCCACCGCACTAACGACGCATATCAAACGCCTTTCGTACTGAGGGCGCGTGTCGGCCCGGCAAACACGAGCCACGACGCCACCATTTGGCATTACCACAACTGCTCCAGTCAAGTAATTTTCCTATGAGCGGCAGCAGTCAGCCAGGATCCGGGGGTGTGCCGAATGCGACCGAATCCTCCGAGTCAAGCCCAAAGTCCGTCCTAGCGGCCTCCGGACGGACCGCTCGCGTACAATCAAGGTTTATTTCGACGACATGACATGACATGGCATGGGAAACACGCTCTTCAGCTATCCACGGTCAAGCATGGCACTCCGGCGAACGCGTTCTAGACGGATGCGAGTGCTGGGTTCGAGTGTAAGCGAGGATGAGCATGTCGCAAGGATGCGCGGGCGTGCCGAATCTGATGCCCTGGTCGTGCTGGATATGGACTGATTCAGGATAGTCAGGGTCGAGGATGGATGCGGATATGGCTGCAAGTCATGGCGTGTCCATCGTATTGGCAATTGCCTACCGATATGGTGGCGCTGTCTCGTTACGGGCGAGTCAGGGGTTCAGGGAGTGGATACGGCAGGGCTGAATCGCGTGCTGTATACGGTTTCCTGTCACGCTGTAAGCGGCTTGCTTGTCTGCTTTCGCGAACGACCGGTTACCTGGTTTGTCCAATATGGCGTTCCCGGTTTGGGTGCCGCTCGTTTGGGAATCCTCTGCTGATGCAGGATGCATGTTCTCCACTGTAGATACACAGCACTACACGTCAGACAGCCCTGTGGAGCGGCTGACAAGTCCCAGCCTTGCCAAACGCCTCTCAATATCCTTCGACCACATACAGAAGATTCTAGCGAGCATCATAGTCCCAAAATCTCCACACCATGTCTCCACCATGGTCCCGCCAGAGAGGACAGACTAATGGCACCGAGTCGTAAACCACATAGACAATCAAACAAGATCCGCAAATGCAATCCCCATCTACCTATCCCTCCACCTTTCGACCACATACAGAATGTTCTAGCGAGCATGATAATCCCAAAACTCTCCACTCCCCGTCTCCACTCCCCACCATAGTCTCGCCCCAGACAAACAAGAACACCGAATCATGAACCGTGTAGACAATCAACCAAAATCCCAGGAACACTCCATTCCTACCACTTTCACTCATTCTCCGAGCAAGTCTAGACCCCGAGCTGCCCCATCCATCCATCTTGACCCCGCCCACTCAACACGTGGCCATCAGTCCACCAGCCCGAAATTCCCACAAGCTGCATCCCACTCCACAGTTCCCCCCTTGCAGTACAGGGGCATACAGTACGGATATGTTACAATTACAGATATAATACAGACTGGAGGAGAGGGGAGGGGGAGGTCTGCGTTCTTGTACAGTAGGAGGGTCAGGGGATAGGGTCAGGGATGTAGTGTTTGAAGCATGTGTATCTTGTGGCGCTGGTGGATAATGAGTTTGGGAAATTGGTGTTGAGGGTTGTGTATGTGTGGTGCGGTGTTGTTTGCGGTTGAGTTTGAGAAGATGGGGGAGTATAGCATAATTGAATGAGTATGGATCAACCTGTGGATCTGAACATCACTGGTATGTTGAGGATCGTATGTCGCAATGTTTAGATATGGACCTCGTCCGTCTTGGACTTTGGAGAGATGTCACGAATGAAGCCGTAGTCTTGGTGAGAAATAAAGTCGGCAGAGACTATAGCACCGATATGATTGATGATAGCTCAAATATGTGCATTTTTCATGTTGTGATCATTATATATATTATTTTCAGGAAGAATCTCGTTTCGCGACCGTAACCCATAATCTCATGAACCCCAAATCCCCGTCTATAGTGTGTGCGTGTATTACAAGGAGACCCGATTCCCGGCATCACCATGCCAAAACAAAACGACGCAAGAGCACCAAGTAAAGCCCTCTTTTAGTAATTAAAGACCATCAAACTCGGATTCAGCATCAGCGGCATCAGCGCGTGACTCGCCAACGTAATGCTCATGGGCACAATCGCGGCAATGCTATTGATTTCCCAGCCGCGGGGCGCGAAGCAGCCCAGGTAGATCATACCGCCGACAAGCGGCACCAAGATGGCATACAGCCACTTGAAGCTGTTAAAGATTTTGGGCATCTCCTTGAAGAAATTCGAGTTTTCCTTCTCCTTAGCGGTAGCGCCCCACTGCATATCGATCTTAAACATATGTGCGAGGATGGCGAGGTTGAGATGGAAGGGCAGGCCGCCGAAGAAGACGGCGAACATGGGCATCCACTTGAAGTTCTCGAGCAGGGCGGGGAAGAGGGCCTTTTCGCCGAGGCGGTAGCGCAGGACGGCGAGGGCGACGTTGCCGAGGAGCGAGAAGACGATGACGAGCGAGAGGAAGACTTTCCAGGACTCCATGTAGAACTTGTCGAGGTGGCCGTTGAACCAGCCGATAAGGAAGTAGTTGAGGATGGTGAGCGGGAAGCCGGAGGCGAGGGCGTAGTAGGATGAGATGTAGCCGAGTATGGTGATCTTGGAGCTCAGCTGCATGTCGGACCATAGGAATGTGCGGAAGAGCGGGGTGAAGGGAGACTTCCAGAGCCATTGGTGGACAGGGTTGAAGACGAGCTCGTTGCAACCGTATGCGTACTTTTCCCATCGTGCAAGTTCGTCGTAGATTGTGAGTGAGACACCCTCCTTGAATTGGTTGTCGTGGTAGGTGGCTAGGCGGACGATATTGCCGGCGATCTGGAGACGAAGAGCGATGTCAAAATCCTCTGATACGTGCGATTCGGACCAGAAAGCGATATACCCATTTTCTTCGTGGCGACCAACAGACTGTACAGCTTGCCAGCGAAGGAAAGCGTTGTGGCCGACGAAAGGGGCGCTGCATCAGTCAGTACTGGAATTGCATTAGAGGGAAAAAGGCACTTACGTTTCGCCAGATCCAACAGCAAAACTAACAGCAGAGTAGATAAGATTGGTGAAGAAGGTGATACCATTCTCAAAGTAGTCCCAGGAGACTTGCATGACACCAGTGGAATGTTGGATGATGGCGACTTCTGGGCTAAGATACATCTCCGCAGCACCATATAGGAGACAGTCGGCAGGCTTCCGAGACGTTAGTGATTGAGACTGAGACTTGACAGAAATGACTTACCACTTGGGTATCAGAGTCGACGATGAGGATGAACTCTCCAACACGAATGTTCCCATCAGCCTTTGCTCTCGGGTTTTCATCGAGAACCTGTTTGAGGGCAGCCTTGTAAAGTCGCTCTTCCTCGCGGTCGTCAAGATAGCCATCCTTCTCCAGCTCATTGACCATCTGATCAAGTTTGTCCTCGACCTTGTTGGAAATGTTCAGGGCAAAGTTCATGTTGGAAGCCTTCTTGAATTTGCCCTTGCGTATAAAACCGTCATCGTTGTGCTTTGGGCGGGAGACCCAACCGATGTTGTTGTCGTGATAGAACTCAACACGCTCTCTGGCCTCGTCCTCGGAAAGATGTGCGAGACCATCGTCGTTGATGAAGATGGATGCGGTGCCCCCGTGAGACTCGTAGTGAGAAATGGCCTGCTTCAAACTAGTAACAGTTGGGATGATGACACCTTGAAGAGACTCCTTGTATACTGGCATCTGGATGGTCATTGGTGGCGGCCTGAAGCCGCTGGCATATGCACGTGAGAGGTCTGGCTTGATAGCAGAGAAGAACCTGGTGTTTTTCTTCAACCCACCGATCGGCCCAATGAGCTGGAAAAGATCTGTGAACAGACAGATGGCGAAGAACATACTGAACAGCATGAAGATGGGTACAGTAGCCAGTAGAGCCATGCGTATGAAGTTTCCATCGGTCAGTGACTGGAGCACAAGATTCGCGCTCCCGAAGCCAAGCATCAACACGACTAGGAGGCATACTGAGAAACCGACCATAACACTCGAAACGAAGACGAGGGGACGTCCCAGCGACTCAGGATTTTGGGCCTCTTCATCGATGGAGGATACTTCTTCGGTCGCCTCAACGGGCTCTTTCTTCTCATCAAGGGGCAAGTTGTGTGTTGAGTTTGCTTCCGAGTTCACAACGGAATGTTGATTAGTCATGTTCAGAGGCGTGCCAAGAGCCGAAAACGGGGATGCGGTCGAGCCCCAGATCTGCCACACACGTCAGTTCTGACTTCACCTCATCTGTGTCCATCTTGGAACGATAGAAAGACCTACCATTGCAAGCAATTTTCCTTCAATGTTTGCAGCATGGTTCAGGATCTTATCTAGCTCGTCATGCCATACTAGCAGCAGCTTCTCCTCGCGCACCAGCGCAGCATATTGGAACTTTCGGATGCTTCCAGACGAAGACGAGGCGATCTCTGCCAACGAGTTCACGATCTGGAGTTGCGATCCGTTAGGTAAGGCCAGATCGGTCTGATGTGGTTGAATAGTAGAGAAGATAACATCTGTTGTCTGGGTGCTCATGGTGAACGCGACGGCTACGTTAATCTTCTGGACTGCTGCAAGAAGCCAGGCATTGACAGGCTCCGGATCGCAGACGTATTCACCGCGTGCCCTGCGTAGGAGAACACCATAGGCGCTGTGTTCCCGCTCGCTCACGCTCGGTAACCATTGATTGCCTGTTATTCTGCCGGACAGATATTTGATCATCTGTGCACGTGTAAGGACACGAGTAGCGACTGATAAGGGGAAAGACACTTACAGCCTTGTACTTCATGGCATCGTCGATGAATGTCATAGTGTTCCGCGAAACGGCGACAGGTCTATGATTTGATGATCGCTGAGACGTGTGCGATGCTCTGGAGGACATGCTGTCCGGGGTAATAGGAGAAATGGTGTCCATTTTGGAGATTAAGGTGGGTGGAGGAAGAAGAGAAAGTAGGACGAATCGCTGATCTCGAGAACCTTGAACGCACAAGAGCGTTAAAAAGGGCTCTTCGAATTCAGAACTCTAGACCTCTTGAAAGCTCAATTGATAATACGACTCGAGCAACGGCAATTTTTGATACTCAGTCAAGATGAAAGAATACTCTCGAGCTTTAGGAAGGACCCTGGAAGAGATATACCTATGGTAGACGATCGACGGAGCTTACCCTCAGCTGAGATGTAGAGAGGTAGGATGACGGCAGGTTCCCTCGGTGGTTGAGGCTTGGAGATGGTGGAAGCTCAAAAGAAAATCTGGACGAAAAAAGATCCAGACCTTCGAGCCGACGCGATGAGAGTTGCCGCGAGCGGATATGGGTCCCAGGAGTATGGTTGATGGCTCCACATGTGTCAGATCAAAAGGAAAGCTGTGATAGGGAAAAATAGATCCTTGAAGACGACACTTTCCTAGCGAAAGCTGAATCGGTGATCGCATACTGCGGCGGCGCCGGCAGAGACGCCAGTCAGCGCAATCGATGGCGTTTGTAGCCCTGAAGCACATGGTGGAGCATGCTGAACAGATTCGGTCAAACCACCCATGCACCGCGTGCATATACCAGAGGCGCCAGCATCGATAGCTTAGACAACAAGGGGGGATGGAAAAGAAGCTACAGAAGGACCCTCGGGCATGATGGCTGGTGTGAGATTTGAGATAGATATGCAGTAGCGCGGCTTCGTCCAAAATGGGTCAATGAAATATTACGGTGCCAATTGAGTAAGTAGACCAAAGCTGGTTTCCAAGTGAGGACTAGTCTTTGAAGTTCAGGCATCAAACTCCACGCGCAACGAAGTCCCTTGTATATGACACGGTAGGGGAGGGCTGGTGATTAGTTAGTGGAGGGCATGTGCCGCTTGTGGGGGTTGGGTAGAGTATTGTTTGGAAGCAGTGATTTATAGCGTGCATGATGAGCCGACACACCCCAAACGATTGCCAAGATGCTATGCAAAACACAGAGCGGGACAGGAATTGAAAGTCGAAGGACCACAGCGTAACATACGAGATATGTAACAGCGCCGCATATAACAGAGGGACCTAGCAATAACATCAGAACATTTGCTGTCCCTGTGCGTTGTGATGGATGAATATATTCCAATCCCTCCATAAAAGTCATAACGAGAAGCATTAATGTTTCTGTCTTGACCAATAGGATACAAATTCCCTTGTCGGCACCTGGTAGCTTTAGCAGCAGCAGACAGGTACGCAAGGGAGGGGCATGTGCCAAATAATGGTCAATTGGTTTGGTATTATTGTATTACGAAAGCACCACAGCAATTGGAAACGAACGCTGAGGGGGCAGAAGTGTATAATAAGAAGAAGGCCACCATGTTGGCCACTGCAAAGGTGTAAAGAGGGAGACGTCGGGGACGATGCCATTTTGGTACGGGTACATCCGAACACGCACTCGGCAATGGACGATACTCGTGCCTGAGCCTTGTAAATTTTTACATTTGCCATTTGCAACTTTTGGGTCTCTCGCCAAGAACCCCCCATGCCCATGCGTAGGCGTAGACGTAGGCTGTGCTGTGACAGTTCACACGAGCTAGCACGGAGCAAAGAAAGATGGCGGGAGACCGTCACAGACGGCGGGAGATGGCGGATTGAGATGGGAGCCAACGAGAACTAAGCTCTGTAGCTCCTTGTCTGGTGAAGCAGAGAAGGTTCAGAATATTTAATATGGACTGAGATGGACCGCCGAGTGCTTAGCACGAGAAGCAGGGTTGTTGTCGACGAACAGAGGGATGGCATGCACTCGCGTTCTGTGTATGATGGCAATTAATGGATTACCAGTAGAAGACATTTTCACGAATCCACTTTAATTGAGAGCAAGAATATGTGGAGAATGGTTCAAAGTAACGAAGCATCAACATTTCTGAAGAGTTTTCTAGGACACCGGAAGAGAATGTCAGTCTGTATGTGTGAGTGGTTGGTGGTGGTGGCGGTGTATCCATTAATTATTATCTATCATGTACCATGTATCTTGTATTATGTATTATATATCATGCATTTGAGTATTATATATCACGAAGAAGTAGAGGATGGAAAGTTGCGCCTTCTTCGGCGGCGGAAGATCGGCAGGGCAGTCCAGTACGTACGTACCTACCTAGTTGGGTATGTAAGTAGATACTTTACTTCCACAGACTCGAGCTTAGTCAGTCTAATACAACAGGCCTGCCAGTGCCAGTGGAATGTTACCTTACCTTCTAATACTTTACCTCTACACACTGAACAGACGCAGCTCAGAGCAGACGCCTGTTCATCTCGTTTCCATTTCCATTCACGACATTCAAGCCATGACAGTCGATTCGTATCGCATCGCACCTCATACCGCTTTCTCGCAAGGTCTCCGCCTCCGCACTAGCCGTGTCCCAGTTGCGTACAAGCACGCACAGCAGTACTATGTAGTGCGTACGCAACGACACAAACGTGGTCAATCTCGATGAACCGATAAAGAGTGGACCGTCCATATCAAGCGAACGCCTCTAGCAATTGCCATGGCCGCGAGGCATAGGCAAGCGAGTGCGTCCCAATAAGCAACACGGCTGACACGGGTGGCATTTCTCGCTCAGCCAGCTATAGAGAGGTAGAGAGGGACAAGCTCAACGCCATTTCGGCATCAAGGCGGCGCTACGAGCCATGGTTGTGTGATTTTGGCTGCTGGCTGCTGGCTTGTGCAAGGGCCAGCAGCTTATATGCGCCGAAATCTAGAAGCCATTTGAGTCCGTTGGCGCCCGTTCAAGCCACTACAGACATCAACAACACCAAACACCATCTCTCCACGCAACACCCCAGCGCACTAGAGATAACAGCCTCGTCTTGCAAGCCACGGCCCTCGGCACCCCTACACTCCCCTTGTCCCATGTCAGACCGCACGGACCATCTAGCATCGACACGATAACCGTCAGCATCAGTAGTCTCACAAAATGTTGTACAATACTCCAAGAGTCCAAATGCAAGTCTTGATGTCTAATCTCATCACCTCACACGCTGACGCAGACCTGATTTCTGCAGAACGTCGTGCTTTTCTATGTAGGCGGGCCTTGTGTGATACATGTAAAACGCCAAACGCCGTTGAAGATCTGCGCTGGATCGACGTGGAGAACAGCAACATGCCGATCCGGTTCAACTGGGAGACGCTGCTAAACAAGCAGAAGTTTGTGGTACGCCTCAATCTCTTCCGCGGTAGGCCCCGTCCATCTATCGATACGCTTGGCTTGGTGTACCCGATCGAATCCACCCCGATCGTGATTGGGCCCTCTTTGGTAGACCCTCACCCTTGTCTACAAGTATTTGTTACATTGTATATACCTGTGGAGCCTGCGGGCCTTCGGGCGCTCGGGCATAGCCACTTATGATTATTCTACGAACTCGGCACTTTGCAACTTGGCTCACTTGTTCTTACTGTACCATGCGGAGAGTATGTTACTCCTCGCAACATGTGCATGACGGAGTTGCTCCTCCCGACAAGTCTGATTTTGCTTTCACAGGGGAATTTTCTATGTCTCAACATCTCATATTATACAGTATACCGTTTCGAGCTAGTTCGTGTTTATGCAGGTCAGCAAGAAGACAGCCAGGATGACCCCTTTGGGCGAGTGGGTCCCCAGATAAGGTTACGGCAGTGGTGTATTGCACTTGCGAGCTATGCAACTAACACTGAGTCAATAGTCCCTCGGTTTGTATCTATCCATGTCGCCTAGCTTTGCATGATGATCCCTCCCGCATCCATGCAGATAGTCGCACAATTCATGACCTGCTCGTGGCTCCTAGACCACCTGTCAAATAATTACGTGGGTTGCTAAAAAGGAACGCCTCTAGAACGCCGCCGACGCATGGAATTCTCCATACGCCGCGGCAGTCAAAAGAAAGAAAAAAAAGTCTACAGGCCTGTCAAGACAGCTTCTGGAACCACTCTTCAGCTGGGCTGTATCACATCAAGCCCCATATCAGACATGGGGATAGCCGCGAATATTGTTTCCATCTGAAGTTGTATTATTATTATTATTATTCATATCGCGCTCTCTCGCGAGAGAACATTGACTGATCCGCACCACCCAAACACCCAGACACTCAGCCAACACTCCCCTCTCCACCATGTCCCAGACACCCCCTACTGTCCGTGGGCCTTTCTCGGACAGCGCCGCAGTCTCTTCAGCTTCATCCATAAGACCGTCTCTGCTTTCAGAGACACACTCATTCTCCGATGGAGGTGCCTATACGGGCAAGCACAGATTCACTAGCTACAAGCTAAAGGGAGAGTATGTATCTCGACATCGGACCTGTCTACGACATGACATGATGCTGATAGCTGGCAGATATGAGAGACCATGGGTAAGCGACAAGAGGATGAAGAAGTGGAAATATAGCAACTATATCATCTGGGTGTTCATTGGGATTGGATTCGTGCTCGCGGCGTATATCAATTACACTGCTGCAATGAAAGTCGAGAACAAGCCCGTAAGTGAAGCTGCTGTGCAGGCAAAGGGTTAGGTTGCTGACCTGACATTTTGTAGATGTGTCTGATCATGGAGGACAATTTTGAGCGATTTAATGAAGACAATTGGTTCCACGAGGTCCAAGTCAATGGGTTCGGGTCGGGAACTTTCGACTGGACGACGACGGACGAGAAGAATACGTTTGTTGACAGTGAGGGTCTTCACATTGTTCCGACCCTCACGACCGACACAGCTGGAATTACGAGAGACCAGATCTTTGACGGATACACGCTCAACCTGACGCAAGCAGGAGGCGACGGCAGCTGCACTGGAAGTAGCAATAGTGAATGCTCGATCCACTCTAACGGTACGCTTGGACAGATCATTCCTCCTGTGCGGTCTGCAAGGCTTTCGACGCGGGGCAAGAAGAGCATCAGATATGGACGCATTGAGGTAACAGCCAAGTTTCCTCAGGGAGACTGGCTGTGGCCAGCAATTTGTACGTGTGACTTGATTCTATGGCAGGCTGTAGCTAACAGAAGAAGGGATGATGCCAGAGGATAGTGTGTACGGAGTTTGGCCCAGAAGTGGAGAACTAGACATTGCCGAAGGACGAGGCAACGGAGTTGACTATGCTCTCGGGGGCCGCGACATCTACACGAGTTCAATGCACTGGGGTAAGTGTAGATTCTGGCGCAATAGGGTATGAGGATTTAGAGGCTGACGCAGTATACAATGCAGGACCGACGACAAGCACAGACGCATTCTGGCGAGCAACCCGAGGACGTCAGCTTCGACGGACAGACTTCAGCAAAGGGTTCCACACATTCGGCATAGAGTGGTCATCGGACTACCTCTTCACGTATGTGGACAGCAGACTGCAGCAGGTCATGTATTGGCGATTCAAGAACGAGCAGACGATGTGGGAGCGCGGTGACTTTGGGCCGGCGACGGAGAATTCGAGCATTGTATCGAACCCATGGGCTGGTGCAGCGGGCAACGCGGCACCGTTCGACCAGAACTTCTACCTTATCTTGAACGTGGCAGTGGGTGGACGCAACGGCTGGTTCCGGTAAGTGGGCGTCCGACACGCAAGCATCACGCGATATACTGACAGTCGGACTAGGGACGGTGAAGGTGGTAAGCCGTGGACGGATGCTGGAAACAGTGCATACGACTTTTACAAGAGTGAGTTTGTACAGAAACCAGTGTGCTAGTGAGTACAGAAACGCTGACTTTCCTGTGCGCAGACATTGACCAATGGCTGCCGACTTGGGGCGAGGGCAACGCTCGCGGCATGACGGTCAAGTCAGTGAAGATGTGGCAAGAGGGAGCATGCTAAAAAAGGCTGATGATCGAGTTCTGCATTTTTTTTCAGCTCGTGTTGTACAGTGCTCGCTGTACATTGTTGCAGCAGGTTGCATGGGTTTGCTACATCAGGGTCTGTCTGATGATAGCTAGATGGACAAACGCGGCGTACATTCAGGGCGTACATGGGACGAGATTATTGCTGGGGTGTAACGATGTATGAGATATAGACCGATTATAGCATGGTGTTCTTTTAGTGACTGACTGATTGACTGCATGTAATTTGCATATTGATATGGGTATATACATATATATCCATATACGTATATGAGTGTACGTATGTACCTATCTATATATATGCACGTCGAATGTGGTGTTTCGAATTGATATATGCACTACCCCCACCGCTACTGCTGATGACACCTGAGCGGATAGAATAGACAGATAGACAGGTAGATAAGACAGATATCGGTCAACATCTAGCCCAGAAGGCTGCATGGCAGTGCATGAAGTAGTAGTGGTGGTGGGCTCGATGGATGTTGATAAGGATGATGAGCGTTAGAGACGTGGTGTGACATTACAGTGCATGTTGGTTGGTGGTGCAAGCTGGAGTATACGAGTAAACATGCATTCATTCATTCATCCCGGGAGCGTTTCGGTGTGACGTTGGGATAAGACGTGGTAAGGTATTGAGGCGGTGCTGTACTGTGGTCCAGGAATGTTAAATACTGGGGTGTGCTGTGGTATACCGTATCATACTATGGTATGCGGTACTTGTGCTATGATATACTGCATATCATCCCATACCGACATTGATAATGCGTAATTACTGTACCCACTCGTCAGTTGCATTTTCGTACCGTCATCGGTCCTTCTGGAGCCCTTCTATGCAGGCTGGCAGATAGACAAACAGGCAGGTAAACTAATCACTCGTGTTCTTCCAATATGATGTGCATATATATCAGCGAGGGGCAGTGAAAGCACATATCAGCACGAGTCAGAGTCAGAGTGAGAGTCAGAGGATGGATGGGCGGGAGGAGCCATGATAATACGAGGTGGCGTTCATCCGGGGGGGCTTTTGGTGTACGGCAGCCCAAATGTGGTATTGGGACCCCTCCCCCCCCCTGGCCAAGACCATGACCACGACTCATCCCTGCCGCCATGTTGCTCCCACGCACTACACATGCACCCGCTGCAACGTCTTCTATTGATTTTTGCCCTTCACTGCATTTTCTCACCACCAATGTCCTATCCCAATACAATCTCAATCCTAACTCCAACTCGACGCCTCCATGGGGCTACCACCCGTCAGCCCAACTAGCCAAGTGCTTCATACTTTCCATGAGCCTCTACACACTCGTGTGTTGTGCCGCTAATAGCCCTATGCCTCATCTGGTCAATGTATTCACTTGCTCGGCCGACACTTCATGGGGCATGAGAGAGCCTCCTCACCGACTATGGATGTTGTCCGTCTCGGCCTTTCAGCCCTCTTTTGCGCCTCGCTGACAGAATGGAGAACTCCAGATCTGTCTTTTCTGAATCGGTACTGCTGACGTCTACCGGACCTGACTGCCATCACTTGACCTGGACGCATCGTATTGTAGCACTGCCATGTTGTTCTTCGTGTGTGTGTTTTTCACTCCATTAAATATGTCGCTGTCCCTGCTTGTTTGGCCCCCTCTCCAGCCCGTCGTTGTCTCTCCCTGACCTTGACTTCGGTTGCTGTCTTGCCTCCATTCAGGCACAATAGGTCGATAGCTTAGCCAAGGATGACGAGCCTATTCTCAATCTGCCTGTTCCTGTCTGCTTCTTGGGTGAGTGAGCTCGCTTCCGGTCCTGTCTATGCACGTCAACCTGACTGAGCCCCTGGCTGACATTTATCTCTTGGCGATATAGTTTGCTGCTCCCTCCAGTGCTAGATCCCTGCCGTGGGCAAGCAATGTACATCTTGCCGCACGCGACTTGACGCCTGCTTCGAAGCTCCCTGGTAACTGGACATATCAAGGATGCTATTCGTGTGTTTCTCTATCTATCCAGATTATGTGCTTTGTTGACGTGCTGATCCTCATCTTGCAGTGATAGCACGGGGTCCCGCACCCTGAGCAATGGCGGCTACAATAGCGGAAACCAAATGACCGGCGAGGTGTGTATCTCGTACTGTAGCCAGAACGGCTTCATCTATGCTGGAACAGAGTATGCCGGGGAGTGCTGTATGTTGATCTCGTCACACTTTTGTTGTATTAAAGGCGCCCCAATGCTGGATCATGGCTTTGTCGATCCATACTACAATCACTGACCATGTTGCTCCTCTGATTTAGACTGCGGAGCTCGTCTCTCGAGCACAGCGACCGAGAGTCCGGATTCGGACTGTAACATGGCCTGTAATGGTGATGCGGCGCAGGCATGTGGTGGTCCAGGCCGTCTTACAGTATATTGGAACGGACAGTCCCCTGCTGCGGATCCTATCGTCAATCCAGGTCCAGCTGGATGGAAGTCTTTGGGCTGTTATGAGTACGTGAAATTCAATCCTGCCATGATACACCCCCTATATCACACATCTCGATCAACCCCAGTCTCCAATTGCTTGGCACTATTGTACATACTAACAAAAGGGGCAGAGATGGCGGTTCCCGCACGCTCTCCCAGGGCGTTGCCGTACAGGGAGATTTGACCGTCGCCAAGTGTACGGCTGCGTGCAAGGCGGGCAAATACAAGTATGCTGGGGTCGAATACTCGTACGAATGCTGTGAGTCGGTCCAAACGACCTAGACCGTCCCGGAAGCCGTCTAATGTCTGCTAGATTGCGGTAACACAATCGACAACGGCCATGGCCCCAAGTCTGATGGCTGTACGATGACATGCAAGGGGAACAGTACCGAGTTTTGTGGTGGTGCGAACCGCATCAACCTGTACGGACCGCCAGACGCCGTTCAGTCGTCTGCACCAAATTCTCAACCTTCCCCGACTGTTGATCCGGGCACCGCCGTTGATCGGCCAAACACTGATGCTCCAGTACCTGCTCAGACCACACCGTCTGAGGTTGATGTAGCCACCACGCCTACTGGTGCTGTTGCCACGGCGGCACCGAGAGAGACTGGCTCGGCTAACCAGCTGCCGCAAGGCTGGACCTATGCAGGCTGCTATGTAGATGGCCAATATGGCCGTATTCTGGTGCATGGACCGCCCGATAGCGACTCTTTGACCATCAATGGGTGTGTGTCGACATGCGTGCAGATGGGATACTCTGTTGCAGGGATGGAATACTCCAGGCAGTGCTTCTGTGACAACTACATCCGTAATGGCGCGCTCAACACTACGGACTCGGACTGTAGCATGGCTTGTTCCGGGGCTGCTGACCAGAAGTGCGGTGGACCGGACAGAGTGAGTGTGTATGGTCAAGCGCCGGTGAAGATCATTCAGCGGCCCGAACAGCAGACGGATAACTTGCCTGGTAACTTCAAGTATATTGGCTGTCGCACGTGGGTTACCCTGGGGCGTTTCCACGACGATACTTTGATATACTAATTCATGACAGGGACGACTCTGGTGGTACAAGGACATTACCGTACAAAGCTGTCTACGCAAACACCAACAATGCCACCACATGCCTGACCTCATGCATGACGTTCGGCTACAACGCGGGCGGCATGGAGTACGGCGAGGAGTGCTACTGCGGCGACCCAGACATGGTCCCGGCGGGAACCACCTTTGTCGATGATTCCGAGTGCAACACTCCTTGTCCCGGGAATCCGGAAGCGTTCTGCGGCGCCGGAAATCGCATGTCCTACTACGAATATCAGGGCGATCAGCTCCAGGTCTGGAACTACCCCTCTGGCAATGATGCTGGAAGGTACGAGTTTCTCATCTACGCGCCGACTGTTGCCCTCATCACCACTTTGGGGGTCAATGGGAAGGTTACTTTCCAGGAGAAGTTCGGTACTCAGTACAATGGCACTGGCTCATACGAGTTTGACCCCTTTTACGAGGACAATTACGATGCGGCCTGGCGCGAGATGATTGGTCTTCGGACGGACATTTTCTGCGCAGCCGGTCTCGTTCTTCCGGATAGAGCTGGTCGACAAGTCACCTTTGGCGGCTGGGCAGGCACGTCGACCATGGGCATCCGCCTCTACTGGCCAGATGGTGCGCCTGGCGAGCAGAGTGTCAACGACTGGGAGGAAAACGCCGACGAGCTTCAACTACAGAACGGTCGCTGGTACCCCAGTGCCATGCAAATGGCCAACGGCTCCATCCTCATCGTCGGTGGCGAGACAGGCTCCAACGGACCTGCTGTCCCTACCATCGAAATCGTGCCTCGCGTCGGCCCTGTACTTACCATGGACTGGCTACAGCGAACCGACCCCCTGAACCTCTACCCCTTCCTCGTCGTCCTCCCAGGCGGCGGCATCTTCGTCGGCTACTACAACGAAGCCCGCATCCTCGACGAAAACACCATGGCCACCATCAAAACCCTCCCCAACATCCCCGGCGCCGTCAACAACCCCCTCGGCGGCCGCACATATCCGCTCGAAGGCACCCTCATGATCTTCCCCCAGCACGCTCCCTACACCGACCCCCTCGAAGTCCTCATCTGCGGCGGCTCAACCCCCGGCTACCCAGTCCCACTCGACAACTGCGTCTCCACCCAGCCCGAAGCCGCAAACCCGCAATGGACTATCGAGCGCATGCCCAGCAAGCGCGTCCTCTCCTGCATGACCGCCCTGCCGGACGGCACTTTCCTCATCCTCAACGGCGCACACTTCGGCGTCGCGGGCTTCGGCCTTGCCTCCGACCCGAACTTCAACGCCCTGCTCTACGACCCCCGGAAACCCGTCAATCAACGTATCAGTGTCATGGCAAATACCACCATCCCCCGCCTCTACCACAGCGAAGCCCTCCTCCTCCCCGACGGCCGCGTCCTCGTTTCAGGCTCCAACCCAGACGATGGACCCGACGCAGTCTCGACAAACGAATACCGCGTCGAGGTCTTCCTCCCACCGTACCTGCTCTCCGGCCTCCCCCGCCCCACCTTCACCCTCCCCTCCTCACTCTCCCCATCATCCTCCACAGCAGCAGTAAACACAACCGCTATCCCCTACGCCTCCACATTCACACTCACCCTCACATCCGCACTCTCCTCCCCGCTCTCCAGCCTCCGCATCTCCCTCCTCGGCACTACTAGTAATACTCACGGCAATACGTTTGGCCAACGCACGTTTTTCCCCGAGTTTAGCTGTCGGGGAAACACGTGTACGGTTACGGCGCCGCCGGATGCGCATGTTTGTCCGCCCGGGTGGTTTATGGTGTTTGTGCTTGATGGGCAGGTGCCGAGTGTGGGGCAGTTTGTGAGGATTGGCGGGGATGTTGGGGGGCTGGGAGACTGGCCGCGAGTGGAGGGGTTTGTGGTGCCTGGGGTTTGATTTCGGAACGAAGGAGGGAGGGGATAGTGGGGGGGTGGAGGGGGAGAGGGTGGTTTGAAGTGCTTGTTAGGTATACGAGTGATGTTCTTCGTTGAGAGGGTGGGGGGATATATGTATAGCCGTGATATGAGTCTATGATTTTTTTGTGCTTCTACTACCTCCTTCGTACTTCCCTGCTTCTGCCACGTCCTCTCTGGCCCTTGACAACTATGCTTATGAACACGCCCTGCCTGACGTGCATGTGGCTGTATATATTGCTCTAGCCCCAGCTAGAGAAGATGTAGATGGTATAACTCGTCAATAAAGATCAGGCCTATCTACATATCCATCTAGACGTTATCCACAAGACACTCCCTACAACAACTTCGACACCCCGCCCGGCGCCCACTCCTCATACCGCCTCCTCATATCCGCCGTAATCATCCTCGGCACATCCCCCAACGCCTTCTCAAAATGCCTCATCCCCACCCTCGGCATCTCCCCCTTCTCCCCACCCTCCCACTCCGCCGCCGCCTCCTCCGCCGCAACATCGCAGATCCGCACTACTTCCGCGCCGGAACATCCCTCTGTGCGCTCCGCCAGCACATCGACGTCGACGTCCTGCTCAAGCTCTCTGCGACGGTTGCGCAAGGTGAAGATCTCGCGGCGGGCGGGGGTGGTCGGGGGCCCGACGTATAGAATCGTGTCTATGCGGCCAGGGCGCAGGAGGGCGGGGTCGAGGGCCTCGGGGGCGTTAGTAGCTGCGATGACGAGGACGTTGCTGAGGGTTTCGATGCCGTCCATTTCGTTGAGGAGGGTGGTGACGACGTTGAGGCCTGGAGTGTGTATGTTGTTGTTGCGGGAGGAGGCGGCGATGGCGTCGATTTCGTCGAAGAAGATGACGCTGGGGGAGGCGGCGCGGGCGCGGGTGAAGAGGGCGCGGATGGCGCGTTCGGATTCGCCGACGTACATGTTTAGGAGCTCGGCGCCTTTGACGGCGAGGAAGTTGAGGCCTGCTGAGGAGGCGACGGCTTGGGCGGTGAGGGTCTTGGAGCAGCCTGGGGGACCGTAGAGGAGGATGCCTTTTTGCGGGGTGAGGGAGAGGTGTTTGATTAGGGCTGGATACTGTGTTTCGGGGTGGGTTTGTTAGTTTTCGGTTTGGGGGTGGGGAGGAAAAAAGGGGGGAGGAGGATTTGTTTACGTACTTTGTAGGGACGCACGGTGACTTTGTACATTGCTTCTTTGACGGCTTCGGCGCCGCCGATGTCTTCCCAGCGGACTTTGGGGGTTTCGAGGAATACTTCTTTCATGGCGCTGGGGCGCACTTCGTGGAGTGCTGAGGTGAAGTCTTGTTCGGTTAAGATGTCGGTCGAGATGTGTGCTGGGGGTTGGTCGGTGTCTGGGATGGGCTCGGAAGGGGGTGCGGCGTCGACTCGCTCTTCGGCCTTCTCGAGTGCGACTATGCATAGTTCGACGAGGTCTCGGCCTACGTATCCGTGGGTGCGTTCGCCGATGCGCTCGCAGAGCGGGTCTTGTTTAGTGGTGTCGAGGATCGATTTGAGGATACTGCCACGCGCCCTGGCATCAGGAACTGGTATCTCGATGACTTTGCTGAACGTGTCGTAGGACCTCAGGGACTTGTCGACGGCCTGGAGACTGCGCGCAGCTGCCACTACAAGCGTCCGCTCTCCCTTCAAAGCACGTAACCGAGACGCCAGACTGTCAAGCAAATCTCTTCGAGCAGACTCTGCGTCTCCAAAGACGGTTTCCCAGTGATCTATGGTGACGAGACTTGGTTGGACCTGCTCAGCTTTTGCGAATATCTCTTTCAGCTTGGCATGTGCATCCTTTGCGGTCGTGCCTAGAGTTGCCGGGCTGATCTCGAAGACGTGCGGTCCGAAGGCTGCTGCGAGGCCTTGGATGGTCATGGTCTTGCCTGTTCCCTCAGGGCCATGAAGGAGGATACCGGCGCCGCGTCGGCATTTTGGTGGCCTCGTCCAGTTTGTCTTCGTCTTATTGTCATCTATCATGCGAGAAATGGACTTTGTCAAGATGTCCAATTGCTGCTCAAGACCACCAATGGTTGCAAAGTCAGGCTTGGGCGCAGCTTTCAATACTATTTGCGGACATTCCTCTACGAGCGAATTGACATCACCAGGCGTGTCTAGAACGATCTTCGTTCTGTGGTCGACTTTGTATAAAGTACTAGACGTGGCTGCTGGCTCAATAGCATGTATCTGCAACTGACGCTTCCTAGACTTGATCTTCGACACCACATCGATTGTGTATGGAGAGCACGCACTCGAAGCAGCAACTGACAGCGTCAGTCATGGAGAAGCCAAAAGATCTACGCATCTATACATACACAACAAAATATGGATACAGAACAACGCCTGTTCAAGGTCCGCAAAATCCTCTAGCAAAGACCCACGTTCGCTGATATCTGTAGACCTAAGGTACACCGTGTCTGCATGTATCCTACCATCAGCGCCCTTTTCTATGCTGACCTTTTCCTGGAAAGAGAGGCCGTAAAAGTTCTTGAAGGATTCTGTGACCTTCGCTATAGGCTTTGCATTATTTGCATTGGGGCTTTTATACAGCCAAGCAAATCCGTATACTGGCTTTCCACTGGCGTCTTTCAGTATGCATAGCTCGCCATTCTTCAAGCCGCACTGCGTCAGGCTTGAGCTAGTGAGATATATTCGAAAAGCTGCTTCCAGCGAGTTCGAGTCGCTGCCTCCTTCGTAGGGTCTGACTGTGAAGTCAGGCATTCTGCGACGTGTGCTGTCCTGCTATGGTGCACTATTTGATTCCCAAGAAGAGAAAGTATAAAATTGCAATTGGAAATTATTAGCAAAATCATGATATGTGTCACCGCTCCGTATAAATAGGAGCTCGGTTTATGATTACGTAATTAATATTCCCTTAGGCTTCCGTGATGCGGTGACTCCAGTCCTTCTGGATATAATTGCCCGACACCTCTACATGAAGCGCTCACTGTGCCTGCCGCCCGACTTTCTGATACCCGCCTTTGCGACTCCATCTCAAAATTTATTCGCGAGATGCTCGCACAACGTTGCCCACCGACGATATGCCTCTGATGGCAAATCCAATTCTTACCCGGTGAAACCCGACACAGCGAGCCAAACGCCTCTAAGGATCTCTCGAAGCACATCACTTAAAGGTTCAGGCTTCTCAGCAAAATGGCCGAGAGATACCAGTGGAAATGTTCCAATCAGGTTCTTTCCTGCTCTACCTGGTGCAAGACAAGCACGAGCTTCACCTGCACATTTCAGAAGAATAAAACTTGAATCGGCGCGAGACAGTGATCTCAAACAGCCCGAGCGCAGTACTGAAATCGCAAGATCAGGTAAAGCGAACTCCAAGACGAATTCTTTATTGAACGAGCTGTTTCCAGAGGTAGCGCAAAACAAGCCGGACGCCGATGATACACTTCGGAATTCAACGACAGCATATGCGCCCCCTCGAAGGGCACCTGAAATCACCTTTGACAAAGGGATCCACAATGATGAAAAGTCAAAGTCAACTTCGCTCCTGGATGAGCTATTCCCAAAAACAAGACTCAGTAAAATGAGAGACCTGAAAACACTTGGCCACATTCCGGTCCCTCGACTTCATATTTCAACTGCGCGTGCTGGCGAGACTCGTAGTCCTGACCCGTCGATATCTGCCGAGGACAAGTATGCTCCCGGTGGGCAAAGTCGCAAGGAGGACATACGTGCACAATACGAGTTCAATCGACAGGAATTCTCGGTTTTGATGCTGAAGGGTGCCTCTCGAAACCTGAGCGAGGATGACTTTAGAAGAATTATTCCTCGAGGTAAGCACATTGCTGAGTGGCCAATTGGATCCGACATTCAAAGAGGTAAGTCTTGTAATTGCTTCAACAGCTTGAATAAGCGTGCTCATGTATATCCCAGTCATTCCATTGCGCAATACATGGTCATTAGAGCGGACTGGGTCGTATTGCATCGTTTTTGCGAACAAAAGGGCTGCCATGGAGTACAGTGCACACGCGCACAAAGCAGCAAGGCTAAGTTCTATGGCAGCGCCGACTTCGCTCTTGGGAGCAATTCCAGCTGCGCCCGGATGCGAAGAGGATGGCATTGATTTGTATGCTTTGAGGCAATCCTTCACTCTAGCGCCCGACGGAAACGACTTCTCGCTCGAATATCTGGAACGTCCGTACCTTGGCCACATGTACCATTTGTTAGCCAACGGCGGTTACTGCCCAATAGTCGAACACAATGCAGCAGCTCCATCCTCATCGTCTAAACTAGACAGTCCGCCGCCTAAGACAAAAGTCCTGCTGACCGCACATGGAGGATCTACCATGGCAAAAAGAAGCCTTATCGCTGCGATTAGAGCCGACGGAAAAGAGCGCGGAGAGCTTTGGAATCTCAAACATTGGCTTTATGGCATACAGAGGTTGCAAGACGTGCTATACACAGCTGCAAGGAACGGCTATATGCGCTGTGATGAAGTCTCCCTGGAACAACTAGAGGAGCAAACATACAATCGATGGATACTGGACTTTGAGGATCCTGTGAGTGCGAGACAATTTGTACAGACATGGCATGGCAGACAGCTGAGCCCTCCGGAGCATCATGATAAGAATTACATGCATCCCGACCTTGTCGTGACTGAAGTTCTCTGGTAGGGTTTGTAGAGTATGTACACTACAAATAGACTTGGCTTCTTCATTTGGCGATCGCATATCTACACACCAGAAGCTAGACTGAAGAATGCGCGTTGAGCATCCCAGAGGGTAATGACGTACTTCAGCGAAGCGCTTGAGGTTACTCGGCTGGAAATGGTATCCTGATTCAATGACGGCCTGCTTTTCCCGGAGTTCAAAGGTGCTACTACCAGGGCATTTACAAAGCTGCATTCTATGCATCCATCTGCCAGGCATATTCCAATTCTTGTCTGTTGACCTTCTTGTTCTTTGCCGCAAAATATTCCTTTTCAAAACCATTACTCCTATCGACGCCATCCCACCGATATCCAGGTCGAATCCCGTATCGATTAGGTGCTGCAGCACCCTTGTACAACGGCTTACCCGTAACGCTTCGGCCCTCTTTCTTCTTAACCAGAAAGCCTGCCGCCGGATCGTTCCACCGATCCTTGTCTTTCATCTTATCGTTCAATTCCTCGTCATCAGCATATCTCGATAATGTCATATACTTTGCATCCTTGAGCTGTTGTTTCCGTGCCGCCTGTTCAGCGAGCTGAACATCTCCTTTCGCCATTCGTACCTCCGCGACTTTCTTCCGCTCCTCTTCCTCTGCCTTCTTACGCGCCTCCGCACGCTTCATTGCCACATTTATAATTCGCCCCGATGCGTCACGATATATTGTTTCATGCTCCTTGCCTGACCGTGCAGCACTTGCCGCACCATACGCCTCTCGTTCTTCCCGCTCTTTGATTTTGATGGCGGCTTCGACCTGCGCGGCTGTCTGTAGACCGGCGAAGGCACCAGACTCCATCTTCATAATGTTTTCTGAATCTTCGACCGTCGGCGCTTCATCTTCAGCACCTGCGCGGACCGAGTTTTCGGCCGCGGCAGATGCAATGATGGCGTCTGCGGCAGCTTGCTCGGCATTGGATGGCGCTGCACTCCCGACAGTTTTCCAGCCGGACTTCTTGAGCTTGCGGCGTTCTATGCTCTGGCCAGATACTACGGCAACATCAGCATTATACTGGCTGGTAGACCTATGAGACCTACTTGTTGTCGGTCCATCGTCATCTTCTTCGTTTTGCTTGCCATTCCGCCAACTGTTGTCCTCATCCTCTATGATGAGTCCTTCTGTGGGAGCGGCGGTACCCTTGCGCTTCCTCTTCTTGCTCTTCTTTTCCGATCTATCATCCGCATTCAGATAGTTCTTTGCGAGATAGTCTGCGAGCGACATCTTGTGTTGACTGGAAGTGTTGTAGTGTTTTGACTAACCTTGAGCCCGACTTGTGACGTTTAAGTTGCGGATATGGGCGATGCGCGACTGGCTAAGGAGCAGGCATTTTCGCGCTCCAACTTTCTTGTGACTCCAACATCAATTTCACTTTACCCCTCCTCGATTGTCGACCCAGAAGTACGCCGTTCACAAACTCGACACACGTCTCAGATATGCCTCCAAAGAAGCCTACTGCCGCAACTCAACCCTCTTCAAAGCCAGACATGGACAATCTCCTCTCCTATACGATCCGCACTCAAACTCTCCTCACACAGCTGTTGACCTCTGTGACGAATCCCCCGACGTCCATTCCTACTCTTCCTCCAGATCAGCGTGTCCTGAATCCTCTCACTATTCTCCGCGACTCAGGGAAGCTCCTTCACGCTCACACCACCAAGCTGTCCCTCATGATCATGAACAAACCGTTCGGCGCAAAGTCAATGACGGCCGAACTGAAGGCATGCGTGGAAAAGTGCATTATGGGCATGATGGGTGCAGTGGACATATTGTCTTGCTCATGGCATCCGATTTCCCCAAACTCCGATAATCCGGGTAGTGCAGACGTCAGCGATCAGAGCATCTGGGGAGATATGATGATTAGGGAAGCACGCACCCGGGTCGCGCGCGTAATCAGAGAGATGTTGGTCATGGTACAAGAGCTACGTACGCTCACCGAGACAGAAGCTGGGATCTTAGACTCTCCTAGCTCGGACGCAGTCTCTCAACGCGACAACTTATCCTCAACTGGCGTTGTATGGGAAGCATGCGACTCGCTCGTCGCATTAGAGAAGCTTAGTCTGCCCGGTCTCGCCGTAATGAAAGCAACTCAATATCACCAAACACTGAAAGATGCTTTGGCAGAGCTGAAAGAGTGGGCGGAAGAAGTCGACGGGGACGAGGCCGACTTCTCCGATGAAGGATTTTCAGACGAAGACGATGAGCTAGACGCTATATTCGGCGCATCAAAGAGATTACCCAAAAACGATACTGCCCTACGTGAGCAGGTAGAACGCACAAACAAAAAGTTATCTTCAATCGCTGTGTTATACCAAGCTTTAATCAAGCGTCGACTGAAACCATTCATATTCACATTTCCACCAAGTGCAGCGACAGAGCATACCTTGTTACGTCGCACAAAACGATTAAACCAGATCATAGATGAGCTGAAGAGTATCCCCGACGAAGTCGATGAATTGGCTGGGGCTCTGTATGAGCTGGACGGCGGGTCTGCAGAGGCAAGGCTGAAAAACTGTATCGATATGGCGTCGGAAGCTGCTGCTCTTGCGAAGCTAAATTGGGACGGACAGGAGGACGAGTTTACTGTATGGAGTGGAAAATGGAAAGGCAGTGTAGAGTCATGATGGCAGAATATTGCGCACTCCAGCGACCATTTTCTGACCTATGAGTCTCATCTGTCACATAGAAAATGGAGGCACAGGGACGCTTGACAATGCGTTGTCGCCGGGTTAACAACTCTCATACGGCCACTGCTTGTCAACCGCATACGTGCAGAGAGCCACGCTCTTATGAGACTCTGTCTACGACTGCGCGACCTCCGCACCCGTTCAAAGCTTTAGGAAACCCCTGTCGAAAATGGTCAGGCCTCTAGCCAAGGTGCAGCAGATCTCCGCTTGGGCGCATAAAGCAGATTCCGCGCTGGTAGATATATCAAGCTGATACAGTAAATAATTCAAGTCAGTGTGAAGGCGAGTCAAAAATGTTATGTTCAATCGAAGAAATAGGGGAGCAGTATATTCCCGATCTAACTATATACTACCTAGTATCCATGACAGATCCTCCTCAAGCAACAGGGGTCGGCGCCCGCACTATGTATGACGTGGGCGTGGATTGCGCCAAGGGCGTCCGACAGCTCGCTGGATTCTTGCTTCAGCGCACATGCAGCATTCTCTCTTCAAATTCCTGGATATCCCTATATGGACGAGCTCCATACCCTTTGATCTCTATAACCTATATTCCTTAGAGTTGGCTCAGCATGACCTCATCACCTAAGAACTCTGGTCCCCAAACAAACCTGGATGTTGACTATGTAATCAGCTACAGATTCGCAGACAGTGGTTGGCACACTCGTGATCTGAAGCTTCAAGGCATATTCTAACTTCTGTAGACAAAGCCACAGCTGCGGCAAAGTTTGAGAAGCTCTGTCATAGCCTATCATCTGCGGGTCTCGCTACGGAGGTACGCAACGGCGAAAACCATTCGCTCCTCCTGTTCGTGAAGGTCGCTTCCGAAGAGCATCTCTACGGCGAGGTATACCGATCGAGGTAAGATCTTTATCCCGTTGGAGTTGGCCTGCGCTCACCCATATTAGGGTACATGATTGGATCCATGGCGTAAGAGCCGCGGCGCCACCAAAAGACACTCGAACAGCACTTGAATCCGAACCTCTCTCGGAAGCCGAGCGCCTGAGGATTATATATCAGCTCATCACAAATCCAGAAGATGAGGGGGGCGCGGGCATTACGCCTAAAGAGGGAGAATGGAAAGAAGTGGAGAGCATCTTCGCCCTTCACGACCACTCGTATAACAAGGACTGGATCAAACAGTGGAGCAGAGTCTGGTATCTGAAGACGGAGGATTTAGATGAGATACGAAACCGTCTCGGTGAAAAGGTGAGCGTTATTTCTGATATCAGTGAAATCTTTGACTAATCTCTCCAGATTGCCTTTTACTTTGCATTCACGCAGTCCTATTTTGCGTTCCTCGTATTTCCCGCAATCTTCGGCGCATCAGCGTGGCTACTCCTCGGAAACTTTTCCCCCTTGTATGCGATTGTGAACGGCATATGGTGCATAGTTTTTACAGAGTGGTGGAAGCACCAAGAGAGCGACCTCGCAGTCCGCTGGGGTGTCCGCAATGTCTCCAAGATTGATGTCAAAAGGAAGGATTTCGAGCACGAAAGGGAAATCAAAGATCCGGTCACTGGGGAGACAATTAGGATCTTCTCTGGCACGAAACGTTTGCAGAGGCAACTATTGCAGTTGCCATTTGCTCTGGGTGCTGCAGCATTACTCGGGACCCTGATCGCCACGTGCTTTGGCATCGAGGTTTTCATTTCAGAAGTCTACAATGGGCCGTTCAAGACTGTTTTGGTACGTCTCTTGACTTCTCGGTCGATTCCATACAGCTTACATGCAGCAGGTTTTCCTACCGACTGGTATATTGACAATCGTTATGCCCATTTTGACTGGCCTCTTGACGGACTTTGCGACTCGTCTCACCGCATTCGAAAACTATGAGACCCATAGTGCCTACGAGGCTGCTCTTACCAGAAAGATATTCATTATCAACTTCATTACCTCGTACCTGCCGATCTTCCTAACAGCTTTTGTCTACGTTCCCTTCGGCAGCATCATTGTCCCATATCTTGATGTTTTCAGTCTTACTGTCAAGCCATTCGCAGAGAATGAAAAGCAACTCACCTCACCAAAGGTTGGATTTGCGATCAATCCTGATCGATTGAAGAAGCAGGTCATATACTTCACTGTGACCGCTCAGGTAGTCAACATGGCAATGGAGGTCATTGTGCCATACCTTAAGAGACAGGGCTTCATGAAATACAAGGAGATTCAGAGCAAGCGGGCTGGAAACAATGGAACCCTTGACGTCGCTGCGAATGATCCACCAGAAGAACACCAGTTTCTGAAAAGAGTCCGCAACGAGGCAACTCTATCTATATACGACGTAACAAGTGACCTCAGAGAGATGGTTGTCCAAGTGAGTATTATTATTCTGTGTGGAATCCGCCGACTAACAAGGTACAGTTTGGATACCTCTCGCTATTCAGTGTGGTCTGGCCTGTCACCGCGGTTTCTTTCCTCGTGAATAATTGGTTCGAACTCCGAGCCGATGCTATCAAGATCTGCGTCGAGATGCAACGGCCGGTCCCATGGCGCTCAGACACAATCGGCCCGTGGCTAGACAGCCTTGAGTTCCTCGCATGGGTCGGAAGTATGTCTACAGCCGCACTTGTCTTTCTGTTCAGCGACGACGAAGCAGGCCCGCATGGTACTCCGTACGGCATCAAAGTCTGGGGCCTCCTGCTCGCCGTGTTCTTTTCCGAGCACATCTTTCTCACGGTCAGATGGGGAGTTCGCGTGGCAATCAGCAAACTCGAATCCCCTGGTCTTCAAAAGGAGCGACGGGAACGGTTCATGGTACGAAAGCAGTATTTCAATGAGAGCTTGGGGCAGCTCAGCAAGTCTCCAGCGATGGGTGAGAGTTACACGGAAATATCCCGCCAATCTCTCGAAGATGATGCTAGGGACGCAAGCCTGAGTGCCAGCAGTCCAGAATCGAGATTCTGGAGTAGGCAGAAAGGGTGGCAAGAGAGTGCCAAGGCTGGTACAGGACTGATGGAGAAGTACGCTGCTGGAAACGAAACGAAGAAAAGCCAGTGAGACTGGTTACAGACACAGTTAGGCACATTTCCATAGGCAACGACACCGCATGACAAGGTGATGAGCGGCTCGTTCGGTCCTTAGTACATTACATATAGCTTAGTTTCTGTCTGGGTACGGAACTATTCGACATCACTACTAAACAAAGACTTTCCTCTCCTAACGTCAAAATATCGCAAGTATATTAGGCGGACTTGCCACACCACCAGGAACCTACACATATTAGCCTAGCCTCCTCCATGGCTGCACCCCACCCCTCGTACCACTCACATTGCAAACCTCACTCGTCACAAAAGAACTCATACCTCCCAACCTTCTTCCAATGCGCCCCCAGCCTCTCCAAATCAAACAGCTCACCAATCGGGCACCCCCCCACCCACCAAGCAAGACCTCATACAGATGCCAATCCCGCTACGTCAGCCAACACTCAAAACTCGGGCTGAATCGCCCGCAACAGCCGAGAAGTTACTCCCATATCCATATCCACTCCAGCACGGCCTCGGACTGCTCCACGCCCGCCCAGCATGGTGCGGTAGGCTTTTCGCCATCGTCGTCAGCGTCTCCCCGCGGGTGGTGCTGTTGTACGCGGCCATGTAGCCGGAGCGAATGATAATGATGAGGATGTCGCCGTGTTTGATGACGGTGCGCTGTGCTTCGGCGACGGCTTTGAGGTGCGTTAGGGGATCGTTGGCGTCGTGGAAAAGGCGTCGTGGGGGAGGGAGTTTGCGCGAGGCGCTGGGTGTGGTAGTTGAGGAGGATGGTGTGGCTGACGATGCTGGATTCGGACCATGCTGTGTGTGTGGATCAACTGGGTTCTGTATGGTACGGGGACGAGGGGGCTTTTCCGGGGACTTACCTCCGATTCCGAGATGGGAACTTCCGGGTTTGTGGATGTCCTCTAGCGTCGCGCCGTTGTAGAATCTGCGTTCTTGCTGGTAGCCGAAGTGGCGGGGTCCGTCCCCTAGTGATTGATTTGCTTGAGTGAAAGTGGTATGGGGGAAGGAGAGGCACGTGGTTTATACAGAGGACAAGGCAGGCAAGGATGGGAGGGAGTCATGTTTCATGTTCCATGTTTCATGTACATACATTGGCTGGAGGACTGGGTGTTTAGTGTCCAGACATCGTCGTTTACGCAGCGCGGAGGCTTGGAGTAGAGGTTTTGGTGGAAGGCTTGGCGGGCGAAGAAGGGGGTTTCGGCTTGGGCGTCGAGGGGCCAGTTGAGGGAGATGCTGTTTGAGAGTTTGGGGTGTGAGTGCGTGGAGATGTCGGGTTTGAATGTGGGAATGGTGTGCTTTATTCGTCGATGCTCAAGGGACTCAGGATGTGCCTACCGAACCCCGGTCTTGATCTCTTTGGCAGCCTCAAGCACGACCTCGTCCGTCAGGCGATTGAGGGTGCCGAGCTGGTCGTCTTTGCCATATCTGGGAATGTGAGCTTGGGTGATGTGCGGGCGTTGGTTGAACGGGTGGGTGTTTACAAGCCCCATGCTGAGTGGAATGGGTCGTCTTTGTTTAGTGGTAGGTCGGAGAAGCGTGGTATTTTGGTTGGGGCCATTCTGACAATTGGTCTTCAAAGTGAGTAGAGTGATGCTTGATGTAGTGGAAATGCTGTTGCTATGTATGTAGATGATTCAGTAGTTCGGTACAGGTATGGATTGATATGCGGGGTCTCGGCTCTTAAGAAGACTACTGTCAGCATTGCTGGAATCCCCTGTGCAGATGTCGGAACCAAGAATTGCACACAAGCGGGATGATGTGTATGGGCACAGTTTACATGTATCCGTATCAAGACATGCCTAGCAGCGATTCAGACATCCATAGTTCAGGTCTCCAGACCAGGCCCAGTCGAAGCTGTGACCTGGACTGACCAGCAGAAGCACCTGTAATGTTCAAAACAATCAGCCCTGATGCGACTTCAGTATGCCACATCTGTATATATCGAGACAAATGTACAACAGCACTGAGCACTCACTCCAAGATAACGCCCTGCACGGAGCCACCTCGGCTGAACCCCGAACCCTGCCAAGCCTCACAACAACCTAACCTACCTATGAATGACCTCCGCAAACCTCAAAAAAGGATCCATCCATCCGTTCAATTCCATTCTTCCATCGCGCAACACCCACGCGCATCCCATCACACCACCACACCAAAACCCCTCCCTCCACACAACCTCAACCTACATCTCCAAAGAAAGTCACACAACCCCATCAAGCTCACACGAGCTACCTACACCCTCCATCCAAACCACAATGGTACGCAACTACACCCCCAAGAACCACCGCCTCACAAACCCCCCAACTAACCACCCCTCCCCCCCTAGGCCCACCGCATAATATTCCAAGTCCTCACCACCGGAACCCGCATCTTCGGCCGCGCAGTAACAGAAGCATGGACCCAAGCCTCCGCCTCGCAAAAATACGCCGCCCAAGCCGCAAAGACCGGCCAGCCCAACTCCTTCGCCACATCCTCCTCCGGCCTCACCCTCGACGAAGCATGCAAGATCCTGAATGTCGCGCCGCCGAAAGCAGGTGCGGAAGCTGCTACTGCAAACCTGGAGGCAGTCGGGGAGCGGTTCAAGAAGCTGTTTGATCTGAATGATCCGAAGAAGGGCGGGAGCTTCTATTTGCAGAGTAAGATTTTGAGGGCGAGGGAGAGGATTGAGGCGGAGGTTGGGAATGCGAGGGGTGTGGCGGAGAGGGAGGCGGAGGTTAAGGGGGGTTGGAGGCCGAGGGTTTATAAGTGAGGGGGTGTTTTTGGGGGGGTTTTGGGGGATGGGGGATGGGGGATGTGTGACAAAAGCGGGTATGGAGGGACGGGATGTAGGAATAAAGCAATGACGGAGGAGGAGGAGGAGGAGGAGGAGGAGGAGGAGGAGATGGGACAGAGTCTTGAACGTAGTCAAGGGGGGCATCATCCAGCACGGCGTTTCTTTCTTTCTTTCTGGGGGCATGCATGCATGAATGGCGAATCCATTTTCTGCGTTCAACCGGGGCGATGATGTAGAAGTCGAGATACACGCACACAGCAGTATCAAGATATCATCTCGATCCCCTGGGCAGGGGGAGCGCGGGCTTTTCGCTCTCAGGTCCGATATCCGGGCTGGAGGGGACTCTTGCTCTCCACTCCTTTGATATGTACATATTATATACAAATACATACACACGCATACACGCATACACACATACACACACGCGTACACGCGTACACGCATACACGCATACACGCATACACGCATACACACATACACACACGCATACACACATACACACGCGTACACACGCATACACACACAGACACACATACAATTGGATTTGAACCATGACTTTGTTATCTCTCTCTCTCTCTATCTCTCTCTCTATCTCTCTCTCTCTATCTCTCTCTCTCTCTCTCTCTCTCTCTATCTCTCTCTCTCTATCTCTCTCTCTCTCTCTCTCTCTCTCTCTATCTATCTTTACCAGAGCGCTGTTGCCCCTTTTAGTTATGAGGGGAGCGGCGAAAGAAATGAAGTTATATCAATACACAGCGACGCTGAAGCACTATTGGCCAGGTCTATATGCAAAACGAACTGAGTTGGGTAGTACTGATAGTATGCTATATCGAGTTTCGAGCTCATGTCATGCCCATGCCCTCCCCTCCTCTCTCCTATATCAACGCACACCCTCCCACCCCCTACCCCCTACCCTACCCCCTACCCTACCCCTCAGGAACAGCCGGCAGCGGCTTCTCCAAATCACATGCCCGCACCCTCATACTCGTCCTGACACTGCCCCTCAGCCCCCGACTCTCCCTTAGTCCCCGATTCTCCCTCAGCCCCCGACTCACCCGCCGCCCATCACCGGTCAATCTAGCAGAATGACGAGCACCCGCACGGATATCCCCCTTCCTAGAAACCTCGGCCCTGCACACCCCGCCATCCCGCACGGGCGCGCAGGGCATGGGTATAGCGATGCCGGAGGTGAGTTTGTGCGGGTGTAGGGGGGAGCCTATCTTTGGTTTTGGGGGTGGGGTTGGTTTTGGGGTTTGGGGTGGGTTTGAGGTGTAGTTGGGTGAGGACATAGGGATAGGAGTGAAAAGGGATGGGGTTTTGGCAAAGGGAATTAAAGGGGTGGAAGTGCTGGAAACGGGGAATCTGATGGCGAAAAACCGGACCCACGCGGCGAGCATTTTGGCGCGGAAGACGAGGGCGAAGACTTGGATGCCGCAGATCTGCGCGTTGATAGTCAGTCAATCAGCCAGCCAGCTAACAATACACAGTTCGCAACAAACGACGTGTAAAAAAAGCAAGGGCACGCAACAAAACCCACCGAAGCCAAAATGAACGCGCCCAGGATGACCCCACGCGGGACGGTAAGATGCGCCGCATCCGCCAGACACCTCTCCCTGCTACCTACGTTCTCGACCAGACACTTGCTCCAGCGCGCCGTGGCCTGGCGTTCGGCGCTGTCATCGCCGAGAGAGACGCTTTTGCCGAGTTTGCGGTCCTGCGACCAGAAGACGACGGTGAAGAAGATGGCTTGGGTGACGACGGCGATGCTGGTGAGCATGTTGCGCCATTGCATGGTGAGGTAGTGCTTGAGGAGCATGGGGGAGATGTGTTTGGTTGGGGAGGTGCCGTCGCCGCCGCCGTAGGCGGGGAGGGCATGTAGTTGTTGGTGTTGCGGGGAGGTGAGAGGGGTGTGCGTGCTGGTGTCTTCGATGAAGGATTTGGTGTCGTGATGTCGTGACGGCGGCGGAAGAGGATGTGGATGCGGATGCGGAAACCTCCCCGCGGAAGTATCCCCACGATTCCATCCCGACAACGCACACAACCGCGTCCAAAACGCAGCGAGCACGACCAACACCGGTCTCCGCTCACGCATATGCCGCCGATTCATGTTCTTGAACTTGCGCAGTCTGCGCACAATGACCACCGTCGTGGCGCAGAAACACGCCAGCGAGCCGCCCGAGAACGCGAGAAGCCAGGACCACAGCGTGGCAATGCTGTGTTCGTGGTTGGGTAGACAGGTCTGGCCGATGCGGTAGCTGGCGCCTGTCACGGTTAGGGTGACGGTCAGGAGCGTGCCGGGCACGAGGATGCCGAGGAGGATGCCGGTGACGCGTAGAATGGGGCTGTCGTCGACGGATTTGCTCTGTTTCGTGAAGAGGATGAGCAGGTTGAGCATTTTGAGGAAGACTGCATGCAGTACGGTCTTAGATTTGTGTCGATGGACTTGGTTGGGGGCAGTACTCACCCCAGAATGTCGCTCCGAGAGCGCCGGCGCCTAGGAGGCTGGCGGTCCAGGCACAGGACATGTCGTCCTGGAGGCGATTCGGAGTTATGCTATCATAGCACAAATCCGGGTCTGATCCCAGCGGTATCAAGAATGCTAGCTGCAACCTCGTCAGCGTAAAGACCATCGAACTAGGACTCATGGTATGCACAGAGATCAGAAGTATGGGGACCAACAACCCAATGTGCGTGTATCGCTTGTGCTTGACAGCGGCGCCTCTCATGCTCGCGGGCGAGATCGCATAACTGGACGGCGGCAAGACAAGTATCGTGGTGATCAGAAACACACACAGCACCGTCGAGATGACGGCGAGGTAATTGCCAATCTTCAGGTCCTCGATCCAATCTGTGCGTGTTCAGCTAGGCCTGGCTTTCTGCAGTAGGAAAAAACATGGAAAACGCACCAGTCGGATAGATCCACTGCTGTATCGGGCATGGCAAACAGCACTGTATGCTTGAGTCTTGTGGTGACGCGCCGCAGTATCGACCCTCGATGTCTATCCACGGTCAGTATACCATTACTAGTAGAGTAGGCAAGGCGACAAGATACATCCACCAGTGCCGTCCACGCTGTCACTGCGAAGAAACGGCTGTGGACAAGCATTCGAAGAGTTTGTGAGAGACCTAAGATCCATGTCACGCAGACACTCAAGGCCGGAGAAGTGCTACAACAGACAAACTAGACCGTGCTGCCGCTCTCGCACCTTGAAAGCAGAGTCGAGATGGATGATGGAAAGGAGAACCGAGTGAAGCAATAGAGGACGTAGGACGAGCTAGGGTCAAATCGACCACCGACATCACTATACTCGAGCACACTAGAACAGTCTTATCAGCGTAGAGAACGTGCGCAATGTACAAGGGTCCGGATATGATTTGACGTCAAGCTGTTTGCAGTAGTTATGATGTCTGGCATATGGAATGTGCCAAGAGTCCCTTGTTTGGAAACGTAGAACGCTCAAGGATAGAAAAGAATGTGAAGGAGTAAGTAGCACGACCATGCAGTGATGGCCAAGTCGGCACTGAAACATGAAGAGAAGATCTTTGGTTCGCCTGAGACTTGGGTATTATGCATCGATCTGCGATGATGTCATGAGATAATGTTGGATTGAATCAAATTGGAAGCTACTGCCCCATGGCCAGGCCAGACCGCACAACGCCGTAAACGATTTGCTCCCGCAAGCAGTGGAACGCACACACCCGAATCCGTCGCATACATATACTCCTAGCCTGGAAATAGAACCACAAGATGGAAAGAGAAAGTCCGGATCAGATAGTCATCAGACCGGCACACCGGAGAATCCAATCCGTAGTGTGGCTCGAGCTCCGTGTTGTGATTCTGTGCCCCAGCCTTGCTTCCATTCGAGCTCCACTCGTTTCGTGTCTTCGAACGCCTCTCGACATTCTGCGGGCAGATCCTCGAGTATGCTGTCTGGAATGCTGGCAAGGCCATTCGTGCCAACGTCGTAAAAGTCGCCCTCTGGTCCTGGTATGCCAAGATTGGAGATAGCTGGTGATTGCGAGTAGGCATCTGTGACGAGAAAGTTGCGTGAAACAACAGGTGGCACGGACGAGAACATACTACTCGCATTCGTGGTCACGGGATCGGTCGAGTCTACTAAGTGTGTCGTTTCGGTTGCACCATTAGCCAAGAGAAGTCCCTCTCGTACAGCCGGACGTTCAGTGTCCTCTGCTGAAATCTCTTCCCACTTTGCATGTGTTGGCTGTGTTGCTCTGGGGAAGTGCATCATGTTTGTATGTGGATCGTAGATTCCGCTCATATTTGCGTGGCGATCGGCCACAAGCTTCGAGTTAAATCGACTGCGAGTGGTAAGTTACACGTAGAAGAAGATGCTGAATTGTATGACTTCACCTTGATGATCTTGCGTGCTCAAACATCCAGTTCGCAGATGTGATGTTAACTTTACGTTTGCCGACCACGGGTTTGCCATTCTGAAGCGGAACACTGGGTGCGCCGGTATGGTAGACCGCACTGGCACCATGCCAGGCCACGTACTGGTTTTTGTTGTATGGCTCACCCGGTGCTGGAAGTCGGTCATTCGGCTCCGCGATCTCCCCCTCTACATCTCCCCGCTCTCTCGCGGCCGACGCATAGTAGTCATCGATAACCTTCTTGCCGCCAATGACGATCTTGGCACCGAATTCTCGAAAGACGGAACGAGCAGTCACCACACCAATGGAACGGCCCTTGTATGAATGTGGAATGAGATCTCTTGCGATCAGATCCATTTTCTCGTGGTCGTCGATTATGATCTTGTACAGCTGCATGTGCTTGGTGAAGAAGAGATAGCTGTCTCGAAAGCCAATGCATCGTGCCGGCTCTGTCGACAACATGTAAAGACGGTCACCTCTTCCAGTAATTGTAAAGACTCGCACGCGATAATCTCTTCCACCTTGCAAGTTGCCCATCTTGTCAACCTTCTCTTCACCCTCCGGATCCTCAGGCAGCGCAACTTCATCGCCCACCACGTCCATCATGTTGCCTTCTTTGTCGATGGCTACCCGTGTGCTCTGCGAAGCTCCACCCCGAGAACCCCGTCCGCGTGGACCCATGGACGGACGTCCTCGACGACGTTTTTGCGGCGTACCGCCTTCCGAGTTCGCATCAACCTCCGAGGTATTCCAGTCTGGAGGGCGATTCTTAGGCGGCCTACCAAGGCGCTTCTTCCGTGGAAATTGCTGAATGACTGGCGGCGAGGCAGCATCTGAAGCAGCGGGTTGGGCATCGGAATCTTGCGCGTCGCCCTCGTCTTCTAAGGGTGTCTGCACACGCGACTCATCTACATCAACCATCTCTTGATCCGACTCCTGTTCAACTGGAGTAGGAGTTCCTTGAGTAATAATCAGCGACACAGGGTCTAGAAGCTACGACCTGACTTACGAGCTGCGGCGCGCCTGGACCCACGTCCGCGACGTGCCATTGTGAAGTTACGCAAAGATGGGTGCGGAGGAAGCAGAGATCAGGACGGACGCTAGTGTTGAGCGGGGTATTTGGTGAGGATGCGGTGATCGCAGTGAGCTCGAGATGAAGCGAGTCTGCCAGCTCGTAGTTCTTTCAGTCGGCAAGACGCGCAGGAGAGAGATGTGGCGTCCAGGCGTCGTAGGGCTGAAGCAAGCTAGACTGTTATGAGCTAGCGTGGACCTGTAACTATCAGGCACCTAGGCATGAACTTCACGCGTGTGCACACCACGCCGTGTTCTACATCACTCACTCCTCAGGTGAAGCACTAATTACGCCATACTATGTTTGTATTCCCGGTCACTCGAGTAGGTTCAATATAAACTTTGTGGATTTTGTATGTCGTCATTTCACATCTCATCCGATGGTGGAGTCAACTCCGAGCGGAGCAGCGATCTGAGCTGACCCTCGTGGTGACGTATGCTTGCACATGTCTACTCGCAGGCACAGCTACATCTTGTCTAATTGACAAGGAGTAATGATACTTTATTTTCATATCACACGTTACTGGGTCGTGGGTGGGATAGACGAGTAAAGTCGACAGCTTTGCCGGGCTGAAACGTCAATGTTGTAATAGTTGCCCACATATCCTTTGATTGGATGACTTGGTCCCAAGAGAGAAAGTGAAGGGGTGGCGTGGAGTAGACGGGGAGTAGACGGGAGTGACAAAGGCAGGCAACACGCGAGGCCAAGCCGTAGCTTTGCATGCATATCGGATACGGCATGGCTGGCAAGGAGGTGGTACCTAATAAAGGTAGTTTGTGACACGTCCGGGGGCAAATGAGGGCGAAGGTCCTTGATCATGGAATGGTGGACCAGTAAAGGGATTGCCGATATGCTTGAAAGACTGAAACAAATCGGCAGTGCAGCAGTAGTGCCACTTTCACCTTCTCTTCTCTCTGTAGTGTGTGCAAGATTAGTCGGCCAGGAGCAGATTGAAGTTTGGGTGATAAGCATGGATGTGTGATGGGAGGAGGTACAAGAGCTACCGGGACAGATGCACAGACGGGGCTGCCGAAAGAACAAGCTTGGAACCATGGAACGCTGGAAAGGAGAGTTTAGGGAGGAAGAATGGAAGAATGGATGGGTGGATGAAGCAACAAGCAAGTAGGGTGGTGAGTGAATATGGTGACTGGCGAATCAAGGACGGAGGGACAAAGGAAGTAGCAGGAGCTGATGGAAGTCAAAAAGGGAACAAAGGACAGGAGGAGCACAAGGCAAGGTTAGCTACTGCTAGGTGAACATTATTCAGCTCATCTCACATTTCACTCTTCACTTGCACATTCGCTTTCACGTTCACTTGCATCTCACGTCGGACACATCTCAATGAACAATCGGACAGGGTGAAGGAAAGCGTGGCAGATTCAGCCCTGCAAGCAAGCGGTCACGACGACATAGTACTAGATACAGTACAATACAGTACAGTACAGTACAGTACCATCATAGTGGCACTGACATCTGCATGCCCCCCTCAGCTACAGTAGACTGCATCTGATATCAGCAGCAGCGGCGGCGATTGGAGAGCGACAGGAGCAGTTGTGACCGCCAGAAACGAATGGGCTTGTCCGGAAGGCTAGAAGTGGCCAGCTGCATTGCATCCTCTCACACAGGAGAGCGTTGCGGTAGGTAGGGCAGGACAGGGAGTGTGGAGTGGAAATCGTCGGCTCGTGAAGGGGGTGAAGATTTGACTGGGGCTGCATGTGGCTGGCTTGGGTTGGGATGCATCAGATGCTCGAGCCTGCTTACGCCATTACGCTTCACAACACAACACAGACCGGCAGTGAGGAGTGAGCAGTGGAAAGGAGAGAGAGAGAGAAGAGACGGGCAGTCAGTCAGTCAGTCAGCCAGTCGTCAAACAGTCAAACAAGACCAGTCAGTCAGTCAGTCAGTCAGCCAGCCAGCCAGCCAACCAGCCAGCCGAGGAGGGTCTACACTGTCACGTTCCACCGGTCGGTCTATGGGAGAGAAAAAAAAGAGGAGAGTGAGATTTAAGATTGAGCAGTGGAGTGGAGTGTGGACTGTGCATGAGAAAAGCGAGGAGCTTTGACAGAGAGAGGAGAGAGGCAGAGGCAAAGAAAGGCAGAAGAGGCAGAGAGGCAGAGAGAGAAGAGAGGCTGGGGAGGGACCAACCGTTGCAGCCAGCAGCACCAGCACCAGCCAGCAGCACCAAGCACCCAAGTACCCAAGCACCCAAGCAACAAAGCACACCAACCAACCAATCAACCAACCAGTAAAGTAAAGGGCAAAGAATAATTAGAACGACGAGAAAGAAAAAAAAAGGATGACGGCACCAAGACGAGACGAGGACGAGGACAAGGACGGCCAACCCTCAGGCCCACATCCAGCACCACCACCACTACTACTACTACTACTACTATTACCAGCACAAGAAGCACCAGCAGCTCCAGCTCCAGCTCCAGCGCGTGAAGGCAGCATTAATCCTGCCCGCACTAATCCTCCTGCCCGCACTGTCGGCTCCTCTTCGTCGTTCTCGTCGTCTGCCATCATCAATTCATGCACCAGCAGCACTACTACCACTACTACTACCACCACCACTTTTCCATCTACTATCCCTTCTCCACCTCTTCCTCCTCTCACTTCCACCTCCAACCTCCTCCTCCTCCATGACCGCTCTTCCACCGCTGCTGCTGCAGACGACACTTCGAGTTCGCTGAAGTTGCTTCGTCCAGGCCTTGTCAGCACTCTTCAACGTCGTCTGACAAGCTATCTACCTGCCACTTCCTCGGCTCTTCATCTTCAATCTGCATCTGCATCTGCATCTGCATCATCATCATCATCTTCTGCTTCACAATCCACCTGCACGCAGCGTCCGGCAGCTCGCTCGTACTGTAAGAGCTCCAGTGCGGTGCCCACCTTGAACACCATAGTCGCTACATCCGGCCCTGCTGCAGCCAACACCACCACCACCAGAAATACCCCACCACGCAGAATGACTTCCCACGACGGCCTCAATCCGCATACTGCTTCGGATTTGCTCAGGCAGGCAATGATGCAAAGGTATGTTCACTTGTTTTCTCCTTCTGTCCCTTTTAACCATCCTCCCTCTTTTTTCAACATCTGCCTTGTATTCGCAATTGGATGTCCCTGCCCCCCCCCCTAGCCAGCCACGAGCGTCGTGGTACCTCAACCCACCCCAGCATGTGCTACAAAACCACAACCACAACCACAAAAAACCTTCTCGAACGGCAAATGGAGGCGTCAAGGCCCTGCTTGGCTTCTGTGCTTCTTGGCTACATTGCCACCTCAAACCGCATCACTGCAATTACCATGGCGGCACCTGCTTGCCGCGCGACACACAGACACACACATACATACATACCCCCATGCAGAGCTCCGCCACATTCTCGACTGGACGCCTGCATACTGCACCATTCTACTCTCCATGGAGCCTATAGCAGTTACATGTCTAGGACAACAAGACAACTGACCTGCGGACTTTGTTCCAACGTTGCGTCCAAGTACCCATCTAGCACTCTCTACTATCACTCAGCCTGCCCGTCACCGCCTCGCCCCCCCTCCCTCCCCCGGTGCTGCTGTCCACTTTGCATTTGCTACCGCCACTCACTAGCATCTATCCCATCCTGAAATAGAATCGTCAGCTTTGGCTCAGCTGCCCTGCCCTGTCTCTCTTTCTCTCTCTTCCCTTTATCCATCAAACTTCTGTTTCTTCTTTGTTGTTGGCAAACCACTCTCCTTCACAATGCTCTCTGCTAACCCTCGCTGTCCACTTAGCCGGCCAGCTGCCGACGACGACCACGACCACATCGGTTCGAATAGCTCCACGCCTCCAGGTGCTGCGACACCGCGACCAGACCCTACGGATAAGCGACTGCCAGGCATACTTCACAGTTACTTTGGCCAGGTTCGTGATTCCTTCCGTAATCACCCAAAGTCTGAGGATCTTCATAATATCATCAATACCCCGCCCCCCGCACCTCTTCCAACCACCACCACCACCACCACCACCACAAAACATGCCCTTTCTGCGAACAATGATGTTGTTGCCCTCCACAATGCGCACAATCTCGGCCGCAACACACTACCCACCGCCCCGTGTTCCCCTTCAGAAACACAAGACCCAAAAGATTCCTCCTCTTCCCCATCACTGCCTCTTTCTCCTCAACCAGACCTTTCACCACCACCACCACCACCACCACCCCCGACAACCTTTATGAATCCTCTCTCTTTCTTCTACCCCACCCCTCCAGCCTCTTCGTCCTCTTCAATGCATCAGGTCAGCAAGGAAGAGCTGGATCACATTGGGTCTGGTCGTACTTCTGGTCGTACCTTGTCCACGCGCGATCAGAAAGATGCCGACTCTCACTCTGCCCCCACCAAGTCGCGCAGGCACACTCTTGTAACATCAAGTCCACTTTGCGGTGTCGTCACCACCTCTACCGTTCCTGCCGTTCATATTTCAAATCCTGCTACCCGTCGCCCGTCAGAAGCTCTACCGCCTGATTCCGCTGATTCCTCTCATTCTTCTTCTACCACTCAAGAATGTGTAGAGAAGCTAACTGAAGGCGGTGTCACGCCGCCACTTTCACAGAATACCCCGCCTCAAACCCCGCGATCGCAATCCCACGAGAGCAGATCTGCTCAAACACCCTCAAAACTCGGAAGGAACGCCTCGACCCAAAGTACCGGTCTCAAGCCACCAAAAGGAAAACTGAGTGTCTCCATCACCGAAGGTCGTGGACTGCGTCCCAGCATCGACCCATATGTCGTGTGTCAGTTTCAATGGGCAGAATACATATCAGACGGTCCGCGAGGGGACGCGTCGGCTAAGCGGGATGGCCACGGCCCTGGTGGCATCACAATGAAGCGTACCGAGAGCGACATGGGACGTCCAATGGCGATTCCAATGCGCAGTCGACAGAGCAGCAACACGGGTATGAGCTCGGATCCTAAAGAAAATGAAAAATACATCACGCAGCCCCACTGGGATCATGAAGCCATATTGTAAGCAATGGGGATTTACCGCGTGCTGCTTGCACATGACGCACATGCTAACTTCCTAGCAGTGACGTCGTAGGGGACCTGTCGGAAATTGACGTCTCCGTCTTTGACAAGTCAAACGGCGAAGCATTCCTGGGCCATGTACGATTCTGTCCGAATCTCGTCGAGTACGAACGACCAATCGACAGCTGGTTTCCCTTGGTCGCCCGCGAAGGAGAGGCGGATGAGGTGAGCGGGGAGATTCATCTCCGGATCAACTTCCAAAAGGATGTTGAGAAGAGGCATATCGGCCCTGAAGATTTCTCAATCCTCAAGTTGATCGGCAAGGGCACTTTCGGCCAAGTGTTCCAGGTGAGGAAGAAGGACACACGACGCATATACGCCATGAAGGTTTTGTCGAAAAAGGTCATTGTACAGAAGAAAGAGGTTGCTCACACGCTCGGTGAGCGCAACATCCTCGTACGCACCGCCATGTCCGATTCGCCATTCATTGTCGGTCTCAAGTTCTCGTTTCAGACCCCAGCAGACCTGTACCTAGTAACTGACTTCATGTCCGGCGGTGAACTGTTCTGGCACTTGCAAAAAGAAGGAAGATTTCTGGAGGCGCGTGCAAAGTTCTACATTGCCGAGCTCATCCTGGCCCTGCAACATCTGCACAACCACGACATTGTCTACCGAGACCTCAAACCCGAAAACATTCTTCTAGATGCCAAAGGCCATATCGCGCTTTGCGATTTCGGTCTGTCAAAGGCCAATCTGACCGACGATGCCACTACAAACACATTTTGTGGTACCACCGAATACCTTGCCCCCGAGGTCTTGTTGGACGAGCATGGCTACACCAAGATGGTTGACTTTTGGTCGCTCGGTGTCCTCGTCTTTGAGATGTGCTGTGGCTGGAGTCCCTTCTACGCCGAAGACACGCAGCAGATGTACAAAAATATCGCATTTGGAAAGGTTCGCTTCCCGCGCGACGCTCTCAGCACAGAAGGCAGGAATTTTGTCAAAGGCCTTCTCAACCGTAACCCGAGGCATCGTCTGGGAGCAACCCGCGATGCCGAAGAACTCAAGGCTCATCCATTCTTTGCAGACATTGATTGGGTAGCACTGGCAAAGAAGAATGTTGCACCGCCATTCAAGCCAAAGTTGAAGTCTGAGGAAGACACGTCCAACTTCGATCCCGAATTCACGAATGCACTCAACGGAGGCGTTGGTTCCTTGAATGCCCGCGCTGCCGCGTTGACTTCTGGTGCTCACCCCGCCTCTACCCCGCTATCACCTACCATGCAGGCAAACTTCAAGGGATTCACCTTTGTTGACGAAAGTGCAATGGACAGACAGTTTGGTGGCAGAGACGTGATGGACCGAATGGAAGAAGACGATGATGATGACTGGGACAAGCATTACTCGAACCCAAAGGCTTACAACCGTATGAGCGGCATCATTTCCAACGACAATGATGACAGTTTCTTCGGCAGTGGCCGTCTCGACGACGTGTGAGCCCGAATCATTTGTACACTCTGTCCGGGCGAATGATGAGTTTTGGTGGCATTCCTTGGCGTCCAAAAGTTTGACCTCCCCTTTGGAGGCTCCCCCCTTGACACACATTTTCACCCAGGCAACAGCTCGCATAATCCTGACCTGGCCATTACGCAAACGCGCACTTCGAGTCAACCGGACCAAGAACTACCAATTCGTAATTACCCTCCCTCACTTCCGTTACATTCAGTCAGCAAAGTTCGGAGGATCATCAGCAGGCCACATCAGCTTCAACGATGATGCATTGGTCGACCTATCGTATCTCATATATATATATGAAGGAGGCAGGCAATTATTGATACCCATGCTGTTCCACACCCCTTTCTTAGTTGCTTTTTTCATCACTTGTGTTCCACATTTCTGGTTCTGCATTGCGTGGCCTGGGGCATGGTTCGTAATGCATCATTCATGATGGACGTACACATTCCGTACGAGCTGCTTTTGGGTGGAAAATCGTCTTGTTTTGAGAGATTTTCTAATGGGAGATGGTGACGTAATCGAAACTGGGTCTGGCGTTGTGTTACGTCGAGCATCTATGACGTTTGCTCGTGTGGAACTCCGTATGTTGAGGAAACAATGGTAATGCGCTATGTATATACGGTCCGAATGAGAAGCACATCAGACTGTGACATTGATTGGTCGTATGCTCGCTGTAGCGACAGCTTGAATTAAGAAATGAGAGGCTCATGCGTCTGTCTGCATGTCTGTCGATCAATTTGATGCCCCATGTCACTGTCGATGAATCGTTGTCTTCTTACTTTCCAGCGACCGTTGTGCATATCAACCAGACTTTGATCGGCCGAGAACTTACAAGGATTATGGGCCACCTCGGCATTCGGTAAGGACAAGCTAGTACTTTCGTACAACTCCGCCATCAACTCCCGATTTCGTCTTCCCCCCCGCGTACATTAACTCAATTAACGTATAGCATTGCATTCCTCTGCCGGATTTCTCGGCGTAAGACAGTCCACAATAAGAAGCTTGCACTAGCCTGTCAAAACTCTTCCTTCTTGCCCTCCCCCTCCTCCAACCTCCCCCAGGTCGTACTCTAGCTTTAGCTAATTAGTACTTCCATCGCATCCTAAATCTTATCTTATCAATCTTCCTATATTACGGCTAGCTCTGTGCAACATACATCCATCAAGTCATGGCTCCGGACCCAGAGAAGAACTTTGGCGTTGGCTTCGTCCACCCGGAAGTGCCTGTCAGCTGGCTGAAGCGCGACCTGCTCCTCTTCGCCAACAGCATTGGCGCTACCGAGGACGAGCTGCACTTTCTCTATGTATGCGCTCTCACTCATGCACATCCTCCCACACAAAAGCCAATACCAGCACCAGTAACTAACCCGAACAACACAGGAACTCCATCCTTCCTTCGCCGCCTTCCCCACCTACCCAATCATCCTCCCCTTCAAGCACACCGACACCGACGTAATCGACTTCTACGCCCGCAACTCCTCCACCCCAATCCCCGGCGTCCCCAAATTCGACTCCAAGCGCGTCGTCGACGGCGAGCGCAAAATCATCCTCTTGCACCCGATCCCGCTCTCCTCCGCCGGCCGCACATTCGTCTCCCGCACCATCGTCCTCGGCGTCTACGACAAGGGCGCCCCCGGCAGCGTCGTCGAGACCGAGACCCAGCTCCTCGAGAAGCTCCCCGGTGGAGACGAGAAGGTGTACAGCAAAGTGATTGGCAGCGCCTTCTTCGTCAAGCAAGGCGGCTGGGGCGGGCCCAAGGGTCCCAAGGGCGTGAATTACCCGCCGCCCGAGGGCAAGAAGGCAGACGTGAGCTTCTCACACGCCACCACGAAGACGTCGGCGCTGCTGTACCGTCTGAACGGCGACTATAACCCGCTGCATGCGAGTCCCGAGGCTGGGGCCAAGATGGGGTTTGGAGGCGCGATCATGCATGGGTTGTATAGCTGGAACACGACGTGTCATGGCATTCTGAAGGCGCTTGGTGGGAGCGACCCCGCGAATATGCGGGAGTTTGCGGCGCGGTTTGCGAGTCCCGTTTTGCCGGGCGATGTGTTGGAGACGGATGTCTGGGTTCTGGACGGGGAGGGCGAGTGGAGGGAGGTGCGGTTTGTGACGAAGGTTAAGGGTGGGAAGGTTTGTTTGAGTAACGGCCGGGCGATGGTCAGGTTGGTGGCTGGGAAGAAGGAGAGTAAGTTGTAGATTTTGATGCGGATATATGTGCTTTGAGCATTACGTCCATGCAGTCAAGTGTACGTTACAAGATGTCAAACTCCGAGTATCCGCCCAGCTACGAGAACCACGCTCAGAAGAGCTAGTTTAACATGAATTGAGAGAGCCTAGGTTCCGTCAAACGACAAATTAAAGCATCAGAAACCTATACATCCACATACTTTCAACTAGTAACATGGCTCGACCGTCAATAGCTCCTCCGAGGCTCCGTCTGGCATCGAATCTGATATGCGTGGTGGTCCGTGCGCTTATCCGCCTGTCTGCGTATCAAGCTGCGTCAATCTTTGCTCGACACATGCTCGTGTCGCACACATCTTGCGTGCGGAGCTCTCAGCTAACTTGCAGCCCATCTGCATGCCATTGAACCTTCGCAATCGCTCCGCAAGACTCAACCAAGCTTCACTGTCAGCATGGCTTCAGCACCGCCAAAGCTCATCGGCAACCCTATGGCCACAGTCGAGCAATTAGAAACCTCAGCCTCTCAAATTGATGGCATACCAAAGGAGCTCGAAGACTCCATTCACTTTGCTGGCGCCCGTCTTACCCAATTAGCAGGCATTCTCCTGCGACTTCCTCAAGACATCATCGCCATCGCAATCGTCAACTACACAAGATTCTGGCTCGGCCCAGAAGGAGGCAGCTTGAAGAAGTACGGAGCCAAGGTCAGACAGAGCAGTCACAACAACAACCATCCCACCGCCTCCTAGCTGACCCTCACACCAGGACATCTCCATCGCATCCCTCTACGTCACCGCCAAACTCTCCGCCTACCCCAGATCACCCCGCAGCGTCATAAACGTATACGCCTACTTTGACGCCCACGAGACCACCTTCGAGCACCACGCCCCCAACTCCCCCAACCCCCTCGACCCACAAACCTACTTTGTCTCCGAAGGCACATACCAAGCCCGCCGCCTCGCGCTCATGCGCACCGAAGCCCTCCTCCTCCGCACCCTCGGCTTCACCACCGACACCGCCCTGCCCTACGCCCTGGCCATCACATACATGCAGACGCTCGACGCCTTCGCCGACCACGCCGCCGGCTCAGCACTGACGAAGCGCGTGCTGGCACACCTCAACAGCGCCCTCTTCAGCCCGCAAAAGCTGTACCTGACGCATCAGCCGGCGGCGCTGGCCACGGCGGCGATCTACCTGGCGGGCCATGAGCGGGAGATGAAGCTGGCTGGGGAGGACTGGTGGGAGGTGTTTGATGTGGGGAGGGAGGAGCTGGGGTTTCTCGTCTTTTCGCTGAATAGTCAGAATGGGTTTGCGGAGAGGGAGGTGGAGAGGTGGGCGGGGAGGAAGGTGCCGTTGACGGTGCTGGAGGTGGAGAGGGAGATGGGCGTGGGCGTGGGCATGGGCGTGGGCATGGGCGTGGGCATGGGCGTGGGCATGGGCGTGGGCATGGGCGTGGGCATGGAGGTATAGATCTGTAAAGGATCAATGGTTGTGTGTTGTTGATGGCCTGGATTTTTGTGATACCCCTATAGAGCTTTTTATGGTTCTTTACTGCGAACCAATTGATAGAGAGCGCATTTTTACCTGCGATTGTTCTGCTTGATGGGGCGTCTTTGTGGGTATATATATACCAGGGTAGCCTTTACCAATCTGATCTAACTTCTACTTATACTAATCTGAATATCTATCTATCGCAGCGACTCGCATGCCCTCTCCTAGGTCATCAGTTCAGTCTTACCTACACATGAAGCCTAAGGCCTCCACTAATCCCTCGACCCCCGAACTTTACCCACCAAAGTCTTGGCATACACGCAACGCACGGGGCTCCACTTACACGCACACCGTGCACACAAGCGAGACCACACACGCACTAGCTTCTTTCTCTATCTACCCGCAAAAACTACACCTTTCTCTCACCACAACGCCCAACGCCCAACGCCAACAACGTCAACGACAAAGACAACGATCGTATTCGACCCTCAACCCTCGACCCTCGACGGAACGAAGATCTAAAGCAAAAATTCAATCACAATCATGGCCCACGATACCGTCTACTACTCGCGCCCGCGCACGTATGGAAAGGCGGCGCTTGGTTGGTATGTTGTTTGACCTTTTTTTTATCTCTCTTTGTGTTTGTTTCGATTTTGTTTTGGTTTCGATTTGCTTGAGTTGCGTTGTCTGTGTTTGGGTGGGTGTGTTTGGGTGGAAGAGGAGGAGTTGGAGGGTTATGAGGAAGAGAATAGATAGGGATGTTTGCATGGAGAAGAAGATTGGAGAGGACGAGATGAGGGAGAAGAGGAGGGATGGATGGATGGGTGGAGAATAGGACAGAGGGTGGATGAGGAGTTGAGGAAGAGAGAGGGAGAAGATGAGGCTGAGAATTATGAGGAGAGATAGGGAGAGAGAGGATGAGAGAAGATATGGGAGAGAGAAGGATACGATGGCTTCGCATTCGCTCGTCGCTGGACATGCACACACCCATCCATCCGCCCACACACAACATTCTTGTCTCTCCTTCTCTCTCTCTCTCCCTCCCGGCATGCTCTTCTCACTACATCCTGCTCCACACTCATGCTCCATTCCCCCTTCCATCTCCCTTTTTTTTCCCTTTTCGCAAACCTCCAGCCGCGCACCCACGCTGACAACTCCCGTGCACAGTGTCGTCACCGGCGACCGGAAGAAATCGGGTATCATCCGCAAATACGGCCTGAACATGAGCCGACAGGCCTTCCGCGAGCACGCAAAGGAGATTGGGTTTGTCAAGGTGAGTTCTTGGATCTGTTGTCGGTGGTGCAGCGAGGGGAGAGGAGCGGTGTGCTGATCGTGTCTGGGTTGTAGTACCGTTAAAGGATGGACGAGTGAGGGGATGAGCGGGTTGATGGATGGATGGATGGATGATATGGAGATAAGGGCATGAATGGGAAGGGGATGGAGGATGTAGGGTTATGCGTGGTGGGTGAGGTGCGCGTTCGGCACTTGTTCGTACATACGTACGTACATGCAGAATCCACGATGTAGCCATGCAATCGCCACGATGTTCCTAAATCAAAAGCTCCGACTTCATCCATAAACCCAATACCGCTCCTGATGCGCAGATTCAAAATTTCATTTCATCTCATTTCATGTCATCAGCACTCATCCATGCATACACACATACACATCATTCATCTCGTCTCGTCCATGCATACAAACATACACTTCATTCATCTCATCCCCACCTAACCCACCACTCCCCCAACTCCCTCAACACTCCCCAATCACACCCCCTCCCCCTCCCCCTCCCCCTCCTCAACCCTCAACCCAACCCTAACCCCATCCCCACAAGCAAGCGTCAAACTCAACCCCTCAACCCACCCCCTCCCCTCCTCCCCCCTCGCCTCCACCCCACCAAACCCCTGCGCCAACCTAACAGTAACATACCCCGCCTCCGTCAACGCATACTGCTGCCCCAAACAAATCCGCGGGCCCCCATTAAACGGCAAATACTCCCACCCAGGCCTCAAGCTCGCCCAGCGCTCGGGGCGGAACTCGAGCGCGTCGGCGCCGTAGTAATCTTGTCGGCGGTGCATGGCGTACGGCGAGTAGATGACCTGTGTGCCTTTGGGGACGAAGAGAGGGGAGGTGCCGGTGGGCCCGCCGCCGAGGGGGAGGACGGTGTCTACTTTTGCGACGCGGCCGTTGTTGGGGACGACGGGGTGGAGGCGGAGGGCTGTGTTGGGTGGGTGGGTTAGTGTGGTTTTCATTGGGAAGGGGGGTGGGTAGATTGGACGTACATTCGTTCATGCAGTACTTGAGATACTTCATATTGCGCAGCTGCTCGTACGAGGGCGGGGCGCCACCCAGCTGCGCGACTTCGGCACGGAGCTTCGCCCAGATATCCGGGCGACGGGCGAGGACGAAGAAGAGATTGCTCAGCAGCGAGGCGGTGGTGTCGCGGCCGGCAAGGAGGACGTTGAGGAGCTCGTCGCGGAGCCGGACGGGGTCGGTGGTGGATTTGGCGAGTTCGTGGAGGAAGACGTATTTGGCGTCGGATGGGGGCGCGGCTTTTTCGGGGTCGAGGTCGAGGTGCTTGCGGTAGAGCAGGGCGTCGTTGACGTATTTCTGGACGAAGGCGTGGCAGATGCGGGTGGAGGCTGTGTCTTTGGAGTCGGAGTAGAAGACGCGGAGGGCGCCGAGGCGGGAGCGGGTGGCGCAGGCGCGCTGGGCGTAGTTGAAGGCGTCGGCGAAGGAGGAGGAGGGGTCTGCGGCGCCGTGCAGGGCGGGCTGGTCGCGGCACTGGCGCTGGGAGTCGACGGATTCGCCGAAGAGGAACTCGGTTGCGGAGTCGATGGTGGTGCGGAAGAAGAGGTCTTGGAGGTCGATGGTGGTGCCGTCGCGCGGGATGCTCTTGAGCAGTTCCTGCACGTGGCTTTCGAGCATTTGGAGGTCTGCGACCTGGTCGCGGGCGAAGTTGGGGCGGATCATGTGTCTGCTGTGCGCCCAGTGGTCGCCGTCCATGGTGAAGATGCCTTTGCCGAGGAGGGGGGCGAAGGGGAGGAGGCGTTCGCCGAGGCCGAAGTCTTTGAATCGGGTGGATAGGACGGTCTTGACGTTCTCGGGCTCGATGGTGACGATGAGGGGCTTGGTGACCATCTTTGAGGTGAAGGTGGTGCCGTATTTTTGGAAGCGGTTGTATGAGGTCTCGAGGTAGGTTCTGCTTTTGGCGGCCCGGATGTTGGTGAGGATCAGGTCGAGGCCGAAGATGGGGTCCTTGAACTGATAGCGGGAGTATGAAGGTTCGCAGCCATGCTCTTTCTTGAATGCGCGTCTGCGGAAGTAGAGGGCGACTTTTTGATAGATGTATGCTGCTGCGAGGGCAACAGCAATGATGACCAGCAGATTCTTGTGTTGGAACAACATGGCTCGAAACGTGATCCAGTAAAGTCGCTAGAGAGGGGCTGCCAGCTCTATATACCCAAACACTGAATGTGATGCTCTCCTCCGCCTCCTGCTCGTGTTGTGGTTGGGCCGGGAGTCGCGACGGTGATAATTGAAGGATTCCACAGGCGTCGTCTCACTAAGCATGCGAGCTATATAAAACCTCATCAACAATCGGGGTCGGGCAAAACACCAAAAGTCGTCAGTGAAAAAAGTGTAAGGCGACGACCGGAGACGGACAACGGACACGGCCGGACTTAGTCACAAGGACATGGGCAGGGCAGGACGATGTTGACCGCAGGGGGAGGGGCGCGGCGATCCAACTTTTAAGCAGAACTCCAGCAAGAGAAAGTTTGAAGTCAGCCGGGCGAATGGCCCAAAAGGGAGAGTGTAGACTCGACACTTTAGAGTCGTGAGAGGATTTAGATCATGTCACATGTGCCGGCCGACTCGGTAGCTACGGGAGAAGCGGAGGCGCCGGGAGAGCACTGGTAGTGAATGGGCCAATGCTGGGGTGGATTGCATGGTTTGTGCGACGGCGGAACTGCTACAGTCTGCAACATCACCGAAACAGTAAGTGAGCACTGATGGCGAAACTGCTGAGACAGTCGTGTTGCAGATACTTATAGGCCCTTTTATGGATACAGCCTACGTCGACGGGTTGATGGAGGTGTGTTGACTGTCGGATGAGCCATTTCGATGCGAACAGCTCCCCACCGCGCGGCTGTGTCTTGGACTTGGGAAGAGTAATGATGATGATGATGATGATGACGACGACGACGGTGATGACAATAACGGTGACGAGTTCAGCGACAAAGAAGACAAAGACGATGGAGCGGACATCCTTTGTCCCTTCAGACTTGAACCCAATGTATGAAGTGGTGGAGCGGTTTGTTTTGGCTCTGCCGTGCGCCACCATGGGATGCCAGTCTTGGATTGCATGGCAGACATCCTTACAAAGCCAAAGTATCAGTGTCAGCTGATGTCTCGAGATTATGCAAATATGCGAAGGCGAGATTGCAAGGAAAGTAACCCTTTGTCTTCCAACGCCATGAATTGTAATCCACGATATATAAGATGGCTACTGTATTTTCGCTGGTCAAGCACGTGCGTTAGCATACACTGACTGACTGACTGACTGACTGACTGACTGACTGACTGACTGACTGACTGACTGACTGACTGACTGACTCTGTCTCCTTACGTATGTTGATCCACTGCGTTGATATGTTTGCATTCCAAACACACCAAATCATGTTTCATCCATGCATCCACCATCGGCCTAGCTATCGCGCCGCATTCCGTCCTGCGTAATTTTCAGCCACCATGACACGAATCACGAGTCAAGCATCGTGGCGCATATAACAACCACAACAATCACAAGCGCTTACGCGCGATACTCATCTTTGTGGGATACAATACATTCAGAGACTAATCACTCTCGCCGTCTGATGTTCAATCTTCAAGAACGCTCTTGGATCGATTACTAAGCCTCCGCTGAGTAATCCGGTCGCTGTATGCTTTCACTTTCACAGGTTTTTCGTCAGAAGACTACATTTCGTATTGGTTTTTTCTTTGGCGGCTAAGTCTCGCTGATCGATAACTGTCGTTCGAAGCTTCCATACACGCCAGACAGGTCGTCCCTTAATCGTACAATCATACTTCATCATCGTTGCAACGCATCCTGGTGACCCATCACATCCTAAACTCCTTGTTTCCGTGTTATTCACCCATCACTTATTCAGACGGCTTGACAGGCTCAACGATCACGATATGTGCTGATCGTCGATTATCAGCCTTGTTGTCATCCTCCTCCTCGGACGATTGTTCACGCGCTCTTCGCATACTAGCGCACCCACTGCGTGGGAAGAAGTGTACTGGTCGATCCTGGGCGATTTGTGTCATAGCCTGTGCTTCATGTTGAGGTTTCGGTCTTGAGATTCGTGCTCTCGCAACTGCAAGTGAGTCTTTGCGAGCAAATCGTTCTGGCTGGATACCGCTGGTCTTGAACAGTCGATCCCGTGCAAGCGCCACTGAATCTCGATGAAAGCCAAATTTCGGATCAGTAAGTAGCTGAGGACTGTTTGTTCCATCCGAAGAGTCCGAGCTACTCTGATCCCGTCGAGTCGGAACCAGATCGGGTACTTCGAGGTGATCACCTCCTGAAATTTGTTTGATTAGGCGTTCGTCTGCCTCGTTGAGATTGGGTGGAAGTGGGGAAGCTTGTCGAGACTGCTGAGATGAGTGCCCACTTGTTCGCTGACTTGTACGCATACTGTTTGGTGGGACAGGCAGCGAGGGTGTTGCTTCCATCGTTGTCGATTGGGGTTGCACCACCGGAAGAATTTCAAGTGAAGGCTCGGACCGGGAACGCTGGAGGGGATGTTCAAGTCCGGACCAGGCCCAGTATGACAATTTCTTGGTGACGATGTCGATACCTGCGGTAGGGCGAAGCGGTGGTTCGACCTCGTCAACCTTTGTCGGACTAATAAGACCAGACTGCTCCCGTTCACCCAATTGTTCGTCCCAGATGACGTCGTAGCGACCTGCTGGCGAATTGACTATCTCAACGGCGGGACCAGTCTTACTAGGACTCACAGTCACATGAGTTACAGCCGGTTCTGCTAGGGCACTTTTAGGACTGGATGACGTTGACGAAGCTGATCGTAGTAAGGGTGACCTATGCGACGATGTGTTGCTAGATAGATGTCCGGTATTGATCCTTAGGATAGGCACGTCTTTCTCTCTGGTTTCGCTGAGATCTGTGGTAGAAGACGCAAATGAGCTAAAGCCTGAAGATATATCACCGTCATCTGATACGTTCGTCTGCCACTGTACTCCGCTCCGCTCCGCAGGTGCGAGAACAGGCTCCGCGGACGATCTTATGCGCAATGACACCGATGGTTCAGCTCGATCAGGGGTCACAGCGGTCTTGACGTCTGTCATTGTGAGACTTCGCCGATCCCTTGTGATTCTCGAGCCTCGTGCTTGGGTTGTATCTGGAGCAGCGTTTGGCTCAACCGAAGATCGAGGGCTCGATGAGGCGTTTTGTGAAACCGTCCGTTGCATATTATAGAATTTGAAAGAGCGCATCAAACTGAATGTGTGATGCACCTCGCCGAGTGTTGAGCAGGGTTAATACGGAAGTCTCAGAAGTTGATAGTGTAGCATGTAAAGGAAGAAACAGAGTGAAAAGAATCCTTGTAGTAGTAGGGATTATTCGTGGAGGAGATGGATAGGAATAGCGAATGTGTCTGGATATAAGAGGCTGCAGGGACAAGAAGGTCGATACCTCGACGGTACCGAATGCGGAAGTCCCCATACGTGCAACGTCTAGTAGGTGCAGGATGACCCATTAGTTAGGACATAGAGGATGCTGAGCCCTGATCCAAAGATAGTCTGTCTTAGTATCCGCTCACCGAAATAGTCCAGAAGGCTCCAGGGTCCAATGAGGCTGTCTTGTCGTCATCTCTGTTGAGCAAGACGATGGAAGATCACTCATTGACGGGACTGATAGACTTCCGTCAACATACGGAACCATGGCACGGAGAGTTTTTCCTCACAACGTGCAATGGCATACAGACCACTTCTTTGGTATACATTTAGCACATCAAACAAAGCCATGCCCTTGGCGATTCCTTCTGCGTATTGTGCTTCTCGTCCTGATCAATCGGTGGTGGAAGACAGTTTTTGGAGTTTTCTGGGCATGGCCTGGAGGTGTCGAAACACGAAGGAACAAAACATTCGAACATTGTGGGGTTGTATGACGCACTCTCACCATCTAGATTGCAGTAATATAACATTTACGACCAGGCCCGGAGTTTGTGCTCGTCAAACATTCGATGGTAGACGTATTTACTCGGGGCTTTGAATTGTGGTCTGTTGAGTGCCAAGTCCTAGTGCCGCGTGATTGGTTGGACTGAGTGTCGGCACTAGCGCCACTATATCGGTTTGTAGTAACAAGCCAGCTGTCTTGAAATTGAGCTATAGAACACAATACGGGCAATAGATGCACATAGACCAACAATGAGGACAGTGCAGCTAGAGGCTCTAATACTTCTTGCTCCAGCAATTACCCCGGTCCTTGCTGCTTCAGACTCATCTCGACCGCGGGGTGTAGGTCCTGAATGTGAGCTTCCGGAACAAGCTATCTCGTTATTGATCAATGCTCATTATACACAGTTGCAAAGTTCTTCAAAGATGCAAACACATTCACTTGCATCTCGAGTCCGTCTGTCAAGATTCCTTTCTCCCGCGTCAACGACGACTACTGCGACTGCCCGGACGGCTCTGATGAGCCAGGCACTTCCGCGTGCTCCTATATCTCGCCCTTGTCGCCTCCCACCGTCGAAGAGAACACCTCACTAGCCCTACCTGGCTTCTACTGTAAGAACAAGGGTCATTTGCCTGCATATGTACCATTTACGAACGTCAATGACGGTATATGTGACTACGAACAATGTTGTGATGGCAGTGAAGAGTGGGAGGGTGTCGGAGGCGTGAAGTGCGAGGACAAATGCAAAGAGATTGGCAAGGAGTGGAGGAAACTAGACGATGCCCGGCAAAAGTCGTTGAACAATGCAAATCGCAAGCGAAAGGAGCTCGTAACTGAAGCCGCGCGGTTGCGCAAAGAGGTGGAAGATAGGCTTCAAACGCTGGCCACTGAGATTCAAGGATCAGAGCTCAAGGTTAGCGGGCTTGAAAAGGAGCTCACTGACATCGAGCGCGCCGAGAAAGGCAAGGTTATCAGAGGAGCGGGCAAGGGTGGAAGAATGACTGTTCTGATCTCACTCGCAAAGGGACGGACAGAAGAGCTGAGAAGTCAATTGGAGAAGACGCGAACAGAACGAAATGACTTGAAAAAAAGAATCGTGGATCTTGAATCGATCTTGACTCAATTCAAGGTCGAGTACAATCCAAACTTTAATGACGAAGGCGTCAAAAGCGCTGTCAGAAGATGGGAGGACTATGCTGCCAAAGACCATCCCAAAGACGACCCTACTCGCGAAGCCGACCTAGATGAAATCCTTGAACCAGACGAATCTCACGGTCTGACCTGGGCAGACTATGAGAAAGATGACGAGGAATCCGATGTCGACGTCCGTAAGTTAACCTATCATCATCCCCTTTTTAATTGACCGGGAACTAACGTCATCCAGTCTATCAATTCGAAAAATATCTCCCCGCCTCCCTTCGCACCTGGATTGACCAGAAACTCCGCGACCTACGCATCATGCTCATCGAGAACGGCATCCTCGCCTCTCCCGCCGCAGAAGGCGACGAGCCGCAAGCCATCAAAGACGCGCGCGAGCGCCTCAAGTCCGCACAAGATGATCTCAAAAAGAATCGCGACGAGCTCGAAAAGCACAAAGCAGATCTTGACACAGACTACGGCCCAGCCGAGGTCTTCCGCGCGCTCAAGTCCAAATGTGTCTCTCACGAATCTGGCGAGTACACCTACGAGGTCTGCTACCTGGATAAGACGAAGCAGATCCCCAGAAAAGGAGGTGCGCATACGGGCATGGGGAATTTCGTGCGTATCGAGAAGATCATGGTGGACGACGAGCTACCGCCAGACGGCAAGGGGCTTGGCAGTGGGGAAAGATGGGCATTGAAGTATGAAAACGGCAATCACTGCTGGAACGGACCGAACCGCAGTACGCTTGTCGTGCTGGCTTGTGCGGACAGCGATGAGGTGTGGAAGACGGTCGAGGAAGAGAAGTGCGTGTACAGAATGGAGGTGGGCACACCGGCGGTGTGTGAAGGGGCGAAAAAGGCAGATGATGAGAGAGCAAAGGATGAATTGTGATGGACTGTATCACCTCATAACAAGACGAAGATCTATGGAAGGGGCCGAGGGATGTGTTCGCAACACCTAGCGATCATGACGAATCTCAAACGCTCACAATTTTGGGGACAGATAAAGAGTGTCTGCGGATAGAGCAATTTTAGATACTTACTACAGGCATATAAAGCATCAGTTTTGAGTCTCATCGTGCGTACAACGATGTCGAGAAGGTGCAGGCGCACAACCCATGTTAAATGCTTCGTCGTCAGATACGCTTCAAGAGTGGTCGCGAAACATAGTCGAGTCCGAAGAGGAATCATGCTCCTTGATATGGCAGCAATTATAAGTTATCCTGTTGGCAAGACTTATAACATGGTCGTCGTGTTAAATGCCCGGTATTTGGTCAAGACTTGATTCTGATGGAAACTGATCCCATGATAGGTCCATACCGGCCACGCCTTTCTTATCGTGTGACACCAAATCATTTGATTAAACACAACTGAGTTAGTTCATCAAGCTTATCTGAGACGTTCAGTCTGCTTTGACAGCGAAAAGAGGAAGGATCCCATGGTGATCTATCGATGATCATGTCTATGTACACTCCTCAATGCGCTCTGCGACGTCGAAGACTAAGTGGTCGTCTCCGAACTGGCCAATGACTTGTATGCCGATGCCATTACTCTTGTTTCCACCAACTGGCATACTAAGTGCTGGCAGACCAGCAAGACTAGCAGGAACAGTAAAGACGTCATTCGTGTACGCATCTACCGGCTGCTGATCCCTCAGCCTCTCGAGCTCAGGGGGTGGCGTTGGCGCAGTAGGACATATCAGGACATCAACGCCTTCTGCGTTTGACGTACGGTGCTCAGGATACAGGGGATTTGGCTTCCTGAAGGCCTTGTTGAAGTCATCCTGCACCAGTTTACGGACCTTTTGTGCTTGGATGAAGTAGTTGTCCTTCGCTTCTGCGCTGAGGGAGTAGGCTCCCAGCAGGATTCGCCGCTTGGCTTCTGCGCCAAGCTCGCCTCGGGTCTTTGCGAATAGGACGGAGTCTGAGGTACCATCGGGGCCTGAGGTCCTTTCGCCGTAGCGCACCCCGTCGTATTTTGCCAGGTTCGATGATACCTCAGCTGGTGCCAGAACGTAGTATGCAGACAACGCATGACGGGTTGTCTGCAGTTCAACAGGTACCAGTGTTGCCCCCTGACCCTGTAGGGCTTGCAATGTAGTAATCCAGGCGTTTTTAACTGCCGTGTCCAGCTCATCGATATTGTAGTCAGTTGGGACCCCAACTCGCAACGAGACCACGTCTTTTCCATTCTCCATGCATACGTTAGAACGCATTCGGGCGCGGATGTGCTCAGAAAGACTTGTGGGGTCGCGTGCATCGAATGCGTTGAGGGCATCTATGCTCGTGTTAGCTGGGTAAAGTGGCCGGTTCATGATATCTACCAAACATGATTCGCGTGTCTCCGAGGTTTCTTCCAAACACGCCAACGGTATCGAGGGAGTTTGCATATGCTATTACGCCCCATCGAGAAACCAGTCCGTACGAGGGTTTAAAGCCTACGACATTATTATACGCAGCCGGGAGTCTGACTGAGCCACCTGTGTCTGTACCAACCGCCCTGTAGTTCTTTCAGTAAGTGTCTCGAATCAGGACCATCAAGTTTCATACGCATGGCACTGTCCAGTAGCAACGGCTACAGCGCTGCCTCCTGAGCTTCCTCCGACACTAGTTATTTGACCACTTGCAGAAACTTGCGATACTGGGCCGAAGTGCGAATGTGTAGAGTGGGATCCCATGCCAAACTCATCCAGATTGGTTTTGCCTGCTATCACAGCTCCAGACGCACGTAGCTTCTCAATTATGGTCGCATCGTACGGACTCGTAAAATGTCTCAGGAGGCGCGAGCCAGCAGTTGTCGGAAGGCTAGAGGTACATATGTTGTCTTTGACAGCTATAAGTTTCCCAGACAAAGGGCCTGAAGCAAGTCAGTCTTGTGCACATGTATTCTTATATTTTTGACTTCACCTTTGGCTGGTGCTGCTTCATGTTCTGCAACCTCTCGAAGCAGGATGTCCGCGTTCGGAACACTTATGAAGGCATTCAGACTCTTGAACGCGGATTGTGCGACCAGAGCCTTCTCAGCTTCTTGCAGCAGGGTAGCTTTTTGCCCTAGACTGCGCAACATAGAGTGCGGCGAATTTCGTTCTGAGCCATGCGATATATCGATTCTGAATTTCCTAAGCATGTGCTTAGGCCGCGTCGCGAGTCGCGAGCTGTAACCCCGGAGCTAGGTGGGCTTCGCACCGCTGACGTTGTACCAAGGTAGCCTCGGTCTCACTCACATGCACATAGAGCATTCGTTCATGTGCATCATTACTAGAACTGCATGTAATACAGCGTAGATGTATTGTACATATAGCCTCTACACCACTAATTACTATTGTACGGCATCAGATTTCACCAGCTCTCTATCACAAGTAGCTTCAGCATCAAGCCCGAGCTTCCACATCCCCGCGAGTGACCTCATCACCAGATAACCGCCTGATCACTCATATTCATACACTCACGTTCTGCTTCACGGGTAGAGACATTCTAGCGCGTGTCCTTCAGCTAGACTAAGAGTCCAAGGTCTTCTTCTGCACGCGCGAGCCTCTCATTACGGAATAAAGTCTGGCAGACGTAATAACATGACGCAGTAGCTTCCACGCATGCATGGCCGCACTTGGCAAGTTTCCTCTGTCTTTCTCATCAACAAGCTGCAACAACTTGTCTGTACGGTGAACTAATGCTTCACCAGATTCCCCGTGGACAGATTACATGTCGAACTCACATCGAAACTCCTACGATGGACCATCGCAAGCGGCGGCGGATCCCAACCCTCCCACCTACGCCGCCTTCGCGCCTTCGTCTGGTCCACAGAGTAGCACTGTGTCGCAACAACGTTCGACCATACTAGTACACCAAAAGAGCCCTCTTCTGGTCGCAACTCCACCACAAGTCACACGAGTACTCGCATTCTCGCATCCGTTCATCTTGACATTGAGCAAGATCGTAGGGCTGATAACATGGACAACAGGAGATCCCTGGGAAAGTTTTCTTATGGTAGCCGGCTTCTGGCTACTGACAATATATGGAGATTTGGTTGTAAGATGGGCCGGGCCACTCGTGGTGGTCGTAGGGATCATAATCGGAATGTATTCAAGAAGATATTCTCCTCTGTCATCCACAGGCTGGACCGGCGAGAAACAGAAAGGGCACAGAAGAGGCGATCCCGAGACCACCAACACGAGGCACCATAAGAGCCTAGAAGAGATCGTAAATACCGTCAAACTGTTCACTTCAAGGTGTAACATACTACTGGACCCTTTTCTACGATTTACAGACTTCCTATCCACGCAAAGAACAGCAACATCAGCAACCACTAGGCCCGCCCTGACAACAATGTTTATTCGCATATTGCTCATCACTCCTGTCTGGATTCTCATGACGTTGCCGCCATTGTATTTGATAACAACGAAAAGAGTAATTCTAAGCGTTGGGACTGTGATTCTGAGTTGGCACTCAAGGCCTGCAAGAGTATCTCGGCTTGTCTTATGGCGGTCAAAAACAGTTCGAAAGGTATGTGCGACGGTGACGGGCTTGAATTTCGAAAGTCTGGAAAACCAAAACGGCAAGAACAAAACGGATAGACCACCCCCACTCCCACCACGGACCAGGAGTGCAAACGCAATCGCGGCATCTCTCGCTGCGAAGAGAAGGTCTGATTCCCCAGGTATCCGCTTCACATTCTCCATATTCGAGAACCAGAGAAGATGGCTTGGTATTGGCTGGACTGCATCGATGCTAGCTTATGAGCGGGCTGCGTGGACTGATGAGACTCTATTTCCAGCACCGTCGAAAGATGCTTTCGATCTACCGGAGGTTGAAGGAGGACATGCAAAATGGAGATGGGTTGATGGCAGTATATGGAGAGTCGATGGTGCTGAATATAGTGAATCCGATCCTTCCGGGAGTCAATCCGTTAATGGGTGGCTTTTTTACGATAACAAGGTGAGATATCAATACTGGCTATTGTCCCTGGCCCTAACATCCATAATAGTGGCGAGATGGTCGAAGAGGGTTAGATGGCTGGGGCCGTTATACTCGGCGCCGAAAGTGGTATAGAGACGCCGAGCTTGTTGAGATCTCCCCTTCGATGGACGTCACGCCTTCACCAACGCCTCGACTGAGCTCGTCGCCAAAAGCTGGCTCAGTCGTCGGGTCAGAGTCTGAAGCAACATTGTTGGATGACACAGCCAATGAGAGCGACGCTAACAGTCAAGGCACAAGGCGCCGACGTTGGTTCAGAAGAAGCAGCAACTCTGGGAGCATGAAGAGTGGTGACACAGAAGGAAGTGCGGCGAGCTCTCGTAGGAGTGACGATGATAATGACCTCCACACGCCTGTGCGGCATCAGCAGCGCCAAGATGAATGGAATTTTGGAGATGAGGCCCGCATGCAGCTAGGATAGAAACATGACATTAGCGCGGAGTTACAGGAGCACATCGCGATACCATTAGGATGTTGACACGCGGTCCCAATCTGATAATGGTGGCTCGAGGCTTGGTCACATTTGATCAAGATTGGTGTGTGCCATGTCTCATGCGTGAGTACAATGTTGACCTGCCAACATCACGTAATCATAGATTTAAGCATGTATGTACCATGTTGTCCACCACCTGCCAACACACCTCATTTCTACTCCCACTTCCATCTCCCTTGCTTGAATATTGACAGTCCTGATACTGCATCTATCACGCTCTCTACGCCGGTTGGTGGTGTTGGTCTCGCATGGCACGTACTCTTGGTCCATTGTACCAATCGCAAACCTAAGTGGATCCGCAACGGAACTCAAATACTGTCGCAGATGCATTCATGCGTTCGCAAACATATGACAGATGGCTTTCAGAACTGTCTAACGAATGGATGCAAGTCAGATCCGCAATTTGCCTGCCAATCCACGATCTCGGTCACCTACCGCGACGACGTTGTCGTGGTTTCACCCACTGAAACGTAGCGAGCACGCCATCGACGGCAGATTCGAACGACCGCAGACGTCCTCCTACAAGTAGTTCCTTTGCCTCGGGGTCTATGGCCGCATGATTTCACCACGAAATCGCCATATGGTTCTTTAGTCTTAACAGGATCTATGGGCCAGCCGATTATTCTTCTACTTGCTGGAAGACGTCAAATGCAAGACCAAACCAGAGCATCTCGTCTCGCGTACCTCGATCGCGCAGAACGGCACGTCTCTCGGCGACCTTCCCAGACAGTCTTATCTTGGTCTCGATTAAACGGATCACGCGTTGGTACGACCTTCACCCTGGCTAGTGAGCTCTAGTAGACGACTTGCGGCCGACTTCCCTACTTTGAGCGAGCAGGGTTGTGGTTCAGCATGCCTATCTCTGGGATCGCGGATGAAGAAGCTTTGCTTGTTGACTTCAGCTTCATCGTTGGGCCAGTATTACCCCAAAGCGCACTCTGGTGTATAGCCACTCCTCTGTCGCCGTATATTTCTTTCCTCTACATGTTCGAGCTGTCGGAAATGCGAGCACTTGCCCATGGTCCTGTGCAGAACTTGCACCCGTAGTCATTGGCGAGCGGACCAACAAGTATTATGTGAAGCATTTGTACCGGCTACGGCTGCCTTCTGAGTAACCGAGTATCCTAACTTCACAAGCTCAGCTCTGTTATATTTCGAGGATATCAATTGTTCAAGGATCTACCATTCATAGCACTCTAGGATTCGCAGTAGGACAATTCAACCGCCTCTTGCATACTCAGCCTACGAACACCTCCGGACCCAGGTCCCAAGTCTTGCTGTTAGGGCGGCGCCGGATGATTCAAGCAAATTGCTCCGTTCCTGGTCCCGAAGCCAATGAAGACAATGACCAATTCGCCTGAATGTCTAGAGTCTTGTGCTTGCAGTCTCGTGACGATATGCCTGTGTGTCGGGTCAAAGACTGAGCTATCGCTCTGTGGAAAGAGGACGCAACACGAAGTCCGACTATCTGCGAACTATCAGTAACGTCTTGATTCTATCTCCTTCGATTCACGAGTGGAGCTAAAAGCGGTCTCCTGGGCTTCGTTGAAAGAGTCGACCAAGGTGAAGATGGGACGGCAGACAGGCCTGGATGATCGAGACGTGCAAATACACACCCGAAAATCATCAAGCCAAGGCCGAGCATGCCAGTTGTAAGTCTCGTAATTACGGACACATGCGATTTAACAATTGCTCAGAAGTGGCAGCACATGTCAACTGTAGCATGTCTTAGGTATCGACTTCGACTTCATCGTACGACTAAGCACAACCTCCATCAGACGCAACACGAAGCCTGTAACGGTTCTGTAATTCTCGCTATTTTCACAATAGGGACGCAGTCCGACAATCCCACGTCCCCACTACAGCTCTACCGACACACTTTCAATTACGTTACTTTAGAGGATTCGATTTACGATATCGGACTTCGCCAATAATTGACATTCAAATCACGAAGCCCTCTCGACACAGCACTAATGGAAACATGGCGAACTTATCAGGCCAATCAACAGCCATGTTGTGACGAATAGGAAGTCAACTGCAACAATCGGCCCTTCCAACGTCAGCTGCTATACCAATGTCGCTCATACAAAATGAGTACTCGAACGCAAGTCTCGATGCTATCTAGCCGTGTGCAATCACTTCCGCTACCATTCATGCACAGTTCCATGAAAGAGGCAGTGATGGACTCTAGACGAAGCACGTAGTAGCTGTGCGTATGAGATATCTCCTTCGAGCAAAGACGCCGCGCAAATAGCGCATCGAGCATCCCACGTCCCAGGATAATGGTGTATGCATATAATTCTTGCATACAATCGAAATCCTGAAAGGCTGCAGGCGAGGATCTCCAACGACACGGACATTCCCAATCGATCTTCAGTCGCGTTAGCCGCTTGGATTGGTATCCACTTCGACTGACCTCTATGTACGCAAAGGAAAAGGCTCTAAGAGTGGCATCGAAAGGGACGGTCCCACTTAATTTTCCACTTTGCATGATACACAAAGAGGTCACTTGAAGTAAAGAGCAAAGGGAATCATCAAGAAACCTGGAGCCCCCACACCTGTCACGCATTGCCAAGCTGATTTCACCCTATCATTCGCAAGCACTAGCGTCGTCGGCGCAAGGCCAGATCGTAAAGCCGAGACACTTTCCGCTGACCAACGCCGCATCCATCAGCTTCACGGCCACCGTTGCCCGACGGCTATAACCACATCGGCCCATCTAGTGATCGTGGAATATACACAGCGACTTATATCAAGGAATTCTGTCAGCTCCATCCGGAGCGCCAGGACGATGAAATGACCTTGTAAAATATACTACTTTACGGAGCTTCGATGCGCCTCGGAGCTGTACCAACGGTCCGGGCTTCTGGACCTCCCTTACGGACCGTCGGCGGGACGTACACGCTGTGGTTGCACGCATCTCATCACGGGCCATGATGAACTCCTGATTGGGCTACTGGCCAAGCCGGAGCATCCTTGAGCTGGCTCACATTGGACGCCGCAAAATACGCGAGTCATCAGTCCCACGATGCAGGATGACCAGAAGTTGGAGCTCAGAGACCGCTAGCGCTTGATGGAGTATGCCAACAACATATCTGATAGTCGTCAGGCTTCACACATTCGACCGCACATCACTACCACAATCGGCCTGGGTCGTAGCATCAAACCCTGTTCTGTCGTGGAGTCCTGCATAGGTCTGGGCACACGCCGGGCGAGCCACCAAACATCGCAGTGTACGGGTCGCTCTGTCTATACGATATCATTCATGGCAGGTCGATACATATCATGCTCGTTTTCCGATGACCCGGCGTCCGGGTACCTCCGATACGGTAGGCTGTGATTACCAGTATAGCGCGTCAAATAGGGCACGCAACGCCGGGTGGGTCACACGGCTTGGAGAAGAGTGAGTAGGCCATCCATTGCCATCTCAGGTGATTTAACATGTAGCCGGAATAAGCGACACGAAGGCCAGGTAGAAATGCCAAAGCCGAAGGGTTCCAAAGCCGTCCCTGCACAGATGCAACTTAGCGCAGTATTAAGATGCGCTAAGCAGCCTTGATTTACCCACGTCACATCGTACAGGTCAAGTTTGAGGTAAGGTCAGAGATGCGTTTGCAGCTGCATCCGCATGTATTCGTGTAGTGGTTGGGTAAATGGACCCCACGCCATGTCTCTGATTCCGACGGGTGTTGATCTTACCCGATGGCAGTTGTCGTCAATGTCATCCACGTGCATGCTCTGCTGCTGGCTGGTCGACGAGCCCCCGGCTCGTTCCCATCCTTGCTAGGCCACTCCATCCCCACGCCACATACATGCTGCAGTAGATGTACTCTTGGCATTCAGTACTCTGGCAGACATATTGTGTATAGTACCGGTAAGTTTATGGTCCATGTTTGATGTCTAGATACACTGCTGTGATCATGCCTGGCCTGGCGAGAGGTAGAGGACAGCAAAGATATGCAGTATGTTGACATGCCGCGACGACCGAGAGCAGCGCCGAGACGCAGACGTGTCGATGAGATGGATGGGTACAGGAACGGGTGGGTGGCATGGCGCTACGCCGGCCAGACGAGTCTGACCCTGTCCGGGAGGTGTAGGTATGTCTGATGGTTGGAGGGAGCAGTGTGGGATGGTTGTATTGGACCAAACACACGTATCCTGCATATCTCGCGACGGGGGTGAGCAACCCTTGGGAAAGTGTATATAAGGAGTGCTGGCTCGCGGTCTGTGAAGGTCGATTCTTCATCCGCGATCGATATCTTTGCAATACTACAAGCTTTTACTACTACTACAACCAAATTCTTTCGATTTTTAAATCAACCAACTCTGTCAACATGTCTCCCTGGTGAGTCCTCTCTCCCTTCTCGTGACGGGCTGGTCGAGCTGGTAACGTCTTGTGCATTACCACTTGACATCATCAGCTCGGCTTCGACAGTATATGTATACCCTTGACAAGGATAACGCTGACCTCAATGCCTATTCACAGTAGCTGCTCCTCTTGCTCTTGCTCCGGCAACTGCAACTCGTGCGGCTGTGGTGCCTGCAGCGTACGTTCCTCTCTCCCATCACTCATCTCTTTCACCCACTTCACTTCCCTACCCTTCCCTTCCTCCCACTCCTTCCCAAGAGCCAGCAAAACACCACTACCGTACTGACAACCACCAAGCACTAAGCTTTCCCAACAACCGTCTCCCTACTCCCTTTCCATCGACAACAATAACAACGCATCTCTGAGCACGTTTTGAGCCGCAGCACAATACACATACAAACAACCTCTTTTCTTCTCTACTTGCTTGCTAGCTGGGAAGGAAGAGCCGGACATGAGCGGGTTCTAAACCACTGTAAGGGTACGACATGATGGGATCGTGAGCGTTGGAGCTTTTGGGTTGTGTTATGTAGGATGGTGTATATCTGAATATATAACTTGGAGAGAAAATTCTCGAGACTTTGTGTATGTGATGTGAATGTGATGTGATGTTATGAGTGACTGGGCTTTGAAGTCTTAGGTACGTGGCGGTGGTGGTTTGTACTGGTGGTCAGATCGATAGGGCTGATGTGCCTTATCTGCGTAAGTATGAAACAATGTTCAGGGATTGTGCCTGATGCTCGAAGTAAGGGGAGTGAGTCTGTGCAGAGGGAGAGGATGGACCACAGTGGAGGAGGATATAGTGAAGCATGTATGGTATGGAACAAAAATGTCGTATTCAATGGTGTATGTGTCAATTTGGTATCTCAAAGCTCGATTTGTTTGCGAAGAGAGAGGATGATAGCGTTTGCCTTGTACATCATCCCATTAATCCGTCGGCCTGGAAAGTAACAACCACGAATCCTGATCAACCAAGCAAGCAATAGCAAATTTGAAGGAGTGACATCCTAGCAAAAACTCCGAATCATGCAATCTGTGTATCCGAAGGGGGGTTGTTGGTGTGTTGTGGATTGGGTTATTTCTGTGTGACTATGTTAGCATTCACTTGGGTCGTGAATTGGGTTGAAAGGAGGGGGTACGTACGCCGCAAGTGCAGTTGGCACCGCAGGCGCAGGAGTCTCCGCAAGAGCAGCCGTGCATGTTGGATGGTATGTTTGTTGTTGAAGGGTTGTGGATTGAAAGTGTAGCTGGGTCTGAGACGAGGATGCTTTGAGAGGAAGTGTGTAACTGGTGTTGCTGGAGGTAAGTCGAGGGGTATCAGACGAGCGGGGTCTTCTTATATGATAAGGCGCGATTATTGCGATAAGAAACACGTGCCGCGCCCCCCAACCGACTAACCGACCAACGCGACCGAGCGAGCCCTTCGAGGCAAGGAGCGGCCCGTCAAGGACTTCCAGGCGTCGCCGATCGACGACCTGCCAGCCAATCAGCCGTGTTGCGCGCATTGTGCGGTCGGATCTGCGCGTCTTGTGCGTCGCAAATTTCTCCACTCGTGGGGTTTGGACGTGTTTGCGTGCCTTGAAGAGGGTGTTTGAGTCAGTTGTGCGGTGCTGCGCGACTTGTGCGGACAAGCCACTACGACTTATGACGGGGGGGGCGAGCGACTTGTGCGGACGCTGACTTGGTCAGGATGGCTGGCGAGACTCCTCCGTCGCTCGGTGATGCCGTTTATTGGAAGCATTGCAACGTGGCTTGGCTCTGCTACGACGATTGAGGCTACATCGTCTATAGTCGGTGTGCAGAGTCGTATTGAGAAGGATGAGAGGAATGAGGGCTTTGCCACACGATATTAGCAATGAAGTTATGGATCGGCCGTGATCAAAGGACATTAGATATCCTGCTTTGGCCGACAACTTTACGTGTCCTTGATCAGCAGAGTTCTCCATCTGGATTTCCAATACAACAGAAGCGAGACTCCGCTTAGTCTACACTGCTATGCCTTCGAGGGTTAAAGGAGGTGATAACTCATGGTTCTCCTACTGAGCCGCAGACAGTACATCATACGTAGAATCCCCCCGACTGTCACAGTAGAACACCGAAAGAGAGATATACATCTGCTAAAGAGGTAATAGCCAGTATTAAGTCTTACAAGAGTAGTTTCTTCTATGTTTACTCTCCTTACTATCTATACTTTGATATCTCCTACTATTCATTTAGTTCTTGAGTACCCTTTATATATCTCGACTGAGAGAATGGTAGATAAATATATTATATACTACGATTAAGACCAGTATCACATTTAGCTTAACAGTGGTATGCTTTCACCAAACTCTGTAACAGTCAAAAGCTCATCAGTCGAGGTCAGCCCTACATACAACGCCAAGGTATGACGACGTTCTTACGCTAGTCCAGTTCAGGCTAGAGGACTTCGAGATTTCAGTCCCGTCGCGCGCGCGCGTTTCAATCCACACACAAACTTCTTTCCTCCACCTTCACTCGCACCCCAATAAACCTACAAGTGTTGGTCCATTGAACTTCTTTACAATGGGCGACTCGTATCGCCCTATGTTCCCTCCACCTCCTGCGAAAAGCGATAGCTACCGCCCAACGTCGCAACGACATTCCGACTCCACATCGCATCGTGGCCCGGACACGTACAGACCGTCTGGTCGCAATGCATACCGTGACTACAACGTACCTCCGGCTCGTGATGATTTCTCCTTCCAGCCTCCCCCAAACGCACCGCGCTTTCCTCCCGCATCTCAGCAAGATATCCCACAACATCCTCCTCGTCGTCGCGCACCTCGTGGTGCTGGCTTCCGTCGGGGCCAGTACTCTGGTCCTGTAGCGGCCCATGATCGCGCGCTACTCCGAAATAACACCTTGTCTCGCGATGAGCAGTTCCTTGGAGTTGCAGACGGCGCCTTGAAATTCAATGATCTGGGCGATTCAACAAGCGAGGATGAGGACAACGGAGCATCTGATTCAGCTGCTGATCAGCCAGGGCCAGACGCAAAGAAACCGCGCAACCAGTTCAATCAAGCTGATGGTGACTCTGTCCCGAAGTGGTCGAATCCAGACCCGTACACAGCTTTGCCTCCACCAGACGAGTCGTTGAAGAAGAAGAAGGATGTTGTACAACTGATCAGAAAAGCCAAAGTCGACCAGGAAAAGACAGCCGACGGATCTAACGCGGTCAGTCAGAACGTAGACTTCATATCTCTCAATTTCGATGACGGTGGTAATGATGAAGACGACGGCGAAGCGACCGTGTCGGAACATGAGTCTCCGCCACCTGGAAAGCGACATACTGGATCTTTGAATGACTTTGCCGCAAGACCTGAGTTCGCTAGAGCCCCAGTAGATGCGCCGAAGAGACCAAGGGCAGCTTCTCCTGCGCCTCAGAAGTCGAAGAAGAGAAAGCTCCGGGCTAATGAAATCGATGGAACCGTTGTCGAGCAGTGGTTACCCATCAAAGGGCAAGATTCCACTCCTTGGTGCACCATAGATCATTCTCGGACCGCGGACGTCGGACTTTGGCTCCACAAAGAAATCTGTGACTTCTACGAGTACGTCCGGCCGCATGACTTTGAAGCTGAAATCAGAAAGGATCTGGTTGACCGGATAGAGAAGGTGATTCGCAAAAGACATGGCAGTTGCCGTCTCATGGCTTTCGGATCTTACGCCGCTGGACTGTATTTGCCTACTGCTGACATGGACCTCGTCATGGTGTCCAACTCTTACTATGACTACGGCCCTCCGGTTTTTGGACGGAGGACTAAGGATCTCCATTCACTCCTACAATATCTGTTGCACCAAGGCATAGCCGAGCCTAACGGCGAAGTAATTCCTAGTGCAAAAGTGCCGATTATAAAGTTCATTGATCATCGCACTGGTCTCAAAGTGGACATGTCCTTTGAGAACATGAGTGGCGTCACGGCCAACAAAACATTCTATGACTGGAGTGATAAATACCCTGCGATGCCAAAGATTGTGACACTGATTAAACATTTCCTGCTGATGCGCGGGCTGAACGAAGTTTTTCTTGGAGGCATCGGTGGCTTCACGGTTACTTGTCTTGTGACTCACCTGATAGCCAGTCTTCCGGCTGTGCAAAGCGGCAACATGGACCCCAGTCAGCATCTTGGCGAGATTCTGCTCGAGTTCTTCGACCTGTATGGCAACAAATTCAACTACGATGGGGTCATGTTACGAATGAACCCAATCAAGTACGAGAAGAAGGTAAGAGGCCTACTCATCATGATATCTGGGGTCACGCTGACGTACTTCCGCCAGGGACGATGCGGCCCAGACGGCAAGCTGACCAAGAAGGATCGCCTCTGTATCGTCGATCCGAATAATGAATCGAACGACATATCTGGTGGCTCAAGCAAGATCCCACTCATCTTCCGTTTGTTCTCGGACGCTCACCGGGACCTGAAACAGCATATGGCTGCGTTGGAGTCGCAAAACGTGGCAGATCGTAAGCATAGCAGTATACTTGGCTGTATATTCGCGGGAGATTACTCGTCATTTCGTTGGCAGCGTGATCATCTGCGCCGGATATATGAGAACAGGTAACTGCTATCGGCTTAGACTGACCAATCCATATTGAACTTGTATTAACACCAATTTATAGAGCAGGAAATGCGTCAACTGAAGACGATGTTCAGGTCTGTGATAGGGAAGTCAATATGGAAGCTCCTGAGCCCCGCTTGGCTGCCACGCCTAAGAAAGGTAAGTTGCTTCTCGTTGTAGTAGTGTCTAACTACCTTTTGTCTCTGTGACTGATACAGATTCACACACCCACAAGCATGCAGATTCTAATTTGAGGTAACACAGTAGACACTCGTCGTTTGGGAGCCATACGACATAAGGCAAGATTGGAAGAAGCGGCAGCAAGTGTATCACGACTAAAGGCGAAATTGCGTGGCGGAGCTTCGAAACTCGAGATGGACGACACCGAGAACGTCATGAAGGATGACATGGAGGTCGAAGATGGACGAAATGAGGTAGACCAGGAAGTCGAACGTGTGACCAGGCCGGCCAATACCTTCTTTACGCGACAAGAGATTGACAGGGCAAATTTCTTCCGGACACTCCATCCAAATCTCGCATACGAGCACAAAGGGATGTCTGAAGCACTTTTTCGGGAGCTGTCCCTCAAGGCTCTGTTCCCCGGCATCCTTCATACTTTTCCAGCGTTGCCCAGCAAATTTCTTTACAATCGATTGAGGCAGGAGGGACAACGCCGACTTGAGTTACTGGCAGCGAGTCCAGAGCCACCACTCACACAAGACCTGCTGGACACTAAGAAGCCTGAGAGTGCCGTGCTCGTTACCGACGCCTTCGCCGACCAGCAAAAGCAAGCTTACAAGGAGCCTGTCAGACTCAGGCGGCCCAAAAGCAGTGACCCACAGCAGATTGTCTCGAAGCCCGCTGTCCCAGCGCCGACTAAGCCTCGGAATTTAGAAGAAAGGTTCGCTCAGGAATTCAACAAGGAGTTTCCAGCGTGGCCGACCCCGCCTTCATCGTTGACGGAGGGGGAGTACAACGCACTCCTCATTCGAGCGCGCTATGGCCACGTGCTTTCTGACCTTCCGTTCCGCATGAACAGAATGCAGTTCAATGCCTGGGAGGCAGCAGGGAGACGCAAAGCCCAGAATATCGAGCGCTTGTCCACTCAGCAGCCCACACCCGCCGCGACTACGATTGTGGATCTTACTATAAATGACTAGCTGCCATTGCTTCTAGCCTGTTAGTCCATCTATCATGCAACACCAGGAGTATCGACGGAATAGTACCTTATTAAACGAATATTTGTGGCCCTCTACAGGACGTGGGGATGGTGGCTTGTCCGGGAATGATATCGACCAGAGGCGTTGAAGAGCGGGAAAGGAAAAGGCGGAGAAAACCTTTGTCTGCCACGAATGAATGGCTTTTTACTGAGTGCATTGCGACTTGCATAGCTTGGTTCCCTCTGCTGAATTTGAGCATAGGTACGGTACCTACTATACTATGCTATAGGCTCGAACGTCAGGCTCGAAAGACTCGCATCCGAGTTGAAGCAGCAGCGACCAAAAACCTCTTTGTAGCGCGACCTAATCCCGCAAACCTTGAAACTTTTGCTGTCCAAAAGAATGAAGGGATGGAATGTAATACCTACCTACCTACCTACTACTACTACTACAACCTTTGATTTAGCACGGAATGTTCTTTTCCTCCTTGACAGGACACTACATTTTTCTCCTCTCTAGGCTTCTTTTTCTTCTCTGTCTCTCTCTGCTTCTTCTTCTTCTTCTGTCTTTCTCTATCCCCATTACTCTCTGACTGACTGACTGACTGACTGACTGACTGACTGACTAACTCTCTGGCTATGTAGCTAGCTAGCTAGCTATCTAACGATCCAACAAATCTAGTTACCACCAGTAGCCAGTCTGGCGTCTTCTGCTCCTACTACTACTACTACTAATACTGCTGACATATACAGTCATTCATTCATTCATTTCATACATCTCATACATGCACTGCGTGTATCTATCTACTTGTGATGGATGAGCGGCTGCTTTTTCCGCAGGGAGAAACACAGTCAAATATACTGTGTATGTATGCATGCACACATACATGCATGCACAGATATATACACCCTTTTCTCATCATTGCTCCGGGCCTTTTGTGCTGGGCTTTGGGGAGGGGAGGGGAGGGGAGGGGAGGGGAGAGGACAGAGAGGGAGGAGACGGAAGGGAAGGGAAGGAAAGGGAAGGGAAGGGAAGGGAAGGAAAATGGTCGACTTGAGTGTTTTGTTTATTTGTTGTTGGTTAGTCATTTGGTTGGTTGATTGGTTTACAGTAAACCAGGGCACGCGCATGCATCAAGTCTAATGGAACAACACCTTTTTCTTCAGGCACACAGACAGTCCCAGGCTGCAAAGTGAGTGTAGTGTAGTGTAGTGTAGTGTAGTGTAGTGTAGTGTAGTGTAGTGTAGTGTAGTGCGTTGACTACAGGTTTATATTCAATGTTTCCCCCCACCCCCCTGAACCCCTTGACTGTAGATGTGTATTGTGTGTATATATATATATATGGCAGACCAAAACAAGCGAGCGAGCAAGGAAGTAAGTGCGCTCGTGTTAGTGTTGGTGTGTTTGGTAGTCGTAGTCGTAGTCGTGGTCGTGGTCGTGTTCGTTATTAATTAGTTAATGTTAATTAATTGGTATTGGCAACTTGAAGAATAAATGAATCAGAGCAAAGCATAAACAGGGCATAGACAGGGCAAACAAACCCAGAGACGAAAAACAAGGCATATAATAACCAAGGCAAACAAACCCAAAAAGGCGAAAATCAGGGGCATAACCAAGGCGTAAACAGGTATAAACAGGCATAAACAAGCATAAACATGCAAAACCAGACAGAGCAGGCATAAGCATGCAAAAAAACAAAAGGCATCATGACCTACATATGCTAGCTAGCACGACATGCATAACGTAACAACATACCTGCTTACACGGAGCATTCCGTAGCGCGCGTCAAAAAGCACACAGCAAAAATAAAAAAAAAGACGCTCGATGTATGTAGGTCGGTCCGTCGGTCGGCAAGGCAGGCTTAGGTACCTGTATATCAATCATATCATGTCATGCATAGTCACCACGGCAGTCGTCTGGACTACACACAACACTGTCACACACAAGCCGTGACTAGAGACCGATACATGTATGGAGCATTTCATTCTTTGGTGTTGTTACTCGGTAATCGCCAGAATTGCAAATCAAGGCGTAGATGCTCCTCCTGCTTTGTGCAATACATCCCGTATTTTTCTCTCGACCACCACCACACCCACCCTTGCTCGTTCAATCTATTCTTGACAAGAGAAAAAGAAACAAAAAGGCACCTTGATGTGCAAAGTAATTTGGTATTTCCCCCCCATCACACCCCATGCCATGCATGTAGCCATCGATGCCCAGATGGAAAATTGAGTACAAGATAGAACGCCCCATGCTCGCAAGGGCTAAATTAGCTCAGACAGGAAAGAAAATGAAAATGGTTACGTGTACGTCTGCCCACTATTGGTGTTGCGCAGCTCGGTGAAATCAAGGAAATGGGCGCGCAAGAGCCTGTGCCAGAAGAGTCGTTGTGAAATGATGATTATGCTGCGCCTGACAAAAGTCGCCGTTTGCCATATGGGTTGGGTGGGGAATGGGTACAAGTGAAAGATCAAGAAAAATCGTGCCGCGAACGCCGGGAGCTTTTGATTGATTCCCTTAACCAGCGCATAAGGCGGATAAAACTGCCTTGCGCCGAAGGGTTCATCCAAGTTTGCGGCCGTATCGTGATGAAAGATATTGACAGCAAGAAGAATAATTATAGCACAAAGAAGTGGTTCTGCGATCTAGTACCGGCGTGTTCGTGGAGGTGACTGGCTTGGGGGAGCACGAGCTTGATATTGAGAAATCTCGCGAAGTCCATGACCCTCGCTAGATGTCTTCCGGAGCTTCTGTCGCTGCCTGCGAAGTTTCTCGGCATCGTCACCAGAATAGGTTCGCGCCTGAAGAAAAGGGCCGTCAATCTCCGCAGTGGGGCTGCTCGAAGTGGGTGTCTGGGCAGGGCTGTTTGGGCTGGATCGACCAAAGCCGAATCGTCTGCGTGGATTCATTGGTGGCAAAGGCGGTACAAAGTCCTGGCCGTTCTTGAGAGAGGCGCCGGGTGGAAGAGCGACGGTCTCTTGCACAGACGTAGAGGACAGTAGGGTAGGCTCGGAAATGTCCTGCTTGTTGACAGTACGTCGACGGGGCTGCTGGCGGTTAGGGCCAAAAGCTGTGCCTGTGGGTGTGTTGACCGCCGACAGTGGAGGCGTAGCACTGACAGCATAGCCTGTTTGGATAGGGCGTTGGAGAGACATTGGGCCATTTGTCGGGCCTGGAGATGGACGAGGTGAGGGTGGAAAGGCTCCGGAAAGACCAATCGCTGGGCTAGGCATAGATGGCACTTGGTGCGAGGTATTGAGATGAGATGGATGCAGCGAGTGCTCGGAATATTGACTTGTCGCCGTTGACTTGCTGTTGCTGCGGCTTCGATTCGATGACGGGACTGCAAAGGTGGCGTCAGGCGTTGTGCTCGTCGACCCAGTCTCCTCTGCCATTGACCTGTCCAGCTCGTCGTGATAGGCACGGCTGCGGGATCGCCCAGACGAGATATCAGAGCTGGATCGATTGCGAACTGAGCTGGCCTGGGAAGCGGGAGATCGGCCAACGGGTGGTCTGCTATGCTCACGACTACTTTCGCGCCCAGCATCAAAATGATACTGGTTGTCATACGTGTTTCCTCCATATCTGGGCCTGGAATGGGAGGAGCCTCGAGACCTCAGCGAGGCGTGCCGCTCATCCTCGGATCGCCATTGGTCTCGACCGATCTTGTTCACACTTGTGGAAGAGCCACTGTATCCAGGCATCTTCATCCTGCTGGGCTCATGGCGGAGGCTTGAGGCCATTGAGTCCTTGCTCGACTTTGACCTGAGCATGCCAAACGCCTTCCGTGCATTGGAGACTGAGTGACTGTCCTCTTCCACTTGGCGCATCCTTTCCGCAATGGCCTTCTGGCGTTGGGCGAGCTCTTGCTGGAATGCATCGCGCTCCTCAACACTAGGTTGTCGTTTGTGTTTAGTCATCATCTCAAGCTCCCAGGCTGCTCTTCTGGCCTCGGCCTCCTGTTGGATCTCAAACGCGCGAGCTTCCATCTCGTCGAGCGTGAGTTTACGACCGGTAGTAGTAGTAGAAGTCGACTGTGGTGCCTGCTGGTCGACAGGGCTGACAGAACTCATGCTGTCATTCTCCATGTAATCGCTCCGGTCAAAGTCTTCGAGGTCCCAGGGGTTAGAGTGGCTGTGAGCCGAATGGGCAGCCGTGTCAGAGACGGAAGGCGCCAGATTCTGACTCGAGTAGCTCTGCTGGTAGAAGTTGTCTTGCGGGCCGGTTGTGTCTGAATTGTGGTCCGAGTAATTGGATGAGACGTTGCTGACGTTGCGCAGGTGCTGACGAACAAGACCACTCAAGCATCCACCGTTTGGGCCGAGTGTGGGCGAGTCGAGATCGATGCCTTTGGCGCCATCTAGGTCGAGAGCAGGAGCTGCAGACTGTGGGATTGGGCGTGTATCCTCGATTCGTTTCCGTGCCGGGACATGGTCAGACTGCTGCTGCTGAGACCGCAAAGCAGGATGCTCATGGATAGGAGGGGCGACTAATTTGGGCGCGAGCGGGCTTCTCGAGGCATCAGAGTCGACATCTGCTCCATCTGCAGAGGCAGAGAACGATCGTTGTTGACCAGAAGCCAAGGTCTGAGGCTGCGAACTTTGAGCGCCATTCACCCGCATCTGGTTGGCGGCATTTTGGAAGACACTGAAGGCGGTAGGGGCGGCGGCGGCCTTGGGGGCAGTCTGGGCTTGATCACTCTCTCTTCGTGACGAATCACCCTCACCGTCATCACCATCGTCACCTCGTCGGGGTGGAGGGGTGTCTCGGCCGCCTTGGTGAAGGTGCATTTGGCGTTGCAGATATTGTTCCTCACTAAAAGCTTTCGGCTTGTTGAACGCTCCGAGAGCCGTGGCCTTTCCTCGGTCATTGGGATTGAGCGCACTCGTCAGTTCATCTTGGTCAGCTTGAACGGGACTGATTGGTGGTGTGCTTGAGTGGCCCAAGACAGGACTGGAGGCATTCGAAAAGTTATCTCTCGGTGCAATGGCGTGGTTGTTATACGTCACCGGAGGTGGGCTGACCGTTCTCGAGGCAGGGTTGGAGCGCTGATATCGGTCGCTCAAGTTGCTAGCGCTCCGAGCCTGCGACAGGGCAGTTGGAGAGGATTTCCCGCTTGCGGTACCGCCGTGTTGTTGTCTCTGAACTGTGTTGAGTCTGTTGAGCTGGGAGGTCTGCTGTTCGTGCATGTGCTGATCCAAGCCCTGTTCGTAGAGTCTTCTGGTCTTGGTGACTGAACGCTCGAGCGGCGCTTGTGACTGACTGGTGGGTGAGACTGCAGTTGCACCCTGTGATGCGATTGAGGTTGCTGCTGTTGAGGATCGGGAGTTTGATGGTCCTGAATTCGTAGATGAGGATGTTTCACGCCGCTTGTCGTAGCCGGACAAGGCTGCCAGAGTGTCGTCCCTGAGAGAGGCAGTATTGACCTGATCGCGTAGCTCTTGCTCCCGCCTCTCCTTTTCTTCTTTCCGCAGCCTCTGAAAGGACGACATGCTGACATCATCTTCATACAAAGCTCTTCCTCGGTTATTGCCGGTGCCAGAAATCTTGTACACTTTTTGACGACCACCAAACAGGATATTGCCTTCGCCCGGGCGTGCTCGACTCATGACACTGCCACCATCCATATCATCAGAGGTAGTGCGAAGAGTCTCCATTGAGGTCTGTCTCTCCATCAAGAATGGAGGTTTGATAGAGCCATTGATGGACATCTCATCAATGTCGGCGAGGGTTGATGATTTGAAGCCAAAGTCGTAAAGGCGTGACTGTCTGTTGGAGGATAGAACACTGTCGTCGCTAGCCTTGCCCAGCTTCGACTTTGGATCGTCTTGCTCTCTTAGCATGCTGAAGCGCGCCGACAGGTTTGGCATGATCAAGCTGGTACGAAAGTCATCGGAGCTCGGTAGGGCAGCAGCCAGATCAAGCTCTGGTTTTTGCTCGACCTGACCTTTCTTACCCTTTTTTGGTTTCTTCGTTCCAAACGAGGCGGAAGAGTTGCCCAGGTCTTCTGTGGCGTCCTTTCTGGACTTTGTGAAGAATCTGTTCATTGTGGCTTTGCAAAGGTTAGCTATGATGGAACGTTTGCGGACAAGACACTTGGGGTGGTTGGAGAGAGAGATGGGCGAATCGCCAGTAGTAGTATGCTGGACCATTGAAGGGAAGCTGTCTTACAAGTCGTGTGTGTGTGTGTGTGTGTGTGTGTGTGTGTGTGTGTGTGTTATAGGTGTTGCAATGCGTGCAATTACGACACTAACGTTTGTCCGGGAAGGTCTACTTCTGTGGATAAGTCTGTTGCACGCGCAGCTTGAGATAACCGGCGGCAACGACTTTCACGGTTTGATCCGAGTATATTCGACGTGCTTACAGTGAGGATTCAATTGTCTTCGCTTTCGAGCGTGTCCACGCGGGTGAGCAGTCGTGGCTGAGCAGCTAGGCGACTGGCGTGGATGATACGCGATCGTGATGGTGTATCTTTTAGGTCTAGGCCCAGCACAACTGTCTCCATACACACCAAGCTGCTGTGAATTGGTTTGAGAGGATGGTATCAAAGTAGCAGGATCGGCTGAATGAATGCGGACGGCGGGAGTAATGCTATATCGAGCAGAGAATGGTACGGTTGAGGGTAATGTTCCGAGGCGGAGGAATTGATAGGTTTCGGAGGTCAAGGCGGTGCGAGCAAGGAGCGTCAGTTGAATCGAGATGGAGTATGGAGCAGGGGTGTGGTAAAAGAGTGTTTCTAGAGAGTGGACAGATACAGAAGCGAAGGACGACGGTAAAGAGTAGTGAGCGAGGAAGGAGCAAAGAAGACGTTGCCAGCGTCTTGAGCAAAAAGGACTGTGAGGATGGTTAGAAAAAGCTGTCAGAGGGGGAAACAGGACGAGAGCGCACGAGGAAAAGAAAGGTGTGTGAGAGAGAAGCCGCCGGGCAGTCTCCCGCTCTGGTTCCTGAGTCTGAAGGGGGACAAGGCTAGTTTTGGGGGGGGGAGGACCATGTACGTACCTTGCAGCGTAAGGGGGGCAAGATGGAAAAAAGACGAGAGCACAAAGCTCGACTGTGACTGGACCAGCACGCCCGTTTTCTCCACGCTGAGGAGAGATGACAAGGGGGGAGGGGAGGGGGAAGGGGTTTGCAGAAAAGCAGCACAGCAGAAAAGTAGGCTCTTAGCGTCGACGATCCCGGCCAATTGACAAAGGTCCGCTGGTCGATGGTTCGACGAGCTGATGGTGTAGACGGCCCGGCGACGGCAGCAATCGTGGCGCGCTCAGTTCCGGACTTGGGGGAGACTTGGGTGTGTGGGCCTGGCTGCTGGCAAGGTTGTGTGAAGAAAGTGGGCAGAGGAGGCGAAGGGATTGGAGCAAGTGGTGGTGGTGGTCAAGGCAGGATTAACGTTTGTGTCGGTGTTGAGGAAGCGAGGTATGGGGGGAGTCAAGGAGGGTGGTGGTAGTAGGCAGGGCAGCAGCCCAACGAAAGACGTGGAAGAAACGGAATTGTTTCAGTGGAGATGGGCGAGAAGCGGAGGCTCGAAATGAGAAGTGTGATGATGAAGAGGATGGATGGATGGATGGATGGATGGCGAAACGTAGTGTATGGATGGACGGATGGTGATAGGTGAGTGGTGGTGGTGGTGGTGGTGGTATGGTAGTAGGTTGGTCAGCGGGAATGGAGGCCTGCCCGTGAAGCCTCGTACTCGCACATTCGCACACTCGCACACTCGCACAAACACCACCACACTGTCCACACACATTGTCAGTATGCACCTTTGCAGTCCTAGTGGCTGCACAACACAACACGCTCTGGTGGTGAGTTGGTGGCAGCTGTACGGCATCAATGGTTGGGCTGACTGTTGATATGTCTGTCTCTTGTGGCAAGGTAGATAATTGGTGTAGCTAATGAACGAGGATATCAATTTAGTAGACTCGTGGCTGGACACGGATACGGGATGAAGAAGGGCATGCTCTCTCTCATGCACAGCACAGCACCTCCAATGCAGTGATGCACAGCTTCGAACGATCGCAAGCTTCCTCGATCGATTCGAGAGAGAGAGAGAGAGAGAGAGATTTGACTTGGTTGACATGGTGCTTGTCAGTGTCGTTGTCAGCAGGGGGGAGCAGCAACTTTGGGACACCTGGGGCCACTTTGGGGCAGTTGGGGCCACTTTGGGGCAGTTGGGGCCACTCTTGGTCCACTAGAATTCGGCTGTTCCTGGCTACCCAAGCCGCCACCACCCACCGCCCACCGCCCACCAAGCCCTCTACCGGGACACACACACATACATAACACATGTGCAAAGGCCCCCACTTGCCGGGGACAACTCTTCTTCTGAAACACGAGCCAGGTATTAGCCAGTGTCGACTGACAAGAGCAATTAAAAGTGTCAGAAGCTGCTGGACCGTCAATTCGAGTATTATTATCTTCAATCTCACGCAGCTATGAAAAAGGTTCTCTCTCAGCTGGTACTGCAATACCTACCTGTAATTATCTGTCTTGTACCTGCACCTGTACCTGTACCTGTACCTGTACCTGTCCTGTGTCCCTGGTGCTGTATCGGTCGGTGCACAGGCAGAAAGCAGCAGTCCCTCCAAGCGGTGTTTGCATCTGTACCTTGTACCTGCACCTGCACCTGTACCTGCGCGCGCACCCAAGGCCAACCGATGCTCCGGTGCATGGGTGGGTAGATGGTTGGATGGATGAATAGATGAACGAATCGATGATAGCTGGATGCATGATGCATACATGGAGAGATGGGTGATGCGTAATGTGAGCATAATGCCGCCCTGACCCAATGACTGGGGCCGGGCCCAAAGAGAAGAGCTGTCGACCAATTTGCCGCCTTTCCTGTTCCTGAAAGCTGGGCAAACCGACCCCCAGCTGGGCCGGTTAGCTAATATCTAGGCTGTTGGGCCACTAATCCCTAGGCTGCCACCACGCTATCCCCTGCCTATTCCTAGGCTGCTACACTGCCTAAACTACAGTACTACTACTAATTACCACCTAAACTACCTAGCCGCTCCACCTAGTAAAATACTCTAGCCAGCAGTCCAGCTGTCGCCGCCGGCTTGTGTTTATTCTGTCCTGTCGTTGTAGTCTCTGTGTCTCCCCTCCAATATATTCATATATCCCTCTCGTCCAATCATTGCTGCCCTGCCCCTTTCCATCTGGCCCATGCTCCTTGATAGTACAGTACCTTGCCATTAGCTTTTTTGTTTTTTTTTTTGCCCACTACACCTTTGACAGGCCTTTTTATAACCCATCTTACGCACTAATTATCACTTGCTTGGTTCTGGTCTACTATAAGTCATAATTGCTAATTTGGTCCACTCGTCTTGCCTGCCCTCCCCCCGGACGCACGCCTCTACCAGCAGCCAACAAGCATTTATCGTCATCGATCAAGCTGTTACTGTGTACAACAAAGGCTGTCTGCCCGCCCTGCCCCGGATTCCGCTCTGTTCTTTGGAGCCTCGGAGCGTACAAAGACAATAGACTGGCCTTTGGTCGTGGCGCCGGACCCCCTTCGTTGCCCAATTTGCCTGCTCTTGCTTCCACGTGAGCTCTCTGTCTCATGATAGATGATAATATGGTAATCTGGGCATCGTTCGTACCACCCGGCCTGACGGGACACGCAGTCGATCCATTCCTGTCCACAAACTATCTTTGACGCGACGCGTCCATGAACCTGTCCTCACACGCGCGCATACGACATCATATAGCGTCTGCCAATTCAGCCTCTTCACTGCGCCACATGCAACCCCATTTGATGATATGCGGGGGTGGAATAAGTAAACTCTCTCCAGTCCAGCTAATTACTGTACAGTATCATCGATGCAGAGTTACGCAGCTACTCTCTCCATGCCCAATACGCGGCATCAAGGACGTGACCTCTGACCACCAAGTTTCATAACAAACATCGGATCATAACACGATTCAGCTACAACGCTTCATATCACCATCACAATCGCGATCGATCGCCAGTGACGCACGCCAAACATTCCAATCCGCCATATCAAACCTTGGGAACCTCCCAAACAATCACCGCCAGGATCACCTCTTGATGTCGGTCGGTGCACCAGCCAGCATTCGCCCATCCATCCATCCCATTTCCCAGACCGCATGCCTACAATCCCCATGATCCGTCCAACTTTAAATCATGTCCCCACGTGCGCGACTTTTCCAATCTTCGGCAAAACTTTTCTGGTTTCTGGAACGCACCTTTCGCATTTCCAAAACCACGGTAAAAGACAAAACACAGACCCTCGCCTCCAATCAACTTGTAACAAACAAGGTTCCTGTGCTTATATTTGCAAGGCCAACCCTAGCGTCCTGGCCTGGGAGTTTTCCAGCAATTGTTGTTGAACTGTGCGGCAGGATCTGATCGGTTTTTTCATCAGGTCATTCGACTCGAAAAGTCGTCTTGTTAATTTCACAGTCCAGCAGCAGTCGTCCATGACCGGACCGCCACACTGTGAGCATGCAGCAGTGAAACGCACGGATTGCTGCGTCACAGCGCAGAATCCGCAGTTTCTAGCCCATGCCCTTCCTGGCCATTCTGGAAAACTCTTTGCTGTGGCAGACAATATCCTCCTACTTCCGACGATCTTAGTAGTCCCCTTGATGCAGTCGTATCATCAAAACGCATGCCCGATTCGGCACATCAGCCGTATTTGGACAATACCAAAACAATTTGACATCGGATGCGCCTTTGTTGTTCGACCAAGCCAGCTGGATCCAGTAGACAAGAGAAAAAAAAAAGCAACACCTGTCGGACATGTGTGTGTGTGCTGCAGTATCAAATGTCCGATGCATGCTGGTGCAGCTGCTTTCATTTCCTGCGCCATCAGCTGCAATTGCTCTTGTCCGACCAGCAGTTCCATTCACATCTCAAGCCATGATTCATCACAGAGCTGACCAGGCTACTGATTCTGTGCTGGCAGTCAGAACAAGTCGCGGCTTGACCAGCTACCGTATGTGCATCCAAGTGAGTACCTGAAGGCTCACTGCCGTCTTCGCATGGCAGTCATGGTCAACATGACTCAATATCGAGCGTCCATGTCTTCCAAGTCCCGATCGTCAGAGTCACTCTCATCCAGCACAGCCGCAGGACTATCATCAACACCATCATCCATAGACAGCGCCCTCCTCTGTGCAGTCGTAAGCTCCACCACCAGCGGCGCAAACTCGCCCGTCTCATCATCCTCATCATACCCACAAACCTCCGCCTCAACCTGCTCCCCATCCTCCAACTGAAACATGCCCTTTCTCAAAAAACTCCCCCCAACCTCCCACCCAAACTCCACACGCAAGAATTCCTCAAACTCATCCAACTCATCCACAACATCCGCCTTGCCAGCCCCATCCACATCCTCCAAGCCCGCCCTGAACTTGCGCACCAAGCTCTTAAGCAACGCCCCGCCATCCTCAGACATATCAAACAGTCCCCCATCCACATCCTGACTATGCCTAAGCTGCACCTTCAACGTCCTAATCGTCTCAACAAACAACTCCGCCCTCTGCCCCACCGCCCCCCGACACGTAAACAACAAGCCCAACACCCGCTTCCACTGCTCCAAACACGAGTAATTCCCCAGCGTCAGCACCATCACAAAGCAGAACTGCATCTCCCCCAACACCTCGTACCCGTCCTTGCCGTGACAGTTCCGCTCCACGAGCTCGTTCAGCGCCCACGTCCGGTCCTGCGCCGCATCCGTCCGCTCCCGCCCCGTTGCGCCCTCCCGCCACGTCTGCCGCAGGTTGATCGGGAGAAAACGCAATTCTCGCCCTGTTGCTGCTGTTGCTGCGGCTTCGCTACTCGTAAGACCCGGTATCTCGTCCACGTCCTGCGCCGCTGAACTCCCTGTTGTGAGACTCCAGCTCCATGCTTGCTCGCTGTCTGCATCATCAGCATCATCCGCCGCTCCTGCCCCCGTGACGCGTGTGAGCAGCGCGGATGTGACATGCGATGTCAGGAGGCGCCAGTCTGCGCCGTCGTCGAATGTCTGCGCTGCTACGCCCTGCCCGGAGGCAGTCTGTCGGTACGCCAGCAAGCCGGACTCCCACAGCGCTCCTACCCGCGCGCGCGCCCGGTCGAGCTCCGCTGCGTCTGAGAAAGACTCCGGCACGAGGGTCTCGGTTTTGGCGTCCCATTTCGCGGCGAGGACATCCGGTGGTGATGGTAGTGGTGGTGATGATGATGATGATGCAGGGCCGGGAACGTGGAACCAGAGACCGTGGCGCAGACTGAACGAGTCTGTGGCGCTGGCGAAGACGAAGTGGAAGCCTGGGGGCAGCAGTTTTATGCCGTGGAAGTTGGGCCCGGGGGTGAAGGAGAGGAGGTCGATGCCGGTGAGGGCGGTGGGCGGGAGGCCGGTTAGGAGGAGGGTTGTTGTTGTTGTTGAGGAGGGCGTTTGGGGTGGTGGCATTGTTGTTGATTTTGAGGATGGATGGATGGTTCTATGGGCTGGGGGCTGTTTAGGTTTATGGGGATGCTGTGAGGCTTGTTGGGGATGTATAGAGTAGGTTATTGGGATGATTGGGTGCTGCGGTCATTTCGATATCATAGTCTTGGGATGTACGATAATTACCTATGTCTGGAGATGTTGTGTTAGGAAGGAACGACAAGTTCGTCTAGCAAGCACATGTCATGAATTGCGAAAATGCGGTTCAGGTCCGTGCTTGAGCTTCCCCCTCGAGCTCTGACGTCGACTAGCGCACTCCACTAGAAACATCATCCACCTCCAGGGCTTCAAGCTCCCGTGCCGCCAGCCAGCCAGCCATAACAGAGCTCACAACGCAACTCAATTGCCACTGCCATGACGGGAAAGTCGCGATGGGCGGACAGCCAGGAGGACGCCGTCGCCGAAGAGCAGCGGAGAAAAGAAAAGGAGGCGAAGAAGCGCGCAAAGCTAGCACAACAGAAGCTCGCAGAGGAACGTCGCAAACAACATGAACAACAAGAACAACAACAAGGAGGGGTTCGTGACGACCTCGAGAACCGGCCCGCGAAACGGCAAAGACTCTCACCGGCTCAGAATACCGACACGGCTCAGAAGACCGACAAAGCTGCTGAAGCGCCAACAAAGCTCCTCAAATTCCATGCGCCGTCTTTGGGCCCTTGCAGACACGTCGACAACTTCGAACGGCTGAATCACATCGAGGAGGGCTCGTATGGCTGGGTTTCAAGAGCAAGGGAGATTGCGACAGGAGAGGTGGTGGCGCTCAAGAAGCTCAAAATGGACAATCTGAATGACGGTTTCCCAGTGACCGCACTGCGAGAGATACAGACCCTCAAAGCCTCAAAACACCCCAACATTGTCGATCTGCGCGAAGTCGTTGTAGGCGACGGAGACGACTTCAGTGATGTATTCCTGGTAATGGACTTTCTGGAGCACGATCTCAGGACGCTGCAAGAAGACATGGCCGAGCCCTTCCTACCGTCTGAAACAAAGACACTCCTCCTCCAGCTCGCGTCCGCCATGGAATTCCTCCACGACCACTGGATCATCCATCGCGACCTCAAGACCTCAAACATCCTCATGAACAACCGCGGCGAGATCAAGATCGCCGACTTCGGCATGGCACGCTACTTCAGCGACCCCCCGCCTCCAAACCTCACCCAGCTCGTCGTCACCCTCTGGTACCGCGCCCCAGAGCTCCTCCTCGGCGCCTCCACCTACGACACCGCAATCGACATGTGGTCCGTCGGCTGCATCTTCGGCGAACTCCTCACCAAAGACCCGCTCCTCCAGGGCAAGAACGAAGTCGACCAGCTCGCCAAGATCTTCGCCCTCGCCGGCATCCCCAACGACGACTCCTGGCCCGGCTTCCGCCGCCTCCCCAACGCCAGAGCCCTCCGTCTGCCGCGCCTCCCCAACCCGCCCAAATCCTCCGCCCTCATCCGCTCCAAATTCCCCATCCTGACCAACGCAGGCAGCGCCCTGCTCGCCGCCCTGCTCTCCCTCAACCCAGCCTCCCGGCCGACCGCGACGGAGATGCTCGCCCATCCCTACTTCCGCGAACAGCCTAAGCCCAAGTCAAAGGCCATGTTCCCCACCTTTCCCAGCAAGGCGGGCCAGGAAAAGCGTCGTCGTAGGGCGACGCCCGATGCGCCGAAGCGGGGTGAGAAGGGCGCGTTTGCGAAGGGCAGGGACGCCGTCGACCTTACTGGCTTGTTTTCCGGGCGGGATGCGGAGGCGGCGGGGGCGGGGTTCAGGTTGAAGATGGTGTGAGGGGGGGTGGTGGTTGGGTAAGTATCGAATAATGTAGTCCTTCCCTGTGGTTTTGTGCATTTGTGCTGATGTTGATGTAGGCTGTTTGTGTGGTTTGTTGGGTGGGAGGGGGGTTAAGGGGGGTGTAGAGAGGTGATGCTTTGGCGGTGGGCTTCGGGGTTGTGGTAGTGATGTTTGTGTAGCCAGCACAGAATGAAGAGGTTCTGTGGGTTTGGTCACGTCGTGATTTGTGTGTCGTGCTTGATGTAGCTGTGTTGATGGCTACGGCGCATGTCGGATCTCGTGTCCCTTTTTGCCAGTCATACCCCTTCTGCCAGTTACATATCCCAGAAACACGAGTATCAAGGAGTACTCATCCGCGATCCTGCGTAAGACAGGGACAGGACACCAGGAGGCAAAACCGACATTGTAGAGAAAGAGGGGGCTGGATGAACGATGTGCTTTTACGGTTGAATGGGCGCGTGTATCGTTCACACGCTATGTGGTGAATGTCTGGAGGTATGGCTCATGTGTTGTGCGGATGTACCACAGAGGAGTATGTATGTTATATATATGTTATACATAAAGTGTTCATAGGTGCTTTTCTTGTTGGAATGTATTCCTGACTGCTCACTTACTTACTATTCGAGGGTTTAAGATCATAGTGGTAGACACTGTAGAAACTGCGTCTGTCTACACACACACACACACATACACAAACCGGCACGCCTTTCTCCCCCCAGAAAAAACCACAAATTTCTACACCGACACATCACCACACCCCATCCCGCCCCCCCCCCAAATGCCCGAACACCCAAAAAGTCGCAATCCCTGGCGTTGGCTCAGAGAATGGCTCCATTCCATCGCCGAAGAGGACCGATGGATGCGCGAAAACAAGGAGCGGCGCAGACGGGAACGCGAGGAGCGGCAGGAGAGGATGTTTCTGGGTGGGCTTTGAGGGTGACTTTGGACTTTCTTCAATTTGAGGGAGAAACGGGGGGTGGTGACCATTCAATATTTTCTTTTCTCTGGACATGGGCATGTATAGTTAGTTCATTGTGCAGGCGGATTGGCTTTCACGGGGATCTTGGTGTAAGGGGTGGGTGGGTGGGTGGCGTTGTGTTGGGGGGTGTGGTTAGGGAACAATGTCGTCGTGGCGATGGTTGTGACTTTGCTCTTTCTTTCTTCTGTTGGTGTTTGGAATGGGGGGTTGTGTGTGTGTATATATATGTGTTGCGCGCTGTGAGAGAAGGTTTGGGTACTTGGTACTTGGTATGACTTGGACTGCTTGAGGACTGCTATACTATTCGCTGCTATCTCATACTGAGCAGAAACCTTTACGGCAACGTTTCGGACGTGATAATCTATCAATATCCCGTAGTACTACTCTCACAGAAAACATCACAAACATCACAACACACAAACCCAAACCCCAGCCAAAACCATGCCAAAACCCAAGACACCCCAGACAACAAACCCGCCTCCCCAAGCCCACACAGCCGCAGCACAGCCAAACCCACACGTGCAAACAACTGAAGCCACACCCCCAGCATCATGCCCTACCACGACGCCAAGCGAGACAGTAGCCAAACGAAGCCAATACGAAAACGCCCGGGCGTTTATGGACAAGATGCTCACAAAGGAAGAGCAGGAGAGAGGCAAGGCCGAACTCAAGAAGCTGTTCACGAAAAAGGTAGTGCCGTATCTCAAGACTGAGGTGCGGCCGCTTGTGATCAACGCGGTCATGAAGAAGCAGACGAGGAAGTGAGGAAGGGGTGGTGAGACGGTCGGACCAGATGATCATAGCATGGATAGTACTCTGTCCAGTACGATAGAATAGATTCTAAACGACTTATAATAAACTATCATCTCCCAAACCTAGATACCCAACCCACCCACATCCACACTCGTCTCCCGCCCCTCCACCATCTCCCCCACCACCTTCCCCGTCCCCAAACACTGCGAAATCCCCCACGCCCCATGCCCAGCCGCAACAAACACGCCGCCCTGGCCCCCACCCCTTGTCCTCACCCCGCCAAGCCGCCCATCATCCACCCTCCCGACCAACGGCCTCCCCCCCGCCGCCACAGGCCGGAAACACACCGATTCCCGGATAACACGCAGATCCGACTCCCGGGCTTCCGGGTGTCCGAGGAGCAGTTCGGCGACTTTCTTGAGCTGGTCGATAGATGCGGGTTGTGGGACGGCGTCGGATGCGCGGTCTGGCAGGGGTAGAGACGAGGAGTTTAGCCCTGCGATGTACAGCTCGCCGGCGCGGCGGGCGAAGATCTCGGGGGCGAAGCCGGCGGCGGCGTCGTCGGGGGCGAAGAGGGCGTGGCAGGCTTGGGTCCTCCTGCTCTGCGTGGTAGGTGTCCAGCGCGGGCTCTTGAGGAGGAGGGAGTGGCCGGCTAGGGCACTGATTGGGGGGCTGTAGGTGGATGCTGGGAAGAGGGTTTTGAAGACTGCTGGTGTCCAGGCGCCGGCTGTGAGGACGAGGCGGGTGCAGGGTATGTTTGACTCGACGCCGTTGATGGCGTCGTGTATGCGGATGGAGGCGAGGGTGTCGTCGCGGGTGTCTTTGGAGATGGAGATGGCGCGGGCTGGGTGGTGGAGGTGGACGCCGGCGGCTAGGCATTCGTCGAGGAGGAATTTGGAGAGCTGTAATGGGTCGCTTGTGAATTCTTTGTTAGTGGAGTCTTTGTGGGGGATGTAGCTTGTAAGGGGCTCATGACCTACACTTGAGCGGTAGTTTCCTTGCTACTTATCACTTCGACGGTGTCTTCTTGCGACGTCGTCAACCAGGGTGGAAGCTGGTCCTGGCTTTCGCCTGAGATGGACGAGTCTGCCGCTGCAGTATTCGCCCGGCTGGTGCCATCGCGAAGCCAATCCTCTCCGCTACCATCTACTGCCTCCTCGCTGTCCCTCGATAGGGATGACGTGATGGTGGAGCTGTATCCCCATCTCTCCCTCCCGTTGCTCTTCTCAGCCAGCTCCCTGTGAAGCTGAAAGGAGAGAGCTCCGAGAGGTGCTACAACAGGAGCAAACCCTGCAGTATTGTCAGCTAGTCACTTGGACACATGAGAAGAGGCGGGAAGGGATGGTGCCTACAATCTTTAGCCAGGAAGCCTCCCGCAAATCCAGAAGCACACTTGAACAGCTCCTCCGAAGCCTCCACCAGATGTATTGATTGCGCCGCGGTGTTGGTCGATTGCGAAAGGTAGTACGCGGTTGAGCAGCCGATTATGCCGGCACCGATTATCACGGTGTTGTTTTGTGCCATTGCTATCGGATTACTGGACTTGGATTCTAAACAACTCTACCGTGAGCCGAACGACGGATTGTCCATCGAGTCGACCATAATATAGTCGGCAGTAGCATTTGAAAATGCACCAACCCTTCGCGACATCCGGGAGTGTACAATCGGCTTGTCGTTCGAGAGCAACGCCTTGATTGCCCCACCAACATCCGGATCCATAGGGGTGGTCTCTGCCCCTTGTACGTCAGAAAAACGGGTGGGGTTGGCGATACAGACTTCGTTCGGTCTGCCGCGCTTCCCGACAAGATCCTGCACCAGAACGAGCGATCAGACTTCCAAAGCACCATCAACTGCAGAGACTAACCATGGCCGCTCAAGGGAAAGTCTTTGTGCTCACAGGCGCATCTCGAGGTACGTAGCCCTTGCCCTTGCCCCCGCATCGTACGACAATCACGCGACCATGTCGCTACCCTCGTCTGACACGTACTTCAGGCATGGGGTTAGCAATTGCCCATTACCTGCTGAAACAGAAATGCAACTTGATAGTTGTATCGCGGAGTCTCGAGCCTCTACAGAAGTTGGAATCTGAATATCCCTCTCAGGTCAAGGCTTTAGCAGGAGATCTAGCCGACTCTCGCCTTGCAAAGCAAGCTATCGAGGCTGCAACCCGTGAATGGAATCGTTTGGATGGACTTATTGCCAATCACGGAACTTTGGATCCTGTCAAAAAGATTGCAGATTTAGACATTGAGGAATGGAAAACTGCATTTGATATCAATCTATTCTCTATCATCACATTGGCAAGTGAGCATGAACCCTCGCAAATAAACTACTAACACATCCAAGGTCAAGGAGGCTCTGCCATCATTGAAGCAGTCCAAGGGAAGCATTATCATAACCTCATCCGGTGCATCTCAAAATGCCTATACAGGGTGGGGGGCGTATGGGGCAGCGAAAGCGACCCTCAACCATCTTGTTCTTTCTTTGGGTGAAGAGGAACCAGATGTGTTATCAATTGCGGTTCGACCAGGAACAGTTGATACTGATATGCAAAGAGATATCCGCGAGAAACATCAAAGCACCATGAGCCAGAAGGACTATGAAAAATTTTCAGCTTTGAAGACCACTGGAAAGTTACTGAAACCGGAGCAACCGGGTCATGTCATCGCAAAGCTTGCAATTGACGCGCCCAAGGAGCTGAGCGGGAAGTTTCTCAGGTAAGTACTGCCATGACACAAACATGGGTGTGACTGATGATATGTACCTAGCTGGAATGCAGAGGATCTGAAAGCATATCAGGGTTGAGTAGACTGTAGAGCGCGAGGCGACGACGACTGTGTGACTGATCAGTAAAGTGTTATTGAGGAATCAGATGCAAGGACGGTGGAGGGAGGTGCAGTCAGTCGAAAGATGAAAAGTAGGATATCATTGAAGCAGCATCAGGCCGAGGCCTTCAGTTTTAGCATGGAATGATTAGGATCATCATCACAAGGATTTGGGAGAGAATGTGATGCTTACGTTATCAAATACCGATCCAGGCCAATATAGACCGAGTAGTTGTTGGAGATATTGTCTTCATGGTGTTAGCAGTGGTCACGACAGGTAAGTTTGACAGTATGATCGTCGAGGTACTTTTCAGGTAATCGAACCATTTTTATTCGTCATTGTATGTCCGAATTTGATAGTACATGTTTTGTTCATCATAGAGGGGCGCCGTGCATGATAGTGTGAAACATACCTTCAGAATCCATACGAGCTTTTCAACGGTCGCCCATGGTCATGTATCATGTACAAGCGTGTACGGTAAGCACGAAGAGGCAAACATCATGATGGGAGTAGAATTACGGCTGCATCCGAACAGACAAAGGCAGAGTGACGTTTCTGTAAACCCTACACTTTTCATTCTATTAGCAATGTCCAAGAAGGTCGATATGAATGAATGGGTCAAGTTGGGGTTTCTCAGCCAGTCTTTTGGCTAGACGTGTAATCACCATGGTTATTTTAAGATAGGGGCGACACGAATGATCATCATTGAAGGGAAGGAGAAATTGCGAGGGAGCTGTGACTTACAAGAAAGCGGTATGTGAATGTGACCGCGCGTGTAAACGACGGTCACATAGTCCAGCGGTCTTTCGTGTTCCAAGTTAAGCAGGTACTATTAAGGAGCAGAATTTGCATATGACGATATGAACATGTGCGGGCTTGACGATGTGGCTGCATTCGCGCCTGATGTCGTTGATGGAATGCGAAGAGTGTGGAAACGGAAAAATGAAATTTAAAAGCTGTCAGAGAATGCGCACGGCCCAGCCTCAGTAGTGCCCGGTGCCCGGAGGCGGGCGGTGAAGGAAGAAAGGCCGACAACCCCTGCCTGGTCGCGTCGTCTGTTGCTGTCGTAGTGCTAAAAGCTCAAGTTCAAATACTGCCACCCTCCCTCCCACCAGCACCGAAATGTCTGTCCTCAAAAGTCGAAGATCAACCTATCAGCATAGCACACATAAGCTTGAATACAGGGTCTCCTGACATAGTAACCGTCTTTCAGGATGTCTGACCGAGAATTTGGTGGTAAGTCCTATTTGCGACGACTTTTGCGCAGCCTGCTAGTCCGTCAACTCGTTCTGCGCAAATCGCTGATGTGAGACAGGCAACGATGAGCTATCCCTTCCAAAAGGTATTCCACTCCATTTCATGAAACCGATCCTACTTGGCTATACAGTTCGAATTCATCTTGCGCTGTTTCTCGAGCATTGCATTTCCCTAGCTTTGGGAACATTGACCTGTGTTGGGCTGACATTGTGATTAGCAACCGTACAGAAGATCATAACAGAGATTCTCAATAAAGACTCGGGAACTGCCTTTGCGAAAGATACCCGCGATGTTCTTATCGAGTGCTGCGTCGAGTTCATCACTCTGATCTCATCCGAAGCCAACGAGATAGCAGAGAAGGAGGCGAAGAAGACCATTGCATGCGAACATGTAACGAAAGCATTAGAAGAACTGGGATTCTCCGACTACGTCAGCCACATCCTAGATGTATCCAAGGATTTCAAGGCTGCGCAGGTGGTGAGTTTATCGCTACGATGGATGTGATGATACTGACGACCGAGCCAGAACCGCGAAAAGAAGCAGAGTAAGATAGAACAGAGCGGTTTGACTGAGGAAGAATTGATACGGCAGCAAGAAGAGTTGTTTGCCTCCGCCACGTCCAAGTTTACAGGGCCTGGTGAGGAATGAAGTCGTGCTCGAGAGTCGAATATAGGAGACTGGCGTTTTCGGAATGCACAATGCATCTAGTGGAGTTCAGGCGTCAGTGCGAGGGTTATACACAAAGTGATATGGGCTTGTCAATATTGTCGTAGGGGTAGAGCGATTTCGCGCTCGGACTGAATACCGCATACACGGGCAGACGGAGCAAGGCGAATGACCGCCGCATAAAGGCGGCCGACAGCGTGAGACGATATTTATTAACTCAACGCTGTGAATAAATCAATGTTGTGAAGGAGATCAGGATGGAATGTTGTGCTACACTGGTACCTTAAGGAAGGTATCCAAATGTAAATGTTTCTAAATGACGTGGGGCTCCCGCCCAGCCAGCACCTGCCCGCACTCTACCAGGCATCATTCACATGGTTCGCGCTTCGACAAAGGCAAGCTTTCAACATCCACGCTCCGTATCGCTCAAGTCTCCTGTTCTGCCTTATACAAATCACGGCGCTCCGCTCTGATCAGCACAGAATCAGCCCAAGATGTCTGGTCTCGAAAAGGCCTTGTTCAACCTCAAGGTATGCTGCGCATCTTCCAAAGATACACCATAGGCACCTGCAGCTGACCTGGCTTCTAGTTTACGGCGAAGCAACTGAACAGACAAGCAGCGAAAGCCGGGAAAGACGAACAGTCTGAGAAGACCAGACTGGAAAAGGTTTCGCCTTGACGAACCAGCCCACCAGATCCTCTACTGACTTGGTCTTCGTACAGGCTATGAAACAAGGAAACAATGATATTGCCCGGATATATGCCCAGAACGCTATTCGGAAACAAAACGAGAAGTTGAATCTGCTACGCCTAGCATCTCGAATCGACGCAGTCAGCAGCAGAGTCCAGACAGCCGTGACAATGCGCCAGGTGACCGGCAGCATGGCAAATGTTGTGAAGGGTATGGACGTGGCTATGAAGCAAATGGATCTCGAAAAGGTGGGAAGCATCAAGATGACTGCAAGAAGGCTTTGAAGATGTAGGGACTGACACGGCTATAGATATCGGCAGTCATGGACAAGTTTGAGACACAGTTCGAGGACCTGGACGTCGCGACCGGATACTACGAAAACGCTACATCATCGGCGACAGCAGTTGGGACACCGCAAGAAGATGTCGATAAACTCATGGCACAGACTGCAGACAAGGCTGGGGTGGAGCTGCATCAAGAACTAGAGGAGGCTACCCCAGCGAAGACCAAGATTGGTCCTACCGAACAAGAAGAGGATGGGCTGAACGAGAGGCTGCGAGCCCTCCGGAATTAAGAGGGTTGGAATACAATGACTTGGGTGTTTAGGGAGTTTCCGGATTAGGCCGATCTCAAGAGGAGCACTCATCATATCAGATATTATACGACGAAACCAGCATGCCCTCTGGTTTCAACATTGCATGCATTCATAGACAAAGCTGCTCTGCTGGTATATCTCATCGAGTGTGACTGCTACGACTGCAACTTTTTGGAATGTTGGAGAAGCTGTACTCAGTGCAGCACTGTAGTGGAGGATACTAAATCGATAACGCTAATATATCGAAATATGTCCGGGTGCCGGCCCAAACTCATATCGAAAGCTTAATTAAGGTAGCCAATTCATAGTGCCTTCCGGATGATTCTTTGTTCTTATCCCTGTCAACTTCATATGTGTGCCTCTCTGAATGGTAAGCGCATTAGATCATGACAAGCATCGTACCGTTGAATGTTGTACAACCTTGCTATCAGACGATCGCGTCATAGGAACATTGACATCGGTTAACAAACCACGGATGCGGACCACCATCACTCGCACTACGTACTACAAGGTGTGTTAAGAACCGGGCTCTAATACTTTCGACAGATATCTCCACAGGAACTGGCTCGCGTGACGAATGGTAGACAGATATTGATTGGCTGAATCGTCACTCGCCACAGCCTGCGCCACAGGTCATCGGTAAACAGAGCCTCCGTTGATAGCGAGGGTGAGCTAGTCATGCATCTAGATTCGTGCATGACTGTGTGAGTCCTGCTAGATCATATCAATATGCTATCTATCCGACATCAGTAGCTCGTGGTGGTGACGATGGTTGATAAGCGCCTTTGCGTAAGAGATCGAAGCATTGAAACGGTATGTAGATGTAGAGAATGCCATCTAATTATCTGTAGACGTAGAAAGCGATCATGAATTTGGGGGGAGGGGACATGGGGAAGTTGCTGTGTGGGTGAGGCGCGACCCTAGCTAATTAGCTAGCTACTCAGGGGAGGCGTGGGCGTAACAACGTAAGGTATCTCTTGTTGTCTGGGTCTCTCAACCTCAATCGTCACACGCTTATTAGCCTTCACGCAATTCAACTTTCTATCAATGTTTCCTTTTTGTTTGCACACCTTCGTCACAAGCTGCATGCGCTCTTCCACCGGCATATTAGACAAATATTTGTTTCGGCACTGTGCGCCCACGTGTCGCACAGGAAACCAATTCAAAGTCCTGACATGCGTGAGTTGACGTCGCTCTCTCTATTCGTGCTGCAGCCGGAGCTTCCAAGGATCCGCATGCTTGAAAGTTGGCTGCATCCTGACCAAGTGGGGCACATGGCTGCTTCTTCGGGAGCAGCGAGCTTCGTCGCCGACAGATGGACGGATCGTCAAGATCAAATAAAGCCGCCTCACCCACTTCGTCATACCCTCTCCCTCTCTCTCCTACACCTTTCAACACACGCCCTTTGTGCTTATTACACCATCGATGGGAGAAGCTTCTGACGATCCGAGTTTATTAGACAGAATAAACCCATGGGCAAAGTCGAATGTCAAGAGTCGCTCAAAGGCCGCTGAGAAGTCCGTCTTGCCGCTGACCAACCAATCCTCCTCCTCCACCAATGCTTCGTCTTCCTCCGCAGCACCACCTGGATCCGCAACACACAATCGGCTTCCGAGTCACCATGCCGATTTCATTAGCGGCAGCAAGGCAACCAGAAACAATGTTGCAGACGATACATCCTCGAACTCGCCGCCACCTGCCCCTCCGCCCGTCAATACGCAGGCTTCGGGAGCGTCATCTACCTCCTTAGACAATGAGAAGTTGCAGGAGGACCAGAAGCCCGGTTGGGCCTCTCGTCTTCATGCTGGTTCCAAACGATTTATCATTCATACTAAGGATGCCATAACATACAGTTGGATCAATGTCCTACTCATATTCGTTCCCGTTGGCATTGCCTGTAAAGCTGCCGGGCTGAGCCCGAGTATCATTTTTGCTATGAACGCCATAGCTATCATTCCACTGGCTGGTCTACTTAGTCATGCTACTGAAAGTGTTGCCAGTCGCTTGGGCGACACCCTAGGTGCTCTTCTTAACGTATCATTTGGTAATGCTGTCGAGCTTATCATATTCATCATTGCATTGGTTAAGAATGAAATCCGCATTGTGCAAGCTTCACTGCTTGGATCAATCCTTGCAAACCTGCTGCTGATTCTTGGAATGGCTTTCCTATTTGGTGGCCTTCGCTTCCGAGAACAGGTCCGTACTCAAGTACTCTTAGATCGGCTTAAAATCCTAACTCTACGGTAGATATACAACAGCACCGTCACGCAGATGAGCGCTTGTATGCTCAGCCTGAGCGTTGTTAGTCTTCTATTACCAGTAAGCACATCGTGCCATGAAGCCTTTACTGGAGAATGCTAATGTCGTGGTACAGACTGCTTTCCATGCGTCTTTCTCAGACAATGCCAACGCTGACAGAACTACACTCAAGATCAGTCGTGGTACTAGTGTAGTTCTACTACTGGTCTACATTCTTTATCTTCTCTTCCAGCTGAAGTCTCACGCGTATCTGTACGAGAGTACCCCACAGTCTGTCATCGACTTGGAATCACATCCTGGTGTTTTGCATGATATGCTCAACTCTAGCTCGTCAAGCTCATCAGATACCTCGAGCTCAAGCGACACTGATAGCTCAAGCGGCTCTCACAAGACTACCAAGCGAATTAAGAGGATGATGAGGCGTAAGCGTAGAAAGTCGAGCGCTAGCTCGAAAGAAACAACGTCGACACCATCGACCACCATCAATTCTCCTTCGCCTGAGGTCCAGTCGAGTCTAGCTTACTTCGACACACAGCGGAACATGTCCGTATCATCGAACCCTGAGGCCAAGTCTCGTCGCATCTCGATGTCCAATGCGGTTATGAGCGGCGACGAAGCTGATATGGAGACCGAACCTAGGATGCCCAGAACAAACTCAGAAGGCACTACGATCCGAGATTTCCAGCCTGAAGGAGTAGTGTCTCCTTCTAAAAGCCCCGAGAGATCCAAAAGTAAGAAACAGAAGAAGAAGGAGAAGAAGCATCACAAAGGTAAGAATACGACTTATACCGATGATGTACCCGAACCCCCGAAACACCAAGAATCTTTTAGCGGCCTGGCTAATATCTCCACGACTACATCGCCCACAGATGTAGACATTGTTGGACCGAGAGTAGGCTTCGCAGATGAAACCCTCGAAGACTCGATGAATACTCCTGCGAACCAAGCTCGCCGCCCATTCAATATTCGTCAATTTTCTACTCGGCAAGGAACGCTTAGACCAAGTATGCCCACTTTACTCTCGAACAACGTTTTTGTTATGCCACCTCCTGAGAACCCTCAACCTTCTATTGGTGCACCGATGATCCCACGGGTCGCGCACCACCGCCTTCGCAAGACTACATCTCTTCCGGATCGCCTGAACAGACAAGCGTCTCAGGCATCGCAGATTAGACCTTCTGGTCTCCCAGGAACCGGTATACCACTTGTGAAAGACGAGGAGAAGCCCCAAATGTCCAGAACTGCTGCGGTCATGCTACTATTGTTCTCTACTGGTCTCGTCGCAGTTTGCGCTGAATTTTTGGTTGACGCAATTCCTCAATTGACTGAGTCTGGTGGTTCCGGTGTGAGCGAAGCATTTATTGGTCTCATCATCCTTCCCATCGTTGGTAATGCGGCTGAGCATGTCACTGCTGTTACAGTAGCAGCGAAGAACAAAATGGACCTGGCTATTGGTGTTGCAGTCGGTAGTAGCATCCAGATCGCCATCTTCGTCACCCCTCTTGTCGTCATTCTCGGATGGTGCATGAACAAGGACATGACCTTGTACTTCACTCTGTTTGAGACCATTTCACTGTTTGCTTCAGTTTTCGTGGTCAACTTCTTGGTCTTAGATGGAAGGAGCAACTACCTTGAAGGCGCGCTCTTGATCGCAGCTTATGTGATCATTGCTGTTGCTGCTTTTTTCTACCCTGACGAAGAGTCTCAGAGTTCTGTTGGCGGCAACCCCGATAACGGATCTCCACAACTACTGAAAATGCTTCTTCGTCTCTAGGGCGTAGACATGGTATTAAAGGGCCAAATAATACAGGGCCAGGTCAGATGGGATCGGATGAGCGAATACGTATAGGAGCGCATGTTTCATATTCACTTGAGTCTTGAATATTACCTCAATGCAATGGTGCGAATTGCGAGAAAAAGGAACACGAGCGTAGAAGCAGTTTTCCGCGTCTCAGACAGACAGACTTAATTCTATCTTCAAGTACGGTATTGGCATTCGCGTACCTGCTCCCTTTTCACCATACTTCATGTTCTTAGATCTAAAATGTATATGCATGTGAATTCCCATTGATCCCCTACGCCACAACGGCTCGTTCCGCTCATCCGAGTACGGCGGCGGGCGCTAGAGTACACTGACAGCAAGCCGCAAGCACGGTCTTCACCGATGTGACCGACAAGCGAGAATGTGGAGATATATCCCCCAGCCAAACATGAATGGCAACGATAGTGACAAATAGGTCTAACCGACCGGTTGCAAAAAACATCATCTCAATACTGTCAAAGTCTGACAAGAGGCTAATACGAAGTAGCTATACGAGAATGCATGCCGCCGAAACATTTTGTGGTAGTATTGACTAGACATCGGAAGTCCCGCAGAAAGAGAACAAAAGAAGCAACTATTTGCCTGACAATATGTAGATAGATGCGCGCCGGAGCTATACAAGGATACATCTCAGGGAGCATCGAGTAATACGCTGTTCAGAAAGAAAAGGGGTTGGAATACAATAACTGTATGTCTCGTGCCCCATACATGACTTTTTCACTTCACTCGGTCGTAACCGCAACCTCTGTCTTGTCATCCATCTTTGGACCTGTGCCAGCTTCCTCGAGGCTCTTGCCCTTACCGCCGTACTGCTCCGGTACATCTGGACCTAATTCCGACACTAGCGTGCTACCGGAGCTCAGAACGGTGAATTTGCGCACGGTCTCCTTGCTCAGAAGCATCTTGGCGGCCGTGAACATCCAGCCCATGACTGCAGGCACGTTGATGAAGAACTTGCGTGATAGTGTCTCCGGGTAGTATGCGGAGAAGGTGTCAACGGTGGCCTTGACGGCGGCTTTGACAAGAGGGTCTTGGCGCAGGAAAGACACGGACATGTAGTCGTGCACCTGGTATGCTTGGTATGGGTCGCGGCCGGTATTCCAGTCGGGTATCGGAGTGGTGGCGGTTGATAGAGAGAGTTTCTGGAGAGAGAGCTCCATGAGGCTAACGCGCCAGCGAATGAATCTGGATAGAAGTGTTAGTTTATCCGGTTCAATGGGCGGAGAAGGGCAACGATTTGTACTCGTCAAGTACGCCGAAGGTCTTTTTGTTGTCCTTGACCGCGCCGTAGAGGTTGAAGGTCACGACTGCCTTGCCATCTTCGGGAACATCACTCAGGTCGAGAATATAGCCCAAGCCGCCGAACTTGCTCTTGTCGAAAACCTCTTCAATTGTCTTGAGAGGTTGAAACTCTTTGCGCCACTTTAGGGTCTTGAGAAGCTGATCCTTCGCCTTGGAGAGATCATTCTGGTTTGCACGAAGGAACTTCTGGAGGATGAGCTTCGTTTGGAAGCTGTTGTCAGACGCGAGGTGGACGCCCCAGACTTCATTGTAGTCGGCCTCTTTGACGAGAGTGGGCAGTTCAACGACGAATTTTGAGAGCGGGTGTTCGGCGGTGAGGGTTGGCCAGCCGTCGTGGGAGTCTGCAGCACCTGCGTCTGCATCTGTCTTATTCTCCTTGTCTTCAGGACCAGAAGTCAACGGCAGTGCAGCACCAGGCTCCACTTTGGTAGGTTCACCCTCTGGCTCTTTCGTTGCCTCAGATGAGGTTAGAGGAAGGGCGTTCACGGCACCTTCGGTCTTCTGCTCGACCGGGGCTTCTTCCGGCTCTTGCGTGAGTGGGAGAACGGCACCTCCAGAGGGCTCGGTCTTCTGGGGAGCTTCGTCGGGCTTGTTCGTAGCGTCTGGGGATGTGAGAGGAACAACCTCTGTAGGCTTTGCGTCCGCCATTGTATCACACGTGCTTGGAGAGGTCAATGGTACAAAGAATGTGTGAAGGTGAGTTTTGTTGTGAAGCTAAAGTCAACAAATCAACTTTATTTGGATTTTGGTGGTACAAGGGTGATTCCGGGCTAAGTCCGAGGTGGTAGCTGGTGCCGACGACGATAGCTTGCGTGCTCAATACTACGCATATGGTGGAGGAAATGTCATCGCGTCGTGTCGTGCAGATGGATGCACGCGAAGCTTGTCCGTTTGCTAGAGTGGCACCTAGTATCTTTATATGTTTTACTCGCATTCCAAGACAATAGGCTTACCTGTTGATTCAATCCGTGCCAAGGTGTTCAGCACTTCATGTTTGCTGGTGGCAATCCGCGCATTCAACTATAGCTCCTAGAGAGGCAGAAGACTACAATGCGCTCCTCGCATCAGATCGCTTCTTCTGTCTTCTCGTTGGTGGCACGCAGATCACAGAGATCAACACAATGCTCTCGTATCTGCAGGAGATGGCTATCGTCGGAATTCAAGAATCGGCAATGGTCGACTCCGTTAGCAAAGATGCTTGCCAACGCCATTGAGGTGAACCACGCATACCGACCGGGTTGTAAACAATTGCTGATCTGTAACGGCAGGCTACGGGTCCAATCACAGTTGCTGCATACATGCGTCAAGTTCTTACATCCCCGGACGGAGGCTATTACACGAGCCAGACTGAGACTGGGCGAGACCAATTTGGCCAAAAGGGGGACTTTGTGACATCGCCTGAGATATCACAGATATTTGGAGAGCTCATTGGACTATGGTTCTTGACAGAATGGATGTCCCAAGGAAAGAGAAGCTCGGGGGTCACCATAATGGAGATGGGGCCCGGCAGAGGGACACTCATGAACGATATGCTACGGGTGCGTCTCGCAACACGATGAGATACTGGACAAGACTGATGGGTGTAAAGACGATACAAAACTTTGAGCCGATGGCATCTAGTATCGAGGCGATATATCTGGTTGAGGCAAGCCCAATATTACGCGAGGCGCAGAAGCAGTTGCTCTGTGGGGATGCGACAATGCAAGAGAATGACATCGGCTTCGAAAGCCAGAGCAAACATTTGGAGGGGGTCAAGGTCATATGGACCGAGGACGTCCGCCTGTTACCGAAAGGTAGGCCTCAAACGGTGATCTGATCTCATACACTGATTCCTTACTCATGAGTTTAGATGCAAACGAGTCACCGTTCATCGTAGCGCACGAGTTCTTTGATGCTCTTCCAATCCACGTCTTTCAAAGTATCGAACAGACTGCTGATCATGGAGATAATGTCACTGCCCATGAACGGCCTGGTACTCCCACGACAGGGCAATTGAAAGGGCCGACGCGTCAATGGCGAGAGTTGGTGATATCGCCTACGGCTGACCCAGATCCTTTGGCGCCAGACCTGGCCAAGCAACTTCCGGAATTCGAGCTATCAGTATCGAAGAAACATACACCACACAGCCTTTATTTACCAGAAACATCGCAACGCTACAAGGCACTGAAGCACGTCAAAGATGCAATAATCGAAATTAGTCCCGAATCTTTGGCATATGTATCAGAATTTGCCACGCGCATAGGTGGCTCCGATACTCAGGAAGCGCTGAATAGTGCTAAAGCACAAGCTTTCTCGAAACCTACAGCTTCTGGAGCGGCCCTGATACTCGACTACGGTACCATGGATACGATACCAACAAACTCTCTACGCGGTATCAGACATCATGAGCGCCTCTCTCCTCTTGCTTCTCCTGGCGCTGTCGATGTCAGTGCAGATGTTGATTTTGTCGCCCTTGCGAATGCAGCCCTGGGCGCCAGCCCTAACGTCGTGGTTCATGGTCCTATGGAGCAAGGGACTTGGCTAGGTGCCATGGGTATTCAGACGCGTGCGGAGATGCTGATGACGAAGGCGCAGAGTGAGGAGGAGAAGAGAAGGATAGAAACAGGCTGGAAGAGGTTAGTAGACAGGGGTCCACAAGGAATGGGCAAGATATATAAGGCCATGGCGATTATACCATCCATTGAAGGAGATGCTACAACGCGGAGGCCTGTAGGGTTCGGCGGCGATATTTCAGTATAGAAACGTAGCGGACTCCCTCGCATCGTCATGTACAACTACTGCACTCACAGCCACATGCATCCAAGAGGAGAGCCAAGAAATTTCACTCTTGGCATGAGTATAATTGAACCTCCTATGGTCTTCTATATACGAAAAAGCTAAAAGTTTCGTATCCTGAAAAGCGTCGCCTGTCTCACAGGAGAGTCTCATACATTCGCGACCCCGCCAGTCTTCTCCTCCTCGTTCAGCTGCTTGTCGTTCACATGTGGGCGTCCATGCCAAGGCATCACCATCTGCATATGCAGCATCACTCCGCAACCTTTATCACAAAGCCTCTGAATAAGTTCGGTAATCGTCTTCTTATGGATATATATCCCTCATTCGCACATAAACTTCCTGCTTGCCCCCTAACCTTTCCAAAGCACTTGCCAAGTGTTCTGCCAAGAGAGAGCCTCGAATTCTCACGACATCGACGTCTACGACTTTCCTCCTGTCAGTTCTGACGGCCAATCGGCGCAAGGCACCCTGATAACAGTCTCAAGCGCATAAGCATTCCTTAGTAGTCCAGGACGTCCGTTTGATTGGCCAGACCACAGTGATGGTGGGTCCATCTTTTGAGCCGGAACTGGCCGTGCAAGTTTGAGTACCAAGAAAGACATCGGCTCGGGGTTCTCACTGAAATGCCAGCTTGCGTCACTACGTGCGCACGATTCGGGCTTGTAGACTACGACGGGGACGCGCTAGGTCTACTTAGGTCTGGGACAGGGTTGGCGGGTATTGCCGAGAGGGTCGTGTAGCATGTCTGTATCGCATGTGAGCGCACAGAGTCATTTCCGTCACAATGGAAAGCGTTATTATCGTACGGCATACAAAGTTCTATCTAGTGACCAGACATGACCAGGTGCTAGTTCTCAACAATATTTGGCGTAATTTTGAGTTTTATGACTCCAAACACCATCTACGCAATGGATGAGGCAAACCAAGGCTAAGACCAAATCTAGATTTGGAAGGGAAATGTTCAAAAATTTCTATAATCACAACCCAGATTGCAGAGCTTGCCGCAATGCTGCTGCAAGCCTCTGATATTCCTTCAGCAACTCGTCCACCTCTCCTATTCGAACTGTTTTCGCATCTTTCATTTCCATGTACTTTTTAAGTGGTGGTGAGGTCTTCTTCAGCTCTTCCAAGGCCGTCAATGCTTTCACAGCCTTATCGTCTGGAATAGACACGGTCTCTGACTTCGTAGCGAGGTCCTTCCCTATCCCGGTTGCGGTCGCAGTCGCGGTGACACCAGAGGGAGTTGATGTAGCGGGACCGCGACCGAAGCGTGGTATCATATTGATGTTGGCAAATCGATTCAGTGGGTTCAGAGATGTGCCGAGAGTCCGCATCGACTCTACTGCTGCATTACCGGTCGCTACCGGAGTCGTACCAGTTGCAGTTTGAATAATACTAGCGGTATTGGCCGTTGAATTCTTCTCGGATGCGAAAGCAACTCGTTTCCCGCTCCCACCACTCTTCGTACTATCGACGCTTCGTTCTCGTAAGGGACGTTTCCCACCGAAGATATCGGAGAGCTTGCTATCGAGGCGGGAGAGTGGCTCGTCTGGTTTTCCGTCCTCGTTTGTGCTCGCTGCATCTTCTTCCGGCGGTGGCGTACTCACGAGCTTACGTGCATCCTCCAAGGTCTTCGGAATGATGTTCTCATCTGGACCTATGGCACTGTTATTCTTCTGTTGCTCTCTCAATCGTCCAAAGAAAAACTTCATGCTCTCTTCGAGAGTGTTGTTGATAGTATCCAGAGCTTGATCCGCACTAGACTTGATGCTCTCTCGTACAGCGTCACTTGCAGCTTCGATTTTGGTGGTTTGGGAAGTGATGAGATTACTGAGACGCCGCTGTGCTCGGGGCGTTGGCGTGACCTGCCCTTTTGATGCTATTTCTGTGTGCGATGTTGGGGCCTCAGGTTCTTGTGACAGCCCCAAGTTCATAGGGCCGCTCTCACTCCTGGGTGTGGTGTGACTACTAGCTTTATCTGGGCCTGAAGGCAATTCACCAGCTCGCAGCGACGAGAGATCTACTGTCTCAAGAAATGATATAGCAGCCTCCAGATTGACTAGACAATATGCAGCTTCTCCATCCATGCGAGTATTGGCACGGAAACGCTGAATAAAATTAACATTGCTGATGACGTTCACAGATTCGGGCGGTGAGGTGATCAATGTGTATATGAGGGTAGGAAGGATTTCATCCGCAGACGATGAGGCTGGGAAAATCCGGGAAAGTGTCTCGACGATGCTTTTATGAACAGCGGTCAGCTGTTGTAGCTTGCCAAGCGGGTACTGCTCCTCATCCATACGAGCGAGCCCGTTTCTGGCACCCGCAAGCCATTCCTTTATGATCTCTTCGTTTTGAGCCGTGGTTTCACGTAGTTCAGTTGTCACATCTTCGCTAGACACGAGAAGCTCTTTCAATCCTATCCCCACCAACGCTAATGCTGCGATCCTAGATCGAAGCTTCTGATCTCTTTCTCCATCATCAGTACTTCGGTGTCTCCACAGTTTCTCGTATAATTTGCTGCACACGACTCGTTCAACAGCCTCTTCTAATGCTACTCTTTTCAGTTCTAGCTGTCTTCGTGCTTTTCGTCGATCAGTAACCTCAGACGGCGTCAGCATCTCGGATCCGCTACTTGAAGTCCGCGTCATCTTGGGATGAGAGCCAACTATCACATCACCTGAACTTGAACGTGTCTCCCTTCCTATTCGTGATGCAAGCGCGGCTATGTGCGTTCCTATCTGAGAGCTTGCACGAGTATAGAATTCTTGGAACATGTCTGAGAGGGTATCAACAGACAATGGCGTTGGGTGCACTTTGGCCGTAAGTGATTCAAGAAACCTGCAGTGTATTCATGAGCGTGAATTCATAAGTACGGCTATTCTCTAGTTTACCTTTCCAACATACTACGAATCTCAATAGGCAGCTGCTCTAAAGTCGGGGGTCCTTCGACGACTGCATCCTCTGCTTCATCGCCATCGTTCGTAGGCTCGTCATCTTCCTTTGTTGTAAAAAAGTCGACCTTGGCTGCTTCGTCTTCTGACTCTGTCGAAGGAGCTATCTCGTGCGCCAGGATCTCCGGAATAGGATCAGCTCCAACAGTGCTGGCGCGACTTCGTGTCAACGGGCTGTCAGACGTGGTCTCCAGACGACTGAAGCTTTTGGAAGTCTGCAGAGGTCGCGATCGAGAGGCGTCATCAGACGTGGACCTCTGCATCTTTGGACTCTACTAAAACAGTTTTTAGAGAAGCGCGAAGATTAGAAGTGGTAGGACAACAATGCCGGGAAATATTTAGCCTGGCAAGGATACAACATCAGATGCGCACATGCTATTGTCCTTGGGAAGTACAAAGGCCACGCTTGTTCTCATCTGGGTCGCATGGGGAGCCGTTCATTGGCGGGGCAGCTCTCAACTACGATCCATCGGCCGATCCAGGCATACCATGGGACTAACGTCATGCATCACGCTGCCACTATTGACTTCCAACGCTTTCCTTATCACACTTCTGTTATCAAAGATCGTTGTACTTCTCCATATCGCGTACTTATGGTTTGAACAGTCGCATTCCACGACATGTCTACAATGCGAACGCAACACCACGACTGCGCTTCAGCGGGGAGAGTAACGGCTAGGCTCCTACTGTCCTTCCTGGTTTTGTCGCCCGTATCGAAAGCAGAGCGTTCGCATCAGGACGTCCAACTACCAGTCATAGAGCCTCAGATACCTTTACCACCCCAAAGTACCGATCATGACTTTGTTAGTCGGCCTACACTCACTACATGCACCATACGCTAACCCTAATCATAGACCTTAAGACATATCTTCCATCATGGGACCTATCAGCACCCAGGCCTACATAGACGACTTGACATTCCACCCGAAGCCTCTTTGTTGGTTACATATGACGATGACACGACGAAGCACTATACTGCGCCAAAGTCACTCAAAGCTCGAGCTGCACCCTTGAAGATACAAAGATTGGCGGATAGAACAAGGTCAACTATAGATTCTATGCTTGAGACGAGCCGCATGACCGGAAAAGCAGCGGACCTTCCAATATCAGCTTGGGTCGAGGATGAGATCAAGGGCCCTAATGTTACCGATCAAGAGACTGTACTGAGCTTCGCTCGTATGGCGGCTGACGCGTACGTGATAACACCGAGTCAAAGCGACTGGTTACCCGTGGGAGGAGGATTCAACTATACCGAGGACTTCGGCTGGGAGACTGATGGGCTTCGTGGCCATATATTCGCAGACACCGACAATCGGACCGTTGTGATTGGCCTCAAAGGTACCTCACCGGCTATGTTTGACGGAGCTGAGACCACGACGAACGACAAGATCAATGACAATTTGTTTTTCAGCTGTTGCTGTGGGCAAGGTGGTCAATTCATGTGGAAACGCGTCTGTGACTGCCAGATGGATACGTACCAGTGCAACTCCACTTGCTTGACCAAAAGCCTCCGGGCAAAAAACCGTTACTACTACGCGGCACAAGACTTGTACCACAACGTAACAGCTTTGTATCCAAATGCGGATGTATGGTTGTCTGGTCACTCACTCGGAGGCGCTGTGAGCAGTATGCTTGGACTCACGTTTGGTCTACCGGTCGTTTCATTTGAGGCGGTCCCAGAAGCTATGCCTGCTGCCAGGTTGGGTCTACCAGTACCTCCTGGCGATACTGTTGGCAGTATGTCAGCACGGGCAAGCACAGGGGGTTTCCATTTTGGGCACACCGCAGACCCTATATATATGGGGCTATGCAATAGCGCAAGCTCAATCTGCACCATTGCGGGATACGCAATGCAGAGCGTGTGTCATACGGGCTCTAAATGTGTATATGACACTGTGAAAGACTTCGGCTGGCGTGTCGGAATCGGATCGCATAAGATCGTCAGTGTCATATCTGATGTCATCGAGAAGTACGAGGCTCCGCCAAAATGTCAACAGTATTCGAACTGTTCGGACTGTTTTCTTTGGGATTATTACGAAAGCAACGGCACTGAGACGACCACAACAAGACTACCAATCACGACATCATCATCCTACACGCGGACAAGAACCACCACTTGCAAAACGCCAGGTTGGTGGGGCTGTCTGGACGAGTCTACAACCGAAGACAGCACGACGACCACGACCTCATCGTCAAGCACTTCTACATGCAGGACTCCTGGTTGGTTCGGATGTCTGGATGAAACCAGCACGACCACGACCACGTCCATTTCTAGTAGTAGCGGGTCTGCAGCACCAGCACCCACAGTCACTACGACCTCGATCTCTGAACCTACTGCAACATCGTCTTGTGCTACCCCTGGATGGTTTGGTGGATGTCTTGACCCCTGGCCATCTATTACCAGTATGCCAGCTAAACTGACCAGTCGCCCAACGACTCTACCAGCTGCGACGAGCTGCACATCTTCGAAATGGTTTGGGATTGTTTGTGCGGATGTAAAGGGTCAATCGCACGAAGAGATTTAGGCATCAATATTCAAACCAATATACCCCAACAATAAACATATGCCATGATTGTTCATTCAAGCATAACGACATACATAGTCCAGACCCATCTTGTTTAGTACACATAAGACACAGAGCCGAGGTATCAGATGTGCCAGTTGTATATAGCCAAATGTAGTCACTCAAATCAAGTCTTCAAATCATGTGTGAAGTCTTCCATTGGTTTCTATGTGACAAGCGATAAGATTGGAGACCAGGCGGCTGAGGCCGTTCTCCGCGTAATTGTCACGATCCCCGAAATGTGCAGAACCTCCAAGTCCAGACCAACAGATCAGAGACGGCGACCACGGCGACCACCCTTTCTTCTTGTAGAATCGGAAGGGGTAGGGGTCACGTCCTCGATGCGACCTATTTTCATGCCAGCACGAGCGAGAGCACGGAGAGCGGATTGAGCTCCTGGGCCTGGGGTCTTGGTACCGTTACCTATGTCACCATTAGGCACCACAGTCGTATATAGTCAAGTCTTCTTATTCTTACCTCCAGTAGCACGGATCTTTACGTGGAGTGCAGTAATGCCCAACTCCTTACAACGTGCGGCAACGTCCTGGGCAGCCAACATAGCAGCATATGGGGAGGACTCGTCGCGATCAGCCTTGACCTTCATACCGCCGGTGACACGGGAGATGGTTTCGCGACCGGACAGATCAGTAACATGGACGAAGGTGTCGTTGAAAGACGCGAAGATACGTGCAACACCGAAGACGAGCTCGCCTGTGAGAAATATTAGCGTCTAGTTCAATGATTCCATCTATACCGAGTTCTCACCCTCGCGGACCTGGGGACCGAGCTGGATGTTCTCTTGCGCAGCGCGCTCGACCTTCTTCTTTGGTGGCATGGTTGCGAATTTTGCTGTTGTTAGTTGTCGTTAGGATTAAACGTCCATTTACAAAAGGTGGGCTGTCAAATTTCGCCTCGCTTGTGGGATAGTTTGGCGGATGGAACGAAGTTTATCCGAGGACAGTCCGTGCCCCAAGCACCTTAAAAACTGTCGAAGAACTTTACTCTCATCTTTCAATTCTACACAGCAACTTCGCGCGCACCATTTTCCAGTAAAATCTCACCAATGCACTTTCTTTGACAGCTGCTTGAACGACCACTGCTTTTACTTGCATTTCCGCCATGATCAAATAGCCCTGCAATAGCAAAACGTTACCTGCACTTTGTCGTCCACAATACCCGCGCAGTCGCCATCTTGTCTTGCACTAATCTAGTAGCCATGAAAAACAAGAGCATTGGGATCATCGGCATGGGCGTCATGGGTAAGATGTACGCCAATAGACTCAGCAATGCTGGATGGAGGTAAGATCATCTTCCCAATATCTTCTCACATCGGCATGAAATGGTACGTCTCACTTCCATGTTATCCCCTCACTCTCTATTATGATGACCTGAGCGCATTTGGCTCGAGTATGGCTTGTCCGAAGCTCTGTATCCGTTTTGGCTACAAAGATTAGGACGGAGTCGTCACTGATGTAACTTCTCGCTACCTTATTCTTTTTCGTCTGAATATTTTCATATGAATCCTTCATACACGCATATACCTACGTGGATCAAGCTAACTTCTCGAAAGTTACTGTGAATACTCAATCTAGCGAAAGTATACTGACCTCTGATGCGTATCAGCATAAATGCCAGCGACGTACCCGAGAAATATGAGCAGTTGCAGAAAGAATATAGCGCTAGCGTAGGGCTCCATATGTACATATTTCACATAAAAACAATACTGAGGCTTTTCAGAAAAATGTCTCAATCCTGCCGAACGGTCATCTCGTCTCGCGCTGTAGCGATTATATCATCTATAGTGTAGAAGCCAAGTTCATTAATGAAGTTGTAGCTCAGTACGGTCCTTGTATGATCACTTCTTTCGAAGCCCTAAACATAGCTGATATGAATCACCTCTCAAGCTACGAAGCTCGGCGCTATCGTTGGAGGGCAAACCTCTTGCAAAGCTCCCGAAATTGCTGCTTTCGAGAAACATCTACCCCCTGACGTTCACATTGTTTCCTGCCATTCTCTGCATGGCCCAGGTGTGGACCCAAAAGGGCAACCACTAGTATGCAATAGACATCAATATGTACTCCGGGGTTCACTGACCATTTCAGGTCTTGATCAAGCATCGAGCATCGGAAGAAAGTCTGGCACTCGTGGAGAATATGCTCTCGTGTCTTCAATCAAAGTATGTCCATCTTACAGCTGAACAACACGACCGTATCACTGCAGACACGCAGGCAGTTACACATGCAGCTTTCCTAAGGTAGGCCCAGTACAGTACTCCCTTGGACTATCCTGACTGTTGCGCAGCATGGGTGCTGCTTGGAAGGCCAATAATCAATTCCCGTGGGAGATCGGGCGATACCTAGGTGGCATCGAGAATGTGAAGATCAACGTCACACTCCGCATATATGCGAACAAGTGGCATGTCTATGCTGGTCTTGCCATTCTGAACCCTGCTGCCCAGAAACAGATTAAGCAATATGCCGAATCTGTAACAGAGCTATACAAGCTAATGCTCGGGGGTCATCGCTCCGAGCTATCAGATCGCATCAAAACTGCGGGTGCTGCAGTATTCAGGTATGACCAAGACCAGGACCTGTTACTTGAGGATGAGCTTCTTGACCAATTTTCTCTGGGAGCTATCCCGAAAGAGAGGGTCAGGAATAATCATCTGAGCTTACTGGCCATGGTCGACTGTTGGTGGAAGCTAGGTATTGTGCCTTACGACCACATGATATGTTCGACTCCGGTAAGCATCACTTTGAAATGAGCTTCTATCTTCCTGACACTTCATAGCTGTTTCGAATGTGGCTTGGCATTACAGAGTATCTGTTTAGAAAGCCAGATCTCCTTGAGGAGGTCATCGATACTGCCATAACCGATAACACGTTCCGTGCTGACGACTTGGAGTTCACGTTTGCCGCTAGGGTCAGTTGATTTTCACTTTTATCAATTGTTCGATTTATTGATGTACCTCAAGGACTGGAGTGATCGAGTCAGCCTGGGCCATTTCGACGGATATAGGGCAAAGTTCGAAGACATTCAAAAATACTTCGCACCCCGGTTCCCTGAGGCAACCAAGCTTGGCAACGAAATGATCAAGACGATTCTGGAGAGGACTAGGGAGAAGTAGAGAATATCAAGACTTTGCCATACGATCAGCCTGTCTGGCACGCTAGCTATCTGTAAGACCACGTAGGAAGACGGATCGCTTGGCCTAGGCGGCATCACGGCAGATCGACTATGCTAGCTCCTTGGCGCGAATCGCAGACGGGAATGAGAATGTGTTTACAGGATGAATCGGTAGAACTCCCGTGCACGCTACAAACTTCATGCCAACAGCCGAAATGATAGTTGCAGGCAAGGATGGTAAAAGTAACCGGACTTAAGTGCAGAGAGTCCCTTAAAGGCGATCCGCCGGCCGCGCTAGGGCATCGGGACCGGGCTCATATAAAGCCCGCAGCGGGCGGGTGTGGAGAGCTTACAGTAGGAACGTCATCGTCACTACAGCGCCATCTCCAACCAATTGACATAATAAATGGACTGGGACAGCTGAATCGATGTCGAAGCCTGTTGCGCCTCTGACTCTTCCCTGGGTAGACCTGCATATCTTTCTGATGGCCCGTTAGGTTATGGAGGCATGCAGCACTTATCTTTGTCTCTCCGTCCTCTTCACTGCACACAGAAATTCCATTCGGGCTTCACCCAAAAATACATTCACCACGCTTCGACCATGTCATCTGCTTCGACCAGTAATGCACTCTACGCCGCTGCCATCAGCTCGTCTCAATTGACTAAAGCGATTCCTGAGGAAGCGAAAGAGTTACGACACCATCAGAAGAACGGGAAGGGTTTTCTCAATCCTTGGAAGTCATGGAACGAACAAAGTGCTTTCAAGATCATCTCGACTGTTATATAGTGAGTGTCCCCGATATGATAAATCTACACCGAACCCAGTTGACCCCCGGCGCAGCCGCCGATTCAGCGGTAAGGCGAACACACCAGACACGAAACCTCCTACGGTACCTGTCCACAAGCCTACCTTCCTTCGCTCTCGAAATACCCAGGATCTAAGAGCTACGTGGCTCGGCCATGCCTGCTATTACGTGGAGTTTCCTGGAGGCTTGAGGGTACTCTTTGACCCTGTTTTCACACATCGCTGTTCGCCATTCTCTTTCCTTGGGCCCGCGCGATATACTGAGGCTCCCTGTCAAATTGAGGACATTCCGACAATTGATATAGTCATCATCTCACACAGTCATTATGACCATCTCTCTCACCCGACTATTATGAAAATCAAGAACTGTCACCCTAATGCGCACTTCTTTGTCCCTCTGAACAACAAGGCATGGTTTGTAGATTGTGGCATACACAATGTTACTGAGCTGGACTGGTGGGATGCGAAGGACTTAATATTGTCGAAATCAACCGAAGCCACGATTTTGAAGGCAAAGGAGGCGGGAAATGATCCAGAGACGATAAGTGCGACTATCGGATGCCTGCCCTGCCAACACATGTCTGCGAGGAGTCCATTCAACAAGGCGCATACACTTTGGGCATCCTGGAGTGTAGAGAGTGGTGGCAGGAAGCTTTGGTTCGGAGGGTAGGTGACGATCATGTGTGTTCAAAGTCGAAGGGTTAACAATCAGCCAGCGACACCGGGTATCGCGCTGTGCCTGAGCTACCAGACACCGAAGACGACTACTCACCAGAGTTGAACCTTCCTCATTGTCCGGCATTCGCGCAGATCGGAGCTCTCAGGGGTCCTTTCGACCTTGGACTCATCCCGATTGGAGCATACTCACCACGCTTCATCATGTCTCCAATGCATGCCAATCCTTACGACTCAGTGAACATCTTCCTGGACACGAAGTGTAGGCGGGCGCTTGGCATGCATTGGGGTACTTGGGTTCTTACGGACGAAGACGTGCTTGAGCCACCAAGGATTCTGAGAGAGGCGCTCAGAAAGAAAGGTATAGATGAGGTTGGCGTGTTCGATGTCATCGATATTGGAGAGAGTAAGGAGTACGCAAGTCCTTAGGCGCATTGGGCCTATCTTGGCAGTCATTAGCACTGATGACAGAACCTTGGGCCCTATTTACGCCAATGGGATTGCATTGTCAAGCATGTGAATATACTATCGGTATAATATATGAAGTGAAGATATTCCCTAATACCACTCGAGCTGCATGCTGGAATCTTGGATGTTCTCGAATGATCCCAACTGAGAAATCAGCCATATGTGGCTGATTCCAGGCAAACAGAAATCCTACCTAGCCCCGGTTACCGCCTTCTAGGCACGCGGCTCCGCAATTCAAGGCAACCAACAGAACCCAACTTCCGTTATTCAAGCTTTCAATTCTCTGGGCATTCCATCTCAATTGGTTGCCCCGAGGAGGAAGGGAAACGATCGCTGCCTTCCTGTTGAACTTCGTATGGGTCCCTTGGCAATTGTAGCACTTGTGAGTAGTCAACGCTTGTTTGCCGACAATCGATGCTTGACTTTTCCGCGCGCTGCAGGAGTCTATGGTTCAATCGCGCTTGAGATGAAGGTACAATCAGTTCCATTCGATGGAATGTATGTTGATACATGTAACGGCATCGTCGCTACGCACATCTAGACAAAATCAGGGCCAGATCATAGTCATAAGCGTCATTACTACCTATTCTACACTTGGTCAATTACTTCTTATTTGCTGTATTCACAAGCAGAAGGTGGTCAGGTAGAAGCATATAAATGATCATGGCCTAGCCTGGTTGCATTCATTACACAGAGTGCTTCCTCCGCTACAAGACAGGACCAGCCCAGAAATTAGCTTCCAAGTCGTTATCAGCAATATAACTACCAAGTACCTGACCCCGACAACGATTCTACATCATTTATCATTACTAAGGCTTTGCTAGTCGTCGCAATGAGCAAAGAAGATGACACTTGTACCACAATTCAAAACAACCCCATCCCCAGCTCTCGTTTCCTCCCAGCTCTCGTTTCAACTCACATCGACTGCCGTAACGTGCATGGCAGCAGGTAGGATAGCTTTAGCTCGTCACCACTGCTTCCTTACTATCCCACTTCCAGTCATCCTCTTGGAGCTATGAGCAAACACTAGATATCTCTCGATCTTATCAGCGTCTGGGATAGTCACCATAGGCGCTGTGAGCAGAACGTCTTGTGAGCCCATACAAGACATTCAGCTTTCTCTCATTAGTACGTCTTGAGGACACAGTCACACCATACACCTCACTTCTACAGCCCCTTCATACAAAAGTGCCAAAACGCGTATTATTACCATAATCAGCAATGTCATCACAGAAGGCGGGTGGAGATCTTGGAAAAAATCTAGGCGCCTCCAGTTTTGAAAGCCCTCAGGTTTCCCTCCGTGTTTAACCATCCGAAAATATCAAGGAATCTTCTACTCTTCAAGATAGTTTTAAATTTATAGCGCAGTACGGCCATAGTTGAACGATATTCGGAGGAACGAATCTTCCGTTCAGTGCATGATGAATTATAGAGATCAGAGTTCCCAGAACACGACTTCTACTGCGATGATACTAAAGAAAGCTCTCCAACTTCTTGAAAATTGAGAGACTGATATCAACACCGATGCTGCACCCATCCCTGGAGAGACGTCTATCGGAGCATCGCTGCCTGTCAGCAATGCTGATATGCTTGATACCGTGGTCGACATGGCCTCCTGTTTCGGTACAGAGCTGATCTGTGGTCAGTCCACTTCTTCCCAAGGAGTTACTATATACTGACGTTCTCCAATTCGTAGGCGTAGACACTCTCCCACTCCCCAAGTTGGCTGTTGTCACTATTGGAAGTGGCGATACTTCCGTGTTGGGACCCACAGCCAAACTAGAGACAGAGCTTGTACATACTTTCTCGGTTCCAGACATAAGACTTGTAAAGCCAGGTAGCGATGGGTTCTGGCACATCTCAACTGCTGCATGGTGTAGCTTGTCAAGATCTTCGCAGTCGCAAATGTTGAATAGCGTTCTCCGTATCTTGTCAAGAGCCGCGAAGTCGGTACACCAGCCAAAACAGCCATTCGAGGTGTCGCAGCTGGTCTCGAACAAATTTGCGACATAGTTAAACTGGGTATCATCAGGAGAATACCCTCTCGAACGAGATTACAAGCTTACTGAACATGGAGGCAAGTCAGCGTTGACTTCTGCATTCATACCGGCCGCATTTGTAGAAAACCTTGTGGACAGACCAGATATCAGACATGTAAAGCTTGTGATTATGAGCAACAACTGATCAAATGGATTCGTCGCCATTGCTGGACACCACAAGATCGCCGAGATCAGTGAATATAAAGAGCAATACACACCGAATACAGGATCAGATCAGCAGGCATATGATATATATAGAGGTACAACCTGTGAGAGAAATCCACATGGTTGTATACTGTGCGGCCGCCCTGTTGACATGCTCAAGCGGTCACATTCCTCGTTTCACATTCAGCTGGGATCGACTACCCCTTGCGTACACTATGACCAGGTTCTAACATATTACAATGATTTGTTGCACTAAGCACGTTATACCTGATACCTGGCATACTGTAGAATTCTTCTTGTAGAAGAATGAAAGCTCACTTGGATTGTAAAAGTAATCCACGTCACACTCTATGCAGGCCGAGTCCCATTCCTCACCTCGGCCGATTTTATCATAAGCTTTTAAGCTAAGCATTCAGAAGTACATCTATCTCGAATACCAACAAGATATGGAGACCATTTTTGTTGGTACGGTTGTTGGCAGTCTTTCTTGTTTGAAAGCTCCCGATCCCGATGTCTATGGAACCATCCCCCCTCTCCCTACCAGTGCTATATGAAGAATCAGAGGTTTGGTCATATATCGCTCATATTACTGAAGTACTCTACTTACGAGTAGTCATGATAGGCGGTGGTGGGTTCAAAGTTAGTACTCATTGGAGATGACCGTGGAACGCAGAGATTTCCGACCGAACTTTGGCACGCGAGTGAGGCAGACTGACTCAGTGATACGCACAGGCGAACATAGAAATTTATATGGCTGTATAAGGGAATGTCATATGCACAGCGAACTGTTCAGGCAAACACAACTAGCTGCATGCCGGTTCGGGAACGACGGTCGAGGCATGGGTCCTGATTTTCGCAATAGTTGACCCTTACTCAGATGTCGACTACGCTTACTCTACCACTCAGGGTGCCCGTACTACCCTTCACGACACCTGAGTTGACCATCTTTGTCGCCCTGCCCTCTGCTCCACCCCAAACCTGTCCCCACAGCACCGCCGTTACGCCATACGCCAATACTCTCACAACTTCAATCCACAGCCCAAAGTCCAGAAGCCCTCTTGTCCACCCAATCTCTCTCTCCATACCCCTCTCATACGCCCTCTGAGCCTCATCCCACCAACACATCTCCATCCCCGCACCCCAGTGAACATGCCCAAACACATGCAACATCGGCCTCACGCGCGCCACCTCTCGAAGCAAATACCTACAGCCAAGGCCTTCCGGCAGCGATATGTCGCGATGATGCTGCGGTGGGGAATGCGTGACGAGGACGTCTGTATCGCTGGGTACTGTGCCGGACCATGCGTCAAGCCTAGGCTCATATTGGAAAGCGAAGCTCTCACGCGGCCCACAGGCAGGAATTTGAGGTGCGCCATATATGCGGAGAGATCTAGATAAAGATGATGCGGACTTGATTGTGATTGTCGTCGATGAGTGCTGCAGATAGCGGATGCCTTTCCAATCTAGACTTGCGCTTCGCTGTGCCGAGGACAGTGAGGGGCGGGTCCGTGGATCGAGATAGGTATCGTGATTTCCAGCAATAACGATCTTATGATGGTATGGTAGAGAGGCGATCCAGGAGATCTGAGTTTGTAGGGATTGCGTGGAGCCATCGTTTGTGAGGTCGCCGGCGTGAATGAGGATGTCACCAGCCGGGAGGTCAGTGATTTGGAGATCGTGGGTGTCGGAGATGCAGACTATACGTATAGGTTGCGTATCAGGAGAGAGCGTGGCGCGGAGAGAGTTTTGAATGTGGTAAATGGTGTAGAGAATGAGTCGAACTGGGCATGTCAAAAGGAGGTAGACAAGAGACGGACGCTCGAAAGGCAGCGGCGCTTTAAAAGAGGGATAAAGAACGATGGCTGAATGCATCTTCAACTTGCTAAGGAAGTGAAGTGCTACAGCATAGTGTTGTCTTATTTGAGATTGCTATTACAACTGTACTTGCATGAAGTACGCATTTCGAAGCTTGAAGCCGGCCTTGGGTCGCAAGTTCTTAGCTCGCGATTGAGCCGATTACGTCATCGCGGTCAGGAAAATTTCGAATATCATTCATGAGTCTCTTACACCCACCGAGTTGGATGTAGAAGCACTGCGAATTCCCCCAGTTTTATTACATTGCAAATAAACTCCTTGCTCTGAACTGTGCATGTAATACATGTGTGTCGATATTGGTATTAACGCCTGTTTCCACCTCTTGGACCACGGCTGCGGCTTCGGCTTCGACTAGAGGTACCGTAGCTACTATATGATGGACTTCTCCGTCGTCTTCCATTTCCTCGAGCTGGAGGTGGACTATCACGTCGTCGATAGCCTCCAGAGCCTCCTCCTCTCCTTGGCGGAGGTGATCGAGACCTTGAAGGCGATGAGTAGGACTTTGATCTGCTTCGCCGCGGTGAGCGGGAGCGTGAGTACGAGCGAGGCCTGTATCGATAGTCACCGCCGCCATATCCACCTCGACGGGGTGGGGAGCGTCTTCCTAGTGGCGAACGGTATCGCGCACCTCTACCACCAGGCCCTGGAGGCGGCCCACGAAAGGATTCAGGAGGTCTACGTGTATCGAAGCGACCAGGAGGTGGCCTTCGAAGTGGTGGAGAGCGTGAAAACCTACGGCGAGGTAGCACTATGGAGACGTTCAATACCATCCCATCTAATTGTCCTTCATGCATATGCGCCACTGCGCTTTCGGCATCTGCAGCTGCAAAGTATGTAATATATGCAGTTCCCCGGTTGTGATTGACTAGTTGAGTTAGATGTGGCATACGTGTCATCCTTGATCACCTACAATGCTTGTTCATAGGTAGGTCAAGCTCATCAATGGCGCCGTACGCCCCGAAAATCTCTTGGAGATGATCTTCGTTTACATGTTTTGAAAGCCTTTCAACAACAATCTACACGGTGTTAGTGCCGATTACAATGTTCTTGTGGGACATGTCCTTTAGTTCAAGCATACTTTAGAGCTCCTCGGCGGAGGAGTATGGCTTGCACTGCGAGTCCGTCTTCTGGACCTGTCACCAACAGCACTCCTACTCCTGCTCCTGCTTCTACTTCTGCTTCTACTGTGCGAATAGCTCTTTGATCTACTCTGACTGCGACTTCTACTCAAGCTTCGAGTATTCCCATTGCGACGGGCATCTCTTCCGGACCGAAGCGATCCAGATCGACTGCGACTTCGAGATTGTGTGCGTGGAACTGATCGAGGTGATCCGGATTGGCGAATTGATCGTGAAAATGATCTTCGAGGCGAGTCTTTCAGGGCAGTTCTAGAACGTGTTCGTGATCGGCCACGAGATACGCTGCGGTCTTTGGAGCCTTCCTGCGATTGGGGTGGCATTGTGCTGCCGCGTTCGTGCTTTCGAGATGCTGGTCAAACTATAGCGCGGTACTCGATCAGAAGTGCAGAGAACTCAAGTGGGAAGTAATCAGTTTCGACGGCGCGCGATTGTTGCTTCTCCATGAAACACTGTAGGTTAGATGAACGCGTGGAAGCTACAGCTTCCAGCTGGTGCTAGCGTTCACTGCTGACTAAGATGCTATCTGGGCTTGACATAGGTACCCTTGGACCCTTGGACATGCAGACAAAAGCATAGATACAATACAAGCTTGGAAGCATTTAGTAATGGCAGTGCATGCTGATTCCGTCAATCTTGCTACTATATGGAACTCAAAAGCGGGTGCTTGAGATGGTCTACTGGACTTGATATTCTAGCACACAATGAACAAAGTGCACTTTCGATCGTGGAAGCATAGGCTAGTACCCTTTCGAAATAAGAGTTTTACACACACACGCGTAGTGTGGACTTATGCACTGTTGGTTGGGACCCGGGAAAGTGGAGTGGTATACAAGCATTGCTTAGGATCAGTTGGAAAGGTCCAAGTTTGCATATACATACATCTAAGTCATTGTGTCGATTTGGTGGAGCGGTCAGATTCGATATGGGCAATGCTGCAACTGGTCATGGGACATCCATATGTTCGCTATCAGCGGTTAGTACGATCCGGTAGTGCTACTTAAGTCGATATGCCTTTTGGAGATACGCGGACGTCGCCGTGAGCCTCCGTAGTCCGATATCTGCGAGCACCAAGACGCTTCAGTCTTCCTTAGTCTTCAGACTTCAGAAAAAATGAGACACTTTGAGTCACTCTGCCAGCATCTGATCAACAACAGACGTGCAGAGAGCACGTAAGACGATGCCAGCACTACTCGGTTGCTTGCTCATGTCTCAGGCAATGAATGTGCGCCTCCACAGCCGCCATATCATGTCGCGGGAAAAGGCGCAACGAGCGGCTGATATCTGATGATCATGATATAGAAGTTGAATGCGGAAGTGGTTAGGTTCGGAGGAGCAGTCGGAAAGAGAGTTGATACTGATATGCGATCTCGATCACACCTCGAGCATATCATTCACATTGAACATGCATGTTTAACAGGTTGGAGATTGAGTACAAAGTGCAGAGGTTGTCCAAAGGGAAGGAGCCTTCAAAATCTGCCCCACCCAGCCCAAAGAGAACCTTGGAAGCCCTTTGTTGACAAGCCTGCACCCTGCCCCTCCATCTATCCTTCTACCCACCAACCCACCAATCCACTAACTCACCGTTCCCTGTCTGTCGCCTTCACTCTCTGGTCAACTTTGCAATCCTCGCCCACTTCTTTGGTTCTGACATTCATCTTTCTCCCACACAACACTCCAAGGCTTGTTTGATAGTTTCCTGCAACGCTTCGAGTTTCCCAGGCGCCCACAACACGAAAGTGCTCAGTTTTCCGACTCTCAAACAACCCACTCAGAATGTCGTGGCAAGCATACGTTGATAGCAGGTATGGGTCTACTGAAGTACAAAGAGCATTGTGATCTGACTGGTGTCTTCAGCCTTGTCGGCTCTGGAAATGTCGACAAAGCAGCAATCTTCAGCAAAGCAGGCGACAGCGTTTGGGCTGCCTCGTCTGGCTTCACAGTACGTGGAACCTCGTCGTTGCCCAAACCCTTCATCGCGATCCGTAAATAGGCATAAGAGGATTGGAGCATCGAGGAATTTGCAAAAACCTACGACTAAAACTGCTACACCACGATGAATCAGGCGCTGACACGTGGTATAGCTTAGCAAGGAGGAGATTACTAAGATTGTCGAGTCTTTTACCGACAAAGGCGATTCTTCTGGCTTTAAACAAATCTCGGCCAATGGGTTCTACGTTGGAGGTGAAAAGTTTGTGACATTGTTGGCCGAAGGACGGAGTCTATACGGCAAAAAGGTAAGCATCTAAGGCAGTACTAGCGATTCATGCAAGGACATTGTGTGTCACACATATCAAAATGCTAACCACTTGTGTATCACAGGGTAAGGAGGGTATAGTCATCGTTCAAACCACTCAAGCGCTGCTCATTGCCCACTATCCCGAAACTGTGCAGCCTGGCGCGGCTGCCAACACCGTCGAACAGCTTGCCGACTACCTGACCGGCCTCGGGTACTAAGCTTCCATTCACATGTATTTTAGTTGCATATACCGATGCTGGCAGAAATGAGCAAGGTGCCGCACGGCTTTCATGATGGTAGTCATATCGCATAGACAAGAGAAAAGAAAGGAATGAGTTATGGATCACATACTATGTATGCGTGTATGGCAAGATGAAGATTATATGAGTGAGCAAACTGAAGTTTTGGCCATTCATATTATTTCGCAATGACCTCCACATCCACACTGCTGTCCTATAAGACGAGGAACTTGGTGAAATCAGCCAATACCGACACCATGGCGGTCTCATGAAAACGTAAGTGAATTCTGATCTAGACCTTCATATGCTGAAGCTTCTCGACGACCATATCGAAGAATGCTCTCTGTAATCTCGCACCAACCTCCTCTTTCCTTTCGTCCTCATTTTCCATGATATTGAATGCCGTTGGACCCACGATACAAGATTTCACGACTGCCTCAACCGTGTTACCCAGATGGCTCTTCACGAACCTCAAAAAGTCCTCGGTCTCACTTAATAACCGGTTCCGCACCTTTAAGGTCGTGTTTGGCCGCGCATTTTGCACGTTCGGAATTCCTAGAATCTGATCTATTGGTTTCCAGTACGCAATCTCCAGCAGGATGATCCCTAGCGCATAAAGATCATAGCTTTTCTTGAATCCACCTGTCTGGTACGTAGGACCATTCGCTACTGGTACGGCGTCGCGATTTCCCGACCCCTGAGTTCGTGGGTGTCGGTACAAGTCATGCGCGGCATTCTCGGGCGGTTTCTCGGTCATGTCCTCGTTCGCAGCGGGTCGCGAGTAGTCGAAGCCAGACACGTACGGCTGCGCGAAATCGATACCATCTAGCACATCAGCGCCGACGGGGTGCTCACTGAAGAATAGGATGTTTGCGGAGCGCAGGCCCTTGTGTAGCCAGTTGACAGCGTGTAGGCGCTCCAAACACTCCGCAATGCGTGTCATGAGCGTGATACGATCCGTCAGGGAGGGCATGTCGGCCTGTGCGTGACGGAGCAAGTCGAGCAGTGAGGTAGGCCGTGTAGACGGGTGCACGCCATGCGGTTTCTCAAAGACGAGGCCGAAGCGGCAACTATCGTCCTCCGCGGAAGGGTCTACGTCACGGAAATAGCCCAGGCAGTGCGGTGCGCGGAATTGCTCGGTGCGATTGTTTTCCTTGAGAAGTATGGCGAGCTGGCGGATGCGCTCTTGGACTTTCGCGTCTGGGCCACCGTTGAAGTTTTGTGGATCGTAGGTTTTCCATTCGACCCAGACTTGCTGCTTGCCGCGGCGCGAGGAGGACGAGGTGCTGGGGAAGGTGTAGTACGCTTCGACGCGATGGGACTCCAGAGGGTCATCATTAAGCTCATTATCGAGGATTGTGATGTCTCGACGAGGGAGCTCTACGTCTCTGATCTGGGAGGCGGTGTTTGTGAGCTGGAGATCACGAGCAAAGGAATCTGTGAGCACGGAATCGTCCTCGATTGCGGAGTTGAGGGCTTTGATCTGTGCGAGGGCAGCTAGATTGTGCATTTTAGATTCTCTAGGGATGCGGTCTTGAGCAATATTTGCCAGGCCCCGTGTCTGCAAGAATAGACCAAGGGGATCGAGTGGTCCCCGAACGCTAGCGCTCTGCATATGCATAGCAGATTCGAATATCTGGAGTAGATGGTCGACTTTGCCGTTCAATTGCATAATTTGATACTCCGTCCGAACTTGCCTTGACTGCAGTAATTGGAGTTGATTGTGGTTGAGCAGCTCGCGCATGAAATCGTTAAGGGCAGTCAGCTTGATGATGAGAGTTTCCACCTTCTGTTTGTCCCAGCTCGCCCACTGAAGTCGTCTGGGATAGGTACGCGCAGATTGAGCCCAGGCCAGAGACTTCGTGAGAAGTTTTTGAGAGCGCGGAAAGCGTCCCTCGAATGTCGTATCTGCTCGCTCGAGCGACATGCGCGGCTCCTCGTCCGGACTTGTGGGCTCAACATTGGTATCTGCAGGCATGTCTGAGACCAGTGGATGTCTCAATGCTTGATGTCGTTCATCAATTCTGCCGAAGCGATCGAGCGCTTGCTTCTGTTGGTCGAGGACGTCGATAAGCAGCCCTTTGCTATGATTACTGATGAGCAGACCCTCATCTTGCTCATCTAGATTTGCGACTTCAGCCCAGTCGAGTAGTCGATATTGCTCAGTCTTGAGCCGGACACGTAGGTACTGAAATTCTCGGGGCATCCCTTTAGCCTCCGAAAGAAGCTGATATCCTTCGGAAAGTTAGCAACGTATAAAGCACGCCGACAGGAAGACCTACCTTTGACACATCCTGAGAACAACTGGAACGTCAAAGAAACCACGCCAATCCCAACACCGACTGGATCCATATCGTCCTAGCTATAGTATACAATAGACTAGACTGCGAGGTCGATTGGGGTTAATTTTTTTGGCATAAGAGATTCGACAGAGATCTCCAATATTAATATCTCGCTTCTTATGGCAAACGACCGCCAGATATGCCTACAACAGTGACGGTCGACAGCCTTCTGGATCTTCAGAGGACTGCGGCAGCCGTCAGACTGGCTCAGCCTCACCGGTTAAGACGCCCTGCATGATCTAGATCAAGTGGCTTTCGGAGAGTCGCTATGGGAACCTCAAATGCGTGAAACCTTGCAACGAGCATGGCTACAGTAAGGCAGCTTCTGTATTGATCGCATACACCCCTACCATGGTATTAATTCCAGATATGCCTTCAAATGAGCCTTGCAAGAGAAGTAGGTTGTGCATCTTCGACGTAGGGCAGACAAAGAGGTAGGGTTCCTAGCTCCGCCTCGCACTAAGCCACAGCTGTACCGCCACGATTGTTTGAGACGATGCCGTAGATTCGTTTCGTGTGACTAGCAGACTTGTGCATATAGTAGTGGACCGTTTGGAATATATTGAATTTATTGTATTGCAGTTTATCATGAGAATCATGCCATCAATCCCATTGTAGGTTCTGCATGTAGTTCGGATGCCCCGTCTTAGAAATTGACCTCCCGCCCAAACACCGTTCATGCGTGATAAAATCAAGGAGATGGTCTTTCTGCAAGCTCAAAAAGATGGATATCATAGCTTGAATGTCATGCAACGCCGCTGATATGCAGAGTGGACCACCGGCTGGCTCCTCGACCCTAATAATGCCCAGAAAACCCTTACTCCGGCAATGATAGAATTATGACATGCGTTAAGATAGTAATGACAGATACAGAGAGGTTGGGATGTAAACGATGTTCCATGCTAGGTTTACATCGATGCGTTGCGGCCTGAAGACTATCGGGGCCTTTCCAACTGGGGGGAGATAGTTTGTTCGCAGAGATACCTATGCACCTCGAGATATTTGACTGTGAAAGTCAAGCTGGTTCAAGGCATCACCCATCGTAAAATAGGTAGATATGTCGCTCGTGATATTCGCAGAACTATTGTTGGCACGATGATCACTATAGCCAGCGACAGGTAAAGGGGCATCGATATCGAAAAGGAGATAGTCGTAGACAAGGGCAAATTCTGAAAGGGGATCTGGATGGATTGCGATGTGGCTTCGTCTGAACCGAAAGTTATTATCCACATCACGACAGAGAGGCAAATAGCGAGTGATGAGCGGTAGATCCAGTGTAAGTTGTGTTGAGATGCAGCTAGAGGACTGCACAAGCACTTCCGGTTAACCTGTCAGCCAATGTCCGATATCAGCGTGTTGTGGCGAAGAGATATGAAGAGTATGACAGTGGGGTTAAGGGGAAGCGGGAGACTCAGGAGACTCTACAGCTTCGTCAGGATCTGGAGTATTGTCCAAAGAATTGGTGGCACCACGGGAGAACATATTGAGAAGGACCCACCACCTCTGACGCTCGATCCGGTGTATCCAGCAATTCACCACTTTCAGCCGATCTCGTACGCTCGTTGTGTGTAGCAAGACATACTTCTCCTCGTCGTGGATCGGAAGGACACTTGCAAACCAATACGGGAACGTTGCAGCATCCTCAGGTGGTCCACCGTAAGCTTCCACGATACGATCATCCAACCACCTTGCACTGGCAGTGCGCATTGACTCGACATACTCCCTGCCTTTTTGGAGTAGCTCCTGAGTTGTCATGGACTTCAACTTGGCGTTCAATTCAGCCGGTGAATAGGAATTTATTTGCGAAGTTTCGAGCTCTTGCGACTCACGTGGGAGATCCGCGGCAGCAAGGATTTCGGAGGCTTCTCGCTCTTCCTCTTCTGCAATGCCTACATCGTCGACACGTTCGATATTCCCGGTGATGTAGCCGTCGACCATGGTATGTGAGCGTACTCGGAACCTGCCGACGCCACGAGTTTCGATATAGCAACGCCCATCGGCCTCATATTGGTAATTGATAATTTCCAGGAGGGTTCCGTATTGTACAAATTGGCTGGGACCAAGCTCCCCTTGAGGAGCTCCAGTACGATTATACATGACCATTCCGAACCTCCGATCTCGTTCTAGGGCGCGACGAATCATGAGGCGGTAACGTGGTTCGAATATGTGAAGAAATGTTGGCATGGCCGGGAATGCTAGTGTACAAACGAACAGTGGAATGGCGGAATCCCCGGATCCAAACTCTTCTGCGACCACAGCTTCGGCGCGGGAAGCCACGAGCTCTGGACATAAGCCATCTAGAAGTGAACATAGAGCTGCGTTGCTAGGCCGATTGCCTAACGATGGTGGCATCGGCAGTGTGCGTCGACAGAAAGGACAATGGCGGGAATGATCGAGCACACGCGCGAGACATTTCCGGCAAAAAGAATGACCACAGGTAGTTGTGACTGGGTCAAGCATTAGGTTGTAGCATACTTGGCAGTCGAGCTCCTTGTAGGCAGAGTCTCTCAGTTGGTGTAGGAAAGCAGTGTCCAATTGTTCGCATTCGCCACGCACCGGTGATGAACGATAGATCAGGTCAGAGGTGCGTTTGAGTTCGCCTCGTTGCGCCAAGAGATATGTCGCCTGTAGTCGACCAGCAGAAAGCTCCCAACAACGTGGCTCAGGACCCTTCTCTGTCAGAATCGATGACGTCTCCTCCGCGGGCCGGACTTCTTCCATGAAAGTCGAACATACAAGTCCAGCGTCATGACTTGCAGCAGTGGTGGCGATGGCCTCCATAACCTTGAGAAGTGTAACATCAACATTGCACTCACCCACGGCGTGCACTGTGCTGCATTCTCTGCATTGGACTCCACGCTGGCGACCCGGTGTATTTGGATACGATATGTTTTCTCGTGGTTGCTCCTCGGGCAAACACTTACGACACATCGAGTGGCCGCAGGGCAGCGTGACTGGTAGTTCGTATGGCCGAGAGCAATACGGGCATTGGATTAGACGTATAACTGCCCTGGCATCCTCGTAGGCACTCAAAGCAGTATGTGTCCCTCCACTGGCTGCAGATGACGACGCATCGTCGTTCATCGATTTGTTTGGCTTGTCCAACGATACACTGGGCGATTTCTCTTCCCCCTCAGCGAACGAGCGTCTCTGTGGTTCTAACAGATTCATAGGGTGTAAGATATTTGGTGCGATCTCATGCGTGCCAGTGGTTGACCGTTGTAGTGGAAAAACGTTCCTTTCAAAAAGCGTCAGTTTTGGCTATGTTTGGCGCGTGGTTTCGGTAGGCCGAGAGAGGGTGGAATTGGAAGTCGAAATGAAGCAAGTAGATCTGACTAATATCAGAATTGCTTCGATGGCGATTAGTATGAGCTATGCGGCATACTCTGCCTTGAGTTTGATTTCGAGAAGTGTGGAACGAGTCGATTCGCGTGGTCGAGGGTTACGATTGATTCAGTAGGAGGTCGTCAGCAATTCAGACTCGGACAAGGAGCGATCTGCACATGCTCTAGCAAAATGAGTCTATGCGAGAGGCAGAAAGAGGATCGTGGATTGAGGTCGTGGTTGAATGACGTGGTGGGGAAAGGAACAGTTATGCGACTGCAACGGCGAAGAGACGCGCGGGTGTATATGAGGAGTAGATAAAGTGTATCAGAATAGTAGACGGAGAATTATTGAGGAGACGGTAGTTGGAAGTAGACAAAATGTCTATGAGGACAAGACTCATGACAGGCCATTGTTCGGTTGGGTTCTAGGAAGAGGAGTGGATGGGAGTGGATCGACGATGAGGAGCTTGTCTGTGTACGAGTGCAAAGCAAAACGGAGCGTTGTGGTTGGCCGGTTCTGGCCTCTCGATTTCGGCGTGCTCTCTCACTGCTACAGATCGAATATCCGCACTCGAATCTGCTTCTGCCTCTCAGCTTGCGCCCCACTAACATTTGGCTGTATTAGATATTAGTGTTTTGCTTTGTTTGTTCTTGTATGATGATATAACATCATATATCTCTTTCGATCGATAAACAGCAGTCAGAACCAGTTCTGTCAACATTTTCCTCCTGGACTCTATCACACGCAGAACATGTCTATAACCACCTCCTATCCTGTGTCACTAAGTTGTTTGTATCAAATTGCTTGTGAATGCACGACCTCGGGACCCTTCAGCCCTGAGTAATTCGGCAACTGCAACTTCCGTATGATATGCAGCAGCGTGGTACGGGGACCGAATCAGAATAGCAGTAGATGAAGCTACGACGGCCGTCGCGTACCATTCCCGATCAGGGTTGAGTCGCTAGGACCACTTTACCACTTGTTGTTATTGCTGATTGTTTGGGGCAGAGGTAAATGCTTGGTCCAGGTGAGATTTTTGTGGTACGAATGCAATCATGATTCGTGGTTTCTCTGCGTGTGTGGCGGAAATGACTCCGTGATCTCTATCGATTGCACTCACTACTCAGTGCGTGCTCGGTGCGTGCTCGTTGCTCGGTACCAGCTGCAACGTTAATATTGGGCATGTTTGGCGTGGATCATTGCATGTGCTGTGGTGGCGGCAGCTTGGCCCCGAGCAGGGGAATTGAGGAGGGGAATTGAAGACTTTTAGGGGGGGGGGATACTATAGTCTTCGCTATACCGCAAACGGTAAGACAGCAACAGACATCAGATAGAAGTCTTGCAACTACAGTCGTGATATCATTAGGAGTTGTGTCATAGCATCGCTCGTCATTTTCCAATAAAGCGTTCATGGCGTCCTTCTCCATTGCAAGTACCACACCATTTATCATGGTGATTATGCTAGCAATGGGACTCGTGATGCATCATGTTACGCCGTATATTTCCCTTAGTACGCCTCGTCCTTAGTAGGCGTCATTGATTCTCAATCTGGCCTTAACCGCTCACATATCCGTTTGTTCGGGTTCGCAGGCATTTCTGTGGTTCCCTATACACTGAAACATCAGACAATAACGTCATTCATATCGTCCCGTGCATAAAGCTTAACTATTTGCAACGTCGATAGCCTCTCATCTACATACTTGATTCCGGAGGCTACGACCGCAACTCGGCTATGCTATTGGTAGCATGAGCTTCTTGTCACCTTTGTTTACCAGCACGTTTCACCCTGCCATCATGCTGACTGCATGCGTGTATCGCTATCTATTAAGAATTTTGCTTCCAAAGGTGTCTTATCCCAACACCGAAGACAATGCCCTATGATATGTCATTACAATACCCTGGAGGTGATAGGGCCTGGTTCTTATATGTTCTGATGTTCCAGAGCGTTCGCTGCTGGGCTGCACTTCTTGGTAGTCTTCGGTAATGCCGCAACCATTGATGTGGTAAGACCGTGGTTCAGTATTCCATTAATCTCCTGTCGAATCTAGGTCATGAAGGAGAGGAAGTATCCCATCGCATGCTCCGAACCATCTTACGTAGTGATCGGAGCTTTCAATGTATTCTGTTGTGGTCAATAGACCAGACCCTCTTCAAGTTTCCACGTGTCCCTCTTGAGCGTCGTCGTCTGAACCCTCGCTGTCGACATCATTGTCGTCGTCGTCGTCGTCGTCATCGTTATTGTCCTCCTCCTCCTCCTCTTCCTCTTCCTCTTCCTCTTCCTCTTCCTCTTCTTCTTCTTCTTCTTCGGAGTTGTCATAGTTGTCATTGTCTTCGCTGTCATCTTCGCAATCCTCGCCATCCTCGCCATCCTCGCCATCCTCGCCATCCTCTTCGTTCAGTATTTGTCGGAGGACATTCCGATCGAATAACTCGAGCACGAACCGACATACCCCGAGGTGGAAATGATGGCTTCCTAAAACTTGCATGACTTTCCGAAACAGTCGTGGGCTGTGGAATCCTACAGCCTTCTTTGCTTTGATGCTATACCATATTAGTGATCATATTCTGTATACAACTTGTTCGACAGACCTATGAAGATCGTTAGCAGCCTTCTTGGCAAGGACAGTATTGCCTAGATCCGTTGCTAATTTCAAGATCCGCGCGTTGGTTGGATCACTATCAGTCACAGATACTCTTGGCTCAAGTGCAGTTGTTCTTGCTCGAGACCTAGGTACTGTGGATGACCAGGATTGGACCTGCGTGGTGAATGAGCTATTGTAACTCATGAGAGCTATCCATGTAAATACTCACTGAGAATAGTTTCGTGAACTCCAAAGGGATACAATATCCGAGTGAATCGCCCATCTCGTTCACTGCCCCATCCCAACCGCACTCGAGCAGGATCTCTTGCCCGTGTAAGCTCCTTGAAATAAGGCCAAGGACGAAGAAAGCTGTGCCACGGAGTGATAGTACTAGCGACTTCTCCGCAATTTGAACAATCCATTTTACGACATCTGACTTTTCGAGAAACGGAGCCCCAAGTGCCATAGACCCAACATTGCCGACAGCCCAGAGAGAGCCTTTGACCTTAATTATCGTTTCCGCATCTTCGTCTTCAAGGCCAAAGTCCTGTATTGTAGCTGTGAACTCATCAAAGTGACCTTTTTGTTCAAGAAGCTTGCACCCCTCTTTAGTACGTGTCAATTCGCGGTAGAAATGCGGAGGGACCAGACCGTAGTCTTGGGCCTCCAGGGTCTCCTCAAAACCTCCTTGTTGCTGCTGCGTTTTCTCGGGGACGTCGGCAAGTGCCCGTGCTAAGCTTGCTTCTATGAGAGCGACATATGTGTCGTTTCGTCCTAGAAACCAATCATCCATCTCTCTGCTTATATAATCAAGACCATCCAAATAGTGGTAGCCAACGGAAGTGGAGAGGAATCGAAGTAAAAGAGGTGCACCAATTTCTCCAAGATGATCAAGAGCAGGTCTGCACTTCACCACAAACTCCAGAGAATGCTTCTCGTTGCATGCCTCTTCCAATATCTTGATAGCAACCTCGCAGACCTCTATCTCGGGGTCGTAAAGCTGGGTGACAAGCAAACGAATGGCCCACTCCGCAGTGCCTGCTCCGGGAACATCAGGACTCTGAATCGGTTTGGTGGCATATCTTCGTAGTAGCCTTGTCGAGAATATCCGAGCATCCTTCGAGCAAGATGTCATAGCCTTCGAAACGATGATGCGTAGATGACCATCAAGATCATAGTCTAGATGACTCAAGAGGGTTTTGATCAGATCGTCACGCCGTCTGAGCTCTATGATATGATAGAACATGTTAATAATCTTCCACCGTTCAAGGATGTATAGGCCCTTAGGATCTTTGCTAAGCGCACCGAGCATAGCAAAATATCCCCCAGTCAAAGTCTCACTGATGCGATCTACAGAGAAAATCGGTACGTCAGAAGTTATACCACTGAGTCGATCGAACTGTGACAAACATTCAGCAAGCTGCCGAATGAACTTGCTTTCCGCGAGATACTTGATCCCGTCAGGGTTTTGTAGTAATGTGCGGATCAGTGCACACCCAGCTCGAACGTATCTTTGATTTGGTTTAGTATTCTTGATATCCGAGAAACGGTATTTGAACGGTCGATAGAATCCTAGCAAACGGTGCACAAACTTCGTACTTCGTAGGGCCTCGTCGAGACGCTTCGGATTCAGTAATGCTCCATCAATGATGATCTGAATGAGAGGCCAATTCCACTTTGCATAATTTACAGTGTTCAAAACTTGCGTATCAAGCATCTGTGTACGGAATTGACCCTCATCGACCTGCGGGGCTATTTGAGGGGGTACCATTTCAGATTTCTTCTGCTCTTGCTCTGAATGAGTACCCGTCTTCGCATGGAGTGAAGTTTGGTTCGAACGATACAAGGTTCTGCTAACGCTATCCACTTGATATATCGTTCCACTTGCAACAAAGCGTTCTTCGAAGCCGAGTTTTGCTGCTGTTCGGAGGAGTCCCGGAAGAACCTGCAAGTCGGCACCCCATGACTGCGGTAACATTTCGTGGGCCATTTTTAGTACTTCTCCAAGCAGAAGACTGGTTTTGCGCTTCATAGTCATATTAGTAGTATCTTCTTCGGCGAATAAGAGCGCCGGTATGAGACCTGAATGAATAAGTACAGATAGAACGAGCGACGTAAAGTGATCTACGAGGCTCCACTTCGTCGTTTCGTCTTCGGCGTCGATCTGGCTTTTGACCTTGTCGGTTTTCAAGTTCGTAACACGACCATAGGTTGTAAGTCGTCTCCCAGCCAAAAACGAGGAAGACCACGAGGGGGGCTTGATGCGCAGGATATCGAAAAATACCTCTAGAAGAACATTTCTGACGTGAGCTGTCGGATTGTAAAGGGCAGCAACTAGGGATTTGATTGTGATAAAATCGTTCATGCAGAGCGTTAGCAGGCCGGGCCAACTCTTGAAGAGTGCAGCAATAACCTTGGCGTTCGCTCTCAGTCGCTCTTCGTGTCCATGGGCTTGTGAAGCGCTTGAGTCCGTGAAAGAGGCAAACGGACCACCCAGCTCGTAGCCGGATGTCAGAAATCTGCGACGGTTCGGTACATCGAGGAGATATAGGAATGCCCCTGCAATGCTCTCAGCGGCGTAGTAGTTGCCCTCACCAAGAGCATCAGTCAACGCACCGATTCCGCCCGCTGACACAAGAAGTGGGGGATCTCTGATAAGTATCTCAGCAAGTGTCATTGTGCAGATATTCCTCAATCGATCTTCACTGTGCTCGGCGATCGCTACAATGATCCGGATTATGGATCTTGATATTTCCTGGACACCATCTTTCACATCAAGGAAAGCCCGTACAAATTTGAGTGCTTGCTCTCGTTCCACACTAGCTTTGCTCTCTTTGACCAGCGACAGGATAACCAGGTAGTCTGTGTGTAATGCCCGGATTGTTTGGAGGGAGCGGCGGTCTGTGATAGCATATCGTATGAGTCGATATCCAGCCGCAGCTACTTCACGGCTGTCACTCAACAGCATTGTCTGCATGCGTAGACCAAATATGGACCATGCCAAATCATACTTGAGAGTCGGGTGTCGTTTAAATAGCTCCACAAGTGCATTCGCGTGTCCCACGTAGAATTCAGGTTGCATAGCGTCAGCTTCCAGTGCTTGAAGAATTTCAGATAGGACGAACGTAGGTGACTCGGTCTCCGGTTCGAATGTCTCTCCTTCGTCATCCGAGCCATCTTGCCGCGATGGCGATCGCCCGGGAGCGGTGCGGAAAAGTTGTGAAAGTCTCCCTGTGGTCTCTTTGGGTACGTCCCGTGAGCGTTGGATCTCTTCTTGTAGGTACAAATTCAATTGTTGGATCTTTCTATTAGATGAATTCAATTCTGCTTCCACTCTTAGCTTCTGATCCCTAGATTGCTTCGCACTCTTGGAATTTAGTGCTTCTAGCAAATTCTCTGAACCAATTTTGATTTTCGTCTCCTTATCTATCTGGTCTCTTATCTCAGCTTGTCTTTGTTCTGAATTTGGGTTCCCATCTTCTTCAACACCCCCGAGATTTGAAAAGGAACCGAGCTCTGGACGAGGCGTCTCGCTCCGTGTGTAGGTAGATTTGAGGTCGGAACTGAAGCTCCCTGGCGGAGGCGCTGTGGTCGCATACGATTGGCCTCGACTCAATGCAGTAGCAGAAGAGTACGAACGACCATCTCGACCAATTCTTGTAGGCGCAAGTAAGGTATTGCCGTTTCCTTCATCACTCTGCCCTGAGACGGAGCGGCCAGGTAACGGCGGCCGAGGCGGAGGTGTCATGGGTATCTTGTGGTAGATCTTCTAGCCACATAATTTTCCTAAGTACCGAATCCTCAAGTTGTGTTATGAATCCATCTCATTGTTGTCATTGTAGGTGAAAATGGCTTGATGGTTGCGAGGACGGTTCGCAGTGGTATGCGCACTTCAAGTCGCGTATAAGACGACGGTCCTCAACAAGGTTATGGACGAGGGCGCGATTAGAGTTCCAGTTGCGGACTAGAGATCTTCGACGCAGTGTACGATAACGGTCGGATTGAGGTAGTGAGGTTGGAGGGTCGTGTTGTGAAGGTGGATAGTAGTGGGGATATTGTTCTATCTAGGTAAGGTTCCCTAGCGGAAGCAAGACAGAAATTAGATAGGGTTGTGCCTCTCCGAATCAGGACATGAATGCGTCAGATGTGAGTTGGGAATCCTTCTATCCAATATACAATTTAGTAGGTATTCGATATTATTATATTCACATAGATGCAGTTCACAAGTAATATAAATCGTGTAACGCAGCATGTCGCCGCCCGATACATCCACTCTATCCTTGTATTATGCTAGCATAACCATGCTAGTGCTTCCCAGGACTACGCTGTGAAGTTAGGCTAAACCCATATAAGAACCATTGTGCGTGCGCTGAGCTCAAGACAAAGGTGGTAAGTCGTCTCAAGACAAACAACAATAACGCAGGGTGGCCTCCAGTATGAAAGGCCTGTGAGAATCGATGCGAAAGCACACCCCTAGATGTCAAAGCCTTGTAGCTTTAGGTCGGCCGAACCCGACTACTGTCCACGGTGAGGAAGATCCAGCGCTTAGTCAAGGTGCCCGGAGGCCGCCGAACAGCTACTTGTTGAACGACTCGCCATAAGTGTTCCTGGGTCTGGCCATTTCGCGGTGGACCACTGTCGACGCGTTTGCGAGGACTTCATAGTGAACAGCGTGCGGAGGCGGCCGCCGAGAGTTGCAGATCCCGATAAGATTTCTGCTTGAGCATAAAGGTATATATGGTCATAGGGTTTGCTATACTATAGCTTTCTGCCGCAGCCTGATACTCACTCTACTCTTCGAAGCCTATCGCTCAAATCTGTTTGCATATCACCATCAAAATGTCTGAACTTAGCTACGCTCGCTACGGTAAAGACAATGTACGACTGTATAAAGTTCACCGCCATGAAGATGGATCACAATCAGTCGTTGAGATGACAGTGAGGATATTACTCGAAGGCGACATTGAAACTTCGTAAGCTAGCTCAAAATCCATGATTGCCATCACTAATGACCATGCATAGCTACACTGAAGCCGATAATTCCGTCGTCGTCGCGACAGATACCCAGAAACAGACCATCTACATCCTCGCCAAACAGAACCCAGTTACGCCTCCAGAGCTATTTGCATCGATTTTGGGCAATCACTTTATCGATACCTATTCGCACATCCACGCTGCACATGTCAATATCATCCAGCACAAATGGACACGAATGACGGTTGACGGGAGGCCACACCCTCACTCGTTTTTCCGCGACGGACAGGAAAAGCGACTCGTAGAAGCTATCACCAGGAGGGGCCAGGGAACGTCTATTCGATCGGGCATCAGCGAGCTTCTGGTACTCAAGAGTACAGGGTCTGCCTTCTACGGGTTTCATCGCGATGAATATACTCGTCTTCCTGAAGTTTGGGATCGCATTCTGAGTACAGAAGTCGAGTGCGGCTGGCATTGGAAGAACCTATCATCTATAGCTGAGGTAAGGTCTGTAGTTCCTCAGTTCGACCAAGCGTGGGAGAAATCTCGCAACATTATCTTAGAAACGTTTGCGAAGGACGAGAGCGCCAGTGTGCAGAATACCATGTACAAGATGAGCGACCAGATTCTAGCTGCTGTTTCCCTAGTCGACAAGGTTGACTTCGCACTTCCAAACAAACACTATTTCGAAGTTGGTGAGTTTATTGAGGTTCGATTTTTCTGCCCTAGAATTGCTGCTGATATGTCCCAGATTTGAGCTGGCATAAGGGGATCAAGAACACGGGTAGGGATGCGGAAGTGTATGCTCCTCAGACTGATCCAAATGGGTTGATACAGTGCACTGTATCAAGAAAATCGAAGGCAAAATTATGAGACCAGCATCATGTAGCTGTGGTTATCATGATACAGGCGTTTAGGAGATCATATACCGATTATGAGAATCTTTAGCCTCGCCAAGGCGGGCAATATGCATTTCTATAGCTGATGTACAAGCTCTTAATATTATACATCATACGAACGATCCGTCCCAAAATTTATGATGCGTTATCAAGTGATAAAGAAAACGGTCACTTCCTACGATGAAGTCCCCTGACTCTTTCCGGCTTTTGCTGCTTGTGCCTCCACTGCTAGTTCCGCTATTATCGACGTTGGTCGCAATGTAGGTTCTCCGGCGGGCCGCGCACCAGGGTGACCGAGCCTCAAGATATTCTTCTTGTAGGGGTGAGCGTTGCCTTCAAATGCTACAATTGGTCAGTACGACCCATGCAGCACACCTTATACCTCTCGTACCTTTTAATCGTGCTAGACGGGGTTTCCGTAGTCTGTTCTTTGGCAGCATGCCGCTCACAGCCTTGATCAGCACCTCTGAGCCACCCCATTTCTTGAACAGCCCATCCATGCTTATTGACTTCAGGCTTCCTGGCCTCGTGTTATGTGTGTAGTACATCTTCTTTTCTCTTTTCTTGCCGGTTGTGTGTAGGTCGTGGCATCCTACAGCTACCACATAGTCTCCGCAGTCTGTAGAAGGATCATAAATCGGTTTGTGCTTGCCCATCAAGACAAGGGCAATTTGTGTTGCAATACGACCAAGCGGCCGTGTATCAGTCCCAACATCGATTACGTGCCATGCGCGGTTGTATGCCAGACGTGTCTTGAACATTGTTAGAACGCAATTATAAACTGATTACTGAGTGATGCAGTCCAGGTACCTTGCCAATAGTTTGGGACATTCCGGCCTGTCCTACCGGCCGTGATGGATTAATAGATCAGAGAATTTGTAAATCGTATATGTTTTATGGAAATACAATGCAGTACTGGGCATGGGTCAGTTGTGGATGTTGCGTTTTGTTCCACTGACGTTGCTCTCGTTGCGCGCAAGATCGCGGGAAAACGCTCAGTGATCCTAGACGCCAAGACATCACATGACCAGGTTCCAAGTTATTAGCTACCTCCAGTAACGCCCGGTAGATAGTCGATTGTAAAGCCTTGGTCGTAGAACGGCATTTATTTGACAACCTAGAGTTAGACGTACGTCTTCGATGAAAGGTGACTCAAAATTACTACACTCATGGTCTATAATTGAGATGATGTTTCCACCATTCCAGGTACGATAGCCAAATCTTGAGACGAAGCGTTTATTCCACCATGCTACCTTCCGCCAAATCTTACATTGTCACATATGAGCCCTTTTTACCTTTTTCGCAAAGGCAGTAGTAGTGGCAAAAGCTTATGATTCTTAGACAACGTTTGCGGTCCCTCTTTCGTGTGAAGACTGCATCGAAGATATTTCTTGGGCGCTTCACAAGTTGGATGGTACTTTTTTCAATTTCAGGTCGTATTCGATCAAGTGGGCTCATAGTGATAGGCATTCTGAAAGTCAACGCAGATTTGGGGAACCAATTGGTGACAATTGAAGGCACAACGGCTCCGTCGGCAATTGTTGCTGCAATACAAGCAACGGGCCGAGATGCTATTCTACGAGGCAGCGGGACTTCCGACAGTAAGTTGTACCATAACCAAAGATTTTTCGCTTTTGGACCTCCTGGAAGCGGATGATTCTGACGTGTCATACGTAGGCGCATCTGTATGCATTCTAGAATCTCATGCTCCTAATATGGAGAACAAAGTAAAAGGTCTGGTACGAATGGTTCAGGTTGCTCCAAACCTTACTATTATCGATCTGAGCATAAGAGGTGTATCACCAGGCAACTACCACGCCACAGTGCGCGAGAATGGCGATATATCGCAAGGTCCAGAGTCCACGGGCGGAGTCTGGGAAACAGTCAGCGCCGGCCAGGAAGACAGGCCTTGTAGAGGTGTCTTGGGACCAGTCGAAGTAGGTCAAAGTGGCCTTGGAACCGTGTTCCTCGACAAGCCAATTCAAATATGGGAGCTGATCGGCCGAAGCATTGTCGTGTCTCAACAGCGAGAAGGCAAGTTTGACAAAAATGATCGAGATACCATTGTTGGTGTCATTGCTCGAAGCGCTGGCTTATGGGACAACGACAAGATGGTATGTTCGTGCTCTGGTAAGACTGTCTGGGAAGAAAGAAAAGAGCAGTCGGAACGTGGCATGCTCTGAAAATAGGACTAGGTCGCGCTTTTGGTGGCGTAGAAGATCACACCTGGTTTGACACTCAGACCTCTCGAGTCTCTACGCGGCTCCTGGTGAGCAGTGTCAGGTGGTAGTGCGCCAGGGATGATCTGTCAGAACTTTAGAAGCATAATGCTTCATGCGGTCTGCCCAGATATCAGTCAAAGCTATACGTTAAGTAGGTCTTATGATTTTTGACCTTCGTCTCAACACATGGGGCTAGGCTGGTGTGGCGGTGGACGTATAAGATTGCCCTGTTACAAACCTCAAACAAGTCCTGTTACCAACTTTGAGCCTCACCAAACATGGTCGATCGACGGTCCGTCGTCCCTGGCGTGGTCATTCATCTCAGAATTATGGGCAGCTTCGACGATATTGTGGCATCACGATACCAAAGAAAGCCATAGGACTTAGCTGCTTGTCGAGATTGGGCAAGGTTGAGTCCAGACCTTCAGGCGTACAAGGCGAGGCTAAATATGGCAGCAAAGAATCCATTGTTAACAAATGGCAATAGCCGCTGTGCATGTAGGCGCCCTTGGAATGCTCGGCGCGGCTCGAAGGCGGTCCAATGGCTTGTAGTCGTCGGTAGAGCGCCCAATCGACCCCAATATCCCAGACAGACTGAGACACAACCGGAGACAAGTGGAACGCCAGGAGTAACGTAACGATTCTTCTGCCATTATACGCACGAGCTTGGCTAATCATTACATGGAGACATAACGCCGCATGAGTTACAGACCCAGCAGCTGCGCTGTTGTCTTTCCTTTGATTACGTTGCACTTCACAAAGCTTCTCCTGTTATCCTCCATTTACTCCTGCTGATCCGCCTGCTGAGCGTGCGCGCGATCAATTTGCACGCCAATTCTACTGTCCTTAACGTCCCAACTGTAACCCAATTCTTATGTTATTGTACAATTTTTGGATTCCCGTTCATATATTACAGAAAGGATCTAGAGAGCGCCGCATCGCAACAAGAGCAGGGAATACAGCCGTGCCCCGCAGACACTAAGAAAGCCCAGGCGGCTAGGGAGGGACTTCTTAGCAAATCACCACGAATCACGCTCAGCCGAGCACGCATCAATCTTCGCCTTTACAGCGTCAATTCCAGACCGCGAACGTGGTAGCGCTGGGATATATTCGTCCGCGCATCCAGCCTCCCAGTGCTCGGGAATCGGCTTCTCGTGCGGATCTGGGGCATACTTGCGTCGACTTGCGACAGCGACACACAACGTCCTTGTATATACCTACTTCTAGCATCTACAGAGGCGCTCGAGCGGGAACACTGCACGCTTATTACCATGTCCCTTAAACAAGTGGGTCGATTGCAATCGTGTGCGAGCACTGAGCTCGCGCTGACCTATATCTAGGAAATCGAGACATGGGTAGCTGCTCTCGGGCATTATGACAATAACGAGTTCGACGAATCCCTCAAGTCTTTCGACAGCATTGCAGATACCTCCAAGATTCTCTTCAACTGCGGTGTAATACATGCAACGCTCGGTGAGCATGAGAAAGCGGTAAGCATTACTATGGATGAAGGGTGCAGTGTGAAGAAGTTCTAACTATGGATTAGGTCGATTGTTACCAGCGCGCCGTCCGGCTGGATCAGTATCTGGCTGTTGCATACTTCCAGCAGGGAGTTTCGAACTTCTTGATGGGCGACTTCGAGGAGGCGCTGGCGAACTTTAATGACACTCTTCTCTATCTTCGGGGAAACAACAACATCGACTACGAACAGTTGGGCCTAAAATTCAAGTTATATTCGTGTGAGGTTTTGTTTAATCGCGGCCTGTGCTACATATATCTGCAACAGAAAGACGCGGGTATGCAGGATCTGTCTTTCGCTGCAAAGGAGAAGGTCGTACCAGATCACGACGTGATTGACGAGGCGATCAGAGAAGAAGCTGAGGTTCGTTAACCCTTCGGGTAATCTGCCTGGTGATCTGACAGACATAGGGTTACACAGTGTTCTCCATACCAGTTGGTATTGTATACCGCCCTAACCAGGCGAAAGTCAAGAATCTAAAGACCAAGGACTATCTGGGCAAAGCACGTCTAGTTGCCGCGTCTGACCGCGCAAATGCATTCACGGGCTTCGCTGGAACGGAAATGAAGAGAATACAAGAAGGTCTAGTGGCCTCTGCGAAAGACGATCGACCAGAAGATAAGCTTTCCTTCGCTGCAACCAACCTTGTCAAGCCGGGGCTGGCATCACGAAGTCGGCAACAATCAGAACCTCCGATCTCTCGAAATATGTTCCCACCTACACCTCCCCCAGAGACTGAAACTCGCCCTGTCGAAAAGTACGCTACTGGCCAAATGACACGGGCACAGTCAGTCCGTGGAGGTGGACCGAAGCCTCAACCGCTAGAACTTGGACGTGCTGCCTTCGAACTAAAGCCCACGCGAACAGGAACTCAAAGATCGGCGTCGGAACGCCCTCGCACCGATAGGGACAGGGCAATGTCAAGGGAACGCGAACGCGAACGGGGGTCATCAAGGTCACGAGACGAACGGGCAGATCGTTCAGATCGTTCACGACGGTATCAGTCCGACGAAGACTCTCTCGAGGAGGACGTGTATGATATGTACCAACCTCGTCGGTCCAACCAATCCACTTACTCGAGAAATTCAAAGTCAAGACGACCTATGTATATTGAGGAAGAGGATGAAGACGATCTCGACGACGACATAGACGGAGCACAATTCGAGATGGTTTCCCGGCAAAAGTCCAGACGTGAAGCTCCTACTCGCTCGGGGACCACCAGGAGAGGAGGGACTGATGTCTCGAAAATCCGAGTGAAAGTTCACGCTGAAGATACCCGCTATGTTTTGATAGACCCCAATCCCGCCTTCGCCGTTTTTGCAGATCAGATCAGAACGAAATTCGGCATCCGTAAGAACTTCAAGATCAAGATCAAGGACGAAGATGATATGATCACTATGGCTGATCAAGACGATTTGGACATGGCTACTATGACCGCACTTGCATCTGCAAAACGTGAGAAGGCTGACATGGCAAAGATGGAGGTGAGTGTTCATGCCTAATTACATACCGCTCTGACCCAATGCTAATTAACAAATCAGGTGTGGATTCAAGAAGTTTGATCTAGGCAGCGGTTCTGGTTATACCCCGACTTATGGCGTCGATGAATCTCCTTCGTGGTTACTCTGAGCGAGCATACTCACGAAGAAATGGCGTTTATTTACAGGCATAGTCTTTGATCTAATATTATATCATATAGGTTTGCCGAGGGTCATCGGCTGCGTAGATATTGTACTGCTTAGCGGTCTTGCTATTTACAGAGCTGAGTTGAATAGCCTAGTATTGAACACTTCTACGTTCGACTGTGACTGTCAAAGCGCGGCTTATTCCAGACCTCATTCTGATTTCCTTCTCTCAGTGGCCAAACGTCAATGTGGAAGTCGCGTTTTGTCAAAGCAGTGCACGTGTGGACGGAGCAACGTATCCGTAGAACCGTCTTGTAGCATGTGTATTGATTGATCAATTCCCAGACGCCGAAAAGTGATGGCTTGTTTTACAGAGACCCGGCACAGGTCATGTCTCCTCCATAATATTACAATAGGGAATGCGCATCCCAAGAGTGCGCATCGCACCCTTCAAGTTCCTATGCATCGTTCTTTCCTAGCAGATTTGTTTTCGTTTACGCAGGGATCAGTATCTCGCTCCAACTACTGTGTAAAAAAGCAACGCCGGCCTGCTAGCAGGTTAGCATAAGATACATGCATCAAAATGCCAGAAGAGCTGAGCTCGGACGATACTTACAGCGAAAAGTCCAACGGCCGTGACGATGGAGCGGTTGTCAGGAGATGTGATTGCTTGGTATGTGCTAGAGGCATATCCTGGAGCTGGACGGGCTACGTTGCGCTTGGGGGCCATCGTGGAATCGGGTTTTCAGCGGTGAATGATTTGAAGATGTTCAGGTTGGTTGATGTAAATTGTGTATTCAGGTTGAAGTGTAGACTGGTAGAAGTTTGACATGCTACTGACTGGAGCTCTAGTTTGCGGCACAACTTCGGGTCCTTTTCGATCGCAAAAGACCAGCTTAGGATGATATATAATTGGTGTCACTTTTTGGGCTCCTTATTTCTCATTCTGTCAAGACCGCGACGCTATAAGATGTCAATAGATCTGAGGGAGTCTTCGGCTCGGTATATCTGTCCACGTTATAGATATCTTAGGAGGAAGTGAAGGGCTCCTAGGGGCCAATGGTTCAATATCTGAATAGCAGGTCTATGTAGTAGACAGGTCTCTGTTCGTGTCGCCCAGCAAGTTGTACGGTTGGTTGTCATACGATTGCTACGATATTTATGATTTCGCCAGCTCTGAGGCTTCGTACTAGCCGTCGAACAGAACCCTCTCGTGAGCAAAGGTCATCAACTTGAGATTCTTTAGCACCAGATAGATATGGATATTCCTATGGACATGGGAAGTTTTCCATATGGACCATATAGTCCTTAACCGTTTCATAATATTCCACCTTTTGACCACGATACCACCCATGCGCCATGCACAGTACCTTGCGGGTGCTCTTTACGTGTGACCCAAAACTCCAAGCGCCTCCAAATGTTATACTTCTAACTTTAAAGCAGTATTCAGAAATACTTGTTTCACTATCATTGGCCTTGAGCTCGTTTGCTTGCTTCTTGTCGTCGCGGGTTAAAGGTATCCGCGGGATTGTATCTGATATCCATGAGTCTTTTGCTTCTAAGTCAAGGGAGAAGAGTATACTTGAGGAGCTTTTCAATGAGATCAACATGGGTCATGACCATGCGCCTGCAACAATACCGGTTCAGACCAAGCTGATCCATGGCATCTCTGCAAGCTTATGAGCTTTGTCTTATGAGTTTCTGAGCATATAGCCTTACCCATCAGGACTTCCATCATCTAGTAGTGCGAGGTAACGGTCCCAGAGGTCAGCAATGACCTTACACATTCGTTAGAATCGCAATCATTTCAGTGCTTATATCGAATTGTACCTTTCCACAAGAGAAGCACCTGATCGGAATAATCATGTTGAGATGGGCTTCGGCGAAAATCGTAATCAAATATCCCAGGATATCGCACAGAGAGGAGAATCGTACAGTGTGGCAGACGATAGTGGCAGACTTTACTGCGAGTCGCAAATGATTAGCAAGTATTAATTAGTAGTCGGCGCGTTGAAGTTCGAACAGCTAGCCGCTAGCGTCGAAAACGCTCGGTCCTCCAACCATAAAAAATATAGACGCTTAGGTAAAAAGCGTTCAAGATTCACGCGAGCTCTTCAACTTACCACGTTGATGTCTCAGTCAGACTAAGAACGATGTCCACGGACCCGAAGACAGATACCAAGAAGAGGAAGCGCCCAGTGCAAGACAACATGAATAAAGATTCCCCAAGACAAACGAAGAAGTCCAAGAAAGCTCTCGCAAATGGAACATGGGCGGGTAAAGCCTCTACACCTAAGCAAGACGGTACCCATTTGAAGGCGGAAGTGGCAACACCTGTTTTAAATGGGCAGGTGAATGTAGGAGGAAACCCTCAGAAGATTGCGAAGAAGCACAAGACACCTGGGCCGAATGGGGTAACAGAAACGAAGGCTGAAGAACCCGACTATTATAACACGCGCGATAATTCAATACAAGATCCATGGATTGACACAGACGATGTTTCGAAAAGAGCTTTACAGATGAAGACAACACAGCGAAGAGCGAGTGGCCAATGGGCTTCTGGGGAAAATGTTGTCGCACGAACAGACACTTTGCAAAGCCAGACAATTGCTCCAAGAGAAAGCTGGAAACTGTCCAAATCAATAGGAGGACGATTCCTTGACCGTCCTCCAATATTCTCAGCTGATGAAAAGTTGGTGGACCGCTCCAAGATTCTTACTATACTAATAAGCTCAGGTATTTGATTCTAGCGAACGCGCGCGAGGTTCATGTCTACGAGACTTCAACTTCACTCCTTACAAGGAGAATCCAAGTCTCCGGTACAAAATCGATTTCTTCATTGGTGCTATCACAGCTGAATCCAGAGAACCTATACGTCGCCACGCTTGCAGGCCATATATCTCTATGGCATTGGCCGTCCGGCACCATTGTTCAAGAAATACACCGCGAGTACTCCATCATAAATCTCTCGATATCCAGCGGTAATGCTTCCGGTGGCGAGACTATATACACTGTTGAAGATCCAAAACAGGCAAAGTCTGACTACGAAATCTCTGCTCACAGGTTAAGCGACCGTAACGATGTCTCATCTACTATGGTACGGACAACGCCAAAAGTACCTAACATGGTCAAAGCACTTTCAGGCGGTAATGTTCTTTTCGTAAGCTTTGGAAATGTGTTTAGTGTGGGAGAAATAGAGAAAGGAACTTCTAAAGGCGTTCCATCAACGTACACGTGGAGGGAAATAGAGACACCCTCGAACATAACATGCTTTGACGTTTTTGCCAGCTCGTTGAGCTCATTAGACCAAGGAAGTTCAAACATGGCGCAATCCCAGGCGCAGATTGATGTAGCCTTTGGTCTTGAGGATGGAAGAATCTTCGTACATGAGGACTTACCGTCAAAGTTAGCTGCTTTCGATACTCACAGGAACAAGAATCGAGTGGAGCCTCGTATTCTTCATTGGCACAGAAGAGCCGTCGGTTCCTTAACTTGGTCTGCAGACGGTAAGTATCATGTTGTCAGTGGCAAAAGTATTATGCTCATTTCTTTGATAGGTCTGTACCTTATCTCCGGAGGTCAAGAAACAGTTCTTTGTCTTTGGAACGTTGACAATGCGAAAAGGAGCGAGCTACCGCATCTCGTCGCGCCTATACAGCAGATTGTTATCTCCCCTAGAAGTTCTAGCTACGCCATCTCCCTAGGAGACAATTCGGTCATTGTGCTCTCGACTGCTGACCTAAAGGCGACCACAAACATCGCCGGTCTTCAGGCCCAGTTTGCCCGGTCAGACGCACGATCGGGCGGCAAGCCATTCCTACTCGATCCAAGTAAGCCCAATCAAGCGCTATTTGCTGTTCCTGCTTCAATGAACACATCATCGTGTCCATATATCCAGAGATTCGACATATCAACAGGCCGCCATATCATGAGGCAAGCTGTCGCCCGGAGTAATGCAACGTCATCAATGGACACACCAGGTGCAAAGCTTGTGGAGGAACCCAATGTGACCCTAATGCAACTCAGCTGTGATGGCATGTTCATGGCGACTCTGGAAGAGTGGGCGCCTCCAGTGGACGACTTGAAGCACGTAGTGAATGGCACAACCAAGAATGAGGAGAGAGATGCTCGCAGAGAGATTCACCTCAAGTTCTGGAGAGTAGACGAGTCAAGCGGCTCTTGGAGGCTCATCACGAGAATCGAAGCGCCGCATATTCTCGAAGACGGGTATACATCCGGGGAAGTGTTTGCTATGGTTTCAAATCCCCAAGAAGTCGGCTTTGCTACGCTTGGAGAAGACGGGAATGTCAAGATCTGGACACCGAAAAGGAAGAACCAGGATGGTAGTCTGGTACGCAGCGCTTCGGGTGAGGCTGTATTTTGGTCCTCAAGATATTCAGTCGCGCTGGAACGGAATGTTCATCAGCTTGAAGATTACGCGAAAGCTGGTCGTGAAGCCAGCAATGCATCCCTAGCATATTCATCAGATGGTTCACTCCTTGCTGCGACCTTGGACGTACCTAACGGACCCTGCAACGGCCTTGTTCACATGATCAGCGCTGAGACAGGCAGAAATACGACGTCTCTCCCGGGTTTATATGCACAAGATCTGATATCTATCGGCATACTTCAGCGCTACTTGGTTGTCCTGTCCGAGTCGCTCACTGTTTGGGATATGGTGAATGATGAGCTTGTATTCTCTCGTGGTCAAGACATAAACCTGAAGAAACACTTTGCCACGAATCCTATCGATATGACGTTCGCAGTATCATACTCAGGCGTTGACTGGGATTTAGGAAGGGATATCAGCAGAGTTTCGATATTCGCGGTCAACAATTGCGAGCCACTCGACTCGGTGGAGGTTCCCAACATGCCCATCTCCTTACAGGCTACGCCTGGATCCAACGGTTATGCTCTGCTGGACCACAAGGCTGAGATACGCATTATCAGCGCCGCATCTGCCACAAGCATAACGGTTTATGACGAGCTGGCAGCGATGCCTGAGGCGGGAAGTGGAGAGGTCGATGCTGCAGAGATTGAAGACGAAGAGGACGAAGAGATGGTGGAGGAAGACGAACTTGAAAATGCGGGGGATAATGATCTAGATGAGCTGGAGGATGAGGAGAATGACAAGCCGATAGTTCGCCAGCAGCAGTTGGCAGACATTTTTGACGTCGGCCCATCATACGCGCTTCCTCCGGTCAAAGATATGTTCAAGGCTATCACGAGTCTGTATGCTAGGAAGCCTACCGCGCAAGCTTTGTCGTAGGACGACGAAATCAGAAAAAAGAGCCTCGCGGGCAGTACAAAATCTATTCAGGAATATCTGACTCGCCACAGTCGCTGTTCTCGCCAGCCGGGCCAGTACTCATCTAAAGTCGCTCATAATATAATGCCAGCACGAACTGTCGTCATGTCCGCAACCCTACTCCGAGGACTGACTGGACTAGATTGTTCGACATGGTGCACGACCCAGTCGCACGCTTTCTAAAAATACACTGCACGCACTTTCCGTGCATCGGCGACCTTCTCTGACCATCAAGCACAGATTGATCGATACCGGCTTCGAGAGAAAAAGCTGGTGACCGAGGATCTTCGTTCAGGCCGGCCACGCCGCGGGCTGAGTCGAGCACGGATGTCCTTGGACACTGTGGAGAGCGACGATACTACAGAAATCAGCGATCCGGGAAACAAAATGCCTCACAGGGTGGTGGAACGCACTCAAGCTTTGTCTCCTAGTTGTCATCAACCTCCCTCTCGACTGAAGCGATTCGTACGAGGAGCATCTCATCAGGAGCGCCGGCTCGCTATCGTCGAAGTCAAAGTATTGCGTTGGAGACTGGGGCATGACAGGCGTTGCGTTCATCTTGAGCAGGTGTCTTTTTGGTATAGATATATATTTTATCGCAACGAGGCGTTATCGAAAAGGTGGCTGTTGTAGAGGTTGGTTTGGGCGCGAGGTATCTTATGTATCTTATCGATGCAATGTTCTCCAGCCCGTCGGTGCCTCCTATATATACACTCCCACCTTGACATTGTTCATGACATTGAGTGACTCAAGCCTTTGGTCGTATGCCGCATCCTGGACTGCTTTGCTTACTCTGTTCTCTCGGTCGGGCGCGTATGAAATCGACTGGGTACAAGCATTGGACGACCTCTGCCGAGCGCGTCTGGGGGCCCTGAGGGGAAGGGCGGGCGTTTAGAGGTCGCGGCCTTGGTCAAACGAGCACGCCTCACAACGTGACGTACGCAGTAGCGTCTCGAGATGCTATTGATCGATTCCACATTCTTGGATCAAGGGATATGTTTCGCTACGATGCGTGGAAAAAAGTCAACAGGTAGCCGCTGGGAGAGCGTTTGGGGTTGCTTGCTTGTCGGCCAATCAAGACCAACGAACGCGGGCGCTAACAGAAACCACTGAGGAAACAGGACAGGACAGAGCACAGGAAACGCAAATACGTACAGTACATGCAACAAGTATATTGAATGATACGTGATACATGCCAGCTGAGCCAAACTGGACGGGGTATCAACGATGGTGCTCACTTAATCTAAGCTAATATAACAGGAGGACCAGAGAGCTCTGCTCAAGTCTGTCCAAGCGAAAGCTTCATAGTATGTTATAAAAGGAAAAGTCCTTTTCTCACAACGAGTGCTGATCATATCTTTGTAGATGCCATAATCCTCCTCCCGAGGTCGCCCTTTGCGGACGTCTCTCTGCACAATTTTCGCCCAATCTTAGCCGTCATCACCACAAGTCCTACTCTCCTCCACGAGTCTATGCTTCTCAGCCCGCCAGAGGCGCAACCCGCGCACCCATCCGCTGAATCGGCAGTTCCTCCGGGATCGTTCTCTCCACTTCGGGCGCCTTCACCGGCAGTCGGCTCGCCATGTTATCCGGGACCAACTCCGGCGTGACCGGCCTCTTCGGCATGACCACCGGCGGCAACAAGAACGCATCAGCTTTAGCTCCAATACCACCAACAGGGCCACCTGCCGGACTCGTCTTCGGACTAGACAGCTCCTCGACAATAGCCGCACGCTTGACACCGGTACGCAGCTCGGAGCTAAGCCGCTGACCAAACCCGCACTCATTAGCCACCGCCTCAATGCTGCGGAAGTACTTGACCGTCTTGACCTGCAGCTCGAGCGTGGCGTCATCATCAACGACAATGAGCGGATGCGGATGCAGCTGCAGACAGGACAGCGTCCACATATGATTGACGCCGCCCTCGATGCAGCGCTGCAGCGCAGCCGCCTTGTGCGCGCCCGTAATCGCAATGACGACCTCGCGCGCCTCCAGCACGGTGCCGACGCCGACGGTCAGCGCCATGCGCGGCACCAGCGCCAGATCGTGGCCGAAGAAGCGGCTGTTGGCCAGGATGGTGTCGTAGGCGAGCGTCTTGACGCGGGTGCGCGAGGCGAGCGAGGAGCCCGGCTCGTTGAAGGCGATGTGGCCGTCCGGCCCGATGCCGCCGAGGAAGAGCTCGATGCCGCCGGCCAGCCGGATCTTTTCCTCGTAGGCGATGCATTCGGCTTCGAGGTCGGGGGCGTTGCCGTTGAGGATGTGGATGGAGGCTGGGGGGATGTCGACGTGCGAGAAGAAGTGCTTGTACATGAAGGAGTGGTAGGATTCTGGGTGGTCGCGCGGGATGCCGACGTATTCGTCCTGGGATGGTTAGGAAGCGGGGGAGGTTGATAGGGGAGGATACGGACGAACCATGTTGAAGGTGACTACATTGCGGAAGGAGATGTCGCCAGCCTTGTGCCGTGCGACGAGGCTCTTGTATATCAAGATCGGGCTGCTGCCGGTGGGTAGGCCGAGCACGAAGGGTTTCTGGGGTGTGGGCTCGAAAGTGAGGATACGCTCTGGGAGATGGTCAGTCTGGTGTACAGCCGTACGGATCTTTGAAGCGGACGCATACCGATGATGTAATCGGCAATATACTTCGCGACCGTTTCTGGTTCTTCGCGGATGATGAGCCTCCTAAGGCGAGCCGGCTGATTAGTCCATGTCTCGGAATGGAAGAGGTAAACTATTGAATTGATAGGAAGTGGCTTATGCATACATTTTGGAATAGATTACGACAGATGCTGGAAGACTAGGTGTCGATTTGGCGAAGGTGGTGCGGAAACTCTGGTAGAACGATGCTCTCTGGCAGCCGTGGAATGGATTTATTATCTACATGGGAGGACTGGATCTGATGTCACAGTATCCAGGTCAGAGGCGAGCATACTGGACATGAGTTCACGTCCAGAACGTAAGGGAATGGTGGGTGGTGGCATCATGGTGTTGCGAGGCAAAGCACCACTGTACCATCAACAAGTCGTTCTGGGTACACTGAAGCTGGTTCTAGGGTAGGACAAGAGAGGTAAGGTTCAAGCTGGATGCCACTCCGTTCGAACTGTCAGCCTTGTCACTTAACAAGGGTATGAAATATCATGTTGCGGCACGGGTAGAGTCGGTAGATGGTGCATTGCATGGGTGGGTGATTGGGTGGTGAGGGCGACTACAGGAGAGAGTGGAAGTCATGGATGGAAGTGCAACGTGAAAAGATAGGCGGTGTCACAGCAGGAAGATGGAGAGGTGAAGGGAGGGTGTAGATAGATGGATAGATAGATCAAAGGGTTACATTTGCGATGATAGCTGGCAGCGTGATGGCGAAGGATGGTAAGGGGGTGAGGGTGGAGCGGGTGAGGCTTTAAGGTCGTTCAGTGTGGGGTTGTTTGTGGTGGTTGTGGTCCGCTGTGTGGTCGCTTTGTGGCGCTTTGTGGCAGCGGGTGGAGAGGGAAAGGCAGCCCGTTTTTGGGGGAGGAGGAGCCCACTGTCGGGGGAGGAGGAGCCCATTTTCGGGGGCAGCTGGCAGCCCGTAGCAGCCCGGAGCAGCCTATACTACCTTTTGTCTACTACCTACTACCTACCACCTATCCACTACCCATCATCCACACCCATTATGCCGCCTCTGGACTGCCGCTATCCCGCCCGTCGTCGCAGGGGTTTTGTTGGTTGCTGTTGTTAACAATCATCTTACTGGGCGGCCTTGATCACACTGATGCAGCTATTATCTATCTGATCGAGAAACCAATTACTGCAGGGTTGCAGCCGGGTTGCACTGGTGACTCCGGCTTCTGTACGCCACAACACCACCAAATAGTCACCGTCTGCGCTTTTGGACCCTTGGATCTCCCTCTGACCTGAGGTTTTGCCGTCTTCGGCTTTGGCGGCTTGTCAAAATCACTATTGTTACTATTGTTACTCTTGTCTTTTGCTTGAGAAGCGTGCACTAAGCAGTTGATCATAGCTTTGTCCAATCATTCCGACACTCCAATAAACTCCCTGCAACTCTAAAACTTAATAGCTATCTATCTGTGGATCATGTCGCGTGCCTCATTGGAACGTCTTTTCCGTATTCCCAGCTCTTACGGCTGAAAAAAGAGATACACCACATACTCACACGCGCCCCATTGCCGGCACTACTTATGCATCTCTGTACCCCATCTTCCTTCTACGCCGCTTCTCTCTCCTCTTCACTGCTTCTCCTCCTCCAAGGAGACCTTCAATCCAGTCTTCTTCTTCGGCCGACCCTTCACTAGCCTGTCGCCATCACCGGCGCGAACCTGGACCTTCATCTATCTCAGGTTTCAACTCCCCACTTTGCTAATCCTTCGCCTCCTCGAACATCTACAAGACTGCCCAGCCTTGCGCTCGTCTCTAGAGTCTTCTGAGAACCTCTCCTCTCTTATACAACTTCCTCCAACCCACCGCCTAATCCATCATATAACACCATGGCCGAGAAGACCGCCACTGGCGAGGTCTCGTCCCGCAACTCTCAAAGCCTCTCTGCTGAAGAGCAAGGTGCCGTGAACCGTCCGACAACATGGATGTACAAGAAAATCAGAATCGGTTCCTGGACCGCTCCCTACTACGCCTCGCCATCCGTCCAGCTTGTCATCGTATCCTTTGTCTGTTTCTTGTGCCCGGGCATGTTCAACGCCCTGAGTGGAATGGGTGGCGGTGGTCAAGTCGACCCTGACGCAGCCAACAAGGCCAATATCGCGCTGTATTCCACATTCGCTGGTGTCGGCTTCTTCGCCGGAACAATCACAAACACCGTTGGTATCAAGGCTGCTCTCGCGTTTGGCGGTCTTGGTTACAGCATCTATGTGGCGTCCTTCCTCTCCTTCAGCCATACTCAGAACTACGGCTTTTCCATCTTTGCTGGTGCTTTCCTCGGTGTCTGTGCTGGTCTGCTCTGGTGTGCGCAGGGTGCGATCATGATGTCCTACCCTGATGAGAAGAACAAGGGCAAATTCATCTCATGGTTCTGGATGATCTTCAACATGGGCGCTGTTATTGGCGGTCTGATTCCTCTCGGCCAGAACATCAACACGACGACCGCCAGCACCGTCACTGACGGCACCTACATTGGTTTCCTTGTCCTGACTTTGCTCGGCGCTGCGCTTGCCTTTACTCTCGTCAAGGCCAAGAATGTCATTCGCGATGATGGCTCCAAGGTTATTCTGATGAAGAGCCCCTCCTGGAAGACTGAACTCTTGGGCCTCTTCGAGACGTTCAAGACCGATCCGTACATTCTAGCGCTATTCCCCATGTTCTTCGCCTCCAACTGGTTCTACGCCTACCACTTCAACGACATTAACGGTGCCCGCTTCAACACCCGTACTCGTGCGCTGAACAGTGTTCTGTACTATCTCATGCAGATTGTCGGTTCGTACCTTTTCGGATATGCTCTCGATATCCAGCACTTCCGCCGTACCACTCGTGCCTGGGGAGGCTGGGTCGCTCTGATGGCCTGTACCTTTGCTATCTGGGGCGGTGGTCTCCCGTTCGCGCGAACCTATAACCGTGCTGATATTGCCGCTGCAATCAAAGCTCAGGACGAAGGCGTGGTCGTCCCACAGAGTGCACTGATCCTGGACTGGGAATCCAGCAACTACGGCGGTCCGCTTGTCCTGTACATGTTCTACGGATTCTACGACGCTGCATTCCAAACATATGCGTACTGGTGAGTAGTATCTTGGGGTTCTGGGCGTTTGAGACGAGTTACTGACAAGAGGACACAGGTTCATGGGCTCCCTGACCAACAACGGCCGCAAACTCGCCAACTTTGCCGGGTTCTACAAGGGCATCCAGTCTGCTGGCGGTGCGGTCATGTGGTCGCTGGACAACAACCACACGCCTTACATCAACATGTTTGCCTCCTGCTGGGCTCTCCTCGCCGGCTCCCTCCTCTGCGTCGCGCCGGTCCTGCACTTCAAGGTCAAGGACACCGTCTCCCTGGAGGAGGATCTCAAGTTCACCGACGAGTCCTTTGAGGACGTCGCGCCGACCTCGGCGATCAAGGCCGTCCAGGCCGAGAAGTAGGGGCGGCTGTCTTGGTTTCGGGGCGTTGTGAGAGTGAAAGCGATTTCTGCACTTTATATACACATCTATATGAGCACTTTGTACATGATTCTTTTCTGGCGCAATACCCTCCTCCTCTGGCCAATCAATGCTTAGAGTTTCGATCGCGGGCCAAGGAACAAGGGACAAGGGCAAGCAGCAGCGGTAGTAGTTTATGACGAGTGTCACGAGATTTCTGAATGAGAGTTATGGCTCTGGTTAAATAATGCACGAAGCTCTGATGTGTGAATCGTGTTGGTCTGCTTGGTGAAGGCATCACAGTGGAGTGCTATCCATGCCATGATGGTACATAATTTGTTACAAGGTAGGTACCTGATATACCGCACGCGCCAAGCTCATGGAGGTAATAATATCCATCTGCATCTAACAAGGACTAGTAATTAGCGCAACGGGCGTGACAGCCGGTTGGTCCCTCGTGGAACTGTGGCCATGAGTACCGTTTGTTGTTGTTGTTGTTGTGGTGGTGGTAGAAACAAAGGCGTGTGAGAAGTAGATGAACGATACGGGCTGCTAGGTGTGGGTGGGTGAGGTAGGTAGTAGGTAGGTAGCAATGCAGCTCTGTACATGAGGCCGCCCGGGAGTGATGGATTGTTACTGCAGTCTTGCACGAAACGAAATGAACTGAAACGAATCGGACGAAAGCGAGTCGAGAATGCCATCTGCGCGACATTATTCGTCGCGGCAGAAGGCCGAGAACGCGCGCATTCATCATTGTAGTACAGTACAGCATTGTGCGGATGGGAAGATGCGGACGATGGATAATGTATAGCTGCTGTCAGGATATAGAGCGGCTGGGGTAGATAGATCGATTTATGAGGTTCAAGGTTCAAGGTCAAGGTCAAGGCATGTAAATATCTCTCGTTCAGTATTAATTAGGTCTTGGAGGTCTTGTATTAGGATGATCAATCAATAGCATAATTAACATAACCTTACAGGTAAGCTCAAGCGGGCGTTCCTGACAAGAGGAAGCTTGGACCAGGCGTAGGGATGGGATCGGGATTCGATGGAGTAGTAGTGTAAGTGTTAAATGAAGTCCGCACCACAGCATCGTTGGTATGACATGGCATGGTTACACCGAGAATCGGAGAAGGCGAGAGAGGGAGCATTTGGCAGTTCACACACACATGTCATGTCTCGGAGATGTTGTTGTTGTCGTTGTTGTCCTTGTTGTTGTTGTTGTTGTTGTGCCTGGCTGCTTGCTGGCTGCGCTGAGGACGGACGAGACGACAGGAGACAGGTGTGATTAGACGCAGATGCATGGGACAGGCATGGAAGAGGCACAGGGTGTTGTAACTGCTTTTGTAAAGAGAGAGAGAGAGAGATGGATTATTGACTGCAGCTGGTGTATTATGAGTTGTGAGTGAGTGAGAGTAATTATGTTCCTGGAATGGTGGACGGGCGGGGATAAAGTGTGGCGCATGCATGTATATGCACGTGGGTAGCTGTTGCTTGTTACCGTTACTGTTAGTGCGATGTATGTTATGTAGTATGTAATTATGTATTACTGTTACTGTACGCGTGCTGTGTATAGGGAGGGACTGTCTCTCTATCTTTACAAGGACAGAACTAGTATCAACACAAAGAGTTGCGACCAGTATCAGACTAATCACTGTATCATGCATGGCATTGCAGAACTGTAGAGAACTGCTGCACGCACAATGGCTGCTGTTGTCGCTGTCGCTGTCGCTGTTCATTGTCGTTTGTGGCTGCAACGCCGCTAAAAGGAGGGCTTTGTAGTAGCATCACACCGTTACAATGGATCAATCACCCTCTGCATTCTTCTTCTCTCGCCATTCACACTTCACACTTCATCCCACTAATTCTCAACTATCCCCAATCTTTCCACGTCACACTCTTCTAATTAACCTTATTACTTTGCCTATCTCACTTCTTCCAACCCTTCCCCCTTAACCTCAATGTTACTTCTCCCCCGTTCCCCCCCCCTCCACCAAGCGAATCAGCGAATCAGCATGTAACCTCTACAGCCGGCCGCCTGTTTCGCTCTCGCACGCCTGTCCTATCTCCATGCGAGATGGAAACATTGATTGACAGTTGCTGATGATGATTGAGGGATCGGGACCAGAAGCAGGATCAGTCCTTGTTACTGTAATACTAGGAGGAGTTCATGCTAATAATGCTAATAATGCTACTACTCCTGTGATCCTGCTCGGCCCTTGCTTGCTGCTCCAACCGTCACATTCTTGCGACATTTTCCCCCGCCTGATGCAAAATTTCCTCCTCCTCTGTGCTCTCTTCTCTACTACTCATCTTTGCCCTGCGCCATTCCCACTTACTGCCGACGGATGGAACCTTGCTCTATTACCTATCAATTCACTAATTGCTATTACCTTTTGACTCTCTCCACTGCCTGCTGCTCCCTTTTCGTCGACTGACAATACCCATTTCGTCTCCAGTTGCTGCTACCTCACCTTTACTGTCAATCCACTCCACCTCCTCCTCGCCCTCTGCCTTCTTTCTACCACGCCACCCTATCACCATGCCAGCTTTGCTGCCGTAGTTCCACTGTTCCCTCTCTCTCTTCCTATACATTATACATCCATTATGCATACCTCCTCTCCTCCTACCTGTCTGCCACCACCACCTGCACTACTTTTCCCCGGCTCTCTCTAAATACTCCTGCTTGCTGCTTCTCCACCCTCTCCCTCTCCCTCTGACCGCGACCGACCTTGCTGCTCACTCGACTTTTATCCGCTGACCCTGCTGCTTCACGAATCCCTTCACTCTCTCGCCGGCCTGACCATTCCTTTACGCATTCAACCACCCCCTAGGACCCCTCTCCAAAACGTATCCATGCCACCTCTCTTGCATATACCGACTTCTGTCATCGAACTCTGGCAGGCTCTAATGTCTCTGCTTGACTCGTATATCATCATGCCCACTCTGTCCGAGGTCCTATCTCCAACCCGACTGCGATTACGGAAGCGTGCCCGCGACGTTGTCCCCCACTCCCAACGAAATATGCACGATTTTCTGTTCGATGTGAAGAGTACTTTCGAGGCCCCTCTGAGCTTGGACAGTCTGCTGGCTATGTCTACACAGCTTCAGGATGAATTCCGGCAGAAACTCCAGTCCAGCACCGAATGCATGCTTCCCTCTTTCAGCCACACCTTGCCAACTGGTGACGAACGCGGCACCTTCCTTGCGCTGGATGTTGGTGGTACCAACTTCCGCGTGGCTCTGGTGGAACTGAATGGAAAAGACTCGACCACGAGCGGCATGTGGATGTCAAAGATGCGAAGCTTCAGGATCGACAATGCAGTCAGGTCGCTTCCTGGTGCTGCTTTCTTTGACTGGATGGCGGAGAAGATCCAAGAGGTTCTCTCACAATCGGACATCCAGAACACTGCAGTTCTGTCAATGGGCCTGTCATGGTCCTTCCCTATTGCGTATGTTCGTCAATTTGGCAGCCTCGTGGGCTCGAGCTGATTACGTGCTAGACAAACATCACAAAAAACTGGAACCATACTGCCCATGGGCAAAGGTTTCCGCGCCAGTGACGGTCTAATTGGCAAAGACCTCAGCCTGCAGCTGATGGAAGCTTGTCGCTCCAAGGTGAGCGCATTTGCATAGTCCCTCAATGTGGCACGTGCTAACACATGTGCAGGATCTTAACGTGCGCGTTGAGGCCATCATCAATGACTCTTCAGCAACTCTACTCACTCGTGCGTTTGCAGACAACGCTACCAGGATTGCACTCATTCTTGGCACTGGCTTCAACGCCTCTGCACATCTTCCCGTGAATCTGTTTTCGCAAGAAAAGTTTGGCTCGCGTCCGGAGACGTGGCATGAGAAAGCCGAAAATGTTCTCGTCAACACTGAGCTTAGCATGTTCGGCAAGACTGTCTTTCCCCTCACAAAGTGGGACGAGCAGATCAAGAAGAATCACCCAAAGCCCGACTACCAGCCGTTTGAGCACCTCATTGCTGGTCGCTATCTGGGAGAGATCACTCGATTGATCCTTCTAGACGCCATCAAGACTGCCGGACTGTTCGGTGGCGAAATACCAGGAAACTTTTCCGAGGAACACTCGTTTGACACTGCCATCATGGCTGCTTTTGAATCGTGAGTATTGACCACCATTCTTGCTGCATCCCATGCCTAACATTTCACAGCGACGAGACCAAGCACCTCTCGACGGCCAGTGCCGCCTTCCTGGCTGCACACCCGCTGAAATGGACGCCCAGCCACAGCGAACTACATATGATCCGTCAAATCTGTAGCCTAGTAACTCATCGTGCTGCTGCGTTCCTCGCGACTGGCACCCATGCGCTCTGGTATCTCCGGACAACGGCCGAGGGACTCAACCCAGCCAAGTCCGGGCGCATCTCCATTGGCTGCAACGGCTCCGTCATCGAACGATACCCGTCATTTAAGACGGTGTGCCAAACCTATCTCGATGATCTGACTACCATGTCAGGGGCACAGCCAAACTCGGTAATGCTCGAGCCGGCCGTCGAGTCGGCCATCTTTGGAGCGGCCGTGGCAGCAAGTTGTGAAGACTAGACGAAAACCTGCTCAAATCATCTATATCGACACGGACAAGTCGTATCATCACACAACATCCAGCGACTTTGCATAGGCCAATCGGACACACGTCCTGCATGCATATTCGACACACGCAGCAAAAATGTACATAGTCCTCGCTGCTGCGGCGAAGGCGTTTTTCGGGGGGAAACACATATCTACGTGGCAACTACGGCAGGGGATATCACATATGAAGTCATGAAAGGAAACGCATTTCGCGGTGGGAGTCTTATAACAGGATCAAGGATTTTGGGGATTTTCAGCATTTCAGATACGTGGGGTGTGTGCGTGTGTGTGTGTGTACACCCTTTCTGCATGGGCACACGTTACACGCACCTCCTTTACATCTTTTACATCTTTCTTCTTCTTCTTCTTCTTCTTCTTCTTCTTCTTCTTCTTCTTCTTCTTCGCCGCCAATAGAGGACCCGACTTTATACCGTTTACTACCACTACTACTACTACTGCTTTACCACCCAAGAAGAGGATAATATATTAATGCCAAAAAATTAAGTCCATTCTTGATTACGTCCTAATTATTTCGCGTCTGAAGAAATATCCGAAAGTGCCCCTTTTTTATTTAATTATCGTTCCCTGCTCGCTTGTATGTTGCATATGTTTGCATAGGCTATCAATGCGGGCAGGGTTGCATCGCATCGGCGCGTTTCTAGTGAGTGGTAGGTACATATAGTAATATAGTATGTATATGTGTATTCGTCACGGCATTGGACGCTGCAGGCTGGTGCTGGTACAGGTGCAGGCTGGTGTGGCTGGTGTGCCGTGCATACATATATACATACAGATACAGCGATCGTTACAGAGGACGGAGGGAGGGGGGAGAGAGGGGAGAGGGGGGGTAGGAGGGTGTTTCTGGCGTGTCATGTTGTGATGTGATATGTTGTGCTCTGCTCTGCCCTGTGTGTATGGATATCATGTATGGTTGTTATGGATATATTTGCATGTTATATTCTCTCTGGCTAATGAGCTAGCGTTGTGATTGCAACTTGAGAGTAAGTAAGTGAGTAAGCAAGTAAGTATGTAAGTGAGTAAGTGACTAGGTATTATAAGAGCATGTAACACGGTACGATACGATACGGTATATATACGTACATACATATATACATACATAGTATTAGCTGTCGTTGATGTCGTTATTGTCGTTGTTGTCTATTATTGTCGATTGTTGTCGATTGTTGTCGTTGTTGTCGTTGTTGTCGTTGTTGTCGTTGTTGTCCATTGTTGTCCATTGTTATCCATTGTTATCCATTGTTGTCCATTGTTATCATTGTTGTCATCTTCGTTCCACCATTCTTCATTCACCACTCATCACTCACCACTAGTCACTCATCACAGCCCAGTCCTTCCAAGTCCCACCAATTCCACCGCGAGGGAAATAGAATATACAAGATATGAGAAAGAGTCCAGGTACTACTCCCACTACCACTACCACTACCACTACCACTACCATGCATGCATACGCCCCTCTTTATATAGTCAGTATATAGTCCACAAACCAGCACAGCCATGACAGACCAAGCCAACAACAACAACAACAACCCACCCATCAATGGATACTCCAACAACCATACCAACCAGGCCAGGCAATGAAATATTCCAATGTCAACACACAAGTATACCACAACGGGACACGAGAAAAGTCTCACTGCACAATCAATCAATTCCACCACAAACAAACACACCAGAGGTAGTTTATTTCGGCCGTCTTTTGTATATTATATATATATATAAATAACATCATCATGTTTTTCTCAAACATTTTCGACATTTTATATTCTTTCCAGAAAAAAAAGAATTTATCAAAGGTATACACACGTCATCTTTCCTTCTTTCCTTCTTTCCTCCATGCCTTATTTCGTTCATTCATTCATTCATTCGTACTTCCTCGGTCCGTCTCCTCCCTTCTCCCTTCTCTCTCGCCCATGTCCCGACTACCAAGTTTCTACCCTAATTCGTATCTCATCGGAATCCCCAGGCTTCCATGCACAGAGTACCTGACCTGTCCTTGATCGTTCCCGACGCGACAAGGCCCCAGTACCGTACAATGCAAAGGAGACTCGTAGCTCTGCTCAGAAAAGCTTTGGTATCATGATATATGCGAGCATTTTCTCCCAGTGCCCCAAAAGCCAGAAGCCAGAAGTCCAATACCAAGATTCACCATATTCTGCCGCATACATTAACGCCCACTTTGTGGCATTAGGTCGTTACCGGAAGCGTCTGCCGAGCTTGCCATCATCTCTGTCATTTTCGAGGTTTGTTCGAAGAGACGGTCTGAATGTACGATACCTTCCGGGACCGTAAAAGGTATGTCGAGTGCGCCGTCACATCACTCCCGCTTATCGCTATGCGACCGGGCGCGTTTCTGGCATTGCCGACGTCAGAGAAACTTTGCTGTAACAGCTCCTGTTCCTTCTACCAGACGATGCACGAGGGCCACGGAAGAAGCCGTGATTGGTCTTCTTATAACACATGCGTCATGCTAACTCTCTCTAAGCATATCACAAGGGTATACTCGCCCAAGAATCACGCTTCGGTTTCCGCAAAGTAACGTTTTGAACGATTTTTCACGGCAATGGCCTTCGGGTCCTGGGGGAGGTTTGTGTGATGCACCACATGTGGACGATAAACTGCATCAACCGGTGGCATCCAATCATCCAGACCTAGCGGGAAATATTCGTAAAGCAGATCAGCACTCTCGTCTGGGCTACTGATTAGGTTGAGCGAGAATGAATGCGCTCGCCTTGGTGTCATTTTGACTGCCTTCCTGACGCCACCGTCCGACTGTGTTGGCGATTGCTTCGGCTCGTCTTCGGTCAGAGATAGCGTTATTGGAGCCTGCGGTGCACGAGAAGGAGGCGCGTTTCTTCCAAGATCTGGAGTTGATTGGGCATATGCCTGGCCGCCATTCTGTCCGAGGTTGATGGGCTCTGGTATCGCTGTCATTGCGCCTGGCTGAGTCGGCATTTTCCAGTCAAAGAAGTCCTGTTGGGACATCTGCAGATCATTTGTGTCATACTGGAACGGTATTGGCGGAACATCCGGCCGAGACGACTTCGATTCCTGCCGTTCTGCCCGGAAGTTGTTCGCAGTCTGTGTCGAGTCTCCTGAGGAATGTCGGGTGACTTGATTCGGCATGTGAGAAGATTTACGTGCGGTGCTGCCTCCGGCGCTGATGGGAAAGTCTTTCCGCGACTGGAAGTTTCTTGGACTGCGCCCTCGTACAATAATCGCACCGGAGTGGACCTCTGCGACTGGTATCTTCTGCCCAGTATGCAGCGTGGCCATCAACTTGATCCTGACGACAAAGTGTTGCTGGAGCTCTTTCCGCCGTCCGTTGTTTGCCGTGGCAATCCTGAACTGTAATCTTTTCCAGGCGATTGGAAAATTTACAAACTCTGAATCCATCTCTTGACCATTGCTAAGTTCGAGGGGTATCGAAGGTGGCTCTTTCTCACTCTTGTCCTCCACGACTTGGGCGCCATTCGCAGGTGTCTTCCACGGGACCGAAATGATCTTGACTGAGTTGCCTTCTACCGACTCTGTTGCGGAGATTGAGAGCTCCTGCGCTATTATTGGAATCTGCTCATTCTTGTCCGTGTATATGCTGTGAAGTGTGCGTGGCAGTGTTATCTGTCCTGTGATCTGGAAGAGGTTCCTCCGGTAGCAGGTTAGCTCAGACGGGGGTCCTGCAGCGTCGCCGACAGTCGCCCATGGCGACTCTGCCAGGAAGAACATGCCATGTAGCTGAGCGGAGAGAGAAATGGAGGTTCGGCGCAATTGGTAGTCGAGCAGTTGATAGTTGTAGACCGGTAGAGAGAAGCTTAGGAGCTTGTGGTTGCTATCGATAGACGATGTTTCCGTAGCACCATTGTGCTCCGGCTGCGGCTGCTGGTCGTAGCCACTGAGGGCGTCGGAGAAAGGGTCTTCATAGCCGCCGGGCATGCGCTGTAAAGGCTGTTGCTGTTGGAAGCCGTGCTGCGCAAATGTAGCGTCTTCACTTCTGTACAGGAAAGTCAGCATTGTTGAGGCGAGCAGTGAGAGCGCCAGGCTGGAGCGTACCCTACGTAGGTTTCGGCATCGTAATTAGAATGGTGTTCTAAGCCATCCAGGGGCAGCATCGGCATGCTGAGAGGGTCTGGTGATGTTACGTGGTTGAGTGACATTTGGGGCGCCAAGTAGGACATCGTAATGGTGTCGAAGCCCTCCATGGCTGCTGGCTAAGCGGGCGGTCCCGGGGATGGGCTGGCAAGGTGCAGCGCGATGTGCATACGGTCATTAAAGTGGTCGTTGGTGAGGCCGGGGATGCGTGGAATTGTGGCAGAGATGGAGAGGATGTTAGAGGGGAAATCGGGCGGAATGAGAGAAGTGTACGAGTAACGAGTAAAGGACGACGGTTGTGCGAGCGAAGGGGCGGAAATGGAAGTTTACGTTAGCGGAACCCGGAAGGCTGGAGGCTGGTGCTTGTGGTCGTCGTGTTCACTCTTCACGGCGCCGGCCGTGGCATATGCGGGCGGGATTTCCGCACAAGCAGCAGCAGCAGCAGCAGTAGCAGAAGCAGCAGAAGCAGCAGAAACAGTTCAAACTGCTTCTGTCGACCAGGATTGTGGGATATGTAGGGGTTGTCACTGAAAGCAATTGCGCGCAAATCGGATTGGAATAACGGAGAGTCTAGGGGGGGGGGGAAGGGGAGGGGATGGATGTAGAATGTAGATAGACAGCTGAGCTAAGAATAAAACCCATCCAGTCGCGATGCATCCTGAACTAGTCCCCTTCACTCTCTTCACTCTCTTCCCTGCACAGCGACTTCTTCCAACATCCAATGTCGATTGTCGTATTTGGAGGGAGGGATGGGGGAATATGCGGCCAAGGCGTCCGCTATCCATTGGGTGGAGACGCAGAATGAAGACTGGACTTGGGGGGGGGACCAGCTGACGATGATGATGATGTCGCGCGAGTCACGATCACAGCAGCTCTATCGAAACGTCCAACTTGTGGATCGTCTGGATATAGTATTGTACAGCATCTTTAGTGTTGTCTACTGCGATATAGTGACAGGTGTTGAAGCTTATCACCGGCTTGTGTCGTGTCTGCTGATGATGATCATCATCATCACTCAACTTCCCATGCATCGCGAGCTTCTGGAAGCCCATTTGAGAGCGATGACATATTACGGGGATTTTCAGACAGCGCCTACGTGCAGCTGCAGATCCCTCCAACTGCCCGGTCTGCAACCTAGTCGTCAAGCTTGTTTGACGGGAATGCTTGGTATATTAGTCGCATGTTGAGATAGATAATTACCGTCATCTTGAATGCGCTTTTCACCTTTCGCGTCGTGGCGCACAGTGTGATAAAACCATAAAAGACAGTGCTTGATAAGGCGATAATTAGGCGGCACAATGGATAGACGCGCCCGGGATCAGGCTTGTCGGCGTGTCTATCATGTCTATCGTGTCTGTCTATCGTTTCCCATCACGGCAAGACGGCGGTACCGACTTGATTAGCCACGCTCAACTTGCCATAACTGCCAGACCATCCAATGCAAGTCATGCCGAAAGTAAACAATTACCATCTCACTCTCCTGGCTTTCGCGCATGATTGGTCATACGAGTGTGCGTCTGCTGATGTCCGTTACGTTCATACTAGACTCGCTGCTTGCAGATGATCTAGGCAGGATGGGTAATCCGGATGCTTCATGCAGGGCTAATCACCCTGTTCCCCGCACTACCTTTGTCCATTAACCGTAAATGCTAATAATCAACACTCTATATTGTCGAAAATATCGAACTGGAAGGAAAGATACCAATATCCAGAATGTGTACATGTCCGGACGCTTGACACGTCTCATGCGCCAAGTAAAACTGTGCTAGGGTATTGCCAACGCCCGCTATCGCCTTCGCCTTCTCAAACAACTGAACGTCATCGACGCCGTGCGCGTGCTCACGATGGGGGAACCATTGTCCATGTTGCTGCGTCGCAGCTCACCTCTTCAAAGTTGTGCAGGACGTCGAAGCCCATTGCCGAGAGTCCGTCAAAGTTGCCGTCTCCGTCCATCTGAAACACTAGTCGTCAGCATCTGTACTCGCCATAAATAGCTCGAAATCCGAGAAATCACTCACATAGTCAAGAACACATGCAGTGGCTCCTTGGCCCTTGATCTGCCTCATGCCCAGCAGGATGAGCCCTTGCATCAACGTCGAGTACTCTCCCACCGCTGGCGATATCACCGGTGACGAAATCCCACCTGTAGGCTCATCAAGGTCTTTCATCGCCGGTACGAACTCTGACATTCTGGACTGTGCAAAGTAGAGCACGACTGTGCCGACAATCGCTCCGTCTTCTGCCCTCTTAGCCCGTATAATGCCTGCCGCCGACGAATCTTGGAGCGCGAGCTTGTATACCTCCGCAAGCCCCTGTCTATTATTGGTTTTGATGTGGTCCAAAACTGGTCCGGCGTACTCCCATCCGTACACCAGGTCAAATTCAGCACCTGCACTTGCCAGACTCTTGGCCATGCCTTCTGGAGGACTCCAAGTTCCGAGGTTACGGGCGACCATCGTACAGACCGGTCTTGACAGTGCTGTGTTCCATCCCATGTTGGAGAACCAGGATCTCAGTCTCTTTCTCTCGGCGCTGTGTCCGGTAGGTATACCAAGGAAAATGCTTGGCAGTCGTGTTCCTATCTGGAACCTCTTGATACCCTCGTGCTGGAGTAGGGTACGGATCGCTCTGTTGTGGAGTGAATGGCCGATAGAGAGCTTTCTCCGTGCAGGATCCACAAACAATGCCCCAATTGCGCCTGTCCCGGTCGTCTTGAAAAAGTATGTCGAGCAAAACCCGTACAATGCTTGTGTGCTGCTATTCCGTACCACGAAATGGGCTTCGGTCACTTCTGCGTGATTGAGAAGGAAAGAATTGGATGAGGCGCTGGAAAGCTCCGAGCGCTGGTTGGGCGAACTGCCTTCAGTGACTGTCTTGATCAACGCATCCAACGCGTTCGCATCACGCTCCTCGTTGAAATTCTCGACAAGCCAGTGATGACGTGACTGGTGTAGCTTCTGACTTTGACTTATCGTCCCAGGTAGATTCCCAGCGGGATTTATGTCTCCGTACAGCACCTTCACCAGAGAGTTAAGCGCAGTTTCCGTAAAATCGTACGTGCAGATGTACGTCGGTATAGACGGATCCATGGCAAAGTCATAAGGCGAACTGACTGAGACAACGATGAGTGGCTTCTCTCGTTTCTCACCACCAGTCGTGTACTGCATGTTGCATATCATCGATACGTGCTTGGTGAAGCCATGCTGGTACAGGTTCCGGTTCGCATCCGCCGTAAGGATTACTACAGCGCTCGCTCGACTAATAAGGTTTTCATGAACTGGGCGCACGCCGTTTGCTGTGTAGGACGTATGCAGGACTCGACCGTTGCGCTGCCGAGCTAGAGACCTCCCTAGCTCGCGAAAAACTCTTTCTCCACTCATCACTGACGCACTTCTCTCCCATACTGCTGGCTCGGGTGAGCCTGATGTGACAGTGTCAGAGAGCGCCCGCGATGCTGCAGAAGCCGCCAACGGCTTGACGAGTGGTGTAAGAAGTAAAAGTTCCTCCTCTGGTTCGAGAATGTTGGTTAATGGAAGAAGTCTACTCTTGTCTCGCACCACCGTGATTGAATTATTGTAGGCTTTCGTTGATAGTGATGTATGTGTGGGCTGTAGGTTTGCGAGATGCTCGATTCCAGGTGGATTCAACGCCTTTTCCCATGAGGTGCATTTCGACTTCATCGTCAGCACCCGACGTAGCGACTGCTGAATTCTGTCTCTTGAGATCATAGCATTCTCAATGCCAAGCTTCAGCCCGGCAATGGCCTCTTGTTGCACAGTAAAAGAGCGACAGAGGAGCACGATGTCACAGCCGGCGTTTACAGCCATGACAGTGCCGCCACCTACACCTATGTTGTGGCTCAATGCCTCCATCTCTAGACACTCGGAGACCACTACACCGTTGAACTTCAAATCTCTTCTCAGCAGATCGTCAACAACTTGGTCAGACAAGCAGGCATGCATGACATTCAAACCAGCTGACGACATCGCGCATCCTCCGACCATGACAGAGTCAAGACCCTGTGCAATAGCATTCTTGAAAGGTACGAGCGCACTGAGACTAAGCTGCTCGAGTGATTCCGTAATGATTGGAACGTCCAACGCAGATCCCAAGAACTCCAGATTGCCGTAGGATGGAAAGTGCTTGCCAAGTGTAGCAAGTCCAGCTTCTTTATACCCTTTCATGAACGCGACCCCGTAAGCTGAAACCTCTTGAGGGTCATCACCCGTTGTTCGAACGCCTAGTGGCTGATTGCGAGCATTCGTCAGGACATCCAAGCAAGGACCAAATATCCAATTGATTCCACACGAGGCTATCTCCTCGGCAGTGGCCTTGGCTACTTCAAAGACAAGTTCAGTAGACCCGGTAGCAGCCATTCCCATGGCACTCGGGTATTGGCGAATGTAGATTTCATCGTAGAGACTGTTCACTCCTCCATTCTCTTGATCGACTCCGATAGCAAGTGGGACTGGATGACCAGCATCGTGTGCTATCTTCTGGAGCTCGTAGACTAGTCTCGTCGTATCTTCGGCGGCTTGAAAAAGTCAGTGTACAGCAGCATACATACCAGTAGACACGGGCTCACATCTCAAGTTTTTTGCAGTCAGTAGGATGGAACCAAGGTGGTGTTTCTCAATTAGGGTTTTGATCTGTGGTGTTACAGTGGTGCCATCAAAGCCCATCATAAACAGTTGACCCTCATTGTCATCTTAGTCGCATGCTTTTCGCACTACCAATACAGTAACACTTCACATACCAGGGTTCTGGAACGATATCAGTTAAAGATCACATGAGGTGCCATTGTCGCAATGAAATCGTACCTGTCCAGATCATCCCATACGGGATCAAGCTTTGAATCTTTCGCAGGCATCGTGATGGCACTGCGCGATTCACGGCCGCGCGATACACTGTAATTCTGACAAACACAGTCGATAGCCGTACCTACGTGTCCCACTTAGTTACAAGGTGGTATCAACCATATTTGCGACAGAAAGATGGATGGAGAAGTGGGTCGAGAACTGTTCCAGCGGAGGCGTTCACAGTGAGACGTTGCACCAGGCCGCACTATCAATGTTCAGTGAGTCAGAGTCGGGTTGGATGCCGCAGCGTGAATGGATGAAGTGTCAAGAGGTTGAGGTTGAGGTTGCATTTGGCCCTGGGGTAAGCTATCAAGCGCCTTGACACTCGTGGTGTGACCACCCGAGCAGCCAAGTGGAATAGCGCCCTGTCAACACACTTCTCTCCCCACCCAGTAGCCATCCAGACTTCAACGTTGCATACACCACCACCACCACCCTTACATCAGGCCTCCTCACGATGCTGCTTTATCATCTCCATCTGCGATGAAATGCTATGGGGCTGCAGCTTACCATCGTCTGTTGCTACACTGGCGCTATCTGATCGACGAGGATGCTGGCTAGGTACCTTGGTCGCCATGACGTTGCACCTTGCTTAGTCCACGATACCACTGCCAGAGTCGCAAAGATGCCTTTGGATAAGCCATCACCACGACTAGATCTAGTGAACGCCTTTTGTAATCCAAAACTTGCTATGAGGTAACCCTGGACGGTTGACTTTTATGCTCTCTGCTGTCTTGTCTGTGCATGCTCTGTTGTTCCACCCCGAATCAATCTCACCTCTCTCCAAGCAATTGGTAGACATAACATATCATTCTGCCAGTACCAGTTCCTGCCATAGGGTGACACGAAAATGCCTTCGGCCATCTCAGACTCGTCCACACTGGGTGCCCAGACCGGCATAACGAAGTTCACAAACTGTCTTCTTGTCAGAGACAATCAGCTTGTCACTGAAGACCTATGGATAAGCACGATCACAGGAAAGATCTTGAAGAGCCAAGAAGTCTTCTACGGAAACCAAGCTGCACCGGATCGTATCATCGACCTCGGAGGACGTATCATTGCCCCGGGCTTCATCGACGCACAGCTGAATGGCGCCTTTGGCTTCGATTTCTCGCAAGAGCCGGAGAGCTCGACGGCCTATATCAAGGGCCTTCGAAGTCTGAACAGGAATCTGATAAAGACTGGCGTCACATCATATACTCCGACCGTCACGAGTCAGAAGGCTGAGCTGTATAAGGAGGTGCGTCAACGTGAAGTTGTGCGCATGTGCTTCTCCTAAAGTACTTCACAGGTAGTCCCACATCTGGGGCCTTCTGGCGAATTGAGAGATCCTACTGAAGGCGCAGAATCCCTTGGTGCCCATCTCGAAGGGCCATTCTTAAACCCCACGAAGAACGGCATCCACAGCGTCTCCGTGCTCCGCGACGCCCCTACCGGCTTCGCAGACCTAGAAGCCTGCTATGGTGCCACGAACCTCCTCCCTCACAAGTCACCAATCAAATACATCACCATGGCTCCCGAACTGCCCGGCGCCATGTCCAACATCGCCGAACTCAAAGCCCGTGGAATCAGCGTGTCCATCGGCCACTCCGAAGCAACATACGAAGAAGCCTGCGCGGCCGTGTCTGCCGGCGCCACGATGATAACCCATCTCTTCAACGCCATGCGCCCGCTGCACCACCGCAACCCAGGCATCTTCGGCCTGCTCGGAACAGAGTCTCCAAGTCTGCGCAAGCCATTCTTCGGCGTCATCGCTGACGGCATCCACCTCCACTCCACGTCCGTGAAGATTGCATGGAACGCCCATCCAGACGGCATGATCCTCGTCACGGACGCGATGAGTCTCGTCGGTCTGCCGGACGGCACTTACGACTGGACGAATGGCTCGCGGATCGTGAAGCGGGGCGCGTTACTGACGCTCGAGGAGAATGAGGATAAGATTGCTGGCAGTAGCATCACGCTCGTGGGCTGCGTCAACAACTTCCTGAACTGGACTGGTGCTTCCATTCCCGACGCTATCAAAGCTGTCACGTCAACACCGGCAAGAATGCTTGGTCTCGAAGGCAAGAAAGGGTCTCTGGAGCCGGGTGCTGATGCAGATCTGGTGGTCTTGACAGAAGACGTGAGTGCCGAAGGATTGCGCGATCTTCGCGTCGAGCAAGTATGGAAGTTTGGAAATAAAGTTCACGAGTAATTTCGAACATTGTTTACTTTCACAAGGGCGTATTGATCACGGATTAGAGGCGTAAATTGGACCGTGTAATGATAACAAAAGAAACTGGCTGTCAATTATGAGAGACAGCCTAAGTGTTAGACGTACATGACTTCAGAAGGTTTCAAAGATACCCCATAGATTTATGTTTAACGAAGCGTGTCTGTATTTATCTCCAGTAGAGGAGTTTCCTGTCTCGTGTGCATATCTTGCTCTGTTGTATATATATCATTAGCGTGTATCAATACCATATGAATCGACAAAGACTTCTGACGTGAACACGCCACAGCGAGCGCAGCATCACGGCTAGCCAAGGAAAACATGCACAAGAACGGTACGGCATCATCATTTCCAATTACATAAGACTCACACCGAGTCAATCTCATCCGTGTATCGCTTCTGCAGCGGCCCTGCCGACCATACCTGCGAGCTCACCAAAGAAGACACCTTTCAGAACAGTCTCGCCCTCATTCGCCGCCCACTGACCAGCCTTGGACAGGCGATTCTTCCAGATTTCCTTCTCATGCTTGCTCAAATCTTCCCACTTCTTCAAGTTCTCGTTTGCTGCGAGCTCTTCCAAGTCATGGTGAATATCGGTATCGACCTTATGAGGCTCGTCTTCGGAGCTGGTGACCACAATGGCTTTGTCTTCGAGATGCTCGTCAAGGTCCTTCGCTCGGCGATGCGGTAGGAGGTCGCGAAGGCTGTGACGGATTTTAGCAATCGGAATATCATCAACACCAGGAATGACCTGCTGCTGCACAGGCTGATTTGATGGATGAAATCTATCACCAGCAGGTCGCAGGTTTGACATGATATCAAGAACTTGTTGTGGGAATATCCGGATTTCTTGACCGCCCTTCGCGTTGATATACGACTGGAGGAGTAAGAGGCTGACAAGGAAGGCGAAGCCCAGCACGAAAAGACCGGCTCCTTGTTCTAAGAGGTTGCTAGCACCAGTGTAGAGGACGTATGGTGAGCCATGTTTTTTAGCTTGTAGTGGTATGAGCGAAAAGGTGTCGACCACAACAGTATTCCCAAATGAGGTCGATGCCACTCGTAGATACTGCGCGGTTGGTGAAGTCCTCCTATCTGAGTCTGGTGTACTTGAACTAGAGGTCCATGGCGAGTGAAAGGGTGAGAGCACCACTTTCGTTATTGACGTGGGATGGACGTCGCGGAGGACTGTGAAATTGTGTAAGCTGCTGAATGACTCCTTCTCAGGTCCTCGGTAGTCTATAGTAAACATGCTGATAGAGATATCATTCCCGGCGACAGCAATGGCTATTTGCCTAGCCCCCTTTTCATCGGGGTTGAGTTCGCTAATATCCATGTCAACAGCAGCCTTGACATGTCTTGCGAGCTTCTTCGTGGATACGATTGTACCAGCCGAACGCGTGGAGTAGAGCTTCAGCACACGAAGCTCTACACCCGACTGTTTTGGAAGGTTCACCAGCAGGAGTATATGTGAGGGACTAAGCCACCTCAATGAACGAAGCCGAGGCCGAACCTTGCCTTCAAATGTGTCTGGAGATGGCAGCGAGAAGACCGCCCTGGGAGTCTTTGGCGTTCCAATAGCTTCCTTCTTCTCGAAGTCGTATTTCACCTCCGAAATGAAAACCTCCTGGTCTGTGCAGTATGCAACGTTGAAGCCACCGTTGTCGCTCTCGAGTATGTCGATATCATTAGCTTCTACACCTTCAACAGGTGTGATGCGCTGGATGACCTGCCCCTCCGAGGGCTGCGCTACAGTCGCATCAAATATGACAACTTCATGCTCTTGTCCTGCGAGGCCAGAAGCGATTGCACCGATCCGCTTTGTGCTGGTCGCATTCTTCCTAGGCCGAGAAAGACGGAGTACACGTTGATATGCTTCCGACTTGACTGTATCCTTTTTTGGTGGCGTGAAAAGGCGTGCCTGTCCAAGAAGCTGTATCTCTCCTTGTATCCTTTCGGTAACCTCTGACTTCTTTTTCGGCAATTTGATCTCGAAGGATCGGAAATGCGTATTTCTAGACGCCTTGAGCTCTGCATCTGAGGAGTTTATGCCGGCAAACGTAATGATGCTATCCTTCTGAGCGAGATTTGCAAGAGAAGTTACTGAGTCTTCGTCTGTTGAAAGTTCTATTTCAGCAGCAGTCGTGATTTCGGAACGTGACGAGACATCAAGGGCAGTCTAGAGGCCGTTAATCGGTGCGAAATCTGGCGTCTTGCGCATGCATACAATTTTGTTTTTGACGCCGCTTCTTCCTGAATTTCGAGTCAACCTCTACATATGCGCGTATCAAGGAATGTGAATCTCACCAGCTCCACCACCTCCACCAACGACTAAATAGTTCCGGTAGGGGTCGAATGCGGCTGCGACAATGGGATAGGAGAGCGTACACTTCGTGAAAGAGACTGGAGGCGCCATAGGGAACGGATTGCAGGTCCTAGGAGGGAATGAAATATTTACAATCTGCAAGGGTCAATAGAATCAGGCGTAACACATAGGTGATAGAGTGCAAGGGCAGCGCGCAACTTGGAATCCAGGGAAACGCGAACGTGGTGCGCGCGGTGACGTTGTTACGGCAGACTGCTTGTACCACGCTAGCACTCTTTGTAGCTGCCAGGGTAAGGACTAGATCCATCAAACATGCACATATACATTGCTTTAAAGTGCATTCCCCTCATCATTATGACACCTCGCTAAGTTCCTTTTTATGAAGTCGAGACGACACGCTCTCGATGGGCCCGACTTGTTACGTGATTGTCCTTGTGCCTTTTGTTTTTCCCCACCAACCGTCCATTAACAAGCGCTGTATCAACCACTACGGAGATCATTCGCTTCGCTATGGTTCTCTTATATCTATGGACTAAAGCATTGAATATGATGTAAATAAGCTTTTTCAAGCGTGCTGGAATCTCGAGGTGCACTTCTGGCACCCGAAAAGTGATAAAGCTGTGCGTTTTTCGTTTAGCAATGAGAAGTGATGTGGAATGACCTTGTTCGACAGATCGTTGTTATATATCGAGCTGCTATTGGTCCCGGAATCTCCAGATCTACCCCAATATACTTTATAATATATGAACGGAGTTGTAGATCTCGTGTCCAGGAGTATGTACGTAGACAAGAAAGTTTCAATCATGCGCCCTAGGTGCCGGATAAATTGCAATGAGTGGGGTGTCGAGCACGATCGTGCCATGGCTTAATTAATACCATTTCATCATATGGACAATCAAGCTCAAGATATTTCGTCAGAAGTTTTCGGATAAACTCGAATGGAGTGTATAAAAGAAAACGCCAATGGCCGTCGTCTTAATGCCATAGTCAACATACTGCAGTTCTCTTACATTTGCCAGAAGACCTACCACCATGACGTTTACATTGGTGCTTTCAGCTTTGATTTTGGTAAGAGTATCACTCGCCCAGACGTACTCAGCTTCATTCACTCAGTACGGATCGACAGACAGCTGGGGCTCCGGTAACTGCAATGTCAATACAGCAGCTTGTGGTTTCTATACAAATGTAAGGGGCTCTTTGAGCGATTGCTCTGATTTTGGTTGACGCCCTCAGCCCGGATACTCTGCTGCGGTGTCTGAGAACCTCTACGGCGTCGGTCCAGGAGCTGGAGCGGGTCCAGCATGCGGTGCTTGCTACAGATTGACAGCACAGAAGGACAGCTCAGGCAACACACTCAGGAATGCGGGCACAAGTATTGTGGTCATGGTGAACAACCTTTGCCCAGGTATGTAGCACAGCCCGTTGAACCTTGCATATCTGAGACGCGCCTTAGCATCCGGAAATCCGCTTTGCAGTCAGAATGGTCTGTCTGGCCAAAACCAGTATGGGGCAAATGTCAACTTTGATCTTTGCATTGACTCCGGAGCAGCCGGAGCACTGTTTGGTGATTCCGGAGTGGGACTGGCAACAGGTTCTGCTGAAGAAGTGGATTGTTCGCAGTGGTCAGGAACGCAACGGTCGTAGATTAAGGGCTCCTCTAAGGTACGACGCCAGGTGGCCAGATTAGCGACTGTGTAGGACTTGCTCGTACATAGATATACCAGGCAATGTGAAAATAGACTTACATGGAACAAAGAAACGTAGATGTATGTGACGCAGGATTAATGCGCTCACCACATGTGCCGGTATCGATAAGCCATGTTGACAATTCTAGCGTGCGCTCAGGTTGTGAACCCTGTCACAAATATCGAATCACGATCTCCGATCCACTGTCGCCCGGACAGCATCTTTCAGCCTTCTGTCCTAGCCAACCACGCTCAGTGATGGGCTCGTTGTCAGGCCACACAGTGATGCGCTGTCTGGTGAGGTTCTTAGCTGCCATTGCTGACTGTTGCTATCGAAAAAAGTGATGGAATGGCAAGTTTATTGGATGGCAAAAGACTGCCAAAAATAGGAAACTGTCCATAGCCTAGCCGCCCAAATAGGCTTAGTGTAGTGTCTCTGCTCCATCTTGGACTGAAAGTGTGTTGGAGGCCGTGAAGCCTTGGCCGCGCCCCCTGTTGCACCAAGCGAGGGCGCCTTGTATCCACCACCTTGCTCGTCTTTCTCTTCCGCCTCATCACAGCCATTCGCATCCTCACTCTTCGGCACACCCGCTCGCTCGTTGTTGCCCTTCTCTCTACCTCATCCTTCTTCTCCTTTACTCGTCACTCGCTTAGCAGGAAAAGGGAAGATTGAAAGACTTGTATACACTCCAAGGGGGGTCCAACAAACCTTTTGCTTTTGACTCGCCGGACATTTGACCACGACTTCACGATCCCGATCCCGTACGCCCTCGTTGTATCTCGCGACTCCTCCCCCGATATATTCTTCATTCAGTTCAATCGCCTTTGCAAAATTCCTCCTATCCACTATGAGGCCTTCTCAGCTCCTGACAACCGTGTTTGCCGCCTCTCTGGCATCCGCATTTTCCTTCGATTCTCTGAAAGACATAAACGCTGTTGGAGGAATTGAAGATATATTATATCGGCGGCAGGACAACAATGATGAGTCAGGTACGGCATTATACGATACTCCTGCGTATCGACGCCACTAACAATTTCATAGCCTCAGCGCGAGTGACAGATCCACCGAAGACCACGGGCGGCAAGGAACCATCACGAACAGGAGATAACACAGCTCAGGAAACTGGGTCAGAACAGACAGGCACCGAAAGAGGCACACGCACCATAACGAGCTCGCCTACCGAGTCCATTGACGTCGATCCACGTCTACCCGCCGGCGGCATTTCTATGATCACCCCCTCCGCCATCGCCGTGGCATCATACTACAAGATCGGCGACTGGGTCACTTTTGCGTGGAACTACACCTCTCTCGAAGTTACTCCGACTGCTGTTGACGTCGTCGCCTCATGTACAAAGAACCAGCAGCTATACACACTCGCCGTAAATCAGACATGGGAGGATAGCAACACAGTCTTCTGGGATACAGGCGCATACCAGGCCTCGGCAACAGTACCACTTTTGACCGAAACGTACACACTGATTGTCTACGACGCCGACAGCAGTATCAGCGCCACCCCAAAAGCAGGATATCTTGGGTCGTCAGGCTCATTTACGTTTGGCATGTACGTCAGGCAGCCATACTCGGATCTCGACAGCAGTACGTATTCAACTCCTCATCATATCTTGCCTCTACTGACTCAATACAGACGGTAAATTCAACTGTCCAACATGCAACAGCGGCAGCAGTCTTCTTACCGGTAACGAGAAGCAAACGCTCGGGTTCCTATTTACCATGGCGACCATAACCGTGCTATCATTTACCTGGTTCGGCAGCGGCTTCGGCCTTTTCTAAGTCCAACACAGCGCTCCACCATTCTTATCCTATCGAATAAAAAGGACTTGTCCGGCCGGACTTCACATCATATTTAATCGCAACGCCACCGGGATCGTGTGCGCCTCCATTCATTCACTGTGCATTATTAGTTTACGACCACCACTATTGACGCCAACTATACTATTCAGGCTGGAGGGTGCATTCTGCAACAAAGACTATTGGCGTATTTGTGCGATTATAGGGGTCATATGGGCCCTTGAGGCGGTGCAATCGGGTGGAATTTGACATTGTGTGAAAGAGGGGAATATGATGTGGTGATAGGGAACAAGATGTACCGACCTGTGGAAAGGTTATTATACAGTGAGCATGCTACTCGAGTGGAAGAGAATTGATATAATGAAGATTTGACGCTGCGCCATGTGAGCATCACCCTTTCTGTCAGGCCTTAAATGACACTAGCTCCAACTGTAACGCAGGATGCGCCTGAAATCGTTTTCATAATGCTTCATTTCTTTATGCTTGGTACTAAACTCCTGCTGTGAAGGCCATGATCCCATGATAAGAATGATATGTATATGACATTAGAGACAGATATGAGAATGGTATGGCTTAATGCCTGCACTAGCCCCGCTTTCTCAGCCCATCCTTTCATGCATGCGAGCGACAGAATGTATTAAAATGTGTTAAAGAGCTTGAAGCTAGAAGAAACGGTCGAGTGATGGTCGTTCACGGACTTCCAACGTACCGTACCTGCGGTAAGAAGCATGTGTGTCACTAGCGAGGGTCGAAGATGACGCCGACGACGTCCATCAGGTTGTATGCATGTCGGAAGATGTAGGTGGGACAGGATGGACTTCAACTATAGATCCAGTGTTCATCGGATGTGGTGAGGTATCGAGACCCCATTTGTTCAGTTCTTCCCCACTGTCCACATAATTTTCTTCTATGTCGACAACGTGAACAGCTGGAAGCCCTGTCGTGGACTCATCATCTGAGCCACAATCATCCAATCGGGCTGACTCCGTTAAGGGCCCTAGTATTGTGGGTGGAGGTGATTTGGGTCGCAGTGGCTTTCCCGCGGCTGTTTTGCTGTCTTTTTGTGATATCGTCCTGAATAGGACATGTGCTGGAGGTGTTGGACTTCGTGTCTGAAACTTGCTATGGACATCTTTTGAGCGAGAATGCGTTAACATCTCATCATCATCGTCGTCATCACAGGGAGGAGTGTCCCGTTTTGCATTGGTATGCTTCGATCCTGATATATATTCAATGGAACTGGCTTCATCCACAGATGAAGTTTCCGAGTCGCTGGCTAGCGCTTTTCGGATCGTATCGCCGAAAGAGTTCCTAGAATAACAATCATCGTCATCCGGATCCGTAAATGGCATAGCAGGTATCTCCTGTGAGATTGAGACCGGTACCACCGAACCTTGCTTAGAGCTTGGTTCGACCAACCTCTCTTCGGATAATTTACAATCAGACAACGTCTTGTTCTCTGATGTATGCCGCGTTGATCCTCCAGCGCTGGTTGCCGCATTGGTCTCTACAGAATTAATAGGTATGCCAGTGGACTTGCTGGTGAGATCGTCCCTATTGGCTTCTCCATCCCATGGAGTTTTATGAAGATCGTGAGGCATTGATCGACTTGCCGGCAATATATCCTGTGTCCCACCATACGGATTGACAGGGCGATCACACCGTGGCAGAGCGGGTCCGCCTCCTCTGATACCGAGAACAGTCTGATGCGCTTCAAACTCCGCAGTGACGGTGATTTCGGAGTCGTCAGATATGGAGTCCAAGCTCTTGTTAGACTTACGGCCATATAGCCGCGCTTCGATTTCACATATCATTTCATCCGTAGCCTCTTCGCTCATAGTACCAGATTTAGAAGGACTTCGAGAAAACCAACCTTTGAACCGAGCTGGTAGACTGTGTCTATCACGCCGCACTTTTGGCTGCACAACGGGCTTCGGACTAGAAAGACCTTTCAAAGCCTTTCTTAGCTTTTGTTTTCGACGGGCTTTCACCAATAAGCGATGAATGAGATCTACCTCGGCAAGGTCCTCGACAGTCGTACCGATTCTTGCCATAAGATCGTAGAGCACGGGATCATCAGTGTAGTAGCTTTTGGACTTGGGGGTGTCATCCGGGGATCTTGGATCATCTGATGAGCCCTCCTCCTGTGTTCCTGCAAATCCTTCAACAGACGGAGGTTTCGGGCATCGTTGACTTTCTAGGCCAAACCAAGCAAAGCTCTCCGTAATCCGTGGGTCAATTGAAGATAGATAGAGATCTTTCAGTGATTCAAGATGAGAGATCGACACATGCGATGATGCGTGACTACGCGATGTGTCGGATTGAAGCTGATGATCCGTCAGACTTTTGCTTCGCATGAGTCTGCGACGATGTTTGGCAGCCGATGAAGACTGTGGACTATCATCGAACAGTCCAAAATGGTCGCGGGCTTGTTGGATGTACTCCGGAATGAGCCCAGCCTCTCCCCAATTTGAACTTCGCTGGGTGAGTCTCGACGTGCATCTTTCACTCCGACTTGGCGGAGTGTCTACTACATCTCTACCAGGAACGCAATCAGCTTCAACATGGTAAGATCCATTAGCTTCCTCGTATCGTCTCTCTCTGTCAGCTCTAGACCGTTCAAACTCATCCTTGGGACCCATGCGAGCGGGCCGCGGAGAAGGCGTACAAAGTCTTGATTGCATCTGAGTCTTCGAGTTTGGAGGGCTACATGAATGGAGAGAATCTTTCGGGTCCGCGTTGGGCTCTGATGGTTCTCTCTTAGCCGTTGGACCCTCTGTCGACTCTATACCATTGAGTTCTTCACGCAGGCGGTCCAAAGTATCTCCACTCCTTCCAAGGATCCCAATACCACAATCCGGTGGCTTTGAAGCAATGCAGCTACTAGCAATTGGGAAAGGGTTTGCTGAGATCGGATAAAGGTCGGTGTAGGCCGGTGGGATCGGATCACTATAAGCTTCATCCATTGCCATTGTGGTCCCTGGCATGGGAGTAGGCATCGGGTCTACTGCAAATCGCAGAGGTGAACCAGCAAGCGAGATATGCAATGTTTCGGACCTGGATTTGACTGCTGTGGGACTCGGCTCGTTCGCGACTAGGTCATCAAATGGACTAGGCTCCTGAGGTATACTTCCAACGATGAAATTTTGAGGAATAACGCGAGAAGGCTTGGGGGTATCGCTTCCCATCGTACATTTCAAAGCTGATGGAACGACGATGGGAGAAGAGCGTGGTATATCAGCTGTGATATCGTTCCCTGTTTTCCAGAGAGAACCAAAGTCGCCCCACTCGGACTGGTCAAGAGTGACAGAGGGCGCAACAGAGGGCGCTATGGGGAAGAAATCCGGCGTTGGAGTGGCATCTGATCGCTCCAAATGTGTATCCATTAGAGTTTCATGGCCTTCAATGTCATCGGCGATTTGTACTGGTCTCCTCGAAGAAGGATGCCGTAACGTGTTTGACCAGAGACTGAATCTCGTTGATGACGTCAGGGTTGCAATTGGCAATAGGCGTCGCTCATCGACTGATGAGATCGTGTTCCTTCTTTCCAAAGTCGTGGGCAAGTCTGGGGTCGATACATTGCGAGTGGGAAATTTGGAGCGTCTAAAGACAATTAGCTTGTTGTCACTGGAATGAGACATCTTTTCGAGGCACACATTTGCACGTCAGGGCTGCTCTGAGCCGAGTTGAACAAGCTAAGTAGACTCTTTTTGGCCTTGAGGCCTGTTTTGGTGAAGCCATACATGAGTTTCTTTGCAGAAAGCTTCGCGTTGCCCGAGGATGATCCTGGAGATCCATGATTGCTCGGTGGTGTATTTTCGTCGGTCCGTAGTAGACCCATGGTAGCAGATGATCGGTAGACTACATGGAACAGAGACGTGAAACCCTTACAAAGAAGGACAACAGGTAATGATGGCGCTCGTGCCGGAATGTGAGAGCATACGACAGTAGTACAGTGAGCGGATGATAGTGTCCGAGATGTTGATGGAGAAAAGGGAACACGGGAATGAATGAAGCAGGGAGAAGGCGATCTACTTTCAGAACTTACCTATGTTTTTAATGGTGATGGCAAGGGCACTCTCCATGTTGTTCAGGCATATCAGACCAGAGAAGGAGAGGCTATGCACCTGCGCCTGCGGTGCTGCCGTCAGAAGTACTTGTTCTTCACATGTTGTCAAAGTTTGATCTCTAAGTAATTTATATAGCTGGTTCGAATCCACGGACTGAGGCTGTACGAATGGCTCCAACCAATTGATACATTATCATAAGGGTACTTTGCTGTGTTGTGTCAGCGTGTTGTAGCCTTTGAGGTTGGAGTCGGAGTCATAGTGTGGGCCTGAGGCTGACTACGCGACTCGCGTAAGGGCCCAAGCTCCGAATTAAATTCATCCTGGCTCTAGCTGGAGCGCGTTTTCCTAGTACTTACCCAACGGCTCCACTCCAAAGCCCGCAAGCGCTCATTCATCTCTACGATACTCACTGCAGCGCAATAAATCCACGACGGCATATAGAGCGAAGTCCTACAGCTGACGGTCCGATATTTTGATCCTTAAATACTTCGCCCACTCTCAGCAGCCATGGCTGCCACAAAGGACAAGCTGTCTTTGGATGACATGCTCAAAGCAGGTACAATTTGCGGGGTTTCAGCGCTGCATGCATGTCGTACTGACAGGTCACAGACAGGAAAAAGAAGAAGAACGAGGAACTTTTCAACTCTATCAGGAACAAGGATAGGAGAACAAGTGCGCCCGGAGCTGGTGTGGTAAACTCCAAACGAGGCGGAGCTGGAGCAAGCCTCGCGAGCAGAATAGGCATTAATAAGGTCCGCAGAGCTTGATCCCGAATACTTTCTCGTCGCAGTAGGCCATACTAATGCTCATGTTCTCTAGCGCTCTAACTCGGTTCAAAATCTGAAGACCAGTGCTCGTGGCGGTCGAAGCTCTCAATTGGCACGTACCAACTCTACTTCAAATTTTGAGCGAGGAAACAAACTCTACGCCCAACTGCAAAGTCAGTCTGGTAGTAACATCGGACAAATCTCAAGTGTTACGAGCCCACTTGGGCACACCGGTGAGATCAGCATAAGAGGACGAGCCAGCCCTCCAGCCTACACGGTTGTCGCCAGCAACTTCGCGCCCGGAACGACAGCCAGCGATATCGAGTCCGTGATGTCCCCGTTTGGCGACCTGAAAAGCTGTAGGCTCATCAGTGCCGTGCCTACCGTGATAGCGGAGCTGGCGTTCAGCGAGCGCTCTGCGGCACAGAACGTGATCGACTACTTCAACAACAAAAAGGTAACCTTCGATCACACCTTCTAGTTACTCTCGGACTAATGCTTGTGTAGGCTGATGGTCGACTACTATACGTGTTTCTGAAGGACTCAGTCTCGAATACGCATCCGTCCAAGCCTCAATCTCGCCCTGAGGTCGTCCGGCCAAATCCTCAAAGGGATGTAATGGATGTAGATATGGAAGACGATCAACGAAACATTCAGGTACGAAGAGCAGACCCGTCGCTGCAAGATGGGAGATACGGTTTCGGTGACAACAACTACACGGCTAATGGTAGTGGAAGACGAAGGGATCACACCTTTCAAGGATCGGGTTTAAGGTCTGATGATATGATAGGTCGAGGTCGCGGCTTCAGGAGACGAGGGAACTGAAGCCCTTGACGTTGGAATTGGGGTTACAAGCGATAAGGGACTATGAATGCTGGATACCTTGTTCTCCTGCTATGTATCAAGAGATCACTTACCGAGTTCATGATGGAGAAGGTCTGGCACACAGGCTTGGTATTACTCGGTCACCCTTCGCATGCTGAGCTGGAGTCATCTTGAAGCACTCTTATAATATCTGGACGACATGTTATATCTGGTTGATATGTCTCCTTCTCAGGCTCCCGACCCTTCCGGTTGTATACATAGAAATCTGAGATGATCAACTTTTGTGTCGCAATTACCGTATAAGTACTAGTCTGATCGGTCGGAGTACCCTTAGCCTCCCACTGACCCGCAAACGACCAACAGGACCTCCGTGAGAACCAAAGCTAGGTTTCAAGTCCCCTGGGGATAGTTCCCAAAAAGTAACATTGGTGGCAACAGTATCACGATCAGAGGATGGCTGAGAATGATAATACAGAGTGGGACGAAGCCCAATGTAAGGAAGCACTTGGTCGCCTTGAGAGGCTTCAAGAGCAGGTTAGTATGGGCTATGTGTTCCTCATGACTGCTGCAACTACTAATCATTCTTTCTCAAGCTGGACTGTCTGCGTCCGTGTATTCCACATATCCTTGACCTGCTTCGCAACCCGCAGCCATCGCCTCAGCATCTCGTGAACGAATATAAGGAGACTGCTATTGGCTCATCAAGAAAACTTACTGCTTTCAAAGCAGCATGGGAGTCACAAGAGACGAGAAAGATCATGGGCCAAGCGCAACAGAGTTTTCGAAATGATATGGATCTGACAGCAGGCTACCAAGTCCCTCATTACGGCTGGGCCAACGCAATGGAGCACACAATCGCGACAGAAATCAAGAACGAATCAAATGAGAATCAAAATTCTGAGTCCGATGAGTCGGAAGTAGATGTGTCGGTTGTAGTCAAAGACTTCAGAAATAAATATCCACATATCAAGATTATTACCGAATCAGAAAACAGCGTGCTTAAGGTGCGTAGTTGATACAAGTGTGGGCAGTTCTATACTGAAACATTTAGATTCGTGTCCCTTTCGACCTCTCAGCACTCAGATTCACTATTTCGAGAAACATCAATCTGGACGAGGACAAAGCACTCAAAGTACAATGTGGGGGTTCTGGTTCATTCTCTGCGGCTGTGACAAGATGTATAGCTTCAAGACCATCGCCTAATCATCTGCCTCGCCTTTTGGTATGTCCAGCAGTATCATATACGAACAAGTATCTGACAGTAATAGGACATGATAGCAGCGTTTCATAATTCTGGCTACAATCCCTGCGCTCGTTGCAAAAAGATTATTGATGACAATGGGTTGAAGCCTGCTGCACGACGATCAAGATCTCCAAAACCTCTCGGTGCTGATGACCTTTCCTCCTGGGAGTCCTGGCACGAAGGCTGTCTCAATTGATCTTGACGTAACTTTGGCAAGTCATACCCCAGATCAATGCTGGATCCAGTGAGGAAACTCTTGCCACTGGGAGTATGTGCCGTCATATCCTCGCCACCTGGCTGCAATCGGCCAACGTCGCTTGTCGTTAGAGCCTCTCCAGACGGCATCTGAGTATGTCAAAGGGTTGACACTTCCGTACCTACGACTACGGAAATCGTACCTCTGATACGGCCGCTTTTGATAGAGCTTGACCCATGGCGCTGGTCTCAGGTTATTGTTGTCGAAATTCGGATCGTTTAACCGTGGATCTCTCTCGCTCGGGACATCCTCCATGTACTCCCATTGAGACCAGTGGGAACGGAGTGGGCGATGATCTTTTGCCATCCCTGCATGACCACTCGTTGTCATGTATATGTCAGGTCCTTTATCTCCCAAAATGTCTTTCATTCGGCCCCATTTCGAACCATTCTTCCCATCCTTGGGCCAGACCATCGCATGGTGCGGCTTAAACTTTCGTAAGGGCACACCATTCTGGACCCAGCCAACTCCAGGTACGAGGCCAATGTGTCCGAGAGGATTGGGATTCGCCATGACTTCGAAGGGAGATTGATGAACTTGAGGTGTTATATAAGGCCCCTGAGGATGTGAAGAGCTTTTTTCGATACAAGGAGACTATACCGGCAGGATTGAAGATAGCAGAGGCTGTTTCAACGCAGAGGAGAAAGCGAGATTCGTGCTTCATTTGTTATATCTGTTCACACGGCCAGGTGGCAGCTGTTTGAGACGCAAACGTTTTGGGCGTGCACTGAAAGCAAACCACTATGGCACGCATCGCTGGCTTGACATCCACACGATAGTAGCATTCATTGACGAACAATCCGCGCATGCTTCTCCAAGGGTCGACGGAACCTAGAGACCTGCATGGCCAGTGGAAAAGTCCTGGTGATTCGTCCTTCTACACGCCCAAGATTTAGGCAAGCTTGAGGATTTCTGCAGAGAGAAGCCAGGAAATGACTTGGCAAATATAGTTGTTCAATTGCTATAGGACAGCCTGCGAGATTTTATAACTGAGAAAGATCTGAGCCCACTATGTAGGTTATAGCATGACTTTAAATTCATATGTTTCTCTTGTTCGTTTAGACATGGTAGAATTCTCACATCAAGCGAGATTTTCAGCAACTCAATTGAACATAAACTGGTGAGGCTAAGTGTGACCATTGCCAATTGACGGCAATGAGGATGTGTCACCCGTTGCTTTCAGATATGCTGTATGATATGCTCTAGCGTGATTTTAGAGATTAGGAAAGCCAAATCCTACTTTGAGCAGTAAGAGAACTTCATGTAAGAGTCGGACGTTGATCTAAATGTCTCTTGGTTCCAGTAGCAAATCATTAGATTCAAGATTAATTAGTGTCTGTCTGGTCATCCTCGTACGGAACAACTTCGGCGTTTGGAGCTCTATCCAGCTACCTCGCGCGACGAGCTCACCAAAAGTTGTAGTAACTCTCGCAATTTACTCTCTGCCTACCTCCAGCGCGTTCTCCGGCGCCCAATAAAGCGCGTAGCCGCTTCTTGTTACTCTCTATACCCTAGAGCCTCTCGAACTCTTTCCTGTCACTCCACCATGTCAGGCTTGTTCGGCAATCTAGGCGGCCAAAACAAACCAGCAGTAAGTGGATTGTTCGGTAACAGCGCAACTACAGCGCCAGCATCTACAACAAAACCAGCGCCAGTATTTGGGTCCGTAACCCCTTCGGTTCCTCAAAATCAGAACAGCAGTCTGTTTGGCTCAACAGCAGCCCAGCCGCAACAAGCAGGGATTGGTTTTGGCAACCCTCCAGCGACCACGACATCACAATCGACAGCGATTTTTGGGGGAAGCTTGGGCGCTACACCCGCGTTCGGAAATACAGGACAGTCAAAACCAAACCTCTTTGGTGGTGCCCAGACGAATACGACATCACAATCGACCGGATTATTTGGAGGAGGAGCGGGTGCTACGCCAGCGTTTGGAAATGTAGGGACAGCAAATGCGGCCAGCAATCCGCCCGCTGGAAACAGCTTATTTGGAGGGTTGGGAAGCAATACCTCGCAGTCACAACCAGGTCAGCAATCCATTGGTGGAAGCCTTTTCAGCTCGACGTTTGGAGCTCCGCCGCAGGGGCAAACACAACAGCAGCAATCGCAACCGCAATCGTCAGGCTCGCTCTCGCAATCAACCACGGCTCCTTCGCAATCTGCCTACTTTGACCATCTCCTCGAACGAGGGAAGAAAAGGAATCGACAACAGAATGATGCAGGGCAATTCAACGAGCTCCCGAGCCTACAGCTTGGTCTTGGGGACATTGCTAGAAAAGTGCGCAACCTAGGCGCAAGCGGAGCACCAATAGCTCAAGCGCGCGACAGCAAAGCGTGAGTAAACGCAGTCATTGTAATGTGCACATACTTATCGGAGACATTAGACACTATTTACTTGCAGCGTCAGGCGTTTCGACAGGAGCTGCGTTGAAAGACCTCAATTCGTTCAAGGCGCAAGCTGGGATCGGGGCAGCGGTGTCTTCCCAGGCCGCAGATACCGACGTAGACACGTACATTGCCAATCTCCAATCACAATCCACACTTGCTATGATTGCAGAGGGTTTGGAGCAGTCCAAGCGCGACTTCGATACATTTCTGGAAGACAACGTTCAGATGGAATGGGATGCGCAACGTAAACGTATATACGAACACCTTGGCCTGTCTAAGCCACATGAGGACATAGATGGCGAACATAACTCTCCGAATCCAGCAGTCCGGGGCGCTTTTGGGAAATCTAGCCGTCGGAATCGATTAGGAGGTACCACAAATGGTGCGGGAATGTCTCTCAGGGGAGCAAACATGGGTCGATCAGTCATTGGGACACCCAGCAATAGCCGATTTGGCAGAAGTCATGCGGGAGCAGACACCGGCGATAAATCAGGTCCTGGTGCTCAGCCAGAGAATCCATTGACCCGTGGCAAGCAAGAGAAGTTTGCAGAGAAGGTCAGGGGTCTGAACACAGCGAGGGATAGAGACTGGACTTATGCTATTCTGGCGCAATTCTCCGAAGTCGAGTCACAGTCTGGAACAGACGTGAATAAGATCCATCTCAGGAAATTGGAACTATGCTAATGGTTGACCAGACTTCGCAACAATACGTAGATGCCTATAAGGCACTCATGAACATCACTGGAGAAGTTGCGACGGAACGTCCGACTGATCCTGGGTCGATAAGGGAACGACAGTATGCGAAAGCATACTTAGATGATAGCACAAACACGGCCGACAGCATTCATATACGCAAGCGCATTCTGAGTGGATCACTCAAGTTTTTGGAAAACAAGTTCGTCTCCATGGGTAAAGCGCCAGAGCTGAAGCTAACCAGCATTCTATCAGATTTTTACTCGACGTACAAAATGCGGTCGACAAGAATCGACAAGAAGCAGCTCCAGGCGGTGTTCCATCAATCATCAGTACCGTACGTGCTTACATCACACTTCGTGCGAATCGCAAAGAGCTCTGCAAGAATCCCGATCTACTCCAAATAGTAGGGGATGACTACTGTTGGGTAGTAGTCTTCTATCTGCTCAGAGCTGGCCTGAACTCAGAAGCCGTCAACTATGTCAAGGAACGTGAGCGCGCTTTCCGGGCATTTGATCGTCGCTTTCTAGAGTACATCACAGCTTATGCGAAAGATCCCGAGCGAAGGTTGCCGCGTGAGAAGCAACAAAGCTGCAGTAACGAGTTCAAGAACCGCATGCAGAATCCAGACCTAGATCCCTACCGCCAGGCCTGTAACAAGATAGTTGGACGCTGTGATCTTGGAAGGCGCACTCTTGGAGAACTTACTCAAGGTATGGATGACTGGGTATGGCTACAGTTCAATCTAGCCCGCGAAACCAATCGTGTCGAAGACAGTGCGGGTGAGGCCTTTGGTCTGGACGAATTGAGGAGTACAATGGCCGAAATTGGCAAGAAGCATTTTCCTCTGGGCACCGAGGGCACCAACGGCTTTACAGTGTTCTTCTTCTTACAGATTCTGGCGGGCATGTTTGAAGAGGCTGTAAGCTACCTGTACCAACACAACTATGTATCGGCCGTCCACTTCGCCATCGCTCTTAGCTACTATGGGCTTCTTCGCGCCTCAGACTTTGCTACATCCGGCTCGGAGATCCTCACCTTTACGACACGGAACAAACCACAGCTCAATTTTGCTCGTATGATTGGTCTCTACACTATGGACTTTCGGGCTGCCAAGTCAGATGTCGCTGTCGAGTATCTTATCCTCATTGCTCTCAACGCCGATCTGCCCGGTCAACTCGGCCAAACCCACACCGATGTTTGCCAGGAAGCTCTTCGGGAGCTCGTTCTCGAAACGCGTGAATTCGCGTCTCTGATCGGCGACATCCGCAACGATGGCCAACGTATCAAAGGCGCCATCGAACGCCGTCTTCGCTTAGTCAAGCTCCAGTCGGACAATGACTTCCTGCGCAAGGTGACCATCAACGCAGCACATGTCGCCGACAGCAACGGCCGCATGACCGATGCCGTGCTTCTCTACTACCTCTCTAACGAAATGTCCAAAGCCTTCGACGCCGTTCTACGCGTCGTGTTCGAATACCTCGCCACCGACCTGGGCACGTCCGCCACAATCGAGCCCCTGAAGCCACGCGCGACAGACACGCAGGCCAACGCACCAACAAACAGTAGTCTCAGTCTCCTCGCAACTGAAGACCCCCTGCAGCTTGGCGAAGCCTTCAAACAGCTGCGCGAGCGCTGGGGTGACGTGAACAACTATACTACGCAGACCATGGAGCAGGACGCGCTCTTGAACGTCCAACTGCTCATGGTCAAAGCGAAGCGGCTCGTCGAGGCTGGGAACTGGGGCGCGGCGCTGGACTGCATGACTCAATCCAACATCCTCCCACTCTCAGCCAAAGGAAACACAGCAGCCATCCGGCAGAGCGTGACCAACATGAACCAGTGGGACTACATCATGCGCAATGCCGGCAACTTCATTCTCTGGGCCATCCTGTGCTGCGGCAAGCAGCGCGAGGTGATTATGCAGCGACAGTACGAGAATGCGCAGAGCAAGAATGTGGCGGACGACTTGCTGCAGAAGGCGCGGGATCTCATGGTGTTTGCGGGCCTGGTCCGGTATAAGCTGAGCCCGAGGGTGTACGAGGCGTTGGCGGAGGTGGGGCAGGATGTTGGTGTTTGATGAGGGAGATCTGGGGAGGCTCGGGAGATGATTGTTTTCGGTCTGGTTGTGGGGGTATTGCCGTGGTTTGTGGGAGCAATTCGCACGATGGGCACAAGTCTCGACGTGATGAGAGAGAGAGAGAAGGGGAATGTATGATAGAGGCAAAACGCGGCCTAGCTGGTTGCTTGGATAGATGGAGAGAGACACAACGATAATAAACTCTGTGTTTGCCATGACGTTGTGTTGTCTCTCCGGGATGATTATAGATGCAAGTTCATGATTCTAATTACAATAGTCCAGTGTCGGCATATGGCGTGTATACTGTAGTGAGGTACTAGTATCGCCGCCCCCCAGGCCACCGACGCGAAATATAATTCAAAGCCATTAATAGTGTGGATGGAATACTAGTGTTTGTTCCAAGAACTCCAACAGTTTTTGATTGTATCCATGTCGTGTTGGTAGTTGGGGGAAGCGGGAACATGTATGATGTATCGTGGGGGCCTACCTGCTGGTTATAGATGGGGGCTGTCTGTCATTCCATGCATGCATGCAAGGTATTTTTATTCTTGATCTGATCTGATCGTAATGCTCTGAGAAGAGAAGTGGTAGGGATAGATGAGGATGAGTTGGATAGGTAGGCATGCATTTGACGTCATGTTCTGTCTATCATGGATGTTGAGGTGTGTCACGGGGTCGATTCTCGAACTGAGAACTGCCATGTTTGGGGCCATTATTATTATTATTGTTTACAAGTTTTTGTTCGGATGTGAGTTGTACATTTGCGTTGTTTTGGTACGTGATTTGATCCATATATATTTATTTATATCTCTATGTTATGTTTATACCGTTGGAGGGACATTGTCCCGATGTAAGCTCAGCTAGCTGACAATGGATCTCTTGTTCCTCCAAACGAGCGCACCCATCCTGCTCCTGTGGGATGTATTTAGCAGCAAAAGTACAACGGTTAGCGTTTCGACAGGCTCTCCCCGTCATGGTAATAGCATGTATGTATAGGCAGTTTCGAGGCACATATGATAGGTAACATTAGGAACCCCCCTCTTGGCGCAAGGGCAAGAAGTCGTCAAACAACGGGGTTTTCGGGCCGGAAAAACAGCGAACCGCGAGGCGACGAACCGCAAATGAGCGGCTTTTTTTTTGGGTATTCAACAGCGTACTTAAATATAGACTACTATCTTATCACGCAAAGGCATCGGCGTTTCTCGCCTACCCCACCCCGCCCGGTTGATTGGGCCTTGTTGTTAATCATCTCAGATCGATCTGGGATGGGGAATCCCCCATTCGGCCCGCCTGAAGTCGTTTTTTTCTGTTTGTGCTTAGTATAGATAATCAGTAAATAACTCACACGTCTGATTGTGCTTTGACGAGTGGCGGATGCTTGTCCTGCAAAGCGTCTTGGAGGCAGCTTGGCTTGGTTCCTGGATGGATCCGGATTAGGGAGGTCGATGTGCATGTTGCAACGATAGGGGCGCACGTGTGACTAGAGCAGAACAGAACAGAACAGAATGGAACAGAATGGGAACGGAGGGCAACTCTCGATCGAGCAGCTAGGTCGTGGTACGAAGACGGATGACCTGTTCCAGAGATCATGCGCCGTAGAATCAGGATTTCATGCGCGCAAAGCAAAGCAGATCTCAAGGCAACTTATATAATAAGGCCTGCCTGCATTTACCAAATCAATTTCAAATCGAATCAAATAGATCAATCACAAGTAGTCGCACCAAAGAATATGGCAGGAGCTGCATATAGTGAGACTGGGCCATCCTGAATTGGGAATGTGTAGTAACAATACTGTAACAGGATGATAGAAGGTTAGAAAACATGACACAGAGAACGTGATGCGAACAGTTGAAGCAGCCCCTGAAGTTTCGACAATGGATAGGCGGCGACGGGCCTTCGGAAAGGACATCGATATGGCTGCCTGCCTGAAACGGACGGCGATGCGCGGGCGGGCTCATGTGAACTGTCTGTCTGTCTGTCACCCATGGCACCACCACCACCACCACCACCTGTAAACCCCCCTAACTAATATGCCGGGTAATAGAGTGGACTCTCAGTGGAGTAGATTGCAGGGTACATACGTACCGAGGACGCGTACAATAATAATTAGCTCATCCAGGACTTCGAGTGATTTTTGCGGGGAATTAATCTACTCTTGCGCTACAGAAAAGGGTTCTGTGCGATAGGTAATTAATCTAGGGGAGGGGTTCAATAATAATTCCCTACTAATACTGTATGTATATAATTATAGTGTGCGATGAATGGTGGATCGGCCGGGGACCCCCTTGCCAAGCCAAGGAGTGGTTAGTGTAAGCGATGTTTCTATTTATTGTATTACTACTGGAGGAATGAATGGGGTTCCGGTGGATATTGTCAGAGATGGCGCGGCAGTGACATTTGGTATGTATGTATGTAGAGAGAGAAAAGGGAGAGAGAGAGGTATATTCTCTATTTGACTTGGGACTGTGCGTCCGTGAAGGAAGTAGTACATGGTCTAGTATGGAAGATTTACTTTGTAGCAGGTAATGGCTCGTACGGTACTCAACTGGCTTCTTACTGTGGAACTACTAATTACAGCTGACGTTGGAACTGCACACAAAGAAGCCAAATCTATAGCGCTGATTTCGAGCGCTGGCAGAATGCTGAGGAATGCCTTGTAAGCGAAGGGGGCGTATCCATCCATAATGTTTGCGAAATGCTGACTGGAAGAAGAAGCCCTGAGGCTTTGTTCAGCCCGTATTCCTTATGTTTTCTTACACGCCTTCAATGGTCTGTCTCTACTTCTTGACGTGAGAAAGTAGTTGGAAGGATTCGCATTCCATATGGAATGTCACCAGCCTACTGTTAGTGTTGTGTATAGTGTTGGCTATGGGGAAATAAATAGAGCGGGGAGTGACGCTTCGCATGAGGAACTAATGCCACACAGACTGGTGCAGGGGCCAGCCAGCAAGGCTAAGCTCTCAGTCGTGAATTATCATCATGTCGCTGTACTTGCTGTACGGACGGTTTCATACCAGCCGTACAGTAAGCAGGTATGTGGAGACGCGGTGAAACCAGGGGGTTGCAGCAGCAGTCAGCGGTGTATCGGCGCAATGTGTGGTCGAATTTCTTCCTGGAGAATCGCAGAGACAAGCAGCTGGGGGGGCAGGAGATCAACTCGACCAGAAAGACAGAGGAATATGTACAAACAGTTTGAAGATGATGATGATGATGATGATGATGACGGCGGCGGTGCAGATTTGGGGGTGATGAGGAAGTTGAAGTGTTGGAATAGTAGTCGAAAATAGCGACAAGGGGGGCCTGGGGGCAGCCAAGTCCGCTTTGTGCCAGGAAAAATGGGCAAAAAAGCCCCCGAAGCCGGCTGGGGTTGGTGCCTTGTGCTGCCTCTTTTTTTCTCCACCGCCGCCTCCACTGGGTCGAGTGCCTTAATTAGTCCCTTGCTGGTATGTATGTAGTAGTGTAGTATGTAGTGTAGTCCCCCCAGTCCGCCAGTCCACCAGTCCACCAGTCCCCCAGGTCCATAAAGGCCACGTTTCGCCCTCTCTTTTCCATCCCCTTCCATCTCCTCACACACACACACACACCAGCAACAACAACAACAATACACAGTCATCTCCCTCAAGGCTGCCACTTTTTGTACCTGTTTGCATATTTATCCCCGCACTTCCTGCACGTCCTGGTTCCAGGTTTTGTTTTGTTTCCACTCATCCCACAATGTCGACTACCACCACCCTACTCAACTCCTTGACACAAGATCTCCTGACCCACAACACCTCGACTCCCTCTCCACCGCAACAGACAATCAAGCTTGAGGACATCCAGAATTCCCCGATGCCTCAAACTCCGCCTTCATCAGGCACAATGCCTGGTTCGCTGTCCAAACCTCCTACATCCCACCCCAAGGATCAGAAGACACAGCCTAAGAAAAGAAAATCATGGGGCCAAGCCCTCCCCGAACCCAAGACCAACCTCCCTCCTCGTAAGCGAGCAAAGACCGAAGACGAGAAGGAACAAAGACGCATCGAACGTGTAAAGCGTAACCGTCTCGCCGCCCACAACTCCCGCGAGCGTAAGCGTCAAGAGGTCGATGAACTCCGAGACGAGAGAGACCATCTCGCCCGTGAGAATTCTGCTCTGCGGGAAATCATTGCGAAATACGCCCAAGTCGGTGTCAAGATCGAACTCACCGATTCTCAGCAAAATGTCCTCGACTCCACTGAGACTGCCGATTGGATGACCATGAATCCCCGCAAAGCCTCGTACGACACCTCCGGCCCAGAAAGCTCGCCGTCCCTTGGCAGCATTGAATCCCCTACCGATACCACCTCCCAGCCGGCAACCCCAGCGATGATGTCCATTCCTGAGCCCGATTTGACACAACATTCTGCTGCAATGTTGTGTGACCTGCAGTGTCAGTCGGAGCTCAGCAATTGGCATCTTCACTTGGCAAGCCTGGCTACGACAACTTTCTTACGATGGACCCAATCATCCGCGACGAGCCTCTCTTCCAGGACAATCTCTTCGACCTTTCCACGGATGACGACAGCGCCTCTCACTTTATGAACTTGAACTTTCTCTCCTCCGTCAACGAGTTCACGGAAGCTGGAAACGAGCCCTTCTTCGAGTCCTTTGTCAACTTTCCTGAACAACGCACTGCATGAGCTTCTGGCTTGCTCGCCGAACATTGGCGCAACAACTTCTTGTTAGCGACGGTTCTGGCATTATAGCATCCGGGTTCCCGCCTTCGTTTGTTCTTGAGTTTTGACAAAGTACTTGGGAATGTCCGTTACCAACACCTACGACTCAACGACAAGAGAATCAGTTCAAGTCAGGGGAGGCGCTCGGCTGCCATCACCGGCGATGCAGCATACATTCGTGGGGCCAGCAAGGAGACCACGGCTTTCGTTTTGGGTGTTTCACTAGCGAGCATTTTGGCGTCCTCAAAAAAGGATTTTGACGCATTACGTTTGGGCAAGCTACTCGGGCCCTTGGGGATACCGGCACTATCACGAAAGCGCTTCACGGTAGTGTCTTCGAGTATCGGAGTTGTAGGAGTATCGTCTCATGAAGACCACATGTAGTACCACGAAATATATGAACTGTATAATAGAGCATCTACTCTACCTCGTGATCTCGTGATCTATGTGATTGTCTATCCTGACCGTGATGGCGTTTGCTAATACGAGATGAAAGTGTTTGTTTTGCTTATTCGTTGGTACAGTATCCATTTGCAGTTTCCCATCCCCGCAAAATGTGCGCCTGGCTAGCACAAGCGAACCGAACCAATGATTATCGTGACGGGGAACTATATCAATAGTGGAGCCAAAAGCGGGAAGCGCGACCAGAATGATCAAAGTGACGTCAACCGCTTCTGCTAATTAGCCACCTACCTCCGCAACCTCAGAAGGATCTTAAGAAGAAGAGCTCTCCATTCTCTTCCAGTAGTAGACACATCATTTCTTCTGAGCAACACAGTCGAGCAAGCAGTCTTTCTACTACAAACTCTGTTTCCAAAACTCGATCGGAACTGTCCCCCAATCAAAGATCAACGTCAAACATCTCCAATCAAATCAATCAATCAATCAACATGCCTCGCGACGGATCCGGCGCCGCCGACAACGCCATCGATGCCGGTCAGACTCAAGTGCATGGCGTAGGCAAGAGTGTACGTTTCTTGTGCTATTCGCTTGTGCATGCGTTTGTTCATTCATTCATGCATTAATGCATTCCGCACTGCATTCAAACACGTTTTCCACATTCCCAACACTGTCTTTTCCATTCCACAATACATTGCAACGCTAACGTGTGCATGCAGGATGCCATCCCAGACCACACCAAGACCAACGTCGCGCCGATGCCCGAGCCGGAAAAGGGCGCGGCGATTGAGGGCATGGATGCTAGTGGTGGTGGCTCGGCGGGGATTGCGCAGCGTACGAATGAGCAGCTGCAAAAGGAGGCTTTGGGGAAGAAGTAGAGTAGAGTGAAGTAGGTTGTGTTGTGTTGTGTTGTCGTTTAGCTTGAGGCTCTGAATGTATAACGACCGTTGACGAGAATCGATCGATGTGCTGCTGTGATTGTGTGATGTGTGCGATTGTGTTTGATCTGCGAAAGAAAGCGTGCATACATCGTTCGTGAGACCATGTGGAAGGAAAGTATACATTCGTGAGAGTATCGTGAGACAAGACGACGCCCCGCCCAGGGGTATACGTAGAAGATACATCCATACCCATCCCAAGAAAACAACCAGACGTTAGGAAAGATTGAACGAATACATCCAAGTCCATCCAAACAGGAGGGTGTACCGACCCGAATCCCATCCAAGCAAGAGGTTATACCGACCCTCTCTGAAACACCATCATCATCATCAAGTCGTTACAACCAGATCCCCAGTCCCACATCAAGCCCTCTCCACCGCCGTCCTCCCCGTCGCAGGCCTCATCGTCGCCCGACTCGCCTTGGGACTCACAACCCCATGCCCAAACTGCCCAAAACTCGCATCACTAAAGCTCATGCCCATCCCCGCCGCCGCCGCCGCCGACGCAGCTCCCACAACCGGCCTCTTCACATCCTCCCTACTCACCGGCCCGCCATCCCCACCACCAAGCCCCCCAAACCCCTTCTCCGCCTCATCCACGCCCGCCAAACTAAACGTCCGCTGCCGAAACAACTCATGCTCCAAATCATCAAACTCCTGCCCCGGATTCGCAGTCTCATACTCCAGCACCTTAACAAGCCTGTACAGCCCCACCGCCAACAACGCGCCCATCACCGGCCCCAGCCAATAAATCCAATGATACCCATCAAACGCGCCCAGCACGACCGACGGCCCGAAGCTACGCGCTGGATTCAGCGAGCCCCCTGTAAAGGGCACGGCCCCGAGCTCGGAGATGAAGAGGGAGAGTCCGATGCCGATGGGCGCGAGGTAGGTGCTCTTGTGCTTTTCGGCGGCTAGCATGATGATGCAGAAGGTGAGTTGGAAGGTGGCGAATAGTTCGATGAAGAGGCCGCGGGCGACGGTGGTGCCTTGGCCGAGGGTCGTGGCGACGGCCATGTCGCCTGGGAAGAGGCCGGCTACGATGCCGGCGGCGGTGATGGCGCCGAGGATCTGGGCGAGGAAGACGGAGAGGGCGCGGAGGGTGTCGAAGGCGCCGATGCAGAGGAGGGCGAGGGTGACCTTTTGGGGGAAGGGTTAGTTTTGTGTGTTGTCACGGTTGTGTTGCTTTGGAGAGATAGGGTTGGTGGTAAGGGGCTACTTACAGCAGGATTAAACAACCCCCCACTGATCCGGAAGAACACCCACGCGTTGACCGCCAACGAGAACCCGAAGCTCAACGCAATGAACATGACGACGCTGACATCCGACGTGCCCGACAACGCCGGCGTCGCGGTGGTGATGTTCTTGGCCGCCGTGTTGGCAACCTGCGTGCCCGTGAAGGCGAAGAAGAGGAACAGGAACGTGCCGACATATTCGCCGATGAAGGCAATGAAGTGGTTGCGCAGACTGTTCGGGAGCGCGGACAGGAATCGGACGTTCTTGTGTGAGGGCACCCGCGTTACCGGGTATTGGGGACGGGCTGTCTCGCCGGAATGGGTACGGACTGAGTCCATGGTTTGGTTACTGTAGAGTAGGACAGGACGGCCTGGCACCGACGACAAGGTTGTGCAGAGTAGGGATATCCTTCGGACGAAAAGGCCTAGTGACCGTCTACCAGTAACGAAACGCGGCGTAGATCCTTTTGACAAGCAAGGATCCGGGATTGATACAAAGTAGACACAAGAGAGATATATAACGCTAGGAAACGATCATAGAAACTATACAAAGATCAAGAGTGGACTCCGAAACGAGTTGAGGAAAGAAAGAAGAGACTTGATGACGACGGCAGAGCGACACACATAAATATACGTCCACAGGGACATAGACGAGACGTGAGCAGACGCGGCAGAGATACCTACCTACCTACTTAGTTAGCAACTATGAAGATATTCTCTCTCTCCTTCAAAACTTTAAACTAAAAAGATGACGCCTTTCCGCAAGCCTCCTTGGGGCAAGATGGGGGTGTATCTCCCCAAGCCCTTCATGCCGCTCGCAACGCTATCATCTGCATACATACCGATTGCCAAGCTGTAACTCCTTCTGGCAAGCAGGCATCCCCCATGTGTAGATCTTGACCAGGCATGAGGTACTGGATGGCTTCTTGAACGAAACTCAATCCGAGTCATCTTCAATGTCGTTGGCTGCGACGGAAGAAGGGGGGGAAGGGGGACACGGCACGACGTCTGAGGAGGGGATCGGCCTGAGCGTTCAGGCAGGCCGGCCTGTCTGACTGACATACTCATTGGTCGACGCTGTCTTGTGTTGCATAAGCGGGGATTCAGGAGTGCGATTGTGTGTTGGAGATGGTGAATATCGTTTCTCCATTCAACCCTCAGGGTGGCTGGATGGGGGGCAGAGATATGATGATATTGGTGCCTGACGTGCGTGTTGGCTGAAGTTTAAATCTCGTCTTTTCCCGTGTAGATCTTGTCCCGTCGTCTGTAACTAATTAGTCGGAAGTCGCACTGCGATGGATCGGGTTTGTGCCGCGATAATCCCGAAATCCCCGTGTGTGCCGTGTCCTTGAAGATCGTCCTGACGCCGTTCCGTCTCTCTCTCTGTCTTTGATGGTTGAATTGACCGAGGGATGTTGATGGTGCTGATGCTGATGCTCGTGAAGCGTGCTGTGAATACGGCCTCTTGCGTCGTTGTCGAGTCAGTCAGTATGCAGGCATGAGGTCAGATCGTGGAGTTTTTGCAGTATTCGGCACGGAAGCTCATCAGCCCAACATCATCTCTGGCTTCGGTGTTGGCTCAGGACTCAGCCTCTCCTCCAACACTCGTTCAGTCCACCAAATGCTGACTGTGGGTAATTGTGGCATAGTCACTACGAAACCCTTGATGGTCCAACGCCCCCTCCTAGTGTCAGGATCCGTTCACGAACCGTCGTGTCTTGCAAGCGGGCCTCCTCCGGTATAGCTACTGTCTACATGTATAGCTCACTATAGCCGACTAAGTGTCTAAACTCCAAGTGCTCGGCTCTAATATATCCCTAGAGTCTGTGTACTCACACAAAACTCCTATACACAGAGGAGAATGCTATAGGAGGCGACACAGCCATATGCTCCTTCTGGCTCGAAGCAGGGAAGGTGTTGGTCTGAGGGCTATGTTTAGATTGACGTCCAGGTACAGGAGGTCAGCTCCGTATTCAGATGGATATCGGACTGTTACCTTGTATCTGCCCTGCACAGCCAGCCATACACCACACGATAAACTCACTTCGCATCTCAAAGTCACTCTTTTTGTTTGAAATCTTGTCTCCTTCCCGGTCTTCTATCTGCAGCAACAGCCACTGAATTAACCCCTATTCACTTTGACATCCACCTCTCTTACCATGTCGCATCCCTCATAACCATTCTCACTCTCTATGCGTATGCGCGTAAGATGTCCTCCCTCGCCGCCGAGCGAAGAGCAAACCGTCAAGAAGCCCGCGACGAAGCCCTCACCAGCTTCTTCCGCACAACGCCCTACCTAATAGCCGCAATCTTCCTCGTCTCCAGCATCGTCCTCGCCCTCTCCGCCGTACACGCACATCAACTCTCCGCCGAGCCCACATCCCACGACAACAACAACAACAACGGCGCCGTGAAGTTCTCCCTCATGTACATATCCATACACACACATCCCTCCTCTCCCAGCCACACCCAAGACTAACACCCAAACCAGCCAAATCCTCCTCTACACCTCCCTCGCTCCGCTCCTCACCATCCTCTACGCCCCCCTCGACGCCGCAATCTACTTCTCCTCCCACCACTCCTCCGTCTACGCCCTCCTCTCCACGCCCCTCCTCCTCACCTCCTGGCTCACCACATCCACCTTCTGGACCCGCTGCGAAATCATCCTCATCCCCCCAAATACCCCCCCATCAAACCCAAACATCCACCTTCCCCCTTACTGCCCGCAGCGCAGCATGCGCGCCCCGCAAATCGCCCTCCAGAACGCCGTGCAGATGGCCAAGGTCGCGCTGAGCTGGCTCGTCGTGCTGGCGTATCTGGTCTATGGCGTTATTGCGCTTGTGGCGGTTGTGCGTGGGCGGCGGGAGAAAGTGCGGGGTTTGGAGCTGGAGAGGAGGGTTGTGGAGGAGAGGGGGGATCGGGCGGGTGGGATGGTGTTTGATGTTGGTGGGGAGGAGAAGAAGAAGAAGAAGAAGAAGAAGAAGAGGCAGATTTGTGCGAGCGGTGATGATGAGGATGATGGCAGTTTGGGCGGGAGCTGGGGGAGTGGTGGGTCGGAGGGTAGGACTATGAGTGATTTGGAGAGGGAGGCGGAGGTTGTCAAGGGGAGGTATCTTTCCGGGACGGGGACGCTGGAAAGGGGTCTCTGATGGGGGTTGAGGTGGTAGGGAGTGAGGAGTTGTCCGTGTGTGTGTGATACCCATCCTGTACTTTGCAGTGTTTTGTTTCATGAGCGTCTTTGCCGCCATGGATGGCTGCCTAATAATGCGCTTGAATATATCACCTCCTATCACGCTTTCCAAATCCCTGGAAACTAGTTTCTACTGACTGTTCCATCCATGTATTTGTTTGTTCCCTCTATGTTTACCCCCAAAAATTGCGCCCCTCCCAATTCATGCCAAAACATATATATCCCAGCGAGCCCAACTCATTCAAGGACAGTCATCCCCGTCATGCGCCCAGTTATCCGACACCCAACCCGTTATGATGTCCGTCAACGTCCCGTTCATGTACAGTGCGATATCATCCTTGCTGCGCTTCTCATCCAGATATTCGAGCGCGAGTAAGATCCATGACTCCAGAAACTCGTTGTAGACGACGTCTACAGCTTGCGGCTCCTTGTCAGTCAGAGTCTCACTGTCTGAATCGCCCAGTCCTATCGATGCCTGGATGCAAGGCGGGACGTTGTAGAACTTGATCTCGGAGTGCAGTGTGTCGTCGCCATCGTCTCCAGCGTCATCCTTCGTTGTGTAGCCTGGTATCAGCTCTGGCTTCTTGTCGCCGAGAGGTACCTGGCCGTACGGTTTGTGCTTCCTTAATGGAGTGACAACAATTGTCTTGTCATTGTCATCATCTCCCGACTCGATCTCTGGCAACTCGGGCATGAGCCTGTGAAGCGACCCACTTACTGAGGCTGACAGTGCCTTGTCGACAACAATCGGTCCTTCGTTGTTCAACAGCTGTAGGAGTTTCTTCGCTTTCTTGTACGGAACGTCTCGCAGGTAGCTGAACTGGCTGGTGAACGGCGAGATGAGGAAGGTGGTGTCTCGTGTGAATGGCCCCTTGAAGACATCGAAGCGCATTGCTCCTGTGTTTGTGATAACGAGTGCTGGGTGGCCCTTAGCTGCCCGATGCGACTGCTTGAATTGGCCCGGTAGCACTTCGTTTTCAAGCCAGGTGAAGATGCTCGTACCGCTGGGGTAGGGTGCGCGGTTGACCCAGTAGTCCTGAGGGGCACAGCCGTATCTTGTGTCCAGTGTGAGGTTCTTGCGGGCTTCGTGGATTAACGCGGAAGTCTTGCTGCCGGCCGAGGTAGTGAATGTATCCTGATCTGTACCGCTGTGGTGTCGAAGGGAGAAGAGGTTGTTGTCAATATAACGCCGAGAGAAGGTCAAACCTTTGCTGGCAGACACGTCCTCGCTCTTGCTATGCCCGTTCAGACCGCTAATAGACAGAAATCCAATTGTCTCCATGTACCGGCCGCTTTCGAGCGCAGTCGTCTTGTCATCATACCTCTTGAAGTCTCGAATGTGGGTATGCCCACCAAAGAATTGCAAGGGTGTATCGTATTGCACAGATCGGATGGCCTTGTATATAGCATCATACTCTTTCGATCGTATTGCCACATGCCCGGCTACGAGGATGAGGTCTACTTCCTCGTCTCTTATAGCATACTGAAACCAATCTTGCTTAATGGTATCCTCCACCGTGTGGACAATCGTGTTATTCGAGTTGCCTGTAAAATCGTAAAGGAAGCCAAAGACCAAGACCCGAATGCCTTGGTTCTTCGTCGTTAGCTTCTTGTATCTGCGGGCAAGTGGCTCGAAGTTGCCCGTCTTGGGGTTGAAGATGTCCAGGTTGGATGCGAGATACTTGTCTTTGAAGTTCGGCACAGTGAAGTTGAGCTCGCCCTCTGACGAGCTTGTCTTATATAGCTCATGGTTTCCAGAGCAAATGAAATCTATGTCTTGTTCTTTCACAATATCGTATGTGTAGATTGCTTTTGGGTCCGAAGCATCTGTCAACCCGTTTCCTTCTATCCTGTCGCCGGTGTCGATGAGTAGTAGATCTTTGCCGTCCGCGTCCGCTCGATCTCGGAGGTGTTTCGCGAATGATATATAGTCTCCCCAGTCGGCAGAGTATGACGGTCTGTATTAGATTAGATCATGGCACCGGGGTGGACGTTAGGCTCGAGCAACCTACTCTTGTAGATGCCCAGCGAACCAGCCATGTACGTCTGTTGTCTGCCTACTACAAGTCAGTTTTGGTCTTCCTGCAGGAGTATACACTATATACGTACAGGAAGTTCAGTTGGCCCCAAGGAAGCTCTCGAAGTGGCGCTTCTACAGGTGCTGGAGCTGACGGTTGCGCGGCAAATGCTGCAGTAAACAGGTGGGAAAGCAACAAGACAGACAACATGCTGGAGGGTATCTGGCGTGAGGCTATTGTTGAAGGAGAAAGCAGTAGTCGTAGCGACCGATCGAAGTGATCACTGGTCAGTAGACAGTGGTCACCTGCAGGCCAAACACCGCGACTCCACGCACGAGCTCCAGCAGCTAGCCATGTAATGATTAGGGCAGTCTGTTAGTAGCAACTCCGCGAAAACAAACTGCGCGCGACAGAGTCTTGAGTAGCGTCATGAATATGATTAGAATTAGTAGTCCTTATAAAAGAGATTTAGACTATATTAATATCTATGGAATGTATACTACTCATTTGTTTAGATCTGACTAGTATATATATTACTTCTACTACTAGAATAAAGTTAACGATATTTTATCTTTCGTATTATATAGCACTCTTTTACTAGGTATAGAATTTAGATATATTAAAGCGCTATTAGTTTATTTACATTACTTGAAATGCCTTATAAGATCGTGGTGAAGTGTGACCTTATAAATAGATCAGATCAAGGTTGGCAGCCTTCAATCGGCGTCGGAGCCTTGTGGAGGCCCGTGCTCGTACATGCCATACTAAGTTTCTTTGACGCGACAAAAATTATTCCAACCACAAGTCTTGCTTCACCACCAACACTATTGCATCTTCACGCGCTGTCAGCTGTTTCGTGACAGAATCTTGACGGCTGAAAACTCTTCGGCAAACTCTCAAATTCTGCCCTTCTCGCGCGAGCGCAAAGAGTCGTCGCGTTCGTCATATTCCCTCCAAAACAACAACAGTCCTCAACGCGCCAGTTATCAATCATCCACGATCGGAGCGCTAAAGTATCCATCATCATGCCTCCTAAGCGAACTCAAGCAACAGCTGTCGATGGCGAGCGCGTATCGAAGCGTATCAAAACAGTCGTCGCTGCCAAACAAGAGGCTGAGAAAGCGCCAGCCAAGGCAAGCCTGAAAGCACCAGGTACCAAGAAACCCACAGCTGCGCAGGCCGCCAAAAAGGCCACGGCTGCAAAGGAGAAGGAGAAAGCCAAGAAAGCTGTGGCCCCCAAGAAAGCCGTCGCAAAGAAGGCAGCTCCGCGTCCCAAGAAAGCCGCTTCTGTAGCTCCCTCTGCTTCAGATGAGGAATCAAAACCAAAAGGTGACTATGATGTTCCTAGCCTAAGTAAGTATCCCAGCCGTAGCCACCGAGTATCTGGAACTGACAAATGTCTAGGTAGTTTGAAAGACCTTCCGATCATCAACGACCCACGCTACACGAGAATACTCGATGTCTTCGTATGCGGCGAGGGCGCGAATGGCGAACTGGGCCTCGGTGACGCGAAGGGCCAAATGGACGTGAAGCGCCCACGCCTTAACAAATTCCTTCACGATAAACAAGTCGTTCGCGTCGCCAACGGCGGCATGCATGTCCTTGCGCTTACCCTCGACAACAAGATTCTCAGTTGGGGTGTTAACGATGAGGGCGCCTTGGGTCGCAATACCAAATGGGACGCGCCGACCAAGGACATGGACGCTGCGGAGGACTCCGACTCCGATGACGACAGTACTACAGGCTTGAACCCTCTCGAATCAACTCCAATGGAAATTCCATCAGACCGCTTCCATCCAGGCGTTAAATTTGTCGATATCATTGCTGGTGACAGTTGCTCATTTGCTCTCACCAATCAAGGTCGCGTTTATGGCTGGGGTACTTTCAAGAGCAACGAAGGCACCCTCGGTCTGACCCCTTCTGTACGTGTCGCGCGTCAACCAGTCCTTCTAGACAGCTTGAAGAACATTACCAAATTTGCGTGTGGCGCAAACCACGTCTTGGCTTTGGACAAGAAAGGCGTCGTCTATGGCTTCGGTGCTGGACAGCAACATCAGCTAGCCCGTACTATTATCAAACGAAGTGAGCTCAACGCTACTGTACCAACTCACATCAGTATCAAAGACGGGCGTAGAGTCATCAAGATCAAGGATGTCTCGTGCGGCACCCATAACAGCTTCGCTATCGGCGAAAACAACCACGTCTACAGCTGGGGACTCAACAATTACGCCCAGTGCGGTATCTCGGATGATCTTGGAGATGACGAAGGTTCCATTGTCAAGACACCTACATGGATTGAGAGTCTCAAGGAGGTCAGCAGCGTTGAAGGAGGCAATTCACACTCGATTGCTGTTGCTAAGGATGGTGACATCCTCGTGTGGGGTCGTTGCGACGGCTCGCAATTGGGTATCGATCTGAGCAAGGTGCGAGAAGACCATATTGTATTCTCGGTTCCTCAAGCAGGTGCTCTCGTCCAGAAGCGCTCTCCAAAAGTTGTGAAAGTTCCAACAAAGGTCACTGGTGTGGAAGGAAAGGGACAGTTTGCAACTGCTGGTCCCGACCATTGCATCGCAATCAATAAAGCCGGCAAAGCTTATTCGTGGGGCTTCAGCGTTGCCTACCAGACCGGCCAAGGCACTACAGACGATATCCCAGTTGCTACACTCATCGACAACACTGCAACTCGCGACCGAAAGCTCATGTGGGCCGGTGCTGGAGGACAGTACTCTGCCTTTGCTGCCTATCAAGACGAGGCACTCAGGGTCAATGGCACTTCCTGAATCGACTCATTTGATCTTCGTCATCGATCAACTAAACTAAAAGCACCAAAATCGATCTGATCCACTCTAATCGTTCTCACATTCATTGGAAGGCGTTTGGGTTACATCGAGTTCTGGTAACAGTTTGTTCGGGCCTCTGCTACGGCATATTTGCACAAGGTAGCGCGGAGTTCATGGCGTTCATGATTGCGTTGTATTCATATTTCACTTTACCAACCGCCGCCTCAATTACTCGAACCTCGGTAGCTCTCCTTTGTACGCTTGATTCTTCTCGTTCGGGCCAGATCTGTTCCTCGCCTTTCGGCTCGAGGCTAGTTCCAGCGGCTAAGAGGTGGCAATAATACTGTACTCAGGACAGACTTGACTGAAAGAAGATTGTGAGACTTGCTGGGTGCTGGGTGCTGGGTGCTGGGTGGGTCAGGCTGGATCGGGCTGGATTGAGAATTGGTTATAAAGCAGGGTGGCCTTTCTGTTTGTGTTTTTGTACTGAGTCAGGGCATAGTTACATTATGACAAAAGGGTTTGAGTTTGAGTTCGTACGCTTGGGTAATTAAAGCTCGTTTCCCACACAAATGTTCGCAACATGCACATCCGTGATATTCTGCAAATCTGGATTCTAGCCACCCTACCTCGCGCTCCGTAAATACCCTATCACACCTCCACAGTACCCAACAAGCCTGCCCAGCCTCGTCTTCTCTTCTTCCTGCACCACCCTCCACTCCCGCAGTTTCTCTATCGTGCCTTCGTCCCCCACGATGGTCTCGCCGTGCACTCTCAACAGCACCGCCATCCACGCCTGCACCAACTCGTAATCCCGTCGTTGCCTCAACCGCACCGTCAGCGCGGAAATCAACACGGGAAGTTCCATCGGAGTCAGCGAGCGGAGCGCAATATCCGCCGCGGGAGGCGGAAGCGCAGATAAATGCGTGAACAGCGGCACCGGGTCTTGTTGCGCATGCGAAAACTCTGCAATGAGCTTGCTGAACGCGTCGGGGGCAGATGACATCAGCGAGGCTTTCGTGACGCGTGATATGGGCCCTGCTGTTGACGCGAGCGCTCCGTCGCCGGATGTCTGGGTTGTAGTGTTTGCGTTGGCGGTGCCTTCGGGCCCCTGGTTGAGCGAGGGGAGAAAGAAGGGTGCTTTGACGGGTTTCTTAGGGGCCTCTATGGGCTTGTTTCGGGCGCGTATGGTGTCGAGGTGGAGGAGGTTCTGCCAGCGGGATTTAGGGACGAGACTGAGGGTCGTTAGACTCTCGCTGAGCTGGTCCAGGGACGGGGCGGATGTCTGAAGGTCCTCCTCCTCGTCGTCGTCGTCTCCGGAGTCGGAGACGAATGCGCCTTCGAGCACGTTCTGGCCGCCTTCGCCAGAAGCTGTGGGCATGGCCGTCTCGGCAATCTCCTCGTCGGAGATGTGGCGTTTGGGCACGTGGGCGAAGAGCGAGCGGTTGGTCCAGATACTAACACCAACGCTGTCTTCCTGGGCGGTGGCGAGGAATTCGCCGGTGTTGGAGAATGCGAGGGCGGTACATGCACTGCGGAGCTTCATGGCGTCGATGAGATGGCCTGTTGGGAGATCCCATACGCGGACCAGGCGGTCCGAAGTCGCGGCAACGATCCACTGGCCATCGTTGGAGAAGTCAAGGTCAACGACCTGGGAATCTGAGCTCCAGAGCTCTCGAATGAGCTTCTTGGTTTCGATGTCGACAACGCGGACGGCGCCGTCGGAGCAGGCTAAGGCGATGAGATCGCTTTGACGGTGATATCGCATGCTTTTGATTGTGGTCGTGGGGTACCAGTCCAGTTGATGCTTCAGAACGCCCGTTGCAAAGTCCCAGAACTATACACATAGTTAGCAAATATATGAAAGCTCCCGGGTCGTGTGATTATACCTTGACTTTGCCATCAGCGCCACAACTGACAACTGTGCGATTGAGACTATCAACGACAAGACCTGTGACAGCATTCGTATGTTTTCCTTGGCCGCGATGGAATTTTTTAGGTGCGCTATATGGCTCCGCAATGATTTCTTCTTCCTCCTCTAGTTCAGTCTTGAGTCTTTGGGCTTGCTTCGGTGTCAATGGTGGAGGGAATCGTTGTCGCCTCATGCCGGATTGCAAGTTGTACATGCTTATACTACCAGTTGTCGAGCCAACTAAAGCAAACGTTCCACAAGGAGAGATTCCCACAGTCTGTGATGATCGTAAGCGTTTTTAAAATCTTCAAGGTCGGAGTATGAGTTTCGACTTACGCTGACAGGGCTGCCGTCTCCCGTTGGAAACTTCCAGCGACCAGCCCTTTTCCTGCCCCAGAACCATGTTCTTGCCATTTTATCCCCCTCATGGCCGGTCACAACACTCTCCCATCCAGTAATGCTACTCTCAGCTGTATCCTTAGGCCCTTTATACTTGTCCGCGGTGGTCCAGATTCCCTTTGCAGACGGAACAGCACCGATTCCACCATCTCTATTCAATGAACACGCGATACAAGTAATCTTTGGCGCCTTGAGATCCTCTAGTGTGACTCGAGAGTCGATAGATCCGAGACCATCTGTCAAGGCTCCTGTCTTCTTTGCCTTCTTCTCGATCTGGCCTTGACTCAGTTCTGTACTCTGCCCGTCTTTCCGTAGGCTCCAGCCCCATAGACTTCGATCTCTGCTCGCACTCAGCAACCACTTACCACCACCTTCAGAGCCATCGAAGTCTGAGGGTAAGAACTGTAATGATGAGAGTGGCGCAGCGTGCCCACTGCGTGAATGCAGAATCTGGGGAACAGGGGAGAACGGCATCTCGTTGAATATCCACGTCTTCAAGGCATTGTCCATACCACTTGTTACTAGCACAGCTTGGCCGTGTAGGAACTCGACTTTGCTGATACCACCAGAAGCACCGCTCTCTACAGATGGAGGGTTGTGTGCACCACGCAAGACACTCATCTTTCTACCGCCTTTGTTTAGGTCCCAGAATGTGACATCTCCAGTTCCTTTGCATGCAGTCGCCATGACTCCAGATTTTGTGCCGTCACTACCGGCACCGAGACCGTCAGTGCGAAACGTGATGGATGTTACTGGGAACTTTCCGCCAGAGCCTGTCTTGAGTGCGATCACAACCTTGTCTAGTCTGATGTCGTGTATGTTCAGAGGCCCTCCTGCGTATGATATGGCGAGAAGCGAGAGCGCGGGACTTGGTTCCAGTGCGACAACTGCCCCATAGTCCGCAGATTGAGGCAGAATGGTGTATACTAATCTGCCGGTTTTGAGGTTCCAGATTTCGACGCTGCCGTCACTTCGGCCGGCAAAGATTTTGTTCAAGTAGGTTGGCATACTGCAAATCCCGCCACTCAATGTATTTCTTGATCCCGACATCAGTGTCGTGTAGTATTCGAAGTTTGAAGCCTGCCAGACAATGATCTTAGATTCACAGCACGCCACTATCCATGAGCCATAGACAAGCAGCTGCTTGACATTTTCATCGAACTCAGGAGGCTTCTCCAGCTCATCGTGCGCTTTACCACGCTTGTACAGCCATACGCCTCGAGCCGCATCCGGGCCATCTCCTCCCCATGCGGCCAGTGTCTGGCTGTGTTTCCAACTCGTGGTCGCAGTGATCAGTCCTGGAGTCTGTGGCCGCGTCAAGAATATGAGGCTGAGACCGCGCTTCAGATCATAAGTCTGCAGACTCCTGCCTACGGATGTCGTGATGTTGAAGGTCGTTTTGCCCAGCGCGGCGGTCGTAAAAGGCACATCGGTTGGAGACACAAGGCCTACGGTCTACTTTTGTTAGCACTGGCTGTCTCCAAGCGGCGAGAATACACCCACTCTGAACGGGGTGAAAATCCGAGAGTGCGCGACGGCCTTCTTCGCACGAGGTTTCTTGGACTCGGCATCTGTCTTTGTGCGTTTGACGATGGGTCCGTCGAGAGAAGCGCCATTCTGGACAGTGGCTGGCATCGCGTTGCTGCAACTCACTACTCACTTGGGCTGCGCTTCAACTTCTGCTTCGACTTCTTCTCACTGCAGCGCTTCCGCAAAAAAAGTTCGGGAGTGCTCGGACGGGACTGCAAGTACATCGTCGTGCTCAGATATACCGCAGGAGAACGCTCTTGCTGCTTGTTACAAGTGCGATGATTGATGATTAACCTACAACTTCTCTTTTACTCTCTTTCACTCTCATGTATACTTGCTGAGCCCATCTGCTCATCTTTAATCAGTGTCCATTCTTTCACTCGTATAAGAAGTTATCATTCTCAAATCTCAACTTCCAGAGGCTTACGGCTTGCGGCTCAGATATCCGAACGAACCTTATGCAGGCCTGTGCGACTAGACACCCCTCGACCTTGTCGGCCCTATGCACGTCATAAGGCGGTGAAAAGGCATTGGCTATCGTGTGACGCTTAAACGCTAGTCGCAAACTATCCAGGGAGTAGAGAGTAGACCTTTCTGGATATCCCACTCTCCCTGTCATTGCGTGGGTTTCACTCGGTCCTTCACTACTCAAATGGATAATAGCCTCGTCAGGACCGTCAGCAGTGAAAGCACGCGTTCGCGCGCCGCCTCCTCCCACCTTCTCACCTCTGCTACACCCTCCATTTCTGCCAATCGAAAAGGTCGCAATGCTGAACCTGGTACCACTGCTGGCGCCGTCGAGCGTGCCAGCGTGTCGATGCCTCCCCCTGCCTCTAAGTCTGTACCGAGACAGTACGCCGAGCGGAGAGCCTCAAAGGCGTCAGATACCGCGGCTGCTACCGTGTCGCTGCAGGACAATGCAGGTTCGCGGCACCTTTCCGATGCCCATCTGCTTGACGATACAGACATCACCCCAACTTTAGAAGGTTCTCACCCGCATCTAGGGACTGGTCAATTGGCTCTGCCAGATGCCATGATTCCACCTTCAAGATCAGATCCTGAACTTGAATCCAACAGAATGTCTTTTTCGTCCCTGTACTCTGTTGGTTCGGCCATATACAATGCCGCCCGGGGAACCAGCGGTACGAGCTCAATCACAGGCTCAGAGCCTGAAGGTCAGACTATCATTGGGATGAGGCATGAAACACGTCTAAAATGTGAAAACAGCTCGAGTTGAACCTCAGGTCTCTGTACATAATACAGTCAATGGTCCTGGCACGTCAGTCTCATCATCACAGCTTCTATCAACGGCCGATCCAGTAATTAGTGGTACGCCAATTGCTGCGTCAGTGCCCTCCTTGCGAGGAAATGAAAGGCGTAACACACGCGGCCGAACTATTAACCAGAGACGGATCAGTGGTAGTACAGGTGCTGCCAGTAGTACTAGTCCAGGAAGTCGTGACTTTAGAGACGGTGAGCTTCGTCGAAGTCCCATAGGCATCATTGGAGTCTGTGCTCTAGATGCAAAAGCAAGGAGCAAACCCAGCCGCAATATATTGAATCGTCTCATTGCAAATGGGGAGTTCGAAGTCAAAATTTTCGGTGACAAAGTTATTTTGGACGAAGACGTCGAAAATTGGCCAGTCTGCGATTTTCTCATCTCTTTCTTTTCAGATGGATTCCCACTGGACAAAGCAATTGCGTATGCTCGACTTCGAAAGCCTTTTTGCGTCAACGACATACCCATGCAAAGAGTTCTTTGGGACCGCCGACTATGTCTTAGAATACTGGATGCGATGTCAGTGCGGACACCGCAAAGAGTAGAGGTGAATCGAGATGGAGGCCCCACGATACCCTCGCGTGAAATCGCACAGCGCGTCTTTGAAAAAACAGGGGTGCGACTTGATGGTCCAGATGACGGTACTGGTGGTGGCCTTCCCCCTTGCCAGAATGTGGAGCTTATCGAAGACGGAGATGCACTGTATGTCGATGGCCGCATCATCAGAAAACCTTTCGTTGAGAAACCAGTAAGCGGAGAGGATCATAACATTCACATTTACTATCCGAAACACCACGGAGGAGGTGGTCGCAGACTTTTCCGAAAGATAAACAACAAAAGTTCGGAGAAAGACGAGACCATGATGACTCCTCGCTGCATCAGTGAGCCCGACAGCAGTTACGTGTATGAGAAATTTCTTCGTGTAGAGAATGCCGAAGATGTGAAAGCGTACACTGTTGGCACCGGATTTTGCCATGCTGAAACTCGCAAGTCACCAACAGTCGATGGAGTCGTCAAACGAAATCCAAACGGCAAGGAGATACGTTACGTCACGAGCTTAGATGCCGAAGAGTCACTCATGGCAGCTAAGATAGCTGAAGGCTTTGGTCAGCGAGTGTGCGGCTTCGATCTCTTAAGGGCTGGAGGTAAAAGCTACGTGATCGATGTTAATGGATGGAGTTTCGTCAAGGACAACAACGATTATTACGACAAGTGTGCCAGTATATTGAGGGACATGTTCGAGAATGAGAAGAAACGTAAAGACGGTAAACAATCATCTGCACCATCTGCAACCCCTTCAATCAATGACGAAGAAGTATTCACGGACTCGTCACATCGCTCGTCACGGCAGCGACAGCACACACTCTCTAATCATCGCGCGCAATTGAAGTCCATCTTCCGATCACCTAGCATGTCAAAATTACTACACCATAATCCTCATGCTAATTCTCACACCCAAGGCACTACATCTCCAGATATATTGACCCAGACCACCCCAATCACCTCTCCCCCGAGCTTCGAGAATTCATACCGGCCACCGCCATCCGCCCCGCCAACTTCACAGCCAGAATTTCTCCCTCCCCCAGCGGTAGAGGAGGCGGCTACGGATATGGCTTCGGTATCACTACCAGACGACCAAATCGCTTCTCCTGTGCCTGCGCCAGCTTCTAAGGCCCAATGGAAAATGAAAGGAATGGTTTCAGTCATTCGACATGCAGATCGCACGCCCAAGCAAAAGTTCAAGTTTACATTCCACACCAAGCCATTCGTAGAGCTGCTCAAAGGTCACCAAGAGGAAGTGCTATTGATCGGTGAAGCTGCTCTGAAGAGCGTTGAGAAGGCTGTCAGGCAAGCCATGAAGGAAGGTGTAGAAGATCCAGAGAAGCTGAAGACGCTTGCAAACTCGCTAGCAAGAAAAGGAAGCCAGCCGGGGACAAAGGTTCAGATCAAGCCAATGTTCCGTAGGCGTAAAAAGGAAGAAATGCTACCAGGAATGGATGAAAATACCTCCGTTGAGTCGCAGCAATCACAGGTGCCAGATCTGGCCCAAGTCGGCTCGTCTCTCAATCCTACAATAGAATCGCCAGGAAAGGAAGGGAAGAACAACAAAGACTGGATTCAAAAAAGAAGCGAATCCGTTTCCGGTGGTCTTCTATCCAGATTCGCAGCTGCAGAGAATAATTTGATCCTCGACAAATTGCAGTTGATCATCAAATGGGGTGGAGAGCCTACTCATGCAGCTCGCTATCAAGCACAAGATCTCGGGGAGAACATGCGAAATGATCTTCTACTCATGAACCGTGAGGCTTTGGACAATGTTCACGTATTCAGTAGCTCCGAACGCCGCGTTACCACGAGTGCCCAAATCTTCGCGGCGTCTTTCCTCCATCAAAAGGAGGTACCTGAGGACTATATCTCGATACGAAAAGATCTTCTCGATGATTCAAACGCAGCTAAGGATGAGATGGACAAAGTTAAGAAGAAGTTGAAAGGTCTACTACGCGATGGCGAGAAGGCTCCCACACAGTTCGCTTGGCCGCAGGACATGCCAGAACCAGCTGAGGTGGTCAAGAATGTTATAGAGCTCATGAAGTTCCATCGTCATGTCATGCGACTGAACTACGCAAAGTTGCAAGCGGGTGCAGTATCTTCACTGGCCGCTGTCTCAGAGTCCCAAAGCAGTAGCTCATCCCAATCTTCCCCCGGAGTCAATGCCACATCCCAAAGTTCCTCTGGGGCCAATGCTATTCAGCCTAGGTGGTGTTGTGGTGAGGATCCTGCACTATTCAAGGAGCGCTGGGAAAAGCTTTTCTCTGAATTCTGTGATTCAGAGAAGGTTGATCCCAGTAAAATCTCGGAGCTCTACGACACGATGAAGTTCGATGCGCTCCATAACCGTCAATTCTTAGAATGGATCTTCACCCCCGAGTTAAGCGAAGAAGCGGTCGAAATTGCGACTGCCGGTTCAGAGAGTACTACCAGTAGTGAGCCTCGACGAACAGCTGATGTTCCTGCCGAATTACTCAAATCGAATCCTAAAGAGCCGCATGGTGGTGACAAGCTACTTTCAGACAAAGGGTCCATTGGGCAGCGTATGGGATTTCGCAGAAAGTCAGAAGCTCTAGCTGCAGTCACCTACAAGAACCCAGTTTTCAGTTACCCGCATGAGTCGTACTTTTCGCTCTACAAAGGCATCCCAACGTCTGCAGCTTCCAGAGCGAAAGTGGACGCGCGCTTGGCCAAGCTTCGTGAGCTTTACAAGTATTGCAAAGTACTTTTCGACTATATTGGACCACAAGAGTATGGTATAGCGAATACTGAGAAACTTGAAATTGGCCTCTTGACTTCTTTGCCATTGCTCAAAGAGATCGTGCAAGACCTAGAAGAGCTACAATCTTCCGAAGGTGCACAATCCTTCTTTTACTTCACCAAGGAGTCACATGTCTATACCTTGCTCAACTGCATTCTCGAGGGAGGTATCAAGACGAAGATTGACCGAAATGCCATACCAGAATTGGACTATCTCTCACAAATTTGCTTTGAACTCTACGAGAGCCAGAACGTTACGCCGGAGGACGAGCCCAATTCGTTCAATTACAGTATTCGCATCACGATCTCACCTGGCTGTCACACTTTTGACCCACTTGACGTGTATGTTGTCTTTTTTGACGCTGTTGGTGGCCATTACTGACATGAGACAGACAACTTGACTCGAAGCATAGTATTGGTATTTCACCACGCCGCAGTCTCACAGCACATCATGACTGGAAAGAGATCATTGAGACTCTTCGTGCAAGATTTCACACGTACGTCCAGGTTTGCAAGACTGTCTAAAGTTTACTAACAATGCACAGGGTGAAATTGCCTAAATCGTTTGTTGCCATCAATCTCTCAGAAAAGGTCCCTCATGCCTTCAATCTACCTAACGAGACTACCGCTTCTGAGCCAAAGGACGAGTCACTCTGAGCAATATTCTTACTAGGCCTCTTTGAGGCCTACATTCATTTCCAATGGGTAAATAAAGGGCTAGTAAGTACATAGACACAGGGTCTACATTATCTTACGAGATGCTCTTTGGCATTAGTGGTATTTTAGTACAATGCACTCTCTTTGGTATTCGGTGTACGTAGAGCAAATGCATTGGTGTACAAAGCTGGTCTCACAACTGGAATCGAAGGTTCAAGCCTGTCCGTTTCAAGTGCTCGAAAATTAGATTAGAATGTGTATGATCGATTGTCTGGCTATGCCATTGTACTATAATATGGAACTGAGCATATGCTAATTCCCCAATGATTGCAGATGGCTGAGGTTACCTTAAATAGTAGGACGCCTATGAAATTGGAATGACGCTTGATATCCCGCGTAATCCTTGAACATACACACACTAAATGTTCATTGGACGTCGAGGTCTGCATATATTCTCCCACAGAGACATGGAGCACGGGATGTGCGAACCGAACGATGCTATTGAGTCAAATCAGGTGATTCCCTCACAAAGTAGAGACAGAAAAAGTTATGAATTTCTTTCTCATTTGATCGTAACATAACAATTTTACGGATGAAAGCGATACAACCAGGGGAAGAAGTGGAACACCAAGCCGAAGAACAGACGTATCGGCGCTCCTCGAGGGAAACTGACGTCCTTTGAGGTAGGACAGACTGCAACGCCTTTCATGTCGTATTGGTCCTGGTTGTCTGCAATTTCGACCATGCCAGCTGCTAGATCCAGGAAGGAGAGTGGCATATCCGCCTTCTCCATGCTGAGACGATGACCCTTTTGACTATCATCCGTCAGCGCTCCAGGTTTCACAAAGGTTGCAGATACTAGGCCGTCGTCTTGCGCGCGAAGGTACTTCTCGGCTGCTTTGAGATCGTCGTACACGTAGGAGCTCGTGCGGTAGAGGAGCCACATGATAGGGGCAGGGGTGTCTGGTAGAAATCGATGATCGGTGGATGAGGAGGACAGGACGACGAGCCTGGGCAGACGTTCGTTTTGGCTCTTTAGTTGCTTGAGGGCGGCAACGACGGCGTGTGCGGTGTCTTGACAGACTCTGGTGCCTGGTCGGTTACCACCTGTCTCTGCGGTGGCCAAGAAGGCGGTTTGTGTTCCGCGAAGGCAATTGGATAGTAGCGTCGTGTCATCCAGGCTGCCTTCGAAGACTTCTACCTGCTTGTTGCTGTTGATGCTAGGTTGGAGTTTGGAGAGCTTCGCCCATGAGCGGCAGTAGGCGTGTATGTGGGTTTCGGGAGACTGTAGAAGAACGTTGAGAATAGACTGGCCAACGCTCCCTGTGGAGCCAAGAATAGCGTAAGTAGGCATGGTGTATGAGGATCAGTGAATTTGTATAAATGTATGTCTCATGTTCACGCATCGACGAGTCCTAATATATATCTGTTGAGTGTGTCAGTAGAGAAGTTAGCTTTGATTCGGAGTCTGCGTTTCCCAGAGGGCAGGACGTCATCAATTGCCGGATAGAGGTAAACCCACGAGGCGTCAACTTCGTAGAGCCGACCCGGGTTCTAAGAGATGTCCATGGGCCAAGGCAGTAAAGTAGGAACGATTCAATCGTATTCCAACATTTGGATGTTTCCACTGGCGAAAGCTATTCGAGCGATCGCAGAAACCGTTTATGACGTCGGCGGCCCTTGATGCGATCTACGAAGGCGCATGTTAGCGCGCGGCCTTTGAATCGACTATTCAAATTCCAGCCTTGCCTCGTGCCTCGTGCCCGATGATCATGTTATTTGGGGGTTTTGAAATTCGAGAGGTAAAGACCGATCACGAGTTTTCATCGCTGGTCTCCAGACGCGGACCCAAGGGTATTGATGCTTTCAATGCATCGGCCACCGACCTGCGTGATCCGGACGACACGGTTGTATTGGGAGAGCTGATAGACACAAGAGTCCGGACATATTCTAGGTGAAGATTTGCTGAGATAGTCTCAAGTGCACACGCGAAGCTACATATCTACACCTAAGACGATGTAGATATTCCACTGGTCCAAATAGGGCGAAGAGTAGACTCAGCATCACGAGCGCTGGAGTGGACGAGGATATTGTTTCTATGCCGGTATTCTCTCCACGCATCCAAGTCCAGCTTCAATGGATTATTGTCGTCGTGCCGGCAGATCTGGATCTGAAGGAGATGAACACGTTGATAACGGGATTAGGAACTGTGAATGCCTGACTAAATGCCTTACGGTGACTGGTTTGTCGGGTTGCCCTTTTGGGACTAGTGCCCAGTCCCTCGAACTCCGAGATGGGAGAACAGGACTCCAGCTCTGTGGTATTTTGTATGTCTAATCATTCTCGCAAGACTTACCGGCGCTTCCAGTCATCATGTCTTACGGCCTGACTCACACAATGTATCTCAGCATACATAAAAGGACTATGATTCCTGATCTCTTAACTCTTTCGCAGCTTGCACTATTCAAGAGACCTGAGTGAACTTATAGTTGACCCCGCTCCACCAACGCCACCATCGTGCCTTTGACCCTCATAGCAGATCGTTGCTTCACCCGATGACCACTGATTGATAGAACTAATTGACACTCTAGCTATCAACTATGCAGCATTTCACCTACCCCAAGGGCAAGGACAACAAAATCGGCCGTCACCCAGAGCGGGTATGTTTCTCGCTCTTCAATCTTCACTTACCGCCACTGACCTTTCTTCCAAGGGTCATTACGATGCTACGACTGTCCACTCCATCGTCAACACCTCACCCGTTGCTCATGTCTCAGTCAACCCTTCTCCAGAGTCCCCGTACCCTGTCACACTGCCGATGATTGTGCGCATCGCACAATACGAGAACGATACCGAACCACACGCCTACATTCATGGCTACATCTCAGCCCGCATGTTCAAGCTGCCCAAGTCCCCTGATACTCCCAATGCTACTGAAGAAGGTGTACCTCTCAGCATTGCGGCTACGAAAGTAGACGGCCTTGTCCTAGCCCTCACCCCGTTTAACCATAGCTATAACTACCGCAGTGCTATCATCTATGGCCACGCGCGCCTTCTCGACCCTACGGTCTCTCCGGCCGATGCTGCAGAGAATCTCTGGGCTATGCAGCTTGTGACAGACGGCATTGTTCCGCAACGCTGGGACAATTGTCGTTCACCCCCTGATGCCGGCGAGATCGCGAGCACGCGCATACTGAAAGTTCGCATCGACAGTGCGAGTGCAAAGATCAGGGACACAGGAGTGAAGGACGACAAGAAGGATCTGAAAAATGAAGAGAACGTAGACAAATACTGGACAGGGGTCATTCCGCTGTGGGAGCACCTGGGAGAGCCAGTACCAGCGAAGACAAATGGAGCCAAGGAGCTACCAGGTTACATCAAAGATTTCGTGAGCAATTGGAACGAGAGAGTCGAGCAGGAGGCCATGGTGAGTGCAGTACCGGAAGGCATGGAGATCAAGAAGAAGGAGGGAGGTGGGTGGCTTGCTGGGTGGTTGAAGTAGTGTACGCAGATATGCTAGATTTACAGACCAATGCCCGTTCATGAAGAAAGCTCTGCTTTCTCGCTGAATCATGCGACCCCTGGTGCCTGGTACATCGAGTCTACAATTGAGATGATGATATCACCAGTACACGGCCGATAGAAGTGTAGACGAAGCTAGCCAGATGAGGCCATTGATTGACGGAGAAGGTCTGCTGTATAGTGTAATATGACTTTCAGATGGTAATGGTTGCATGCTTGAAGAAGCCAGACACATAAAAATGATATGTTTGTTGCGAAAACATCAACTTCCCCGCCCCCGCACTAATAATCGGAATTCCGCCAGCCCTATATTTGGCAGCGGGCGCGGGGCAGGGCAAAGCGGACAGGGCAAGCGAGTCATTCTCGGATCCATGGGTCGGTCCATGCACCCGTCACGAGCACTTCATCTTTAGCTTCAAGGTCACTCACAGCTAACTGATACCTATTCTTCTTTGTGACTTACGCCGGGAGCCACCTTCATTCTCCTACACCAGCTAAGAGGTATAAACGTCACCTCTTGTCACAAACACTTCTACAGCCTCAGCATCTCCATATCATCTCGAACAGGCACCATGTTCGGCTTTATAGCAGACATCTTGACGTGAGTCTAAGCTACCTTACATCTTCCGATTAGGCGGTGACTACAAAGAGCTTCAGCTACGGCTCACGAGATATAAAGTGTCGATGCTGACCTCTCGTCTACAGGTCTGTCATTACCGTACTCTTCCCTATCTTTGCCTCCTACAAAGCCCTTCGCGCATCCGACCCAGCCCAGCTCGTACCATGGCTCATGTACTGGTGCATCCTCTCTCTCCTGCTCCTGGTAGAATCCATGTTCGCCTTCATACTGACCTGGATTCCCTTCTACTCATGGATCCGCTTCCTCGTTCATTTTTCCCTCGTCATGCCCGGATCCCATGGTGCCACGATGCTCTATCAAGAGCACGTTGAGCCGTTCCTTGCACACCACGAAGAAGAGATCGAATATTACATTAGCGATGCACATGAGAAGGCGAAGTCCATGGGATTGGCATATCTGAAGCTCGCAATTGAATGGGCAAAGGTCAATGTCATGGGCATGGAGCCTTCACCGCGAACACCACCGAATAGTAGAAATACTAGCCAGAACTACGCGCAACAGCTGCTAGGCAAGTTCATGATGCCTTCTGCTAGGCCTTCACACGGCTCTGGACCCGGTGCAGATTTGTATGGTCTTGTGACGCAAGCTATCTCTAGTGCTTCGACATTCTATTCAGGATCGCGAGATGCTCGAGCAGAAGAAATTCAGAGGAGTGGGACTCTTATTCCAGACGATCTCAGGGGGAAAGACGAACGCATGTTGTATGTAAATACGCAACGTGAGGGACTGCATGTGCTACTTCAAGCTTATGACCGCGAAGCTATGGACCTAGAATCCGAGCAAGAAGGTCGACCCGACTTACCCAAGAGCCGAAGTGAGGTTGACTTCGACAAGATCGATCGCGATGAAGCTTCTTCAGGCAGCGGTAGTGGTGGACGGAGGTCTCCTGCGCCTCAAGGAAGTTGGATGCCATGGAACTGGAGTGGCTCGAAGCCTTTAAGCCCTACCTCCAGACACAATCCGCGGGACAACATGACTAGAGGAAAGACAACTGGCGCTGATCCTGACCTTGCTTATTAGATTTCGTTATTATGACCTCATGACAACGCCATTGGCTTTTGGGTAGGCGTAAGAACTGGATTTCATGCAAGGGCGACACTCGACTGGAAGTATCACAACGTCCAGCAGGACACACAGTAAACGATTTGTAGAGATTAGATACTTTAAGCGCGCTTGTAACCAGCTCACCTACTGGCAGTGCCCCATAAATCTATGTCATCATATATGTACACAGTTCGAGAACTTGAACCAATTACAGACTCTTTGTATAGTACATACTCATGCTCATTTGCCGGCAACAGTTTCCTTGAACGGATATCGTACCTGGTCATCTTTCCTCAGCATAATCTTTTTTTTCCTCTTTGTGGTGACATGCTCCACCCATGCCTCTCTTCCATATTCAGCGAGATGTTTGCGTATAAATCGTGGATCCCAGAGCTCGGACGCAATGCCCAAGTCCTTGCAGCATCGCATCAATGCATTGGACTTGCAGCCTTCGACGGCGGTCGGGATCCCGTCGGGATCAAAGTACTGCATCTCACCGCGGGCAACAGAGACAAGTCTGTACACAATTAAACATTAGAACTTGAACCAATAGGTAGGACACGTAAAATGAGAGACCATTGAATGGAAACAAAGAGAGCGAGACATACCTCCCGCCAACAACCAACCCATACTCCCTCGTAACCAGCTTCCCCGTCACAATGCTCTCCCCCCTCGGCGCCAGCCCCCAGCTGCCCGGCCCAAACGCCTTGTTCAGAATCCGCCGATACTTGATCTCCGGCAGGTAGATGATCCCGTCCGGCTTGATCTCCACATCATCAGGGTTCAGCGGCGCAAGCAACACTTCGGCCGCCTGCGGGGGGAACGCGCTGTCGCCTAGCCCATGGTATGTACGAGACCAGTCGATCGCCTGCGCGCTGGGGTCCGGTGGCGGCGGCGAGTCGACGAGGCCTTCGGAAAGATCGTGCGTGCCTGATGTAGCGGCCTCGTTGCGAGATGTTGGCGGAAGGGGTTCAGCGGTCACCGGGCGAAACCTTCCGGCGACGACGTCGTGGGTGTTATTGCTGCTGCTGTCTGCGGCAGGTTTGGCTGTGGCGGGGGCTGGAGCAGCGGCTTGAGAAGACGATGGAGCGGGTGCTTTTGCGGGTGCTTTTGTGGGTGCTGCGGGCTTTGAGGTTGTGGATTGGGAGGATGATGTCCCTGTTGCGTTTCGTATCGGCGGCTTGAATGTGTTTCTGGAGACCGGGGTGCTAGAGGCGAATCGTATGTATGTGAGCGTGCTTTGGGAGTGGGCGCGGGTGTATGATGACATTGCAGAGCAACGTGTGAGAGCCCGGCGGGCGCACGTTGAGCTCATGGCAATTAGGAGTGGTCGTCGATGAGGATGCAGAGCAGAGCACCGACGTCAAACGATAATTAGTTTGGGAGGTGAGGTATATCAGATTCGAGTTAGGCTGTGTGTGCCTCAGGCATAAAAAAGGACGCTTCTTTTGGCTCGACGAACTCCGCTCCGTCCTCCGCGTTTACAGTTCTCATCACAGGCATCAAGGTCTATGTGCTAAATTATATTGGGACAAGGTCATTGAGTTGATCATCCCGTAACGACACATTCGTGCGATCCTTGCTGCCTTCACTACAGTCTCGTTTTCCGAGTTAGACGGTATATGCTTAGTACTAAACCTGTCGAACTCGGGTACCATGGCCTAGTTCGGAGGCAAGAATATATATAAAGGCTGGGTCTGGATACCGTATTGATCCAATCGCATTGGTAACTCCATCAACATGGTCGCAAGTCGGAGACTGAACGTGCTTGTTTATTCTGGTAAGTACATATCAGATGATCACGTATACTTGGAATTTATCATTCTCCAGGCCATGGTGCGACCAAGGAGTCTATAAGACACTGTTTGTACACACTGAGGAGACTCCTTTCACCGAATTATGCGGTCATCCCCGTGGATGGAAACATTATCCTCAAAGAACCGTGGTCTGCGACGTGCGCACTTTTAGTCTTCCCTGGAGGCGCCGATACAGGCTATTGTCGGACACTCAACGGAGATGGCAATAGAAAGATTACCCAATTTGTGAACCGCGGTGGCAACTTCATCGGATTCTGTGCTGGTGGCTACTATGGCTCCAATCGTTGCGAGTTCGAAGTCGGAGACAAGAAAATGGAGGTCGTTGGCGATAGAGAGCTCGGATTCTTCCCAGGAGCTTGCCGTGGTCTAGCGTTTCCAGGATTTGTATACAATAGCGAAGCTGGTGCGCGAGCAGTCGAGCTGAAGGCCAACAAAGATGCTTTTCCGACCTCCATAGGGCTGGAAGCCCCTTTCAGAGTGTACTATAACGGTGGTGGCGTGTTTGTGGATGCCGAAAAACTGAAGAGCCGAGGAGTTGAGGTCTTGGCTAGTTTTACAGAAGATTTGAATGTCGATTCCGGGGAAGGGAGTGCTGCCGTAGTCTATCGTAGAATTGGGGAAGGACATGTCATTCTCACGGGGCCTCACCCAGAGTCAGCACCTCGTAGACTTTTTCTGATCGATTGTACTAAGATTAGACAGGTTTGCCGGTATCAATCTCTCCAAAGAAGGGGCAGAAGACAACTACAAGCAAGTTGTAGATACTGTAATTGCCAACGAAAAGCCTAGGACGACCTTTATGAAGGCTTGTCTGAGGAAGCTAGGCATGCAGGTCAATGAAGAGGAGCAGCCGGTACCTTCACTCTCCCGCCTCCATCTCTCAGCTCATCGTCCCTCAGATGTCGGCGAACTCGTTTCGAGCTGGGAAGAAGTCATCACTATAGATGACGGGGAAGAATATGTGGAAGGTGGTCACGAGACATTTCACCTCGAGAAGCGGTCGTCTTGGTCGATGAAAACCTTGAAGGATACAGTAGCATCGTCCATCTCAGGAGCAACAACCGAGTCCCCTGCAAAACCTACCGAAGCACCCGCTATGATTGACTATGACAAAGCCTTGAAGAAAGTCTTCCCGCATGAAGACGAACTACCATCCTACAAAGAGACTCCTAGCTTTAACCACTCCGCGTATTTTGCCCACTTGCAAGCTTATCGACTAAAAGCTGAAGAGAAGGATGGAGAGTTTGGAAAGTACTTATTATATGGTGAAGTTGTAACAAGCACGCAAACCATGCTCGAAAAGTACTTCATAGTCCAGAGTTATACTTCTCTGCTAATTTTCATAGGAACAATGCGCTACTGAAACATCTTCCAGATGGCTTCACCGCCACAGCTACTACGCAAATTACTGGGAGAGGTCGGGGCACAAATGTTTGGGTTGCGCCTCGGGGAGGGCTCATGTTTAGCACTGTCATGCGCCACCCTGTCGCGCTCACAGTTTCGGCCCCTGTCGTATTCATCCAGTATCTTGCTGCTCTTGCAATTGTCACTGCTATCAAATCCTATGAGCCCAGCTACTCCAAGCTACCAGTCAAGTTGAAATGGCCCAACGACATCTACGCACTCGATCCTGATTTGGATAAGAATGCAGAAGGCGGAGGCTATGTCAAGATCGGAGGCTTGCTCATCAACACTAGCTACTCCGGCAGCGATTTTACCTTGGTGCTAGGCATAGGCCTCAATGTTGCGAACGGACTTCCCACTACAAGCTTGGATAAACTCGCACATGCACAGGGACTACGGTCGTTCCAAATAGAGAAGATCCTCGCGAAGATTCTTGTCTGTCTAGAAGACATATATCGGAAGTTTCGCCGGACAGGATGGAACAGCGAGCTTGAGGACATATACTGCAAGAATTGGCTGCATACGTACGTGACCGCACAATTCGTTACAGGAAGGACATCTGGTACTGACTTGACTAGTGATCAAGTTGTAACATTAGAGACAGAAGGTGGTATGCGAGCCCGCATAAGGGGCATCACTCGTGATTGGGGTCTACTAGTAGCCGAAGAGCTTGGATGGGAGGACCGGCCGACGGGAAAAATTGTCCAGCTACAGAGTGACAGCAATAGTTTTGACTTTTTCAAAGGCCTCTTGAAGAAGAAATTGTAGAGCAACATTGTTAGTACCACTTCTTCTTTCGTCTAGCTACAGCGGTCTGTGTCACATGGGAAAGCCTTTTTCACGCAGCATCTCGCAATTCACTTCCCAACAACGAACGAGATTAAGGGATCCACACTGCCCAAGTGAACAACAACAACAACACCTTTTCACGTCTAATCTTGACTGGCGCCTTACGCAGTTTTTGGGTATTTAAATAGCTGTGCCCCCCCGCAAACCTTTCACAACAGTCTCAACCTCAACATCCACCGCGTGTCAATTTCGTGGACGTCGTTTTGTTCCGCCTACACGAACCTTTGCTCAGCTCCTACCTGTCAAGAAACAGGTATCGACCATCCTTCCAAACAGCTCTCGCTGCATTGGAGTTTCTGTCATGACAATGTTTGATAATGTCGCTCCAGATACGCGCCCACAGCGGCCAAGCAGGAATAATTTCTACTCGAATTTCGACGCGACTTTCAATACGGTTGACCTCCCAGGCTTGATTACAGGCAACGAGGAACTTCCTACAGCTGAAGACGCAGATCATTTGGATCAAACCAACGTCGACCCATTTGACGACGCATTTGAAGTAGACGACTTGCTTCTGGATTCCGACGAAGATCATTACTTTCCACACCGCCTCTCAGTTATATCCGAACGCACTGAGCCATTGTCATTGTCATCGTCACAGCGAGGCGCCTTCAGAAGCTCTCACAGGAACTCTCACAGAGACTCTTTCGAAGCCACACTCCTAGTATCAACACATCCGTATTCTCGAGATATGTCACAACGTTCCCTTCGCGGTCCTCTCCCCATGGGCTCTAACCAGTTGGCCTTACGAAGCCGCTCCTCTCTTCGCTCCCTCCCCGTCGAAGAGGAATCAGACTCCGACAGCGATGCGAATTCCAACTACGATTCTCCGGTACTTCGAACCGAATCATATAGCGATTCCAATACATATGCGGAACCTCAAACCCCTCCCAGTCATTCACGTAGCTCCTCAACCAGCACAATCAAAGCGTATCCCATACCTCAATGGACTATTCCTCAACCAAATCCGCAGCCTCTGCCATCGCGTCCAATGTATCACTCAAGCACACCCTCATGGGTCACTGTCGCATCCGAAACGAAACCAGAACCTGAAGACTCTGAAGATGACTGGGTGTCAGAGCGCAGCATCACTCCCACAGTTGAAAGTAGCGTTACGCCCAACCCTTCGCCATCGAAGCGTAGCACCGCCTCTGCACCCTCTCCATTCACGCAGAGAATCGTCTCCCAAGGACTAGCCGGTCCCATCCAAATGCGTTCTCAAACACCCATCACCGCCCTCGAGGGTTCGCTGCAGCAGAAAGCCTGCCAGATCGCCTGCCTCGTTGGCGCTCCCGAACCGGAGCGGTTCAACAAACTCCGACCAACCTCCTTCCACCAACGCGTGTGCCGGGCTCTCGAAGCCAAAGAAGCACGCATCATCACCCCGGACCAGCCGAACTACGCCACAAGGGCGATGCTGAAGGAGAGCAGCCCGCTTGACGCCCTCAGTCTGCGCTTCCAGCAGATGAGCTCCACCATGAGCAACATCGGCGTGCTAGAGAGTGCGCTGGAAGACAGCTGGGGCGTCAGCTCCACCGACACCACCCGCCCGGTCTTGTACACACAGGCCGCATACCAGACCGCCGACGTCACGGCAGCCAGGCGCCCACCACAGGTTCCTGCCTTTCTTCAATGTGCCGGCGTAGAGCACCAGCTCTACCCGGTGTACCCCAAGGCCTTCTTCGGCATGCACGCGCCTGCAAAGGCTGTTGCCAAGAAACCTTCGGGGTGGAACCTGCTGGTGGCGTGTCTGGACCCGCGGCGTGCGGTGAAGGGTAAGGAGGTGTCGGTGGAGGCGGAGGAGGTGCCCCTCGCTCCACAGTCGGAAACGTTGGCGATGTGTGATGTTTGCAGTCGCGCGATCGAGCGCACTAGGTGGGTGTGCCGCGTTTCTGGCTGTGGAGTCGAGGTATGCACGGAGTGCAAGAAGAGGGTTTAGGAGGTGGCGGGGGAGGGGGGAGGTGGATAGTCCAATAGACAACAGAGAGGAGAGAGTTTTGCGTGGTGTTCGAACCTGTGCAATATGATATCGATATGTGATGTGAATGATTGATCAAAGTGTTAACATCGTGATGTATGTCTCTGCTTTATGCAAATTCAAGGTTTCAAGATGAAGATGTACTGATATACCTACTATAGAGGGCCAAACGAGTGGTATAAGCTTGTAGCTGTTTATTGAACAAGGACTACTCAGTTCTAGGTAAGACTGTATATGGCTATTCATAAGCGTGGTGTTGCTCATTCCAGGCTTAACAAATGTATAATCCAGTCGAAGATCTATATCGAATTAACGGTAGAGAGTCCAGTATCAGCAGACTAATTTTGTCAATACATGGGAAAATACTATAACCCTTACCAGAAACAGTCAGTTTTCTGCTATACGGAAGGCATTATTGTGATATTAAATCAAAGAACAGCTGGTTCTACAGTATCATGCAAGCTGAGCGTGTCGCAGAGAGCCCATAATAAACCGCTTCTATATAGATAGTCACGCAGATCATACACTATGAGGTGTGAGTTCTGTAAGTTTAACCCCTATGTTAAGTCTACAAAAACTGTACTAATCAGCATAATAAGCTGTTCTAGGTAATTGATATGTTGAAATATTAATCATTTCAGGTCCGTAAATAGACTAGCTTGAAGCATTCCCATGCTCAAAAATTCGCATTTCTTCGACAAAGTCTCCGACCACACAACAAAACCTGCTGACCATGAATTTTTCTGCGATCATCGACTATGACGATGACTACATACAACCGCTTATCATAAGTTCTCTGCAGAAGAGGCTACCAAGTTCCACGTTCGAGCTCAAAGATTCAATAGACACCTGTACACCAGCCTCTGCAGTGCTGCAATTTAGGGACTATGAGTCTATTGACTTTCAGCACGCGGTTTCCAACCCACAAAGTCTCGTCAATGCATATATAATCCGCAAAGCTCTTATTCGAAAGCATTACCTTTCAAACACTGTCTCAAACTGGATTACGAAACATCCAGAAACACCATTGAAAGGCCACGTGAAAGCTTCCGTGGACTTTGAGCTCGACTATGCAGAGTTCCTCGATGATGCGCTAGTTGAAGCCTTTGAGCTCAGAGAGAGCTTCGAGAAGAATGAAGGCAAGGAGCCACAAGACCGGGAATGGTGGATATTGAAACCAGGCATGAGTGATCGAGGGCAAGGCATTCGGCTCTTCAGCACGGAAGAAGAGCTACAGGAGATCTTCGAGGAATGGGAGGCTGAAAACCCTTCGGACTCGGACGATGACGGGGAGACATCTGATACGGAGGATGCCAGGAACCACGAGAGAGAGGGCGATGGCATCATCACATCACACCTCCGTCATTTTGTCGCTCAGCCATATATACACCCACCACTCCTCCTGGAGCCATCCATAACAGATCATGGACCCCGGAAATTTCATATCAGGACATATGTATTGGCTGTTGGTGCCCTCAAAGTCTACGTACACAAGCCAATGCTCGCACTGTTCGCCGCACAGCCGTACTCACCGCCCTGGGAAGCAGACTCAGCAGATGCTCTCCGAGCACATTTGACGAATACGTGTCTTCAAGGCAGCGACATTCGCGAGGGTAGCGTGAACCAATTCTGGTCATTGACCAGGCCTCAAAATGCCCCAGAGGACTGGAAAGATGCGGTCTGGAGTCAGATATGTGACACAACAGGCGCATTGTTCGAGGCTGCCGCCAGAGGCATGATGATCCATTTTCAGCCTATACCAAACGCTTTTGAGATGTTTGGGCTGGATTTTATGGTTGATGAGGACTTAAACACGTGGCTGTTGGAGGTGAATGCATTTCCGGATTTCAAGCAAACGGGAGATGACCTGAAGGGTATCGTTGAGGGCTTCTTTGAGGATGTGGTGGACCTGGCGATCAAGCCGTTCTTTGGCTTAGGCAAAGCAGCCGTGGGCGGGAATGAAAGGTCGAAGCAAGTGCTTGATATAGATCTAGGGAGGAGATGATGTCCTGAGAGTTCTATATCTCTAGTATTGTATCAAAAAGTTTACTCACGTCCGTCATATATACAAGATCATCCTCGATTAACTATTCACGCTCAACACACCTCTAATCTAAGAGGAGAACCTCCATAAATAGGGGAGGTGGTTGTATAGCTCGTCGAACTCTTTAGCCATCCATCCCCTTGCCTGGCCACCTCTTCCCACGATGACCAGACCTCCAGCAAGCCAGAGACCAGTCAGAGCTGCTGCTGCTCCATTAATGCTATACCACCTCCTCTTGCTACGCAGCTGTCCTCCTGGTCCTCCTTGCGTGACTTGCACTGGTGTCCACCCCTGCCACTTCGCCCAGCCCCAGACGGCATGGAAGACCCCTACACCCACCAAAGCAGTATATCCTACAAACGACGCTATCGGATGTTTCGCAAACCCATGCGCAACATACGAAAGGTTTATTATTGAATTGTCACCGTGGAGATACATCGGTAGCACCCTCGTGACGAATACATGTGTGGCCACGAGCGGAGACAATGCAAACCCCAGCGCACTGATACCCGAGACCTTGGGCCATGCTATTGTTCGTCTATCTTTACGTGACTCCGCGCCGTACCAGCCTAGGGACTGGCTACGGCGGTAAAGGCGCAATGCCACACCGGCTGCGACATGTGTGATGGCTGGTATGCCGATTAGCAGTGCTTCAAGAGGGAAGCTCTGGTAGTATGGGCGCGTAAGGAGGAGGTATTTGTCGCTCGATGTGACGGAACGGGTTATGAGAGGGAGGATGGCGGTGTTCGTGACATGGAAGGCGGCGAAGACGGTGAATGTGTATGAGGAGTATTTCTGGGCGCGGATTACTTTGGAGTCTATGAGTTACTTTGGACAAGATGTATATGAACGTTCTACCACGTACAATACCATGCTGGTCCATGGTTACCGAGTCCAAATATCGAGGTCGTAGAGCTCTGCGGCGGTGACGTCGCTTGTGGGAAGTAGCTGTCGCTTGAGACTTCGTACGGTGTGTCTTCGATTGGGGATGGATCGACCTCGGTCAAGCCGAAGGGGGTTTCCCCGTCGCCTGTACTGTCAGGCCGGTGATGTGACATTTGGTGTTTATGAATATATGTTGGGATCCTGTCCACTCGGCGTCGAGATATTACATATGTCCGTGCGCGACGCTACATCATTTCTAAGATCCACCTTTCAACACTGGACAACTTCTGCACTTGCAATGTCAACACACGATATAATCTTCCACTGACGACCAATGCAATCAACGGCGCGCACGACCCAACTCTGGAAATTATCTGTCCTTCCAGTCTGACGAAACTCGGATCTCGCAGTCTTCATCATGCCGCCGCGCAACTATGTAAACCCAGCTCCTCAAACAGAGAGTGCCCGAGACGCGGCGCGCAACTTCTTCTGCGACCTATGCCAGAAAGCCTACGCGCGTCAACCAGAGCTTGACTCTCACTTGACATCATACGAGCACAACCACCAAAAGGTCTCTACAGGTATCACGTCTTATCGTTCTGTAGACATTTTACACTAAACTCCCACAAAGAGACTTCAGGACCTTAAAGAAGCATCGCGCGACCCTGGCCGTACAGAGCGTCAGCGGCGCAAAGAGAACGCAGAAGCAGGACTCGTTCGTCTCGATCTCGACGGGGCTAAGAAAGCTGTGAATGATGCGAACCCCTCTGTTGAGAAGAAGAAGGGCGGCTTCAAGCCTATGACTATGAAGCGCAACGATGACAAGTCGAGTCAGCAATCGGCAGCACCGAAGCCTGGTTTCAAGAGAATAGGTGGAGCAGCAGTACAGGCTGAAGAGCCCAAAAGCATATTCGATGATCTCGGATATGAGGTTTATGATCCACGTTACCCTACCGAGTGCGACGAAATCTGAACTTTGCTTCATTCAATGTAGTTTTCAATTCGAATCCGTGAATCTTTTTAACCCTCCCTGTGATGTAGAGTGATTATTGTGACAGCAATGTGTATATTCAGCCATATCCTTAGAGCGCACTATATTGCCTGCCCGTACATAGTCTGTATTTGGATGAGTGACAATACACTTAAGTCTCTGACATATTGCCGTAGTCATTGTCCTGCTGCTGGTCAGATAAATCTGAGCATATATTTATATGGATACTTCAGTCCCTCTCAAGACTGTATTGGGACGCTTCACAACGACAGACCGATGATTGATTCAGGCATGGCTGTTAACAAGTTTCTGTATTTCTCTCGACCGAGGTCCTGTTTTTAGGCTTGCGGTCGTAACGATCAGTGTATCTCGCCGCATCGACAATGGTCGACATGGTGATCTACTCTGTTCCAAAATCAAAACCCGACTCCAACGCTATGCAAATATCAACTACACGGAGATATCTCATTTGAAGACACCATCAAAATCACCCTCTTTTCTTGGCACTCTGACCTGTTCCCAGTTATCGAGGTCGCGTCCGGCAAGTTTCTATGACGGGTACCCGTTAGCTATGACAACTTGGGAGAATGCGAGTGTGACCTACGAAGTACTCTTCCCGAATGTCGAATTTATGATTCTTCTTCGCTTCTAACTCTTGCATATATTGCTTCTCTCCTTCTACGCCCAGAGCCTGGACCTTACGGTTGTGCCGTTCATATCTTAGAGCCGTTGCTGGCGTGAGGAAGAAGCTACCCGCAACGATAGTGAGGACGAATGGTGCACCGAAAAGCGCAAATGGGTGTCGACTGAGGTTGCGGCGATAACTTGCACCAACTTTTCGGAAGAAGGCATCGACTGGCCCCGAAGGGGCTTCGACTGGCTTTCGAGGTGGCATTGGGGTAATTCTGTCTTGGGCGGGCGGTCGTTACTTATATCCCACGGTCAATCTTCATTTGACGTCGTCGGCAGAGCTCAGACGACCAATTAATGTGATAGATCATCATCCACGTGATCACGCGTCACCCCAGCCGCGTTCATCTTGGAATCTTCTCAGATACAACAAACAATTTACTACCGCCTCATGGGGAACGATTCGAGAAGTCATGGCTCGCGCGAGCGTGTTGTCAACGCAGCGTTCTGCCAATAGTGTTCGAGAGCCTAATGGCATTCCTCCTCCATCTACGATTGCTGCTCAGATTGTAAATCATCACGCGCAGAGCAGCACAGCACGCGAGCCAGAGAAAAAGGCCATCTTTGCTCAACTGCTGCAGGACTACTTGAAAGATACATCATCTGCAGAAGAGCCAGATCCTGATGTCAATGCACAGCTCGTAACGGTTGTTGCTGAAGCAGGCCTTTCAGGGTTCACAGAAAATCCTTTCGACCAACAGACCCTAATTGCTCAAGCCATAGACAGTCTGTATGTTATTGAGCTAATACTGAAACGGACTCCAGAGCTCATTTTGTTCCGGACGACTCAAGAGGATGACAGTAAAGGACCTCGTCTTTTTACTACGCTGCTCCCAAAGATCTTGTTCCTCGTAGGTCGAAATGGTCTTGACGAGCTGCAACAACACTTGTGCTCCCTTTTAGTAGGATGCTTTAAGACTCTACATGGGTCTGGGTCACTATGGCGTGAATCCATGTCATTGCTAGACATCTACAAGGGAATTGTTGAAGGTTCGCAAGTCCCTTCCGACCCTTCTTACATGCTGACCCCTTTCAGCCGTGCTCCAGGCTTTCGATAGAATAAATTCTGACCCCTCTGCGTCTATCAAATCATTCAAAGTGAGCCTACCTCCGACTGATGGTATTTTCAAGGTATGGCCAGAAAGTCAGCATTTGGTAGCCCTTCCTCCCGGCTGCCAAATGGTTGTGGCATCCTCCACACAAGCGACAATAATAGCCAGGTCCTTCCTTGAAGTCATCACGCAATGTCAATCAAGAAAGCTCAAGGCCTCCCTCAAAGCTCATTCATCGAATACCGATCGTTCCTGGCTTCTGGAAACTTGTGGCCGTTTGTGGTCATCGTTTCAAGCAATCAGCTCGCACGCGTTCACCCTAACCCAGCGTCAAATCTTTCAAGTTCGATTTCTTCAGCTTTTAGATGAAGCATTTTATTCACAGAAAGACGGCTATCAGTCGTTAATCTCTTTGCCGCGTTCGCTTACTATCGTCACCGACGTCTATTCAGACCTGTTCAGTGCTGCATACCAAGAACACGAATCACTTTCTTTGGAGGGTTGCTTGGCTTGGTCACTCATGCGCCTTCTTTCGATGACTCGCACCACCACGCAATATGGCGTGCAAAGACAACAGATCCAAATGGTAGAAAGTTTGAGCTTCCGAAGACTTCGTAGGCTATTACTCACACTTCCGTATACTTATGAAGGCGCATCCGGCTTTTCGAGTCCCGACTTGAAGGTACGTCGAGTCCTATTGAGGCTCGAATGCAGACTAAATGCAATTGATAGGTCGCAATCAGTGCTGCTTTTGGTCATGAGATGGCGGAGAAGTTCAAAGATAGCTATTTGACTTCAGATGCTACAGATGGCACTAGAGACTCGATGCCCAAGTTTACTGACCCTACTCTGGAAGCTACGTTTGCAAGCCTTCTTCTGCAGGGAGAGGAAACCGGAGGACAGACAAGTCGACCTACGAAACGAATAAAATTGAACGACAGAAGTTGTAATGAGCATCAAAGCAAGCTCCTGAACGATCTTGTTAGCGAATGCGTCCGAAATTCAGAACCTGAACATGTTCAAGTTGATAAGGCAATCAGCGAGGAGTCCCCCAAAGACGCTATCGTTACTCCTCAACAATTATTCGAAGCGCGCCATCCCGAGTAGGTGGTCCCAGTAACTCTCATCGTAGGAAGCTGACTTAACAGACTCGTATTTGGGGGGCCTAATATAGATGATCAGCACGAGTTTCTCAGGTCTTTCTCTTTGATACCATGTGCATATTCGTCTTCCCTTTTCGAGATTGTAGGAACCTCGAGGAATCTGCGGCGACTATGCTCGGTTTGTGATATAGAAAAGAACCACACAAGTCCCGAATCAGGCCCTGGTAAAGATTACCACGAGGATCACCTTGTAGAACAAGCGTTGTACATATACGAGATAACAGACCTCATGCCACGGGCGCTCCGGCCTCGCGATCGAGTACTACTTGCGAGTTCAATACGCCGGCATGCTTTACACACGCATGACACGGCATTCTTGGATTTGTTTGAATCAAAGGCCGGGGAATGGTGTTTAAAAGCATTGACAAGTTCTCACAGAGAAGTTCGTATCTCAGCCGGGTAGGTTCGCTAAAAGTCTGGAAGGCAAGTAGTATCCCCTGACTGTGTCCTAGCCGCGCTATTATTCCTTTCCTGCAAGGCCATGTTGCAGAGGTCACTCGAACGAAGAATCGTCGAGAAACGCTGAAATTCTTGAAAACCTTATCAGAACGGAATGAGCTAGTGGAGCAAGAGACATTGATCATGATGTGGGGCCAGGTGGCTAGGTGAGTACGACAAAGGTTCCAGCGGACTTGCTGACGATCAAATCAGAGTATGTGGTGACGAAGAGTTGAACCTAGCGTTGCTATATCTCATCGACTGCCTAGGCCATTCTAATACCCCCATTTGTGGGATCGCTTACAATGAAGTACAACCTGCACATCCCCTCTCGACAATCGCTGATTATCGTAGCTTTCCGGGTTGGCCGCCGCGCTTGAAAAGGCACCAGCAGACTTGATTAGACCATTCTGGAGCAGTCTAGCTATCACTGTTGTGCAAAATTTGCATACACGCCCTCAGAAAGCACAACTACTGGCTGACTGGCTCAGCATGAGTGTTAATCAACTATTAATTTTAACTCAAACAGATACGGTGCCTTACCTAGTTTTGACTAAGAAGGTCGATACCCTGAGGCGCATAGCTACAGCTCGAGGTGCATCAGCTACAGTCAGAGATGTCTGTACGCAACCGAGCAGAAATCTGGCCGCAATACTTGCCCTCTTGCTGTGCCAACCATCAGACTCCGTAGAGAAGGCTAGCTTGGAGCTTCTCGTCACAGCCGCGCCTGAATTTCAAGAGACCTCTCTGCAAGGTCTAATTTGTGCTGAGCCAATATTGGTAGCCTTCGAAATGCTCAAAAGAGCCGCTGATATTGAGCAGTCCAAAAAGAACCAGGTACGGAAACCGTCTAAAGATATATGTTGAAATGAAAACTGAGTAGTTTCGTGTAACAGGTGCAAACTGGCTTCCACACGCTCACCGTTTTGGCCGAAGGTAGACGTGATAAGAACAAACTTCCGAAGACACAAGTTTTGAAAGGCTTTTTTGAGAAGCACATTCTTGGTATCATGGCTCACATTACCGCTGTAATCGACAGTCCCAGAGATCCTCGTCCTGTGTCGGAAAGAAAGCGATGTTTAGGAGCTATTGAAGAGATGATCAATCTTGCTGGCGAGCTTGTTAGCAATGCAGTCCCACAGGTATATGTATCACAGTCATGATCAAGCACTTGACGCTAACAAGGGAGCTAGATTCGAGCGTGCTTGCAATGCGCATTGGATGAGCAACAGCTTCGGGATCGAGCGTTTCAAGTCTGGATTACTCTGGTTCGCGCAGTCAGTGACGATGACTTGAGTATCCTCCTTGATCCAACGATGTCGATTATTGCACGTCGCTGGTCCAATTTTCAGAGCGACACGCAAAGCCTGGCTCATGACCTCGTGTCGGATCTGTTTAAGAACAAAGGTGACTTGATCAAAGAGCACATTGATACATTCCCATCTTTGAGAGGAATTGATATGCTTTCGAAATTCGAAGGGCAAGTTGCAAAACGAAGGATAGGGGGATCAGATCCACTTCGACAGTTCGACGCCTTCTGTCGTCGACTACAAGACGAAAGCACAACAGTGGTCTCACAAGCTCTTCAAGAAATTCTTCCGTTCCTAGAGTCAAACCAGCGTGCTCTGCACGAGTCTGCGGTGAGCCAAAAATCCGGACACACTATATCCCAGCTTGCGCGCTGCTTTCTAGACGTCCGCGCCCGCTTTGGCGATGATGATGCCGACATAGCCCGTTATGTTTCTTCTGCCTTGGGTCTCATAGGCTGTATTGATTCAAACAAAGTGGAAGCTATAAGGGAGAAGAAAGACATACTGGTTCTGTCCAATTTTGAGCGCGCGGCGGAGGTGATCACGTTCACTGCTCATCTGCTGGAGCATATACTGGTCAAAGCCTTCCGATCAGCGCCAAATTCGAGGGCGCAAGGCTTTCTTGCGTATGCTATGCAAGAACTTCTTCGTTTTGGTAAATTCCATGAGGTTGTGGGACAGAAGCCACGTGGGGCTTCTAACGAAATCAGCTATCAGAAATGGCACAGCATGTCAGAGCCCGCTCGTAATACTCTGATACCGTTCGTCAGCTCGATGTATCGTATACAAAACAACGTTGGCAACGTCTCTGATGTTCGGTTATTTCCAACATTCAGCAGTGAAACGAGTCACTCTGTTTGGCTACGCACTTTCACGTTTAACCTTCTGCAAAAAGGGAAGGGTGAGAATGCCGTCATGCTTTTTGGAGTCTTATCTCGTGTCATTCGGGGACATGATCTGTCTATTGCTACATTCATGCTTCCTTTCGCTGCATTGAATGTGATTATCGGTGGCACTGATATAGACTCCAGTGATGTTGCCCAAGAGCTTCTCGCAATTCTCCAATACGAGCAAGAAGGTGGCCAGGTCGAAGACGAAGACATCAAACAGTGTTGTGAAGTAGGTGACCATTCTTTGCCTAGTAGAAAGTGCTGATCTATCCCAGAATGTCTTCCAAGTCCTCGACTACCTATCTAGATGGTTGCATGAAAGGAGACGAGTAGTTGCCGATGCGAAGGTCGCTGCCTCGCGTGGAGGCCGTATGCCCGCCGAACTAGACGAACTTAAGGAAATTCAACTGATCAGCAGTGTCGAGAACGTACTCAGTATAATACCAGCTGAAGTAATATCCCGGCGTGCTGTCGAATGTGGTTCCTATGCGCGCGCACTATTCCATTGGGAACAGTACATGCGCCAACAAGCCGGAAAAGCAGAATCGCTCGGAATCATCTACGACCGACAACCCCATCTGCAGTACATGCAGCAGATCTACTCCCAAATTGATGAACCTGACAGTATTGAAGGTATATCTGCACATCTTACGCTTGTCGACCCAGCTCGGCAAGTCCTGGAACATCGTAAAGCGGGAAGATGGTCTGCTGCTCAGAGCTGGTACGAGTTGTCTCTTGCTCAAGACCCGGAGAATCAGGATTTACAGGTGGATTTATTCACATGCCTCAAAGAGTCAGGCCAATATGGTATACATAATCCACTCATGCTGAAAAAAAAAAGCTTACTCTGAACAGATTCCTTGCTAAATTACGTCGAGAGTTTCAGTAACTCTTCTTCTGTGCTACCTTCTCGGGCCCTGCCCTTTGCTGCTGAGGCAGCTTGGGTCACTGGCAAATGGGACCGACTGGAGAAGGCTCTCGCACGTGTGCCAGAAGATGTATCACTCTCTACACAAGACTTCAACATGGGCGTTGGTAAAGCCCTACTCGCACTTCGTAAAGGCAACGAGGACAACTTCAAATCCACACTATCTGCGGTGCAGGAAGGCATCACGCGAAGCCTTACGGCAAGCTCAACGTCTTCGCTACATGCTTGTCACGTCCAACTGCTCAAGCTTCATCTGTTATACGAGATCGATGCTATCAGTGGCTGCGGCAACTCGCAGCTGAAGAGCCGCGAGGCTGTCCTGCCAGTACTGAACCAGAGGTTGGAGATAATAGGTGCATACACATCTGATAAGCAGTATGTACTAGGAGCGAGACGAGCCGCTATGCAGCTATCGAAGTAAGCATTTTCGGTCTATGCAAAGGAATGGCACTAAACATCATAGACTCCGATTTACTGAATTAGACGAAGCATCGTCGTGGCTGACAAGCGCGACCCTGGCACGCAAATCAGAGTTCTCGAACACAGCTTACAACGCTGTACTGCACGCAGCTCAGTTAGGAGACGAGGAGGCCAAGATAGAGCACTCTAAGTTACTGTGGAAAGAGGGCCACCAAAGAAAAGCGATACAAACTCTCAAAGGTGCCATTGATACGGACTCTTTCCGTCCAAGAGAGCCAAATGCAGCCGAAGTGCCGGCCATCACACACTCTACAGTATCTACTGGTATCGAAGTCAACGACCAACCCAATCGACTAGTAGCTCGTGCAAATCTACTACTCACAAAATGGCTGGATCAAGCTGGTCAAACACAATCAAATGAAATCACCCGACGGTACCAAAACGTCATAAAATCTTATGCTCGATGGGATAAAGGTCATTACTACCTGGGCAAACATTATAACAAGATCCTGGAAGCAGAGAAAGCTCTCCCAAGGAATAAGCAAAGCTCATCATATATCTCTGGAGAGCATACTAAGCTGGTCATTGATAATTACACGCGATCTATGGTATACGGAGCAAAATACTACTATCAGGTTGTTCCAAAAGTCCTCACGCTGTGGCTGGACTTGGGCATGGAGGTTCATGAAGCAGCACGGAGATCCACAGCAGAAGTAGAGCTCTCCAACATGCGTATCAAGAATCTCACGTACGTACACAAACAGCTACAGAAGTATGCCGTTGAGCGTATACCACCGTACGTCTTCTATACGGCATTCCCGCAAATCATTACGCGCATCAGCCATCCGAATGTGAAAGTTTGGGAGGTCCTGCAAGATATAATATTAAGGATTGCTTCAGCTCATCCCCAACAAACATTGTGGGCTTTGCTGGCTGTCGTCAAATCGACAGCAGTGGAACGAGCAAGTCGAGGTCAGCAAGTACTCAGTAAACTCAAAGAGATCTCGAAGAAGCAGCGAGCAGACAACTCGGGACTCGACTTGAGGGTGCTCATTACGCATGGCCAGCGACTGACGGAACAACTTCTGAATGCCTGCGAAGTAGCCGTGGATGCAAGAGTCACCCATGTCAGTCTCAGTAAGGATCTTGCATTCAACATGAAATTAGCACCATGCCAGTTAGTTGTTCCAATTGAGGCTACGATGACGACAAGCCTTCCGAGTGTACGGGACTCGACACACGTTCGCAAACACAAGGCGTTTCCAAGTCCAAGCCTCGCTCTAACAATAAGCTCGTTCGAGGACGATGTTCTCGTCTTGAGCTCTCTTCAGCGGCCTCGCAAACTGACTATAGTTGGTTCCGATGGCCGTAAGTACGGTCTCATGTGTAAGCCCAAGGACGACCTCCGCAAGGATCAACGCCTCATGGAGTTCAACGCAATGATCAACCGGTCTCTGCGGCGCGATGTGGAATCGTCTAAGCGTCAACTCTATATCAAGACTTATGGTGTCACGCCCCTAAATGAAGAGTGCGGCACTGTCGAATGGGTGGACAATCTCAAGCCAATCCGAGACATCATCATTCGCATCTATCGTCAGAACAATGTCGTCATAGACTATAGTGAAATCCGCACCCTTCTCGACGCAGCTTGTGCGAATCCACCACATTCCACCGAAATATTTACTCTCGACATACTTTCCAAGTTCGCACCTGTATTACACGAATGGTTTACAGAGTCATTTCCTGACCCGTCTACCTGGCTTGCAGCACGACACCGATATTCTCGATCTTGCGCCGTGATGTCAATTGTCGGACACGTCCTCGGATTAGGCGATCGACATGGCGAAAATGTACTGCTCGATGCGGAAGGCGGCATATTCCACGTTGACTTCAACTGCCTCTTCGACAAGGGCCTGACTTTTGAGAAGCCTGAACTTGTTCCCTTCCGTCTCACTCATAACATGCTCGATGCAATGGGGCCAGCTGGCATCGAAGGACATTTCCGCGTTGCTGCAGAGCTCGTGTTGAGGATCTGCCGACAAAATATGGATACTCTGATGACTATCCTCGAAACATTTGTGTGGGATCCAACAGCGGACTTTGTGGGTGCGCAGAAGAAGAGAAAGAGGACTGGCGTTGGGGCAGATGTGCCTGATACACCACAAGAAGTGCTAGACGCGGTGCAGAACAAGCTCAAGGGGTTGATGAAGGGCGATAGTGTGCCCTTGGGGGTTGAAGGATATGTGGACGCGCTGATTAGACAGGCCAGGAGCGAACGCAATCTGGCTGCGATGTACATAGGATGGTGTGCGTTCTTCTGAGGGTCGTCATGAGTGGTATTGCACCAAGCCGTATCATGCTCGAGCCTATAGTGTATGGTATCTAGAAATGTGCCTATGGAGGACAGCCTGAGAAGGTATCAGAATCCTCAGAAGACCTTAGAAGACTGACTGGAAACATGATATGAAAGACGTATGAGAGACAATAGAAGCGAGCGACGAATGTTTCACTTCATGTCAAACAACACTTTAACCTTAGCCTAAAGAGGGATAGTGTGGGTCCGTGGTGCCTGTAGGTGCAGGTGCGATAAAGTTGACGTGCAGATCATTGACATGACATGATATCTGTATGCACATGCACGTATCCATCCAAGAGGTTTATACTGTACTGTGTTCGTAGAATAAATGTTAAAGGTACCACCGGACATTTGGTAGCAGGTTAAGTCTCTACATATGTACCTTGGTAGTTATTTTCACAGTACAGTACCTTGCGCGCGTGCAGCCCACATGCAAGTGCCTCCGAAGTACCGCGTGTACCCAGGTAGCTCCATGACGTTTTGGCCAACAACCTTGGCCTTGAGACTGCCGCATGCCTTCTTAACTGTCCTCTCTTCATACACCTTTGTGGACTCACTTATTCCTTTACACCTGTCGTACCACCACCGAAAGGATATACCTTGACAGCAGTATCCTCATCTTATACGTTATCCAGCATGTCTAGCTCCACTGAAGGCTCCGCCGTACCCGCCTCCGCAAAAGGCTCGTGGTCAAGTTTCCTTAAGGTCAGCATATTTGTACGATGCTGCGATTCCACAATTGACTGATGGAATGTACAGTCTATTGCGTCTTTCAACGGCGACCTGTCTTCCCTCACAGCCCCCGCATTCATACTCTCCAGTACCTCGCTGGTTGAATTCTCCACCTACTGGGCCGAACATCCTTCCATATTCATAGCCCCTGCAGCAGAGAAAGACCCCGCCAAACGGGCACTTCTGGTCCTAAAATGGTTCCTGAGCACTTTAAAGCAGCAATACAGCACCCGTAACGAAAAGCTTGGAAGCGAGAAGAAGCCGTTGAATCCCTTCTTGGGGGAGCTCTTCTTGGGTAGATGGGTGGATGGGGCTGGAGAGACTCAACTCGTGAGCGAACAAGTCAGGTATGTGTGCTTCACAGTGTGTCGCACTATCAGACTAATACTTTTTGTAGCCATCACCCTCCAGTAACGGCGTACTGTATCTGGAACAGTGAGCACGGCGTTCGTCTTCAAGGATACAATGGACAGAAGGCGTCCTTTTCCAGTATGACAATCAATGTCAAGGTTAGTCAAATCCGCCGCAGAATGTAGTTCATGACACTGATGCGCTGCTCAGCAAATTGGGCATGCGATCCTGCACATAGACGAATTTGACGAGGACTATTTGATAACATTGCCTCCACTCCATATCGAAGGACTTTACAGTGGCGCACCGTTTGTAGAGCTGAATGGTGACACGTACATCACCTCGACGAGCGGTTACACCTCGAGGATAAAATACAGCGGGCGTGGTTGGGTGTCTGGGAAGAAGAACTCATTCAACGCCAGTCTCTACCATGACGGTAAAGAGAAGGAACCTCTTTACACGGTCGATGGACAGTGGACTGGTTCCTTCAGCATCAAGGACACGAAAACAAAAGCTACTCTAGACACGTACGATGCCGCCAAATCCAAGACGACATCCCTGACAATTGCTCCTGTTGACGAGCAAGACCCGTTGGAGTCACGGAGAGCCTGGCAGAAAGTCGCAGCAGCCATTCAGAAAGGAGATATGGATGCGACATCACGAGAGAAGACGGTGATTGAGCAGAGTCAAAGGGAGCTCCGGAATAAAGAAAAGGCAGAAGGGAAAGAATGGAACCGTCGATTCTTTGTGAAGACAGACTCGCATGCCACGTTGGAGAAGCTCGCGAAGAAGCTCGGCGTTTCTGTTGACGGAGACAAAACTAACGGGGTTTGGACGTTCAGTTCTGAGAAGGCAAGCGTTGCCAAATAGCCTTTCCAGCCTCGGGAAGGAGGATGAGGATGGAGGAGACCAACAGGTTGCAAGCGAATGCGACACAGGGGCTTAATTCGTTCCTGGAATCTGTTCTGACATTTCGTAGGGCGTTCAAGAGTACAAGCTGCTGTATCGGCACTATATCACATTCTTGAAGAGCCGCGCCCGGACTTGGTAGAGTGTGTTTCATCATGCACGTATTAATTCTGGAATACCCAATCAAGGCTGCTCGAGCCGTTCCAGTTTTCTCCATTCAGATGGCAAACAAATGATAAGGGCGAGATGGCCAAGTGATTGATGTCTGCAAACCAGACAGCATCAGTCTATCAGTCAGTAGCAAGGAGCTGGTGGCTAGCGACTGGAATGGTGGATGAATAGATCATTGGCCCAGACACGCTGAAGGTACATGACTTGAACGTTGATTAGCACTATGGATACGCTATCACTAATTGATCACCTTAGATTCGATCGCGTCATCTTCATCGTCATCCATGTTGCCTCTGGTTCTGGCCCTGGCCTTGGTCGTGACCCACAAACGCCGCAACACTTACACTCCCTTGTCCCACTAAAACTTAGTTTCTGCTATCACTTACTTGCACCTGTTCTTCCCGCAACCCTTGCTAGCAACCGTTACAGGATTCGTGGAAAGCAAAAAAGTCGTTGACGGTGATATTCCCCAGGCGGTATTTCACTTCTGCCCCTTTGTCGCCATGCGCTTTCTTCCCCTCTTCGCTGTTGCAACTTCTCAGGCATAGACCCATAGTATTGACGCACTTTTTCGCTGAAGAGGCTGTCTAGCTACTCCTTGCAGGCTTCAACTAGCTGCCCGCACCAGAACCCCCCAATCGCATCATATCTCTAATTATCTATCTCCGAGTGATCTCCTGGCCCAACCACAGCTTCTCTCTACACAGTCTACAGATGGCCTCGCAAATACCCCCATCAGCTCCAGATCCCTCAAATACCACTTTAAAGCCCACAGACCGGCTCTCTGATATCCTTCCTCCCCTCATCTTCGGAACTGCAACCTTCAACGGCCAGTATAACCCTGATCCTTACGCACTCGACACCACCGGTCTGGTTGAATCTGCCCTGCAGCTTGGCGTCCGCGCATTTGATACCTCCCCCTACTATGGCCCCTCGGAGCTGCTTCTGGGCACTGCCCTGAACACGCCCTTCGTCCTTGACAACTTCCCTCGCGAGGAGTACTTTATCCTTACTAAAGTCGGTCGAATCGCCGGCGACGAGTTTGACTATTCGCCCGAATGGGTTCAGCACAGCGTGAAGCGCAGCTGTGAGCGCCTGGGCACGGCATACTTGGATGTGGTATACTGCCACGACGTCGAATTCGTCTCCGAAGACGAAGTCCTCACAGCCGTCAAGGAGTTGCGCAGACTACGCGACACAGAAGCCCTGATCCGCTATGTCGGCATCTCGGGCTACCCGCTCCCCGTCCTCGCACGCCTCGCAGAACGAATCCTAGAGGAGACAGGTGAGCCACTCGATATTGTCCAAAGCTACGCAAACTTCACCCTGCAAAACACCACCCTCGCCGGCCCAGACGGCATCGAGAGACTCAGCAAGGCGGGCGTGGACGTTGTTCCCAACGCGAGCGTGCTAGGCATGGGCATGCTCCGCCACTCGGGCGTGCCTGTCGGCGCAATGGGCGACTGGCACCCGTCGCCCAACAATCTGCGCCGTGCCGTGGCCCTCGCATCCGAGTTCTGCGACCGGCACGGCGAGCGCCTCGAGGTTATTGCCATCCGGTACGCGCTCGAGAGCTGGCTGCGCATCGGATCGCGTGTGGGATCGCGCGGCGACCCGGCGAGCGGAGTGCCGTTTACGCGCGAGAGTAATGCGCAGGTCGGAGGCGCGAAGATGGGCGTCAGTGTCATGGGTGTGAGTAATGATGATGAGCTGCAGAAGACGATGCAGGTGTGGAGGAGTATCCTGGATGGGTTGGAGGATGGGCGGGAGACGGCTGTCAAGGCGGGTAGGTGGGAGCGGGACCACGAGTGGAGCTTGAATAGGAAGCGCGCGGTGCAGATTCTGGCTGAGGGCGTGGGCGAGTGTCTGGATGGCTGGCTGGATTATGTGTGGGAGAGTCCGGGTGAGGGGTTTGTGAATATGAGGGGGAAGAGGAAGGGCGGGGCTGAGGAGAAGGTTGCGGAAGAGGGAGTTGCACCATGGCCGACGCCTGATGCGAGTCCGGAGCCGGAGTCGATGAAGAAGGTTGAGCAGACGCTACCATTACGTGTTGGCTTGGATGCGCAGGGTGACAGACCTGACCGTAGCTGAGATGAGATCTTGGGCTAGACCGACCGTTTAGAAGGCATGGCGCTGTATGCTGTTTGATATTATGCGTTTACACATAGAAGCGAAGCACATGTCAATGTTGGATCAACACTACTACTCTTTTTCAATCCAGATCCGACCGTACACGAGATATGGCGGATTCCAAAAGAGAGATATCCCGTAATTCATCCACCCATCAAAAGACGCCCGAAGAACAAATCCACCTATAGCGGATTCAATCCCAACTCCTTCTCGAGCTTCTCCGCCTTTATTGCCTCCTCACTCCCCACGGCCACGATCTTCCCCACAACCAAGTACTTTTCTTCAAACCGCTCCTCCCAGCCCCTCAACGCCTCCATCTCCTCCGCGCCCAAACCCTTCAGATCATCCAAAGGCCCGGTGAGGTCCTTGGTCAGCATATCCTCATCAAAACTGCCACACGCAAGGCCGCGAGACGCATCACGCCCTGCGAAGTTCGCATAGGGGCCTCCTGGCCCATAGAACGAGGCGCCTGTCGACACGTCGAACACACGGCCCCGCACGGCAAAGTAGATGGGTTTGCCGTTGAGGCCGTTGTATGGGAGGAGTGTCGGCGGGGTAAATGTGCGGAAGACGGTGGGCGCGGGGGCTTTGGGGAGTGTTTGCGGGGCTTGCGGACGGAGGCGCAGGTAGACGAGGTAGAGGAGGATGGAGATGAGGATGATGTTGATGGGAGTGAGGAGGGTGGTGCTGGTGGTATCCGTGGTGCCCGGGGGCAGGGTTTTGGGGACGTCGGCTGCGAAGGACCGTGTTAGTTTAGGTGAATGTGATATATATGTATGATATTGAGGGTATGGACGTACTGTCTGCCATTGGGGCTGATGAGAGCGTGGGTTTCCGCCGGTAAGAGTGGTGATTTATGTTCTCTTGTCGGTGTTTGGGGTGTGGAAAGGAGGGGATGGCTGGGAAGTTCTCCAAGCAGAGTTTATACGAGGAGTGAATGGGGTTGTTTGGTCAGACCACAAGATATTCGGAGGCCGAGTCGTGCCAACTCCCGTATCTGGCACCTTCTGAACATTGGACTGATGACGAAAGATGGTGGATGACTTATCCCTTTGTCAGCGACACGTGCACAGCCCAGATCAGAACATATCGACAATAGCATTAATTATCTATTCGTATCATTGAAGCTCCATTTCTCTCAGTCCCGACCATTCGCCCAGCCACCAATCCGCGAAAACTCTTTGCGACTTCACTTGAAACCTCTCCCGCCGACTGTATTCCCTCGACTATTCTCCATGTCCTACACAGCTGGTACTCGCCAGATTTCACCCCACGGTCCCCTCTCATAAAACTCTCCTTCAACACCTATCAATGGCGCCTCCTCCCTCGTCTCAGTCGTCAAACTCGAACGTCTCTCGACCAGCTGCGCTGCATCGACCGAAGGCGCCGAACGCTGTACTCGCTGAAGCAGAGCTACAATGGATATACACCGAAGAGGAGTTACTACACACTCCGTCGATTGTCGACGGGATGAGTGCTGAGCAGGAGCGTGAAATGCGATCTAAAGGTATCAACTTCATTGGACAGGTCGGGGTCATGCTGAAGCTATCCCAAATGACCCTGACCACTGCCGCCGTCTACTTTAACAGATTTCTGATGCGGAGGTCGCTGGTGAACAAGAAAGAAGGAGCAAAGGCCTTACACCACTATGTAAGTCGGCAAATCGCGCACGGAAGGCGCTTGGCACTAATACATGGAAGCAAATCGCCGCCGTATGCATCTTCCTGGCCACCAAAGTGGAAGAGACTTGCCGTAAGATGAAGGAAATCGTCGTTGTCATTTGCCGTGTTGCCCAGAAGAACCCGAATTTGATCGTAGATGAGCAGACCAAAGACTATTGGAGGTGGCGCGATACGATACTCATGAACGAGGATCATCTTCTTGAGGCAATCGCCTTCGATCTCACGATCGATAAACCGCATAAGCTAATGTTCGACATGTTACAGTACTACCGCGAGTCACACAACAAGGAGCTAAGGAATAGCGCATGGACCTTTATTAATGACAGCGCTCACACACAGCTCTGCATTCTGTTCCCAGCGCGCACGATAGCTGCAGCTGCTGTATATTGTGGAGCCAAGTATTGCCGCGTCGACTTGCCCGACGAAGGTGGCAAGCCGTGGTGGGAAGTGCAGCATGTGTCGTTGCGCGAAATTCGCAGAGCTTGCAACTATATGGCAGGGATATACGAGAAGACGCCCGTGAAGGAAGGGGTCGAGAATATATACGTACGTCTTCGCTCGCCGGTGGATGGCCCACCGGAGGACGCAAAGACTCGACTAAAGACGTCGCAGACACCCGAGAGTGTCGACATGGAGCGAGAAGGCAGCAGCCAGAGCGTGAAACGTGCGCGAGAAGACGACGAAGTGCAAAATGGAGATGCCGAACACAGCAAACCGGGAGACAAAGAAGCCGCAAACGGAAAGGAGGAGGCCGGACATCAATCTAAGAAGGTCAAGACGGGAACGAACGGGGTGGGGAGCGGCGCATCAGCCACCAAAGAGGACGAGGAGGTGGCCTCTGAGGAAGGTGAGGTCGAAGAGTAAATCCGGAGCACAGCAATATTTTCGAATCTTCTATCGCTGGAGTCCACTCATGCAGGCATAACGGCGTTTCAGCGTCGTCGACATCTTTTTAAGATACCAAGGGACCAGGCGTTTTGAACAAACTCGTTGGGTACGCGAGTTACATTTGCAGGCGTTCCTCTGTTCATGTCCTTGGAGCTATTATGCTCTGGACGAGACGCCCCTTGCTATACATTCCACGACAAAGGCATGTAGTATAGCAGTCAGGTCCAATAGAAAGCACCTTGACATGACTTGGCATGGCATGGTTTGACTTGACTTGTGCTCGTTGTGATACCCCGAATACCCTTTTCCGTAGCAATGCGTCTCTTTTCACATGATGGTCGGCCCGCAGAACGTGTGTCCCGGAGCCCGTCCGAGTCAGGAGACGCCTTATCGGATCTATCGGTAGGCATGCCGAGATCGGATACCTTGATGTCCTGCCGTTGGGCTTTTTCCCCATCTCCACTTCTCCGTCCTCTCACCCTCGCCGTCGCCAACCTACTACGCTGGATACTTGCCCCTGTCCTTTGAGAACTGATATTGTCGTCGGCTGGACTATATCAAATCTCCTGCATGCCTTTCTCGAGACTCTTATGAGACATCACTTCATAAGCTGTTCCGGCGCATAGCAGCCAATTACCCAAGCACTCTTCGTCTCGTGAATCGCCCGCCCGTCCAACGCCCATCATGGATCAGCAACAGTCTCCTTTACTCCGTCTACCGACCGAGATCAAACTTATCATTTGGGACATGCTCTTCCTCCCGGGCCATGGGATCAGTGCAGCTAAAGCAGTTTCCCGCGCGACAACACAATCGCATGAACAAGACGCAAACCCCGAAGAGCCCTGGACAATCCATATTCATAATCTTCCCCCTTCAGAATCCGGTCCTCCTCCACTCCACCGTTCAACGTACCTCATCCGCAATCACACCACGCTCTTCACTTCCCGCACCACGCGCACAACATACGCCCTCGCCCTGCCGCCCAACACACCTCCCTCCACCCCCCTCACCACCATCTACCCTTTCCGTGCCGCCATCTCCCTCCTCGCAACCTGCAAGTACCTCCACGCCACCCTCACCCCGCTGCTCTACTCCTCATACTCCTTCTCCTTCGCCACAAACATCGAGGCCATCCCGCCATTCCTTGCCGACCGCGGACCCCTCGCCCGCGCTCATATCCGCCATCTCGCACTCACGAAGCGCGCCGCTCCGTATACATTGTCTGCCGACGCAGCTGCTTGGACCACGGCTATGGCGTTTCTCGCTGCTCCATCGTCGGGGCTGCGGCTTGACAGTATCGATCTTGGCGTCCAGGCACTGATTCCTGGTGGCAGCGGTGCTGCTACTAGTGCGAATGCTGATGATGATGATACCGCCTGGGCCGCTCTACCGGTCGTCGACAGCGGCTGGTTCCGCGCCGCGAGCTGCATGGGTGTCTTTGGTGGTGGCGCCGGTGGTGGTGAGGGTCTGGGTTGGGCGGAGCAGATGCATCGTGTTCGGGGGCTCAGTTGTGTTACTGTGCGCGGTGTGCGCGAGAGGTGTGCGATGCCGACGAGTGCGCAGATGGTGTTTTGGGTGGGCTTTTCGAGGAGTATTGAGCTTGGGTTTCGGAGGTGGTGTTGGGAGGAGATGGTGCGTGGTGGTGCGTGATGGGATTGATGGGGTTGATGGGAGGAGTGAGTGTGGGAGGAAGGGGAAGAAGGCATTGTGATGCGATGAGGAGAGCGCGCTGCTCGTTCAAGGAATACAGATGTCTGAGACCTGATGTTGGACGTCAGTTCACAGGATCACATACATTACGTGTCTCATCACCCCTTGACGCAAACTATACTCTCTAAAATATTCACTAGAGTTTCGTGGCATTCAACGTATATAGACATAGATAGATGGATAGACCATTAGACCACAGTATATTATCTCTACACTCAGACCAGCGTATTCAGATGATTATCAAGTCTCTCGACTTAGTCTAGGCAAATCAGGGGCTAGTAAGATCTCGGTCCCGTCCCTTTCTTGTTTACGCCAAGTCTCGACCTCAACGTGCGCAGCGGAACCATGCGGACTGTCGTCATACGGATGCGGCGGTAAAGGGTGGTCTTCTCGAGCCTAGATCCTCAGGGCAGTATACGTGTCGGTTTGACATAGGCATGGCGAAGAGGATTGATGGTAAAAGAGTGATGCTGCAATTTTCGAAAATGGTCTATCAAGTATGCAAAATACATGCAGGGGGGCTCTTCTCTATAATATTACATTCCTCCTACATGAGCCCCCAACAACACATCCCATCGTGAACATGACACAAACACCACACTCAAAACACCGCATCCGCCTGCTGGTCCGCAAGATATCTCGCCTCGGGATCCTCGCCATCAACATCATCAAAAAAAGCCCCTTCCTCCTCCTCCACGCCCATCACCTCACCCACATTCTTCGCACACAGGTCCGCAAACAAATGCACCGGCTTGCCCGTACAGCACTTCGTCTCCCAGTCATCGTTCGGGTAGATATACGCATCCTTGCAGTCATCCTCAAGCGGGAAACACTTCAAGACGCGACACTCGCTCTCACTCCTCAGCAAAACCCCGTCTTCAAAAAACGGACAGTCAGTCCCATGCTCGCCCGGATACCGCGTGTCGTAGCAGTCGATATCACTGATGTCATACCACAAGTTCTGCGGCTCGGGCTCCCACGTGTACTCGAGCTGCGTGATGAGCGGCTGCGGCTCGCCGACGACCCAGGGGTCGCGCGAGAGCTTGATGGAAATGCCCAGGTTGGGCCAGTAGAACATGGAGGTCCAGACTTCGCCGGGTGTGATGAGGATGTCCTCGCCGTCGGGGCCGAAGGGGTGGATGCTGTTTTGCTCGGTGCCGGCGATGACTTCGCGCAGGTAGACGGGGAAGTCGCAGTTGGATTTGATGACGATGTCGGGCACGCCGTCGGCTGGGGTGGGAGGGGTTATAGGTGCGGGGATGGCGTCTGGGGGGAGGGTTTGGCAGTATGGGTCTTCGCTGGAGGCGGTTTGGTTGGCGCCGCAATGGGGGAGTGCGTTGGTGGTTGTGAGGAGTGTGGTGGTGGTGGTGGCTAGGATGAGAATGCTCCTAAGGCAAGGCATGGTGGAGGGCATTTTGAGGGGTGAGACAGAGTAGACAGAGAACAAATGAACGAATGGACAGTGCAGGCGCTGTGATGTAGAGGTGCGCACAGGGGATTCTCTCAAGAAAGGCAAATGAGTGACGGTGAGCAATGCTGTTATAAGGTCTTTCTGGTCTGTAGAGGCTAAGCCGTTCTTGTGTGAAAGCGATTTGGTATGTAGAAGCAGCCAATAGACATCTCATGCTGTGACGAGTATTAGGATCATAAAGCTCATAGGCTTGTAATGTTGCATCAGAAACCCATTTACCGGGACCTATATAGACTCGTCGTGAGCTTGGGATAGCATAAGCCGCCAATAGGGTCTGAATGGACGTTCGAAAAGAGGGAAATGCCTCGTTCAATCTCGATGAGATCCACGACAGGGACCGTTCTCGTTCATTCTGCTGTTTGGGACTGGAATGTGTATGCTTCTGAGAAGCGGGCTGTCTACTTCGAATGGTCCCCAGACTCGATAGTAAAGACAGTCTGCACGAAATGGGGGGTTACAGTTCTTACTATACTCAAAAAGGCACTTACACGTGCAAGTAGTATGGATGACAGCTAGGAGTGAAGATGTTCAACAGCCTCTCCTGGACTATGGCCACAGCAATCGATTCATTTATCTCACATAGACGTCATGTGATGGACTTCAGATTCCAACTCAGATGAGGAACAATGTATTGTTTCGTAAAGATCGTTTGTTATACATAATTACTTCTATCAATTGACCCACCCAAACCCCAAAGCTCATGCCAATTCATTTTGGCAGCAGCCCATAGACACTGAAAAGCTTTTACACGAATCTTGCGTTTCTGGAAGCCGACTGAATAGTACGGCGCCTGTCGGACGGATCAAGTGCTGCGGAACAGTCCATCAGTTCCGACTTGTCATTTCCAAGCAGCGACATCTTCTCCATGCTAGCAAAAGTCAGTCAGCATCAGTCAATCACATCGCATCCAAGAATCGGTAACCTACGCCGAGAAGAAGGCCCGGTTCCAGCCCGCCGAGCTCCTTGAGAAGCGTTTCCAATCCCCCGAGCACTGCGAGTTCTCCGCAATGTTCTTATCGCTCGGAAAGCTGAAGGGAGCAGAGCCGTCGAGCGTTTCCGAATAGAACTTGACATCCCAGATCCCGTCTGTAGAGTCTTGAGCTGCGCCTGCTCTGGCGGTATCGACAGTCTTTTGCTGAGACGTGCTGTGCGCCCCCACAAGTGCCACCAAGTCCGTTGTCGTGAAGCCTTTCGCCGCGAATTGATTGATCAGTGTGTCAGCGTCGGCCAAATGTGATGGTATCTCGCCCTCGGGTGCTGGTGTGGTTGAGTCCTTGCGACCGATGTATATGGGCATGCTGACCCCTCCAGGACATGCCTTTATGCCGGCCGCTGTTGCATTGTCAGCTCAAGTAGATACAAACGAATGAATATACTGACCGCCGGCGAATTGTATCAGATCGGCAACACCGACATCCTTCTCCTTTGCTAGATCGCCGATTTTCTGGCATGTGTCTTGCAGGCCAGCATTCTCTTTTCTACTGCAATCATTGGCAAGGATCATGGAGCCATCGCATCCTCCACTGAAACAGTCATGGAAGGCCAAGCGGATTGCTCCTCGAGCATCGCTGTTACACTGTCCATTGGTTACGTATTCACTAGCAAGCTGCTTTCCAATGTCAAACCACACAGAAGGACAGTCCTGGCGCCTCCATAGCCTGTCGTATATCACTCTCTTCACAGTAGAGAATGCGGTCTTATCTCTCGGACTCTCATGTGGACTAGCATCAACTGTGGCTATCAAAGCCGCAGCAAAAAAGTAAGTCTGGAAAAGCATTGTCTTCTGTTCGTGGTTCAGTTTTGGCGAAGAAGTCAGAATGGAAAACAGAAACCGGGGTGGATTGAAAAAGAATTTAGAGCATAGCTCTCTTATAAACAACTTGCCACCCGCTGTATCCGCATTGTATTTGATATTCTCCGATGCACTGCGTGCGAGACAGAGTTGGACTTTGCTGTGTTGGGTACAAGGGAACAGAGCCTGCCGACCGGACCAGTGATCAAGAATCTATTGTCAATTCACTCAAAGGTTCCTGATGGTATGCCAAGGGTATTATGGAGACTGGGTGGTCTGTGAATATAGAACTTACAAAGTAGAAAACACGATCAGCCTGATCGGAGGCATCATTAGAATGGTAGCGAACCTGTATAGTATATTCTCGATGACGAATAAAGTATTCTCGCTCCTCTAGGACATCGGAGTTAGACTTGCCGTGGGTAGTGACGGAAATTGTTCGTTGCGTCTGCATGCGTTACGGAGATTTGATAACATCTATGCCAAGTCGTCAAAACGTTGGGGCAGTGTCGGAAAATACCTACTTGAGCAGGTTGTGGGGAATGCGCTTTGAGGCCAACAATACTTCTGTACAGATCTGTTTCCGGATCTATTGATATCAGTCATGACTCTTTTGAGTGCAGATTTTGATGCATGACACACGTCCAGGGATCGTCAATGGGTATCATTGTGCGAACATACTGGGCCGATCTGTTAAGCATGGACTATTCAACCCTCTGTAATGAACCACGGTCGTCCAAAGATCGAAAGAGAACAGGAAAATATGTATTGTGGCTTATATACGGGGATCGCCAATGGTATAACGTAGTTAATGCTGCAAACATGACGGTTGGCATCCAGCGCCAGAAAGAACCGCCAAGAACAATCGAGTGTGCATAAGATCGTCCATCGCTATTAAAACACTCAGACAGCATCACTAGATATTCCATCGAACTCGTAGTGTGGACGGGGTATCATGAGAAATTAGGTTGCGAGTCCAGAATTATTAGGGAGCACTGAGCTCAGCTGGGTCTTTTGAAATGTTCAACGCTCAAAGTGGGTGTTTCCACCCAACTATTCGTGGGGACTCCTTCATGCTTTCTCCTTTCAAAGAAGTTCTGGCACTCGTTCACGACCATGGACCATTCTGCCAATGCACGCCCAGCATATTTAGAAGACGAGGCTGCAGCGCCTTCAGGCTTCCTGCTCCGGACTGTCGGGAGCATCCTGCCATGATCAATAAGATACTGCTGAGCGGGTCCGGGGAGGCGAGGCGCATAGAGACGCATATTGTTGACGATCTGTAGTCGCTTATCTTGCCACTCGAGCGAAAATCTGAAGCAATAACTTCGATGTGTAGGAACAGAGGTCGTCGTTGTCGTTGTAGTAGTAGCCGACTGACTGAAAGTAGGTGTTGTTGACCCAGAGGTCTTGGCAGAAGTCCTTTCTTTTGAGCTAGGACTTCTGGACTTCGATCTAGGTGAAGACGGCATACCTATCAAACTCTTGAACAGATTCCATGGTTTCTTGGTTTTCTCTTCAGTGCTTTGGCCATAGTCGGATGAGGCGTCTGACATTGAAGATGATGGACGCGTCTCAATGTCCTGTAGTACAGAGTCGCTCTTCTGTATGCTGGAGTGAGGACTGACTATTCCGTCAAATGAAAGAAAACTGCCGGCAGGGCTGTGAACAGGCGCATCCGTTCGGATGATGAGGAGACGGCGTCCTGGAGCGGGAGGACAAGGTATGGTAGATGGTGGTACGCTTTCCGCGCGCTGGGCTCTTTCTCTTATGAACAGGAAATGAGACCAAATGCCGCGAAGCTGATCCAAGAGTCTGTCGAAGATGATTCTAGTGAGAACGTTAGCATAGCCATGATTGAACGCAGTTTTTTAACATACATGTCTCCGTCGCTTGGATCTCCATCGAATCTTGCAACACGCCAGCAGAGTAAGCGCATGTAGTATGATCGAACCATAGGACACCAGTGATTGAATCTGCTTTCAAAAAAGTCGGGATCGAGCAAAAAGTCCAGGCATGTATCCGTCTTGCGGTCTGGATCTGCGATTATGGAATTCCACGTGGAATACAGGAAAGAGTATAACCTGATCTCAGTGGCAGTGTTGTGACTCTCAGCCATCTTTCTGCATACGGAGAGCCAGAATGGCCAATCCAAGATGAGAGTCTTGGAACTTTGCTCGTATCGAACGATGATACCGACTACCTCTTCTAAAAAGTCACATAGCATGTATGATGCATTATGGTCATAAAGTGAAACTTTGCGCGCACTAGCCTTCAACAGTTGACAAAACAGTTCGGCAAACATTGGTCGTACGTTGGTGACGTTTGCAGTTCTTTCCGAGAGTATATCTCTCAGAAGCATAATGAGCCGATTCTCAGCCATCAGACGAGTTGCATTCGTCGGTCCGATCGGAACAGGCGCTGCGGCAGCGTCTGGATCGCCTTGTAGCACATCGTCGAAGGTAATTGTGGATGGTCCATTGACCGTGTCGTCTCCAACCGAAGCGTTAGCATGGCGATGAATGGTGGCATCCAGGTTTGCCAGTATCTGCGTATGCACCATTAGAACACCAGGGGCGCAAAGCTTCTCCAGATTGGTCGTATCGGGCGGCAGAAATTCGTTTGTGAGCACATGGAAGTACTTGACGAAAACGTAAAAAAGATCGCTCTCTGTTCCATACCACCGTTTCGTCCATGGCCCGTGCCAATCCAAGTGTGCTGCGCCCAGCGGAAGCTGGCACGGCTTCCTCAGCTCTTGACATATCTGTCTGAATGACGAGACCTTCAGGGAATGGAGATTAGGGGGGAAAAATGCCAAAATGGTCTTAGCTGTGCGTTCAAACTTTTCCAACCTTGGTGCCCCGTTCTCTTCCATGACACGTCGCATGACGTCCGGCGAGGGGTTCCATAGGCGAATGAGCATGTCAGCAATGCCTGGGCAGAAGAAAAATGCATACGCGCAGGTCTTTCCACAAAATGAGACCAAGCTGGCAGGAGCGTTTCGGAGGGACATTTTCGCAATGACAAAAGACATCTGTGACATGATGTTCTGCGTAAATATATTCCGGACGTTGTGCTGCACGGATTCGATTAAGAAATCGGAGTTCGTTGAGGAAAGAGATGTGGTCGATTTGGTTTGTGGCGCTGGCGTCATGAGACCGCTGTTTGTAATTGGGCTGAAGGGAGATGGGCGTAGTCTCCACTCAGGTCTCTCCATTATTCCACTGACTGCTTCCAGTATGGCCGGTCGGTCTGTACCGGAAATTGATTGGTTATTTCGCCCAGCAAGCATCTCCAATAGACCAGTCCACCACTTATTTAGTATGTTCGCACGCCTGTCTAAATCTTCGGCTCGAAGTTTGTGATTTGATGCATGTTCAGCATATGTACGAAGAAACGGAGTCAATGTGGAGCGGACGACATTGGTTTTCAGTGCAATAGATTTCGATTGGAACCTGTACCTGTAAGAGAAAGTTCTGAGGGCCACACTTCGAACTTACTTTTGGTAGTCGCCATCTAGTGTTCTGAACACTGTCCAGAGTTCATCCTTTTTTCTCTGCGGCTCCCCTTTGATGTTGGAAGCCCTCAGGCGGTCAGAAGAACGTTGTCTAGGTAGAGATGGAACGCGGTCTGTGGGTGAAAGATGCTCCTTGATCGGCGAGTTAGACGTTGTCGGTAATCGGTCAGTGGAGAATGATATTGGTAGTTGAGGAACAGCAGGTACATCTCGGGCTTGGCTCTGTCTTTCTGGCGATATGTTATCCGTCGTACGGCTGCGTATCAGCATGCTTGATGGCCGTGGTATCGATTTCAGCAAAGTTCGTTTGTTTGGTACATGTTCTCCGATTACTCCCTCCTCATTATTCGCCAGACCCTTGTCCCTTTCACGAGATCGACCTATCATGGACATTCGGCGGCCAGCGCCAAGGGTCCAGCTGCGACTCCTCTGATCTTCCGAGAGCTTTCTCGGCGACGTCTCATCTTCAGTATGAGTACCCGAAGCCTGATCGCCGTTGGCGATGTCTCTCTCACTGTTATTTGTTGGCGCGCTGGAGCCAGTCTCCCTCGTCGTGTCAGCCGGGGCTTGAGGCATCCATGACTTGCGTCGCAATCTTGATCCTGGGCGTGATGCTGATCTTGAGCTTCCGCTATCAGTGCTGGGTCGAGATTGGCGCTGTTCCGGTTCGTCTTGAGATTTATTCCAGCCTAACAACCTAGAGACAGTGTTTTTCGTACTCTTTCGAGGCGACGACGACAGACTAGGTTTTATTTCGAGAGGCAGCGAAGGTTCGGAATCCGGACCGGTAGAGGATGACGAAGAATCCCCGTCTCCGGTGGTGGTGCTGGAAGCAGCAAGGTCATCTTCTGTGATAGTGCCCTTCAATTCCAGAATCTTGTTGTCTTCAAACAATGACTCTTTCGCCTTTGCGAAATACGTGTAACTTGCAGTTCGTGGTAGGATATCAGTATCGGATTTGCGTGGAGATGTAGACGCCACTGCATCCTTATCCGAGTGCTCGCTCTCTTCTCGGATAGTGCGGTTCGATGTAAAGGCGCTGGGAGAGACTCTCGTAGTCGACATCTGCGATGGCATAGCGAGCGTAAAGTATATCGATTGCCCTGCGAGTCGAGTGCATGCAAGAGGTATAAGCTACCTCGTGTTCTCCATGCCTTGTCAGGCGGCTCTCTTCAGCGATAATGGAACACTTCAGACAGGATACATGCGGTGCAATGAGGGACGACCCTCAGATGTATGGAGCAGGAAGGACAGGCCACGAAGCGTCGCAGAGGCTCGTGGCAAAGCCGGTTGAACGGCCGTGGCCGTGGCTATGGAGGTATGGAGGGCCGAAGGCGGCTAGCGAAAGTATATGTACAAAGAGATGACGATTCGGCAATCACACGAAGGTATGGGCAGATTGAACAGAAAGTTGAGTAGATTCTAAACGACAGTGAGGGGGAAAGCAAGTGAATGGGTATAGAAAAGAGACACGGCGCGAGGTTTGAACAGCAGCAGGAGGCTGACGTCCCCACCTTTTGATGAGAGTTTCAACGCCAATGCCAATATCCCATCCATGGCACGTTAGATCCAAGACCAGGGTAGTACCCACGCGGGCGCACATACATCCCTCTAGACTCCATAGCAACGTTTACTGATACACAGCAGCATGCACTGCCTGGGTATTAGTGCCTATTCTTCGGGCATGGCGGCTCCGGTACCGTCATCGCCGTCACTCCGGTCATATCCCATCCGATTCTAGTTAATAGATCGATAGCTAAAAATGGCTTGCCAATTCAACATGTCTAGCTGGCGATCTCCTATAGTAATTACTCATTCAACCATTTTCACAAAACTCATGCTAACTAGCTAATACCCTAAGTACGGAGTAGTGAAAGCTCAGAACACCAAGCCCTCCCAGGACTTGTCTGCCTCCTGTCCGACATATCGTCTACGTTCTCTAGCGCCTTACTGGGTAGCACCCATACCAACGTCTCTTACCGTTCGTGATGTTCCAATTGTCTTCTGCGTGCTGCAGGGCCTAATTATAAAGCTTTTCTGTTGCCGCTCGGCCCTCCCGGAACAAGTCTGGTGAACTTTAACTTCTAATTACACTCTGACTGAGAGATGGGCTAGAATCGTCATGGTCTGGACCACAAACGAAGTCTGCATCTGAGTCGGTCTGAACGGTGAGGAAATGATACACCGAGTCGTGCCTGTGCCGGTCCTGCTGCTGTTCTTTGGCTATGCTTCTAGCCTCCATACGAAATGGTTTTCTTCTATCACAAACCTAGTATGTGGGAATGATTCGAATGCAAGACATATGCCTGAAACTACAAGCTTGTCTGCACGTTCTCGTTAGATGTCACCATTATATATGAGGGAACCCCTTTTGGATCCCCGCAGGAAGCCCCGGTATTACAATCTCACCCTTATCGCACGTGTAGAGTAACGCCATTCACGCCTCAGCACTTATATTCATGTCACGATACAATCCATCACTAAACGCGACGTGTCGTGGTGGCACCTTTATTAGTAGCCGAGCGATCATGAACAGTCCCAAAACTGATTATCAGAAGAATGAACAAACTACAAAAGAACAATGAGGCCATTGGTTCAACCTAAGTCCTGTCTTCGAGGCTAGACGATTTCAAACACTTCCAGATAACATGCATTTGTGCGCACCATGTACGCAGCCGGATCATGCTAATGCTGTGTATCTAATGGCTCCACGTTTCGGAAACCTCGCAAATGCCGTTAAGCTTCCGACCGGGCCAAGGTTCATGCGCACAATACTTAGTCCATACTAGATAGCTTCTGTAGACCTGTATTTGACCAAGGAAAGTGGTAACTTTCTCCCTGTCTGAAGGTGCTTGTGCGAATGACAGCACTGATGCTCAAGCAGACCGCGTCCATCACTCTACTCGTCATGCCTATTGACGAACACGTAAGGAAGTTAGATGAATATGTTTCATAGATGCTATTTTATCTCTCGGATTTTGATTCAAATGCTAGACGAAGATACGAATGGATGACAGCCTGTTGGTGAGTGGCAGGTCGCTACTGTGAGTGACGGTATCTGGGTTTGAGCGCAAACGCTTTGATGCTTCTATTGACACAACATATAATAGGATTTTACAGGGCCGATATGATGTGACGGTTGTCATCTAATGATGAGCTTCCTCCTCTTCCGGCTCCTCTTCGAACCAATCCTCCTCAACTGGTGCGGCTCCACCCTCTGTTGAAGCAGCACCTTCCACTTCGACTTGCTGTGTCTCGTAGTCCTTTAGCTCATTTGCAATATTGCTCTCTTCTGGTGATGCAGGTGCCTTCGGGATGGAAAATTTCTGAACGTGACCCTCGGCATCGGAAGCTTTGACTTGGGGGATCTTGTAGCTCTTCAATTCGCGAAGGTACAAGTCTTGAACGAGATCGGCTATGACCAGATTATTGTTAGATGGCGAAATATAGAACGGTATGGTTTAACGATGTCGTACCTTGTCGAACAGCTGTGGGAGTGATGAAAGTGCGTCGGAGGGCGGGTTGCTGTCGCGCAACACGGAGGAGCGATGTCCTCTACATTCGTCATTAGCTACGGCGGAGCCATCAAAGATTTCCAATCTTACCGAAGCCCGGAGAGGAATTGACGACAACATGGTGAATATAGGATGTGAGGGAACGCAGCCGGCCAATTGGTTGATGCAAGCTTGCAGCTCCTGAGAGGGTAATAAGGTAGAGATGGTGAGGAATCTGAGTCCCCAGGCGCTAGCTTATTTCGGGTCTCGCAATTCCTGCGCACCTCAGGTGTAAAACTTCCAAGTTAGGCTGCAAGGCTGCACTATCCCGGCCCGACGTGTTACCGACGTGGTTATGAGTCTCTGCCTCTATGTCACGCACGCTCACTCTCCTCACCTTCTTCCTACATCCTCTCTCTTCTTCACCAACACACTTCGACGCCGCGTGACCTTAATCCACTTTCAAATCGTGAGAGCTTTCGGAATTCACACAAGACACTTGCCTGGACGACCGCTCTGCTAGCCTGTCAGACTCTTCTGAACGCTTGCGGACGCCTTTACTGGTTTCACCGGTCAGACCAACGCAAACTCTCTTGGACTTCCCACGTCTCACTCTGCAAACGCGCTCGCGCAGAACTGTGCTGGTCACTATTTCTGTTTCTCTCAAAACGCTTTTTCGCGAAACCAAGCGCCTCGTGAGGCCCAGCGAAGAGCTGTTTGCGAAGCGGTCCTACACACCGCGATCAAACCCACCACTCGTTTTACGCAACCGCCAAACTGCACTCTCCACTCTTCATCCGTGTCTTAGTTAGAAAATACGGCTTACACAAGTCGTCTAGAGGAGTAAAAAAACGTGCACAAAGAAACTTTCGCAAGCCATTGATGACCGTGCCAAATTCCACAATGAATCTATCCCCGGGTCAAGTCGCCGTGGAAGCACCGCAGGCGGCACCTCTGGGATGGCAAGAAAATCTGAACATTCACCTGATTTGTAAAGAGTGTCGAGAGGTTCCTCCCAACCTGGTCGAGGAATTCGCGTCCGGCGATACAGTCTGCGGTTCTTGCGGCCTGGTCCTTACTCAACATCTGGTCGATACACGCTCCGAGTGGCGGACGTTCTCTAACGATGACCAAGGCAACGACGATCCCTCCCGTGTCGGAGATGCCGCAAATCCCCTACTCCACGGCTCTCAACTTCAGACCAGCATTGGCTTTGGAGATGGCTCCCGTGCTGCCAGGGATCTGAATCGTGCCCAGGGCAAGAGTACTTTGGACAAGACCAACAAGAGCTTGATGGCAGCATACAAGCAGATTGGCACTCTCTGTGACTTCTATCACATGGGTTCGCACATTGCAGACACCGCTAAGCATCTGTACAAGATGACGGAGGATGCGCGACTGTTCAAAGGTAAATCGACCGATGCTGTCATTGCCGGGTGCATCTTCATCGCTTGTCGTCAGAATAAAGCCCCTCGTACGTTCCGTGAGATCTATGCCCTGACCAAGGTGTCGAAGAGAGAAATTGGTCGCACTTTCAAGACTCTGGAGAAGTTTCTTCAGGTTAACAAGAATACTTCTAACGAGGTCACTGCGGGCGGTCTCGTCGTCGGCGCAGCTAAGATTCACGCGAACGAGTCTACCAAGCCTGAAGAACTGGCCCGTCGCTACTGTAACCAGTTACGACTTTCTGATGAGATTGGCGCTATAACTCACGATCTGTGCATCCGCACAAATGACCAAGGCTACATTGCTGGCCGCTCCCCTCTATCTGTTGCCGCGGCTTGCATTTACATGGTGTCGTTCTTGATGGGCAAAGGGAAGACACCGAAAGATATCTCGAATGTGGTTAATGTCAGTGATGGTACAATACGCACTTCGTATAAGCTCCTACTACCACACAAAGATGCGCTCATTGATCCCAAGTGGATTGCTCGCGGCGGTGACATGAAAAGACTTCCTGCTAGCTAGCAGGCTATCCTCGTCGACTGAATCGTCTACCCTCCTTGCGGACCTTGACTTATCGAGACGACATCAATCGTATAATCGATCATCTTTGCGCTCCAGATCCTCACTTTATTCTGGTTAGGCGTCATCTCAGAGGCACCTTCGACTATTTTCTGCGTTGCAACCGTTCACCGACCTTGAATTACGGTTTAGTATTGGTTGGCAGAGCATACTTTTGCCACTATTGACCACTCGTCAACCCCCTTCCCCGCTTGGCATAATAAACACCGCCATTACCTCGCGTTCATAGGCTTAATTGACCTTGGCGTTGGTAGCACACTGAAGAATGGAATCTGAAGACAGTGTGATCTCAGCTTTGGCGGGCAGCTCTGTTCTGGCGTTATCACTTCTTTCTCACTTATTTGCTTTATAGACCTGCACTCTATCTTGTCAAAATGCGAGGCGGATTCGCACGTAGTGCGGACAGATTCGTGGATGTTATAAGCTAGCTGACTTAAACCCCAGAAAATACAGAAAATGGTGTGAGGAGACGTGTGCGGGCTTTGCTGTCTTTTCCGGACGGTGATCTGTGATACGATTTGAATCTCCTATGCACTGTGCACCTTCAGCATGAGGTATCATGCACTGACAATGTCCATGTGGGAATCGCTCTACGAATCTACACTACCGGTACTATATAATATAATCCTAATATCAACTGCTGCGAACCCTTCACAGCAAATACATGCCACTATTCATCTTGGTCTTCTACATCATCGAAGCGAACTCCGTGCTGTACAGTGGCCAGCCTCTCCAACACCATCCGAATCATATAGACTGTGACTATCATCCACTCCCATTATTGCAAACCATGCTGCTCCCCAGTCCCCCTCAACCATACCGCCACAAGCAAGCCCACCGCCCTCCCCGGCACCACGAACGAGCTCCAGCGCAGCACCACCATCGCACCTACCCGTTCTGGCCGTCGCGTCCTCATCTTCGTCCTCCTCCTGAGCCCAACGTCCAGCACCGCTATCCACAGAAGGCGTCACTATAAACCCTAACCCTAAGCACCTCCACGCCGCATCGGGTCGTATCGCGAATAAGGGGGCGGCGGATCGTGCATGTCATCCCCAGACTGTGGTCTGTGCGTGTACGTGCCTGTATACGGATATGTGCACGCTGCTCCCGCACCAACAGGAGGAGAAGGAGAAGGAGAAAAGCAAGGGTACGAAGAAGAACGCGCTGGACCAGCCTGCGCATACCGCGACGCGCCGTACGCATACGCAGTGGCGTCCGTCCCCACACCCCTTGCCGTCGAAGATGCAAATACCCGTCGCCGCAACGCAGTCTGGGCATTATAATTATACTCGACGGGCGCCGACCCGGGCGCTTGCAACCTAGATGCGAGGACAGCACGTACGACATTGCGGACCTGTGCTGCGAGCGCCCTGTTGCTGCGTTCGCGGAAGCGCTCTGAGAGCTCGAGCTCGAGGTCGGCGATGCAGTCTGTTGCTTTGAGGATGGTGGCTTGGATGTGAGTGTGGGGCGGCAGGGGCATGGTTGGGTTTGCGTAGTCGAGGGACCAGTGTTCGAGGGCGGAGACGGCGCGGTGGGCGTCGAGGTGGGATTCTGGGAGGGCGTAGATGTCGTGTTTTGCGTGGGGAGGGGAGAGGGAGGTGAGGGATGTGGATAGGTTGGTGAGGTGGCGGCGGAGGGCTTTGGAGATGCTTGGCAGGGAGGTGCGGTAGATGTCGTTTGGGAGTCGGTGACGGTGTCGGGAGACTGGGGCTGTTGGTCTTGGATGAGTGGCTGGGTTGGAGCGGCTGCATTTGGGACATGGGAATCTGTGTATTGCGCGGATGGTGCAGTTTCCGAGTCTTGAGGTACGGCGGTCGACGTGTCCACATACGAATGCGTTGACGGATCCCTTGGATGGCATCTTGAGGTGGGTAAGTATATATCGGGGGGTCTGGAGTCGGGACTCGGTTTCTCTGGGCGAAATGAAGATGGCGGTCAATGATGGGTGTCAAAGGCCAGTGCCAGTCGAGCCCCAATATATGGGATGTGGAACGTTCAACACACGGATCGCCTTGTAACTAGAAGTCACAGGGTGTGAGGGAGCAGGGCTTTAAAGATAGGTGTTGGCCTTGCACAATGCTGAACGGGGATGTATTCATTGATGATAGGTCCGGGGGTAGAGCAATGTGCAGTAGGCGGAACATGGAGTTTTATGAACAGTGTGGCGAGAAATGTCAAGCGTGACTATGCTATTTGACCTCTCCCATAATGTATTGCGGTCGACCAGAGTTGGTTGATAATAATGTAAGAAGCTAGGCGCCCATCAGGCTCGTACTCCATCAGTGTTCACCCAGGATACCAATACGAAGTCCTTAACCGAGGCCGGCGAGCTTTCCGGTCTTGCATAGCCAAGTTGTGAAGCGATCTTCACATGCTTGATTTCACTGGGTATCGACCAAGGGCAGAGTATGGGAATCGACAGATCGAGATTGACTGCACGATCATATCGAAGTTATGTGGACGTTGCTCAGATCAGACTTCATCACTCGTGACTTTGTAGACCGTACTGCCTCCACCAGGTCTCGTGACGACAATAGCATCGGCCAGTGTCTCATCGGTGATATCAGGCCATCTTTTGCGATAGTACTTTGAGATCCATGCCTCTTTGACGGCTTCCACTTTGCTGGTTGGAACGAGATGTACGCAGCAGCCACCCCAGCCAGCTCCTGTAACCCTGCTACCCACGGAGCCTGCGCTTCGTGCAAGGTCGCACAGTTGATCGAGCTCCGGACAACTCGACTCGTAGACATTCTTCGAGGACTCGTGAGACTGATTGAGGAGGTCTCCTAGGTCTTTGAGAACTGAACTCTTGTCATCGCCACCCGAAACAAGGAGATCGTGGAAGTTGATAACTCGTAGTGCCTCTGTGAACGCATGTAGGGCCCGTTGCCTCAGCTTGAATTTTTCTGCGCGTACCGGAAACTTAGACATATACCTCTTGGTCAACTCTTCCTCGCTAGTACCAAGCAGAGCACAGATCTGTTCGCGCGTATAGCCATCTTCTTCTGTTAAGTAATCCTCCGTTAATGTTATGAGCTTCTCCAACTGTGCCTTGAAGTCCTGTACCGAGACCTTGCCGTTGTCTGGGACTGCTTCCTTTTCCTCGAAAAAGGTGTCATGGAAACCCCGAAGACTCACGCCAAGTGGCGAAGCATCCTGTGGAAGGTCTCGTTTCAGAGCAAATGCTTTGGACAGGAACATGGCAGCCAGTGTACATTCCACTACGCGTAGGTTGTAGCAAACCGGTCCAGTAACTTGTTTGTCTGCAGCAACGAAGCTCTGGGCTATGACGACGCTGAAGGGAGGATCAGTCTCTGGGAAGGACAAGGACTTTGCCGTCAGATTTGGCTTGAAAGATACATATAAGGCTTTGTCACGCAGTGAGAACACCGAGGCGGCCTGGTCCATGCTGCAGGTAGAATCAGTACGTAGTCAGAAAGAGGCCTTAGGAGGGACTAACCCTCCGGAGTTGACACCTGCTGCTCTCTCCGACACGATGGCTAATTCTGTGAGCTCAGTCTTGTCAACTCTTTCCTCACCATTTGCAGTCATAACGGCCAGAGCACTTGCACAAGTGAAAGCTGCACTGCTGGAAAGACCTCCTCCACTTGGTACAGAGCCGTCTGCCAGAACATCCATGCCAACACTGACGAACTTTCCTCTTCTCTTGATGAGAAGCTTCGAAGTTCCACGCAGGCCTGCTTTGAAGTAATTGCTCCACTCATTCTCGGTGGCGTCAATCGGAATGTCTCCTTCTGTTGGTATCTCAAATTCGCGTGCAGGGAACTTGGAGTTCATGTTCGCAATGCGTACGGTGGGCTTGGAGTCGGATGCAGGCCGCACAGCTACGGCGAGGAGCATATCGCTAGTGATGGCCATCGGCAGGACTTCGTAGAGGGAGTAGTCGATATGCTTCGACAGATGTCAGGTACAGGGTACGAGCAATGACCTGAGACTGGGACAAACCTCGCCGATAACATTGACGCGCCCTGGACTTCTCGACACAAAATCAGCACGTCGACCGTACAACTCTTTGAATTTGGATAGTAGGTTCCCCCATCTCTTCTGCTGATATGGTATTGCATCATCGGTATAAACATCGTGTAGAGATGTGGCACGCGGAACGTCCATGGTCAGAAGAGAATGTAGATATTGAACTAAGGCGTGTCAAGAGTTTAAGCGTCACGAGATACTGAGGAAAGGTGGGTGTAAGCTTTGGGTGAGGCACGAGGATGTTTTGATACATGATATGACGAGCGAATAGAACTTTCTCATTGTGCCACCAGGGGAGGGATGCAACGTGGGGGTAGTGATAGCTAGAAACACTGCAAGGAGGGGTGGGGCAGACAGGGCCTTAAGGCTTAAAAGCAAGGGAGAGGGCTGTAGGGCAGCAACTCTACTGTGCAGTGAGTGGTAATAGCTAGGATTTCATGGGTGAGGGGCAGCCAACATTCCCCACCAAATCGGTGACCTGAAGCTGTCGCGGTGTATTTCTCTCGGATACAAACAACATCCTCAACGAACAACATTATCACCACTGGTCTATTTGTAGACGAATGTCCCTCGAGAGGATTGATCTTACCACAACCCAACGGGCCATGTATACGTCTGCTGGAGCTTGAGACGCTCTTCAGCTCTGTCAGCGACACTGTCGTTGTCGTTATCGTTGTCGCCATCGCCGTCGCCGTCGCTTATACCCAAATCAGGATACTCCTTAGGCAACAACGAAGACAATAGTCTGGGGAGGGCTGATGGAAGAAGATAATGAGGCTGAGGCTGAGAACCGGCTCTCGACCGCTCGCATCCTACACCCTTGTCGCCGCGCAGGCTGAGGCTGCTGCAGGAGGATACGACAAGGCAACAGGCGATGCAGCAGCGTCAGCATCATCATAATCACAGTCTATGACTGGCAAGCATGAACACGTTCTCGTGTGAAGTGTCATCAGTCGGGCATAATTTCCATAGCCAGCGTTCATGTCGAGTCATCAGGATACAAGGAGACATGTACAGCTTGGCGTGAGCTGCGTCGTGCTCCGTGCTGCTCACCATTCCTTGAGAACTGAACTGGCTCCTTGCATCTTCGATCATCATTCCGCACATGTCCATCCATCCATTAGTAGGCCTATGTCTTTTAGTCATAGTTCAATCACACATACATTCATAGGTAGTTTAGGCAGCACAGCTGCCACCCAATGGGCATATCCACTTTTCTAGCGAGCGAAGCGCGGTCGTTACTGAGGTGGCGTATGCCTTCCGAGCACAACTCTAACTTTGCAATATACCAAATACAACATTGCCTTTGACTGTAGGTCGCTGTGGTCATCTCCAATCACAGTCATGCTAAGCCTCAACAATCATTCTGATCCATTCATTTCCTTTGTAGACATCCGCTCATGAGATTCGGCGGAGCGGCCACGACTCTCTTCTCACAAACCACCGGTGTGTTGCTGCCTATCACCGCCACACAGCGGTGAGCACAAATCGTAGAGAACCATCGTGGATTTTCTCTTACAATTTTACATAGCGTTCTTGTGCAAACCCTGCTAGCGGCCGTTACACTGGCACGGTAAGGATCCGTTGTGCTGTTCATACCTACTTCAAGTCTCTAGTCATTCAGGTTCCCTTATAAAACCCGCGCCGCTCTTCGTTCAAACTCTGCACTTCATCTTCACGTGTGCAGCAGAGCATCCGGGACAACAACACCGATGTCCGTAACCGATGGGAGAGCGGGAATCATGACTTCTTCCGCCTCATATGGAAGAATGCCGTCCGCCAAAGCCGTTGAGGTGCTACACTACGCCCTGCCGACTGGTCTGGTCCTGTACTATATAACCACGACTACGATTCTGGCCTGTTTCTTCCGCTCTCCACAACCGAAACTATTCAAAGACAAGACTCGCCCGGTGGCTCTTTTTCTGATACCCGCAATTGGACTCACCTACGCTGCAGACTGTATCGTCTACATCGCCCGTGCTTTGGTACAAAAAGGATGGTGGGCTTCACAAGATGAGATAGTGTACTCTATGGGATCTATCTTGATCTGGTCTGGCCTGTTCGTATTGATCCTCGCATCCGACACCTTACCTCTGGGTCAGCATACTGGTGCGTGGCTCATAGCCTGCGCGTGTGAAATTGCGATAACAATAATCTGCGTCACCTGCAAGACCACCGAGAACAGCTTTGAGATTGCGGAGCTACTCATTCATCTGTTGAGGATAGTTTTCCTGTTGGCAATATACGGCTATGCAACCGCAACTCTCATTAGACGCAAACTCGCAGACTTGTCCAAAAACACTTCTGGTGTTAGCAGCAATGATGAAGAACAGCAGCCTCTAATAGGCTCTCCTGAGAATTGTCCTTCTGATGGTTCGTCGACTGCTGTCGAAGGTAGCTATGGTACTCTGGCGAAGTCCGCTGCTGAGAGTGATTCGGCAGCTGAACCGGAGACCGAAGCAGAGCGTCAAAAGAAAGAAAGGAAAAAGATCGAGGAAGAGCAGTTGAGGAGGGTCGCAGAAGCTGGAGGTTGGTGGGGTTATATCAAACTCTATGCCATTTTCTTACCACATCTCTGGCCAGCAAAGGATCGGCGTATGCAGCTATTCCTTTTTGCCATCGGACTCACCATCATTGCTGGACGAGCCTTTCACGTTCTGGTCCCACGTCAATTGGGTATTGTTGTGGACGCTCTCACAGCTTCCAGTGGAACGGGAATCCTACCTTGGAAAGAAATCGGCACACTCTTCATAATGGATGCTTTCGCCGATACAATTCTTTATACCATCAAGGAGAGCGCTTCCTATCGCTTTAGTCTGTGGTCATGGCAACGGCTGAACAGTATGGCTTTTGCGCATGTCATGAATCTCTCAATGGAGTTCCATGACAGTAAGGACAGTGCAGAGGTTATTAAAGCCGTCGAGCAAGCGAACTCGCTCAACAGAATCGTACGGCTCGTCTTATTTGATGCTGGGCCTATCGTCCTTGATCTCGTTATTGGTGTCGGCTACATCACCAGCCTATTTGACATCTATTTTGCATTCCTGTTTCTGTTCACCGCGATTCCATTTTTCCTCGTCTCCTATTTCGGGACCAAAATAGGTCGTTCATATAGACGCATTAATCAAGACAAGTACAGGTTTCTCAGCAGGGCCCAGTATCAGTCCATCAGCAATTGGTCGCTCGTAGCCTACTTCAATAGAGCTTCCTTCGAGGAAAAGCGTCTCAATACAGCCATAAGCGAGTCAGCGAAATCAAGCATCGACTATAACAACATTTCATTGGCTGTCATCGCTGGTCAAGAATTGACTCTATACATATCCGAGATGGCCATGATGTTACTGGCAGCATATCGTGTCGCTCAGGGAGTTAGACCAATCGGAGCTTTCGTTACCATCAGGGCATTCTGGAGTAGACTGACATATCCCATATGGACTTTGGCACGATTCTCACAGGACTTCTCAAATCTTTTAGTCGACGCCGAGCGCATGCTCCAACTTCTACAGACGAAACCTTCTGTAACTGACAAAGATGATGCTCAGGACTTACAAATTACCAATGGAGCCATCACATTCAAGGACGTCGAATTCTTCTACGATAAACGCAAAGATACTGTCAAGAACATCAATTTCGACGTCGAGGGTGGTAAGACAGTAGCTTTGGTTGGCGAGACCGGATCTGGCAAGTCGACACTGCTTAAGCTTCTGTTCCGTTTCTATGACGTGACCGGCGGTAGCATCGAAATCGACGGCCAAGATATCCGGAATGTGCGGCTCAAAAGCCTTCGAGAAGCGCTCGGAAATGTTCCACAATCTGGGTCTCTATTCAATGACACCATATTTGAAAACGTACGTTACGCGCGACTGGATGCCACAGAAGAAGAAGTCCAAGAAGCGTGCAGGGCTGCATGCATTCATGAGAAGATTATGAGCTTCCCTGACGGTTACAAGACCACAGTCGGTGAGCGTGGTGTCAAACTGTCTGGCGGAGAGCTTCAAAGATTGTCGATCGCTCGTGTCGTTCTTAAGAATCCGCAGATTGTTCTGCTTGACGAGGCGACCTCGGCTGTAGACTCAGGCACAGAGTCCCTGATCCAGGATGCCTTTGCGAAACTTACGAAAGGTCGAACAACCTTCGTAATTGCTCATCGCTTGTCGACAATCATGGACGCAGATATGATTTTGGTCTTGGACAAAGGCGCCATCGTCGAACGAGGGACTCATGAGGAGTTGTTGGCCAAAAATGGAACTTACCACAACCTATGGGAGACACAAACCAAGAAAGCTACGAAAACGAAAGAACAGACAGCGGCATTGTTGGACATTTGATTGTGAGCGATGCATGGGTAGGTTGGACACTTGCTATGGGGCGTTTAAGGGTAGGTGACCTGAGCGATCTTTCTAAAAGAACGAACTTGGCGGTCTGTTCATTACACATGATCTGCTTTATACCAGGAGGTCATACATGTGCGTCGTTCTGAACGTGAATACGATCATGTCGTGTCGTAGTGGACATTGATGCGTCATGTGTTTCCAGCATGAGTAGAAAGCAAAGAAAAGCAGACATTCGTACGTTCCGAAAAGGATGCCCTAGCTAAAGCGTTAGCTACTCATTAGTACCATTATACTACTATAAGTAGATCATATATAGTAAAACACTATACATTGATTTCTAACTAGTATAGAAATATAGGAAGTCTAATATAGAATCCCAATGTTATAGAATAACTTACATTTAACACATACTACTAATCTTTCGAGCTATATAAACATAATCCCGATGCTAGTTAGTAGTATGTTTAGATTCTATTGGCCAAGTTAACATGGTATTAATAAATATTAATTTACTAGTCTTTATATCTAGAAAAGTAGTTACTTCTGATTTCCTATATAGATAATACTCTACTAATACTAACATGTAAATAATTCTATTAGATATCTACTAAAAATATTCAAGTAGAATAAGAATGTAGAGAAGAATAGATGGAGTATATATAGTATGGGTGTTAAGTGCTCTAGCTTCTGGCCGTCTTCTATCGAAGTAATTAGCTTTCAAATTCCAAGGTTGGACTTGGACTGTCCTGCTGTTGTTGCTCACGCGAGCTTGTTTCCCGCTCACCTGAGCTGGCAATGCACTCGGAGGTCAGGCGTAATCTTGTCTCTACCTCTACCGCCAGCGCAACACCGCCGTACACGAATCTGTAGCTATCCGAAGAATACGAATACGTCTTGTCATAATTAATAGATTTTTTTTCGGCTAATGCCTCTTCCGCTTGCCGATAGAATACGACATATAGCGTTTCCGCCGCCCCCGAGGTATCCGCAATCCTGACAGGTCCTGCAGTGGATGTTGCTACCGCCGCGAACTTACCTGCTCGCGCAAACAGCAGACGAAGGGAGTAGGAGGACTGTGCCGTTTCTGGTATACGGCTCGACGCTCCAGGAAGAAGAACGCGCGCTCAGGAAAGCAAGAGATATGTTACTGGTTCACCAGACTGGTAGCGTCAAGGTTGGCGAGGTAATACGGTATAGAAGTTCCCCATATCTTCCGATGTGGACCTGTCCTGACTCTGACCTCTTCAGTTATACTATCACCTATACCCCTTCCGCCGACCGCATACTTCCGATTCCTCCACATCTTCATGTAAAGGTGAAGAACACCTCGGCCATCCCGCTTCGCGCTGCTTACCTACACGGCCCATACACGATTCATGCCTCCGCATACCCCTCCACCTACAATCCAAATCAGAAGGTTGAAAACCCTAAGCGCGATGGAATACCGGCATTCGAACCAAATGTAAAGGCAGGAGGGTCTTGGAACGCGCGACTTACGATTCCCGAGGATATTCGCGATGTTGAAGGTGGCGCCCTCAAGACCGATAAACATGGCGAGGCTAAAAAGATGACGTGGATAGTAGAGGTTTCTTCGCAGGTGATGTTCTCGAAGACTGCATCTGTGAACTTCGAGGTGCTGGTCTCGCGCGACGAGAGATCTCTGGAGATCGGGTTTGCTTCCGTGACTGGTGGGGGAGGAAAACCGCAGTCAGGCCAACTGCACGACCACCAGCAAGGCAAGCACAAGGGGCAAGGTAGCCAAGGCATGTCCCAGAAGGGCGTATACTCAAAAGCCATAGAATTGGTCGTCGATGACACACAAAGTCTTTGGAATAAACCTGCACTGCCAACGTGGGACGACGAGAAGAACGAGGAACAGCATGAGCAGGAAACAAGCGAGCGGAAGGAGAGAGCACAGAGGAGAGTTCACCTCGTTGTTGTGACGCATGGTCTGCATAGCAACCTTGGTGCAGATATGCTATATCTCAAGGAGAGCATAGATGCCACTGTCAAAAATGCAAGAGTTGCAGCAAGGGAGCGACGCAAGGCTGGGGCAGTCCCCAAACGGAAATCGAGTGCGGCGTCTGCTGAGAAAGAGCCCGGTCCCAAAAGCGAGGAAGAGGCTGGTCCATCGATAGCTCCTCTCTCCGGAGGTCAAGAAGATCTAGACAATACGGCTAATCAGGACGACGAGGACGACGACGAGGAAGTCATCGTGAGGGGGTTTTCAGGCAACGCAGTACGGACCGAGAAGGGCATTCAATACCTAGGCAAGCGCCTTGCGAAGCACGTCTTGAGCATGACGTACCCAGATCAGCCGTTCATGCCTATCAAGAGAACCCTTGCTGACAAGATGTCGGAGACCTTCTCGCCCTCGTCTAAGCCGCCGTCAGGAGAAGGTCCGGAAGTCCATCCACATAGTAGTATACACCACCCTGATGTGAAAAAGAAGAAGCGGGCCTATCGCTTTGCCCATATTAGTTTCATTGGTCATTCTCTGGGTGGTCTTACGCAGATGTATGCGATTGCGTACATCCAGAAGCATTCCCCGAAATTCTTTGAAATCATCGAACCTGTAAACTTCATAGCACTCGCCTCGCCTTTCCTTGGACTCAGCAATGAGAATCCTGTGTATGTTAAGTTTGCCTTAGATTTCGGACTTGTGGGAAAGACAGGACAAGACCTTGGCCTTACCTGGACTGCACCTACGATAGCTAAGAACGGGTGGACAAGCATAGTGAGCGGTTTCGGGAACAACGACCAGAAAGAAAAGAGAGGACCTGATCCAGGGGCAAAGCCTGTGCTCAGAATCTTACCGACTGGACCTGCGCATCATGTCTTACGTCTGTTTAGGAACAGAACAGTGTATTCTAATGTGGTGAATGATGGCATCGTCCCACTACGAACGAGTTGTCTCCTCTTTTTAGACTGGCGAGGTATCGGGCGTGTGGATAAAGCACGTAGAGAAAACGGTCTCATTGGTACTGTTGCAGAATGGGGCTTCGCTCAACTTTCGGGACAGAACACTTCGCCCAATCCCTCGAAACCAAGTTTGGAGCTACCACCACCTCAAAATCCAAAGATAAGCAGCAGGACGCAGTCTCCTTCCGGGGCATCTGGTGACGGTAGCGACACTGCTGTTCCGTTGCCTGGAGAAGACACCACAAATCTGGATGACACCATGCAGACCAAGCAAACGACTGGTGACGCGGAACCTGCGTCGAGTCAATTTATCAAGAAAGACCATGAACATGAGATGAAGCCGCGTAGACGAGAATCGAGACCAAAGCAGGAGTCCCTCATTCTTAGCGGAGCTAACACGCTGTCAAGATTTTTGAGTTTCCTCCAACCTAGTGGAGCACATACCGCAAAGGACTCAAAGATGTTCAAGCGAAGCCAGACTATCAAGATGGCACAACCGGATTCAAGTGCCGAACAAAGCTCAGACGAGGCCCCCGCGAGCGAACAACCCCTATCTCAAGATTCTTCCCCTGAAGAGACATCGCCAAAGAAGAAGCCAAAGAGACCTAAAGCATCAAGAGGTGACTCAATGCTAAACAATCCGGAAGAAAGAGGCGCTCCACCAAAGACCACTATCTTTGAGTCTGCGGGTGATCTTATCAACCCACCCATTCCGCCAACCTCGTGGCTGATAGATCCATCTACGCGTTCACGTACCATTTTCCACGATAGAGTGTACCATCCCGAGGACATTCCTCCACCACCTCCCAAATCCAAGAGCGGACGAACCTTCGGTAGCGTGGACAGTGCTTCCTCCTCTAAAACTGAAGATAGTGGTGCTGAAGATAGTGGCGGTATGAGGGTCGAGGAAAAGATTGCGCGCGCTTATCATAAGGATCTTTCATGGCGAAAAGTCTTGGTTAGGCTCGAACCTGATGCGCACAACAACATTGTCGTTAGACGCATGTTCGCCAACGCGTATGGCTGGCCGGTGATCAAGCACTTATGCGACACTCACTTTGGTGATACCTACTCTGCAAAGACCCGGGATGAGGATGAGGCTGCTGTAGACCGAGCTCCTCGGATGAGTAAAGGCGTCGGACCAAGCGGCGAGGAGGTCGACGGCCAGCAGCAGGTAGAATCACCCGATCGCGATCCGAGTGACATGCGCGAGGAGGCAGACGAATTAAAACCTCTGCGAGAATTCGAAAAGACTGATGACCCCGTGGCGAGGCAGAGATTGAAGAGACAGAATACCGACCTGTGGGACGATTCGTACTTCGAAGACAGCGGCGACGACGACTCAGACACGGAAACGGATGATCGCAATCCTATCGCGAGATACTTCAACCCAAGTCAGTCATCTAAGAAGCGGGTTCCGGGAAACTCTGGATCACCGACCTCTGATCAGGTTGGTACATCGCCTGGCGAAATCGCCAAATTCCTCACTGCTTCGCCAGCCATGGAAGGTCATCGTGGTCTGTCACCCACGCAGGCAGCGCAAAAGTCGTCAGTAGGTCTGGAAACAGCCTCGCCAGTATCGCCAACCTACTCCGCAGACGCGCCTGGTGCCATAACAGGTCAACAATCTGATACATTGAAGGCTTCATCTCCTCGCGATGCCGATTCGTTACAGAGTATGCTACCAGGGGAACCGCTTGTACAAAGTCCGCCGCACGAGACGGAAGAGGAGAGGCCGAAGACGGGCGGCAGCACAAGTAGTGTCGGACTTGGGAAGAGCATCGAAGAGCAATTGCATAGTCCGGCCTTGAGCACACATCGGAGAAGTAGCAGTGGAGTCGGGGAGCAGGTCACTCGATTGAGTATGGAAGGGAAGAAGTGAGCGGAAGTTTGCCAGTTTGTTTCTTGCACATATTTCGCACAGCATATAAAGCATTACTGGCTTAACGTACTAAGTTGATGCCATGGTATGATATTCTAATATATATGTTTTGGTCGTAGCTTAGTTCATGATACCAATTTTGAGTTCCAAGTCTTCTGCTCAGGTGCATGAAGGACGCATTGTGTGTATCATTCCTCGACCCCAGATTTCGTAGGGCTGAACGCACGGACCAATATATTCACGCTAGCATGGACATCTGGTCAAGGAGCCGCTGTCCTCTTGACTTTGCGACATCTTTCAACTCTGACCACCAGATTCGGGACCTCAAACCCTTTCAATCGTCCTCACTCCAGTCGCTCGTTATATCCAGCAACATGGCGCCAGTCAAGAAGGACAAATACTCGGTGCTACTCCCGACCTACAATGAGCGCAAGAACCTGCCCATCATCGTCTGGCTGCTAAACAAGACCTTCACCGAGAAGTAAGTCTCGCACGGTTTCCCAACCTTTCATACACAAATACACATAACCCTACCGCCAACACTAACACCACCTTCTCTCCTTCACAGCAACCTCGACTGGGAAATCGTCATCATCGACGACGCCTCCCCCGACGGCACCCAAGAAGTCGCCAAACAGCTCGCAAAGGCCTACCCAGGCCACATCAACCTGCGGCCCCGCGCCGGCAAGCTCGGCCTAGGCACCGCATACGTCCACGGCCTGCAGTACGCCGCCGGCACCTTCGTCATCATCATGGACGCCGACTTCAGCCACCACCCCAAATTCATCACGCAGATGATTGGGGTGCAGCGCGAGAGCGGATGCGATATCGTGACGGGCACGCGCTACGCGGGCAACGGCGGGGTGTACGGCTGGGACCTGAAGAGGAAGCTGGTGAGCAGGGGCGCGAATCTGTTTGCGGATACGGTGCTGCGGCCGGGGGTTAGTGATTTGACGGGCAGCTTTCGGTTGTATAGGCGGGGGGTGCTGGGTGAGGTGATGGCGCGGACGGAGAGTAAGGGGTATACGTTTCAGATGGAGATGATGGTTCGGGCGAAGGCGATGGGGTTTAGTGTGAGGGAGGTGCCGATTACGTTTGTGGATCGGGTGTATGGCGAGAGTAAGCTGGGCGGGGATGAGATTGTGGAGTATGCGAAGGGGGTGCTGAATCTGTGGCTCAAGGTGTAGGTTGTGGGGATGGAGGTGAGAGGAGGGGGCTGGAGCGCGCATTCCTGGCGTTTGGAGCGCTGGCTGGAGCATCCTACTACAATAATTACTCCTTACCACACGTGCAATAATATCATGTCAATGTGGTACGCGATTGGCAGGCTCTTGTGTGAATCAGGACTGTTGGGTTGCACAAGACAGACGATTAGCTGTTCAGATAATTTTGCAATAGAGAATAAGCAGTCGTATAGATATCAACAGTTGACCATAGGCAATTACAGTGCGTGTAAGATGATTCGACTCCGGCTCCCATGAAGACAGCGACCTTGCCTTGTGCACAAGAATACCAAAATAGATATCCCTTGCGAACAGCCATGCTTGCAATATACAATGCTATCACGCCTACACATCCTCCCGGAACAGACTTCTCCTTTCTGTCGGACTACTCTTGCTCTGCGTTGGCTGATGCCCGCCCGTCTCGATTGGCCTCGGACTCACCCCTCTCATCCCAATATCACTCCTCTCCGCACCCTCCCCGAATGGATTCGCTCCCCCTGCTGGAGCCGTCGCCGCGTGGTCTCCAAAAGGATTACTTTGGGCCCCTCGCCCCATCTCCTCGTCGTATCTCTCGTCCAACTCCCTCGTTCGACTCCTGCCACGCCCATTGAAGTCCTCCTCGTACGGCGCCGGTACACTGGCATTATATCCGCCCCCGCCATATGCTGTTGGCTGGTGCAGCCCTAGCTCCTGCTCTTCGTAGTATGCCTCGTTGCCTACTCTGCTATCCCACGCCTCGTCCGGGTCTAGCGGGGCACGCGCACTTCCGCGAGCCTGGGTGCCGGAGCTCTCGTACGCACCGCTAGCGTACCGTTTGTTCTTCATGGCACGGAATTTGTCGTTGAACCAGCCGACCAGGCCGCCCGTGCGCGGTGTGGGGATGTTGCCGATGCCGCCCGAGCCACGCGCGCGGAAGGCAGCGATGGGGTTTGCAGACGGTGGGGGAAGGCCGAGTTTGGAGGCACGACGCCGTGAGAAGACTAGCCAGCCAACATAGCTGAGGATTATGACGAGAAGGAGGAGGATGAGGAAAATGAGGCCGCCGTTCATTGTAGGGTTTGCGGGTGGTGGTGAGGACTGGTGATGTGGTTACGGCTGCGGTGCATGAAGATGCGATTACGGGTTTGTATGGGGAAATGGAGATGTGTCCTGGAGGAGATGAGGATGGTTCGGGATGGAGAGTCTTCTTGAAGGGCGTGATGGTGCCGTCACAGCTGTGAGTGCGGCGTGCTGACAGGGTTCTAGGGAGCGGCGCCGAAAGGAGATGATGCTCGCTGGAGCGGCGTCTGTGTCAATTGACCAGGTAATTAGACAGCGCTTAGCTATGGCTTAAAATAGCAGCCGGTTGATGAGAAGGAGAAAGAGGGAGACGAGGTGGATGTGGTGTTGTGAAGCCAGCGTAGAATACTTTTGATGCGATGCGAGCTGAGATGAGAGCTAGTGATGCCTAAGGCGCCACCTGGTAATTAACTCTACCTTAGGCCTGGGGCTGCTTACTGGTCTTCGACTATGACGACAGATGCTGCGTATCATCCAATCAGAGCTTTCTAAATATGGCGTAGGAGCCTGGGAAATGAGGCCCTCAGCCCTAATACACATCAAGAGAAGCCTGCGATGGATGCTGACGCTGATGAGTGATGAATGATGAGACTGAGACTTGCTTGGCACGCAAGTCAAACCTCTTATTGTTCATTTGTGTTTTGTGCATGCGAGGCTATCTACATTGGGTTTGGCCAGGATTGCGTCAAATTCACATATAAGAGTTGGCCTCCAGCACCGCCCATCTAAGTATATCTTTCTTCACTCCTCAGCTCATCTTACTCTTAGCACAATCGCAGCGTCGTGATGAGTCTGGAGTTTGCTTGGGCCATCCCTGACACTTATATTGGTGCCGACGATGGACCCAGTTTCATAGTCGATGAAGTCACATACGATGGCTCGAATGGAGTCGTCAAGGTGGAAGGATCCGATGTAAAAGCTGACATACCGGTCAAGGATATCATCGCCGTAGTACCACTCACTGCAGATGACAAGAGCTTTCCGGGTGGTTATGCCCTGACATATGTCGGCAGCAATGATGTTTACACCCCAGACATGGAAGATACCACACGAGGCTATCACTATCTTAAAGTCTTGACGCTTCCAGAGGAGCTAAATAACCTCATCGTACCTTCTGCTAGAGATAAGGCCGTTCACCACGTACATATCATCATCTCGACGCTCTCCGGGACTTGTCAAGCCGAATCATTCTACGAGAACTCTGTCCAGAAATTCCTTGCCAGTGTTGGATATCGCGCAGGCAGTAGCTACACGATACACACGACCACATCGGCGAAGTCTGTTCAAGAACTCACTGAGACCGACATCCTTCACTCGGCAAACAAGGGTCAAGCCCAGCGTATAATCCTCATGTCCGGAGATGGTGGGATTGTCGATATTGTGAATGCACTGTCACTGCAGCCGCATAGTGATTGCTACATACCACCAGCCATGTCAATCCTTCCGATGGGCACCGGAAATGCGCTCGCGCACTCGATTGGGATAACAGATGACCGCACCTCAGGCCTATCCAGTCTTGCGCGCGGCTCATCAAAGCCGCTGCCCATTTTTAGAGCGACTTTCTCGCCAGGAGCTCGTCTTCTGCTAGACGAAGCCACACGAGAAGAAGAATTGCCTGTGGTCGATAAGGTGCCCACAGTCTACGGTGCTGTTGTCTGCTCTTGGGGTATGCATGCCGGGCTTGTTGCTGACAGCGATACTAAGGAGTATCGTAAATTTGGTATCGACAGGTTCAAGATGGCTGCAAAGGAGGCCCTGTATCCGTCAGATGGTTCTCCACCACATGCGTACAAAGCAAAGATTTCGGTATTACCCGCTGGGACCAGTAGCTGGCAGGCTGTGCCCAGGGAAGAGCATATGTATGTGCTTGCAACTATGGTTTCAAATCTGGAGAAGACTTTCACAGTATCCCCTGCCTCATCACCCTTAAGTGGCAGCTTGAGGCTTGTACATTTCGGGCCGACGACTGCAGATGAAGCTATGCGCGTTATGGGCCTGGCATATCAGGGCGGGAAGCATGTGGATGAACCTCTCGTCAATTATGAGGACATTGATGGCATGCGTATTGAGATCGAGGGCAGGGAAGATGAAGCTCGATGGAGACGAATCTGTCTCGACGGCAAGATAATACGGCTGGAGAAAGATGGATGGGTGGAGATTCGGAAAGAGAATCGAACAGTGGTTGATGTTGTGTCTATGTGATAGAACACATCAGTACTAGCTTCTTCACCCACTATCGAGAGAGATGCTAATACACCCAACTTATTACTTGCAGTATGAGTGGCGCTAGTACATGCGACCACGACAGCTCGTACGCATACACATTTGAAGTCCAGTGACTGGCCGTGGTGTTGTAACTCAAAGTCTGAAGTAGTGCGTCATACCAAGACGCCGTGTTTACTACCTTCTTATTGGAGTCACAGGATGCCGCACATATATATACAGTGCAGGTCTTGGCCCAGGGTACATAAACAGCTTGGACGCCATGTTATGCTGCAGCCGTCCTGAGAAATCAATTCATCGGCGCTGACATTTTGGACCGACAACAAGCGAAACATGCAGCATTCTATTACCCCGCACCTGCATTGTCTCTTCTACACCATATTCTTCGCCATCATGGCAAACTCCACGATCCAATGGACTTACAAAAATGAATTCGATAACACGGTCTTGTCGCCATTCAAATCAGAGTTCACAATCACGGCACCCCCTGCCACAGACATATGGCGACCCGCATTCGACAAAGACAACTTCACAGCCCCTTTTCTCTACACCACAATCCTGACATCCAAGTTCGTCAGTATGCGCGTGTGCGTCTCCGGACCCTGGAAGACCAGGTACGATCAGGGCGGGCTCGTGATTACTTTCCCAGTCCCGGGTACTGGGCCCCTCCGATGGGTCAAAGCAGGCATCGAATTCGAGGCTGGCGCGCCGAATCTTGGCGTTGTTGCTACAGATCGTTTGAGTGATTGGAGCCTAAGTCCGATTGCTGACAGGCAGAACGAGGCTGAGTTTGAGCTTGAGAGGGATGGGATGGACCTTTGGGTCTACGTGGTGGAGAGTGGTGTAAGACGGGCTTTGAGGCAGGTCACTTGGGCGTTCAATGAGGGTGTTGGAGAGGAGATTGATGTGGGCTTGTATGCTGCGAAACCGACGTATGAGCCTGAGGGTACGGGGGGCGATGGGACGTTATTGGTGACGTTCAAGGGCTTTAGGCTTATTACGACTGACGGGGAACTGGAATAGATGGTATGTGGTGGCGGCGATGTCCCCAGTCACACATCCAGGAGGGATGCAGCAAGCGAGCAACTTCGATCATCAGTATTCTGGTAGCGTCCTACTTACCATTCGGGATGTGTTTGGTGAACTACAGGTAGATCGCTGCACCCTTGCATACGCCTGCAGAATAGGCAATGAACATGTAGTAAGCACAACTCTATTGCCTGAAATTACTTTACCGAGCGACCAGGGTCATGTAAATCACCAGAAGTCCTGTAGTCCTCATACTATACAACAGGTGGTCGCAATACTCACCGACCGCCAACGTCCGGTAAGGCTCATTCTATATAGGCTACCTATCAAAATATCGTTACATGTTTGAACTATGAGACTATACCCTAACGTCGTCTATAGATAGATATATCTATCAGAGTATAGCAGAGGGGGTATCTATAGTCCTAGCTAGTAATCTCGAGATGAATTAACGTTATTTGACTTTGTTTTAGTGATGCAGCAGACACACTGGCGACCGGTGAGTGTTGCAAACTCCTGCTGATATTAAAGTAAGAAGGGCATTTCATTAGCCCATTGGTTACTCTGGCTAGCGGCATGACTGAGTCAATAGGGAAACCCCATGGTTGATTACCGAAGTAAATCGGTACAGGCTCTCGAAACGGCCAAGATGGTATAGCCTTGGGAAGCAATCTCGCCTTGAGTTTTCCTGCATCTCAGCTTCTATTATTAGTCACCGGTCAGCTAGAGCCATCAATGAGTACTATCCATGAACTAGCCGATACAGACTGTAAAGTGGTAACGATAGAAGGCGTAAACATGTATATATACAGCTTCCTCCTGTGGTCTGATGTATACCATAACTTCACACTTGTAACCATTTCGCAGTCACTCATCTCTCAACGAGACATCGTATCACTCTTTTTGCGAAGTTATCGTGTCACTCATTACATTCCCCTTTATTTCCTGTTCGTTTCCTGTGCGAGCGTACCATGGGTCTATCTAAATCCATATGGGCAAAACTGGCCTTGATCGCAATCGCGCAGGCTAGCCCAATCACTCAGGACCTTGGCGAAGTTGACGAAAGCGCACAGAACTGCGGGCTCAAAGCTTTCGAGCCCAAGTCATGGGCGGAAAGTGGTGCTGAGAAATTCCTCGGCGAATGGCTCGACAAGAATGGCCCAGGTAGGGCGAACAACACTCTAGATGTCCTGAGCTAACCTTCCCTTCCCCAGATAATTGGCTTCAAGCTATCAGCGATGCTGAGATGGGGCCTAATACCATTGCAATCGATTGTGCACACACGAGCTCCAATAATTGCAGAGCGCCAGAAAGTCCTGCAAACTGTGACAAATACGAATGTACGTTGCACTCGAAAGTATGACTTACTTCATATCACATCGATTGACCCTTGCAATAGACTACTTCATTCGTATCATGGCCTCTCAGATAAACGCCCAATTCAAGAATCTTCAAGATAACCTTCAGGTTCAGACCATCAAGGATGCTCTTAAGGTAGACACTATAATCAAAGACTTTGATGTTCTCAAGCCTCCAGAAGGACAAAAGGTGGGCGACCTGCTGAACAACATTGCCATTGGTAAGTTATGCTCATCCAGTGAGGTGGACTTGTGCTTATTCACAACCAGGGCCCTCCATTCTATCTGCAATCTTCAGCTTCGCACCAGGCGGAGCAGTCGCATCGGGAATTTTCTCACTGATTGGTGCTGCTATTACCGTAAGTAGCCTCTCATAAGTGATGGCATTCACTGACGAGTATACCCAGGCTACAGCTCAAAACCTAGAAGAGGACAAGCCAGAGATCCCCGAGTACAATGATCTTGCATCTGTGATGAATGACCGTCTCGGTGGCTTCTTCAGCGATACCCAATCCATGTTGGAGAAAACCCTCCTGGCCATCTTCGGGGACAGTAGCATGCCCCGAGATGGTTCTACCAAGCTCGTGCGCGATATGGTTGGGCGAATGTCTGGCATCGGTGTTGAGAACCTAACCAAAGATGCCATTTCTCCCATTGCTGAACTGCTGAAAGGCGGCGAGTGGCTTAGTCCAGTACAGAACGGACACATAGACGAAGCAATGGAAAAAGCCTTCGCTACGACCCGTCAAGGCCTCATCGGCAACCTTCTTGCAACCTTACAGGTGTATGTCGAACAGGAGATGCCTGCATATAACGAGGGCCTGGTCCAGCCATGTACCGCACTCGGCACCTTGATGGAAGGCAACTCATGCCACGTAATCAAGCATCGCCCATTCGAGGGAACCCGGGAGCGCGTGCCCCTGGAGGAGAAATATCTCAAGCTCATGGGAGACTACGGCATCGATCTCCACACTCTGATCCGCAACACGCGCGACTGCAACAATGGCAAAGCCGATACCGCGCAGATCCTCACCGATGGCTCCTACCCGCTCTGCTTCTTCGGCATGAACTTTGCCCAACGTGTCCATGAGAAAGACTGGGATTTCCAGAGAGCCGTGTCCCCATTCTCATGTCTCTCCAAATACCAGAATCAGAAGAGAGTGCCCGGCTGGATTACCGATGACCGGTCCCACTGTGACAACGAGATTCCGAAATGGAAGCCCTGCAAAGTTACGTTTGAGTGAGTAGTCTTCCGAAATCTGCTTCCAGCAATCAGAAATCTGACCAGACCCAATAGAGAGACGGCTTATTGGACCGAGGGTGGCCTTGATCGCTACAGAATGGGCATGGTCGGCGATAATATCGACATAGCACCGATTTGCCCGTATGCATACGACAATCGAAGGTGTGCTTTCGCGTCGAACCGGCAATGCTACTTCAACGAAGAGCTGAAGAAGTGGGTCTTTGACGTCAACTTTCCCAAGGGTTCTCATGGCCACGGCCAATATTTGGAGTGCAGAGACAGCATACGCACTAAATACGCCAAAGACAATCGGTGTCAGATTGGCTGAGGCTGCGGCTAAGGCTTCATACTATGGATGTGTAAGATGGTAATCAGATTGATTTATCTGTTGTGAAAAGTCTGTATAGTAGTATAGAATGTAGAACTTGATAATTGTTATTTTCCTAGAAGACCTCGTTAATCTGTCTAGTTTGTTTCATGTTTGAAGTTGGCGTGGATGTAGTAGAGTCTATAGTGAAATTCATAGAATGACCATGCAGATCCTTAAGCTTTATCACTTTCTTTGACCTCGCCTACACTCCACATACCTTTGGCTTAGACCTTGATCAGTCTTCCCGGAGCGATAGCCCTGTCTCCGACTTGCGTCTAAGGTCAGAGAGGTCGTCGACTATCTCTTGTACAGAAGTATATGTGCTACTCCAACATCTATGAATAATCTCTTCGGCCACATCAACACGGGGAAACCGCCCTTGCCGGAAGGAATCGCGGATCTTCACCTCGTCTTCAATGATATTCAGTTCGGAGAACGGTTGATGGCCGGCCATGATGAAGTAGAGTGTCGAGCCAAGGGCGAAGATATCTGTGCTGATGTCATGGTCGTATGGATCGTCACGAGGCTTGCATGCATCTGGTAGTTCTGATGAATCTCCAGCGAGCAGGATCGTGCCGTCGGGCCCCAAGATCTTGCCCTGGAAGTCGCACAGCTTGACGTGGAGCTCGCTGTCGAGCAGGATGTTCCGGGCAGTGATATCGCAGACCAGGATGTTTTGCTGGTGGACATGAGCGACTCCTTCGGCAGTCTCCTGAGCGAGCCGTAGCCTCGTTCCGACACTGAGCTTCGGGTTTTTGAGCAAGTACTGATCCAACCACCCGTTCTGGAAGTACTCCAGAAATATACCCCCGTCCTTGTGTCTCCCCTTTACTTCGGTAATGCGGGGATGTTTGCCGAGTCTCTGGTATATCTCCCATTCAGCGGCGAGACCACTCAGGTATTCTTTGTTTTGAGGATACTTCAAGACTGTTGTCTGATCCACAAGCCCAATCCAGTAGTCCCCATCAAGGTTTATGATGGACTTTACTCTATCAGGGAAGTGCGGAATCAAGAGAGTAGAACCCTCCTCCATCGGCGGCAAATTGTGCCATTCTGACACGCTAAATGAGCTTCTTTGCGGCAATATCAACATGGTAAGCTCGGATACGGGTTGAGAGAACGCTGAAGGATATAGCACTTGCGTAGAAGAGAGGAGCTTTAGTCCAAACCTTTGGGAACTGAACTACATTGCGGCGCAGTCGATTACGGTCATTCAAATCCGGCATTAGACATCAACTGGGAGGTATAATTACATACATACAACTAGACAGTAGAAGTGACAAACAAAACAACCCCATGTTTCACAATATCGTATAAGTATAATGCCATCGGTGGTGACCGATAGAGAGCAGACCTTACCGTCGATACAATACCACCATCACGTACCGTACCTACCGGAAGAAAGCTCAACAAGACTCTCTGCGCCGACTAGAAGCAGTACAATCATGAACATCACGAATAAAAAGTCTGGCTAGATAGCATGACTAGAAAGTCATACGATAAACACGGGCCTACGTGCGCCAGGACACGAATATCTCAGCACAACTTCGAACTTGGGACAACACAAGCATATCGAAACACAGCCTAAAAAAAAGCTCTTAGAGGAGACCACTATGGTTTCATTTGTAATTCGATTCGAGTTATCCTCTCTCTCTGTCTGCCTGAGAGAGAGAGAGGCGTCTGATATCTGCCTTGCTCGAGGCAAAGGGTTCGGTATCTTACATACTCGCGATTTGATTCCGAGAATCGCACTTCGATGGCGTGCCATGCTATAAAGACCATTTCGCCTACTCCAAGCTGCCACTGTGCTAAAAAGCTGCCCCGTCAAACACCCAGAAAAATGATATGAGAGGGGTGTAATGCAGTGCCACCGGGTCTGCAACGCCGTGCGTAATGTAATGAGCGATTGAAAAGGCTCCTATAAGAAAATTGAAGATACTACTTTGTAGACTCTTGTGTTATCGGACAATGCCCGATGTTAGAATGAAGGACGATGCTTGATGTTTGGATGTTTATGGGAGTGGTGGTGGTTGCAATGTTAGTTGACCTGCGCATAAGCATAAATGAGACAATCTATCTTGATGCTCGAAACGAATGAAATCATTTGTACAAAACGGTCGTCTTTCGGCGATGTGTCATTGGGGAACGCGACGCTCAGTGTTGGAAACGCTCACGTCCCTAATGGGTTTATCCTCAAATGTGTTGCGATTTCCACCGACTGCCTGCACGACTGGTGCGGTTGTAGTACTCTGCTGTTCTTGGACTTCTCCTGGGGGAACCTGAGGAGGCTCATTGGCGGCCTGTTCCCGCTTCGTAGATGTCTCACCAGCAATTGACTGAGATGGCTTGACATTCACTGGGTGTTCCGGTATTCTCTCGATATGTGTTGCACCAGACGTCGACGTTTCTTTTTCTTCCTTGCCAGCGACAGCAGCGCTAAGGCTCGTGAAATTGATCATAGGCTCGCTAGATGTATTTCCGCTTGGAGTTGGCTGAGAGCTGAGATCTGAGTCGTCGCCGGACGGTGCAAACATCCCACCGGATGCTGGGCTGGTTCCGAGTGCACTTGCACCGATACGAGAATTTGGGTTGTAGGTTGACTCATCGATAGACGATGCCTCTGAAGAGTTATTTGATCTCTCACGAAGCAGTTGGCGATGCGACGACTCGCCCAGTGCGTTGAATACCGACGCGCCAAATGGGGAGTCGGGCACCTGCTCTTCTAATCGAGCCCTACTCTCCTGAAGATGCTGCTGAGATGCTGTTCTTGTTGACATTGGTGGGGATGGGACAGCGGGCACTTCGGGAGCATCTTCGGACCGGTCAACCTCTTTTCCTTTGCCTTGAACAGCATGGCCCAGGGAGCTTCGTGATGCCATAGCAGAAGTGCTACCAAAAAGACTACTTTTCAGTGACTCTTTTGCCGCCTTCTTCGCGTCCTTTGCTTTCTTCTTTTCTTCCCTTTTGGCTTCTTTCATAGCTTCCTTTTCCTCTTTGCGCTTGCGCTCTTCTTCAGTAGCCAAGCTCATCCGTATAGCTTCTCTCACCATCAACTCTTCAATATCTTCAATTCGTCTTCTTGAGCTCTGGCGAGCCGAAGCCAAATTGTTCTGGTCTTCACTCTCCCCTCGTCTTTCCCTCTCGAGTAGCTCCAGATCCCGGTTCCTGTCTATTGGAATGAGAATACTACCCGGCAGGCCTGAGCTTTCTCCATGTCGAGGAGTGCCTCGACCACTGCTGTTCGGACTGTCCCCGCCAATGGCGATCCTTCGACGACGTCCAAATCCTAGCCGTGTGCCTTCACTTCCACCTTGATTCCCAAGCACATAAGCTGCATTGTGCAAAGCGGTAGCTGCTGCTGCACGACGCATCGCATGCGCGCGTGCATCCGATAACTTCTTTGCCCAGTCTGGTCTAACTCTATCTGTAGTGATAACGCCTGGTGCAGTGGCTGACAATGATGTTGCTCGTCTTCTGTTTGTCGCAGGGGATGCAGCGCCGGAATGCAGCGAAGACGTCGACGACATTGCTGAGGCTACAAAGTGGCTCCCGCCAGCATAAGCCAGGCCACGTCTGAATGGAGGCGGCTCATATGTTACACCAAACTCTGGTTGAGCACAGTATGGGCATGCAGCGGGCTCCGAGACCAGGTTTACTGCGTCTTCCGAGTTTGTTGATGGATGAGTAGGATCATTTGAATCGTCATGATGCTCTGGCACGTGTGGGTCGGGTCGTTTGATTTGGACAAAACATTCGGAGCATATCGGCTGATCGCAACAGCGCGTCTTGTTTAGATAGGGCGGATAATATAAAAAGCAAATTGGGCACTCCGAGGCGTCCTTGTATAGGTACGCCTCCAGTCGGATACCGTTTACATAAGGATCCTTTGGCATTTGAATTTCCTGGGGGAGAAGATCAGTCTGCGAGCCGTTGTTTTTGGTACTGGATAATGCAGCCAACGTCTTCGCTCTTCCCCGGAAGAATGGCGATGATGATGAGGGGGATTGTCCAATTGGTGATGCTGATGATGGTAAGGAGAAAGCGGGGTGTGAGGCAGAAAGGTTCATCGATCGTTCAGATTGTGCTGACTGTGATCGACCAGTGATAGGAACGGTCAGATGGTTGACATTGGTGCTGGAAGCAGCTGGACTAGGTTCTGCATGATTCACAAGATCTGCAGGAATCTCGTCGGCGGCTGGTATTGGGTTTCCTCTCGCAGCGGAGACAATCTGATGCTCGACCCAGGACTCCGAAAAGTCATTTAGGCCTCTCCAGAACGGGGCTATCCTTCGTTCCAGCTGTAGAGTAGGTCAGTATTGCTCGTTGAAGGACGAATACTACACATTACCATCAGCTGTCGGACTACAGGTTTGCTGAAGTCTTCTGGGCCGGTGTAGGTCCCCAATGTGACGAGAAATCCTCCATCGACGCCTTCTTCCTTCAAACTCCTTTCACGCTCTTTTTCCCGCAGTTCCCGTTCTTTGGCAAGCTTCCGCGCTTCTCTCTCTGCCTTTGTTTCCCGCCGAGTCTCCGGGGGTGTTTGATCGCCATTGTCGCGGGATACTGGAATGCCAAGGAAATTCAAGTCAGTTCTACTTTGCCGACCGGGTCTTGGAGTGTATGTGGCATTCAGGCGATCAGCAGTGCTGTGTGGAGGAGGGCTTGCGGGCCCAGGTGATGTGGAAGAATGTTCGTGACGACTGATAGGTCTTTGCGCACCATAAGACCGCGATTCTTTCCCGGAGCTATTGCCCATTGTCCGGATAGGAAGTAGGGCAAGGTATGGCTGTGCACTGTCTTGCAAGTGTAGGATCAGTTATAGCCACGGAGAGGTGGAGGGTGACATTAGCGATAGGAAGACGACGAGCAGGGTTAGCAGGTCACGCTGGAGCTCTGCAAAATGGCGATAGAACAAGGATGTATTTGTCGCGTGTCACAAGGACATGCTATCCTCCCAGCAGCGTATGTTAATACTGCTTATCGACCAGCGAGCGACGGCGGAACGGACGGGGACCGTAGTATGGAGTGTCACAACGCGGGCGGATGTGGTGTTGCGAGCTGCGTGGGCGAGATACGTGGGTAGGTAGTAGGTACCCGTGCACCTACACCTAGTATGCGATAAGTGGTCGGAGGAGGGGGGAAGGAAGGATGGACCGTGGGAGCGATGTAAGCTGCCGGAGGAGAGGAGAAGAAAAAGAAGAAGTAGAAGAAGAAGAAGACGACGACGACGACAAGCTCAGGCGGTTGTTTTGAGGCCGAGGTGAATGGTTCAAGTATGTGAGGTAATATGAAGCGACGGCGACGTTAATATTATTATGAAGACTGATGTCAGCACAAGCAGGGCCAGCCGAACTGGGGCGGGCAGAGGGGAACGACAGGGCACCACTTGGGAAGTTAATAAGAATGTGCCGCACGCCATGGCCAATCCATCACACAGTTGGCTTAAAAGCCTATGGATACTACTATCACGGCCCATACTATCATGGCCCGTACTATCATAGCTCATAATACTATCATAGCTCATTGAATACTATGTGATAGCCCATAGCCCATAGCCCATAGCTCATATAGACTCGGACGTGGCTATCGTTGGTTGACTGATTAGGCCAAACCTCCCACTGAGCAATAATAGTAATATCTACGGTATTGTTATAACTCACAACCACGACCTGTCGGGCGATTTACAAATCGTGTGCCTTGCATCTCCTTCTTTCTCCTTCTGCGACTGTCAATACGGCCATATATCGATCGTATCAGGTCCCTCGTCCGGTGATCTAATAGTCGGCCATCTTATCGCTCGTCTTGGGTCACATTCACAAGCCCATGGCGTATGTATCTGCCAGTATCAGTGTCGGTATCGGTATCAGTCTCTGTGGAATCGAGCTGGTCACACGCTCCTTGTTTGCTATCTCTGCGCGTTGCTGCATCTCTACAACGCATAGTTGCTGGTCTGGATATGTTGCCAGTCTGCAATGGTCCGAGCCTCACAGACACACGGTAGTTTGTGTCGCATATTACTAGCAATCAATCTCCATGTGTTTTGTCCTCCCTCCTAGATCCCAAAAGCAGCTCCACGTTTCGACTTAAACTCCGGGGAGCTAGTTTGCCTTGCATCCTTCGGTTCCTGCTTTTTGAAATCGCTCAACCTTGAACCAAGGCACTGGCACGGGTCCCCCCAACGCAGGGGGTCCACCAGGTGTCACTGTGGATATGTTAAACTTTGAGCACGGCCAATGGTCGAAGTACCCAAATCCAAATCGCTGCGATGCCGTCGATGAGCGATGCATGTTGGGGCAACAAAAGGGACGACACAGCTTCCTCATGATAGGCCAGACAAGTGACTGGCGGATGATCGCCGTAGTCGAATCGTGGTTGTAGCAAGCTGGACAGCTCAGATCGTTGACATCACAGCGTACGCGTCTGCTGGGATTCTAGTGGTGGAGATCTGCGGGGATGATTCCGACATTTGGCCAGCCTATTGATGCTTTGATGCCTTGGTGCCTTGGTGTCTTGATGTGTAGATGCTAACTGTAACGCGAAGGAGTATAACGTTTTGCTTCATTATAATACAACAGTTCCTGGTAAGATCAAATGCCAGATGAGGTGGATAAGATAATGCTCAACATACTGTCGCCATTATCTTCTGTATACGTGCTTTAAGCTATCCGCACTCGTCCTGTTCGAGTGTGTGACCACTGATAATGCGAATTCGAGTTCATACAACTCAAGACTCCGGTATATGCAATACTCCTTCAAATGCAAGTCAAGAAAATGCCCCCTGTTCAGAGTCACTACATGTCACTTTCAACTCGTTCCTACCCTAGCTGTCCCTTTGTATTCGTCCTTCAATATCCATCGACCCCTACCCCTAGATCCTCTCTGCAGTGTCGCAATCTGTCGAAGCATCTCTTTGAACTCCGCTGTTTCGCTTTCCGTTGTGCAGTACCGACCAAAGTGATCAATGAGATTCTGCGTATACACACTGCCTCCATGAGTCATGATGTAGTCACGGATCATTTTAATGAACGCTCGCCCTCGAGGCTTGCTCTCGTCACGCATACCAGTGCCATTTCGTGTCAAGCCAGACTGGCTTGGCCCTGCTTGAGTGGGATTTCGCGCTGAGAGGTTTGACAGGATCGAGCTAGATCCAAGACCGCTCCCGATGCCCCCTCGTCCTCGTCCTCGTCCTCGCGGGTCCGGAGGTCGTCCACCATCACCAAACGTGCCAGTCCACGTTGGCGTCCCAATTGGCACTGTTCGAGCAACTTCACCGGCACGTCTGAGCTCCTCAGCAGCTTCGGCGGCAATCCGTTTTGCCTCTTTGGCAATCACTTCTGGATCTGCTTTGACCTTCTTTCTCCTGTTCCCAGCCCCAGATTCGATGATTGCATCGTGCTCAAGAGCGGAGTGGACCCCAGATCTCGAGAAAATTGTGGACAGAAGGCGCTGGTCTTTGACGTCGCTCACAGGCTTGAGCTCAGCTTCTGTAACATTCGAAGACGACTCTGGTGTGGTAGCAGATGACTCTCCTGTTCGATAGTCTTCATGTCGTGCGACGGCAAATATCTTGTCCACATTAGATGGACCTGTTTCCAATTGTGAGCCTGGTTTGACGTCTTCTATCGGTGCGCCGTCATTGTTCGCTTCTTGCTTATCCTTGAATCTGACTTCGGTGCCTTGGAATAAAGTGCTAGTCTCTGTTTGCCCTTCCGGCTGTTCATCTCCTAGGGTAAACAAGTCATGAAGATCGCGGAGCTGAAATGTTTGACGCTGTTTTGGGTCTCTCAAAATTTTGTTTGTTAGAAATTGCTTGAAAATCTGGCGATGATATATCTTCTCTTCGATCGTGCCCGCTGTCATTAAACGATATATCTCAACTTCTCGTTTCTGACCCAGCCTCCATGCACGCTCCCGGGCTTGTACATCAGTTGACGGATTCCAGTCGGGGTCGAATATGATTACTCTATCAGCGCCTGTAAGGTTGACTCCCAATCCTCCGACCTTAGTAGTAAGAAGAAAGACATGTAAATCGGGATCGGTGTTGAACTGGTCGACCATCCGTTGTCGATCCTTGATGTCCGTTGTACCGTCCATACGCAGGAAATTAACGCCGTCCATCTTCCTGACAAACTTTTGAAGTATGTCAAGCATGATGCGCTGTTGAGAGAACAGTAGCGTCTTGTGTCCATTCTTCTTCCACATCTCGAGCAGCGCTTTCACTACTTGCATCTTTCCAGACTTAACACCGCTACCGTAGTCGTACCCGACCTTCTGTGGTAATTTCTTGTGGTCGACCAGGTCCGGATGATTACTGATCTTGCGAAGAATGTCCACACCGTAAAGCGCTTGCCTCCTCCCAGAAAGAATTGATTTCATATCTTCTGATTTGAGGAAGAACTCATATGCATCTCTTTGTATCTTGGTAAGCTTACAAAACAGAACACGCTCGCTCTTCTTCGGTAAGTCCGCTGCGACGTCGACCTTGAAACGCTGGAGGAGATATGGGCTGATTGTCTCCTTCAAAGTCTCTGCACACTTCATCGCGGTTTCAACTTGTAGATTTGACGCATTTGCATATCCTCCTTGCTTGATTGGGTGTTCGAATTGGAGTCTGAAACTCGGTAGTGTTCCAAGGCGCATTGGAAAGACGAAATCGAAGAGTGACCAGAGCTCAGTAAGGTTGTTCTGCATAGGCGTTCCCGACAAGATGATACGATTGTGGGTTTGTAGTGTTTTGCAATGATATGCGACAGTCGTTTCTGGGTTGCGAATCTTGTGGCCTTCGTCTAGGACAGCGTATTCCCAGTTGACGGGTACCAACAACTCTGCGTACGTGAGAAGCCCTGTATATGTGGTGACTAAGACATGACCTTCGTTAACGACACGGTCCACGATCTTTTTAGCTGCTTTCTGAGCCTTGGTAAGGCGTTTGGTAGAGCCTCGATAGCGGTCATCCTCGAGGTCACGCTCTATTTGGCTCTCCCTCTTCACGTCCATCATGCCGCTCCCGGAGGTATGGAGGATAGAGACACGTAATGCTGGCCACCATTGATGGAACTCGTTGACCCATTGCTTCATGACTGTTGCTGGCGCTACAATTATGACAGGCTTCGTGAGCTTCTTCGAATAGTGTAAGCCCGCCACGAAGGATATGATCTGAATTGTCTTTCCCAAGCCCATCTCATCGCCCACGATCCCTCCTACCTGCTGCGAGTACAGCTCAGAGAGCCATTGCACGCCTGTTTTTTGGTAGTCGAACAGAGAAGGATAGATGTCTCCAGGAACTCTGTAGCCACCTCCCAGGTCGGCATCAGGTCTCGTCGGATGTGGGTTGTGCCACTCATCTTCGACATTCAGCTCTTCCCCAATGTCTTCTTGCCCATCCTCCTGAGAGGTCAATTCACACCGTGCTTTTTTCCGAGCAGCTCTCCTCGCTGTCGCCCACTTTTGTAGTCGGTTTTGATACAGTCTTTCATTCCCATCATCCACTCCGGCCAAATCCTCCACCTCATCTAGTTTTGTGTGACGCTTGCTTGCAGGCTTCCTCTTGTGCGAGCCTGGAACTTCGATATATTCGTCGCTATCGTCCTCTGCTTCACTATCATCTCCTGGAATAAAGTCCTCCTCTTCCCCAACGTTCTCATCCTTTTCATCTCGAAATCCAGGGCGCAACAGGTTTCTATGTGACACGGGGGCAATAGCAGCCTCGACTTCTGTCTCGTTAACCAGGACATCCTCATCATCGTTCGCTTCAGCATCCAACATGACATCGGTCAAGCTTGCGGAGACCTTGGGTATTTGCGCAATCTTGGAGAATGGTGTAATCTTGCCGGTACGAATTAGGAACTCCCTTCGGGATTCGTTTGGTAGTGGGCCAGAATGTCCTGCATCTTGTTCAGGAACGTCTATGGACTCGCGATGTCTGTCTTCGATCCTGGTCTGTATCTGGGCGAGCTCTTTGTCCGCATGGTCAAGCTTGACTTCTAAGTCTGCGATATCTGATCGGATCTTATTCTTGATGTTTGAGTTAGCCGGTTGACCGAGGCGAGCACGAAGTTGTCGAGTCCGTGCAGTCAGTCTACTTTTCTCAAGCTGTGTCTTCTCGAGGCGCTTCTTGTCTCGTTCGTCCGCCTGCTCAGTGAGCATCTGATCAGCCTGCCGGCCGATATCTCTTTCTAGATCATCCTGGTCCCGCACAGCAGTCTCCAGGAGGACATTTGGTATCTCCTCAGACATGGTCTCTTAGCAAGGTGTTTTTCTATTGTCAGCGGTGTCACAGGCTGAAGGAGTGAATGAACACAAGGTGATGACAATTTTGGCAGTGGCTTAAAGCGCACACAGCCATGGAGAGGTAATTCGATGAATCTTGTCTCGAAGCACTAGGGTGGGAAGTGCTTTCGAGGCATTTGCAGTCGCAGGCGATTATTCACTTAGGCAGTAGCGGCCGCTGACCTCATCGTTCCCACGAAACGCGCTATCACTCAGCATTCCTGGCGCGCTCGCGCAGGCAGAATAGTGGGGTAGGGCGCACATCCATCTTTTGGCTCGAGCGGCAGCCTTACCTGATCCTGACCATGTCTAGTAATTACGGCCTCTCTCCACAACATCTGCAATAATGTGACATTGTTCACGCCATATCATCCTCGATGCCGTCAACCAAAGATGCGTCGCTGTATGGCGAGCCACGCCCAAAGAAGAGTCACTCCAAGGAAGTCTCATCCTCGAGTACTCTGGCATTCACATCTCAACTATCGTCTCTCATAGCTTCTTCCTCGAAGGATAGCTCCAAGACCATGAGTGGAAGAGCGCGAAAAGGCAACAAGGACGACATATTCAAAGCGCACAATAAGAATGCCAAGAAGCGTGCTCTGAAGGATCTCCAGGACTCTGAGATGAGTCGGCCTGCCGCCAGTACCGAGCCTCTGGATGAAGCACAATGGAAACGCGCGCGGAGAAAGATGGAAGAGAAATCAAGGCTGTACAACGCAATGAAGAGAGGAGATATAGAAGATCTGGATGATAAGCATATGGTAGATTTTGATCGGAAGTGGGCAGAAGCACAAGACAAGCCCGAAGATCAAGCTCCGGAAATCTCGTCGGACGAGGACGAAGAAAGTGATGAAGAGTTGATCGAGTACCAAGACGAGTTTGGCCGGACGAGGAAGGGCACACGTGCTGCAATTGCTCGGGAAGAAATGGCGAAACGAACCAATGCCCGAATTCAGGAAGAGCAGCTCGGAACAAAGCCAACTGCACCGTCCAACATTATCTACGGCGACACTATACAAACGGCAGCTTTCAATCCAGACGAGAGTGTGGCATCGAAGATGGCTGAGCTGGCTGCTAAGAGAGATAAAGAACCCACACCTCCTCCAGACAAGCACTTCGATTCGAAGGAAGAGATACGGACGCGCGGCACAGGCTTCTACGCATTCTCTGGCGACAAGGAAGAGAGGGAACGACAAATGAATGCTCTGAAAAAGGAACGGGAGGAGACCGAGCGCGCACGATCTGAGATGAGCCAGAGAAAGGAGCAGCGGAAACGGGAGGTGGAAGAACGACGAAAGGCTATCAACGCTAAAAGATTGAAAGGAGAGGCCGACAGGTTTCTTGCTGAGCTGGAAGTGCCGAAGAACTTGGGTGGTGGCTGAAGTGCTTCGAGGTGATGCAATGCAAGACTTCAATTCCAGAGGACCGGGAAAGTACAACATTTGATGCATTGTGAAATTGACACGCGACCAAACTGAACTGACAAACTTTAAACAATCGACGTTGCTCGATTTCAATCTGACCAAAAACATGTCGATATGATTGCTCTACGGATTACTCAGATGGCTACCTCTGTTTTTTGCCCACGGGGCTCGTTTAACCCCGATCAATCCACGCAGTGTTCCCCTCTACGTCTGAGTTGGGAAACTGAAATACCTTCTGTATGGTTGAATAAGGCTCGTACTGCTCGTCACTAAACAGCCTCGTTACGTTTGCAAGGATTCTACCCGTCTCGTTGAAACCTGGGCCATAATCTCTCCACTCGGCCATGGTCGTGTTGTAGTTGAATCGATCATCTGTGGTTCCCCACTTGATATACCCAGAAGACTGAATGGAGTCATCCAGAGAGCAATTGGCAAAGATTGACCGATGTTGTGCGTTCTGTCACGGTGGCCAGTCAGCGTATTGACAGCACCCAATGTTGCCGGAACGGAAGGAGCGTACCCATGGCCTTCCGAGCGCGCATTTCCCGGAGATACTTAGACTGGAATTCGCCTTCTCCACGTGCGAGTCGTGGATGTAGACACCATATTTGTTGACGAAGGTAGTGTTCGTGCCTTTCCACGCTGTGATGCCACCACCGCAGCTCCGCAGCGAGAGACGTGAGGACTGGATCCAGGCTGTGCCGAAGCCGTACAGGAAGTCGGTTTGGCCAGCAATCTCACATGAGTGGAAGTAGGCATTGCCTAGCTTCCCAATATACACCTACGACAATCAGCGACAGACAGGCAGGCAGACAGACAGACAGATAGGGCAGAGTGATGCTCCTGGCTTACCGTATCCTGATAGCTGTAGAACCCGCAGTTATAGAAGCCAGTGTTTGCATAGCTGACGGACACGGCTAAGCTAGGTCCGGCAGCGTACGGACGCCAGTCATTGATGAAATTGATATTGTACACTCGAAAGTCCTGATTTCCAAACGGTGTATCGGCAGGCACAGCATTCCCCGTCGGACCGGATCCGGTCAAGCTGGCGTTGAGCGTGGGCGCCACAGTCAGGACACTCGTAAAGGCATTATCCAGCGTGCCAGTCTCCGCCGTGCCGGTCGCCTGGCGCCATATGATGTTGACCAAGTTAGTCGACTGATCACCTGGCGACGAGGTGGTCTGGCCGAGCAGCGTGAGTGGACCGGCTCGGGTCACGTTGAGCTGCTCGGTGTAGTTCCCGGGCTGGATCAGGATGGTGTACGAGGCGTTGTTGTGTGGGAGGCTTGAGATTGCCGACTGCACCGTCGTGAATCTTGCTGTCGGGCCTACTAGGATTGTGGTGTCTTTCGGACAGCCTTGGTACGGATCGGGTGTTCTGGACTGGCAGGCATGGCGGTCAAAGGCGATGCAGAGCCGGAATGCGAGAGTTGCTAGTGCTACAATCCTCATGCTTGAGACTATAACGCAAACAGTGATATATTCTCTTTCAATGCTTGAAATGGAAGAATGTGAACTCAACCAATCGCTTCAGACATATACAAAGGGGGGGGGGAGAGATTCCTTTGTATGAACCTCTGACATTATTCTCCTTAACTTGAAACATCGTCCTTCAATTCTCATGACTATGCAGGATATCTCATTTTTGGTGACATGATAGTATTCTTCGCATCCATGCCTTTCTAGCCGAATGCGGGGAAGGTTAGATTGAGCAGCGAGAACAATCTGGACGGAGACCTCAGGCATTTATCCGTCAATAGCAAGTAGGCCAATGCTCCTTCCGTTCATTCATCCATCAAGTCCAACACCAAGTCCCGTGACATGAACTGGACTACTCGTAAGGTCGAGCGCACCCGGATACGGCGCGTATACGATATAGCTAGTCGAGTGACGAAGTACGTCTCTGGTCAAACGTCCTCGGCCGGGGCACAACTTCCTCCATCCACATTCCACGCTATCCAATTCACAGCATCGATCCATCATATGCACAAACAACACCTAAGCATCACCAAGCCTCCGCAAGCGCCTTGGGAAAGGGGTGGGTTACAGCTCGGCAAGTCGCCGTGTGCGGACGTGTGTATGTATGTATATACCCCAATCGAGACTAGATAGATAGACATCATCGACATCGTTACCGGACGGGAAGAGCGGCAGACCAGCGATGCTGATCAAAGATGCGTTTTGTCTTGATTGGGGTTTAGGCCCCCATCCATGGCAGGGCAGCTATCTACGACGCTACGGAGTTGTTGTTAGTGTGTTTTGCACATGACGACGACGACGACGACGACGACGACAACGATGACAGCGCGGCGTGTTTTATCGATCTGGCTGACTAGCTATGGCTAAAAGATACAATATCTTTATAGGTTTTGTTTGCTGATATGTTTATGTTCGTCGGATAGCGTCACGTATGTATGATAGGCCAGGACGTCCCAAGCACCACCATAACCGCACAGTCGTCCCTGACTGTACGAATGGCACGTATAGAAGCCTCATGGAAGCGGTGAAGGATTCGTGTGGCAGGGCCATATATGGTATAAGCGTGCATGGAAGGCTCGTACAACAGCAGCAGCAGCAGTTAATACTGGATGGCGTGCATGTACGTGTATGCCGGCAAGGACAGCATCGACACCGACAAGCAGGATCCGGGGCGGGTGTGTTGTGGCAGTTTAGCAGTCTGGCTGAGCATGGTAGGGTATCTATTGTAGGGCTGTGGCTGAGGTGGTGGTACTGTATTTGTAGCACATCGTACACACGTCCATCAACGACTATTCGCACAATGATACCTAAACGGGAGCGTGCGATGAACATCCATCAAACTACGAATGACTAATGTGAGGTGGGGTTGAGAAAGAGTATGGTCTAGCCGGATTGAGCAATTGGGACTGCGCAGCTTGTGGGGGCGTGATTGGTGGAAGGAGGAGATGCGTTTGTCAGCTCAGCATGCTTTCCAACCAGCCCTAGGCAGTCATTAGGGTGCAGGTTAGTAATTATGTATGCGGACAGACTTGAAGTCGCAATGGTTAATTAATCCGCGGGATCAGTCACACTGCTAGTTGATACTCGATCTAGACATTACGCAACACACCGTAGATGGCTTGCGCGGATTGCGAAGTGGTTTGCGTGTGTGCGTATGGGTGTGATGTGGTTTGGTAGGAGAGTAAAAAGTGGGCGGTGATTGCGTATATGCAGGCATACTTACACAGATACTGTAACGGCATAGATACGAAAGGCGACTCCGAGCGGCAGACAGGCGGCGGATAGACGCGACTGTACGATGTATGCGTATCCGTATCGGGATGCCGCTCGTCTGTGCAGCGTCGGCAGGTAAAACGAACGAGCTCCAAGAACTGATACGCCAGCCTGCCTTCTCCCGTCAGCAGTCTCCAGGTAATAGGCAACCTAGCGCCCAGACGGACGAACAAGTGATCGAAGCTGCCGGTTCTTCCAGAAACACCCTGATGATGATGATGATGATGATGATATCGCTACGAGGGCCATGCACGACCTGGGATCGCATCGGGTGGTGGCAGTTGGAAAGTTGGGAAGGTAGGGCGTGCATGTATGTGTGTAATCAGGGCGGTATCGGCATCATGGACATGTCCATTGATGGGCGTGATGATAATGTACTGGCACTGATACAGGAGATTATACTAATGTCCGCGTAAAAGGCGAAAGCCGCGATGCGATGCGAGGAGAGAGTGTAAGGCAGATGACTCGACGATAACTAGCTACATACTAGGTACCTAGCCAAAACCTAACGTTAGGCAAGGCGGTGATGCGGTGACCCTCAGGGCGCAAAGGCCGAAACCCCGAGCGCCGAACCACAACTGAAACCTGGTATTACAAGTAGCTGTTGAGCAGGTGGCAGTGTGGGAATGCGATTGGCGGTACTGGATATTGTTGTGTAGGTCCTGAACCAGGGAACAGAAACAAAGCTGCAACGAGAGGGGGAGAGAAGGTTCATCCGCGCATTCGTGCGCGCGAGAGCCGGAGCCGGTCAAAAGGCTGGTTCCGAGCCAACAAGGACGACTCACTAATTACCCATCATGACCGTCAAACGTCTGATGATTGAATCAAAAGACTGAAAGTGAATCATCCGCAGTCACGCAATAATGAGCAATCTCGACAAGGAATTCAGGCAAACGGTGCTGGGGTTGGCGTAGAGGCGGCAGTCATTCCTGCAGTGCCCGTTACAATATGCACCGCATTCCTCGCGTCGCATATTGACACACGCATTGCTGGAGGGCGCAGCGGTGTTGCTTGCGTTGCGTTGCGTTGTGTTGCATCCATCGACCATCGATCAGCTGGAAGAAGTCTGCCTGACGACGAAACGTTTGGGGGCCTGGCGGAGTCGGGTCGGGCGGACGGACAGATAGATGTTCTTGCACGATACGAGAGAAAAGGGTATCAAGTGCGAGCCTAAGAATGACATCCCATCTTGTGACTAGCACGCCTATCTACTGATTGAGGGAAGCATCAGTGTTTTCAATAGTGATGAATGCCTAAGGTAGGTAATTAGTTCAACAGTTGGCTCGCACCATCGGACGTATATCATGGGCCGCTGCTTGCGTAAGTCCTAACCCCCAAAAGCAACAAAGCCTTTGCAAGTGTCAAGCCACACAATAGGACTGAGTGGACTGAGGCCCAACATTCATATCACGTCATGCTTGGAATCTTGGAATCTTGGAATCTTGGACATTGGAATCTTGGAGGTCGTAGTATAGTGTAGTGTGTAGTATATTCTTCTCAACGGCTTGGGCCGTCTGGCGGGGCATAACGTTAACGCGAAGGGCTCACAGGTCGTGGTGGTAATGAGGCGTCCGGCGTATACGGGTGCGGCTAAACGGTATACTTTCACCGCATTGACAACAGCAATCAAACACTATGCAGCACCACGAACCACATCAAGGCATCTGCATTTACAATCATTCATTCCGCACCATCGTGACTGTGACTGCAATGGACCCGAAGCGGGATGGTGAGTGGTGGATGACTGGATCGTGTGCAGCGTAGGCGGATGAATCATCGACTATGAGGCCGACACGGCCGAAATGGATTACGCAGCATAGGTAGGTACCACTACTAATTAATTGTTGCAAGCAAGGCTGGCGGTGATTACATACGCCCGCGGACGAATATGATGTACAGCCTGGCTGGGGGCTTCTTTTTGTTTGGTACCTAGAGTGGTGACTGTTGACTGGTCGGGGAGAAGGGGGGGGCCAAAGTCCGGAGAGACGAGAGAAGAGCCGACACGATAGCAACGACGAGACCGATGAGACCGACGAGAACGAGAAGAACAAGAAAGACAATGGAGGACAATGAGTGAGTGGACAAAGGGACCAGAAAGATTTAGGGGGGGGGGGGGGGGGGTGAGGATGTGGTGTGTGGGTGCAGCGTGGGGCCCAAGGCAGCCGGTTGTTAAGCTGACGAGATTTTGACCGCTCCAAGGCTCGTACGGGCTTTAGCGACGCCTAACCACCTAAACCCTCCCCTTGTCACCGACTCGTCCGAACCCATCCATGCCAAATTCCCCGTTTCTGTCTTTACTGCCTCTCACACACAATCCTGTCTCCGAAAACATAAAGACCTTTGCCTCCGCCCGTTTCCACTTCCAGACACACACACACACTCTCCAGTATCATCAACTCGAACTATCTCAAGCTTCAGTACACACACTACAACATCAACAACAACTCAAGCCACCCGCTACTATTCCTCCACCACGCATACCCGATCCGTTTAGCACCGCACGGACACCCCTGCTGCACATCAATCATAGGAAACAAAAGAAGAGTCACCGTCACGGACATTTAGCCTTGACTCACCAGGCAGTCATTCTCACAAAACCTCCACCCACTCTTGCATCTCATCACAATGCCTTCCCATCTCAGGAACCAAGCTCTCTTTGAGCCATTCTCCGCCGAAGCCACCCGCTCCCACTACATCACCGCTCCTCCACAGAAGAAGCAGAAGATGTCCCTCACCCAGACCTACTACATTGCCTCGTCGGCACGGTCGAAGCTGGGCAGGGAAGCTGGAAAGCCAGACCACAACCTGAGGCTGCTTGTCGGCCATGCAAACCTGCTCGATTCCCTCATGATCGAGCTCGCCGATGCTGAGCGGGACCAAGAAGCCTGGTTCAATCAGAACGTCAACAGGGCCGCCAAGGCTGACGAGCCCAAGCACATCCAATGGGTCGACAGCATCCGCGAGGAGGAGGACGAGGACTCAGACTCAGACTCAGAGTACGACGACTCCGACTACGAAATGGTCGCTCCTCTCCGCCGCATTCCCTCCCCTCCCGTCCACATCACCACCGTAGAGTACGACGACGACTCAGACAGCGACGAGGAATTCGAGGACGACGAAGACGACGAGGAGCATGCTCTAGAACGTGTCCCATCAGCACATGCAATGCCAGAACTCATCCACGATGACGTCTCGGACGACGAGAGCCCGCCCACATCACCGCCTGCCTCGACCAGGGAGTTCAGCGAGCAGGACCGCGCCGCACTCACCACCACATCCTTCTACGACAAGCCAGCCGCGATACCAGCCTCGCAACAAGACTCATTTGCAAAAGACGGCTTCTTCGTGCCGCAACGAAGCCAACCAATGATTGCAACCTTCTAGACCCACTCGACTTTGGGCAACAGCATCATTCCCCGTCTTTCTGCATAGCGATCTTTAGCGAGCGTCATTGTTTCCGGCATACCAGCGTATGGAGTTACTGGGAAAATATCCACTCAAATCAAGAGATTTTGTTCTTTCATTTTGTTTGTCATGGGTGGAGCTAGTAGTTACGGACACGAAATGACGGAGGAAGGTCATATATGGTCTATAGTGCACCTCCCTCTCACACTTTGTAGTGATTGAGGTTGAGATGGAGCACGGAAAGGAATATCTATAGCAATACACAAATACAAAATATTCCCAAAAAAAAAAAAAAACCTTCATGTTCTCTTGCTCTTCGTGATCTGACAAACTAAACTTTCTCTCCATCTTCCATTCCCAACTGCCGGAGAACGCAGAACCAAAGTCCGCACTTCCCGTGCCGACGTTGCATGCTATTGCATACCAGGCATTCCCAGCCATCATCAGCTCACCGCCTGCCATGTGCTCACCTGACCCCCTCCTTGGGTTTACCTGGTCGCTCAGTCTAAGCTAGGTCTAGCCAGGCTAGCTTTACTTACTGCCTAGGTAAGTTACCTCAGGTCTGCACGTAGTTACTGCTGTTCCTCAGGCATCCATCTACGTACCACTCAACAACAGGCTAATTATCATCTACATACCTATCTCCTTCGTTCAAAAGTATAAGCTATGTGTCTAGACTATGCCATGCCACGCCATGCCATGCCACGCCGAGCTCCAGACCTGAGTAGACTTATCTGTTTGAGTATCTCTCGGTCTGGTAGACGCATTCCCCACTGCCCGGATCGGAGAGTTTTGTCGTCCGAGTGCGAGTGCGAAGATAGAATAATAGATAGAGCAATTAGATAAGACTGTGAGATTGAACTGTAAGACTGGTGCGTGCTGTAGGTTTCTTAGTATGGGGTATATTGTAGCATGGTTTGTAGCTGGATTAGGTATGTGTGTGTGTAGGTGCGTGCGTGTGTGAGACCGGGGATGCCGGCCGGCCGAGACCCGGACTCGGGAAGCGAATGGACGAACGAACGAATGTACCGAATGAATAAATGAATGTGAACGAACGAACTACTGCTCACAGGTCGGCCACAGGTCCCCAAGTCTACGTTGCGAAAAAAGTTTGGGACTGAATTACTTTTAGGGGATATAGAAGGTAAAAGAGAGTTTGCAAAATCGGTCGGGACTTGCCATTAGTATTTTTTCGTTTTTCGAAAAGGTAAAATTGGTTTTTTTTGCTTTGTGCTTTTTTCTTTTGGCTTCCTGTACCTAATTGATATGCTACCTAATGAACAAGCCAACCAACCAACGCGCAGCTATTGGATCTGGCAGACGAACAAAGCTGGACCGAGGAAGTGGATCTAGGCCTAGGTAAGTATGGGTCGTGTACGCAGTACCGTACCGTAGGAGATATTTCCGACATGCCATCCCAAGCAAGCAAGCGAGCGAGCGAGCAAGCATGCAAGCAACACGGAATTGATAGCTTCTTTTTCTCGGCCTGTCTCTCTCTCTCTCTCTCTCCCACTATCGGAAATCTTCCGCTGCCTGTACGTATGTGTGTACGTATGTGTGTGTGGGTATGTATCGTGAAGGCCGAGGAGAATCTAGACACATACAATCACAATCTACGCGGAGAAGCCGCTGTGCACATATATTAATGAAATAGGAGACTTTGCAGGATAGGCAAATTGGTTAAAAAGACTTCCTTGCGAGATCGGAATATATCTGCGAAGGTTGATTGATTGATTGACTGATGGGATCTGGATCTGGATCTGGATCTGGACTTGGACTTGCGTCCTGGGTTTTGGGAGACTCGGGATATTCTGCGGAGTGTTTTTTGCTTGGGTACCTGCTGAGCTGAGCTGAGCTGAGCTGGGCGCTGTTGCCTGCTAGAATACTGGAATACTGGGGAGACCGGGGGGGACATGGGGGACTGGTGCTGAGGCTGGATATTGAATTGGGCATGGGTCAGTCAGTGGGGACAGACAACACAGGGCCCGCCAGGGGGAAGAAAGAATCCCAGAAAGGGCATCATCATTGTGATCCCAAGGAGACGGACGGGATCTGAGAGTGCCGTGCCTGGGCCATGGCTGGGGGTCATCGTAGGGCCTGCATGATACCTGCTGCATAGGGGAGATGAGAGATGCAAGATGGATCCTGATGGGGTAGATGAGAAGATGAGGCTGCAATGCTTGATCTCTGAGCGCTGCATGCATGGGCATGGGTGTGTCCATGGGTATGGGTATGGGGGCATGAAGCGATCCTTATGGATGGCACGCGAACGTGAACGGGCAATGGGGCATCAGGAACATGCGTCGAGTCTGTGCGTATAAATTACGTGTGGGAGATGAGAATCCGAAAGCCTGTGCTCAGCGCCTAGGTTATTAATTTTATCTGATTGATACGTATGGAGTAGATATTCTGACCCAAAGCAGGCATCGCTGCCCTGTCCCGCCAGCTGAATCCCCGTTATCTGTCATACAGAAACGAGCTTCCATACTATAGCCGCTACGGTTGTTGTGGTTGTTGGTGTGTTTCGAGCATGGATGGCTACATCCATCGTTTTATTTGTTGGTGTTTCGCAATGCGTGTCCGCGTGCCTCGCGTAACTTGTAACTACCTACTGTAGTAACTACCCGTGCCGCCTTGAATGCAGTAGAATGTGATGCCGTAGACTGCATATGGAATGCAAAACTGCCAGCGCCGCTTAGCTGGCATGTAGGGTAGTCGTCGAGAGTGGTCCCAGCACATCTAACTCGGTGCTAGGATGACGACTGTGCCTCTCTCTGTTCTCAGCGTAGTAGTACCTGTTTACTACTGTATGTACAGTCAGAGCGCAGTCTTGGGACCAATTCCGTTGTAAAAAGCCAGTTTGCAACAAGACCCTTGGCAGTCACGGCTATCGCGCGAGCAACCTCCCAGCCCGGGCAACCCTCAAAGCCGAAGAGGATCGAGTCAGCAACGTGGCAGTACCTATCCATGGACTGTACACAGTCAGATCAGCGCATGGCAGTGTCTCTCGTTCCTGGCCCTGACTGACGCGCCGCCAGGATTCAGGACTCCAGAGGCACACTCAGCCTTGCAAGGGAGCTATTTACATATGCGACAAGAGCGCACCAATTTTAGGCCGCGTTCGTGTTTCGGCCCCAAACCCATATTACATACGCGAAACCGAGGACTGACTGTGGCCTGTACGCGTAATTATGGAGAGATCTAAAGAGGTGCTGTTCTACTGCTCCATATTGGTCCGGCTGTAGTTACGCGTATCTGAGCCACCGAGATGGCACTACGTAAATGTAGACAGATGCCATATGTCGGTCATCGACTTCAGAATCGGACCCTGCTATGATGAAACCAAAACCTGGCAGCAAAAAAAAATATTGTTGATAGTGATAATGATGATGTCAGTAGCGAGGCCCCCCCGGTCGCGATGAGGCGGGTTGCTAGCCGAGTGCTTGATAATCGACGCGGAAGCATCAAAAACATACCACGACAGCATGACGTGCTTGATGAGCATGTTTATTGTCCATCGATTGGTAATTGAGCCTGGAATCGCGTCTGGATCAACGTCTTGAGGCCTGCGGACCGTCAAGGGCAGACAACTGGTGATTCCCAATCCGTCTGTCTACTCACTAGCATCCTCGAGCATCGAGACTCGAGGTGCAGACAAAGAGATTACTCCTCGTTCTTCTTGGTCCTCTACGCGCTCCGGCTAACTATCGAATGTGAGAACCACGATAGTCCGTATGCAAGGGTAGGTAAAATTCTTCAAAACCCTGGTAAAGGAGACAAAGGGACAAAGGCATTCGTCTGGCCCGGTGCCGATTCCGCTCCGCTCACGAATGTCCCCTCAAAAACGGAATCGGGATCAAGTCAAAAGGGGGGGGTCCCTCTTAGTCGGAGATGGTTCACGAAAAACCTTGATCTCGATCGTGGATGCAAGGCATGTTTATTGCTTGTACCAGCATAGGACCGACAAAATGGTCCAAAACGGGCCGACATAAAACTCGTACGATGGTATATCCACGACCGTCGTACAAACAGGTAACAGGTTCAGGCACTGGTAACAAAGAATGAATATCTTGGCTTTGCGCCACCGACTTTTCGGTGCGTCTATGCTGGAACCGCGGATAAACCACTCCAAGCCTTGGCTTCTTTAACTTTATAGAGCTGCAGAGCAGAGGCTCGACACGAGCCCAATATGCCAGTGCTTTTTCTACGGCCTTTCTAGTGCTTCGAGAAGCAGATCTGCAGTCATTCCATGAGGTCTGGTCTTCGGTCTTCATTGCCTCAAAACATCCATTAGGTTTTGTCATTTCGACATGCAGCGAGCAAGAGCACTAGGAGGTGTTTGTTTGCGCCGCCGTCGGGACCCTCTCAACGTCGTTGCCAGCGCACCAAGTTTCATTTCCCTTACCATCCAGTCACCTTGCCAACTCCTCCAAGTCTCGCGTTATTCGCTTGGCTCGTATGATCATCCCTGGTCTGTTTATCGTTGCACATGTCAATGCCAATACCGGGGACGGGCACCGCCAAACCCGCTCCTGACTGATCGCCATGTGCCACATCATCTGCGAGGCGAGACCCTCTTGGCAAATGAGCCTCAGGCGTGCGTAGAACCGAATCCGAACATCGCGCCCGCGTCAGATTCCGGTCGTCTCGCATCTTCCTCGGGTCCGCATCGGTTGATTGAGACCGAGACTGTGGAGAGAGATCCATGGCGATCATGCCTGGGGTGATGCATGCACCTCCCCCTCACTACGTCGTAGATGGATGGTTGGCGTCTGTTGTTTGTCAGCTGTCTTCCCCGCATAGAGATGCTGCTTTTGGGTGGCTCTCACTGCTACATAGTACATCCTTCCCCCTCTGAGGGGGGTTTCTGATAAGGGTCGCGTCGCTCACCGCTCGTCTGCTGGCCTCCTCACACCGGTCGCTGTCTGCATATGTGGTGCTCGTCTACTTCTACTGCGTTGTCAGCTGCCCTCAATATGTCGTGGGGGTGCTTGCCAGTCTACACATGTGCATATGCTTGGTTCACCTGACCGGTCGACTAGATGGCATTCTCCCTTCTTGATACTGCCCGCTGGGCGATACATGTTGTTCAGACACGTCTATCTGATTACAGCCCTCGGAGGTCTTATGCATCGTGTGGGTAATCAAGACCGAATTACAGTATCCGCCTCCAGTCGATCGTATGGTTTGATGCCCGTTTCTCGAAAGTTGTCCATGAACGCGGAATATTGTTAGGCAAATGGATACGTGGACATAAGAGCTTGGGAGAGATGCCTATACAACTGCTATAACATATACACGTACGCATGTGCTTGCGAGAGCATTAGCATTATGGTTTGTCTAGACAAGGCAGGTCTCAATATCGAGGGTCGCAAGGATGACAGCACGCTATCTCTCAGCGTCAGGTACAGCATTCTATCGAGGCTCTCGAAACACGCCTACTCTTAACGGAAGATACATCTAGTCCCAGATTCATGATGATTCATATTGCTTGAAAGAGGCTGTACCAGGAACCTCCAAATCAGGACGAGATCTACAGACATCTAACGGGCTGGTCCTACGCCTAACCCTCTACAGCTTTAGTAAGCGGAACGATCGTTAGTGTTGAGATAGTCACCCAATTGTACCACGCCGGCGAATTCACAACTGTTGCAATCTGCAAAAATATCTAGCAATGCCTTTGCACCTGACGTCATGTCATATATAAGCCATGCCGGCTGAAATGCCAATCCATCGCGATACAAGCTCACAATGCTTATGACTTTCTACCAAGTCTCAGTGAGATCAGATTGACTCCTGTCCCCAGACTCGCAAACGTTGGGACTGTGGCTGCGAGTACCAAACGGCAGATGCATGAGAGATCACTTCGTTTGAGGCTTGCCGCCCATCCCGAACAAGGGATCCACCTCGAATCAGGGACCCTGAGATTGTTTCCTACTATTATTGTTGTCGTGCAGCCTGCAAAGAGACTTCATCTCTTCCAGGTCGACACAATATGACGACCGCACTACCACACTTTGACTGGTAGATAGATCATTGTCTCAACATGGGAGCTGACGTGCTGACTTCATGACAGGTCTCAGCGTAAGGGGAAGCAGCAGAAGTATGCAGTCGTTCCCTGCATCTCGGACCCTACGTCAGGGGTGAAGATGGAGAATGACGACGGCTCGGGACCTATCGTGTTTGGCCAAAGACATGAAGCAAGCTCAATGGAACTGTTCTTCGACCTGTTCTTTGTCGCAAACCTCGCCTTGTTCACGCAGTACCACATCATAATCGAGCACTCCGGTTTTCTTGGGTACATAGGTCGGAAATTCCAGCCATCCAGCACGCTAACATAAGTTAACGTTGTGTAGAGTTCTTCTCCATCCTGTGGGGTACTTGGTTTTCCGTGACTCTTTTCGACGTGCGGTTCGCTTCGGACAGCCTCTACGAACGCGCTTGCAAATTGATACAATGCGCCGTCTTTGTCGTCCTATCTCTCGTAGGGTCGCATTTTGAACCAGGGACCGTCCAGACGTATGGCCAGAGCGAAACTCCATCGAATGACACATTCCGCATACTGAGCTATGCGTTGGCCACGAGTCGAGCGCTTCTAGCTATCCAGTACATCGTTGTAGCTGTCTTTTGTGCCCGGAGGGGATACAGAAAGGTGCTGGTTCCAGTTGGTCTCAACGCATTATTTTACTGTATCTCCGCAGTGGCTTTTGGCTTGATGACACTGGCTTTTCGTAGAATCCCGTTCCTCTCCAACGTTTACATTGTCTGGTATGTCATTCTCGCACTGGAGATTGCTGGTGTTCTGTCTGTGTCGACTGTCTGGCGTGATCTTGGGTTCAAGTTGACCCATCTGGTCGAGCGCATGAGCTTGTTGACACTCATCATAATCGGTGAAGGTATACTGGGTGTTGGCAAGACCATTTCCATCATCCTGAGAACGCATGAAAATGCGGAGTACTATGGATTGATATTCGTGATCCTGCTAGTGCGTACCACTACGAATCATAACTTCAATCCCAGAACTAATCGCCCTACAGATAATCATTTTCCTATGGATGATATACTTTGACAATACTCCTCACGGCCATTTCGGCACCATACGCCAACAAATATGGGCGTTTCTTCATTTCCCATTGCACCTGTCCATCTTAGGGATCGTTGAAGGTGCACAGCAACTCGTGCGTGGACGGTACTGGATACACGAGGTCATAGACATCGCCACAATGGTGCACGAATACTGTTTATCCGGCCTTGACGGCACAGAGCTAAGCAATGCTCTCGCCAGTTCTATCACAAGTTACAAGTTTGAAGACAAATCTATCGCCGGGTCAGACCTTCCCGACCTCATGAGAACGTTGGTAACCATATCAAACACGCCTGGCCTCTGCAACAGCACCTCAATCCGAGACTTGCCGACCTCCTGGACCTTTGATGAATTATATGCTGCAATCAATGGAACAGCACTATTCGATCTGGTAGCAAACTTCGGATCGGCACTCTATGGCTCCACAATCGTGGACAACAACTGGCCTACGCAGCGGACACTGGACTCGGTCAACAGAGACGAATGGTCTGTGCCATACAGCTACTTCTGGGGATCTCTGGCCATATTCGCGTTTGTCTCGCATATCCTCATCTCCCTACGACGCAAGACCCGTGCCGACATCTTCCTGTTTGTGCAAACCCTGTCGCGCATCCTGGTGTTGGCTGTGGCCATAGCATTGGGTGTTGTCGGGTCGTTCAACGACACCTTCTACTACAACTTTACGGACTCACCGTCTGTAGTCACCATCGCAATGGGCTGTCTAGCTTTCGTCTTCATATCCGACTACATCGGAAGAGTCGCGAGTAACTGGCAGGTAGGCAAGCGGAATGAGCGACTGGACATTGATGACGAAGGCGAGAAGCGCTAGACGAGCTACATGGTACATATCAGCGTATCACTCCAATATATATATATATATATATATATATATATATATATATCAGACACATCCATCTCATCGCCCTCCAACCCCACATCCCTCCCTTCTCCTAACCTGAACCCTACCCAACCCTCAAAACCATAAACACACTAAACCCACCCTCCCCACCCCCAGCATACGGTCCACATTCCACAAACTCAAACTCCTCATACAGCCTCCTCGCACCCGCAAACTCCCCCGACGACCCCGTCTCCGCATACACCTCCGCATAGCCCCTCCTCCGCGGCTCTTCGATGACATACCCGAGCAACGTCGCGCCCACGCCCTGCCGCAGAAACTCCGTGCTCGTCCGCATTGCTTTGATTTCGCATGCGTGTGTGGTACTTGTGTCTTGGGGGGGGGGGATAAGAAAGGTTCGTGTGAGTTTGGTTATAGGGCGTAATTTCTATATGGATGGTAAAGTGGAGGTTGGTGAAGTGGTGGTTTGCGTGTGGTGGTATCTCGGGGGCACGTACTTATCTCCTTGAGCGCAGCTATGCCCACGAGACGCCGCCCGTCGCTGTTGTCCTTGTCCTCCTCCTTCTCCTTGCCATTATTGCCATCGTTATCGTCGTCCTCCCACCAGGCCGTATAGCACGTCACGCTCGCATCGCGCAGGCCATCTACGCCCAACACGCGTGCAGACGCAGTAGAGTCGGCGATTACGCTCGCCATATGGCGCGTGTGTTCTGCAAGGAGGGCTAGCACGCGTGGGTTTGTGAGTGGGTCTTGTTTTATGATGATGGGCATTGTGGGATTTTGTTGATTAGTGGATTTGAAGGGGGGAGGGGTTTGTGGAGGTGTGAGACGGATTATTGTGTGTTGTTTGATGGTGGTGTGGGTTGTGTGGGTTGAGGATCTGATAGTGCTTGCGCCCTGTGTTGTACATGCATGCGGTAGAGTCGGATTTTGGGAGGGTATGCTTGCGTGCGTGCGGGCTGGCTGGCTGGTTGGTGAGATGGGTTCTTGTAGACGCCAAAGTATAGACTCGGCACAGCTTTAGACTATAAGCGGCTATATTAGATGTAGATAATCCGGGTTTAAATCCTGCGTGTAAAGTGGAAAAAGCTCAGCATACGACAGAGTTCACTGTATGCTAACATCTTCGGTATATTGAGAAAAAGCCACTATGCTGGGCAAGTCTATATTAAGTGCATGATGCACAATATGAACAAAATAGGATGACATAATGGGTATATAAATATGTACAACCATCACGATAAAAACAAAAAACACCCAAACCTCCCTCAAACAGCCTCCTTGTCATTAATCGGATTAGCAGCCTTCTGCACCCCATCCTTGACGCCCGCCTCCACCTTCTCCTTGCCCTCGCTTGTCTTCTTCCCCTTCTTCCCCTTGCCTTTAGGCAGACTAAAGCCGCTCATATTCCACTTCTTCACGCGGAACAGGTAGTACGTCAGCACGGCCATGGTAATATTGAACCCGATAAACGCCCACATGATGCCATAGTCGCGCCACCGCTCAGAGTAGTAGATGTTGCTGCCGGCCAGATACTGGTCGCCGTTGCTCAACGGGCAGTATTGGCAGTTGGTCATGGCCTCGGGGTTGCGCAGATAGCCGGGCGCCACGGCGAGGTAGTCGCGCATGTAGTCGCCACAGCTCGTGTTTGCGGGAGGGTCAAACTGTGAGGTCTCGGCGGCCGAGCACTCGATTGCGCGCTCGTGTAGTTGGGTGCCGGAGATGCCGCCGACCCAGTAGGTAAAGGGGCTGACGCGGTACATGAAGATCCAGAAGCCGGGCAGAGCGTCGGGGGATTGCAGGACACCGCAGAAGAGCGTGGACATGAGCGTTCCGAGCGTGACGAGGCCGGAGGCGGTTTGGGCGTCTGGGAGCGCGGCGATGGTCATGTGTGCAAAGGACGAGGCGTAGATGAAGAGCTGGATGACGAAGAGAAGCACGAGACCCTGGCGCGCAGATGACTGGATGCCGATGACGGCGTAGTAGTATGATGCCCAAGTGACGATGGCGACAATGACTTGCCAGGGGATTTCAATGAAGATGTTGGCAATAACGAACGCTTTCCAAGAGTATGCTTTGCTCGGCCGTTCACGGACCTCGTACAAGGCGCGCTGTGTGATAAACAGCGGCTGTATTTGCTGCACAAGCGTAGAGAAGATTGTGGTGAGCATGAAGACGGAAAAGATGACATTTTGCATGCCCGCCTGAGTGGCATCAGCGCCGTAGAATGTAAAGCCGATGAAGAGGCCTGCAGCGATTCCGAGCGCGAATTTGGCGCCGATGTACGAAGGCATGCGCCAGTATTGTTGCGTGACGCGCCATGTTACTTCAATCAATTGAGTGGTAAAGGGCATTGCGAATTCGGAGTGCGAGTCTGCACCGTCATCCTCGACAGCTTCATGTTGTTTTTCTGAGTGGATGCGGTCGATTTCAGTGCCTACAGCTTGGCAGTTTTCACTTTGTTTCCATACGTCAAACCAATCCTCGCCTTGGTCGTTGGTACCGTTGTTGACAATCTCGAGCATGTATTCTGCGGGATTCTCTTCATCATCGCACTTACGGCCCCCATTCGACTCAAAGTAGTCTAGGAGTGTGCGAGAATTCTCTCCAATCTCGCCAAAGTAGACGGTTTTTCCGCCCTTGGCCAAGAATAGAAGCCGATCGAACTCCTGGAAGAGGATGGCGGAAGGTTGATGGACGGTACAGAGGACTGCCTGGCCTGCATCCGCAAGTTTGCGAAGGAATGAGCAGATTGCCCACGAGGATTGAGAGTCCAGTCCACTGGTAGGCTCGTCGAGAAACAATAGAAGTTTTGGCTTGGCCGACAATTCCACTCCGATTGTCAGGAGTTTGCGTTGCTCAACGTTCAATCCTTGTCCAGGTACACCCACAACAGCATCAGCAAAGTCGCGCATGTTGAGCATATCGATGACCTCTTCGACAAAGTCGTATTTCTCTTGTTTCGAAACGGTCTTGGGTTGACGTAGCATGGCACTGAATCGAAGAGACTCTCGAACGGTGGCAGTCTCAAGATGTAGATCTATGACGTGTCAGTGGAGTTTACTATGACTCAATAGTTCACCTACCTTGCTGTTGAACATAACCTGTCTTGCGCTGGAAGCTGGCGTCCAGGGGCTTGCCATTGACTAGCATGTCACCAGTAATGACACCCATAGTGGTCCTCTGAGCCAACACATCCAAAAGAGTAGTCTTTCCAGCACCGCTGACACCCATCAAGGCGGTCAGGGTTCCGGGCTTTACCCAACCAGAAACATTGTCGAGAAGGCGGCGACTTCCATCTTTGACCTCAATGTCGTACACAACATCTCTCCAGGTGAAGATATCCTTCTGAGGCTCGATTGCTTTCACTTCGCCTGCATCGCTGTTACCCTTGACTTCACCACCATTAGCCATCTCCTCATCGGGTGAGGCTTGCTTTGCACCCTTTTGGAGAGCTGCAGGGACACGACCACGCTGGAAGACGAGAACTTCGGCAGTGCTAGTCATGGAAGAATTGAATTCGACCGCGACAAAATATATCGCCATGAAAAAGACCAGAAAGGCGATGAGGATACCGAAGTTGCGCCAGACGTGGGAGTAGTAGTACTGGTAGTTTTGTTCGATGAACGAGTCGCCACTTACTGTCGTCTGACCCGCGACAGCACCTACGATAGAGCATATGAACGAGTCTCCAACCATGTACGAAGGAACAAAACTCGAGCATTCAAACTGTCGACCGTGGAATTCGTTGGCGATAAGGATCTCAAAAGCGTAGAATAGTGGATTGATCCATCTAATCCAAGAGAACCAGGGATGCATCTGTGGTACAGCAATCACGAAGCCGGTGTAGATGACAAGAGCGAGAACCAAAACACCGGACAAAGCCATGGCCTGTGAGACGGTCTTGGTAAGCGCGGCCATGGTCCTGAAAATAGCGCTCATTACAAACGTCGAGAGGTATGTAATAAGGAAGTAGAGGAAGAATTGAGCCGGCTCCACACGCAGACCGGCCATGAAGTACAAGACGATATTGAAAATTGTGGAGACGACAAACTTGACGGGTATATCGAGCACTATTCCCGCTGCAGCCTCTGTCGCAGGGTGATAGAAGGCGTACGAAGCATGTTTTTCGACAATCGGACGTTGCGCGTACAGACTATTGATTTCACCAATGGCAGTCAAAGCGTTGAGGAGGGCAGCCATGAACAGAACCGAGCCTTTGGCGAAGAAACCACCCGAGGCGTTGGGAGTACCGAAAAAGACAGAACCGATGATGAGAGCCAGGATCAGATTCATTACAGACTGTGAGACGGTTGCCGATTTATCTCCCATGACACGTTGGTATGCTCGTCGAGTACAGAGTCGGACCTGCATGACCGTATTGATCGTGTAAGGAGACCCTTTGCGGACATGCTTGGCTTGCAAGTATTGCTGCTGCTCTCTCAACTGAGAGGCAGCACCAGAGTTCTCCAATGGATATTCCTTCTCATATGAGTCCATTTCGGATTGGAGCTCTTTGTATTCTGGCGATTCTCGCCAGTATCGTTCAAAATCCTCAGGTGTACGAGGAACCTTGTCTTCCATACCTTCTCTTGGCTTGCGTTCCGAGGCGTTCGTTACGGAGGTAAGGAAGTCTCCAGTTGTCTGTCTCTGTGGTGACAACCAGCCTTGTCTTTCGAAGAAGGCTTTAGCCTTTGAGGCGGGGCCAAAGTATATCTGACGCCCTTCGTAAAGTACTGTAGCCTTGTCGAAAACATCGTAAATGGCTTGACTAGCCTGGTAAATGGCTACGGCACTTGTAGCGCCACTGAAATCGGATGCCATTCGCAAGGCTTGGACAAACTTCAAAGCCGTTGCCGAATCCAAACCTCGAGTGCTGTTGTCCCAGGCTCCCATAGGAGATCCAGCCAGCACCATTTCTGCAATGCTGACTCGTTTTCGTTCACCTCCACTCACACCGCGGATAAAGTCGTCACCAACTTTCGTATTGTAAGTATGGCTGAGACCGAAAACTGCCATCACAACTTTTGCGACATGCTGGCTCATCTCTTCACGAGACATATCTTTGACTCTATGGGATGGAGTGCGTGCACTGGCAGCAAATTCAAGAGTCTGACCGACAGTGAGATGCGGAAAATGTCTATCGACCTGTATAAAGTGTCAGCAGCATTTCACGTCCTCACTTCATATCACATACTTCCTGATTGTATATCGTCTCTCCCCGAAACTCCTTGATCATCTGCTTCTGATCGATACCGTTATAGTGTATTGTGGAAGCCGGATCTAGTTCAAGGCCGTGCAGCTGTCCAGTCATAGTTTTGAGCAGGGTACTGCATCCTGAACCAGGTCTTCCAAGTACAATCAGGAGCTCACCGCTCTTGACTACACCGTCGAAATTCTGTAGAATCTGCTTGTGTTCTTTCTTTCCAAAGCTCAGAAGCTCTCCTAGTCTTAATGGGGCCATCAGGATGCTGCCGACAGTCCCTTGCAACTGAACTGCGGACCCGGTACCCGAGACATTCAAGTTCCTGTACAAGACTCCGGTGCGTTTTGGTGTGACACCTTCGGCTTCGAAATGCTGCATGAACTTGCGTATCCATTTGCCCAAATCGAAGCTTTTGCTGTTGGGATCCAGCACCGGATCGTTGTCTTCAAGTCCAGAAACCGTGTTGGTCCGCGAGAGACCATCCGTGAAGCTGGACTGTCGTCTGGAAAGGGCTGTGACGATCCGTCGGAGTTCGTCTCTATCAGAATCGGTTATCATGGCCTCGCTATTCCGTCTGCTTGTCGCCGCCGGGTCATTTTGGCTGCCCTTGACAATCGACGCGTAGGCGGCATCTGAATCATCACTAGAGTTTATGGATTCAACTTCCTCCTTAGGCTCGACATATTCATTGACAGGAGTCTGTTCTGTGCTAGACGACTGCATCTGGCTATCCAGGGAACCTGGATGCGCCATTGAATCAATCGATTCCACCGAGGGCTTGCCGCTATGATTCAGCTATCAAAGAATTGAAATTGAGTAACGACACTGGATGGAAATGATAGCTACAGGTGTCGATGTTGTGTTGGGCGGTATATGTATGTATGACGAGCAGTGCATCGGACGACGAGGGCAGGAAGATGAATATAAGTGAGTAGTAGCAGTAGCATCAAAAAGCCAACAAGTTCGAAATGAGATCATTCGAGCGCATTGGACCGAGCTGGAAATGGTAACGCGCGACACATAGCAACGGTACCAGACGGCTAAGGACCAGTTAACCACTATTTCCAGCCAGTACGGACGAAGAGAAGCTTAAAGCCCGAGTCTGGGCGTCAACTATCAACACACCGAGCGGAGGGTCGGAGGAGCCGGAGCAACGTCCAGGAGCCAGTTGAGAAGGACATTTTGCGCCTCAACAACACAACAACAGTGGAGAGGTGTAGTGGAAAGTCATGGCAACAACATGGGAGACAGATGTATCCGGGTCCGACCAGATGTGTAAGAGCTGTGGCGTCAGGCTGAGATCGACAATAAGATTCTCGCATGGCCAGGATTGTTTGCGATCCGAATACGCCTACGTTTGGCACACACCACCCCCCTCCCCCTGCCCTCTACCCCCGTCTCACCTCCTCACCCGGCAGGACATGGCAAGCAACAGTAGCCGGGAACAGGCGTGGAGCCGCTGCGGCTGGGCTTGTTTGGCCGCGCGCTGGCTGCAGTTTAGGCGGGCCTTCACCAAATCTTTAGGGGCCCGGTAGCCAATGCAGCCGTTATCCGAGTCCATCCGCGGCGGTTTTGTCAAGCTGTATCGACGTAATTACTGTACATCCAACTCTCAAATGCCGACGGTCAAAACTCGCCGGGCGGACTTTGACAGCATCGCACAAATCATTTCGTCCTCGCATGTCACATTCTCTCCATACCATTGGACATAGCCTCGAAACACGTTGTCCTGGTTATTTTACTTGACACGCAAGCCATGGACAAGATTTAATATATCTTTACTGCGAAGTGCGTAGGTAATTGACATTGCCTCAGCGACGCCCTTCGTTCCTCAATCGACCGTCAATAGCTGCTCAAAGAACCCAGCAAACTCCCCACTCGGATGCCTGAGATGTACTTCTAAAATCCAATGCAATCTATGGCCTTTCTTATCCATGCTCGCCATTGACTGTGTATTGCCACTCGTGATATAGTGTGTGATCTTGTTGTTTGGAATGCGCTCGTGCGGAAAGTCTCCAACTATGTGTCCAGCAATATCCGCATTCCATTCCCACCCGTCCTCCTTGGCGGCAGAAACAGCAATCTCATACAACTCCCCTCCAGTCATATCAGGGCGCTGCTGATACATAGCCTTGATCTTGTGCCACATTGGATCAAGAGCATTTGCAAGTTTCTTCTTCTCCGGATCGTTTCCCAGGACATACGAGCGACCAAAGTCGGCCTCCCAGGCTTCAAATACCGGTCCCAGATCAATTACTAGAATGTCATCTTCTTCGATGATGCGATCAGGTGGGCTATCTCGGAATGGAAGTAGAGTGTTTGGCCCGCTTCTGATAAGTCGTTTGTGCCAATGCGTCCGCACGCCGTAACGCTCTTTGCCGAGCTCGTGGATCTTGTCACTCACAGCCTTCTCGCTCTGGCCTGGCTTGATAAGAGTCCTGCTAATCTCTTCGAACATTTGTATAGCTTTCGTCTCCGCATCTCGAAGAGCTGCTGCTCGTTCTTGCTCAGCAGTGGTCGCTGCTGAGGTCATCATGAAAGCTCCTTGCAGAGATACCACTAATGTCAATAATGGGTGTATTGAGGTATTCAAGCATCGAAGGATCTAAGGAGCATTCTTTAAACAATCGTGGGCGATGTACTGTATAATCCTTCGCGCGGGATAGATTCTACCTACCACGAAGTCGAACGTTCCACCTCATATTGAGTATTATGTCATCCAGCTTACTCAGGGGCTAAGGTGAGCCTTCTAATTTATTTCTAGAAAGTTCCCACGTATAGGTATACACCCAGACGACTATAGTTGAGTTTATCTACGTGGGACGAAAGTCAATGCATATTCTACCTCTATAGTCGTCATTCATATATTTTCAGACTCAAAGACACCGTGGACACTGCCATTGATGTTACGCAGTGAAGCATTCTTTGGACGTCCTACCTTTGTGTACAATGTTACTATCATGGCTGCATATAAACTGTTCTAATGTGACACCAGGCACGCCTCAGACCAGTTACACAGCCTGTACATAACACGCACGTACCTTAGGCCTCCAGCTTACTATAAATTCAACATCAATGCACAATCAGTCTCAATCAACACGAACTAAAATGAAGTATCCAACACGCAAGTGAAGTTGAACCATTATGATCGTCTCTCATACAGTTATAACAGACCTCCAGAATGTATTTGCTTTACAGACAGGTTGAAGTGACGTCGGCCTCGGAGCGCCACTACTTGGCCATACTTGAAGAGTCTGACAAACTTGCTTATTGTAACGTCGCGCCACGCTTGATTTCAGGCCCGGCGTCACTGTCTACGTCAGGCCTGGAAACTAATCACTAATAGATGATGCACCGCTTTGACTACGAAGAACTAGCTCTACACTGCAGCACTTGTTAACCTAACATCTTCGTTAACTTGTTGAGGGGTGAATTGTACAAATGAGTTATACATGGTAACCTGCCACATGTGCTAGACTCATGTAATTTCCCGTGAGCGAAGCCCTGTTCCCATCCCTGCACATTCCCTACAAGCTTTTCTGCAGACATCTAACTGAGGGCAAAGTCCGTGGGCGGCGAACCCATCATGCCACTATATCATCAGGAGATCGGCCGGACGCCGTTCGACCTGACATCTGTGCCACAATGCTCGCCTAGTATTAACATAGGTCGCCTCGTCTAACGGACCTAATCAGGACAATAGACTGGAAGACCGGATAGCAAGCTCATGCGCCAAGTCCCAAATAGGTATTTTGAAGATGGAAATGGCGACCCTGGTGGGCGAAGCAATGCCGATGTTACTCTTAACTGCAACCAGGGTTTATCAACCATGAAGATCCCTGATTCGAGTGATCATTATAAGTACTTAGATCTGCTCTTTGATCAATTCGACATCAATCGCTCAAACACACCAACACTCGATCTCAACTACTTACCGACAATCTCCAAGCGCCAGACCATCTTCGTCCGCAAACCACATACCGACCTACCACTCTTCAAAATGCGCGCTTCTATCCTCGCTGCTGTCGCCTCTATGACTTGCCTTGCCTCAGCCCGCATCGTCGGCTTCGCAGTTCCCAAAACCATAGCCACCAACTCTCCCTTTGATATCACTGTCATCTCCGAGAACTACATCCAATCGGCACAAGAAATCTCGATCGCGTACGGAGTTACCTCCGGCCCGGTGACACCATACCCAGGCACCCTTGGACGTCTCGTTGGCAGCGCCTACCTTGGTCCCGACGCGTCCAACACGCTGAGCAACATCACCATCACTGCTACATTGGATGGGGACATCATTGAGAAGGGCGATGGGTTGTTTTCGGCTGCGCTGACGAGTTTGTATGGTGTTGCGTACGGACCAGTATTGCAGAACTTCAACGCGAGCATTACTGTTGGTGATGTGACCAGCGAGGAGCTGGTCAGGAGTGGTGCTGCTTACTAGAGTAATAGTTTGCGAGACGGTTGTAGCTGTTTAGCATGTTTCAGGCCTAGCGAGCATCGTTGTCTAATTTTATATTGTGTAATTTGTACCTTTTAGACTCAATTCTTTCTATATACTCCTGAGCGTGTTGCAAACCTGTATTAGACCGCGAGCGCGACTCGAATTGAATCGCATATATCTCAAAATACACCCATTAGATAGAGTCTTCTTACAAGTAATGACTGCCACATTTTCTTGCGTTAGTCTATCATGTCTCGTTTCTTACCACAAGTCCAACGAGTAGCATGGTTACCTATATCTGCCCATTCGCTTTAGTGACATGTCGATCGGGTTTGCACCTTCCTCTTTCGCACACCAGTGCATGCAGGTACAGCTACAAGGGTGCAGCTATGAATATATAGCTTTCAGTGAGATCCTTTCAGCATATTGACTACCTAGGTACGTTTTCAAGAGTAAACAAAAACTTGTTTGTCAAAATGAAACCCATACCATTCACCAAAGCAGCATTTCTAACCACTCTCACCCTCACCCTCACCACGCCAGGCGTATCATCCCAATACACAACCACATCACCCCTCTCCATACCAATCCGTCTCATAACCCACAACATCCGCTACGCAGCCACCTCTCTCTTCACCAACGAAGCCCCCTGGTCCACGCGCCGCCCCCTCATCGCCGCCGAACTCCACCACGTCGCCAACGCACCACCCAACTCGCTAATCTGTCTACAAGAAGTTCTACACAACCAAGTCGTCGACATCCACACGGATCTCAACGCCGGTACGACCGCAAACACAACAGCCACCGAATGGGCATACATCGGCGTAGGTTGTGATGACGGCGTCCAAGCAGGGGAGTACTCACCAATCTTCTACCGACCATCCGAATGGCGCCTGCTCTCATTCCGTACGGTCTGGCTCAGCGAGACGCCAGACGTGCCTAGCAAAGGGTGGGATGCGGGCAGTGTGCGAATTCTGACAATAGGCGTGTTTGCACATGTGGCGACCGGGCGGGACGTGGTGGCCATGTGCACGCATCTGGACAACCAGGGGACGGTGTCGCGATTGGAGTCTGCGAAGCTGATCATCGAGCGGATTAACGGGTATACGGGTGCGAATGGGACGGGCCCGGTTGTGCCGGTGTTGTTGGCTGGGGATTTCAATAGCGAGATGGGCCAGGAGGCGTATGAGGAGATGAGCAGTGCGGCATCGCCGGTTGTGGATTTGAGAGCGCAAGTGCCTGAGGGCATTAGGTATGGAAATGTGAATACGTTTACGGATTTTACGGATGATACGGGGGATGATATTTTGATAGACTTTTTATGGGTAGGGCCAAATAATGCAAGTTTCTGGAAAGTGGAGGGATACGCGGTGCTGGCGAATAAGTTTGATAATGGGATTTATAGCAGTGATCACCGGGCTGTGGTTGGAGATGTTGTTTTGATGTCATGAGGTCGAAAGTTGGAGATATTGTTAGTAGTATGATTGGTGGTCGTATGACGAGCCTGTGAGAGATTCGTCAAATGGCAACACGAGTCTTGCTAATCCTCACAGCCCAGAAGAATCTATCCTGGAATAGGATGTATCGTACGCATGTCTTGACTTTTGACGATAGATGAAAAGAAGAAGCTCCCCAGTACAGTACTTCTTCGCCTTTGGATCCCCGCTGATTTCCGCCCCCGCCTCGCCTGCTAGTCCCGGCCCGCCACTACAGGTACCGGTCCAGCTTCCGAGAGCTTCACCACCTCGGTGGAGCTCATTTGCCGATACCAACAGCCATGCTCTGTTCATCGCAAATGGCTCTACAGAGGGCCTCTGTACATCTTCTAGGTCCTCTGGATATTCCACCACGTTTCAATTGTCTGGTTGTACCCTCACCCCTTCATACCGTACTACTCCCACGTTGAAGTATCCTCAGCCATGGCAGGCTTCGTTCAGAGGGGCGTCAAGAATATCCTCCAAAAGAGGCCTAACGACGTAGTCTTTCTCTCTGCCCTTCGCACACCCGTAACGCGAGCAAAGAAGGGTGGTCAGCGTGATGCATACGACCACGAGTTACTCGCTGCAGTACGTACACATATGGTCTCGGGCAACACAATCGTAACGCAACCTAGGTCCTCAAAGCTACGCTGGCGAAAAACCCGAACCTCAACCCGGCCAGAATAAACGATGTCATGATTGGTACAGTCCTGTCGGAGCTTGGTGGCTCAAAGGCTGGACGCATGGCCGCCGTACATGTCGGATACCCCAGCACAACATCTTTTCAAACAGTCAATCGCGCATGCGCCTCCGGCCTAGCAGCTATCACAGGCATAGCGCATAGCATTGCTGTGGGCGCGATCGACGTGGGAGTAGGAGGAGGAATGGAGAGCATGACACGAAACTATGGATCGAGAGCTATCCCGACCCAATTGTGGAACAAGCTAAAGGAGTCGCCAGTAAAAGAGGCGCGAGACTGCATCATGAACATGGGGATCACAGCGGAGAACGTCGCAGAACGGTATGGCGTGAACAGGGAAGACCAGGATGCGTTTGCGGCTCGCTCGCAATTGAAGGCTGCAAAGGCACAAGAGGAGGGTCTATTCGACGAGGAAATAATTCCTGTTGAGACTATCTGGCGACCAGACCCGGAGGTATTGGAGAAGGAGGAACTTATAACTGTAATTAAGGACGACGGCATCCGAGGAAACACAACCGTGGAAAAGCTCGCAACCATGAAACCTGCATTCAAGGAGAATGGAACACTTACGGCTGGAAGTAGCTCACAAGTCTCTGATGGTGCAGCTGCAGCTCTTATGATGAGGCGAAGTACGGCACAAGAACTCGGCTTGTCATCTTCTATCATTGGCAAATGGGCCGGTACCAAGACCATTGGCTGTGACCCCGATGAGATGGGCATCGGCCCTGCCGTAGCCATTCCTGAACTCCTTGAGTATGCAGGCATATCGAAGGATGACATTGGCATTTGGGAGATCAACGAAGCTTTCGCCAGCCAAGCTATATACTGTATAAGAAAGCTGGGGATTGATGAGTCCAGGGTAAATCCCAAAGGGGGAGCCATCGCGCTTGGTCATCCACTTGGAGCAACTGGGGCTCGACAACTGGCCACGCTGCTACCAGAGATGGCGCGTCAGGGACAGGAGCTGGGCGTGATCAGTATGTGCATAGGCACAGGTATGGGTATGGCGAGTTTGATTGTTCGGGAGTAGACATTGAAATTTCGACCGCCTTTGCGACTCTAAATGTGCTGGGAATCTTGTTCTGGGTAATATGCAGCCACTTTCTCATTCACCCGATAGGTCTTTCGCCGACTTCTTTTTCTTTTTGGATCTTGAGGCAAGTAGATCGTCAAGATATGACGTCGATCGCTTCGTGGCTCTGATTTGCTGGGTAATTTTGGTCTTTTCTGCTGGCGGTTGTGCAGTCTTGCTAATTTCATGCTCGCTTGACTCCCCACTGTCGCTGTGGGCATCCTCATGTCTACGGCCATTGGACGCCTCGTTGCGAGACTGTCGTGATTTCTTGGACGATGTGAACATTGACGCCCTACCCTCCTCCTCGTCGCTTGCGTCCTGAGGAGCTGCAGTTCGGGGAGGATTACGTGTTGTAGAACTCTCCGTAACTGCTGGCGGCCCTCTCGGTCGCTGGGCCCTCTCTTTTGCAACCTTCTTCCCAAGGAGATTCTGTAGCAGCTTGTCATTTGAGGTGAACCTGCGGCGGTTGAGGAAGTCGTCATCGAAGTTCTGCGCGCCCATACCGAGACTACTAGACACTCAGCCATCATGCCTGCAGATATGTTGGGTCTAAACTGACGTTTCGGGTCCGCTCACAGCGAAGTCTTTCTCCTCTTGCTGGAATGCGTGTTCAGACTTTGTAGGCTGAAGCTGCTCATCAGAGTTCGGAGACAGCCATGACGCTGCTATTCGCTGTAAGTTTGCGCGACTGACATTCGCCTTATTGTATATTATGTCCGCTTCGGAAGCCTGTTTCGGAGCTGGCATGATCATATGTAAGTGTACGTAGCAGCGCAAGATGATAGCTTGTGCGAGCGATACGAATCAGGTTTGGAAGCGCGGCGCGATTTAATATTTATATCCATGCAGGGTTTATGTCGCTGCTTTCTTCTTGAGTTCCCGGCTTGGCAGCCGCAACAACTCGTCGAAACCTTGATCAACCGCATCCGAGGTCTTTTCTAGGGTTATCTGCTTTGCAACCATCTCAATAGCACCTTTTCGTTACCTCGTCTGCTCTACAACTTGTATTGCAGCTCGTCACAATGTATAAACTTGCCAGCAGCAGGCCACTGGCCTCTTTCGCTACAGCAGCCAGGGTACGTATACCCTTCTCCTCCGGAGGTCTCTTCCGCGAGCGCCATTATATATGAGGACTCATTGCTGATTGATAACGATAGACATCCCTCAGAGTCCCCTTAGTTCAACAGACAAGAAACCTATCTATACATGAATTCCGATCTGCTGCGCTGCTGAAGAGTGTACGAAGCATTCTGCGCCCAACTTGAACCAGATGCTGATAAGATGATGACAGTATGGTATTGGTGTTCCTGCTGGAGATGTTGCGTATTCACCCGCAGAAGCTGAGAAAATTGCAAAGTCTATTGGTACCAAAACATAAGCTTCAAGAGAACGTTGAATTATGCTAATGTCTTCTAGGCGGGGAGGATATGGTCATCAAGGCACAGGTTCTTGCTGGCGGTCGCGGGAAGGGTACTTTCGATAACGGGTTCAAGGGTGGTGTCAGGGTCATCTACTCGTATGGTAGTAGGATTCGCGTTGCGAAGAAATACTGACCTTATCTCGTAGACCCACTGAGGCCAAGATACTAGCTGACCAGATGATCGGCCATAAACTGATCACGAAACAAACGGGCGCTGCCGGACGTCTGTGTAACGCTGTCTACATTGTGGACCGCAAGTACGCCCGTCGAGAGTTTTACTTGGCCATTCTCATGGATCGAGGAAGCCAGTCACCAGTAATCGTCGCTTCCTCTCAAGGTGGGATGGACATCGAAACCGTCGCGAAGGAGAACCCCAAGGCTATCATTACGACCGTTATCGACATTCACAAGGGTGTGACCGATGATATCGCACGGAACATCGCTACTGAGCTTGGCTTCTCCGAACAATGCATCGAGGACGCAAAGGACACGATTCAGAAGCTGTACAAGGTCTTCATGGAGAAGGATGCTACTCAGATCGAGATTAATCCCCTCTCCGAGACTACGGACCACCAGGTTCTTGCTATGGACGCTAAGCTTGGGTTTGATGATAATGCAGAGTTCCGCCAAAAAGATGTGTTCGAATGGCGGGACACTACACAAGAAGACGCCGATGAGGTCAAGGCTGCCGAGTGTGGTCTCAACTTCATCAAGCTCGATGGTGATATAGGGTGTCTTGTAAATGGCGCAGGTCTTGCTATGGCCACCATGGACATCATCAAGTTGAATGGAGGCAACCCAGCTAACTTCTTGGACGTTGGCGGTGGTGCCACTCCCGAGGCCATCAAACAGGCGTTTGATCTTATCACCAGCGACCCCAAGGTAACTGCCATTTTTGTTAACATTTTCGGTGGTATTGTCCGTTGCGATGCTATCGCAAAGGGTCTAATTGCTGTCGTTGAGAGTATGAACCTTCGCACACCGGTCATTGCTCGTCTGCAGGGCACCAACATGGAGGAGGCGCACAAGCTGGTAAGCTCTAGTCACAATCTATAACAGCTCGGTATACTCACTTATTCCTTAGCTAAATGACTCTGGACTAAAGATTTTCTCCATTGACGATCTTCAAACTGCCGCTGAGAAGTCAGTGCAACTTTCGAAGATTGTGAAGACTGCGCGTGAGATCGATGTTGGAGTATGCTCATCCCTTTCTATATATACATCTCATGCTAACATTACGATAGGTGGAATTCAATCTAGGTCTATAGAAACATTTCCTTGTTTCCTTTCTTACTGATCTACGCAGTCACATGAATGGGGCATGCTAGCTTTCTCCAACTCGCCTGTATCATGAATTGAGCCATTAAGGATTCCTTTTCTTGTCAACTATATCTTCCATAGGATTGCATTCGATGGCATTTGCAAGTAACATAGAGTCTGTTTAGCCTACTCTTTATCTGGATCTCAAATTCAATGATCCGACGCATATTGAGTACGATGCCAGAGCGATAATTATCAGCAATCTGGGTGGGAACTGTGGCCAAGTGCTTCATTAATATACATACCGTCGACACGACCCTACCTCACCGGTCCGATCCATATGGCACAACCCTCTAGCTGCGTTTCGCGATCCTGACTACTTGTTTGTGCCGTATATGTGTTATCACAATTGTTCTCATGTGCATTCTCGCGTCGAACACCCATGCAGTTTACTAACTGGCGAACAGCGAAACGGTCTCCACCTTGTCTGTCCTGGTGTGGGGACCTGGAAGGGCCCGCTTACCGAATGTGACTTCATACCTGGTACCTTTGCCGGCCTTGCAGGTCTGACTGGGGCAAGATATTAGGCAATGGCCTACCGCGATGATGCAAAATAGTTCTTCAGTCTTATCGTGCTTCTCTCTTGCATCCACCTGGAAACATCTGATTCCACCCACAATCTTATATCTCAACCACGAGTAATAAATAATATGTCTCGCGTTCTTCTCACTGGTGGAAGTGGCTTTATTGCCGCACATACCCTTGATGTACTGCTGGAGCACGGGTGAGTGTTCACTATATATCGCACTTGTCTCGTCGCACGTGCTGACGTTGCACCGCAGCCACTCTGTGGTCACGACAGTGCGATCACAGGAGAAGGCAGACAAGATCAAAGAGGCTCATCCCAATGTCGGCAAGGACAAATTAGATTTCGCCATTGTGGAGGATATCGCGCAGCCTGATGCCTTCGAAAAGGCGGTCGTTTCAGACCCGCCATTCGAGATTGTCTTGCACACGGCTTCGCCTTTCCATTTTAATGTCACGGATGTTCAGAAGGTTGGTGCCGTACATGTCAAAGTGTTGTTTTGTGCTAATAGAGCCCAGGAACTACTGGATCCCGCTGTTATTGGCACAACTGGAATCCTGAAATCTATTAAGAAGCATGCACCCACTGTGAAGAGGGTTGTCATTACGTCTTCTTTTGCTGCTATCCTCAGCCCCAAGACAGGTTTCGCTAAGGGTGTTACATATTCAGAAGAGAATTGGAACGATATCACTACGGAAGAAGCGCTCCAAAATCCACAGAATGGTTACAGAGGTCGGTCAAACAACAAGTATGCACACTATACCAACGGCTAATTGAACATAGCCAGTAAGACATTTGCAGAGAGAGCAGCATGGGATTTCGTGGAGAAAGAGAAGCCAAACTTCCAACTCTCAACCATCAACCCTCCGTTGGTCTTCGGCCCGATCGTGCACTATCTCAATTCCTTAGACGGCTTGAACACCTCAAACCAGCGTGTCCGTGATATCATCCAAGGTAAATCCAAGGCAGGGATCCCCGCGACTGGTGTCTACATATGGGTCGATGTTCGAGATGTTGCCCTTGCGCATGTCAAGGCGTTCGAAGCGCCAAACGCAGGAAACAAGCGTTTTTTCGTCACAGAAGGCGGACATTTCAACAATAGGTTGATTGTGGATATCATTCGGAAAAACTTCCCGGAGTACGAGTCTCAACTACCAAGCCCGGATGTGAAGGGCGGTGAGTATCCAGCGGATGGTGTGTTCACAGCGAACAACAAGCAATCGATTGAAGTGCTTGGTTTGAAGTACAGGAAATTTGAGGATACTATTGTTGACACGGTCAAATCGCTGCAGAATGTGGGAGCATAGTTGGTCTGCACAGTGCAAAATCTAAAGAGACAAGGTGTTAGCCCATGAAGAAGAACGCAGGAACACAGAAATGAATTTGTTTGAGACATCTCATATTGTTGAGCTTGACGGCTTTTTATTGAACGTCAACGTGCAATGCACTCAGAAGTTATCGTTTGAAGAAAAATAATCATTGCGAGCATAGAAATCAGGATCGCCACTTACCAGTACAGATTAGGACTCGCAGCCTGCACACATCTGCAGGCAATCACGACTAAGATGGGAAATTGCCATAACGAGACAGGCGATTAGTTTGCGAGGCAAAAGTGTTGCGGTGTGGAGGAAGATGTAGAAGAACATTTGGCCATGAGAGCTCGCACAAATTTCTTGCTACCTAGCGACCTACGCGGCTTCGGCGAAACTTGCTCCTCCGAGAGCTGCCCCTCCACCTGTTGAGTTGTTCGAGGGGCCATATCTACCAGGCAACATACCAAACATTGATCTGGACACCACTCTTACGTTCTCGTGTACATTAAATCTTCCCTCTCGAAGATACTTCGATCTTTTTTACGTCGATCAATCCATCCACTAGCTCCTGCGCAAAAAAAATAAACTCCAGCAAAATGGGTAGGAGGAATCAGAAGTGCGCCGTGAAGCATGGCTAACAGATCTAGCGGACTTTCAAGGCATTGCTCGTACGTCTACATCTATTGCGGCGAAGGGCTGCACAAACAGTGCTTGGCCTATTATGGGCTTTGACTTACACGCTTGTTGTTATAGAACAGTTCGTCGAATTCTACTACAAGACCTTCGATGAGAATCGCGCATCTCTTCAGAGCCTCTACGTAAGTATATATTACCCTCAAGTTGTACAGTGGCCTTAGCTAACCGGAGTCGTGAAACAAGCGCGAGCAATCCATGCTCACATTCGAGAGCGCCCCATCTCAAGGAGCAGTGGCCATCACCGAGAAACTAGTAGTACGTCCAATATCGTCCTACACAACCTGAAGTCCTCACTGAGATGCGCGATACAGGGGCTTCCATTCCAGAAGGTCCAACATAAAGTGAATACTCTGGATGCTCAGCCTACATCCGAGGATGGCGGCATCATGGTCATGGTGACTGGCCAATTGCTTGTATGTGCATACATTAGGAGAGGAGACGAAGGATATATCTGACAAAAACCAGGTCGACGAGGAGCAGAATGTTATGAACTTTTGTCAGACCTTCCAACTCAAGCGTGACGGCGGAAGCTACTTCGTCTTCAACGACGTTTTCCGCTTGGTATACGGCTAGATAATCTATCATTCATGGGTCATTATGGGAATCAAATAGCGTCAAAATGGGTATCGGTGCGGCAGGCGGTTATGGATTAGGCGTAGATCAAGACTTGGACTATCCTGGGCAGTCCTTGTCGGTACGATACCATACCTTATCTATGTTGAAGAACAAATGAAGTGTTCTATTGAGATACACCGTTGGAGACCCGTAGCAGAGCTAGAAGTGACTGTGATGAACGCATGTAGCGTATCTGAAACTGTATCGATGGCCAAGAATGATGTATTAAGAACAGGATGCAGAGCGCCTAGATGAGATCGTGGAGCACGGTGCCTTGGTAGACCGCTAGGGAACATTTGAGGCAATGCTCTGATCAAGATCAAGATCAAGAGGATTGCGTATGGTTGAGGCGCTGCAGGTAGCTAGGTAATCATGTCATGTCTCCATTTCCGGGAACGTTAGAGCCGCAGGGCTGTGAAGACTTGGCGCAGTTCGGCGCAACGTAAACTTCGTACGTGGTCCCGTAGGCAACGCTCACTTTCGCAAACAAACTCGACAAGACCACCAGCTTTCCACTCGCAATTGCAACCCGCTCCAGGCTCCAGACATCCACTGATCAAAGACTCCATTCCTGATAACTTCTGACGCACCCGATAACACTGCTACCTGTCCTTCGAGGCTTCGACTCACCTTTGTTTCCGCATCTACAACAATAATCAACAACGTAAACTTACCACAAGAAGTAGAGTCTCTGAACAGATACTCCATCCACCATGACTCTTGCCGAAGAACTTAGATCAAGAAACTTCAGTCAGTCCTCCAAGAGTGGTATTGGTCACTTCCTATTGCTAACTGTAAACACAGGTATATACGGACAATGGTCAGTAGACTTCAGCTTCACTGTCATCGTCCACATCTTTTCTGCCCCTATTATCATCGGAAGTAGCATCGTACTATATAATCTGCGGCCTCTATCGCAAGAATGTTTATCTACCGTCCTGCTCTCAAAACGGAATTCGAGAACAAGCGATGCATTACGAATGATAAAAAATGCCGGTATCAGACTCAGAGCTGACATATCCGTAGGACGGGAATCATATGCATGGTTCTCTGCTTCGCCCTGGGCATCGCCAACATCTTCCATTTTAGCATTGTCATCGTTTTCAGTGTCATCTGCCTGTAAGTCATGATCCCCCTTGAGTCTACTACACGTCTAACATATGTACTATAGCGTGAGCTCCTTCATCATTCTATTTATAGAGGTACCGCTACTCCTTCGTATCTGTCCAACATCCTCGAAATTCGATGCTTTCATCCGACGATTCGCAACAAATTACATGCGCGCTGCTGTCTATGGTGTGATGAGCTTGGTCCAATGGCTCTCACTCATAGTAGATACAACGAGCTTGATCGCTGCTGCTGTCTTATTGCTTTTTGCTGCAGTGTTCTACACTATCGCGGGTGTCAAGGGCCAAGGATTTGTCGGCAGCAAGACTTTGGGCGGCCAGGGCGTGGCACAGATGATTGTGTAGAGCAAAGACGAAAGGCAGCTACTACAGTGGCACCTTCCTTGGAATGGTCTGCGAACCTTATTTGGAACTTGAAGAGCATTGGGATGTTTGAGCTTGTGTATTATGTGGAGCGTGAATTACGCTTCTTTGATCAGTAGCTTTAAAAGTCGGACTGATTTGCGCAGAGCACAATGGAACTTGTGCGATATAGTACTTGGAGTTCTTTTCCCGTGTATCAATACCTTGGCGTTGCCCTCGTGGGAAAGGAACTGATATTCTGAAGCGACAGCATATTAACGTTGGTTAAGCAGACGCTGCGAACGGCTTTGTAGTAGAAATTAATGAAACTTGTGATGATTTGCAATACTGGTTCGAAACTAGCCTAACAACAGGAGATTTTAAATTTCGGTTGCCAAGTCGCGATGCTGGGCTGCATGTTGGTAAGTAGAAGAGCGCGCTTTGGAGCAAATGTGGCGCATGTCATGCATCGTGAAGAACACTCTACGGCATCCATGATGATCACATCCACAGCTCGCTCGCCCAGTTTTACCCCGCATAAGGTGCATGCAAAGCAACATAAATGCCGCACGCTATTTGGAGAGGAACGAATGAGGCGCATAGATGCAGTTCACGGCAGCAAAGAATTCGATCAGCTGGCGCTGGCGAATCAAGCGTTTGTTGGTTTATGGGAAAACATGGAAACCCAGGGTGCATGACCGGTGCCAGACCATTCATCAATCGAGACAGACTTGAAAGAGGCGGTGGCCGTCCTTCGTCCATCGTGATCCTGAAGTTTGAACCACGTTTTAAAGAGGGCTGAACTGTCTGCTGAGAGCCTGAGGGGAAGGACATGCAGGAAAAGAGTGTAGTATCCATTGAAGCCATATGGGTACAGAACTCGCCAGACCTTCCTCTCGCCTGCATCGTATCCATGGATGATGGTAATGATGATGATAAAGGCGTGTTCGTCTCATAGAACAACAGTAATAGCCCACGCCACAGCAAATATACATTCTTCAAAATGACCGCACATTCCAAGTTCGCCATACCGGCCATGACTTACTACATGATAAAAGGGTAGACATTGCCTAGCTAGTAATAGTATCCATACTGTACCCAATAAATACCCAGTCAGTGCCCCAACAGTCCAGGTGGGTAGTTGGCGCCGGTTTTGGTGTCATTGCGTGCGATTTCACTGGCCCAACTCGGGCAAGTGACGCAGCCCCAAACCTCTCCGTGCGCCGCTCCTGCAGCAGCTCTTAAAGGATCGACAGACGCTCCCCACGGACATCTCAAGGTTCCCTACTACTACCTACCCTACCTACCTGATTACCTTAAAGCTTCAACTTCCAATTACCTACTTCGTTGAAGACAAGTACGACTGTGTCAACTAGCCTACTTGATTTTACTGGCTCCAATGGTCCTTTGACCAAGACTCAATCGCTACGAATCAATTTCCTTATCATCCATATCTGTTACTATATACAAGGTATGTCTGGACCCCGAGATCCTGTTTCCCAACACTAGAGATACATGGCCATCTATGTTACCTTTCCAGAGCCTCTTGAAGCATTCTTCTAGTTTTCGTTGTGAAGGAGAATCTTCCTTCTGCCAAATGCTTTTGATTGGCTCCAATTCAGAAGTCTTTGGTGAAAGGTTTCTGCCATATTGTGTCATTATCACGTCCAGAACGACCAAAATCCCCCAGTCTGCAGAAATATATGAATTCTTCGAGAGTGATTGGACAACTACTGACAACTGTCTGTCATATATAGACCACTACCGCGTCGTTACTTTACCGATCAATTCATGATGTCAACTCCTTCGATCCCACCTCGTCCGAACCGGGGACAGAACCTCGACCCTTCGAGAGCTATGGAAACTCCTAGCATACCTCCCCGACCGAAAGGGAAGCGCGGTGATAATCGTTCCGTCTCCCCGGGTCGCACGTTTGCTCGGTCGCCTCTGAATGACCCCTCATTCGTTCATACCAAAGGGAAAAAGCCAACTAGTGATGATAATACCCAGATCCGTCGGCCTCCAAGTGTGTCACAGCTTCCCTCGATAGGCCAGGAAGGTCATGAATATATGGTCAATGATCTTCATCCCGAAGATGCTTCACCGCCCGAGCAGACAAAGTCTGTTAGTAGAGATCTACCTCTACACGCTCCCACAGCGTCGGTGTCTGCTGCAACTGCTAAAGCCAGAATCTCTGGTGTCACTCGTCCCGAACCTACATCTTCGAGAGGTGAACTCGAAGTGAAAGCTCGACAGGCCAATTCACAACGCTCTGGGTCTTCAGCTGGAGATGTTTCACGCCCAGCATCGATGATAAAAGATGACGATGAACACGGCATTCCTCAAATAGGTTTTCATGTACCCATGTATCCGAACGCTGGAGATGTTCAGGCTCCGACCCCGTCTCAATTGCCTCAGCATGGTTCTACTGGGGTCGGATTCTTTAACAATGGAGCCCATCGAGAGGGTCGACAGCACACTCGTACCAAGAGCGGCCGGAAAGTCTTTCAGGGGCCTCCGGGAAGCTATGGTATGCACGGTCATGGAATGGCTCCACGTGACCCATTAGAGAAATCTTGGTACGACAAGCATCCTGAGGACGCGAAGAAAGAAGCAATGGGCGAATATGGTCCTAAGATTCAAGACAATCGCAAAGAATACCATATGAGTCAGGATGATCTGAATAAATTGGTGCACCATCGACTCGGTAAGCTGATGGTAGCTAGCCTGTCTATTATAGTTGACACTAATACTATCAGTGAAAGCTCGCGAAGATGCTGGCACACCTGCAGAAGAAGTTGGCTATAAAGTTTCTGAAGAATACCAATCGCGCATGGCCTCTCCCGCCATTAGTACGGAGAACCTAGCCCCGAATCCCTCCCAGAACCATCTAGAATCCCCACTTCGCAAGGTCGAATCGAACACTACAGAGAAGAATGATGTTATTCTCGGCGAAAAGTTGGGAGATCTTTCCCGCACTAGAACAAGTGCAACCGTTGGTGAAAGCCGGGAAAGTCTTGACCTTGTTCGGACCAAGACCCAGGAAGATCGCTGGGCGGAGGAGCATGGATACCATGCACCAATTCTCGCAGCTGACGAAGTTGCGAAGCACGAGTTTCCTGAATTTATGCAACCCGCTGTGTCTCCAGAATTCGACCGTGAGCGACGGCGCAGTGCTGAATTTACTCATGGCGAGCACTCTCTGCGAAAAGTGAACAGCCGACCAGAAAGTCGTAACAACGGCTCTCTCAATAATTTGTCACGATTTTCAAGTCGCGAGCAAATCGAGGGTATTCATACACCACTTGACAATGTTCAAGAGTATGAGCCGCTGTTCCCAGAGGACGACGATGAGAAACTATCAAAGAAAAAACCGAATGCGGTGGAGAAGTTAAAGAGACCTGATCTGGCTCGTTATCACTTTCCAAGTCAAGATGTGTGGGAAGACGCGCCATCTCATGTTCATTTGTCCACAACGGTCGAGACCCCCGAGCCAGAGGCAGAGGAGGAGATTGGAACCGAAGAGACTTCGCCTAGAAAGGCTTTCGAAAAGCCTGAGGATGAAGCAGCTCGTAAAGAAACTATTACGAAGCAAGATCAGCTTAACTTCATACCCGAGCAAACTAAGAAGCTAGCTAAAACCCATATAACTGCCGCTATCATGGCAGATATGCCTACTAGACCTGGTTTGAAGCAAAGGTTCCCAAGCCGTGACATCTGGGAAGATGCGCCCGATGATGTGCATCAGTACACAACAGTGGATACACCTGAAGATGAGCTTGATCGACAGCTTGAGCCTATGTCACCCGACGACGTACCAGATATACCAACAGTGCCTGCCCGACCAACAAAGAGTAAAGCAGCTGATGGTGTATCGCCCGAGAAGAAAGCGCCTGTTGTGCCTGGTCGACCAAAGCCACAAATACCTGCACGGCCAACGCGTGCGTTTCACCGTGCTTCCGACGATTCTGATCCCTTCGAAAAGACTGTCTCTACTGAAAGCGCAGATAGTACCGGTAGTGGTGAAGCTAGCACAACGAAGCAAAAACCCCAAATTCCTACCAGACCAGGCGGAAGCAAGTTAGCAGCTCTAAAAGCAGGCTTTATGAGTGATCTCAATAGCCGCTTACAACTTGGCCCTCAAGCCCCTAAAGTTAAGGAACCTGAGAAAGAAGAAGAATCTGAGAAGGCGGTGGAGCCAACACCGCTAGCAGATGCCAGGAAAGGGCGAGCCAAAGGTCCATCAAGACGCAAACCTGGCGTCTCGCCATCCGGGATTGCTCCATCTACGGCGCCTCAGACTGTGACGCCTGTTTCATTCAGCGTTTCCGCACCCCGAAGTATCTTCTCTATCTCTAATGAGGGCGTACTGAGCGTGCCAACTCATGATGATGGTACTCTAAACGTGACGGGCCAATCAGCTCCTTCACAAACATCACAAATTATAGCTGAGGTACCTCTAGAACAGGACCCTGCATCTACTATTAATGCTGTTGACGCTGCTGATGGCGTCAATCTTACCAAGGCACCTACAGCTGAGCAGAGTACACAGACTGGCCAACTTGATATTCGGATCTCCTCGCCCACCGGCGAAAAGGAGAACGTTACCGCGTATGTTGGTGGCAATGCTCACGAGGATGGTGATGTTGTAATAGACAAGGACGGAGTGGAACATGTTAGCGGAAAATCAGCTCCAGCATCACCTACGGTTTCGAATGCTTCGGCCAAACCCGTTGTCAATGAGCCTGACACTATAGAGCAGAAAACAACTGATGGCGAGGCTTGAGAGGTGTCATAATATTTCACCGGTATTTGGCGTATGGTATTGTCTATGTAACACTCACTCATCCATATGTATGGTATTTACTGCTTGTCGCTTCCATCAAGTGAAGGCATCATTCGCCTCAATATATAGTAGTGAATATTATAGGCAATGACAGATACCTGTTGGAAATCCGCGTCAGGTTAGTGCGGTGTGATCATGTCAGGTGTCTAATCCTTCGGGATCCGTGCAACCAACTTTCCTTGTGAGTGAACAGATCAATTTCCCGAAGCTGGACCGGGCCGCCGCAATCGCGACCGTGGCTAATTAACTTATGAGCACGCGAGAATCAATGTTCCATACATCGAAACGCAAGTCTATACGGACGACTTCTCACAAAACTTCGACCTCAAGCGCACGGCGCTCTCACAACTTCACCACGTCATGTCCGCCCAACACGACTTTGCACCTTACCAGGATGCCTCCCCCGAACGAGTCCGCGCGCTCTCTCCTCCTCCAAGATCTCCTCCGCCGCAGCGGATAGGCATCCGCTCCCCGCGCGCAAGCCTCGACCAGGCCCGCGGTCCCAACAACATCAGGAATATCGGCACAAAGGCCGTTACGAGCCCGCGCATCGGCGGCAGTGGCGCTGGTGCTGGTGCTGGGAGAAGTTATTTCGATGAGCCGGCAGGATGGGGCGGTGCTGGCGCGAGTGGTGCGAGGAGTCCGGACGTCGGGCCTGGCACTGGCTGGGGAGATGATGCGGCGGTGACCGAGAGCAGAGGGTGGTCGAGGAGGGAAGAGGTGGATATGTTTGAGACGAGGCTGGGCCTGAGGATGGATTATGAGGCGTGTCTTGCGTATCTGCTGTTGCCGCCGGCGGGGGCGGTGTTGCTGTTGGTGCTGGAGCACAAGAGTGATTACGTGCGGTATGTTGCGGGCTGGGCTGGGCTGGTCGAGAAATGTCTCTACATGAAGAGGAATAAAGTGCTAATGTGTGGGGAGTCTGACAGATTTCATGCGTGGCAGTCGGCGCTGATGTTCTCGGTCGTGTTCATCGTGCACGTTATATTCTCGTGGAGTGCGTTCATATCGTATATCATGCTTGTGGGAGATCTGGGACTTATTGGGTATATGACCTACCGGGCGTATCTGGATGGTGTGTGCAGGTCCGATCATGCCGATTCGATACTGACTCTGTTCTACAGCGGAATTGCTCGACCGCTTCGAAGTCCCTTTCTTTGGGCCGCTAGCGAGCTCGATCCTCGACGACGAATGAATCAGACCGCCAAATTATACACGTGGGTGAACATAATAAGCATTTCCAGGCGTTTGCATTCTTGGTGTTGGGGATAGTTGTAGAGCAATTCATGGTGGACAGCGGCAGGAGCGTATCTGTTCGTTCATCTCTTGGGCGCATGCAGCTTGACAGTATTCTCTTTCGTTCTAGCTAATACAGCAGATCTATCTGTCCGAGAGTAATGTATAAACAATGCTGGTAGGAGAGTAATTCTCGGCATATTGGTTTTCCTTAGCGTCAATATCATTTCTCCGCCTGGAGTCAGTCAGGCAGGCGAAGTCGTGAGAACCTCACGATCATGATTGTATAAAGTGACATGCTGATTGATGATGGGGAATACTTCCCAAATGGCACTGCCTAGCAAAATGGGAACTACTAAAGTTTAGTCTAGCTCGTATTCAATCCAGAATTCCGAGTTCTTCTCCCATTAAGTTGCGGACACATAAACTACAGTCGTCGTAATGAATGCCGTAAGTGGTATTGATAAAGATAGTGTTATCCGCACGGTCGCGTGCACGAGGTCAGGACTTACACTGGTCTCTCTGTTTTCTCGTGACAAGTGCCGCTATGTTTCGACTTCCCCAGTTTTCGACATTCAGATTTGACTCAAGGGGCTTACAAGGTGAAGAAAAGATGTGAAAGGTTGTTGCAAGTAATCATTCTTACGTGTACAAGAGGTTATGCTGGGTGGGACTTTGCGGCGGTTATGGTCGTGATCGCGTTTGAGAATTTTGAGTGAGCCTACGATTGGTGTATATCGATATAGCCATCTCTCTAGCCAAACCTTTCCTTTGCAATTGCTTTCAACATCGCCATTGTCTTGTCCTCCTTTGCTCTGTGCTCTGCCATCTTCTCCTCCCATTCCGCTGCTCGCGCGCGGTTCAGTTCTTCTCTCCTGATCTCGCGCTCCGTCTTCTTGCGCTCGTCTGCTTTCTTGCGCGCCTTGAATGCATCCGCGTCGTCACCTAAGAGATCTCCGTCACCTACTTCCTCAGCTCCAGGCGATTTTGCTTCCCGGAACGACCGATTGGCTGCTGTGGTCTCTCTCTTCTTTTCAAGTTGTCGCTCGCGACTGCCCGGGTCTGCTCGTGGGACGAGTTCTTCCAACCGCTCCTTTTGTGCTGCGCGGTCTTGTTTGCGAGCGTAGCGGAGGTCGGCCATTCGACCTTGGGCTTCCTCTGCACTCATTTCTGTCGTGGGTGTTAGCTTAAATCCCAGCACTTGTCTAAGTCGATGTACCATCACGGAGCCTAAGATCTTGTCTTGAGGGGAGTGCAGGGCCGTAAGTGCGATTGTTGTTGTAGTCCTCGTCTGGCAGCGCAGGTCCGATATCGCTATCATCGCTTTCCTCGGGAGCCGCGTGAGCGTTCTTGAGGCTAATGGGAGGAGATTCTCGGGAGTTTCGTGATGCTGCTTCTGCTTCCGCTCCTGCAGATGCATTCGCTTTCGCATGGGTCTCTGGATCATACCATCCTTCTGCTAATACATTCGAATTCCTCCCCACGTCAGCCTAACAATTTCTCCTGTTGTACTATACACTGCTGTGCTGCTCACCATTTCTTTACGAAGCTCTTCCATCGGCCCCTCACCTCCTGTTCTGGTAGATCCTCTATCAGGAGCTGCTTCTGTACGTCCAGGTAGAGTGCAAACACATTCCTGTACTTTATGAAGTCATCCTTTGAAATTGGACTGGCTCTAAGAGGGAGCTGTACTGCGATTACGGGAGAAGAGCGCTTTCGTTTGCGGTCATGGCGGCTGTGGTGGCTGTGATGCTTTGAGGAATGCCGGCGCGGCGACGTTGATCGGTCTCTATGGCTTCGGTGGCGGTGGGAACTTCGATGAGGCGACCGAGAGCGTGATCTGGATCGTGAAGGCATCGTATGTGCAGGCTATTGGAATCTGGCGCATTGTTGCCATAAAGATCTCCCTTCTACTTGACATATGCTGCACGAGCTCTGATTGGCTCTAGATTGTGCGCACCTACCAACTAGAGATTTTAGTCCGAATCAAAAACATCATGAGAACTTAATAGTGCTGTCCCAACGTACTTTTACTACACCTAGGTGATCTTCTAGATACGTTTAAAGTCAGGTTTGCTACGCGTTGCGCCACGTCGATAGAATGACCCGCAAAATGCTCCAAGGACAAGCTACAAGTATTGCATTTCAACATAGTAATTCATTGTATTTACAGGCCAAACTCCCATATTGCTATCAAGTTGCGCCAAGCACTACCTTCGACGTTTCAAGGAAGGGCGAACTGATCGAAGAACTTCATTACAATGTCGCTAGCTTGTATATGAGTTGGCAACTCCGGAATAGACAGCTGAGAGAAGTTTGGCTCAGTATCAGCCCAACAGTGTCCTGTATCAAGGTCAGATATGTACAGCGTAATGTCAATCTCACCTACCCATTGAATCTATCTTCCAGTGCTGCAGAACTCCTTGAAGCCCATCGCATGTCCACATTAGATGGTGCACGTCGCCATCAAAACTGTCCTCCTGCTTTTGTCCTGTACAGGCATTGCGGATTGCCCATGAACTGAGCCTGGTAACTGTCAGCGCGATCTACAAACACGAGTCAATAGTATACCAATCTGGGATAGATGGTTCGGCCCCTCCTTCTCCCTGTTGTGTACCAGCGTATGGCACAGACTTGTCGTTCCCGCCGTGGATCTCAAGGATAGGTATTGGGCTTCTTGCTGGAGTACACCCATTATCAGGACCGTTCAGATCCGTGTAGTAGCTCCCGCTTCCAGGGGCAAATGCAGCAAACTTTGAGCCCGTACTGCTGCAAGCAATCGTGTTCACAAATCCGCCTCCGTTAGAGATGCCAGTTGCATAAACCCGCCTCTCGTCGACGCAGAAGTTGCCCATGACATCTGCCAATACGTCTTCGATAAATTGCAAGTCCTCTCCAACTGTAGCATTTGCATAGCTTGGACCTGCCCAATTCCCATCAGCGCCAGTAGGGTATACCATGATCTTGGATCCCGAGAAGCGTGCTTCCGACATCTTACTGTCGGCCTCGAAGAAGAACCCTATGCTGGACGATCCATGGAAGCCCATCACTACAGGATAAGCTCTATTTGCGTCATAGTCGATCGGAAGATGAATTGAGTATTTACGGTCGCGACTGCCGGACTGGAGGCCTCTGTACTGAGTGACACCGAGGTAGAAATGTGACTGGCCGCATCCCTTGCTGGCGCTACGGATCAGAGCCTCTTGCTGAGGAAAAGCGTTTGTTGCACTATACAGCAGACAGCTAGTAATCCAGCCTTGCCACTTCATATTGTCTCTCTCGTTGACCCTCGAACTAATGTCTTATGGAAGTAGGTAGAATCAAGCCTAAGCACTGAATGTAGGAAGTCTCGGATGCTTGACGAAGAAGAACAGCAAGAGGTCAAGGCTGCGAAGGTCACGAAAGCGACAGGACATATTGGAATATAAAGAATGTGATACCTACCACTGTATTGGGAAGGTAGTCCATTGGCGTTGCTGAGACCGTCGACCACTTGTTCGTATGGCGATCTGATTGGCTGAGAGGAAATGATCTAGTCGCAAACGTCATGCTCTTCTTTCACCAACTTCATGATCTGTACACTGCGTAAGCCTGTCCGTCGGATAGGGAGATGTACTCTGCTAGAATTGATCTAGACGCATGTCTCAAATCTTACCTCCCTGTAACACCTGACAGGTCGACCATGGCATGGAGAGTTTTTGGACCTCCGTCAGATCCTCCCCTACATCTCAATTAGCGAGACCTGATATCATGATGATCACATGCAACATCGGTCGTCAATCTACGACCACTCACTCGCAGAGCAGGAACGTTAGAGATATTGCCACTACTGAAGATAAACCTGTCTTCCAGTATAACACTTCCGAGTTCGGAAGTATCCTGTGTACATACGGCCATACGCACAACAATACGCATAGACCAAAGTCAAGGCTGCAGTAACCCATCAGGACACCACACACCCTCATACGAAGTTGGATACTTCGCACGGTTCCACTAAGATGTCTCTGAAGCACGGGTCTCCTACGTTTAGTAAAAGTAAGATGTTCCAGGAAGTTTTCCAAGAACACCACAAAATCGAAGTCACTTCCAGCGCCTGACGAGTCGCAAAAGACGGGGCGCAGAGGTAGGTTTATCCTCCCTCCCACATCAAGTAGGTGACGGACTCATTGAGCATGCCAAGAAGCAAGAAGGATGCTCCATGATTTGGAACGAAAGTCTCGATGGTAGCCCTATCTGGTATGGGAGTTTCAAACACAATACGGGAAGCTGTTGAAGTACTTCGAAAAAAACAATCCGCTCAGTCACACTGTCGCATCAGACAAAAGACGTCACAGGAGCCTGCGAAATGCCCTGAACCCCTTTACTTCACTCAAATAGGTCGAGTCGAATACACAGATGACTACTAAGGACATTAAATCAGTGGTCACGATTTGTTTCTCTTAGGCGTCTTTCGCCGTTGCTTACTTAGTTTGAGTGTTCGATTTCTGTTAATGGTTTTCTTCGATTTAGCGTGATATGTCTGATTTCCAACATCAGCTTGTTCGGCGCCTCCTTGAAGACTCCCGAACGGCAAGGTACGTGTATATTTTGTTCCTTTTGCTCATGAACACATATCTCTTTTCAAGACTCCAAATACGCTTATAGTATGTCTCGTAATACCAGGATGATGCCTTAGAAGTGACAGTGACATGCTCTTGAATTCCGTTGTACTGTAAATGAGTTTGTTTGAACTTGAAGAATGCGATTGAGTTCATCAAGGGTTTGTTCTCCTAAGATTAATATTTGTTACTTACGCGAAGAAGCTGTTTAGACAGCACCAGAGGTCTCTTTCTCTGTTCGGAGTGTGAAGGCGGTAGTTCCCAGGAGCGAGTTACATGTGAAGTCTCATGCTAATATATTCTACCTCGATTTTCTTGCCGTCAAACTTGTTATTATCCTTTTCCATTCACATGCACTGCTTGATACAAGAAGAGGCTATGTACTCTCTAATTCTCTTCTCTAGCATCTATAACTCCCTCTCTACCTCCAACTTGCGAACCTGCGCCTCAACCCTGTTTCTCTGCTTCCCATAGATTTTTCAAGCTTGTTCCATATTATGTAAAGATATGGATATATTAAGAAGCTTACAGTCCATTTCAGGAATCAGGTACCCAGTTGGAAGCCAGATTCTTTATGACTTGTGCATGTGGGAGTTTCTTGTTGGCCTCTCTTGGTCTGACTGATGACCGAACAGAACTTGAAGCAGAAGATGATAAGGGAGAAGAAAGGCGGAAGTCTGTAGAGCTTGTAGCAAATCATGCCAAATATTCAAAGCACGAAGCCCGAACAAGTTTAAGCACGGTGGTATGACTTAGTGTGCAAAGAGTGATCGCTGAGGAGACTATAGGGATGACTTGGTTAGAGCTGATTATTCAAATTAGTGTGTTATACTAATCGATGCATGAGACCTGTGTGAAGGTGAATGAGTGCCAATAGCATAAGTGTTTCATGGTCTAGGAAGTCAAATTTTCACGAAATAAACATACCGCGATTATCTGCATACTCACTGGTGAGTGCAGTGATCACAATAAGCGTTACGGAAGGTATAGTGTACAAGGCGTATTCAAAACATACTAGAGTGAAACATCAAGCAGTTTACAAACCATTGTGGTCGAAACATTATATTTCACATCACCCTCGTTTCACCGCACGCAAGCTGACACCCCAGTCTATACTCGCCCAAATGCGTATCAATACTGGCAGACAGCATCGGTGAAGGGGAAATAATTTCAATGAACCATGTTCAACGCGCGCAAGTAGGGACTGTTAACAAGGTCGAAAGATATTGTTCAACATAAAGCTCATATCTACACTATCCGGGTCATTAGTGGGACTTCGTCACATGTATAGCGCCAACGACTCATAGATCACCAGAGAAGATCGCTGTCGACAGGAAGGTCTAGCTATTTGTCGCGTTGATAAGACTCAACTTCAGAGTTTTATGGACTAGAGCAAGAGGCTCCCCTAACTAGTATAATTCACCACAAATTAGGAGAAAAGAGAGCATCCGTAAGCCAAATGACATACTGACCCTTGCTCTCAGATAAATCATGGGCCTGTCAAGTGGCATGGTATCAGATAACCCACAGCAAGACACGGCCGAATCTCTCCGCCAACGCCTAACCCAAACTTTCAGCGAAAAGATCATCGAGTCAGCCCTCGGCGAGATAGCTCTATATCTCTATAACAATGGAGTGTCCGTTACACTCATTACGGTGGGCGGCATCGTGGACATGAAACATCTCAAGAGTTGGCAAACAATGAACGAAGGCATTCTCTTTGGAAATGATATCAGCGTCAAGCACACCCGGACACTAGTCAAAGAGGCACGAGACATTGTAGTCGCAAAAAGCCCCGTCATGCTGGGCACTGAATGGTTCAACGTGGAGAACTACTTCTGGCTGGCACCAAAGCTATGCCACGAGCTCACGGCAGAAGCTGTAGCGCAGGATATTGTAGTATACGATAACCCAGGTCTTAAGATACTGGCTGCGCCGTGGGAGCATGCATTCGCTGTGAAGGTGTCTCGACTGCTGGGGAACCAAGAAGGGGCGAACCAGCGCGCTTACTATGAGCTGCATGACTCTGTGCAGTATTTGAAAGAGATCCTGAAAAAGAAAGGCCATGCGCGCATCTCGTTGGCGGTTGTTATGTCGTGGTCTAGCAAGTTTGGTCTACGTACGTGCCGCGAATATCTGATCGATGTTGTGGATCAGGAGTACTGGAGGCAGTTTGGGCAAAATGCTATGTTTTGAGATTGTAATTCAGACCAGATCTTAAGTATTTCCACTTACGAGATGTTCGTGGAAGTGTTGCTGATGATGAACAAGATAGCAGATAGCGAGCTGCTCTGTCGTAGCCAAGAAATAAAAGGGTGGTTCTGGATCGCATGGCTTCCGCTTAATAGAAGAGTCTTATTTCTCATGGGTAGTGTACACGTCACTCTGCAACGAGAGACTCACACAATACATGCAGTATGAAGTTTGTCATCGACGTGCCTGGGAGCGCCGTTAGGCAGCATGCGACATATGTCCTGTGCTTGTTTTGGTTTTTTGAAGTGGTCATCGTCTACAGTGGTGGGTGAGCAACATAGAACATCGCCTGCTTGAGCTGATGAGGGGAGACACTTCCTGGAGTGGATTTTATAAAGTTGAGATGATGCAGTAGCAGAACGGCTTAGGTTCCGAGTGATGACGGTTATAGGGTTTGCTTCTCTATCGACGCTTAATTACTAACTAGTTGACTTGGGTTCTTAGCAAGTGTAGTCGGTATATATGCGCTCGCTGATCAAATATGTATAGAAGTTGATTTTTGCAACTCATAGCTGGACCCATAGTTCAGTGGTAGAATATCTGATTCCAGTTGCGGGTTTCCAGAAGGTCAAGCGTTCGACTCGCTTTGGGTTCATTTTTGTTTTTCCTTTTCAAGGTATCTTTGAGTGCGCTCATTACGTAAACGATAACCACAGTACATTTAGAATAAGTAAAGCCTCAGAACACTACAATTTCTTTATACGGTTTGAATTAGTATAATCCTCTCCAGTCCTTCAGTACATATGACCAGTAGTCGTCCGCCCGTTATAGCTACGTGACGCGTACCGTTGCATTTAGTTTAGCTATGCCGAGTATAATGATATGATTAGGTGGTCTTAGCACCCTAAGATATTAAATTGAATCTAGATCTACGCGACTTGTAAAGTCGAAGCTTTATCGTAGTGGAGTTATAAGTCCTTACTACCGATTAAAACTTTATAAGTCTAGCGACCGCCTGGAGTATGGCATACTCAACGTTGCAAAGAATCAAACGTTCCTTATTATCTAAGATCATTTCTATTCTCCTACTCTCCTATAAGGAAATTCGATGAAGAGTTGAAAGCTTTTGGAAGTACTGGAGCACCAGCGTCCAGAGTGTGTGTCTGCTACTATATCCACGAAGAACTTTTGGGTCAGTTTGTTCAGAAGTTGGATTCTTGCATCTGGACGGTAAATATCACGTTCGTTGATCTCGGTCTGCGCTATGATACTACCACAGTCCAAGCCCAGCGCGATATGAGCTCTGTCCAGACACAACTAGCTTTGGAGGTGGAGTGAAGTAGTTATACATCTCGAACCTCGCCACGGGAGAAATCTACCATGACCGTGATGCATACGGCGACTACCGTGAAGCTGCCTAGCGGCACGTGAAGAAGGTTGTGCATCGATTTCCGAAATTGCTTCCTCTGATAGTAAGACATACTTGTTGCTCATCTAGAGAAGCATTAGGTCTGCATTCAATGATATCGTCCATAAGAAATATAACGCATATCATGACTCGTATTATTTCCGCACAATGACCTCCCTTGCATGAATGTAGCGACGTATCGCCATGTCGTTTTGACGCCGTAAATGCTGGAATTATGTATTATATGAGACGTATCGCATGGTGTCTTCTCATCTTCTCGATCTTTCATGACTGCTCTTGCTGTACAGTTTGCTGATTCCATCGTTAGTAAGGTCGCATAACCAGGACTGCCATATGCACGTACCACCAACCAATCCATACCTTCGTCCACACCTCTTCCATCGATTGCACTACAAGCAACGATACTCCAGTTCCGATCTTTTAATTCTCCCAGCTTCAACGCTTCGCTTATCTCACCCGCTCCTTTTGCGCCGGGTTGGTCTTGTTTATTCGCAAATACCAGTAACGCCGCATCTCTCAGCTCTTCTTCATTCAGCATGGCCGCTAACTCCTCACTCGCTGTGTTCAATCGCTCTATGTCTGTGGAATCGATGACGAATATTACGGCTGCGGTGTTTGCGTAGTAGCACCGCCAGTATGGCCTGATTGAAGTTTGCCCTCCAAGATCCCACACGTTAAAATTTAGGTTCTTGTATGTGACGGATTCGACATTGAAGCCGATTGTGGGAATTGTGGTTACGACTTCGCCAATTTTAAGACGGTAGAGAAGAGTCGTTTTACCAGCGTTATCCTGGAAGGTGGAGTTAGCACCCAGTCTAATAGCCTTGGAGCCTTGCAAGAGGGAACCGGCATTCGTGGCTTTACTGTGTTCAGAATGCCACTGAGAGGGTACTAACCAGTCCTAAAATCAATATGCGAATCTCCTTTTTCGACCATAACAGCGCTGTGAACTTTGATATCATGCCACCCATCTTGTATGTTCGTTCGACCACTTGCTCGAAAGTTTTGCTTGCGAATGATGCTCAGGGGCGTAGATGTGGCTGTTGACGTTAATGTCAATAGTAAGAGGAACAGTTACGGCAGAGGTCGCTGATAGACTCTTTAGATGAGGCGCTGAGTAGGGAAAGCAAAGAACGAAAAGACAGCTAGCCTATGTAAACACTAGGTCGCTGACAAAAGTAAAGACAGGTACTAAGTACGGGACGTAGCAGTGGTCGCGTGGAGTTCGAGGCGGACCTGGAACGTCCACGTGCGACAACCCTTCTGCCTCAGGCACAAAGACCTTCAATTCAGTACACCAATAGTAATTCATTGAGATTATATTCCCTTCCTATGTATATGTGCTACATGTACAAAAACCATGACAAGTATGTAAAGTAACTCATAGCTTCGCAAAGACAGTCGTGACTTCACCACTCATGTCCACCAACGTGCTCTTGTTCCGCAACCAGGCTTCAATTCCTTTCCTACCATTTTCAACACCAACACCGCTCATTTTCCAACCGCCTACGCTCATTTCTGCTGGTGATTCTCCCCAGGTATTTATCCAGGTTATGCCAGCCTGTAACTTCGAAATAACCTTGTGCGCTGCGTTCAGATCGTTCGAGAATACACCGGCAGCAAGACCCATCTCTGTTGAGTTTGCCCTTTTAATCACTTCGTCAACACTCTTGTACGTCAGGATGCTCATAACGGGTCCAAATATCTCCTCTTGAACGATCTTCATATCATCTGTACAATCTGTAAACACCGTGGGCTGGACCCAATAGCCCTTTTGGTAGTTCTGGCTAACTGCTTGAGGTAAAGTAAGTGGTTCCGAGCCACCATAGATCAGCGTCGCCTTGTCAGTCTGAATACCATGCTTGATATAGCCCTTGACCTTCTCCCAGTGCACTCTGCTGACGAGTGGTCCGAAGTTTGTGGTCATATCACTAAGGTCGCCGGCACGAATGTACTTCATCTTCCCCAGAAGGATTTTCTCGAAATCAGCCTTCTTTTGCTCTTGTACAAATACCCGAGTACCATTCGTGCAAACCTGGCCGGTGCTGAAGAAGTTTGCCATCATAGCCCCATCCACAGCTTTCTCGAGATCGGCGTCCGGGAGAATGACAATGGGCGATTTACCTCCAAGCTCCATCGTCACATACTTCATGTTACCAGCAGCGGATCCTGCGACCTTTTGTCCAGTGCTGACTTGACCTGTAAATGAGACTTTGGCGATGCTCGGATGCTGGATAAGATAAGCTCCGACTTCTCCGGATCCTTGGACGATATTGAAGACACCAGGTGGGACACCAGCCTCAGTGTATATCTCAGCGAGAGTGTTCGCATGCAGCGGAGTGAATTCAGAAGGCTTGTAAACCATCGTATTCCCTGCTGCCAGACAAGGTGCTGATTTCCATAGCGCTCTAGTACCCATTAGATCTCGAAAGCCGTGCCTGAATTCAGCTGTTCTTACATTTGAATCGGGTAGTTCCAAGCTCCAATACCTGCACATACACCCAATGGTTCTTTCTTTGTATATACCCAAGCATCTTCTCGTAGCTGAGTAGTTTCGCCATTAAGCCCGCCACCACCAATCATATTTGCAAAGTACTCTAAAACATCGGCACCAGTCACGACATCGACGGTACTGGTTTCACTGAAAGGCTTCCCAGTGTCGTCTGTTTCGACCTTTGCGATCTGATCATTCCGCTCTCTAAGGATTAATGCAGCTTTCTGCAGTATGCGCGCGCGCTGAACGTATGTTGTGCTTGACCATGACGCGAAAGCTTTCTGGGCAGAAGCAATGGCAGCGTCTATGTCACCCGTAGAGGAAGTCTCGATCGCACCATTGGGCTGCGCTGTTGCAGGGTTGATTGACTGGAATGTCTGCTTTGAGGTGGCCCATTGTCGCTTGCCATCATAATACAGCGATTGAGTAGCGTACGTCATCTTGATGAAGGTCCAAAGCCAGAAATGTTCAATGAAGTGAGCACCAGATCCGACCTAGGTGAGTACTTCAGTATTTTGGCCCCGGGACCAGTTGATGATGGAAGTGCTTGATTGCAAGCTCATCTAATTATGGATGGATCAAGGATTGCCTGTTCGGGCGGGGATTTCCGCGTTACGCCAAGCATTTACAGTGTTCAGGTGGCCGCCCCGGGCCCACAGATGAGATCACGACGTTCTTATGTAATATCAAGTGCAACTTTTCGGACTGTTCATTCTTCAACGCAGTGATCGTCCAACTCATGCGAGCTCGCCCTTCTTGTATGGAAATTGCGCTCTGAAATGTTCCGCAATCTGCGTCCGTGTCGCCACCCAGACACCCTCCTTGGCAGCAATGTACTCAACGAACTTCTTCAATGCGGAGAAGCGTGACGGCTTGCCAATACATCTACAGTGGAGTCCAATTGTCATCATTTTAGGCATACCCTCTTGTCCCTCTTCATACAAGATATCGAATGCACCCTTAGCTGTTAGAGGTAGGGTATAGTCTAGGGTGCAGAACTAACCTTGACATGATCATAGAAATCGTTCGGAGCACCGAAACCCGTCGGCACGTTGAACTTATAGTCTTACACGCATTGCTTTCAGTATCATGATTATCTGTCAAATAAGGGCGACCGTAACACATACCGTTGCAATCATAGCTGTAAGGAACCATCAACATTCCTTCAGGCTTCGCTTCATCTTTTTCTGCCGGAACGTCGACCCAGTAGGGTATGTCGTCAGCATAGGAGTCGGATTCCCACAGTAGAGGCAGCCCCATCTCCTTGTATACATCCCAAACAAGAGCATGTGATCTGGGCGAGAGTCGTCCATAGTACCATCCCTTCGGATACACACCAGAAACATCCTTAATGACTTCGATTCCTTTACGAATGTAATCTTTTTCTTGCTCTGCGGGCATTTTGTGATAGTCAATCCAACGGTAGGCGTGCGAAGCGATATCATGACCGTTCTCAACTGATGATTTAGCCACAGCTGGGTTCTTTTCAATAGCCTGTCCAACAGCGTACAGAGTGTATTTCATTTTATATTTGTTGAACAGGCGGAACAGCCTCCAGACACCACTGCGAGAGCCATAGTTGTACTCGGATTCAATATTCACAGCGCGCTCTTGCATATGAGGCTGGCCACCTACGGCTGTCAGTCATTCACAGGTAGAATCATGCACTCCTTACCTGAAGCTTCCCACAAATGTGTCTCCGAATGAACATCACCATTTAGCACAGTATGCTCTGCACCTTCTTCATAATTGATCACGAAAGACACTGCGATCTTTGCATTGTTTGGCCACCTAGGATTATGCGATTTCTCTCCATAGCCAACAAGATCACGTGGGAAGTCGTAATGCTCGTCCCATTCGAAAGGCTTCATGTTGGCGGCAGTAGCACCAAGTTTGTATGGTATTGAAATGCGAACCTCATCTGAGAGATGGGCTGACAAGAACTTCCTGAGCCTACTTATACTGCTCTCAATTCACTTGAGCTACCTGACAACAACTTCCGCACCTTGCCTTGTCACAATTGTGATACGTCTTTACCAAGTATGATCGGGATTGGCATCATATTCCGATAATGCGTCAATGAGACACTATCACCAGGCCGGTATGAAGGTCTGGCGGGGCTGGGGAGTGTTGATAAGGGCGTGGGTCCATAATGCCGGGGCTTTGTTGCCTTCGGACAGTCCGACAACATTGGAAGCGCGACTCGTAGAGCATTACCCGTAATCAAATTTGACAGAGCCATGAGTCTCATTATCTATTGAAGACATAGGGTGAGACACAGCGACAAGATGATGTTAATGGGATAACGGAAGAATAAGAGACAGGACAGGATTTCTAACTAAGACCAAAGGAAGCTAAGAACGCCACGTGGATCCATGTGTTAGCAATGCCCGCGTTTTTCACCTCCATCTCAACGTAAGTCTTGTACAGAGACAATCTAAGCTCTTGGCATACTGATCATTATCAGAGACATTACTGGATACTGATCGTATTGTGGATTGGAGTGTTCTGATATTGCTATCGAGCTCGAAGGGCTTCTGACTACGAGCCGCCAGTAGATCTCAAAAGATTATCACGCAGGGGTATTCATCGCGTCTTACTATCAAAACAGGTCAGGACAATTTGTCTCAAGGACTGTATTGCTGTAGCAAGTGTCCCTTAGTCACTAGGGACTACGATCATCGAGCCATCCGGATGGACCCCAGACAGCGACGCTACTGTGGAGACAAGCGCCCTGGAAGCAGGTGCCGAAATAGTAGGAACAACGAATTGCGAGAACTGGCATTAATTCACCTCTTCGCTCAGTAGTGCCCACGGTATTGTCGAGATCCCGCACGCGTCCGGTCATTTCGCAGGAGGAAGCACATTTGGCGCTGCTGCTCTCGTTACAGCGGGCCTGGTGGACATAGCCATTGGTGCAGATCAGGGGAGCACTATCTGCATTCCAGCTTCGCTTCGTGGATGTAAGTCACTCCCAGCACGAGATCCTAGTAGTATACTGATTAAAATTGTAGGTGTTGGCTTAAAGCCCACTTATGGACTAGTGCCTTACACGGGATCTGCATCAAATGAACAATCATGTGGGACCCTTAGTATTGGACGTTCTGGACATTTCTTGGCGCTTAAATGCTATCTCAAGTTACGATGGTATCGATGACCGTACCCTAGCGGCCCAAGCACGGCTCGGTCGAGTTTGCGAAGGTCTCTCTCGTATCCAATGCAAGCGATCTCACGGTCTTCAAGATCGGCATCCTAATCGAAGGATGCAGTGGACATAGACTATAGATATACGGTTGTAAAAACCGCACAGAAGTTACAAAGTCTTGGTGCAATTAGGCCATCGAATAACGTGTTTCGGGAACCCAAACACTGAATAGTCCCAGTGGCAGACGAGGATAATTTTAAAGGGTATGATGCTCTGATCACTGCAATTACCAGCTTCGTAGCCCTCAGGTATGGTAGACCTTGCACACAAACTGCAACAATTGCCCCTATGTTCGGCTTGATTGCAACTACTGCCATATTTGAATACAACCAGGCAGCAAGCCAGCTATCAGCATACCCGTGAGATATCTATCCGCCGAAGAAGAGAGGATATCATGCTTCCTGACGGTATGCAGATCATAAGTGGCTTATGGAAAGATAGCAAGGCTCTATGAGCTCACGAGCGGGAGACGGAATTCGATTGGAACGAAACTAAACCATAGCTAATAATGCGATAGGCATCAGTCTCTCCCATGAAAAATCAGACGGCCCAGAAAGACCCCTGACTATATCCGTTATACCACGACACTTGAGGTATTTTCTCACCAGACCGGTATCATCTGCAAGTTCATTATCATATACGAAAGTCTGGATGTGACGAACATCTGGAGATTCCAATGCGGAGTACCTAGGTGGATCAAGCAAGGATGAAGATAAGCCACCCTCGCCTGAACCGTTCTCGGTCAGGAATACTCCGGTCATGCATACCTATCTCGACTGCTGAGTCGTCATGAATCTTCCTATCTTCAGTGATACAAGTGACGATCGAGACTCGACGACTCGACGCCACCTTGATAGGCTTCCAAGATAGCTCTATGATACGGACTGGAACTGGAACCCCCAAATTGTTTTCTTGTTATCAGCTTCTAGCATATGGCTCCTGGCAACTTTGGATGTCTTGCGGGCAGAACAGGCCATTCCTCGCTCAACATAATATTCGCCTTCAAGAATAACACTAAGCCATAAGCATATCCTTTGCTTGACACCTCTTTCCTTACCTGACATGAAGAAGTTTTCTATGCGCAGCATAAAGCGTGCAGTGGCAACAGACAATGAGATGACATACTCGTCCAAGTGGATCAATCATGATCTTGTGCCTTCACCGCCTGAGCGACGAACATGGACTTGGATATCTATGAGTTTATATTGGTGGAGTGTATGAAACCTAAAATTTTCAGTTGAGCTGCAGCTAACGTGTTTAAGGGAGCCTTCAATACGAATCAATGGTCCAGTGGATCAGCCTTGATAAGTGTTGGTCTTACTCTGTCGCAAGCTGTCGGCGCAGCCATCATTGGACATCTGATCTCTTCAGGAGTCGCGCTATCCATGGGACGTCCTGGTGCTACATATCACATTGGTTATCCTGTCATCGCTCGCGGTGTATTCGGCATGTATGGAGCCTACTTCTTCGTTGCCCTCAGAGCATGCGTTGCCATTGTCTGGTACGGCGTACAAAGTTTCTACGGTGGCAAGCTGCTCAGTGTCGCTATACGCTGCGTATTTGCTAGCCACTGGCAAAATATCCCGAATTCCCTGCCTGAAAGTTCTGGGACAAATTCGAGGGAGCTTCTTGCTTTCTTCCTGTTTTGGCTCATCCAGTTTCCCTTTCAGTTCGTACATCCAACAAGAATTAGGCATCTTTTCACTGTCTCGAGCTGTGTAGTGCCTGTGGCCTGCATCGGCCTATTTGCATGGTGTGTAAATTATGGTGGTGGACTCCATGCTAACGAGCTGGGCGTCACTACACAAGTGAGTGGAGGTGCGCTTGGATGGGCATTCATGACGGGCATCAATTCCGTGATGGGCACTCTCTCACCACTTTTGGTCAATCAGCCAGACTTCACACGTTACTGCAAGAAGCCCAAGGACGCCAGTTGGCCGCAAGCCGCGTCTATCTTCTTTAGTAAGACTTTAATGCTCTTCCTTGGGTGCGGAGCAACGGCTGCGACGCAGGCAAAGTTTGGGACGGCATTTTGGAATCAATGGGATTTGCTGTCGGCTATTCTGGACAGGTTTTGGGGTCCAGCGGCGCGGGCGGGCTGCTTCTTTGCCTCAATAGGATTTTGCCTCAGTATTCTCACCACTAATTTTGCAGGTAAGCATCTCGACCTGAGAGTTCCAATTAAGTACTAACAAAGTTGTGTAGCGAACAGCATGCCATTCGGATCTGATGTCACAGGTCTGCTACCAGAATACATTACCATCAAGCGAGGACAAGTGATCTGCAGTATCCTTGGAATTGCTGTCGTACCTTGGGAGCTACTTAGGAGCGCACAGGGTTTTCTAACGTTCCTCGGTTCTTACTCAATATTCATGGCACCTTTGTGCGCAATCATCATCTGCGACTACTTCATCATCAAACGTGGGAATATTCACGTTCTATCGCTATATGATCCGACCCCTGGAAGTCTATACTATAATATCAAAGGCTGGAACTTCATTGCCACGGGATGCTGGGTCACTGCTATGCTTTTGGGGCTGCCTGGACTGATAGGTGCGTACGACCCCCAGCTTGTCTCCGAAATTGCTGTGCACATGTATCAGACCGGCTGGCTCATTACATTCGTTGCTGGATTTGTATTCTACTTCGTCATGGCTGGATTCGTGTTTCCACCTAGAGTACTCCCGGAGAGGTCTGCAGGTCCTTTTGTTGAGATGAGGAATAGCAAGGGAAAATTGAGGTACGAAGCATTGGCTGCTACAGATGGGTATCTCGAAGGCGAATCTATTGAAGATTTACATCATAGTGTATCGAAGATCAACCGGGTGCCAGTGATCGAGCAGAAGATGTCAGAGAATTCGAGACAGAAGGAGGCTTGTGTGGCTTCAAAGGAACTCATTGTTTGATATTACCGGGTAGAGACTGTGACTGTAACCCAGGTTTTGGGTGACGGGATACTCTATAACGAATGAAGCGTTATATCTGGACATGTGACCTGCCTCAACGCCGGGAAAAACCCCCTAGACCAGCACAAGCGCCACATCCTACGAAACAGTTGTACACCCTTAATGTTAGACCTTCTTTTTATAACAGCCTTCATGACAATTGAGGTAAAGTACAAGTCTTTAGGAAAAGACCAGACTGTCAATTCGTCATTCGCATGATCTAATCGAAATGTGTAGAATATTGACTCACGATGTTTGTGCCCTTCAAATGACTCGAGACGAGATCCTGAACCTCGCCTAGGGGTGTCGTCAAGGAATCCCTTATCTGGAGGGATGGCTGTCTTGGGCGCAGCTTTACAAAACGATGTCAGCGCCGACGGTAGAACTGCAAGGACTTGAGAATGATCAATTAATGATGTGCTGATAAGAATTGGCATGGCCGAACGCCAGAACATGATGATTTTGGACGGAGTGAGCTCTTTTAATTCACATCATCCTTGCTCATGAGAAACGAGGGGTACAGATCATTCTACTATCTTATTGTGTCCCAGGATAGATTCGAACGTGATAAGTATATGGGAACTAGATGCTATTCCGTGCAATATCCAGATGACCCATCTTTATATGATTGTCGATTATTGCTGTTGGAGGCAAAAACTCACATTTCTTAGCTTACACATGGGCAACCTTAGATATCATCATAGCCGCGGGTCGCCGTCGCCTTTCGGTCATATCGCCGTCGGCTTGCTACCGGCATATCAGCCGTAATAGGCTCTGTGAAACCCTGTCGAGTCCTGAATAGCAGCGAAAACCGCTCCAGAATTTATGGGACGATATGGGCCTCCCAACAGTCCGACGAAAACGTGGCGATACGGGCACCCTTGGCTCCATGGGTCCCAACGTATGACCGTAGACCCTGATATGATGAGTCTTGGTGTTATCAAAGATCATTATGTATCTCTGATATACTGTTTCTGAAGTACTACCTGAGCCATCTATCTGAGCACTGTTGAGTTCATAATCATGGTCCAACCAAAGAACGCCGACTCGAAAATTTTCTCGCAGCTGCGCATCGCCAATGGCGATATTAAACTAAACCACAGGATCATTCTTGCACCTCTGACACGGAACAGAAATGTGCCATGCATACCCAAAGATCCGTTGGAGCCAGTCCGCACCTGGTGTCCTGATGAAGTTGTGGTGGAATATTACAGACAACGCACTACAGAAGGTGGACTACTGGTTTCGGAAGGCATCAATCCAAACCAACAAGGAGGTGGTATGCCTGGAACACCCGGTCTATGGCTGCCTGAACATATCGCTGGATGGAAGAAAGTCGTCGATGCGGTACACGCGAAGGGCGGTTATATCTATTGTCAATTGTGGCATCAGGGAAGGACTACAATCGAGCACATGACGGGAATGTGTACGGTAAGCCCATCGGGCGTAGCATGGAATGATCCTGAAGAGCTGTATCCATATCCAGTCAAGGGCTGCAGGGGCGAGGGTGAGAGTCTGAAGCTGGCGGACTATACATCGATCGAGATGACCGTCGATATGATCAAGGATACTATCAGCGACTTCTGTGAGGCCGCGAGAAGAGCTGTGGAGGAGTGCGGCTTCGATGGTGTGGAGGTCCATGGGGCGAACGGGTATGTATGTCATTCTAATGGTCTTACCTTGACCGACAGAACTGCAGATATCTCCCTGAACAATTTTTGAGTGATAATACCAATCTCCGGACTGATCATTACGGAGGAACCCCACAAAAGGCTTGCAATTTTTCGTTGGAGCTGATGGAAGGTCTTGCAGGCACTGTTGGACAACAGAAAGTAGCCATCAGACTAAGTCCTTTCGGCATGTACAACCAAATTCGAGGAACGAAGCGCATGGAAACTTTCACGCATCTTTGCAGACAGCTCAAGTCACGTCTTCCAAACATGTCATACGCATCGTTCATCGAACCACGGTATGAACAAGTCTTCAGCGCCAACGAAAAAGACGCATTTCTAAGATCTTGGGGGCTTGCGAGCGTAGATTTGTCTATATTTCGAAAGATCCTTGGTAGCACGCCGTTCCTGACTGCGGGTGGCTGGAATGACACCAATGTCAGGGGTCTTGTGGAGTCGAGCCAGTATGATGCTGTCGTTATGGGGAGATGGTTCACCAGTAATCCAGACCTTCCACAGAGGCTGTTGGAAGGGAGGCCACTGCGACAGTACGAGCGGGAGCGATTCTATGGGCCCTTTCAAGACCGAGAGCGTGGATATACAGACTACGATCCGTGGTGTCAAAACGAATCATAAGGGACTACGAGTCAAGCGGAACAAGATTGGTTCATCGGGGTCAAATCTAACGTAACAGAGACTATTAGCGTGTACAAATTACATGCCCGACAGACGGTGGAACATCTACATATATTTCCTCTTTTCCGATTCCGGTTTCCATCTCGTTACAATGTTTGCTACTTCTTCAAAACTTCAACGTCTTCGACCGTACGCGTTCTTTTTTCTGATGCGTGAAATTTGCTAGGCGATCAGGCCACTCGCCACGACTGGACCGTGTACAGGTTGTGGCCTGTCGCGGTCTCGAATTTCCCTGCTGAACGCAACGGGGTGGATAGTCCTCAGAAGCAAGCGTAGCCTTGGCTGCCTTGGATGCGGTCGGTCGTATCAGGAACGTGCTGTGCTGTGCTGTCCTGCTCTTGAGATCATGACACGTACCATGCGCTTTTGGGTCCATTAATCCATTGAGTGGAGGCAGTCGACACCGATCATATGTCAAAGAGCCCGGCGCATTGGTGGGGAGAGAGAGACATGCGGAGAGAGGCAATATCAACAGAGGAGAACATTAGCCTTCAAGAGAGTGGATCCCTCACGATCTCGGAAATTCCGAGTAAAGTCTTTCTGTTACGATATATTAATTTACAGACATCAACATTACGGCTTCCAGAATCCGTTTGCCCATTCGGAGTCAGTGGATCAGCGACCAAAGGCCAATCGCAATAAAATACAAGGGCGTATTAAGAACTCAATGTAGTATGCTAACACTGATGAGTGCGTATAGTTCGCTTACGTGAGGTGAGACCTGGCTTTTCCGAGCCACTCACACCGCCACCAAATCTCATCTCCACGGCACCCCAGAGCGGCACCCCAGAGCGGCACGTCTGGGGTTGCGGGTTATCAGAATCTGGGGTAATTTTAAAAGGGTCACCGGTCACCGATGCCACTGTGTCTCGTTGTTATATTACAATCGTGTTGGTCGCCATAATCTTTGCGCTTTGGGGCAAATCGTTGCGTCGAATGTTCCCAGCTCTACAATGTTGGCCTCATGTTTTGCTGTTTTGTTGACAGTAGCGTGCCTGCAGGGGACCGTTGTCGCCAGGCAACAGGGTGCGACGGTCATATTTAGCAATACTAATCGTTTCTTGTTCGACGTGGACGGAAAGCAAATCGATGCATATGGGGCAAAGATCAATTGTAAGCCTCTGAAAGATATTTCATAGTTCCACGCTAATAAACACCTAGATTTCAGTTAGTGATACTACCTGACAGCTTCCTATCAAATATTGACGCAAAACACTACAGATGGAAAGTACTACTTTTATGGTACTTCTTGGGCCAACCCATCAAATTTCGGCTTCAAGTTCTACTCCTCCGTTGATCTTGTGAATTGGTAATATTCTCTCGACCACATTGTGGGCCTTGGACTGATTCTGCGCGTAGGCAATATGAGAATTTTATCAATGCCACTGGGAGTGGAAGACCTCACGTCATTTACAATCAAGCGACAAAGAAGTACACACTATGGGCTGATGCCAACACCGGCCAACTTGTTCAAACGTCAGATTCTCCAGCCTCAGGCTACAGCTCTGGAAAATACGCGGATCTAGATCCCCAGTATTCGAGCTTGCATCCCGCTGATGCTGGAGTTGAATCATTTGGTATGAGAGCTACTGTATGTTTACGAGGATATCTCTGATTTTTGCAGGCGATAAAGGGTATCTCGTTTGGTCGGCCCTAAATTTTGCGGACCCGCGACAAGGGAGCATTTGGCCTCTGATCTACCAAACAATGCACATTAGCCCTCTGACAAGTGACTTTGTACGTATCCCGTACTATGAAATAACAATGCCTGTACTGACGACAGACAGACAAATACAGACACGACGAGCTACAACGTCACATCTGCGGCTTTCGACCTGGTCGATCAGCAAACCGAGTCTCCGGATCTCTTTATGCGCAATGACACTTTCTGTAAGCTAGAGTAGCTTTTCGAGGCTTCGGGCGACTCTAATCTATTGGCAGACGTGTCGGCAAGCAATTCATGTGCATTTTGCAGCGGTTCAATTGGGGTCCTCTATCGCTCAAAGTCCATTCAAGGACCCTGGCAACGGCAAATATTGTCGGGCTATTCCTGTGGCGGTCAGGTCGAAGGTATTCTGCCTCTTACTGACCCAACAACTGGAAAAGTCACGCACGTCTGGCACTCCACTACTAACCGTAAGTTTGCAGCCAGCCTATAGGAGCTGGTCTTTTGCTGAACATACTATAGCTGGTGGCCCTCGCGTTGGTCTCAATGGCCATATCTTCCAGCCTTTACAGTTCAATGCCGACGGCAGTGCAAAAGAGCTAGACTGCTCTGACGGCGCCCGTTTCAGAGTCTCGTTTACCCCAGGGACAGGTGACACAGCAAGCGGTAGCTACACAAAAGCTGTGGATAAGGCGCCACAATTTGCCAACGTAAGGACTCCAAAATGTGGTAACGTTGAAGACAATAACTGAGAATATCTGCAGTACCGTTCTGTCTGTGACTCAGACGTCTACTACACACTCCATCAGACCTGGCGTACATCAAAGTCGGGCATTCTCCAGTCTGTATCTGTCAATGTTGCGGCTGGGGGTAACAAGAACGCGCTCGATATCAAGGTCTTCCGCTTCACCAACATCCAACAGCTTCTGTCCGCAGGCTACAAGTACGAGCTTCTGGGCAGCGCCACGTTCGTTCCCAGTGCCAATCTGACGGAGGTATTCGACACAGCTACCGTGTCTGTCAACAGGGCGGTCAAGAAAGGTGACATGCTGGGCTTCAGCTTCGGAGAGAAAAACGTGCTCGGGTTTGGCCTTGGTAATTATATTCCGTACTGCCATCTAGAGTATGATCTCAACGCGGTGGAGCAGCAATGCGATCTGCAGCAACCGGTGCTGATTGAGCAGGGGAGTGGACAGAATTCTCCAAGAGGGTTAAATGGGATGGAGAGTCCGATTAAGGTGCGCAATGGAAAGGGCATGAAGTTTCACGCGAACATTGTGTAGGAGGATCAGGATGTTGGCTTGGCGAGTTTCTTTAGGGTGTCATTATGTAGTCGTTCATATATCTACGACAGGAAACTCCATCGATCCAAGCGCAAATGGAAGAAGCATCATTGTCAAGTAATCTGTTCATTATCTACGCATGATCAAGACAACTGATGAACTCTACCCAAAAGGACCTAAGTCTGGATCATGCAGACATACTCCAAACCAAAACCAGTGGAGCTAAATAGCCTTTCTCCATCCAATATTCGATTTCCACGGGTAATTTGCCAGGGCGGAGTCTTGTCAGTGTGAGTGGTTTAGGTGACTTGCATATGCGTACGTTCATCTCGGTGATTGGTGTGCTTCTCCGATGATAGTGCAAAGTTAAAGCTAATTATTGTTCGCAGAGAGCTATGTGAAACGTTCGAAAAAGTGCGTACATAGCATCCCCCATTGATCTGTGATATCTCATGCCCATGTAGCATTATCTAATGAGCTGTGTACAAAAATGGTTCTATATCCCTGGTCATTGGAGTCTTATATTGTATTGTTGATAACATGACTATCGATATGTCTCATGATCGAAGCATGTAAAACACCTGTCCACTGGGCCGGATTGTGATCTTGGGTACTAGTCTTTATACGAATTTACTTTGTACCTACATCATTCGATCGTACGCTTATACCGGTTATACTTAATGGAATATGTATAGTCAATAGATGCAATAGTAAGAGATTCAAGTTCGTAGGCCTTAAGTTTTCGAAGGCTATCGTTCGTGTGTAGACTGAGGCCAAGCCATAAGTATAGCTAGGGTCAAAAGCATCAGAATATGTACGTCGTGCGGATTTTTTAAACGCTGGTGAACGTAGACTGTTCCCCCTTGGCAACACGAACATAGCCTGCGAGTTCAAGGTATATTCTATGGATGGGTTAGTGGAAATGCAATTCATGGTGAGGACGAAAAATATTTGGGGCTAAATATTCGAGAACAGGGTAGGGAATCAATCAAGCCAGAAAGTGAACATATGATTCAAGGAGTCTACTCCTTCAGCATCACTGGTAAGTCTTCTTCAATGAAGGCTTCTGCCAACGTTCGCTGGACTGGTTTCCACCCCATCGCCCTCAGTCGATCAGCGCTGCATCGACAATTACTCGCCAGAGCGTTCGGCGTAAAGTCTCCGTATAAGTCACTCCACTGTGATTCAGGAACCACCTTCGGCTCTGGGGTTTGAATCTTCCCGGCCGCATAGACTGCTTTTCCAATGATGCGCGAGACTTCCCCCCAAGCGATTTCTTCACTTTCGCAAAAGAAGTATGGGTTGGAGATGGCGCTATCTTGAGGACTTTGCTCTAACCAGTGAACGATAGTCATGTAGGCCTGTAAGTGTTATCTTGACATCAATGGGAGGGCGTGAAGAAAAATTACCTTAGCCAAGTCGAGGACGTGTACGGCTCCCCAGCGTCCCTTGCCAGCACCCACGATTGGGGCGTGGCCTTTCTCGAAGGTATAGCGCGTCATCTTCGGAATCTAGCTATGTCAGCGCATCGACGCTCATGTACGAAAGTGATTATGTCTCTACATACTTGCATTGACAGTCGGTTGTATTTGGGATTTGCTCCGTATATGATGGGTGGTATCATGATGAAAATCCTCGCAGCCGTGCCGAGTTCTCTGCGAGCTTTGAGAATGGCTAGATCATCTGCGTAAGTCCTGAATACGAAGTAGGTTGGGAAATCCCACCTAAATCGGTGCTTCGATGTGGTGCTGTGTCGGGCAGGCCATTGATATCCACAGGAGCAAAATCTGAATACTTCTTCGCATCACTAACATCACCAGCCGAGCCATCGCTGAGTACACTTGCACCGCTCTGGTGAAGGTAGATTGTTCTCTTGCCTGCGCTGAGATTAGCCTAAACAAGATAGTGCTAACGCACGTCTTCATACCTTCAGCAGCGCGTTCTTTGATGCCGTCGAGAATGGCTTTGGCGGATGGTATGTGATCAGCTGTGGCAGTGTGAAAGACTAAGTCGCTGTCTCTCGCCAGGCCCTGTATCTTTGACGTGTCATCTAAGTCGCCCATAAACGTCGTGATTCCTTGTACAAGCATGAGCGTGGGCTGTTCCCTTGAAGTTTTTGGACACACCTTCACTGCTGAACTCCTTCGCTGCAGCGTCACGACGAACCATTGTCGTAATTGCATATTTCCCCTCGGATTTGAGCAGATCGATGATCTCACGACCCACGTAGCCCGGGCCAAGTACGAATGCCTTCTTCATCGTGACTGAATTTCTAGTTGCTCTGTTGGATGATACTACTATGGAATGGTCGTAGGCAAAATCACAATATAGCCTGGGAGGAGGGGGGGGGGACTGATATGGTCGGATCCGGGATGGATGGTTGGCGGGGTACTAATTACAGTAGTTCCTCTTCCATCCATTCATAGAATGAGTAGGTGCCCAAGTGGCATGACCAAAACACTCCAACCCACAGACAGGTCTTTCAGAAGTCCGCTATACTTGACATTTAAGTATCGATGACCACGTAGGATCCGTATTGCATCATAGCAGTATTGAAATGCGTCTACGGCAAGCGTTAGAAGGTTCTTACAAGTGGAAAGTGTGCTCAATGAGACAGAACACTGGCGGTTCTCAGAGATAAAGATACCCAGGTATAATTCATATATCCGCTTGCTAATTTCCCTGCATACAAGACTAGACACCAGAAAATGCTTGCGCGCTCTTACTATTGGAAGATAGTCGATCGTAGATGTTATCAATTAGTCCTTAGCATAGTTAAGATTCCCTTCAAAGGTCGATCATGGAATGGAAGCACTCATCATCAGGATCTTCTGGATCCTAAGACGTACCTAAATGGATGGCAAAATCATACATAGAACTGTTTCTTAAGCCGAATTACTGTCGAAATCAGATCAACTTAGACTAGCAAGTGTTAAGTACGAATTGAAAACAATCTCGTCTTGAACGCGAAGCTTTCGGCTTATACAGTTCATAGGTCAGATCTTCTGATGGCGATGTAGTACTGCGCTCCTCGTGGCTGATCTTCTAAGGGTCCTGTTCCCAGACTACTTTTCACGTAGCAGTTTCCCGCCACAGTATTATCGTAATTACCCCTTGCCGCGTCCACTGGGATCCACCCAACTCCCGCACACTCCGGCCCCTGAGCGTTTTGGGCTTTGATCATCATCTGACGATTCACGCATGCTTCTATGCAAGCCTCAAACGAGTTTGCTAGGACTGGAATGATGTCATCGCCATTATATTGTTTTCCATATACTGTATCAAATTTCATGCCGCTGGCTGGAGACGTATATGTGCTATTTTCGGCCGGTGGTATCGATATGTATGTCGGCATAGGCCCCCAGGATGTCGAGCCTTGTTCCAGAGAAATTGTCCTTGAGCCATGAAAATCCACTTGGTAACTTGTAGTTGTCTGTTGCACCACGGTGGTGAAAACTTGTCCCGCAGAGGTGTACGTGACCGTGCTCACCGGCGGGCTCGTCGGCTGAACAAACTGATGAGAAGAGTGGCATTCTTCTCGTGCATGTTTCAAAGCTTGAGTGCCGCCGATTGCACCACCGACTACAGCACAAATGATGATGACCATGAATATCGCGCTCATGGTCAGGGTAGAACGACGTAATTTGATGTACTTTTCGTGTCGCACGCTGGCTTTAGCACTCGGCCAAGGCTGTGGTGGATTATACACATCCATATCAGAGTGTGGCTTTATTACTTCCATACCAGAATTTGAACTGTACATATCCATACCATTTCTTGTTTCGGAGCCATACGATGGCGTTGGATCGTTCTGCACCATTGGAAAGTGAACGTGATCGGTATCGGCTCCGCTATCGGATGAGTGAAATGAGGATTTGAGTGACGTCCGAGGGCTCCGGAAGATGTTGAGGACTTCTACACGAGCACATGTTGAGAGATGTTCCAAGGTTATATCAGTATCTCAATCATGGAGAGCGAACCTTAAGCGCCAGCCTTGTCAAGCTGTGGTTGGATCACAGCTTGATGCAAGAGAGGTTGGTAGGATTAGTCCGGCGATGGCATTAACAAATTGTAGTGAAAGCAGTGACACGAAGTCCGCTCTATCATTGCGAGTGACGCCGCTTGGACGTTTCATATCTTCCTCGAGCCTGAAACTAGAATAAGTCTGGTATAGTCCTAAGGTCGTTATGAACTTCCACCCTCGATAGAATACGCGCGCGCGTTGTTTGCCAAGCAGCACTAGGCATTGATAACTACTTGCCCGTGACGAAGCACTGTTGCGTAGTGGTTCGACTGCCTTGCACTAATATAGCAAAATTGCGTAACTTGAACTGAGAGCTTGTCGAAGTATTACAATGCGCCCAACATGAATGCTTAGCATTGTGAAAAGACTTGACTGAGAGGAAGATGCACTCTCTCAAAGTCGTAATAAGACCCCCGTAAATGCGTGTAAGAAACGCTGTAGGAGCGTGAGCTCGACAGGCTCCAGTAAAGGTCAAAAAGGCTGATGCGATATAATGACGCGATATTATTCATAAGTGTCTTCACCACCACCCATGTCATTATCCTCTTCGCCATAATCGTCGTCTCCTCCGTCAAAATAATTTTCTGCGTCATAATCGTCACCAGACTCTTCATCGAAAGACTCGTCCATGTTGACAGAGGCCTGTTCGTCGTCGCTTCCCTTCTCTCTGCCGTCGTCGCTACCATCATCGTCACCACGACGGGCCAATTCCCCGTCATTAAGAGTATCCAGCTCTTCTAGTCGTGATGTACCCCCTACTCTGTAAATATCAAGCTTTTTCCGTTTTTTCTTCGCTGGTGGTGCAGACGGGTCTAATGCTTCGGTGGTATAAGTAGGGTCAAGAGTCTTTCGTAGTTCTTCGGGAAAGAATTGCATGACTCAATTCCTGTCAGCAAACATTATGTTTTACTTACCAGAAAGGACTTACCATATGGTCGCGTATCAAGCTTAGGTATGTGGTTTTTCTGTCGTTGAAACTGTTGCGAATAGGTACGCATACCCTCGAATGGATCCATGACACCATAGTGCCCTCGGCTTGTAGCCTTCCATTCCTTTGATGACGGTAAGATAGTGTAGAGAGGTCCCTCATGAATACGAGAGCGAATGGCGCGGTAGCGAGAGATGGAGGTCTTTTCGATGCGGCTGACGGGTTTGGTCATCGGAATGCGTATGTCCTAAAGATTGCTCTTAGCAATAGTCACCAGTATCGATACGTCTCCCAAGACTACTTTCCACTCATTACATATACAGCAGTTTGACGATCCCCTTTTGTCCGTCAAGTACGGCACGAACGAAAGGTGCAACACTCACAGGGTACATGCCCGTAGGCTCTTTTTGAACTGCGCTTTCAACCTCAGGATCATGTTCCCAGCTGACGTCCATGCCTCCGATTTTTCCTTTGGCGCCGGCTCCTCCTCTGCCACCTCCGCGGCTACCACCGCGGCCACCACCGCGCGACATGTTCAGGAGGCTATGAATTCGTTCGTTGGATGCTACCGAGGTTTAGAGTAGACGTGCGTTGAACGGATGCGAGTGTCTATGATGTGCATGATTCGAAAGACCAGCTTGTCGGAGTGTGTATTGAGGTTGAAATTGTCGTAAGGTGCCAGTGATAGGGATGGAGGGAGGGCTTATGACAAAACTCTGATAGAGTCGTGAGTGACAAGCACTCCACTTCCGCTTAGCTTTCATGTCATAATTAATTATCTGCGGCAGGAACTTCCAAGTTGAGAAATGGTGAATCCACTAACTGTCTACAGACTAGTGGCACGCATCCTCGCCCCGCAATCCGCCCTCCATGGCCTGGAGTGTATATGGCCAGTGTATAGGGCTGAACGACGTCGGTATTGTCCCATCACATACGCTCATTCTCACTTTTCTCATTCTATCTGCCACGAAGACCAATAAAGCTTCCATGCTCACACGCTTCCGGTCACTTCACCTGGCTCCTCTTGTACTTTTACCGTGCGGTCGTCCACCATTCTTCTAACGACGTCCAAGCATACTCAACCATTGATAACGAAGGTTAGGACTGATGCTATCATAAGTCCAACGACTGTCTTCAACTCACGCCTATTCTGCCACTCCAGACAGCTCACTACTCAGCCATGCCTCCCTCTCCAGTGCTACAGCAGCTACAAACCCACCTTCAACAGCTCCAAACAGATCCATCCACAAAGCTCGATATAAAGCTACTGCAGCAATGTGAAATCTACGTCGCCTCAGTGAGCCCAACTGAAGAGGAGCTTCAGCTATGGAAATCGCTCTTCTTTCAGGCCATACAGCTTCTGTCATCCTTTCAACAGGATCCTTCGTCATTCAGTAGTTTGATAATGAAACTATCAGCCCCACTTGAGTTTGATCATATAAAGATGCTTGATCTGGCCCTCGCTATGGATCTATCTGCAGGACCTTTCCATCTGATGGTTCTGGGGCTCTTGGAGAAAGCCACTGCACCTGCACATGTGGAACTACTGGCCGGGATGCCAGAATTGCTATCTGCACTCGTAAAGCTCTGGCTTTGTGCTGAAGATACTAGTGTTGCGCTCAAATCGAGCAACCTGCTTTTGAATTTCCTCAGGCTGTCAAAGAACCCTCCAGGATCGAAGATAGCAGATGCACCTTTAACAGCTTATGGTCAGGGACCCGTATGGAAACGAATATTTGGCGATCGGGACGTTTTTCGGTTGTTCTTCTCGATTTGTAGCTCCCGTGAGAATGTTCCACGCGAGATCGATCTCACTAAGCATCAAAGAACAGTCGCCCAGGCAAGGCTCATGGACTGGCTGCCTCAAGTTGGTGTCCTGGACTGGGATACGTTATTACGATGTCACCATGTTGATGTTGTGACTGATTATGGGCTAGAGACTGGTGATGGACTCCTCAAGTTTGTCGCGGAAGACATGGTCAATTACGAAGACGACATACTGATGCATATCAGCCTCATAGACTTCTACACCACGCTCATCTCAACCGTCACCAGAAGGACTACAGCTGACCTAAGTGTATCGCTTCAATACCTTATCTCCCGTCGTCTACACCATCGAGCAATGTCCTATTGGATGGATCCTAATCCCGATGACCATTTACAGGGAATTTACCTTACCGGACCTTCTGCTTCATACATCTCCCTCTACGCATCTACCTATCCGGAGCACTTCGAAGTATCGATGCTCTCCGAAATCCACGCCAGACTCCATCAAAGGCTCGATGTTGGCCCCGGCGTCTGGATTCGATCATCTCCGGTAAACGAACTCCGCATTCTTTCCTCCCTGCCCAGGACCTCCATCTTTCCATCTCATCCAGGCGCATTCATGACCGAATCTGCTCTCGCCCTCGTTCCTACGTTGCAAACCAACCCCGACGCCCTCAACGCGCTCGCCACAATTTTCCACGGACCTACGGAGCCTCGTCCTGCGGTCACAGATATGATCATGTCCTCGGATCGCTGGGATATCGAAGCTGAAGCCGCGGCTGGCCTTTTCTGGCTGTACTACTCGACTCATCCCTCACTTTTTAAGGATCTCGTCAGGCATGCCGACATAGCCGCTCTCCCGCAAACTGCATTTGCAGCTATCAACCTGCTGCGCGCTATAATCACCGCGACATGGACTCGTACAACACCCGACGCCACATCTGCTTCATCAGTGACCGTAACGGCGAGCTCAAGTGCCGCAGCGCAAGCCCACGTACGCGTAGTGACATTTACAGCTGCGAATAGAGATAAGCCGGAAAGCGGACTTGAGACGCTGTTGCTTTTGCAAAATTGGCAAGTGGTGGCACCATACTTGTTCAAAAACAAACCTGTAGGCCACGTGATGGACGAGGAGAGCACAGTGTATAAACTTTCGGTTGCGCGGCACGGGCTTATAGTTGCCATCAAGGATCAGCTGGAGTTGTTGATGAAGGAACATGGACACAACCCGGAATGGGATTCGCTACATACAATCCTGCTTCAAAAGCTGACTGCGGGTCCAAGGGAAGAGTGGGGCCCAGGTGTTGGGGAAAAGCTTATTGCGACAATAGGGCATTGAATTGGAGTAGAAGCAAAGCAAGCAGAAGGTAGACATTATCATCATCTTGTTAAGTGAGGGTCAACCCGCGTCCTTGTACTGAAGAGGTGTAGGTAGATGTCAGTACACCCTCGTCCAGTGACGTACCTGATTAGTTGTTCTTACGTTAACGGCGTATTGACGAAGGGAGTGGCTTAGATGTCTGCAGACGACAATATATATTTACACCTACTCAATCCTTTTCCAACATCAACTGTGTACTGACCTCCCACTTCTGGCCACCACTCCCATACCCACCTCCCAGCTTATTCCTCACCAAACTTGCGATCCTCTCCCTGAGTCGAACTCCATCTTCCACATCCCTGACCTTCAATTTCAGATTGGCTTGGCATAGGCCATAATGCACCTGCCAAAATTTCGCCTCCTCAATTCCACTCACGCTCGGATCCGATTGGATCTCAAACAGCACATCACTAATCCCTGGTCCTGCATAGCTCATCATCAACATCTTGCCTAATCGCCAGCCCATGCGCCAGCCGAGTACAATCATGCTTACGGCGACGACCAGCGCAAGACTGCGGTCTAGCCACACGTACATGCGTATGCTCATCAATGGCAGCAGTAGTAATAGTGCAGAGCAACTCAGTGTCAGGAAGTGGCTCGGATTCGACAGGATGCTAGGCAAGCTGCTAAAATACCCAATGCGCATGACCCTGCCAATACGTGCATGGTTCTTGAGCACCAAGGCACTCGTCAGAGTCACTGCAATCGCAAGGAGCGCCGAAACATCGATGCTCCCGGGACTCACACGCTCATGCGCTGGTCGCGCGCCGTGCGAGTGGTGTGGCGCATGGGAGCCCGCGTCCTCTAGAACATGTGTCAACGAATGTGATATCAAGTCTAGGCCCATGAACAGCAGTCCCACGCTCATGCCTAGTCCCGCGACAACCTCTGCGCGCTCGAAGCCGAACGGGTGGCGAATACTGCTGCGCATCCAGGCCTCGAAGTTGCCGCCGACGTCGACGGCTACGCATAAGAACGCACCAAGGGCGTCGAAGAATAAGAGACGTGAGAGCACAGTCAGTGCGAGGGATTCATGAGCGCCCCAGAAGACAAAGCCGCTGGTTGTGAGGTGACAGAAACACCATGCGCCACGCAAAGCTTGGTCATGCGACATGCTGGACCAGTATTCGCGCCATGTGGGAATCGGAAGGGAAGCGGGGAGTTGGAGAGGTGCGCGGTTGGGCGGTGGTTCGAGGAAGATTTGGTGGGAGACAGAGGAGTGTTTATATTTGTGGCCACGGCGACGTCCGATGTCCTGTATATTGTGTTAAGAGACGTAGAAAGCTATCAGCGGTGATAGGAGGGGTCATACTGATTTCGAACTCGGGGGAGCTTTGCTTGCAGTGTATGTAACGGTCTGGAAATTGAACGGATTCTGTACGGGCTCTGTATCTTCACTTGTCGCTGACATTGGGGTGTATGGAGTGTATGGCGCTGCAGAGCCAGGAATTATAGCACTGCGAGGGGATGCGCTCGAGGAGGGTGCCAGCGAGGCAAATTGCGATGTAGAAAAGTTCTCTGACAGTGGTGAGAGACTATCGAGACCATAACCCAGCTTTGTCGGTGAGGATTGGTCTTCATATAACTTGTCGAGTCCCAGTCCTATCGGTTGCTGTTCGTCTGGTGGTGGAGTAGGGGTCCGTGGAGGTAAGGGGACAGGCATGTTGGACGCCATGGCGGCCCGTCGAGTATCCTGGACCTATGGTTTACTAGGATGTGAATTCAGGATTGAGTGCATTGAAGACTGGTTCTGGCGTGTATATTCTGTGAAGCCGCTTAGTATTGAATGTCGACGTCAATCATTAATGTCAACTTCGATGTCTCCAGCTTCCCTCGTTCTTGGCTAGGGCAGAATCCATGGATTGACCTTGGCGGTGAGCTAGACCTTAGCCTGCTGTCGAACGGATGGGTTCCAAAGTCGTTCCATCCATTATCTTCTTCAAATATATAGAGAACTCTGCTAAAACACGCCTTCGCCTGCACACATGGCATGTCCAACGATCCCTGATCCAGCTGCGAACACGCTCGCCTCCGGCATCCTAAGGGCATGGACAATGTAGCTGGCCCAAACAGTTCTCGCCGAACGAGTGACAACGTGTCAAACAGTCTCGCACCTACGATCTCAAACGGTAATTCGAAAAGCCCGTCTTTGCGTAGGCGAAGTCCTTCCGGGAGTTTCCTATCTCGTATACCGTTCTTGAAGTCATCGGAGGAGAACCGTAGCGCAAAGACCAGCGGTAATGACCATCACGAACAGAGTGAAACTGAACAAAATGAAGAGAAGCGTGGAGGGTCACTGTCGCAGGCTTTGCGACAGGTCAAGCCTCGGAACAGAAAGGGTTCGTTGAGAAAGACGGCGATATTGGGTACTGGCAACATAAAGCTCCAAGGACGAGAGCGCAAGAACTCTCTCCGGTCACGGCCATCCGAGGCCCAGGACTACACAACAAACGCTGGCGAAGCGACCTCAGCTCGTCGACTTCCATACATGAATAATGCTTCGACTTCATCTTCCGAGAACAACTTCGTCAATACAATACCACAATCATTATCTAGCATGTTTGTTAAAGACGACAATGCATACGAGCGCGAGCCTCTTACACCAAACCAAACATTATCGCCTATCACTAGCCCAGAGTCGGCGAATACTTATATGTCTACGACGGACGACGATACCGATTCGTCTACATTCTCTCGACCACCTGTCATCCCCGGTGGTATGGTGCCTAGTCAACAGTACTTTCCGCTCCCGCTGAACACAGCATTAGCGAGAAAACGGTCGGTGAACCGCGCGCATCCTTCACAAAGCTCTCCTCTCTCACGTCCACCTGTAACGGTCGAAGACGACTATGACTACAGCGAGACGGAATGGTGGGGCTGGGTCATACTGATGGTCACATGGATTGTTTTCGTTGTAGGCATGGGAAGTTGCTTCGGAATTTGGAGCTGGGCTTGGGATGTTGGTGAGACGCCATATGCGCCTCCGGAGCTGGAAAACGACGAAACCTTGCCCATAGTCGGATACTACCCAGCGTTGATCGTACTCACGGGGATTATGGCGTGGGTATGGGTTGTGACAGCATGGGTTGGGATGAAGTATTTTAGACATGCTCGAGTAATGGCCGAAGAGGGCTGAGAATATTCGTTCGAGACTATGTGATGTTGTTACTGGCAAGCGATGTGGCCTGGCCTCCAAACCTCCTACGCGCCTTTGTTGGCGTATCTGAACCTTCCACGGAATCTTTTCCGGGCTGGTCTCGCTAGTTGACGCGTCGTGGTCTAGGTAATTACATCCAGGCTCCAGAGCACTTAGGTATGGAAAGCATTGACTCTATAGACGCACACGCCCTGCCAGAAATATAACGCCGTGGCTTTTCAAGATTGCTGAGATGGAGTGCCAGCGTGGACCAAGAATAGCACTTCATGATTCAAGGTTCATGTCTAGACTGTACTGCTAAGTTGCATAACCTGCGGAACGGCGCTCAGTGGATGTTGATGCGTTGTATTGGGTGATGGGTTTATAATATATGTAGACTTTCACAGCTGTTACGAGGCTAATGTGGAGTGGTGATAATCACCCAATTTGTGATCCTATCCATGCTCTATCAAGCGCTTGTGGATTTACCTGAAGCCAAAACGGCCCCCATAACTTTCAGCTGCAACTACAGCCACAACCCACAGTTAGCGACCAGGCCCTCCGATACAAGAATACGAGAAAAGTCATGGAGTCTGCGATCCAGTCCTATCGTTTGCCATCTATCTCTCTTCAACTGCCTCGCAACCTACTCTCTGGTCCTGTTCCTGGACAATTTCGACCCGACCCGACCACGATCGCGATACCGACGCTGACTCGCTCAAGGCAGACAGCTTCACCGGGCTGAGGCTGTGCTTCAATACCGACACCATCACACTGTGCGACATTGCAAGGACCTGGCAAGGCTACACCTCGACAGGGACGTCAAACACTCCATGTATAACGACAGCGTCCAGTCGTGACACATCTCCTAGAAGAGAAAGACAACTTGTATAGCTTGAGTAGTCTCAAAGGGAGCAAGGAAAGTCTGAGACGGCGGGAACCTTGGAAAGACTGCGACTGCGACTGCGACTGCGACTGCGACTGCGACTGCGACTGCGACTGCGACTGCGACTGCGAATGCTACGGCGACGTCATTACCGAATAGATTACCACTGCCTACACGATCAACCTCCATTGGAAGGTTGGAAGACAACACCATGACAGACCTTCCTAGTCCGTGCATTACAGGCAGTCCGACAAGGTCGCGACGATCGTCCCAGCCAGTATCCACTGCCTCACCCGATTTGATATCACCCCTCCAGTCTCCCCAGGCTTTTGCCTCCTTTCAGCGCCCCACCCCTACGCGCTCCGCTTCAAGTTCTGACGACCGGCTGTCCAAATTGTTCCCTTCCAGACGGCCTTCGTCGGGTGGAAGGCCACCTTCGATATCCGAAGAGAGGAAACCACGGCCACCGTCGAAGCAGTTTTCGTTACCTGGGTCCTTGGTACCGGCGGTGCAACCTGCATATACTATACCATCAGCTCCAGCCCCCCCGGCATTTGCAGTTTCGCAGCCTCCAGCTCCACCCGCGTTCCCAGACCATACATCATATGATAGGACGGTGGACCCATTCGAAACGCAACATGCCCCAATAGCACAGTCCAAGCCAAGCCGGACAAAAAGTGTACTGGATAGATTCGCTTCACTGCGAGCGACAAGCATGTTCAGGTCGGCGAAGTACGCTACGCTTGACGATATTGACGGTGACTCTAGGGATAGGACACAGAGGGAGCTTCCACATGTTGCTGAAGAGGACGAAGGGCTCGGAATCGATATTAGCGGGCTGGAAGGACCCATCGCTCTTCAGTCAATCCATAGGGGAAGACCAGCCAACGTCTCAGATCAACTCGATGCCGACGAGGATGCCATGTATGCTGGCCATGCGGCAGAGTTTGAACGACTAGAAGCTCATGATAGGGCCCTCGGACTGGGTATGGCAAATGTTGTGGAAGCAGCTTTCGAAACTTCTACTACTTCCAAAGTCACTCCTTCCCAAGGCATGACGATAATACATAAGCGGGAACTGTCAAATCAAAATGTTGCAGCCCAGGACGCCGCAGAGAAGACTGGCGAGATACTTGCTGTGCCTGAAACTCCAGCATTCGACATCAGCACATTTGGCGGTGGTGACATTGGCACAAGCGATCCACTCAGCGTGAACGCGGAATCACGGGACGTATCTGATAAGCCTATGAGTTACTTCTTCCCGGAAGATAAGGAGATGCCGGACTGGCGACCAGTGTCGATGCGCTGGTTTTATGTCGGCCTTCTAGTCTTACTCGCTTTCACCCTGGCTGGACTACAGGAATATCTTTGTCAACTCTCCATTAAGAAGAAGAAGGAAGGTGGTGGCATTCTGGCATTCAAGGAGGCCAACGAACTCAGCGTTCTAGCATACTTTACATGGAAGTACGCGCCCACCATTGTCCTGCTATCTTACGGTATTCTCTGGCAAATCACCGACTACGAAATTAAGCGTCTCGAGCCCTACTATCAACTCTCTAAACGAACAGGTGCCACCGCAGCAGAGTCCCTTAATATCGACTACATATCACTTATTTCATACTTTGTACCTTTCCAAGCTGTCCGACATGGCCATTGGGCTGTTGTAATCTCCTCTATGGGATATCTTTCAGCCGGCTCAATTGTGCCCATTCTCCAGTCTGCATCCGTAAACATATATCCTGATAAGGCACACCGGAAAGAAAATGAGTTCAAATACGTTCTGATTGATCCCGGCTGGTCACGTGCCGTCTCGGCAGTATTGGTCTTTGCTGCCATTCTGGGTATTGCCTTATTGGTCTCAATACGGCGCAAATCAGGCCTTCTGTCCGATCCCAAGGGTATCGCAGGCATTGCAGCCATGGCTACGCGCAGCCATATCCTCAACGATTTCCGCGGCTTAGACACCGCAAGCCAGAACACTATCAATAAACAACTACGGCACCGAAGATACATTCTACACAAGAGTGCCCTATGGCAAGGAGAGTACATCCGTAACTCGGCCCACACAATCCGCGAACACCACACGGATTCCCGACCGATTATGCTCACGAAACGTGCGGGTTACCCGTTCGTCGGCTCCATTGTTGTCGTCGCAATTCTTATACCTATTTTTATGTTTATTCCATCAGCAAACGTCCTCACTGAAAAAGTGCCTTTTCTCCTTACCGCCATCGCTACCGGCATCAAACTCATCTGGGGCTCTCTTGACATGAGCATGCGGCTCATGGAACCCTGGGTCATCCTCAGCATGCGCGGCGCCCCTGCCTCGACACTCACCCTGGACTACACTGGCACGATACCCGGATATTTGTCTTTGAAAGCCCTCGTGAACAAACACTACCTCGTGAGTCTCGTCGGAATTGGAGCCATCCTCACTGAGATACTCACTGTATGTGCATCCTCGTTCTCTGTCGACGGCCTCAAATTCATCGCTGGCCAAGACGGGGGGCTAGGCAGTAGCAGTGGTGATCCTCCAGACATGCTACGCCTACGCGACGAAGATGACGTCGATGATGGTGTGTCTCGCTCCAACTCTGGAGAGACGTTCAAATCATTCTGGGTATCATTCGGCCTATCCATCACTATTCTTATCTACCTCACTATCGTAGCTATCCTATGCCTCGTCCGACGCAGCAAGAAAATTATGCCGCGTACGCCGGGTCCAATCGCATCTACGCTAGCCTTCATCCACCAGAGTAAGATGCTGAATGTGTTTGTGGGCGCTGAACGGTTCGATAGCGTCAGGATGACCAAGTGGTTGGAGGGCAAAGGCGGGAGGTACGGCTTGGGCTGGTTCAATGGCAGAGACTCAGAGGATCATTGTGGTGTTGATGAGGAGCCTTTACTGGCGAGCTATGAGTGGGGTAAAGATTGGACAAAGGGGAGGTTGGTTGGGGGTGAAGTTGGCGGGTGGGAGCATTTTTGATGCATGTAGTAGACTGGGTTTAGAGACATACAGGCGCGTGTTGCCAAGTCGAGCGTGTTAAGGGGTGTTCAAGTCGCTTAGTTGTATTGTCATGTACCCATACGCTAATGGTCCATTGCATTCAGCAATATTATTCAACTGCAAATGTTCTACCGTCTAATCGTAACAATCATATCCTCTTCATCTTATCTCATGTCATCTTCCCATTCTAATACTCTCACCTCCTTCCCTTATGATGCCAAACTCCGCGACCTGTGCCCCCTTTTCTCCACCTGCCTGAGTCCCCTCAATTACAAGCGTGGCGTACCGCCCACTCCACACGGGACTTTCCAGCGTCACATTCGTCGTATTCCCCAGATATACCCCCACTATATCCCCAGCCGTGGCTGGATCGTACGGCTCGCTAATTGCAACGTTCTGGCTTGTTGTCACGTTCACAATCATCCCTTGGTCGGCGGTTCCAAATGGCGGCAGCGTACTGTTGCTGAAAACTACACTGAATGAGATTGGTGGGCTGCGTGACCAGGCGAGGTGTATGGCTGTAATGGGATAGAATCTATCTCCTGGAATGCCTTTCTCGCTGCCGGTGCTCGACGAGAGGTCTACACTGATCCATGCTTCTGTTGCGCTGGCTGGTTGCCATACGGTGCTGATTGCGCCATCGACCGCGCTGAGAGGCATTTGCCCCGGGACGTATGGCTGCGGCGACGATGCTAGTGGGCGACATTGTGCGATGTTGTTTTCCCATGTTGAGATTGTGCCAATGCGGCGGTTTGGTAGTGTGATTGTGGAGTTAGGTGCAAGAGGAATGGTAGAGTTTGAGGAAAGACCATGGGAGATGGGAATGGGGGAGGTAGTGTACTTTGAGTTTGCGGATGGAAGCGAGTGTGGGAGGCGGGAGAGGGTAGTGTGTGTCTGGTTGCTTCGGGCAGTGATCGCGTGACCTTGCCAGTAGATGGTACGATATGTCAGGTGTGGGATCTGAGGCGGCAGGTTGGGGTTGATGGAGAGAGCGTCTAGGGAGAGGTTGAGGCCAAGGTAGCCGAAGACGGCGACGCGGTGGGACCCGCCTGTGCCGGTCAGGAATGGGTATGCTGGGTTTGCACCACCGTTGGAAGAGGGATCGTCTACAAGTTGTTCTGAGTATTGGAACCATGGGCCGCGTATGTACGGCTCGGTGCCGTAGATGTCATATGTGTAGGCAGAGCAGCCCGAGGGGGAGAACTTGTTGGCGACGATGCTGAAGACGCTGTATGTCATTCCGGGACCATCTTGCGATTGACGGCCGGCGTAGTAGTCGAGGTTGGAGAGAGAGTAGGGGTTGGGGTAGTCGAGGAAGTCGTCAATGAGGACAACGTCTGCTTGTTTCACGTTGATGGAGCCATTCATGGTGTCGTACTCAAGGATTATGGAGGCTTTTTCATTGACAGGAAGATCAAGAGACGAGGCTCGCTCAGAATATGCGTCAATGGTGGGCATGTTGAAGATATGGCGAAAACGGTTGGTATTGTTAAGATGCTTTTCGATGAGTGCGGTGGTGAAGCCGGCCTTGTCGACATGATTAGCGTACTCGTCGGGATCTGTAGCATTTTTGAGGCTATATAGCTTCGTTGTTTCGTTATAGTCGAGAAGGTCTGTGTAAAATGTTGCAATGGCATCATAGATTGGGAAGAGCTCGTTCCGGAAATAGTCAATGTCACCACTGACAATCCAATAGTTGACGAATTCAAGCCCGATATCTCCATTTAAATGATACTCATAGTCGAATGCTGGTCCCGCCGCTGTCGAGTTACCAAACCGTCCGCTAATCCAGGGGTAAGCTGCTCCTCTGGGGGAGAACCGGGCTGTCTGATTTTTGGAAGACTGATATGCTGTATTAATGTTCTCCTGAGCAGCTGGGAACTTGTTGACACGATACTGCGCAATTTGCTTCGCCACCTGGGGTTGAGAGACGACTAGTCCCGGTTGCATCCAAGTTTCGGCATCCCAAAAGATCCAGCCAGCATAGCAATCAGAACCCAGTCCACAAACGCTGATGCTGTTTCCGCCGAGATTGATATTGTGTCCCGCTTCTGCAATAGCATTCTCTCCCACAGTTTGCTGCAAGAGCTGGTATGGATTGGAAACGGCAAGAATTTGAAGCTCGACGATTTGTGGATCTTCAGGGAGACTTCCGTCATCTGCACGGAAGCTATCAACCGAGTCGTCAGAGAAGATATTGTGCCATTCTGTGACATGTGACTCTAGTAGACTCGCAAATCCAGCGTCCGCACCAGAAAGTGAAGCAGACCGTGCCGTCTTCTGTGGATCAGAAAATGCGTCACTTGATGCACCGCCAATGTGTTTTTCGACTTCAGTAGTATGTTTAGCTAGCAGCTGAGCGGGAATTGACTGTGCGATTGAAGACTGATTCCCACCAATACCGCCAGAAACGAGCTGTGTAGCCAAAATATCGTTGCAGCTAGATGTTAGAGTAGAATAAATATATGCCGTGACGTTGCTGACGCCATTCGGTCGGACCGCAGACCAAATGGTAGCAGCATCATGACCCTTGTCCACAAAGTCTGTCCGGACCGCAGCATCGCCTGCTAGGACGTCTGTAATGGTAACCAGAGTATCGCGAGAAGGTGTCATCTTGAGCTGTACAGCTGCTTGATTGACGTATAACTTATGCACAAACATGTTGTACTCGATGTTGATTGCTTGGGTTTCGGAAGGAGCCCACGTGTAGTCCCACGACAGAAGTCCCTTCTTCATGTCTAGTGTTGAGGAGAAATTGAATATTTGAGAAGCGTGGGTGGATGCATCTAATACATTGCCATCGACTTCAATCGTCAGTCCCGCCCAATGAGGGACACCAGATATAACGCTCTCTCCACCATACTGATATAGCCATTCGAAGTTGGTTCCATTTGTCCTTGGCTGTGAATCATAGAATCCAGCAATGGTCCCAAACGCTTGTCTTCTGGTAAATAATGGCCATCCACTGACTGCTCCTGGCTCGTCAACTTCGAAGAACGGACCCAGGGCAGCGATGCTGATACCAAGATAGCCATTGGCCAGGGACATGCGCGACTGGAACTTGCCCTGCTCTAGGGTACGAGTAGTCAGCTGCCAGTTGTTGTCATCCCAGGTCACATCTTCAAAGCGAGTATCGTATAGCCTCGCTGAGGCATGAAGTGATTGGGACAGGAGTAAAAGACAAAAATGCCAATTGAAGATCATACTTGTGTTAACTCTAGTTGAAGAATGGACTGCGTGACCCTTTCGATCATGAAGTCAATGAAACTATTGACAAGTCTGGGAAGAGAGCGAAGGGGCGGCGACTTGCTTGTAGGACGTCTGCGATTCTGGGCATTGTTAGGGCACAAGGAGCGCGTGACTGGTGCTGATGAGTGAATAATATGGATGAGCCAGCCTAGACCAATCAACACGCAAGGTTGGAACTGGGCTTCAAGTAACCTCAGGCATCCATCATGCAAGTGACGTCGTGCGGCTCCCTCACCCCGCTACAGCTGTCAGGCCACTGCGTTCCTGATTCTGCGAGGGCCGAGAGACGGACTGCGTACTAAGGTACCAACTTATTCATCCTTGCGCCTTGTGGCCTTAGGCTTGTAATGCAGATTGCAGCCATGCCTCGGCTAGATGAGGTTTAACTGAGCGAGCGTGGCAATCGATGTCCTTCTCCTGAACCTGGCTCTACAGCTTCGATTGTCTCGGCATCGTCTGATTGACTGAAAGTACAGAAACCATGCTGGCTATACGAAGCACAGCACGGCTCACTTCCCGGATCTGCCCTGTGAGCTTTCCCCGTATCCTGCGACCATACTCAACTGAGCTGTCTGGCTACGAATACATCAATATCAGCACACCAAGACCTGGCGTCGGTCTGGGTAAGCTGGCTGCGATTTCACATACTCGAGATGCTGGAAGACTAACCGGCATTTCTCTAGTCACCTTCAACCGGCCTAGAGCCCTCAACGCCCTGTTCACGCCACTCTTTCGTGAGCTGAATGACGCCCTCAGGAAGCTCGACAAAGATGCAGAAGTTGGTGCTGTTGTTCTGACCGGCTCCGAAAAAGCCTTTGCTGCCGGTGCGGATATCAAGGAAATGAAAGACAAGACATTCTCTGATGCATATGGCGACGATTTCATTGAGCTGTGGTCCGAAATGGCCTCTGCCATAAAGAAGCCCGTCATCTCGGCTGTCAATGGATACGCGCTAGGAGGCGGATGTGAGCTTGCCATGATGGCGGATATCATGTATGTCTCCATGGGCGCGACGCTAGGTCAACCAGAGATCAAGCTAGGCATCATACCGGGTGCTGGCGGCTCTCAAAGATTGACAAAGGCTGTTGGAAAGAGCAAAGCTATGGAGCTCATTTTGACTGGCAACAACTTCTCAGGAAAAGAGGCTGAGCAGTGGGGTCTAGCTGCCAAGGCATTTCAGACTCCTGAAGAGTGTTTAGAGGGAGCAATTACGACCGCAGAAAGGATTGCATCATACAGCCGGATTGCTGTCAAGGCCGCGAAGGAGGTTGTCAATAAGAGCCAGGATCTTGGAGTGCGAGAAGGTGTTGAGTACGAGCGAAGAGTATTCCACGGCATGTTTGGAAGTAAGGATCAGAAGATTGGTAAGTTGCACACCGCGTGAACAAGATAGATCTCTAATAAATCCCCAGGCATGGCGGCATTTGCGGCTAAGCAGAAGCCGGAATGGGAGAATGCTTAGCTTTCACTATTTGACAAGACAAATTCCAACCAAACATGTACACAAGACTATACTTACGCAACCTAGTGCGGAAAGGGATTTGATTAATCTGCCTCTGCACCATCTCGCCAGCTTACCCCGTTACCACAGATGCTGGTTTATCGTGTCGACCACTCAAAAAGCTTCATTCGACGTGCTAGATATATGGTGCGGTCCTTGCAATTACCGCTGTAAGCATGACGTCTTGCCCTGCCCTGTACCAGGATGACACGGAAAACACTAGGATACAGGCAAAGGGCACCATTAGAATCGTCTTCGAGATGACAATGCATTGTCGAACACCGATCTTGATTCATGGTCTGCTGTAATGTGGTATGTGCACAACTTACTATAACCTCAAATATGCTGCCTATGTAGACTCGGACTATGAACATCTAGCGAGTCAGCCTCCGTATCTCCCCTCACAATATCAATTCGCGTGTTAACCACGATCCCCTTCTGGTCGTCCGCACTCTTTCCAAAGTTCTGCCCGAAACCTTCACTCCTGTCATACACCAATTCATCCTGCGACTCACTGTTTCGCCGCACTGCCGTAGATCCGCCTGTGATGACTGTGCTGCCGTGTCGCAGTCGTGAGCCCTGTGTGGAGGACAGCTCGTACTGCCTTCCGTATGTGCCATAATTGGATTGTGAACCGCGACCGAGTATAATGGCACGGAGGGCTGCGATGCCAACGTCATCAACTCGAGATTTTGCAAGGGTGTTACCGAGTAGTTTTACATACCAGGGAGACAAGCAGCGATAATGGCAACGGCAATCTCAACTACAAGCATTGTGCACGACAGCATCGTGTCGCCCTGATTTCCATAGTAGGCCCGCACGATGCTTGCAACTGGCACAAACACGCCGAGAACGAAGATGCCGATAACGCCGAACTTTTGCTTGCGCTTCATGCGTAGCCTCAGTACCATGGAGATAGGTAGGATGATGATTGCTATGTCAGTGAAGATGTTTGTGAGAACTGTGAGCCAAAAGTTAACCTGTGAGCCCTTGGCGTCGCACTGGTCTGGGATAGTTGTAAGTTCAGAAATGCTTGCGTAGAATTGGATCATCGTACAGTCAAGGTCAAGAGACCAGCGCTTGTCGAGCGGCAGGCAATGAAGGAAGATGTCAAGGAACAGCACGGTCCACGTTATTGCAAGGACAATCAGTGCCACGTTGTAGGCTCTTTGCAACCTTGAGCCACTCACGGTGAGGCTTTTGTAGAAGATCACAAGAGCCGCTTTGATAGCCCACAGAGAGGAGATGTATAGAATGGACCCGGGTATGTCGACCTGAATTAGTCAGTGCACTGAGTACGTACGGAGGACTTTATAAGCCCGTACTTTTAGGATATTGACAACTCCTTCCAGGGTCATCGTCTCGATGTTGGCAATACCGTTGTTCCACATGTACTGCTGAACACCCAAGCACCCAACAAGACAACTTGCCGACATGACCAGCAGGAAATCGTCGATGGTCAAATTGCCTATCTTCGACCATCGTGTACAGAGGCGAAGAGCAAGTAAGACGAGAGCGCAGCCGGTGAGGATGTACCAGGACACCTGATCCCAAGTCAGTATACAAACGCACGTCAAAGGTTCTTCTAGGATTACTGTGCGTAGATAGACCACACAGCAAAGAGTGTTCTTACCACTTGCCCTCGCCCTTGAGCCATATTCCTGACCTCTAGAACGTTAGGGATCCGCGATTAGAACATGAGCATGGCACAGGAGTACAAGGACTGATATAAGAAAGATCTGCACCGGAAATGCCGTAAGTTGGAGTCCATCATTGCTTTGTTCTCCCACCTGGGTTTCCCTTACGCTTGTCGGGTTTTCAACGCCTAGTCTAGAGGTTATAAGAGGCTTTCAAACGACTCAAGCAGAAAACAGCAAACGCAACACCCGACTCGTCCAACAGTGGTAGATGACAAGCATTCCTCTTCCCGGACCATGCCGCTCCAAAGGCCAGAACGTGGCAAGGGACCAAGAATGTGGACTTGATGCCCGATGGGTGTGATTACATACGCTGTACATGACTTGTAGACACCGGTTTCCAGGTTTTGGTACCACCTTAGGGGCTTATTGGTGGAAAGCTTAAACCCAAATTCTAGATTGTTTTTTCCGAACTTCGATGATATTGACGAATAGACTGGTGTTACTTTCGGTTAAGATCCGTTGTGCGCTTGGAGGGATCCTGATACGAGTGCAATGTGGCACAGTCAAGCCTCAAGTTAGCGGACAGATGATCCCCCCGTTTACAACAAAGGATGACGACCTTCGTATGACCACATGATGCTTTCTAAAGATGGGGATGATCGGTACCTCGAAATAGTAAGGTGGAATCGGAGGTGTTCCCAGCGTGGTTCAGCCGTTCATCAGGCTGACCCTGCTGTTTGTCGCCACTGATAAGCAGTGATAGCTATACATTTGATAATCGACACGGCTTACCAGAATCTTGTAGATGCGCATCTCAGTAGAAGACAGTCTTGCTATTAAAAAGATGTCGGAAGCCACAGAGCCGGTGGGATTTCTCCAATTTGTCTTGCGAAAGTATTTAATGTGCAATCCCGCCATACACCGTACACTGACGATTGACCATCCGGTCTGCATTGGCTTGCAAGCTATCGCAGAGTGGTCGTGGGAAGTTGAATCAAACTCAAGCTAGAGAGACGTTGTGTCTGGATAACATAGTATCACCGACATCGATTAGGCTGTTCGTAGTTGTGCTGCCATGACTGCGATTAGCGTTGAACCTTGATACCTACGAAGTTCAATGACTGTGCCGCAATTGGCGTGAGGTGTGGCTACGAAGAACGAGGTATCAAGCAAATGTCATGACTTTGCAATATGACATGTTACCTGACTCTTCCAATCCTCGAGATAGGAGCGACCAGCTAGAAGCTAGCCACCCTTCCTTCGTATAAGACTTTTTGGAATGCACACCTGTGAGGCTCAGGGCTCAAAACCAAGATTTGCAATCTGTCTCCCTAAGCATGCTTTCGCAGCAGTAAATTGGGAATCTGTTTGTTTCTTTTACTAACATTTAATGCTGGACCATGTGGCTTGTAGTATAATCTTGGAAGTGGTGACGTCGAGCTAGAATTGGGAGCGAACCAGGGTTCAGATGGAGGTGGGCTAAGGGGGCCTCGATATGAAACAAATCTCTCTCCGATATCAGAGACTAGTAGGTATATAGTACCCCTAGGGATGTGTGTAAGAGAACGATATTTGGTTTTCCCCTACTTTGAATATCAGGACGTTCTCCTGGGATAGATCCCTACTCAGATGGGTCAGTACTGAAAGTGCATTAAGGAAGCATAACGGAGCACGCATATATCTATGCTAGTCCAAGTGTGGGCGAAGGAGACTTCAGATTATTTTAGGTAATTAGAGTGTAGCTTTACCAATGCTCATTCATTGTCATCTACGTTCTCGACACGTTTGCGCACAATGACCAGAACATCAACATTTGACTTTGAATACGATCCTTCTGTGGCGGATTTCGCCGTATCCAAGCGCGCGTACCTTGATGCGCATTCAGACGTTTCGTACCATTACATCGCCACAAGCGCGCTTGTTATAGACACCAGATACGTATCCATTCCTCGGGTCTTACTTCTGCAACGCGCTGCCAGCGACTCCAAACCTAATCTATGGGAGCCTCCGGGCGGGGCTTGTGATGATGAAGATGCAAGCATCCTAAATGGTGCTGCCCGAGAACTATTGGAGGAGGCTGGCCTTCGAGCAACCCGAATCACCGAACTTGTCGGTGATCCGCATTTCTTCACGACGCGAAGTGGGAAGTTGGTTTGTCGATTCTATTTCGCAGCTCTGGTGGACATAAGTGATGAGAACACGCCTGTCGTGAAGCTAAACCCCAAAGAGCATCAACAGTTCGTTTGGGCAACTCTGGATGAGGTTAAGGCGAAACAAGTTGGTGACATTGCTCTGCAATTCACACGAGACGAAGTTCACCAAACGGTCTTACGAGCGTTACAATCTACGAATAATTAATTAGAGGAAGGTGCTATGAAATATTATGGCGGAGCTAGCGATAAGATAGGGAAACTACTAGCCCGGTCAATCTTATTAGGAGTTATTGAGTGGTCACAACTGCCGGTTAGGACTGGTGGTTAGCACATCCATGAATTAAATAGCTCACGAGAGACTCTCTCACTCTCTTTCTCTCTCTCTCAATCTAACACTCTCTCACCTATAAGTAATTTAGTTCAATAATTGACGTCTACAAACTCTCTCTTTACACGTCCATCTATGATTAGTAAACATAAGATAGCTGACTTCTGTGGTGGTGACAGTTGGGCCCTCCCACAGAATTGGGTATCCATCAACCTTCAAGGTCATCGCGCATGGTCGTGTCCATGATATGTGAGTTCTCTATGCCTTGCCGCGGTCTCTAGCCTATCTGATTACTATAGTGTAGCTCGTTGAGAATCTTCCATCCTCTCATCCATCCCTTTTCGTTTGATACTCCTCCCCCGCCTTTGCCAGATTACCGTGCGTTTAGTTTAGCTCTATCATTCGGCGACATTTGTAGCATGGATAATTGCTTCATCGAATATCCAACTGGATTTGGGTCAGAGGACATCGTCGCTTGGGGAAACACTGGCATGGTCTGCCTTGACGCTGCGTCGCAGACTGTCATTAAGACTCCACATGATGAGACACATGCCAATTCCCTCCAAGTCGAAAGACGCATCTACGAGCGATTCCAAGAACGTGGCAACCATGACGGACTCTTACGATATCACGGGCCTTTTGACAAATTTGGCATTCGCCTAGAGTACGCGCCTGAGTTCAATCTCGGCTTGACCCTTTCTAAACGCACGGACATTGACCATGCTCAAAGACTCCGTTGGGTGCAGCAAATCACAGATGCAGTCGCTTTTATACACTCTGTTCAGGTTATTCATGGTGATCTAACTTGTAGTAATGTTTTTTTGACAAAGCAACTTGATGCTAAGCTGGGAGACTTCGGAGGCTCTTCACTCGACGGGTCAGATCTACTGGTCGCAGTAACCGAAAGCCACCGTTACCCTGGAGTGTTACTCTCAACGCAGGCCGACATATTTGCTCTTGGTTCCGTAATGTATCACATTATGACTGGAAATGCACCATATCATAGCTGTTCTGACTATGAGATTGATGATCGTTTCCAAAGGGGCGAGTTCCCTAACACTACCTCCCTTGGGCTGGTTGGGCAAGTCATCACGAAGTGCTGGCAAGCAAAGTACGACAATGCAGAGGACGTACACAATGATATAAAACGCAATAGTACTCTCAAGCTTAAACTAGGTTCACTATAACGATGAGACCATAGTAACCATATCCAGTCAAGAGTCCGATTTAGCGACTATAACACGTGCCTTTAGGGCTTTCGACATTCCTTTGTGTCTTATTTTCGCCTTGTAATGACATGATTTGGAACTACAGTGTAACCTATGTACTTCTCCTTGGACTCGGTATAGGTGCACATGTTCTCGATTTGCTGCGTCATTAGTGCTCGCATATATATATATAGACGTAACAAGGGGAACTAACATAAGCCTGATTTCGAAGCGCCTAGAGGAAGACTCAATGGATGCTGTTGCTGTATTTCTAATCTAGTACAGTTGTCACGGCCATATATATACTTCTTAAATTTATAGAAGACCCCTTGTTACTATAGTCGTATTGAGTGGCTTGATAGTATCACGTCCTGCGATCAACGGAAGCGCTACGTCCGTGTGGGCACTGCTGCCTGCCTGTATCCATGCTATCCCGTCGTTGTCCTCCTAGTGTTGACTGAAAGGTGTAGCCCTGTGGTTGGTCTATTTAAGACCTTCGTGTGTTTGCATATCTCGCATATTCTTACGCGAAGCAATTGATCAATGCGCCCTCTTTTAAATCGCTTCCTCACTGCTCGCCTCATCTGATAAGCTTTCATCCCCATAAGACTTGTCGGCCTTCTCTATCTTCCTCAGGGTCCTACGTTCCTCCTCTATAACCTTCTCCTCGTCTGACACCGTGAGCTGCTCCTCCGGCGTTTTTTGACGATACTTCCGCTTGATTCGCGCGGGCTTCACACCCTGTAGTAGCGTCGACTTGTCATTCCACTTTTCTGCTTTGGCCAACAATTTGCATAGTGTTTCAGGACAAACTATCACAGAGCACTCGGGAAGCCCGTCAGACAGTGCTTGAGTAGCGAAGTTGTTAAGAGGCAGCTCGAGGCCGGCTGATGATCGGACAGGGTTGCCTTCGGCGTCTCTGAAAAGCTACCTTATGTCAGTGATGTCACTAATCGTCGAGCAACATACAGACCTCATTGTCAAGCTCCTGAATGACTTCCCCTTCAGGCTGTCCATCGTTCCCCGGCGATGTTTTCAATCGCCAGATGGAGATACTGGCTTCCTTCGACTTCTTGTATTCCAAATCAATTCCAATCATAACTCTGATTCCACCATCCGATGCAAGTATGTAGTTATCAGCCAGGTCAATTAAGCTCTTCCGCTTCTGCGAGTACGAGACTTCAATTACGACGCCGGGCCATGCGGCATCCTCATGATGAAACCTTATATCAGGCTCATGTCTGATTTTTTTGCCATCATCTTCGAAGTGTATTGCGCCGCTCACTGAACTGATTTTGTCAATGAATGGCCGCGTCTCCACGTGATTCTCTTTTAAATTTTCCAATCCCTTCTTGATGTCCGCAACCAATTCTGACGAAAAGGTGTCGTGCAACGTCGTTGGCATCCGGATAACGAGTCTGCTGCCAACAGGATCGTAATCGTATCTAGAAACTGCTATCAGCATGCTACAATAACCTATTAGTTATGTTTATTACTGACCTAACTTTGTCATCCACGTATTCGCAGAGTTCCACGTCGTCTTTTAGTCGACGTTGCAGTTCCTCGTACTCCCCACTATCGAGTTTATACACTGTCCAGGGTACTGAAGGTGGATAGCCGGTTTGACAGCTCTTGAAGGCGCATAAGATCGCTACGACACGCGCTGAGGATTTGGCGTCGGCAGAAAGGGGTGGTGTCGGAGGGCCGTCAACGATGCTTGCTGGAGGTGTAGTTTGCTGGGATAGATCTAGCAGCGCCATGAGCGTTGCGGTGAGGAAGTTAGGGTGGAAAGATGTGTTTTGATGATGGAGGGGACTAGAATGTTATCCGTATATCCATAGTTGCATGGGAAAGCTTGGCGCCCGATGTTGCGCCCGGACATGGGTTGCTTAACTAATCGATCGATGCGGTGCATCTGTCGCTTTGCTCTTTCAATCTAAAATAGTATATATATAGACATGTGCATGTGCATGTGCATGCCAGCTAAGATAAGCCTAGGTCCGTCTTCGCGGCTAGGAACTAGCCCTGTTCTACGCATCCTAACGTGACACCTACATGTGCGGGTGTACACCACAATGTCTACTGTTCTCCCAAAGGATATGCTGGGGTGTAGATCAAGAGTTTTGGTGGTCCCGACGTCCTGCGCTATAAGACTGACTTACCCGTTCCCGTTCCGCGAGCTGGAGAGATTTTGGTCAGAAACGAATTCATTGGCATTAATTTCGTTGATACGTTCGTGAATTATCCCGCTATTCTCGCCGCTCGCGATCTCTAATGGTCTGACAGATACTGGCGGGCAGGCATGATGGGGTTTCCCGAGAATGGAATTCTTGGCCGTGAAGCAGAGGGTGTCGTTGTCGCTATTGGGAGGGTTCCTCAAGCGTCCAGCGTATTTTAGTGTTCTAAACGTTCGAAACAAAGATTTACTAAGTAATCATGTAGTCATTAGTTTAGCCGAAGTAACCTCCGGTACCCTTCTATCCGCCTCTTATTCTTCTCTCTTTCTCTCTTTCTCTCTCCCTCTCTTCCTCCCCCTCTCTCTCTTTATTATATATAACTTTAACTAATTTTGACCTCGTAGGCTTCCAAATAACACTTATACACGTGTTTTTGACTGATTTTTACTCTTTTTGACTGATTTTGACCTTGCAGGCTTCAAAATAACACTGATTACACGTGTTTTTGACTGATTTAAACCTTATAGGCTACGGATGTACACGTGCTTTAAGCTGATTCTATATTACTTAGTAAGACGGCTTAGATATATGGTAGAATAGCCGACCCGTATAGTATACATAATACAGCTGGACGCTTGAGTAACCCTCGCTATTGGTCCTGGTAACGCCCACGCTCGAGAACTCGGCCAACGCGTTGTATGGTACGATATGGGTAGTTATACCTCTATACCTGATTGGAGAGCCTACCCGGTGCCAAGTGGCATCCAGCCTGGTCTGGCCGCCGCAGCTCTTCTACAGGGCCTGACTGCACTCAACCTTACCTGCAATGTATATCCAGTGAAGAGCGGTGATTAGATCCTTGTGCGTGCTGCCGCTGGAGGGGTAGGCTTGCTCCTGTGTCAGCTGTGTCATAAACTCGGCGCAATCATAATCGGAACTACAAGCACAGCTAAGAAGGTTGATCTTGCCAAAGCAAATAGTGCCGACTATATGGTCAACTATAAGAGGGGGAATGATCTTATAACTAAAGTAAAACACATCAAACAACGTAGAGATCGTTGGTCGATCCGGGACCATCGTGACTAATGGAGCAGCTGTAAGTTACGCGTGCGTCAGGAAAGTGATCTGCCGATGACTAACTTACACGCTCAGTGGTATGCCAACGTATATCTCACCTCAGAGGCTGAGAATGAAAAATATCAATTTCATCGGACCAGGAGTATCTGCATTGGCCAATTCTGTTGGATCACTCCAACAGTTTAGTAGTTACTGTAACATACTTTATGATCTCGTCGCGAAGGGAGATCTGAAGATCAGAATTCACGATACATATGCTCTTTCAGACATGAAGGTAGTCTATGAGCGCCTATAAGAGAGGATGACAGCGGGCAAGGTCCTGGTAAAGCCTTAGATAGGACTATTGACGAATTCCTACACGGCGTTGTGTCTATTTATTGTGTCATTTAAGATACACTGGCCTGGTTGGCGTCAATCGTCATATCATAGCTTTAGTAGTAGTTAATAGCTACCGAATATCAAAAGCCTAAGTAGAGGATCAGATAATAAAATTCGCATTTAAAGAAGTCGTCAAGTAAGATCGACCTTGAGTACGGTGTACTCGAGCATGAGCGAAGGAAACTAGCAGAGTAAGAACTTAAGCTACATTGGGATTGAACATAGATATTAGTTATCCAAAGTTTGCGTCAATTTCGATCGAAAGGAAATCATTTGATAGAAACGAACCCAGGATAAGCATGGCATCCAAACATGCCACTCTCCAAGTGAGCCTTTCTCTATGTCTGAAGCCCTATGCTTTGGAAGGAGTAGCTTTTTTTTTGAGGGTTTTCCATCCCATACCAGCAGCAAAGAAAAAGCAGCCAACGCCCATCCCAGCAGCAAGGTAAAAGACGCGGTCAATACTTTCAGCATAAGCGGTTAAGACACCCCTTAGCTCAGTCCCTGGGACTATGCTTCTAAACATTGTTGCACCAGCATCTATGACGCTCCATGCATTAACTAATGGCGCATATTTTGCAATGAGAGTCTTGAAGCTGTTGCTGTATATGGTTTCAGCAAAACTGAGCATCATGGCTGCACCAAAGGATTGACTGAAAATGACAAGCGCCATTGCAATTGGAAGCTGCTGGGGTAGTACAGTACTCTGGACGGCGATAAGAGGCTGCGCGACTATCAGCAATTGAGCTATTCCTATGGACTCAAAACAAACCATTTGTAGACCAAGGCCACGACCGACACCATAGATGATTTGATATCCAATCCACTTGCCAGTAGAAGTATCGGGGGAAAAAGTAGCCATGAGACCACTTCCAATAGTCAATAAAATAGCCGCAAACATCGCTATCGGGACGTAATAGCCCACAATTTTGACTGCCGGAGTGTTAGCTAGATTTCATGTGCACGGGGATTGGGGTGGTACCCACCAATAGGACCCGAACAGAGCGCGGCGCAGACGTGGGAGATGATCATGGGTAGAATGTATACACCGCTGAGTAAAGGCGATACTCCTTTAACACCTTGGAAGTAAACAGGCACCCAATACGAGGCAGTGTACAGATTGCCCATAAACAAACCATACACAAGACAGCTAGTCCAAACTGTCTGTTGGCCAGCGATAGAGAATGGGAGCATCGCTGTCATGCCTTTCCGATAGTTCCAGTATAAGAACACGATGAACGTAGCTCCTGCACCACAGAAAAGGCCAATGACTTGAGAGCTGTTCCAAGACCATGTGGTGCCGCCACCTTGTAGCGCGAGAAGTAGCATGACAAGGGCTGGAGCAAATATGGCGAACCCTGTGAGATCAAGGACTGTGTGTATTTTTCGAATAGTCGAAAGGGGCGGGGGACGTGGGTGCTGCATTGGTATGCGAACAAAGACTAGCATTGCAGCGACTAGACCTCCAAGGGGGAGATTAAGGTAAAAACCTATTCAGGTCAGTCGTCTGAGGTCCTTTGCAAGCCGACTGATCTTACACCATCGCCACGTCGAATATTCCGTTAAAGCTCCCCCGATCAGAGGTCCGAGAGCAAGGCCAAGCTGTGCGACTGCCATAAGTCAGTGAACGAAGGCCTACTTCTGATGAGGTCGACAGACTCCCCATAACAATGCCAATGATAGCTGTGCTGCTGATCAGTATCATGTCAACAAAAGGTTTTGGGACGTGTGGTGACCTACTAGGCCTCTTTTGCATTGGGACACACTCTGCAATGATGAGCATTGTCCCGTTCAGCATGCCAGACGTGCCCACGCCAGCGACAACCCGTCCTCCTATCAGCATACCCGACGTGCTAACGACTCCGCATATCAACGATCCAATTTCGAAGATAATGAAGAAAGCCAAGAATGACCACTATGATTGTCGGTGAGTACCTCCAAAGCACAATAGGGGTCAGACGAGGGCTATCAGGTACCTTTGGAATGAAATTCATGTATATTTTCCCTGTCAGCGGTTGGAAGACTGCACTACGAAGAGAGGAGATCAATTAGTTGTTTTGCGGTGTCAATGCCTTTGACTTACCTCCCTAGTTGGTATGCAGCTCCATACCAACCGATGTCTTTGAGAGAATTGAAGTCATCTGTGATGCGTGGTACAGCCGCAACGACGATGGTCCCATCGAGAAGCATAAGGAAAGATACAATCGTCACAGCGGCCAAAATATTGAGCAGCTGAAAGCCGTACGCCCACTCGGGCTCTTTTGTAACTGTTATAGAGTCGGACTTCATGGCTACAGTCGAGGATTGTTGCGCGCTCTTGTCTTCGTAGTCTTTGGCGTCTTTCTTCAAAATGGATGAGGGCGACGGTCGTGCGCTACTGCTATCGAGAGTAGCATCTGCGTTTGGTGAAGAATCTTGCAAGGCCATTCTGTAGACTGATGAGCTGGAGGATAGAGTGGTGGCTGCGAGAGTCGTTAGCTCCGAGACGCTGGCCATCTCCACGATTTTTCGTCCGGTTGATCGATAGCCCACGTGCGGCGCTGCACGAAATGAGATTGCGCCGACCTACCCGTCCTGCCTTCATGTACATGTCGACGCGTGGAAGTACTTCAACATTTCCACAACAAGGTGAGGTGGACGATCCTAGATCTGCATGTTGAGGGAGGCTGGCCCTATGTTATTTGGGGGCACTGAAACACTCAAGGCAAACACCAAACTCGAATGTTATCTCTAATATAGAAAGTAACATATGGGGTCAGCTTACCTGCGAACCTATAAGTAAGGGGCAAGAATTGGGCCCATGGGCTCTATCTAGTAAGAATGCAGTCCACGTATGATAACATGAACATTGCAAGAGAATGCTAGGACTTAGAGAACGTGGACGCAACACACTGTCCGAACTAGATTAGCAACAGCCCTACTAGAGGAGGAAGCAAGGCATTTACGACGAGGACTTCTTAAAACAAATCCTTAGGTTATGGCTACATGAATAACTAATCGAACCTAAGCCAGAGGATCAACGTACTACCAGGTCCCTATACTCTTACCCTACTCTTATCTTAATCTCTTTGATCCGTTCAGGCGTCGCTAAACTTTACTCCAAAGCACATCTATAGCAGAGAGCCGCGAGCAAAGTACACAAGTACGTAGTCAAGAGACTCCCCATCGTTTCGTTGAGACTGGCCTGCCAATATATTAGTTGTGGCTTATGTGTATCTCACGAACGGCGCCATTCGTGCAGGGCACTCAGCCAACCTTATATATCCCTAATCCCTACTTCCTGTTCCTTCTCATACCCTCTTCCCCTCCTCTCTTCTCTCTCCTATCTTTTCTCTCCTGTCTCTTCTCTCGTCTCTCTTCTCTCCTCTCTTTACTCTCCTCTCTTACCCCTTTTCCCTGTTCTACCTTCTGTAAAGCTACTAAACTCGTAAACGTAGTCTAGCCCTAGACCAGTATAACAGGATAGTAATGATATTAAGGAACTAGACTCTTATAAGGTTAAGCTATATCGTAACGTTAATAGTAATATATACCTTAGGACTAACACATGCATACTTGGCACTACTAAGAAGCCAGTGAGCTAATGCAGAACACTCTTACTAGTAACGATGCTATTCGATTTATTAAAATAGAGCTTAGTGTACATCATCTATCTAGTGGTCGTCCCACAGCACACAATCCTACCTAGCTGTACCCACCGGACCCACCAAGCGCATCATTAGAATACCCTCCATAGGTCTTCGGATCGACAAAGTACTTAACTTCCAACGGCCGTTTCGCCCCCTAAAAGCCCACCTCCCACGCCCTAATAAAGGTTAGCTCCTGGACGTCGTCGACACTGGCATACATCTTGCCTTCCAATCGCTGCAACATAGTACACCTCTTATCTATCGTCCATGCCAAAGCCGCCACGCCATAATGCTCCGGCATGAGCTTGTCGTTGCCCCTCCGCCCTAAAATCAGCTTCTCGCACGCGAGCATGCACAATGGCTCTACACTGTGCGATGGCCACGCAACACGCACTCATCCCGGTTCTCGGCGCGACGGCGCCAGGCTCTCGTATGCATCCAGTTCGTCCATGGTAGCTTCGTCCGCATTCTCGAGCCTTACGACGAACGCGCGGCGCGCGTCACTGTACCAACACTTCGCGCCCAGCTGTAGTAGAGCCGGAGAGCGGCAGATCGAGCGGGTCCAGATGTAGAAAGCCCAGGTCCGCCGGGCTGGCATGCTCGAGGACGATGATACCGCCTCGCGAAAGCCAGCCCTGGAGTGTGGCGGTCTCTTGGATGAGGATGGTGCGGCGGGAAATGCGAAGATTATAAGCGCGATGTTTGCCTTGGGCAGAGTTTCCAAGTGGTGTGTTCTGATGATACAGTCACCGTTCATAAGTTCCCGAGGATGCGCCGGAACATGCATTTCACACATCACGCGTCTTATTTTATAAATAGTTCTATAATAGCTCTAGCTTCTATAAGCTCTAATATTTTTTATAAGAAGTATCTTAATATATCTACTTATTCTATTATTCTAGGGATCTATTATAGTAGTACTAGTATTATAGAAATTAAGGACTTTATAGATATACTCTATACTATAATTAGAGATACTATTAAGAAGTTAACTATACGCTCTAATATAACTAAATTAATATCTAGAAGTAGTTATTCTAGGGTATTTATATCTAGAGATAAAAGATAATTACTCTTATTTATATATCTAACTCTCTAATATATATATAATAAGCTTAGAAGTCTTACTAGACTAGATATAAGTAATTCTATAATTAAGTAGATATTTTTAGAGAATAGAATTACTAACTAGTTATTAGAACTTAGCTTTAGATAAAGACTAGACTTATATATACCTTAGCTAATAGTTAGTTAGAAGGTAGTATAATAGATAGTAAATAGTTATATACTAGATAGATTAACGCTTCTTTATATATATACTATAGAAGACTATATCTATAGCTCTATATATATATGTCTCTAGCTTAATTATATAGTATATTTATATACTTAAGAAGAATATTTCTCTACTTATTTTAATATACATGTACCCTCTATTACTAATATTTAACTATTTAGCTTTACTTTATATTTATAGACTTCTATAGGTATTAATTAATAGATATAGTTATTAAAGAATTAATTATAAGTATTATATAGATCTATTCTATTATATAAGAGAACTAATAAGTAGTTATAAGATTAAAGAGTACTTATAGTATATAGAAGAGATAGATATAACTTTATTATATCTATCTTATTAAAGAGTAAACCTCTTTCTTTAAAGGAATACACCTAAGAATAGCTTACTATAATTTTAGAGATTATATCTAGACCTTAAACTTATAGAGAGAGATTAGAACTATTAAACTAATATAGAGGAGATATATTAAGTAACTACTAAGATAATCTAGATCTACTAGACTAAAGCTATAAGTCTAGAAGCTAAAAAGTCTAGAATTACTAGAGGCTAGCCTCTTAGAAATCGCTACTAAGAGTATATATATACTAGCCTATATAATAATATAACTTAAAAGAACTTTAAAGAAATAGAATATAAAAGAGATATTAGAACTTAGTCTTAGATATAACTATATCTATATATACCTTAGCTAACTTAGTTAGAAGGTAGTATAATAGATAGTAAATGGTTATATACTAAATAGATTAGCGTCCCTTTATATATATACTCTTAGATTTCTACTAAAAGAGTTTAGTAGTAATTTTATAAGAATAGAGTAATTAGATAGTAGTATAGTTAGATAGAATAATAGAGTATATTCTATTGTAGAATAAATTACTACTAAACCCTTTTAGTAGAAATCTAAGAGTATATATATAAAGAGATACTAATCTATTTAGTATATAACTATAATAAATTACTAGTTAAAGACATAGAAGAATACGTAGACTCTAGTATAAGTAGTATAAGAAATAGTATAATACGTAGAAGGGGAGCCTACGATACAATAGATAGCCTTAGATAGTAATCTAAGGCTAAGATAGATACCTATAGGAAGAGCTAATTATAGGTACTTAGAATAGGTATTCTAAGTAGTCTACTAAGTAATTAGAAATAGAATATCGATATTCTAAGTAGTATACTAAATACTTAGAATAGGCATTCTAATTAGAGGACTTTAGTAGAACTATATAGACTCTTTAAACCTAACCTCTAGAGATAGTTCTATAGTAATTAATTTAAATTTATACTAATACAATTACTACTTTACTCGTCTACTAGCTAGTTACTATTTATACTCTATTAATACTTACTATAAACCTACTTATACTCCTCCAAGCCTTCTAAGTACCTTTATCTTTAGAAAAGCTAGAATATACTATATAATAGACTACTTTAGAGATAAGCTGTATCCTTATTAGGGAAGGTTTATTATAGTTTAATTACTTCTACTTAGACTCTAAAGTAAGTATTTATACTATCTATTTAAATAAAAAATAGTAAACGATAGATAGTTCTTATCTTTATAAACCGTTCTATAAGCTCCGACTATAGAATAAGTTAGAAACCTTATTATAGAACTAGAGAAGTAAGTTACGGAGCTCTAGAGAGAAAATATTAAACTTAGAAAAGCTAAAGAGGGCTTTAAAAGAAAAATCCTAGAATCTTTTAAAGGTAAGCGAAGCGAACTCTAAGGATTTCTAATATAGATTAGAATATATCTATAGACCTATTAAATTTAGAATCTAGAAGAATAAGTTATATTTACTACTAGACTACTAAAGGAAGACGCACTCGCTTAGTTTAAACTCTACTTAAGAGACTTTATAGAAAATAATCCGTAGAATTAATAAGATAATACTACTAGAATCTTTAAACGTTTTAAAGAATTCGAGAAATATATTAAAATAACCTTTAGAGATATAGATAAATAAAGGATAGCTAAGAGATAAATCTAGTAAATAGTCTAGATAAAATCTACGTCTAACTACGTCTCTAAATTCTAATAAATCTCTAGTTAGTTAGGATAGAATAATAAACCCCTAATTCTCTAGTTCTATATAGAATTATATAACAATGTTAAGGATGAAATCTCTAGAGAGAGAGACCGTCCTACCAACCTCTAAGAATATATTAAGCTAGTAGTTTAGATTAATAACTAACTATATAAGAGACGCTATAAGAAAAGAGGAAAAAAGATTTTTTAATCTATACTTAAATAAGATACTTAGAAGGGTTACGTTAATAAAGTCCTAAACTATCTATATAAGAGATTCTATAATAGATCTATACTAATAGAACTTAGTATCTTATAGATAAAACGCCTATCTAATAAAGAAAGGGAATAACTAAAGAAGAAAGGTAAGTATCTTTACTATAAAGAAAAGGGATACTACGCCCACGAATGCCCGAAAAATAAAAATAAGAAAAATTAGATTAAGGACCTAGTATTAAGATAAGGAAACTTTACTATAGAAAAGAAAGAAGTACCTTATATAGCTATATTATAGACTAGTTATACTAACGATCTCTACTTCATATATAAGTTAGAGAAAGATAGTATAGATTAGTATCTAAAGAAAAGAAACGTTTTAATAGCTAGTAAATAACCTCTATCGCTTTATAAAAAAATAGAACTATAGAAATACTTAGATATAATAAGAAGATCTAAACTAACTAAAGAAAGGATATCTAAAGAAGTAATAATTAAAGGAAGTACTACTAAGGAAGATAGTAAGGAAGAAACCCTTACTATAGAAGAACTATATAATAAGTTAATAATAGACTAAGACTCTATTACTTACTATATTATCTATTATTATAGAAAGTATATAAGTAAGAATAATAGAGATCTATCTAGAAGAGATATAGAAATCTAACTAGAAGACAACCTACTTATTTCACCCTACTATAAGGAATATAGTAAGACTTTCTAGATTACTTATCTCTATAATAACTATTCTTACTACCTCTATAAGAAATGAACTTAGAAATAGTTTCTATAATAGTATTAAAATTAAGTAATTCTAAAAGTCTTTAAGGATAAAGATATATAATAGTATAAAATAATTACTAAGGAAGCTAATAAAAACTACTTTATATTAAAGTAGATAGAAAATAAAATTTATCTAGAGAACTAATATATCTAATACCCGGACGTTATATACTAAACTTATCTAATATCTAAGACTATTATATAGTATAACCTTTAAGTAGACTTAGGTAAAATTAAGAAATAAGTTTAATCTATAATCTAACTTATATAGAAAATAGAACGGGAACTTAGTAAGCTATGAAAAAACTAGAAAGACTAGATATACTAAGAGAAACGGCCGAGCTTAAAAGAAAATCTCTTATATCTATTAGTAACTTAGATAATAAAATATAAATATCTCTTAAAATTTAGCTCTATTAAAAATACTCTATTAAAGTACTAATTAATAGCGGAGTATAGTCTAATTTTATCTCTCTAACTATAGTAGATAAACTAAAAATACCCTATAATAGTAAAGAAGAACTATATAAACTATCTACATTCAAAGGACTCAATATAGAATATACTAATAGAATAGTATACTTAGAAATAGAACCTCTAGATTTAGTCTTAATAGTAGAATACTAATAATTATAACTAGATATAGCGGAGCTAGAATAATATAACTTAATTCTAGAAATACCATAGCTCGAAGAAGTTAACTCTATAATTAACTAGAAAACTAAGGAAATTATACCCTAGAAAACGTTAAGACCCTTAGAAACTATTAAGGAAGAGATAGAGATTAATAATATAAGAATAGGGTTATTAGATCGTAGTATAGTTAGATAGAATAATAGGGTGTATTCTATTATAGAACGAATTACTACCGAACCCTTTTGGTAGAAATCCGAGAGTATATATATAAAGAGACGCCGATCTATCTAGCACGTAACTATTTACCGCCCTTTACGTTACCTTCTAACTCTATTAGCTAAGGTATATATAGATTAGGTTCTACCTAAGGCTAAGTCCTAATAATTATCCCTTCCCTCTAGGAAGCTACCCTTAGTAACCTAGATTATTATCTATCTCTATATCCCTATCCTAAGTCTTATAAGACCTTAGTCGTTCTCTACGCTTCGTCTTAGATATTTACTAATATTTACTAATCTAAGATTTATATAAGCGTTTTCCTAATAAACTAGATTTTATCTATCCTAACTTCTTATATAGGTAAGATTACCTAATTAGACCTAGCATATCACGTAATATAATTAGATAAGCCCGGGTACTACCTATATTAAAATCTTTTCTTAGAAATATTCCTTTCTTTAAAAAACTTCTTAACTCTTTATAGAGTTTTTTAGATTATTAGGTATATTACCCGATCCTTATAGATATAGATTTATATAGATTTACTATAATTTAGTACGATTTATATAATTTACTAATTTTTATACCGTCCTTA